ACAACAACAACAACAACAACAACAACAACAACAACAACAACAACAACAACAACAACAACAACAACAACAACAACAACAACAACAACAACAACAACGGTACCAGCCCCAGATTCGCGTCCACCATGCGCGCCATCCGCGCCACCGTCGAGGCCGGCTACACCTTCCACGGCCTATTCATGGGCCCCACCGAGGCGATCGCCGGGTTCCCCGGCCGCGACAGCGGCGTCAACCCGGCGTTCCGCACGGCCGTCATGCACGCCGACGTGTTCGACTACGCGCCTGCCTTGGGGTCCGCCGAGGAGGTGAGCGGGGCGCACGCGCGCCTGGACAGGTACATGGACATGATCAGGGCGGTGACGCCCGGGTCAGGGGCGTACACCAATGAGGCGGACGTGCTGGAGCCGGACTGGCAGGCGAGCTTCTGGGGGGGGAACTACCCCAGGTTGCTCGAGATCAAGAAGAAGTGGGATCCGGAGGGGGTGTTCTGGGCGCCGGCGACGGTGGGTAGCGAGGGTTGGGAGGTTGCGACGACGGATGGGCTGGCGTCGCAGAATGGGAGGTTGTGTCGGGTTGAGTGAGGAGTTGGTTTGAGGGCTTGCATTTTTTTTTTTTTTTTTTTTTTTGTTTTGGGGGGGGGGGGGGGGGTTGGGATCAAAGATCACTCATGGCTTCTTTTTGAGTAAATAGCACTTAACTCATGGCATCGTTTCTTAGCAACAATAAGGAAGGGAACTCAACTCGCCGAGTCGTTTGCAACAGTTGGTACCGCACAGAGAAAGATTATGTACATACGAAGGCTGTGCTGTCGTAAAAATGACAATATAGAGCTGATTTTCTGCAGAGCAGCGGTCAAGAGGGGGTGATGGATGATGATTCTGATCTCCAGCAGTCAGGTTGTTGAGTCGGAGACCGTCTGTTACGATGGAGTGGTTCTCCAAGCATACTTGCAACGGAAGAAATGAGTATTTTGCAGGAAGAAAGCGGGAGAAGAAGGGGGTTCTTCTCGGCTAGCTGAGAATTCAGGGGTGAACCCCCCGGCATATTCAGAGTTGGCGGTTGAACGCGCCCCCCTTATTATTTTTCTGCTGAGATAAGATACGGAACAAAAGAATAAAGGATAGTCGCCCGGCTCCCAGTCTCATGCATCCGGAGGGGAGTGTCAGCGTCAAGCAGGCTGACGCCCAAAACGGCAATGAGTTGTCGTTGTGACGAGCGTCATGCATGCACTTACCTACACACAGCATTTACCATCTCATCAGAGACTTTGATTGGGTGTCAAGGTGCTGCAGCTACCGAAATCATTGTAGTTGAACTGGGCAGTGCGTTATTGGCTTACGGATGCCTCGGATAGCAAGGGGCCAAAGGACTTCGTTGTCAAACGGGGATGCAGCCGAGCCTTTGCTCCTATGCTGGAACGTCGAGATGTAGTGATCGCGGGTGGATGCCTCGGATGAACCTCTCCTATTCTGTGTGGTTGCAAGTGTCAAACTTTCAAGCGTGAAGTGCTGTACATACCCAAGTCCTACGTCAGCCATTTTTTGCTCTTTTATTTTGCATCTTCGTAATATAAATACTTCTCACATTGTATTTAGCAAACCCGCTTGACGAAGTCCTCTCTGCTCACAGTATTGGCAACATACCTCTAGCCTATTCGTAGCAGTTCTTGCTGGCAACTAGGTATATTCGCAGGGCGTGTCTATCCTCTAACTGCGTGTACCGTTTGTGCTGTCAGTAGCTTCAGCACCACTTGCTGGACCCTGTAGGAATTTTAACCGAGCTTATCCGTTACATCGCATGTAAAAAAAACAAAGACAAAACTCAAAGCCCGCGTATCCCAACAACTAGCGAGTGCAGATAGATACCGGCGGCCCGCCCCCTTTTTCGGCGGGAGCAGGCTCCACGGTTCCCGAATGGAGAGGTAGGTAGGTAAGTATAGGTATGCAGTCAGAAGACACCGAACCAGTCAAAGTGAAGCATTTGCCCTTGGCAAGCCTTCCTTTTTTCTTTTCCTCTCGTTTTTAGCTTCCTCTTGGCCCAGCCACGACTGATAGGGGATCTAGAGCTTGCCAACTTCCATTGGGGAACGGAGGGGAGGTGACGTGCAGCTAGCTACCTACCTACGTACCCGGGCACTCAACACCCCACCTTTAGGTAGGTAGGTACCTACCTAGGTAGGTATCAGGTGAGGTACGTACAGTAGGTACCGTAGACAAGGCAACGAACAGAGGAGGCAGCGAGAGGGGCGCGGACTGGGGGGAGCCAACATGGGGGGCGTGCCTAGGTTGAATTTCAGAAGTGATCCACAAGCTCAAGGTTCCATGATTGAGTCTCTCGGGGTTACTACCATGGATGTTCTGGAATCCACGTACTTAATGTACCTACATGGAGGTGCAGAGTTGATGCAGGGAAGCGCCGAGGCCGGAATATCATGCTTTATCCTTTGCGAGCCAGCAGGGCTGGCGGGGGCTTTGATGCAAGTGGGAGGGACAGCAGCTATTACACGTAAAAAAGAAAAGAAAAAGGATAAAAAAGAGCGCAAATGTGACTGGCCCGCGTCATGTTTCCGCCCGCAGACAACTGACCGGTTTCCAAAGGGGTAAAGGACAAGGCGGTCAAGCATGACATCGTACGGTGGTAAATTGGTGGGGTCTGCCATCATTCCTCCCGCGGCGTTATCAATCCTCTTGTCCCAGCCCGGTGGTTCCCCCCTACAACGCAACTTGCGCTAATATCCCCAACCCTTGCTAGATCGACACACGTGCAGGAGATATGTTGGGGCTGGGCGTGCAATTGGGTTGCAGCCCTGCAGAGGATGCAGGTATTGATTGTGGAGCACCGGAACGCACAACCCGGCTGTCTGGTTGATGGTTTGTGCTGTTTCGATTGCAGCGCGGCCTGCCTAATATGGAACCCTGTCGCTTACCGGCAGGATGGTTCCTGCTCGGGCGGTGCTCCGACCACGCAGCACACCCTCGACCCAACCCACTGGGACGAGGGATTACGGCCGACGGTAGTGGCGTGGCTCCTCTCTGATTCGCCGTCTCCTGCCCCGACCACTCTCTCATTTGCCGACTCCTGCCCCGACCACTCTCTGATTCGCCGTCCCTTGCTGCGACCAAAATGGCTGCGACACAGCACCATCCCAGATGGACACAAGTCGGAGGTCTGGTAAATGGGGAGTCAAGAAAATGTGCAGTGTGCAGTGTGCAGTGTGCAGCCTGCCTGGCCCCCCTGGCTCGTCTCTGCTTCGATGAATTGTACAAATCTCTCCCATCCTGCATCCTCCATCTCCAAGCTGGCAAGAATTAGACCCCAACTTCTCCTGTCCAAATTTAACAATGCCCGCGTGTAATAAAATCGATTTGCTCGGCATCGGAACCGGCCGGACTGTCGCTCTTACTTGCACCCGCCATGAGACATGGGGACCACCAGGTTCGTCCATGATCAGCCCGGAATCCGTCGAGGATGGGATCCAAAGGTCTGTCTGACCCACTCCCCGATAGAACGTTCAATGCCGTATCTGTATCTGATGACAGTCGTCGTGAACAGGCAGGCCTGGTCAACCTTCCACTGCGCCGAGTCTCGCTCGCAACCCCCTACTTCGTTTCTCTCCATCGTCGATCATGTCCTAGAGGTGCACCTTAGACACACCAAAGCCGAAATAGTTGGCGATGGGTTGGTCATTTTGGGCGACCTGTGTTGGACTTCCACCTTGTCCGAGATGTCTTCGATCGCCAGGTACCTGGCAGACCCCCAACGTCATGAATGGCTTGCAGTGTCCATTGCAATGGCCGACGGAATCAAAGCTCCAGCCAACAATGCTCCCGCTTTCACAAGATCTCCCACACCTAGTGCTTCCACTCGAAGGGGCCTTCAATACACTGGGGACAATGGCAACCATAAGCTATCCTTTGTCGATCCAGGTGTTTGTGGCCCTCGAGAAATGAAGCCTGGAATGCAGAGGCCCTCACAACACGAAGAACAGCCCCGAAACACCATAGCTCAGAGCCTGCAAGTCAACGTGGAGACAACATCAGGCTCAGCCACCTCTCTCGGTATCGTGGAGTGCCTCGATAAGCCCAAACCCACTCTTTTCCGCCCCCCTTCGCAGCATTGATGCCGAAAAAGTCGGATTTCCCAGCTTCTGAGTGGGCACTTGACGGGACTCAATCACTGTCCCTGCACTCCTCGCTAAGCACTGACGCCCTCATGGCCTTCTCTTGTTCCATAGTGATCGCCAAGACCGCCATGGCCAGCAGGTGATTCAGTTCGACAGACACGACATTGGAGCGTTACGTGAGCACAAGAGGAAGGTGGCTGGGCTGCATGCTGATAGGGTGGTACTGGCGCCGACTCTTATATGTCGATATGAAACGCCTTGCGCGATGTGTGCGATCAGGATGGCGTTAGGGTTGATGGCATTATGAGACTGCGTATCAGCAGCAATCACTTACTTTCCTCAATACATATATTTGGTTTTGTGTCCCGCCTTTGGTCTGCGCAAAGCACTGAGCGGTCGAGTCTGCTCTCCGTGCTGAACCGATAATCATGTCGGACGTGAGAAGGCATGGCATCATTTGCGAATCCCTAGAAGGTCGATGAATGACCAGACGCTATCTCGTAGATGGCTCCTTTCTCAGGTACAGCCTGCCATCAATGTCTCGAAAGGGCGCGGCACGGCGTCGAAGATGGATATCCACTTCTAAAGTATGATGCAACCGATTCATAGCCGGATAGCTGGTACGCCGCACACTCCCCCGGACTTTTCAAGCCTCTTGAGGATAACGCACAAATCGCTTGACATGACGCATTGGTCTAGGGTCAGGCCCCGCGCCAACCAGGACCGCTTTCCAAGCAGCATGATTCACATCTATCGCGGCTGACGCTCTCCGACGAGGCCCTCACTTCGCAGCGCAAAAGCGTGGGGGGGCCACTAGACCAGCTTTGGTGGCAGGCGGTAGATGGACGGACGTGAAGCTGGGGGTATGACAGCATGTTCGAGTGCCTGCAGTGCCTGCAGCGCCCTCATGAGCTCAAGAGTGGTGGCGGTTAGAGCCCCGCCTGGTTCGGCCAGAGTTCAGATGAATGCAATCCGCTTTCAAATATTGTAACTTGGTTCGGATGACACACGCACGGCGCAACCCGCCGCTGGTTCAACTATTCTTGGGACGCAACTTTGGTTGAAGGGTGCTAAGAGCAGCGCCCGCCCCGCCCTGCCGATCTTCTTGCGTACGGCATATAATGATCCAGTCGTCCTGGAAGATCTTCACACATGTAACATGCGAGACGTTTATCCGGACCATCAAAAGGGTCCTATCCGGGCTAACCCAAGCCCGATCTGCAAGGGGGCGTTCCTTCGCCAAGTCAAAGTTGGGTTGGACTTGAAACACTGAAACGGCAAATCGGCAAATCGCCTCCGCACCAGGGAAAGAGTACGGTACCGGTAGTCAGGAAGTGGCAAGGCAAAACAGGAAGTTTATAGCAGTAACATGACAAAATAAATGAAAAATAAATGAATAAAAGTGACGAGCGACCACCCTCAACTTTGAGGAAGGACCCCTATCGAGCAAGGAACGGGTGGAAAACGAGCCTAACCGAATGTCTGGGAACGCCATCAATAGATCGGCAGGGGGGGGGGGGGGGGGGGGGCGGCCTTGCTAGGCGCAGGCGATCCGTGCTCTGCCGAAACCAAAGAAGCTTTCTCGGTTGGCGCAGAGAAGCCGCACGGGCAGGAGCATGAAACGATACCCGTCCCGGACCCCGGAGTCGAGACGTCACGGTGCTAATCTTTGCTCTATCAAGTATTCGGCATTGCCTGGCCGGCGACAAAGAGCCGCCCGAGGGGTGGTTATCAGTCAGGGGAGTGGCATGCGAGTACTGCTGCAGGTGCAGGTGCCAATGCCCATCCCTCTCAAAATGGCCACTGTATCTCCTTCTCTACAATTGTAATTGCGTCAGCAAAATCAGCAACATCAACAAAACTCTTACCAAATGCAAATACGCAGCAATTGAATCCGTCGCAGGTCGTCGTCTCCGCTTGTCCCAACGCATCAGCAACATGTCCGCACTTATAAACCAGGCGCCCCTAAACCTTGGGCCTCTTACCACAGTCTTTACACCACCTCCGGCATGTACGGTGGCCGTCGGGCAGAGGAATGGCGGTCTCTTGGGGTTGGGTCTCCTGGGGGGCGGGTCAGTGGGAAATGTCGCGTTCCTAGGCCAGACATGCGACGCCGGTAATCCAGCAGATGTGACAACATGCTGGCCGCCGACATCAAGCGGGGTGCCGTCGCCACCGGTTCCCTTCAGTGGCTGGGGATTCTACTCTCCTGGCCTTGATTGTCCTGCCGGGCACGTATCGGCATGTTCGGCGACAGGAGGTGCTGGAGGGAACTCGGGGTGGCCGGTGCAGTTCAAGCTGCTTGATGGAGAGACAGCCATCGGCTGCTGTCCTAGGTACGTTGCCCATTTTCATTACCCGGCGGCCTTGCCGGAACATGGAACATTCCATGGCTGACCACCGCCACAGCGGGTTCGCTTGTGACAACATTAATGGCCAAACATGTCTCATGGTGGCCACCTCAACGGCTGTCCCCATAGTGACGTGCAATGGGAGGAGGAGCGCAGGTGTCGTGACACAGACCGTCCCAGACGCTGCTGCCTCCGTCACAGCCTTCAGCCTGTTCGCGCCCATGATTCAGATCAACTTCCAGAGCAGTGACAGGCCGGCACCATCAACTGTACCGGCAGCGGCAGCGGTGACCACCTCCAATGCGAGGCCAGACCCCACGCCCACCAGCTCCGGTGACGCGGCCACATCAAGCGACACGGGGGCCGCCTCGACAGACGCCGCATCCACATCCGCGGCGAGCGCCAGACCAGGAACGGCCGGCACTGACGAGAGCGGATCCGACGACGACGACCAGCAGCAGCCGAGTTCCGAAGGCGCTACCGGCACCGGCGCCGACCCGTCGCTCCAGACGCAGGCCAAGGAGACCGGCCGGGCGGGGGGGCTGGGCAACCTGTCGCGGGGGGCGACGATGGGCATCTTCATCGGGGGCGGGGCGGCCGGGCTGCTCGTGGTCGGGTCGACGCTCATCTTCTGCCTAAGAAAGCGCCGCAAGGAGCGCGAGGAGCGCGAGCTTGACCGCATGTACGGCCTGGACAAGCTGGACTCCAGCACGGGCCTGACGCGGGCGGACGAGTTCCCGGGCTTCTCGTACCGCGGGCCGGAGGCAGCGGGGGACACGTCTAGGTCGAGAAACTTCTGAGGCGGGTAGGGGGTTTGCTGTGGAGGCTTGGGAGTGTTCTACTTATCCGGTATTGGCGTTCTTTGGGGCATAGAGCGTTGCTTTGAGTAGGTGGCTTTAAAGGTGCAGGCCTGGCCGCTGACAAGATGAATGATCTGGGTCTGGTGGAGAAATTATCTCTTGTATACCGGCATAAAGACATAGTAATGATGAATGACCATTAGATACCTCAACTTTTGAAGAAAAGATATCAATATCAATCCAGATGCTGGTAGTTGCAGGGGCGGGAACGTGTTGGGAGATTCCGTCACGTGTACGTCTACGTCTCAGTGGGGCAAGCAGGGGCTTGCTTTGCTTCCCAAGCTCGCCGAAGCTAAGCTCCACAACGTGCAAGGCCTATTGATGATGACAACACATTTATTTCCGAGCATGATAGAGGCTGCTCAGCTTCTGTGCTGACTTGCTTCTACCTGCGGCCCTCTCCTGCCGTTGTAGATGATCCTCTGGGACCACTCTGCGCTGCGCATTGCAGCGCCACCATGCGACCATGTCAACCGAATCCACGCGTCCGCTCCTGCTCCCTCAGAATCGCAAGCTTCGTCATCTACGCGGCATCTATCTCAGGAACTTGAGCTTCGTTCGGCCGCGTGGGCGCACCATAGACGATACCGCCATCAATAAGTCGCCAGCGAAGCTGGAGGCGCTTCGAGATACTCATCAATTGCATCACGCCGTCTCGAACGACAGCTTGCGGCAGCCCCGCGAGAGGAGGCGGAGCACCAACCTTTCCAATGCCAGCCCCTTCACCAGGCAAAAGAGGCTCGAATACGCCGTCGAAAATAGAGTTGCCGACGCGTTTTTCTCCCTGCATTGCGAAGGCGAAGAGGAAGCTATCTACATCAGCGAGGCCGCCGAGAGAGCCACGGTTCGTTTACCCTCCTTGGTCTTGTCTTGACTGTCTGCCCTCCGTCTCTAGTGTTTGACTAACCAGCTACTCTCCCTCTCCAGAACTTCAATTTTCGCTTCTTCGAGCTCTCACAACTCGGTTCCTCGGTTACTCGGCTCCCACAAGTCACAGTCAAGGTCTGGACGAAGAAAAACAATGCATGGAGCTTATTGATTGAGGAGAAGGTCGACCTCCGCTTCCTCAACTTCCTGGGCAATCTGCAGAATGTGCAGTTCCCTCCCAACTCGCTCGTTTTCCACCTTAGCGATGGAGCATACTCTTTAGAACTCTCGAGCAAATATCCTCCGCCGAAGCAAACCCACGCACTGCCGACGACATCCCACAATGCGCTGATGAAACTGGCCACCCTTGACAACTCGATCCAAGATGCTCTGGCAACGCGGGAAATCATTGCCCAACAGATCAATGACATTCTCGCCCAAACACCAACAAACCAAGGCCCCCAGGCCGAAGACAAGCTGCAACTAACCAACCGATACCTGGTACAGCAGCGGCGAGTTCTCCACGCAGCGCAACGAAGGAAGGCCGAGCTCCGAGAGTCGATCGCCTCACGCCGAGCCGCGATCCAGTCCGGCCGGTCGATGCAGGAAAAGGCCGCGCAGGACGTGGAGAACGCGGCCGACAAGCTCACATCCTCCAAGGAGCTCCTGGCGGCGACGACGGAGAGCATCCGCGGCCAGCGGCGGCGCATATGCGAGGACCTGACGCGCATTTACCGCATCAACCCCGTCCCCGCGGGCGCGCCGCTGGCCTTCCAGATATGCGGCGTCGCGCTGCCCAACACGGGCTCGTACGACGGCTCGCTGACGCGCGGCCCGGCCACCGAGGACGCCGTCTCGGCCGCGCTGGGCCACGTCGCGCGGCTGACCGACGCGCTGCAATACTACCTCGGCGTGCCGCTCCCGTACCCCGTCACGCCCTTCGCCTCGCGGTCGAGCATCCGCGACGACATCAGCGTCCTCGCCGACCCCAACCGCGAGTTCCCGCTGTACCTGCCGCGCGGCGGGTCGAGCGCCCAGTTCAGGTTCGACTACGGCTGGTTCCTGCTGAACAAGGACATCGAGGCCCTGTGCGCCGCCCAGGGGCTCAAGGTCGTCGACATCCGGCACACCCTGCCCAACCTCAAGTACCTGCTGTACGTGTGCAGCGCGGGCACCGACGAGCTGCCCGAGCGCAAGAGGGGCGGCGTCCGCGGCCTGTGGGCCGGGAGGCTGAAGGGCAGGGGAGGTGGCGGCGTCGGAGGCGCCGGTGACGGCGCGAGCAGCAGCGTCGAGGGGAGTCGGCGCGGCAGCGCGGACAGCGACCTCCTCTCCAAGCAGAGGGACGAGCTGAGGAGGGCGATTGGGGACCATGCTCGCAGCTCTGGGCCCTCCCCCGCGGTCCTGTCACCCGTCGGCTCACCGTTTGATGACGGGGAGGCGAGGCTGACGTTGCGGACAAAGGGGTTGAGGGAGAATGTCGTCAAGTAAACCTCGAAGCGTTAAATTTTTGCCTTTTCCCGTGGGCGGCATCGTTTTTGCGAGATACCCGGTAATATTACGATTGTTCACCCATCTGGGACAGACATCTGTGGAAGCGTGCAGTCTTGATTCTTCGCGTATGCAATTATCACTGTTATCCATGTGGTGACGCAAATCCCCTAAAGCAACGCCCAACACAAACCCAACCCCTAAAGCAACGCCCAATGCAAGCCCTAAAGCAACACTCAATGCAACCCCCTCGCCAGCCCACCTCTAACCCGATCCTCACTATCACCTTATCAGACCCCGAACAACAGACACACCCTAAAAGCAAGGGACCTGCCCTTCCAATCGACCCACCACGTCTCATCCACCACGTGACCGCACCTCAGCTTCCAAGGACCCGGCTGCCACCCGCGCCCCGGTACCCAAAAGTGCTCTACCGGCTGTTGGCGTAGCCACTCCTCCTTCTCCTCCTCCTCCTCCTCCTTCTCCTCCTCCTCGTCCTCATCCTCCTCCTCGTCCTCATCCTCCTCCTCGTCCTCATCCTCCTCGTCCACCTCCATATTGTTGTCGCCGTCCATCCCGCCTTTCAACCAGGCGGGACTGGGACTCCGCCGCCGATCGAGGCTCATTGACAACGTCGTGTTGTGCGTGGTAGCCGAGCCGGAGAGCGGCTGGGCGGTGTTGTTGTGGTTGGGTTGGTCGCCGACAGCGCCATATGAAATCGCGCCGATCAAGGGGGGGAGGAACACTTGCGTGATAGGGAGCGCGTGGAAGGGGTCGGGGAAGCCGGGGTGTTCTCTAGCAAGGCCTTGTACCACATGATGGATGGATGGGAGGGTGGTATGTTGGTACAGTGGCACGTGGATGGATGGGAGGGTGAGATGTTGGTGCGGCGGCGTGTGGATGGATAGGGTGGCAGTTGTGGTTGAGGGGATGGAGCTGGAGGGGAGGTCGCAACTGGAGACCAGGCTGACGGGGGCGGCGTGTGGGAAGTCCAAGGCGGTTGACCCCGGGTTGATGCTAGACCCTGGCTTGATGCTAGCTAGCCATGTGTTGACATGAGCTTGCAGCGCTGGGGTTCCTGGGCATGCTTTGGGTGAGATCTGCCCATAGAGTCGGCGCGATAGCCCCTGGCGAGTGGGCTAGGTGGTGGGTGGTGTCACCATGAGGTTCGGTAGGGTTGAGAAGTGATTCGATGGCTATACGACGATGCATTGGTTCTGCAAATACTGATGGCATATTCGACATTGAGATAGATGAATGCTCACACATCGGAATCGGGCAAAAAGGTGGGGGGGTGGCCATGATGTTGTCAGTGGAGTCTTGGTATCTCCGAGGGTAGGTACAGGGGACCCAAAGCAGGGCTCACATATGGAAGGTTTAAGTTTGTCCTCGATGGACTCAAATACGGCAGGCGGCACTCGATACATGTGCGCCGACATAAGGTATAATACCTAGGTACCTAACCTTGGTGCCGGGAACGTAAACTCGGCCAGTACCTACCTCCCTTGGTAGGTATTCCAAAGGACCTCGGTCTCCATCACGAGGTCGTAATATGGAAAGCATGATGATGCAGAATTGATTCCTGCTGACCCAGCCCTGGACTACGGGCACTATACTAACACATGGACGGAGCGGGACTGCATGGCGCCCTACCAGATGGAATAACTGATTAAAACTCGTCCTCGTCCCAAGCATGGACGACTCGACGTTGGCCCCGTACCTCCGTACTTTTGCATGATCGCAACATCGCGATCGCCGGACCTGCCCATCAGCAGCAAACCCAACGCCAATAACCACGAATATCCCTTGAAGGAGTCCGCATGCCCCCCCAACTACCCCTATCCCCGCCTCACGCAGCGGGGGCGAAGGCGTATCTAGGCAGACGGGTCATCTTCTCCTCCGGGCTGATCTCCGAGTCCGCATACACCATGCGCGAATTCTTCTCCTTCCTCGACTTCTTGTCCGCCGGCGCGGCCGGTGCCTCGTCTGCGCTCTTACCGCCAGAGGGCTTGATACCGGCCTCGGCCATGCGGATGAGGTGGTCGATGTTATCGCCCTGCCTCGCGGCACCCGCGACGAGCTCATCCACCGTCGACGCGCCGCCGTACATGTTGCTGCCGCCGTAAGGCGGCCGCTGGGGCAGGTTCGTCGTTGGCGGGACGTTGCTGGGCGGGCGCGCGGGGAGGTTGAAGCCTCCGGCGGGAGGGGCGGCACCGGGGGGATAGGCGGCGGCACCCGGGGGGTAGGTCGGAGGGAAGGCTTGCGGGGGAGTGTAGGACGTGGCGCCGGGGACGACGGGTGGAGGGTATGGATAGCCCGGCTGGGGGGCAGGGAAGGGAGAGTTCTGGAAAGACGGCAAAGCTGGTCAGTGGGTGTGTTATCCAGGACATGAAACGTAGAGCCGCAACTTACACTCTGGCCCGGACTCTGACCATCGGCGGGCGTAGTGCCGGCGCTACCGTTTGCGCCGCCGGCCTTCTGGGCGGCGAGCCGCGCCCGGTGGTCGGCCAATCGCTTCTTGATCTCGTCGGGGGTCTCCACCTTGATCTTCTTCACCGGCCCCTGGACTCCCGACAGGCCCGGCTGGGGGTTGCCGGTGGCCGCGTGTCGCTCCGCCTGCTCGGCATAGTAGTTCTGGATGATGCGCTGGTTGTGTTGCTGGACGACTTCCTCAGGGATACCCTCCATGCCGAAGATCTCGATGTCGAGACCCTGCCGGTTCGCGAGGGCATTCTCAACGTTGCTTAGGTTTTCCTTGTGGACTTGGTTCATGTGGACGGACAGACCTATTCGGCAAGGTGAAAGCAAGGTTAGACCGCTCCGAGATGCCTCACTTCAATTGTCGTGGGTTTTGTAACTTACCTCCGGCTGTATTGAGGCGCTTGCCACATCGGTCGCACTTGAAGTGCTTCGCCTTCTGGTGAGAGATCAGGAGCTTGAGATCCTCGAAGTCGCGTTCACCTGCATCAGCTTAGTTAGCTTTAAGCCGAATCAGCAGCGCCGACCACCTCAAACTGACAGTAGTAGCACCAAGGCCGAGAGAGGAGCTCCTCTACATCGGGATGAGCGCGCTTTTTCTTGCCCATCTTCTGGAACTGTGGTCGTGCAGTTTGATTATTTCCAGAGGAATTGGTGACAATGGAGTCGAGGTTTGGCAGAAAAAGAATCTGATCTGCACAAGCTGATGTCGGCGAATGGTGAACCATTCACTGCTCTAAATTGTTCGTCCTTCGAACGTGAGCGCGACAGAAGTGGTCTAGTCCCAATATGATTAGCCTTAAACTGGAGCTCACGTGATTCCATAGACTACTAAGCAGCACGTGCGTCACCTCTCCTAGCCAACCCTCCTCCTGCGTCTCTCTCTCCGTTTCCATCTCCTCAGGTCTTCACCCTGAAACGATTTTCCCACTCGAGAACCCAAGTTTTGGGACAGGACCAGCCAGGAAAGTGAAATCGGTGTCCAGTCTATCCAAATGGCTCTGGTAACTGTCGCGGCGGCTACGCTCCCGAGCGTACCCCTTGACTTCCTCGGCAACCGCGACCGAATTTTAGAGTCTATTCGAATCGCCAAGGGGAAGGGGGCTACTCTGAGGACTGGGCCTGAGCTGGAAATCCCGGGCTACGCATGTCTTGACCACCACCTCGAAGGGGATACCTTCTTGCATTCTATTGAAGTCCTAGCCGATATTATCTCGAACGATGTTTGCCGAGGCATGCTCATCGACGTTGGACGTAAATGCACCTGCATGGCTATTCCAATTTCACTAAGCTAATTATTGGGATAGTTGGAATAAGGCATCGTAACGTTCGGTACAATACGCGCGTTTTTTGCACGTACCGAAAAATATACTGCATCAGGCCCAAGATGGCACTGGCGAACGACGGCCTCTATCGTGAGGCCAGGCACTTTACCGCCTGGTCAAAGCCACGACAGGTCGAAACCTACTATCTCGAGAGCGTCTTGCAGCGAGTTACCGGCCAAAAGACAGTCTTGATCGGTGATATGATTCTTTCAACACCGGATACCGCTGTTTCATGCGAGTCTTGCGAGGAATTGTTCGTCCCCCTGAATCCGTCCATCTTCAGCGGACTCAACGGTGTAAGTATCGTCCTGCATTGTCATCTTTTCCTCCGAGAACTCGGCAGCAGCTCTCTCCGTCGCTTCCCATGAAGCGTGCTTACTGACTTTGGGAGTTTCGCAGGCCGAAATCATACTCAACTCCAGCGCATCCCATGCGGAGCTTCGAAAATTAAGAACGCGACTCGAACTTATTTCCAACTCCACAAGGAAGCTCGGGGGTATATATGTCTACGCCAATGCCACAGGTATTGACGGCGAGGCCCGTATGCTTCATGATGGGAGTAGTATGGTCATTCAAAACGGCGAGGTTCTGGCACAAGGCAGCCAGTTCTCCCTCGCGCCCGTCGAGGTTACCACTGCTACGGTCGACATTGAGAAAGTCCGAACCTACCGCAGTAGCATAAGTCGAAACGTCCAAGCTGCTCAGCAGCCGGACTTTCCTCGTGTCGAATGCGACCTCGTCCTATCTCGTCCGATCGAAGAGATCTGGCTATCCAACCAACCAGAGATTTCTCCACCGATCGAGCTCCGAATCTTGGATCCTATGGAGGAGATCTACGCAGCTACGGCCGTCTACCTATGGCAGTACTTGACGAGAACAAACTTGGCCGGGTTTTTCTTGGCACTGTCAGGTGGCCTTGACAGCTCAACCGTGGCGCTCTTCGTCTATGGAATGGCTCGGCTTGTGTTGCTGTCTATCGGCCGCGGCGAGGAGACTACGCTTCAAGCCCTAAGACGGGTGACGGGTGATGAGAACTTCACACCTACTACGCCCCAGGATATCGTATCTCGACTCCTTCACACGTGTTACATGGGAACAGTCAATTCCTCGGAGGAGACCCAGGGAAGGGCCAAGAGGCTGGCAGGAATGATCGGCGCTTATCATTCCAACATCACCATCGACGAAACCGTCGCTGCCCACGAGACTATGGTTGAAAAGGCGCTCAACTTCAAACCAAAATACGAGGTTGAAGGGGGTTCTTCAGCCGAGAACCTAGCCAAGCAAAACATTCAAGCTCGCAACCGGATGGTCATTTCTTACTCGCTTGCTCAGTTATCGACCACAGCTAGGAATCTCCCCAGAGCAGGATCAGCGTTGCTTGTGTTGGGATCAGGCAATGTCGATGAGGTAATTAACCCCCGACTCACGTTGCGTAACCTCCAATAACCACCAATGCTAAATGCTGACTGATGAGCAGAATCTCCGTGGCTATTTTACCAAATATGTGAGTGCGGAATTGGACGGATAGTTTGCTATTTTATGAGATCCAGGATATGACTCTTCAATAACCGGTGGTTTGCAATATCTTGACAGTTGGCTAATCGTTCAATAGGACGCCAGCTCGGCAGATATAGCACCACTTGGCAGCATATCAAAGAAGGACGCCAAGGCTTTCCAGCTGTGGGCTCGAGAGAAATGGGATCTCCCGATCCTTAGCGAGTTTATGGAAGCGACGCCGACGGCCGAGCTCCTACCGCTCTCTGCTGGCGTTCAGGACGACGAGACCGAAATGGGCTTGACCTACGCGGAACTGTCCGTCTTTGGGGTATGTAATAACACCCATTAGCGAGAAAGCCGGGCACCCAGCTGACACACGACTCAGATCATGAGGAAGGTTGATAAACTCGGACCGTGGTCGACTTACCTCCGCTTGTTAAGCGAGTGGAGGGATCGCCCTGGCTACGGCCCGCGGCAGATTGCCGAGAAGGTTTTCAAGTTCTATGGGTCTTACGCGGTCAATCGCCACAAAGCCGTTATCGTTACCCCGAGTGTGCACTTATCCCCCTACGACCCAGACGACAATAGGTTTGATCTGCGGCCGTTCTTGTATGTGGTCCAGTGGCCATGGCAGTTTGGGAAGATCAGGTCACACGTCGAGCAGCTGGAGAAGAGGTTGGCAGAGAAGTGAGACCAGAGGTTGCGGTGGATGTTGCGTAGGGACAACTTGATGATGAAGGTAATCCTTTGCAGGCCAGGCTCACCTTAAATCAACGGCAGGTCATGATCACGCACCACAACATCGGTAATTGCTGAGCCTACCCCTGAGCAATGCCCAGAGCTATTGTATCTAATTACCACATAGTACGGGGTTCCATGTCCTAAAGCGCTAGAGAAATTTACTGAGAATAGACACGATAATTACATGTTAGGTTGAAAGGGGTCGGCGATGTGAACCAGTGACCACAATCCTTTAAACTTCCTACTCCAGAACGTTAAGTCCTTGCTAGAAGTATTAGCAGACTCACGACGTTCCCGATACTCTCACTGAGGAAATGTTTACAAGGATAGATATCTCGGAGTCGTCAGAAAAGTCCCTTGCATGCATTCAACTATATACAACCCGGCTCCCACAATGCAAAGAACCAGCTCCCAACCAAATTCAACCCTCCCCGCCCATAAACTTCAGCATCTGGCCAAGGACATCCAGACCTTTAGAACCGCTTGGAAGAGCGATTCTTCAAGCGTCTAACCCAGGCGACAAACTGCCCCTGCCTCAGCAGGTGAGGCCAACGGGTCCACCGGGGACAGTGTAGCTGTTGAAGTTTGTGTAAATCTTGAAACCCCCCAAAAGTCAGCACCATGGACAAAACACACATAACCAAACCCCAAAAACCCCCACTGGTCTGTACTTACATTGGCGGTGTATCCGGGATCCGTCGCCTTGAAGACGCCGGGAATCGATACCGTGGCCGACGGCGCCTTGGCCGTGCCGCCGCTGACCGCGACCTGGGCACAGCCGACGTAGAACTATTTGGGACGGAGGAGTTGATCAGCCCTATCTTGGCCTCGATTGGTTCACCTCGGTGAGCGTCTGGGGAGCTTCTTACCTGGGGAATACCCGCCGGCCAAGGGTTGTGGATGGCGAGGGACTGGATACGCAGCAGGTACTCGCCGTCGCCAAGGCATTTGGGGATCGTGTAGGTGTAGGTCTCTAATCAGCCTGGCGGTTAGCACTGCGGACGAAGCTGCCTTGGGTTCGTTGACTTACGGCGCATCGGCCAGGTGGCTTGACCGCCGCTGAATGTCGGGCCTAGAGGGAGGGAGGATTAGCAGAGGGGATTTATATGTGTGTTTCCCAGGACCGATAGTCGTGGTGGCAACATGTCGTGAACGAACCCCAGTCATAGATCTTGAACCAAGCTCCGCTGCCGTCGTAGCTCGATACATTGCCCGGCGCCTTGGACATATACCTGTCGGCAACGATCATTAGCCCTGCCCACCGGACGCGGAGACGACGCTGTTTCTTGTCGGGTGCTCTTACAGAGAGATCGGGCCCTGGTGGTATACTGCAATGTCCAAGGTGAAGGTGAACGAGTCCCCAGCCTTCATGGCGACGGTCTCGGTACCGGCCCCGGTTGCTCCGACGTTGCATCTCAGGTCGTTCGAGGCCAGATCTGTTCCCATGTCAGACGAGAGTGGCGGGTAATCACAACCAGTGTCAGCCATTATCTCACCAGTAACGGGGGAGTTGTAGTTCGTATTCTTGCGGACGTATTGGTTCACGGGGAACTGGGTCGAACCATGCGAGAGTTGCTGGAAGATGTAGTGTGCCGAGACATCGCTGACAGCGAGGGCGGCCACTAAGGCGAGGCCGAGGAGGTTCTTCATGGCTGGAGATGGATATCACAACAATAGAGAGCTGATAGATGGAAGGAGTGTATGAGGAGCACGGCACGGCATTGACACGGCACATGTCTTGGCTTATATATCGTGGCCGCATCCCTGTTGTCGATACGATCATGTACATATGTACAACACAACACAAGTCCGGGGTGGATGCCCCCAACACCAGACAATATGAGGGCGCGGCGTGTCGTTGCGGGGATCGTTGCAGTTATGGCTAGTCAGTATATTAAACGGCCCGGCCGGCCAGGTTGGTAGATACCAATCACGATGCCGGAGCCGAAGATGGAGGGCTTCAGAAGAAGCATGAAGAAGCATGGTTGGTTCCCGATTGGGAGTGCCCTGCCCGGTAGGTGGTTTTTGCCGAAAAAGCCAAGATTCCAAGTCGAGAACAGAACCTGGGAAGGTGTCGCGGGATATTAATTAGATGCACTCCAAATGAATTAATTGTCTAACGCACAAGCGCCCTGCGGATTCTGTCCGCCAGACTGGCACGTCCAATTAATATTATCGATCAGCATGAGCGAGTTTTTGAGCCATCGAAGTGATTATTCGTCACCCCATTGTCACCCAGTTGCCGTGAAGGAGACGTCGGTAGTTCCAAATACAAGTCTTGGCTGAGTCCATGACTGATGGTCTGGCCAGGGGACTACTGCCCAGAGTGGACCGTATGGAGTGTAGGGCTGTAGGCTAGCCAATTTTTTACACACTCCGTACGTAGTATCACCGAAGTGTTTCGACGAAGGCTACCTCGCAATGTAACCCCGAAGCACCCAGCATGCTTCTAGGCCATGACGACTACCGTGACCACGGTCAGTGCAACGGGTGCAGATGCGGAAGTCGAAGGTCCGGGCTTTGATGGAAAGGGTCCCGGAAAGTTGGGTGACCATGTTTTTATGAAGCAGACCGGCCGCATGATCTCGTCAGAATTAATATGGGATTGCCTCGGGAAATAACTTACTGGACCTCCTCTCGCGGTTGCCAGCCAGATCCATAATCCAATATCACAGTTGACAGGCTTGGCTATAATTGGTTACCTAGTTCGCGTTCGAATTTGGCCTTCCCGCAGTGCATTTGCACCTGGTCCATGTTCCACCATCGCGGATCTACCATCTCTCTTCTGAAAAAAGAAAAACAGTGCGTTGCATTGGTATCTCAAAAGCCGATTAAGCATCCAAGGCCTGGCCTACCATTCTCATGACGGCAGCTTCATGGACACAAGGGTCTAGAATGTGTTCGACCTTCTCGGGCCAATCGTCAGACCAATCGAAGTAGGCAAAACATAATGCATAGCCCCAATAGCTAGGGTACCAGCCTGCAGCCTCCCAGTCGAGAATGGCTGCCACCTCGAAAGATCTCCCAGAACAGCCATCGGAATTGCTGCCAGGTTTTTCACGGACGAGGATATTCTTGCGTTGAAAATCTGAATGCGTGAACACGCTGCGGTGACCGCTCAGCGCCGCCGGCAGATGGCGAGAAAAGTACTCGTTCATCCAACCCCGCCGCCCATACCAATCCCAGATCTCTTGGGACCGCAGGACGAGTGCATGGCAGAAGGCTTCTTCTTTATCAAATGGCCCGGTGATGCGGGGGTCCTTTTTCGGCGAGAAGAAGTAACGATGGGGCAGGGGGCCCCCGAAGACGCCGGAAAATATTTCTGGCGAGGGGAGAGCTCGCAGGCTGTCAACGGCCTGTCGCAACTGGGCCACGATAGGCGTCTTCTCGTCTTCAGACAGGGTCGGCCATATATCGCTGAGTTGCTGGCCGGGTACGAATTCCATGACAATATAAAGTTTCTCGTCTTCCCGGAACATGGCGTAGAGACGAGGAGCAGGAACGGTCAAAATGTGCTCTACGAGCAACAACGCGTGGCCTTCGTTCTCAAACACGACAGGTCCGTATTTGACCACAAAACAGCCATTTACTAGAACAGTGCGTCGAGAGTCCCGGTCGAAAATGCTGGGGAATTCCGCGGTGGCTGCTTCAATCTCGGGGATCGTTGGGAGGGGCTTGGGCAGCTCACCCTTATCACGGAACCAAGGGAAGGGGGGGGCCGCATCTGGCACAGTGTCCGTCCACACCATTTGGCGGTGTGTGTCGATCGATCAGCGTAGTCTGATGAATATGAGGCAGAGACAGCTGGACAAGGGAGGGCGGACAGTAGTAGGTTTACTGCCTAGGTGCGCGGATGACGACCTTAAAGTTCGGGTCGGAATAATACCCAAACCGAGTCCCAAATGGGACCTCAACCCGCCTAAACTTGGGGCTAATTACGCCCTCTTCTGGTTGATCTTGGCCCAAGATCGAGAGTAGTTTCATACAATCTCAACTCCGCAATAGTTGCCGCCCAAAAACATCTCAAGCGCCAGTGTTTAATGCAAGGTAGTAGCAACCAGCCTTTCCCCAACGACATGATTCCGGAGGATTACAGCCAATAGCGTGCTGGGACTGTGCCATATTAGTGCAATCTTACCAGCGAATGTTGAATTCATTGGCCAACATAGGTAGTTCCAACAAGCCCGAGTCCCATCAGTATCACTTCACATTTGCCGCCGAGGTCTCCCATGTGCTCTCCGAGGTTTCTCCCAAGTTCCCACGATCCCCAAACATTAAACCTCACCATGTCGAGCTCTGAGCTATACCGAGTTTTTAAGCTCAAGTTCAAGCTCGCCATTCAGGACCCCGACATGCCAAGCCCTCGGTATCACACGGTCATTTTCGTCGAGACAAATGCTCAGGGCCCAGGCACCGGCATGAAGCACCACGTCACCGGTGATATCGTCAACGGCATGTCCTACGAATCAGATCCGTACCAAAACGCCCATATATCCGAAACTCGCCACTCGAGAGAAGTCATCGGCTATACCAGGGCTTCTACTTATCCGCACGCCTGGGACAGAATCCTCAGCGCTCTCCCAGCTCCCCCGAAGCAGAAGGCTTTCAACCCCAAAACCATGAAGACGGAGCCGGTCAAGGATTGGAATCCGTTGGCTTTCTACCAGCCTGGGGAGCCTCGTCGGCCGCTGGTGAAATGCACCGAGTGGACGGAAAATCAGGCAATCCCCGCCCTATTTAACGAAGGACTGGTTCAAGCATCTCCCTAGTGTGTCAGGGGTTGCTATCCCGCATGTACAGCAGAAGATTGGATGTAATGTCCGGAATGGCTATAATATGTACACTTGAACGACTCTGTTTTCGGAGACTGCAAAGAGCTAGTCTAGTGTACTGTCAACAGAGACCCCAGTGCCTATAAAATATAGCGACCTCGACCCTGGAGGGTGGGGGGGCGGCGCGGTGTCAGGAGAATGCAGGCTTGTTACGTTTCTTTCCTTTTTCTTTTCTCTTGACACGGGATGTTTCCTGGGAAGAATGATGCTGCTCAACCCTCCCTACCTATTAAAGGAAATAAAATCACTGGGCACTGCATACACCATTCCCAATCGTGCCAGAAGCTCAAACACAACGGCGTGACTGGCTTCTACTTACTGCCAAAAAAAAGACTTCAGACGGTGTGACGTCTAGACTGAATAATGCGTAACAGCTTCCATTCCACCAAGGAATCACTCTGGTTACTCGGACGCTGCAGCTAGGCAATTATGAGGGCTTCTGAAGAAACAAGGTTATTAGGGGGGACCTGTGGTTTGGAGTTCTGCGTTTCGCCTGTGCTGTGGGTCATGACTAGGCGGTTACGTTACCTAATGTGCCCCCTTTGTGCCCCCTTTGTGCCCCCTTTGTGCCCCCTTTGTGCCCCTCCTCCTCCCACAATGCTTTCCCCAGCTAAAGAAGTTTCTCAATAAATGCATCATCATTCCCATTGCATGGCTATGGTGGCATGGACTTTCTTGTTTGCGTTGAACACAGATTTGTTTACAGTCACATAATCGCAGTCTCGTCATACACAGACGACTGCTACACCACCCTTTCGTGGAACCCCCTGTTTCCATGAATTCCAAGCACCCCGCCTTATCATGGCAGCCCAAGAGAGCGGGCAGCTTGAGCAAGCTATGCTCATGCCACAACCCCTTTCTATGCCAAGGGGCTGTGAGTGTCAGGGGTAAGGCCACAGCGTCATGGCCATTGGACCAGTCGTCCCTTCCCGATCCTCTGCCAGCTTGAGTCACACTAAATGGACTGTCTGGCGGCTGGCTTGCACCTCAAGCACTTCTAGCAATTAAGTCCCAGAGTTCAGACTTGCCTTTGCTTCCCCAGACATCTTCCTCCCTTCCTATCCATCACTCACGTAGGGAGCATTTCCAACGGAAGATAACGAGAAACCAGAGAGAAGCCAACAAGCCATCCCAACCAACAAGATGAGGCCAGCGGGTGCTTTAGATATGCCCAACGAGCTACTGACGGCAACATTCAGCCATCTGAAGAACACGGCAGACATACAGAGCGCCCGCCTCACCTGCCGCCGATTCGAAGCCAACAGCTCGCGCTTCCTCATCCCGCTCGTCCGCGTCGAGCCGCAATCCGCATCGCTCCGGAGGCTCGACAGGATCTCGCAGCACCCGGCCATCCGGGAGGGCGTGCGCGAGGTGGCCATCCAGCTGACCTACTACGACGCCACGCTCGCCTTCGAGATCGCCGACTTCACCAGCACCAACGCGGAGCGGGTGGAGAGAGAGAAGAGGACCCTGCTGTGGCTGATATCGCACTCCTACCTCCCGCCCGGCGTCTCCCGGCAGAGGGGCGAGGCCGCCGTGAGCAGGGCAGACGCCATCATCGACTCGTGGAAGAATGCGGGGCCCGACACGCCGGAGAACCTATCCCCCGAGGAGGACCAGCAGTACCAGGATCTGCTGAATGTCGCCTTCGACAAGTACGGGAGTCGTTATCTGAACCAAGCGGGGATGTTAGAGAACGGCACCTTTATCCACGCCGTCGGTGCCGCCATGGCGAGGATGCCGTGCGCCAGGACCTTGGCGTTCCAGGGCAAGACGGAGCTGACGCAGCGCCAGGAGAAGGACTTCCTCTTTCGCATGGAGGACCTGGAGGAGCAATGCGAGGTGATGGCGTACCCGCTCAGCCGGGAGCAGGCCCGATTCCAGCTGTGTGGGCCGCGAGTCGGGGACCTGTTCATCACGTTGCCCCTGGCCGTCCACAAGGCCGGTGTCTCGCTTTCGGAGCTCAAGATCAGCACGTATCTGGCGCTGGGAGAGGACCTACCTGAGCTGGAGACCTCCAAGATCACGAGCGCGTTGCAGGGGCTGAGGGCCGTCAACCTCGACTTTATGTGGGACGAGCTGCCAAATCGCAGCTATGTCCACCACATATGCAGCCTCCTGAACGCAATTCTCGACACCGACAGCCTCGAAAGCATATCTCTCAGCTTCGACTGCGAATTCGACACCCTCCCACTCCTGTTCAGCATGGGCCCGATCCTCACCCGCCGGCAGTGGAAGAACCTCCGGCGAGTGTCCCTGTCAAACATGTCGCTGCACCTCGGCGAGCTGGCGCTATTCATCGCCAATCTCGGCGCGCCGCTGGAGGGGTTTCACATCGACGCCATCCACCTGCTCAGCGGCACCTGGGCCGAGGGCCTCGACATCTTTCGCGGTTCGGTCGCGATGCTGGGCGGTGACCGGATAGAGGTGAGGGATCCGTCTGGCGCCGAGGTCGAGACCAAGCTGTCAAACGATGAGACAACGGCCATGTTTGAGGGGGAGGGCGGTCGACGCAGCACCGCGGAGGCGTATATCCTAGGGCATACATATACCAATCCCCTGCAGGGCGTCATGGGGTAATTGGATCTTGGATAGAGAAGAGGGGTGCTTGAGGGTTTGGAAACATCTCGTTATCAGGAGCAGATTGAAAGGTGGTAACAAGACTGGCCCATGGAAATTATGCAGGGCTCTTTGTTTTGTGTTGCATTTTAGCTTTTCTATTGGACGTATGGGATTTGCTTGCCAGTATTTCGGTCACTTCCAGATCATTATCATTTCACATTTTCCATACTGAGCATGATTTTACCTTCAACTCGCCCACTCACTGACCCTTTTGGTCTGGGGAACTTGGGTACCTAGAGGTACCTTAGGTTCCATACTATACCCCTTGTCGGTTGCACAGGACAAGGGGGAAGATAAATGGCATGGCGTATCAATCACGGACGGGCGTGTAATCGGATGTGATGTTGATAGAGAGTAGAGACACCTATGACAGCCACCTCTGGGCACCACCTAGATGCAGGCGTCCGATTCACGCCACCATGTTTTTGCTTTACTTTATTTGGGGTGTCAGACCGGGAAGCGTTGATAATACGCAAGGCATTGGCATGGTATAGCTATACCAGAACCAACTATTGCCACCTCCTCTCGGTCTCACCTGAAGGCAGCCCGGTTTGGTGGGGGTTAGGTATGTACTGTACCAGGACCTCAGCGGGACGGGAAGATCTTAGGACATGGATCAGGGACAGAGCCGAGACCCGGATTGTAGAACGCATCCGCCAATCAGTGTCACGTTCCCTATCGTTAGCGCATTCAGTGCCCCACCCCCAGATGAGGACCCTGTCGATCAGCGAACCCTTCCCACTCCTCCCGCCATTCGACCACAACCGACATGGACGCGATGCTGCACCTCAATCAAAGGTGACCGCTGGCTATGACGCCATCGAGGACAATGGCGATCCTTCGCCGGCCAGGACCTTTCCTCGTCATTGTCACCCTAATGCTGCTCAGCCTCCTGTTCCTTCTGATGCCTGATGAGCGGTCCGAAGTCCGATTCCAAGCCAGCAGCTTCAACTGGACCGGTGTACCACAAGCCCACCCGGTCTCCTCGATCAAGCCCCTCCCTACCGGTGCACCGCTGCGGCTGCCCCGCGTGCAGTACGACTTTCCTCGCGGCCGGCGAGACCCTACAGCCCGCGCCCGCCAGCGCGCCGTCCGCGACGTCTTCCTCCGGTGCTGGAGGAGCTACAAGAAATACGCGTGGGGCGACGACGAGCTACTTCCAGTCAGCGGCGGCTCGACGACCACCTACGGCGGCTGGGGCGTGACCATGGTGGACGCGCTCGACACGCTGTGGATCATGGGCCTGCACGGCGAGTTCTACGCCGCCGCCGCCGCCGTCGCGCGCCTGGACTGGGCGAACACGACGTACACGAGCATCAGCCTGTTCGAGACGACGATCCGCCACCTGGGCGGCCTCCTCAGCGCCTACGACCTCAGCGGCGAGCCGGCCCTGCTGCAGAAGGCGACGGAGCTGGGCGAGATGCTGTACATGGCCTTCGACACGCCCAACCGCCTGCCGGCGGTGGACTTCAGCTTCGCCGACGCCAAGAGCGGCGCCCAGGTGGCCGGCGACGCGGACCCGGCCGCGGGCCCCACGTCGCTGTCGCTCGAGTTCACGCGCCTGGCCCAGCTGACGGGCGACGCCAAGTTCTTCGACGCCGTCGACCGCGTGACGCAGTTCCTGGCCGCGACGCAGAACCGCACCCTCGTGCCGGGCCTGTGGCCGCGCGCCGTCGACTTCCGCGCTGGCGCCGCGTCGCCCGACGCCGCCGGCGACACCACCTTCTCCCTCGGCGCCGACTGCGACTCGCTGTACGAGTACCTGCCCAAGATGCACGCGCTGCTGGGCGGCCTGGACGGCGGCGGCACGTACGAGACGCTGTACCGGCGGGCCATGGACGCCGCGGTGGAGCACCTGCTCTTCCGTCCGATGCTGCCCGGCGGCGAGGACGTGCTGTTCGCCGGCGACGCGTCCGTCTTCGCCGGGAAGGTGGGCGGCCTGCCGCGGGGCCAGCACCTCGGGTGCTTCGCGGGGGGCCTGTTCGGCCTGGGCGGGAAGCTGTTCGGGATCGACGACCACGTCGGCATCGGCGGCCGCCTGGCGCGGGGCTGCGCGTGGGCGTACGGCGCGTTCCCGACGGGCGTGATGCCGGAGCAGTTCGCCATGGTGCCCTGCGACTCGCTGGACGGGCCGTGCCCCTGGGACGAGGCGAGGTGGCAGAGGGAGGGCGACGCGTCGCTCCCCAAGGGGTTCACCGGCGCCGAGGACCCGAGGTATCTGCTGCGGCCCGAGGCCATCGAGAGCGTGTTCCTGCTGTACCGCATGACTGGTGATGATGACCTGCAGGACATCGCCTGGCGCATGTTCGAGTCCGTCGTCAATGCGACGGAGACGGAGTACGCCAACTCGGAGATCGCCAATGTCACGGCCACGGGCCGGACGATGAAGACGGATTCAATGCAGGTGAGCTTTTCCCATTTCCATTCTTGCGCGGTTGCGATGCGCGGTTGTGAGGATCAGCGGCTGACTTAGGTGGTTAGAGTTTCTGGTTGTCTGAGACATTGAAGTACTTCTACTTGATGTTCTCACCCCCTTGGCTGATCAGCCTCGACGAGTTTGTCCTCAATACTGAGGCCCATCCCTTCAGGCGCCCGAAATGACAGCCAGTTTCAGCGATGACAGCACTTTTAACACTTTGCCCAAGTTGATGAAGCCCTGGGTCAGGGTTTGACACTTGGTCCTCGAGGACCATAACTGGGAGCCGAATCGTGCCATCGTTCCTTTTTCTTCCTTTTCTTCTTCCTTTTTTAGGCCAACGGGTAGCCTGTGATTGTTGCAAGGCCACGGAGGGAATCATGGCATTGCATGGCGCATGGTGCATGGCGTATGGCGTTGGTTCGCATCCCGGGCGGTGGTGTTGATACCCTGTACAGACAAATACTCGCGTTTATCATCTATCTAGAGAACAATGGCAGTCTGCCCAACACCAACTGGGCTATCAATCCCATTAGTTCAACTAATTATTCAACTCTATGGCAACGAGAGTTGAGGGAGTGAAGTGAGGCGACACCCATCTCCCATCACCTTAAACCACAACCTCCAAGGATCGTCATTCTCGTAGTCCTCGTCCGTTGTCGATGACTCGCTACTAGCAACCGAAACCTCATCATGTGGACAGAGATGCTTGCACCCCTCTAAATTCACTTCCGGTGTAATACTGGAGAGGGCCCGCCTGAGAGATGCTCGATGAAAGTCGCAGGTTTCGTAGCCACAATACACCAGAACGTATTATCCCGCTCTGAATAACCAACACTTTACCTAAGTTATGATGATCTCCCTATTGGTTGAGGCGAGAACGCGTGACCCGGAGGATGGACAAGTCAAATGCTATGCTGCTCCCTGATTGTGATATTCTAATAAGCCCAATATGAACACTGATTTGGGGTAGCTATAACAAAATGGGAGCTAATGGTCGGGTGTTGGTTATCTCACATGTCTTGCTTGCTCTAACGATCTCTAGGATGCCACGTTGGTAGCAATAAAGTCTGTTAATTACCTTCCAAAGGGAACGTATATTGCAACAACGACACATAGGGAGGTGAGTAGCCTACAAATCCTATAAAGTCTCCGGATATGTGGACTAATCTTTGTCCCCCTATCATACTTCTCTTGTGCTGTGAAATTATTGTCACTGTTATAATTATCCAGAGGTGACTTTGTTCACTAATTAGGAATCACCTTAAACTCACTGGAATATTCAGATGTAATTCACAGTCATTCCGGCAGGCACTATAAAAGCCACCCAAGGTGTCCCCAATCTAGCATGCCCATTCCTCCGATCTAGTACTTCACAGTAGTCAACCGATATCCGGCCTTAACATCAAGCTTCTGGCGCCATCCATCTTCAATCAAATCATAGCCCCAAACACTCCATCGAACATAACCAGGTGGCGTAGAACCCCCTGTCAACGACACAACATGAGTTCTCAAGCCGGAGAACCCTCGTCACCTGAGGCGAAGAAGTCTCAGAGCGTTGATGATACACACGACAAATCCAAAGAACCCGGCTACAACGAGAGCAACGCCACTGCTCCTCACTCGGGAAAGTCTTCCTCATCTCATCGGAAGAGGTCTCATAAGTCTCACCACCCCAGGGCCATCGCCCTTACGATGCCAGAGAAAAAGCCCAAGAATAAATGCAAGGTTCCAGGCTGCAGTGGCAACGCCGCCGTTGCTTCTCGATCGGGCTCGAGTTCGAATGCGCCGGCCAACCAGACCGAATCCCCACGATCCGAGCGCCACCGATCGGGACGCCGGGTTGCCAAGGAGGATGTCGTGATGGTTCCCCTTCCCAGCTGCGTCTTGATGTAGGATGGGGGTTGCGATGACGATCGGACAATACTCGAGGGTGGATAATAAAGCTAGTGGAGGGGGCTGACTGTTGCTGAAATGAGGGTTTCTTAATGGCAGAGCAGATTGGAAAGATAATTAGTCCCTAGCATATCATAATCTGGGGTTTTGAAATCAACAATTTGGTACAATGTGTCCTAATATTCCCATTTGACCCTCCATCACGCACAGTTTGTGAGAAGTGTGATTAGATTGTTGATCCAGCGATTAAGCTGCCATACATGACTTGGTAATTAATAATAGACAATCACTGAACACAAGGCGGATGGGCGCCGAGAACAAGAGTCACACAAACCTGTAAATGCCTACGAAGCCCCTCAACCGCGTGTCATTCATTTCTGAGGCGGACAGAACTAATTCGGACTTTGTGACACAGCGTTCCCCAGATGGAAACCGACAGTGTGAAACTAGGTGACCTCATAGGGCCTTCTTGGGGAAACACAAAGCAACGCTTATTCTATAGACCTAATCACCTCCTCAGTTCTCGACCAGATTTAGTTCATGTAGTCTGTGGTTATCTACTTCTAATTTCAAACCGGAATCCAGATCCTAGATACTCGGATATCTCTCTGGATTCTTGGAAAGTCCATCACAGGAGGAAAACCCCCCATCTAGCCCTCCGCGATCACCCCCCATCGATACAGTCAATAAAGTCGATAATATCGTCTGACTTAACATGGAGACAGGCAATAGCTCGCGACAAGGCGAGCGAACCTTTATTATTCCCCCCAGGGTTCCAACTCCCCCTCCAGCCGCCGAGTACATTTACGACCATGTATGATTGACTGGGCAGGTCGCCTACTCCATTTTCCCAGCCCCGCTCTGCCGCATCGACAGCCTGAAGGTACGGGATAACTTACTAACTGGCTTTTATTAACTGGCTTTTAGTCTCGGCCTGAGTGGGCAAGAGGGCACCCTTTCGAGAGGAAAGGGTCACCTCAGCGTCACAGACAACGTTCACCGTCCCCGGAAAGGAGAGAGCGTTCTCGGGGACCAAGAGACAGGGAGCACTCTCCAGAAACTAGACAACGTACCCCAAGTGCCCGAGGCGAGCAGTATTTCTCAACACCGAGGAATGATGAACAGTTACCGAGAAATGATCGTCAGCTCCGCCCAGGGGTTGACCATCAGTACCCAGTGGACAGTCCTCCAATGCCTCAACCGGCATATGGAAACCAGAATTCTCCAGGAGATGAGGGTCACCCAAGGGGTAGGTCTACAAGCGAAGGCCGGCCTCTTTCAAAGGGAGGTCACACAGGGTCTAAAATCAGATATGATATCCAGTACACAAGGGATAGTCGCGGGAGGCTCAAGACCACGCATATACGCCAGTATTCCCCAGGAGAGAGTCGTCCAAGGCACATTAAGCCCAGGCCTGGAAGTCGCCATCACTCGAGGCGCAAGCCCACATATGAGCCTGACGACTTCTGTTGTGTTATTCTATAAGGGAAGTGGTCAGGACAGATAAGAAAGAAATCTAAACGACCTCACTTCTACCATGTCTCATCACACGTATGTACAATTAAAAAGGAATACCGCAGGGGCTGTATACTTGCCCTTTTCATGCCTTCCACTTTCCCGCCCTACAAGAGGCTACCTAGCTTGTGAGTTAATGAAAGAAAGGTCTCGTATTCTTGGTTTAACGCCTCCTTCCACAATCAGGTCAGCAACAATGTTCACTCCTTTCCTGTCTTTACGGGATTCATGTGTACATTCTCGCTATGGTCGGCCAATTGCCATGGACCTTTTTCTTCCTGAATAATATTGAAATGTTAATTAGTCTATAAGTATTGGTCGATAATTACAGGCTGCTTTCTTGAAGCCAATGCCCCTATCTTTCCGTGACCAGACCGTACCCAATTCTTCAACTCTAGCTGAGATTGCAGCAGTCAGGCTCATCAGTAACGGTCGTGTACCTCTGTCTAGTCCTCCGAGGAGGTTCCCCCACATATGCATGATGGCATACCGGGTGACAACCCAACACCTCCCCCTCCTCTCTTTCCCTCCTATGCCTCCTATGTCTCCTATGTCGGTGTCCACGCCGCCTATGCCCAGTCCCCACCTGTCCCTCGCCACCACTCCCCACCCCTACCTCTCCTTCGCCGCCTTCCCCCTCGCTCTCGCCATCCCTACCGCCCCCGCTCCGGCCCCCACCGCCGCCCTCACCTTCGCCCTCACCCTCGCGAGGACCACCAACAAGTGCACGGTTATTAGAAGCCGCGACGCTGGAGGGCGACCCGCTGGACGTCGTCGAGTCGCTGACGAGGAAAGCAAGGGCCTGGGGGGGAGCCGGGCCGCTATTACCCGAAGTCGAACTACTGGGAGCCGGAATGCCGCCGCCGCCGCCGCCGCCGCCGGCGGAACCGGAACCGGATCTGTCCGAACCCGGGTTATTGTTGGGACCGGGGGGCGGGCCGGCGGCTGGGTTGGCGGGCGCGGATCTCTCTGATGGTCGAGAGGTTGAGGATGACATTTTGTGGGGGGTTGAGTGTGGTGGTGGTGCCACGTCTGGACTAGGTGACCGATACTCGATGTGTTGGATGGTTGGGCTGCTGACGAGGGTAGATATTTTGTCAAGTATCTACTCTTCCAGTGCCTACTAATTAATAGTTAGATTACCTCGATCTAGCTGGTTTATAGTCATCAGCTTTCTGAAGCATAAGCGGCACATTTTGATCGGACTCCTGAAGGGAGCTATATGTATATATAGTAGTTCTACAAGGGGTGGCTTCAACATGAATGTATAAGCTCTCCGCCGATTCAGGGCCGGGTCGGCTTCATGGCCACTGAATTACGGCCGTTTATTCAGGGGCATGGAAGACACTGACTTACGGCAGAGTTAGGCACAACATGTTGTGTAAAGGACAGCCCGTGTTACCGAATCAGAGCCTGGCCACCTGAGATTACCTCTCAATTCCCTTGTTGCGTCAGTATGTGAACATGCGTAAAACCTCCTAACCGGGTCTTAGCACAGGCGGGTAATGGAACAGTGGTTTAAGGCATCGATACCCTGAGGTCACTCTATTTCAATCTCTTCAAAATTGAACACTCCATTCTTCATGTCTCTCTTCGTAATGTCATGAATGTATGTACAATACCTCCAACAACTACATGACGCCCAACTATAACCTTGCAAAGAAGAAAAGAAACATCATCACTTCATGGAATCAGCCAAACGGTATCCTTAACCTAGATCGACAAAGCTCCCCTTTCCAATATGACCCTGCAATGTTATAAATATATTCCAGCCCTAGTGTTTTTGTCGTGGCAGCATATTTGGGTTGACCATGTAAGAAAGGCTTGCAGAAGAGCAGAGGAGACAATCAAAGACATGCTCTTAACTCACCAGACAAGATCCCAACCTAGACGCGCCGCTACCATTTTGATCCCAACCACTTTTCTATGTCTAATTTACATGTCCTCCAGTGTTATTCCGTGGTTACAGTTTCCTGGAGGACATGATCAGCTGAGATTCGAGGGCCAAGACCCATCAAGAGTTTGAACCTCCCCGATTCCGAGGTTATCTGCTTCTGCGTACTTGCATCTCGAGCGGAACCCCCAGCTTGAGTTCATATTACCTCACTTCCTGCGTCAAATAAATCGATCCTGTGCAACCAGGCTGGCGGAGATCGTCCCCTATACATAGTATACAGCAAACAAGCATATATTGTACCAAGGCTCAATGCCAAGTTGGCCTGACTCGGTTCAGCGTGGCCCAGTGACATGGAGGCGAATGCCCAGGTTTACTTTATCAAGATGGCGGATGGTACTGTATCCCACGGGACTGGAAACAACCAAGGACCATGGCAGCAGGAGGGTGGACGCAGCCGCTGGAGCAGTTCGTCTTCAACATCGGGCCTGATGGGAAGGTGGTGAGTGTGGAGTCGGTGGCCCTGAGGGTGACAATGCAAAGATATCCACCTACAGAGGAGACCGAGAGTTCAAGGAAGAGACTGCGTGGCTTATAGGCCACTCGTGTATGTACATGGTCGACTTTGCCCTGAGCAGATGCGGAGATCCGGAGTTTCCCTTCCTACTTGACAATAGAAACAAAAAATATGTAACCTTGAGCAACCGCGGCTTAAGGTGTGTGGACGGCGCCTCGCCGATCATAACATTAATGTCAGTTCCTAGGATTGGAGATCTGACCTTGAAGTATATCTGTCTTTTTACAGGCTCTAGGCCGCCATGCCTACGCAACAAGCCGATCCCAGATCCGGTCGAGCAGCCATCGGTTCGCAAAGTTTAGCGGCGACAATGACCTTGGGAGATGTTGATACCAGTCGGAATCTTCAAACGCCATCATTGTGTTTGTAATCTTGAATGACTCCCAATACCCGGGGTAGAACCCGCTGAAGTCCCAGTCAATGATGCACGTGATCCTCCATCCGTCGTCTGCTTTCATAACCCTGATATTCGCCGTTCGGAGGTCGCCGTGCGTGAAAACACATTTCACTCCATGGCTATCAGTGGGGATGAAGTTCTTAAGGAATCAGATGTAGAACCGAGATCCAGAGGTTGGGTTTGAGAATACAAACTCTTCAAAGTCCTTCAGGCTTAGAACAGGCTGTGCATTGCGACGAATACTCCGCCTCGCATCCTTGCAACACTCGCTATTGACGCCACCGAGAGCTTTGCCCAGTGGGTATGGGATGGCTCGAAGCTTTGTGGAAATATCGTCGATCTGCATACTAATGCTTTGCTTCTGTGATTCGTCAAGCCTGGGCCAAACCTTGTCGAGGTCTTCGCCAGGCACATAGCTGCTAAATAGCAACAGATAGTGTCCCATCTGGATCATACCAAGGGGTCGCGGAACTGGTATATCAGGCGCATTGTCTCTCAAGTATTCAAGAGATGAATGCTCAGTTATGTTGTCGACCTCTCGAATTACTTTGGCGACGATATTGTCGCTAATTCGGAGAACCATGTTAGAAAACCCAAAGGCATATTGAAAAATGACTTCGCTACGATCTAGAGGCTCTAGGATTGCTTCTGTAAATCCTCCGTTCTCGCTCCTCTCCTTGACATCTTCGTCTTGCGCATCGGCTTCCTCGTCGTTCTCTTCCTGATCTTCATCGCCGCTCACTTCTTCAGCCAATATCTGGTTTAGGAGGGCTTGGACTTCATCCGACAACGGCGATATGACAATAGGTTCGTCTGTGGGTTTCAATAGAGAGCGTGTGTCTCTGGGAGTGGGGGCTGGCCGCTTTACATGCTTCGCTACGCGGGGGTCTAAACCCGTTTGTGTCAGCTAAAGAACTACAAGCGGTTGTTGATTGGTAGGGAAATGATCCTATATCGTACTGGTAGTAGACAATTGAACTAGATCCTTAACATAGGATGACGGGAAAATGCTCAAGAGATCTGTTTCTGGGTTCTCCCTCAGAGAGCTCTCGAGAGTTCTCATCAACTTGGAGTTAAATTTCGCTGCAGGGCTTGCGCGGTTGACCTTAAGAACTCTAGGAGGGGGCTTTAGAGGAGGCGGGCCCCTCTCTGTGCTCTCACCACGGTCCATCAGGAATAGTTGTAGCCCTATATGGAATCTCGTATGAATTTGATAGGTGCCATGGGCTGATGTTGGCGTCGACGAGAATTTAGAATAGAGATGTAATTGTGATGCGGAGGAGCGTCGGCCCGCTGCAGCTCCAAATTCTGCATTAATTACCTACATGCTAGACATTGTCCTTTTACATTCAAGAAGACCCCAGATTTTGTCTCAGGATATCTCCTTATCATAGAGCAGTAACATTGTTTACGACATTGCCAACTCCTCTGACTAATCCTTTACCGGAGCTGGTGCTAAGATACCGACATTGTCCATATCCTGGCTCGGACCTGATGTGATATTACTCCATCCAGGGGCAATGCACAAGTGTTGGGAGAGGATAACCTTTCTACAGCTCCTAAGTCAGGACGACAATGGATTCCTGAGAGGCTTAAGTCCTAGAAAGCATATGCATTCACCTAGAACCAGACCAACCAGGGGGCAGCTTCAATGAGGTTGCCTGGATCTATAGCCCTGGGACTGCCTTTCTTTGGCTGAGGATTTATGGCGTGGGGGTTTTGGACACAGTATTGCGAATATCTGTGGTGGAAATAAGGAAAAGAGAATAAGAGAGAGGGAAGAGGGAGAGGATATACGAAAAGGGAGGAGATGGGAGGGAGCGGAAGGTGAATAGGAGACAGTAGGAGAGGAGATAGGAAAAGGTCCATTTATATGACTTTTCATGCCAGCCGAGACTACATGGCACTGTAGGACCAAGATGGCGGCAAAAGGAGTGGGATACGGAAACAGTACTGTAAACTCCTTTGAATTAGGTAGGTAGGTGTGAAACTGGTCCCGCGGGGGGAGAGTTGCATAAAGTTGGCATATTTCGTAGAATGGTAATCGCAGCGTCGTTGCCGGCATGGCGGGTAGAGAGATCAGGTTGGCTACCTAGGTAGTAGGTAGCTAAATCAGGATGCGAGACGAAAGTGTGGTGGCAGACTACTGAAGGAACATCCGTCGAGCACGCCCATAGCCGTCCATATTTCGCAATGCCGCTGGCGGGGGTCACACCGTTCTTGGCTTGCTTCTTATCGTTGCACCTTCCTGTTTCAAAATTGCCCCAAACACTTTGTGGCAAATAAGACAGCAAGCCAATCCCTTGACGCGAGGACTGTATGTCTGCACCTTGACCAATCTGGGCGCGAGAATATCCGATTTCCTTATTTCTGGGGAGGTTGAACAGGCTTGATCCTCATGCATGCCACCATGGGATGGACATCCGGGGCCTGCCGAGCGGAAGAAGGAACATGCCTAGCAAGTAACACTCAGATATGGGTGCTCTCCGACCCCTGTTTTCAATTACCCACATGGATATCGATGGCGATGACCCAGGATGGAATTAGACGCTCCCAGGCACACTCGCCTAATCAACAACAGATATTCATGCGTCTTGCATGTCGGGCGTCTCCAATACGCTGTCGCTGCGAACCCAAACCAACAAGCGAGGTGCACGGTGCCTTATTGGGGAAGGCGATCAGGGTCCGTATGGGGTCATCTGTACGTGGAATCACGACAGTTAAAGAGATGACCGACCCAACAAATTGCGACCTGCTTTTGCCTTGAGGCCCTTGACCCTCCAAAAAGAAAAGATTCAATATTCTCTGCGCTGACAAACCGGTTGCACACTGTCCTCCCACTCCGGCACGTTTAACGGCTGCCCCCCACAGAAGCGCTGTGGAGAGGTAAACTTGTGATAGGGTGCCACCAACTTCTGGAAAGGGTGGTCGATCGTGAAGCCATGGAGAAGAAGCATGCCAATCCTGACCTGTCGTTTCTGTCGTCTTTTTGGGATGTAGAGACGCGGAATGGTGCAATATATCCCCCCTTTCGGGACATTCCCTATTTGGGCGACCCTGTCTTTGTAGCTGATGTCGTTCCATTGTGGCGGGACGTTCAATAATTGAAAAGGCACATCCTACCTCGTGGCCTTTCCGATGCTTGGGCTCATCGTTGCATTGATCTGCATCGCGTCAGCTGCGAGACAACTAAGATCGCCATATCTGATAGCTGTCGAAAGATAGGATCCCCATCATGGGCAAGTCTCCCACTATACCCTCCCCTCTAAGTGTGGCACCGAGGAGGTCCTTCTGACTTATACCCAGCGGACAACAACCCTATCGGCCAACAAGCGAAGCAGGCCGCCGAGCCGGTCACCGAAGTCGTGCCCGTAGACTCGGAGAAACAGGCCACCGTCGCCGCCAAAGTTGACCTCGAAACAGCGTCCACCAACTCTGCGGTCGGTGCCGTGGCCGACTCTGACTACGTTCTCCCGACAGAAGAGGAGCGTTCGACGCTGAGGAAAGTCTCCGACACGATCCCTTACGTCTCGTACGTGCTATGCGTCGTGGAGATCGCGGAGCGCGCATCATATTATGGCGTCAAAACCGTCTTCAACAACTTCATGCAGTTCCCGCTTCCCGAGGGAGGCAATGGGAGCGGTGCCGTTCCCAAGAGCAACCCCAACGGGCATGCTGGCGCTCTGTAGGTCCCCCTCCAGCCTTTTGGAAAGAGCGAAACTCCCGAAACTGACGGGAAATCCCCCAACGACAGGAATAAAGGCCTTCAATTCGCCTCGGCCCTCGGCATCCTGTTCACGTTCCTGGCCTATGTGATCCCCATCTTCGGCGCCTGGCTGGCCGACACCAAGCTCGGCCGGTACAAGACAATCGTCTGGGGCGTCCTGATCGGCGGCGTTGCGCACGTCATCCTGATCGGCGGGGCGGCGCCGGCGGTGCTCAAGGCCGGGAACGGCGTCGCGCCCTTCATGATCAGCTTCTTCCTGCTGGCCATCGGCGCGGGCATCTTCAAGCCCAACGTCACGCCCATCGTCATCGACCAGTACACGCGGCAGCGCGAGTACGTCAAGACGCTCAAGTCCGGAGAGAGGGTCATCGTCGACCCCGAGACGACCATCAACCGGATCCTGCTGATCTTCTACTCGTGCATCAACATCGGCGCCTTCTTCATGCTCGCCACGACGTATGCCGAGAAGTACGTCGGCTTCTGGATGGCATTCCTGCTTCCGGGCATTGTGTATTTCCTGCTCCCGATCCTCCTGTGGTGGATGTACAAGAGGACCGTCAAGAAGCCGCCCATGGGCTCCGAGTTGACCGACTTCTTCAAGATCACCGCCATGGCCCTGAGGAAGAACAACGGGAACATCCTGGCCAAGGACTTCTGGGAGAAGGCGCGGCCCTCCGTCCTGCGCGGGCAAGGGATCGAGGTCACCTGGTCCGACAAGCTGGTGCTCGACGTCAAGCGCACCTACCAGGCGTGCCAGATCTTCCTCTACTTCCCCGTCTACAACCTCAGCGACGGCGGCATCGGGGCCGTGGGCTCCAACCAGGGCGCCGCCATGACCAGCAACGGGGCGCCCAACGACCTCCTCGGCAACTTCAACCCGCTGACCATCATCATCTCGGGGCCCATCCTCAGCCACGTCGTGTACCCGTTCCTGAACCGGCGGCGCGTGCGCTTCGGCCGCATCAACCGCATGGCCTTTGGCTTCCTGCTGGCCGCCGCGTCGGGCGTCGTCGGCGCCGTGGTGCAGTACCGCGTCTACGAGACGTCGCCGTGCGGCTACGCCGCCTCGACCTGCGACGGCGTCTCGCCCATCTCCATCTGGTGGCAGGTGCCCAACGTCGTCCTCGGCGCCCTGTCGGAGCTGTTCTGCAACGTCACCGCCTACGAGATGGCCTACGCCCGCGCGCCCCCCAACCTCAAGTCGCTCGTCATCGCCCTCTTCCTCTTCACCACCGCGCTGTCCAGCGCCCTGAGCGAGATCCTCATCCCCGCCGTCAAGGACCCCCATTTGGTGGTGAGTGTCGTGACAACCCCCCCCAACCCCCTTCTCCTTTGCCACGTCTAGTTATCTCCCTCTTTTGCTGACTCATTTTGTCCCTCCACAGTGGGTCTGGGCCGGCCCTTCCATTGCCTTGTTCGTCCAGACGGCCATCTTCTACTGGCGCCATCGCGGCATCAACGAGGATAAGTTCATGACGTACGAGGAGGACTCGGACAACGAGCCGATCATTCCAGGAGAGGGAGAGAAGAAGGTCTGAGAAGGGGGGTTCTAAGCTTGGGGACGAATTGTTCCGGCCAGTTGAGCCGTGGCGCTTTCAGTCATAGGTTGTAGGTTGATATCCCGGTGTAAGTCTCGCGATAGTTGTGTTTTCCGAGGCCAAATGTAGCTCAAGACTGCGTATGCCAAGTGGAGGGACTGCGATGTGTTTCGTTGAATTGGGGTGCTCAGGTATTTGAATCTAGGAATCCAAGTACAGACCGTATGTCGCCTTATGAGTCACACTCGGATTCGCATCGGTGTCTTGCATTGGTGTCCAATCCCCATTCAGTTCGCCAGTCAGCTCGGGGACGGATATGCCCGAGCTGACTTCCGCCTCTGAGCTAGGTATACCGCAAATCAGCAGAACAGACAGGCATACCCGGGAAGCGTGATCATGATAGATTTTATGATAGATTTCATGATATGTACTTGATCGAACAAGCCAGTACAAATGCGGGCGACGATGCTAAGCCTGTTTGCTAACGCTGTCTCTCTATGGTATCAGTGTCAAACCTGAACCCTGCTTACGCCCACCAAACAATGATGCCACACCTGTAATACCTTTTAATAACGCCGATCCATGCATTCCTCTTGACGTGTCTGTGAGAAGAGATGAGGCCCAGCGGGCGCCGAGACGATCTAGCACGACAACGCCCCGGGCCAGGGAGAAGGGGGGTGTTTTGCGTGCTATCACCTCCGTAGCGGCGACTGCGTCTTCATCTGCACCTTCCTCAGACCCATCCACATGGACTTCCCGTCAAACCGCCTCGTCTTGGGGTTGTACCACGCAAACACGTCGATGACGATCGATGCCTTGCTCGTGTCCAACTCCACCAGGCCCGACACCAGGACGGCGCCGCGGGGGGGCTGCTCCCGGCGTGGCTTATATGTCTGCGACAGTTTCTGCCTGAATTCCCGCCACGGCTTGGACGTCAGCGACCGTATCGTGTCGTGGCCAGGGAACAGCTCCTCCGGCGCAGTCCGCTTGCCTGACTCGCCACCTTTGCCTTCGGCATCGGCTGGTCCGGCCGATGGCACCGCCGAGGGGTTCGCGTCCGGTATCTGTCGGCTCTGCGTTGCCATTGCACGGGGGTCTTTTACTTCCTCGGGCCGCGGTGTAGCCTGCTGCCTAATCCGTTGAATCGCCTTTTGTATTTCCGGGTGGTGCGAAGGCGGCAGCGGAGGCGGGTTCGCTGGATTTACAGGAGTTCCAGGAGGATTCTGCGCAGGGGGAAAGATCGTGGGTGTTTTCGGCTCATACCCAAACATCCTTGCTACGTCGAGCACGTTCTGCTTTAGAAGGGTACCGGCGAAAGCCCACGTTGATAGAAACAGGGGCGAGGGCCAGAGAATTCGGTTCGTTCGGAAGACTGTCGAGGAGTCAACTGATCGGGTGGCCCATTCGATTGTATCGTCTGTAACCAGAAGACTACCGACCATTAGCCTCCAATCAGCGGCACAAATGACGCCCACTAACAACCAAGACATACCCAGAGCGCTCATATTCCGTAGGTGGTCTGTACGGGAAGTCCATGTCTATCCAGAATTTCTTGACTTTCATGTCTTTTCCGCACTTCGCCGTGAGCATGGCGCTGTTTTGGGCGACCGATCGGACGATATGCGCAAGACTAACTGCAAGCCACGATTAGTACATGGCGCCCTGGCAGGAAAGCTTTCCGAACTTACACCGTATCCTGCGTTGTAGCTTGTCGTCTTTTGACAGCTTCACAAACTCGGTCCATTCTGGGTCTGTGCCGGCGTACGGGAGAGGCTGGACAGCCTTGATAGTGAACGGGAAGGCGACGAAAAGTGGCTCCAACTCATCCATTTCCTTCCGCTCCTCGGCCGACAACTCATCCTCGTGATCATCCACCCATTTTATCAACGGGGATATCACTACCGAGCTATAAAGCGCATAGCATCCGAACACGACGGCGCCGCTGACGAGGATGTTCCTGCGAAGGCAAAAGTTAGCGATGCGCCGCAAGAGGACAAGAGGATAACGACAAGGCGCGGAGGACGTACCTTAGCCTGACACGAGGTCTGCTAAATCTAACTCTGTGGAGTGCGACTGTCTGGCCCTTATGGATGTGTGAAGCAACCCGTGAGGAGGGGAATATTGTCCTTGCTGGCCGAAAGAGGCGCCACATGGTGAACGTAGATTAGAGGCCCGCCAAAAGGCGGCCGGCGAGGCTAACGATGCCTTGAAAGTCTTTTCGGCTGCCCGCGACAATCGTCGCCTTCAATGGTATACTAGTAGCAATACGGGGCTTGGTCGGGGTTGTTGAAAGTGTGGTGGTTGTTGGATGGTCCAGGGGTCGAGTTAAGCCGTCCGGAGATATTTCTTAGCCACGACCGTTGTGACGGGGTCTTCTTTATCTTATCGCTAGGTACCTCGTCAACTAGCGCGGACCGCCCCAGGGTACGAAATACAAAGTCCTAGTCGGTGAACAAAACACCAGAGGAAGTGTATGGAGAGACGGTTGGCTCTCAAAATCTTCAACAAAGCAACCCAGCTTGATATACCTAGGATAACATCAATCCTGGTACTCATGCCCCGAGGAAGATATCCCTGGCAGCCGTTGTCTAACAGATGGTAACCTAATTTATTGTACAGCTTGCCGGGTAACGGCCGAATGTTTTCGCGGAACCAACGTCGGTGGGTCCAGGTATGGACCCGACCCGACATCAGCTCCGTTCAAGCTGCCCGGCTAGGTATCACGGCACAACCATCTCTTCCAACGGCCACGCTTCAGCTCTGGCAACTTCTCCCAAGATGAAGCTTCTAACCGGCCTCGTCTCAGCAGCTCTTGCTGGTCTCACCATCGCTGCGACACCGGAGACCGCCGACGTCTATCTCTTTGGAACGGATATCCCAAGCTCCGGGGATGCACACCCACGGATGCCAAAAGAGATCGCTCGCCACATCCTGCTGCGGAGGGTAAGACCACCAACCGTGTATGAGATAGCTCAACGGGTGCCAGTCAAGCTTACGGTTATTAGACATCAAGAGACAGATATGGCAGCGCTCTAGGCGACATTCCAAACACCATCGACGAAGAGACGGCGATATCACACATCAACAAGTTCGGAAAGAGTCGAGCGCCGCTATTCGGAGCCACGACAGATGAGGTGGAACCCGCGCAATTGGTCGTCGTGTTGGAGGGCATTACCGCGGAAAACGCGAGGCCTTTGAGGGAAGCCCTCGCCAAGACGCAGCAACAGCCTGCTTTCTTCGTCTCGGACCCCCCATCATCGGCTGCCAACCGCCTCCTCATTCGCGACTTCCACGCTGCCGGAGTTTCAAGTCAAGAAGGCTGCACCTTGGCCTCCGCCGTGAACCCCAACGATGACTCCTGCTGGCAGAGCGCGTCCGTGGTCGTGGCGTTCGACGTTCGCAAGGTATTTTAGGCCCCGTCCCACAGCAGCGCAGGCTCGGCCCTCAAGCCGCCGACACTGACAAACCCCGCTAGGCCCCCGGCACTATCGACACCCTCGTCTCCAATCTAAACCGCCTCGCCTTGTTCGTCTCTAACGGCGAGGTCGAAGCCGCCCTCGTCCTGCTACCCGAGTCCAGCCGCTCCACGGGCGCCTCCTCCTGGGCCGCGAAGCCCTCGGGGCCCAGCGACCTCCGGCGGCGCGACTCAGCCGAGACGGTTCTCTCCGACAGCAGCTCGAGCAGCGAAACCACTCGGCCTGCCTCGTCTCCGGCCGGCGCCGGCCCCTTCCCCTTCGCCCAGGACGAGCCCGGCTCCCGCATCCCGCAGTGCTTCCAGTCGCAGAACAGCTGCGACGCGCGCACCAAGGGGTGCTCGGGCCACGGCGCCTGCGTGGACAAGTACGCCAGCGACCCCAGGACCAAGCTCGTCTGCTTCGCCTGCCAGTGCCAGAGGCAGATCCTGCCCCCCGGGGAAGGCAGGCCCGGCAACAAGACCATCTTTTGGGGGGGCAACATGTGCCAGAAGAAGGACATCAGCTCGCCCTTCTGGCTCATCGCGGGCTTCACCGTCACCATCGTGGGCGTCCTCTCCTTTGCCATTAGCCTGCTCTTCAACGTCGGCGAGGAGACGCTGCCGGGCGTCATCGGCGCTGGTGTGAGTCGGGCGAAGTAATGGGGGATGTTTTCCCCGGCTTTCTTTCTCTTTTTCTTTTGCATTGCGGACATACCAGTGTTTCGGGTTCATGTATGTAGCATCAGTAATGTTGTATTTCTATATGGCGTCCCATCGGCAGCACATCACCAGATTTAGGTAGACAAACTTGTCCCTTCTCTCTGAAGGCTTGGCATCCCAGTGACACTGCAATGTCGCATTCATACCACTCATCATGGCATATATATTCCTACACTATCGTGCACGATCTACATCCCGTACAAAGCCATCCCGGATGGTCCCCTCAACCCATCTCCTCGTCATCGAGCCGCCTCGTCGGAGTCGTCCCAAAGCTCTCCAGGCCTCTCTCGACAGGCAAGTCGCCCGCCAACCCGGGCGGTATCGGCCGGAGGGGGGACTGGGTAGCCATCCTCGCCACATCCGACGCAGGCGCCCCAGCCAGGGACTGGTACTTGGCGCCGGCGCGGTCGAGGACCTCCTGCACCTCCCTCTCGCGCCGGAGTATCTCCTCCTTCTCCTTCCTCATCTCCGCGATCCGGGCCCTCTTCCGCGTCACCTCGTCCTCGAGGCCCTGCACAAGGCCCCTCATGCGCAGAAGACAGTCCTCCAGGTCCGGCAGCGGCCTCATCCTAGGTATGACGTTGACGCCATCCCCGCCGTCATCGTCATCGTCCGCCCTCCGCAGCCCATCCATCCCCGCCCTCCGCTGCGCCGCTTCGTACGCCGCCCGCCGCTCGGCCTCGCTGCCGTCGCTCTCGGCGTCGGACCCCTCCTCGGCCGCGTGGATCAGCTCCGCCATCTCGCGCCTCTGCCGCCGCCGCGCCTCGCGCTCCGCCTGCCGCCCCACCGACAGCCCGCCGTCCTCGACGAACTCGTCGTACCCCTCGCCCAGGTCCTCGTCCTCGGCCATGAGCCGCGACTCGGCCTTCTTCTTGCTGAACTGCACCGACACGGTGGTGGCTCCCGTCTCCGCGTCCGACCCGTCTTCGTTGTCTCCGTCGTCGTCGCCGTCGTCGAGCGATATGAAGTCGGCCTCGCGCGCCAGCCGCGCCCGCCGCTCCTTCTTCTCGCGGATCTGGCCCTCCGTCAGGACCGTGGCGGCGGGCTGCCGGGAGGGGGCCACCGCGACGGCGTCGGTGCTGCTGGACTGGACGACCGTCGCGCCGTCGAGTTCGGAGGGGTCGAGGGACATCTCGACGTCTTCTTCGTCGTCGGCGATGCGCAGGGAGGCGAGGTTGTCCGGGGTGTTGGGCGTGGAGCTCTGCAGCTCGTCGAGGTACTCCTTGCTGTACCGGGGGCGGTCTTCTTCGCCCCCCAGGAATCGGGTCGGGAGGTTCTGCAGCGACGACGACTTCTTGATGGCGTTGTTCTCGAGGGCCTTCTTCCCCAGCGTCGTCTTCTTCGGCGTGGGCGCCGCCCCGACATCGTCGTCGGTGCTCTCCCCCGGCCCGAAGGAGAGCCTTGATGAGGACGACTTCTTCTTTTGCCTCATCGAGCCGGATCGCGCGATCGATGGTCGTATTACAATCGGGACTCCAGTGTCTTCTCTACCGGCCGCCGCCGCATCGGAGGCCGGTGCGCCGCCTTCGCCGTCCGCGTCCGCGTCGTCATCGTTGAAGTTGATGCTCTTCCGTAGCGAGGAGGACTTGATCGGCCGGCGCCCAAACTTTATGGGGCCTTGGGGCTCTGACAGCGGCGGATTAGCCAACTTGCTCAGATCAGCAAGGCGACTGGAAGTGGGTGTTTGGCAGGACTCACGTTCTTGCTTCTGCTCTTCTTCTATGCCGAGCGAAAGCCCCTTGTCCACCTCATCATCATCAAGGGTCTGTATTATGCGCGGTTTCCGCTTCGCACCGAATGCACTCATGGTGAACAAGAAGTGCGTTGATACCTATGGTTTGAGTGCAATGAAGTGGATACCTGCCGACCTACATTCAAGTGCTAGTTTTCCATGTGCTTATCTTATCACCACGTGATGCCCCTCCCTGCCGCCTTACCTGCCTCGGAAATTTTAGAGGTCGCGAGCCGCGTCGCAATCTTGTCGGAGCCTCCCGCAAGAACTTCATACTCAACAAGATGGCGCCCCCACAACCAGAGCTCAAGAAGGTACGCAGCTTTCTTCCCAAACACCTCTTCCTTTCTTGGGAATTGCATCCAGTGCAATCCGGCCTATCAGTTCCAGCTCCCGTGCTAACCGTCCCGTTTCAGTACCTCGACAAGAGACTGTTTGTCCAGCTAAATGGCAGCCGCAAAGTCATTGGTGTCCTCCGCGGCTACGATGTAAGTGTGGTGACCTACCTTCTACTCACAGAATATTGATGGGAACTCCAGGTCTTCCTGAACATTGTCCTCGACGAAGCTGTGGAGGAGAAAGAGGGCGGCGAGAAGGTCAGGCTTGGGATGGTCGTAAGTTTATTCCACGCTCATGCTGGGCCGCAGTTACCTAACTTGCCTTCACAGGTCATTCGAGGAAACTCCGTCGTCATGCTAGAAGCACTCGAGAGAATCGGCGGTGACGATCGGCCGCATCGGTAAACCCCCACGTTGTTCTACCGCGAGCTTGGGCGAGGTGGTTTCGAGGCGGAGTCATTGTTGCGTGCAGTTTTCAAACAGGACATGGAAGATTGGTCGGTACGGCGTTCATCACAATGTTTTAGAGGTCTAGCAAAAATGGGCTGAAAACAGAATCCGGAAACATCGATATGCCAAATGTCAGCTGCCTTCCCAGGCCTTCTCGTCATACCCGTCCATGAGACGGCCCCCATACGACTTGACAAATCCTCTAATCCCACCCTTCATGATCAGAACCTGCAGCTCTCCGCCGACTTCGCTGCGATAGTCCTCCATCCAAGCTGCAGATCTCGGGCCCCGTCCGTTTGAGGATCCTTGGCTAGTGTCAACAAGAGGGAGTCGCTCCACGGCTATATATTGCACACTGACCACAATAGAATATAATTCTCTTGATACCTGCTTGCTTGCACAAGTCATAAATGATCTTCCGTGTCGGGTATAAGCTGTGGGCAGGGAGGTTGATCGAGGATGCGATGGTGCCGCCAGTCCAGTCCGTCCTGCGAACATCTACCAACAGGAAGTCTCGGGGTTGGTCCGAGGTCTGCTTTTCTAGAAGATCTGCGACCTCGCTCGCCTCCAGGCCGGGACTTTGGTTCCGGGAACGCTTCCCACCATGGAGTGTCGCTGTTCTGTGTTGCCATTTTCGTACACTTTGCATGTACAGGAAAAGACATTTCAGCTGGTCTTAAGTCTCGACGTACTTAATCAATCCCAATTCTCATCCAATGGCGCTTCCTGTCGTACCACCGAGGCTCGACGCTACAGGCGTTGACAGTTGAGGGGGCTGTCAGAAATCCCATCGTCCCCGCACCTGATGCTCGGCATATTCCATATTCCCCCGCATGTAATTCCTGCATGAGCTTGGAGAGACCCACTACACTCAACCTCATCTCCAGTTACCAGTGTTCCTGGTGCTGATGCAGCACCAATTCGGTTCTTCTGGGGTACCTCGCGGCTGGGTTTGGCCTCATTTAGTGTATTTGGTCGGGATCGAGATGTTTGGTCAGATCAAGATGCCGTTAGGAAATCGATGTGTGTATAGGTGGACAAGAGAAGCTGATGATGACAACAGGTATCTCACAAGATATTGTACACAGCTTTACTACGCCCTCACTCCTCGTCCTCCCCTTCATCGTCCTCACTCTCGCCTTCTCCTTCCTCGGATTCGTGGTCGCTTGAGCTGGCATCGGGACTTCTTGCGTACTTTCTTCGCTTACCGCTGACGATCTCATGCCGGGCTGATGTGCAGCCTTTGGTATCTCCGCGCTTCTCACAACAGTCCCACAGGAAGCCCTCTGGATACTCTTCGCGGTTGAAGTCCGTGTCCGGGTCTCCCCAGGTCTTTTCGTCATGGTCGTACCACACTGATGAGTCGCTGTCTAGATACATCTCACCTGGGTACTAACCGTTACCATTCGGTCTGGCCGGCAACGACAAGGAAGGGGCCTACCTGCGTGAAACTGGCACGCGGTATCCGAATTATCGGTGGTTGTGTACGGTTCTTCGCAATTAGCGCAGATATGAAGGTCCAACGCGGGCGCCTTTCTCTTCAAGCCCAATATCTCGGCGGTATTGGCGTTAGCGAGGGCGTCGAATGATGCGAATGGCTGCTGTCGAGCATGCCGTTCGAGCTTGTCCAGAAGGTCGCGGGCCGTCCTCGACGATTGCGTCCCTGCAGAGTCCGATGAGGACGGCGCGGACAAGATGGTCCGGTGCTTGCTGGAGGCGGACTATCGTGTCTTGTGGCATGTTTACGCGTGGCTGGCATCAGATAGCTTGCTCCAATTCTATCGCGACGATGGGAAGGCAGATCCAGACGCGCCGGCCCCTTGTTGTCCTCGTGCCAGTGACTAAGCATCAAACGGGGACGGCCTATTGCGCTAAAAGGAGTGCTTCGAGGCCCCATCTGGTGGACGATGTTTGTTGACTGCAGCGCCGGAATTGAGCTGTGGAGGAAGGGGGAAACCTGGCTAGGATGCCCCGAAGCTGCTAAACGTGCATGCAGAGTGCAGACCCACGAATTACCCCGATATGCTTATTTCGCCGAGTCCAAAGACCAGGCTTCCTCACACCACGATGGCGGAGTTGGTCGGAGCTCGATCGTCGTTCATTGGGCGGCTTGATTTGACGACAGCAATCCATGTGAGGCCCACACCCTGATTTCTCCCAAGATGGCCAAGCGCTGCAGCTCATGATCAAGGTACAGCGGGGCAACGCCCTGTAGACTGCGGGGAAAGGCCTAGAAAGCTAGCCTAACGGGCGCTCTAGCATAGCGCATTCGGGCCGGCAACAGGCCTGTAATTGGCCAATTCCAATTCCGGTATGGCGGGGTATCCTTGAAGATTGTGACGACATGGGCTGGCACTCATACCAAGTTTCCAGACCGCGCCTTCCCTGACATTGGCTTGCATCTTGACGGTCTTCAAACCTCGGCCCATCCGGACAACGGTCGAGCTATCACGAAATGGTGCTTCTTAAACGGCCCTACTCCGCTTAATTACCCCGTCTCTACCCCCTCGAGCAGCATCGGAGTGGAGTATGGAGAGTAAGCATGTAAGTGCCCGATCGATCGGGCCTCTCTCAACCCTTGTCTTCCCCGCAACTCCGCCGTTCTCCTGGACGGGCTGGGGCTGGTCCTGGGAGTGTAAGAAGGATTAATAACTCCAACGTGCCACCTCTGGTCCCGACCCGTTTCTTGCTCCTATCGTCACCCCATCCATCGCCCCTGCGCGTCATGGTAACTATGTGGTCTATCTTCAGAACAGCCTGGCTATACGCCGGACTGGTTGCTGCTTCTGACTTGGCCACCCGAGACTACCCCAGCGACGGACCTCTTTCGAAATGCCCTGGGTACAAAGCTTCCAATGTCAAGACCAGCTCCACGGGACTGACGGCAGATCTCACTCTTGCCGGCCCCGCTTGTAATGCTTATGGAGACGACTTACGGGATCTCAAGCTAGAAGTCAGCTTTGACACTGGTAGGATCACCCGCGAGAATTTACCCGGCATATTTTCTAATTCCATACCACACAGAAAGTCGCCTGCATGTCAAGATTCAGGATGCTGCCAATGACGTAGACCAAATACCCGAGTCCGTCTTCCCACGACCCCATGCAAAGGGAGTCAACCCGAGTGATTCGGACTTGAAGGTTGACTATGAGGAGAACCCATTCTCCTTCACCGTCTCCCGTGCAAAGGGTGGCGAGGTCCTATTTGACACCTCGGCTGCGAGTCTCGTCTTTGAGTCCCAATACCTCCGCCTCCGCACGAAGCTCCCCAAGAACCCAAACCTGTATGGTCTCGGGGAGCACACGGACCCATTCCGCCTAAACACGACCGACTATATCCGGACTCTGTGGTCCCAGGACGCGTACGGCGTTCCCGAGGGGGCCAACCTCTACGGCAACCACCCGGTCTACTTTGAGCACCGCACCACCGGCACCCATGGCGTCTTCTTCCTCAACTCGAACGGCATGGATATCTTCATCAATGAGACCGCCGAGAGCGGGCAGTACCTTGAGTACAATGCCCTCGGCGGAGTCCTGGACTTCTATTTCGTTGCTGGGCCGTCGCCGATCGAGGTGTCAAGGCAGTATGCTGAAATCGTCGGTCTTCCCGCGATGATGCCGTATTGGGGCTTTGGTTTGTGAGTTGACTTCTGTCTTTTGCCCTCTGACACTGTCCCCTTTCTTCTGTCCGACCTTTTCACTGCGCCACGGGTGTGAAGATATACTAACCTTGACGCAGTCAGAATTGCAGATATGGCTACCAGGATGCCTATGAGGTGGCCGAGGTCGTCCATAATTACAGCCAGGCCAACATCCCGCTAGAAGTCATGTATACGGACATTGACTATATGGATTTACGACGAGTAAGCCAGATATTTTCTCCTTGCAGCTTCGTTGCTGGTTTTGGTCTTCTCGCATCCCGAGGGGTGAGATAGGGGGCTGCGCTGCTTACTCCAGGAGGCTGAGTTCTGTGGGTAACAGGGCATACCACAGTGCCCCTGAGAAATTGGCAGGCCCCCTAAGAGATTCCCTTCCGAATTTCATCAACCATCACGCCACATTTCAACGTTCTTTTTGCCTCTCCCTTTTTTGTCTTTTTCCCCCTTCATTGAGCGACGAGGAGGAATCCGACTGACGGGATCTACAGGTTTTCTCCCTGGACCCCGACCGATTCCCCCTCCACATGATGCAGGGACTTATCCGCCATTTGCACGAAAACGATCAGAAATACATCGTCATGGTCGACCCAGCAGTCGCCTATCAGCCGTATCCCCCTTTTTCACGAGGCGTCGATGATAACATTTTCCTCCTGAGGGGCAACGGTTCCATCTGGAGAGGGGTGGTATGGGCAGGAGTGTCCGCCTTCCCCGACTGGTTCTCGGCAAACATCTCCAGGTACTGGGAGAACGAGTTCGCCGTCTTCTTTGATTCTGAAACCGGCGTCGACATCGACGCTTTGTGGATTGACATGAACGAACCATCCAACTTCCCCTGCGATTTCCCCTGTGACGACCCGGATACGGCAGCTATTGGATTTCCGCCCGAGCCCCCGGCGGTCCGATCGCCTCCTCGTCCCCTTCCCGGGTGGCCCTGTGAGTTCCAGCCCCCTGGAACGGATTGCAAGCGCAGCGTGAGTCCCAGGGAGGCTGCCGTTCCGGCCAAGCGTGAGCTCTCCTTTGATCACCTGATCGTTGCGGGGCGCCAGGCCCCTGGTCAGCAACTTGGCCTCCCGAACCGCGACCTTCTTTACCCCAAATATGCCATCCACAACAAAGCAGCCTATAAAGATTCCTGGAACTCAGACCACGGTGGCATCTCGAACCACACTGTCAACACTGACTTAATCCACCAGAACGGCCTTGCCATGTACTCAACACATAACCTTTACGGGACCATGATGTCCGCCCAGTCCCGAGAGGCCATGATCGCGCGCCGACCGGGCCTGCGGCCGATGATCGTCACGCGGTCAACCTTCGCTGGCGCCGGCACCAAGGTCTCACATTGGCTTGGAGATAATAAATCTGAATGGGTGCAGTACAGGTTCAGCATCCGCACCATGCTGGCCTTTGCGAGCATCTACCAAGTCCCGATGGTTGGGTCCGATGTGTGCGGCTATGCGGACAACACCACCGAGCAGCTGTGTGCGCGGTGGACCACGCTGGGCGCCTTCAACACCTTCTATCGCAATCATAACAACTTCCCTCCCAATATCCCGCAGGAGCTCTACCGCTGGGATTCGGTGGCCGAGGCGGCCCGCAAGATCATTGAGATTAGGTACCGATTACTCGACTACATTTACACGGCCCTTCACCAGCAAACCGTCGACGGGACCCCGATACTCAACCCCATGTTCTACTTGTACCCAGCCGACGAACAGACTTTCGCCCTGGAGCACCAGTTCTTCTACGGCAACGCCCTCCTAGTGGCGCCCGTGACCGAGGAGGACGCCACCTCAGTCGACGTCTACCTGCCCGACGACACCTTCTATGACTGGTACACGGGCAAGCAGATCATCGGCAACGGCAGCGCCATCACGGTCACGGACCAAGGGCTGTCCGACATCCCGCTGTACGTGCGCGGCGGCACCGTCATCCCGCTGCGGGAGAAGGCGGGCATGACGACGACAGAAGTCAGGCAGCACGATTTTGAGCTGCTGGTCGCGGTCGGCGCCGACGGGACCGCCGAGGGGCAGCTGTACCTCGACGACGGCGTTAGTCTCAAGCAGGAGGGCTATACGCTCGTCACATTCTCGTACGCCAAGGGAATGCTGAGCGCGCGTGGTCATTTTGGGTACGGCACCGGGCTAAAGATCTCCAGGGTCACTATCCTCGGCTTCGGGGGCATCCCTAGCTGCGGGAAGAAGCGGCATGTCGGCGCGGTCAGGGTCAGGGGGACTGGTGCGGCGGTCGAGAGGGACGAAGGCAACGGCGCTGTCAGCTTTGCGATTGACAAGCCGCTGACGGGCGAGTTTGAGGTCCAGCTGGAGCGTGCTTGAGGACGGTCTTAAGTGGGGATGGTGGTACATGGTCATATAAAGCAAGTGGCAAGGGGCCAATCTGCCCACCTCCACCTGATCTATTTGATCTATGGTCCTCCCATAGGTCGTGAGTCGAACGTCAAATAAGCACCTTCCTCCAGCCTCGTTGCATCTATCCGTCCCTGGACCCGACTACCATCGTATGTACAGTACATACAAACGAAGTGTACCATCCGCGATGACTCAAAATAATGCGAGTGCGAATTTGAATTTGAATACAAGGGCCGCGCGGTGCAAATACACTCTCAGAGGCGATACTGGTAGCATAAACGAGCCCGTTAAAGTTTTCGTCGCAGCAACCTGCGAACTCTATCCATGAAGTTTATGATGGAAGAAGATGATAGGTAGGTAGGATCAAGCTCCATTAGCCAAAGCTTGTTCGTCTATATCTAGTAGTGAGTCCTCGCCCTCTTTTGCAACTTTTCCAGATTTCTCTTCCTCCATACAACTCACTTTTGGTCATCCGTAGAAACACTTGACTTGCTTCCCAAACCACCATAACTCTTCACATACACGATTCTAGTCCTCACACGACAGAAAATTTCACCTGAACCGCTGCATACATATTCATCATGGCTACCACCTTCAAAAACCCGCTGATCAGGTTTCATAACTGCCTAAAAGAGTCGGGAGTGATCCACCCCGACGCCATCATCTGGCCACGCACCCCTCCTCATCGGAAAGGGCAAAAACCTCTCAAAGCCTGTCTCAAGTCTGGTCCCAGGAATCCGTTTGCACCAACAAAGGCCGCCAGATTCGCGAAGAGGGAAGCAAGCTGCATCATCACGGATGAGCCGTACTATCCCCACATCCGGACTAAGAAGCAGTGGGAGGCAGACACGAAGAAAGACCGGGAGGAGCGCGTAGCGCTGCTACACCAGAAGGCGAGGTCGGAGCCGCCCCAGTGGGTGAAGTGCCATGACATGTTGATGGATACTCCCATGTTTGGCATCTCCGAGAAGCAAGACATCGAGGCCACTCGGCTTACCATGGCGGAACTCGAGCTTGACGAGCAACTCGAGTTCGCGAGGGTGACCAGGCTTCTCTTGGAGAAACAGGCCGGAGGTCGCAAAGCGAAGGGCAAGAAACTAGAAGCTCTAAAGTCCTACCAACGCGGAACATCACACCGTAGAGGAAGGCAACAGAATTTAACCCCGGCGTAACTAACCGGGATGATCCGGGAAATCTTTCCCGCTTTTTTTTTTCCTTCCTTTTTTTTTCCAGAAAACAAAAAGGAATGTCTTAAACAACTAAACCCCCCTTGACACACACCTCCACGAAGTCCTCGAGCAAAGGCGAAAAACTGGTATCTCGCTGCTACTCTTCCTCAAACCTAAACCACTCTATAATCCTCTACTCTCCTACAAACCTCAATCTCTTTCTCCATACAAAAACAAGCATAAGACGAGAACCGGAAATAAGCAACAAGCCAGGCAACCAAAACACAAAAACAAACCTCTTCCACGCCCGTAGTAGCCAATGTGTGCTCCGGGATCCGAGTCCGTGTCAAACTCGACCATTAAAGGCCAGCCTTCGAGCCCGCCGCATCTATTCTACCACAAAGTGCAACCCGCAACTGGTCCTAGCCAGACCAGCGAGCAACACCCCTCCGCACGGAGGTACCAGTTATACACAGCCACACCGCACGCTATTCACCACGCGCGAATCTCCGGGGGGAGGTTCGGCGTCCGTTGAAGACCCACTACACAACTCTTCCGTGTGCTGTTCCTCGTCCTGCGCACATGCCAGAAGACATTTGCATGCCAGGAGAGGACTCCGTGCCCCGTTGGCAACATCTCTCATACAACCCCTGACAAAAAAAGAACTTGCTTTGGCCGCTGCCCCCAGCGTTTGCTGCAGAACTTTGGGCATGCCAACCTCGCGATCGAAGATCATCCTAAAAAACCAAGGCGGGGACGGGAGACGATACCATCAGCGACTGCAACTCGAGGCCTCTGCCACCAGCTCCTGCTGTAGAACCTTTGGGCATGCCTCACTCTGGAAGCACAAAAGCAACACCAAAAAAAAGGACGTACCATGGCCATCTTGGCCTTCTCTGGACTTGGACCATCATCAGCGAAGATCCCTTGCTGAAAGCGACGATCGGCATCACATCACTAGCGGCGTTTGGGGGCATTTTGGAAGGAGCCGTTGGACGGAAGGGAAGGCAGGGAATGAGGAGTTGGGAGGAAGGAAGTTGGGAGGGAGTGGCAAGCTGAGAAGGAGAGCTGGGAAGGAGAGCTGGGAAGGAGAGCTGGGAAGGAGAGCTGGGAAGGAGAGCTGGGAAGGAGAGCTAGTATTCCTTGGGAAGGGGCATTGGTTTTGCTGCTGCAGAACTGTTGTTGATAAGTCGAGTCATTACTCATCAATGCAACTGCAGAACGTGCAAAACCAAATAGTTGGTAACCTCGCCATGCAAATGTGAATGTGTGTCAACATGCATGAACGCCGGAGCAGACGGGGTGACCGGGATTGCTTGCGGGGAGAGAAGAGAGGTGAGGAATGAGAATTGTGGAAAGGGGGCCAACTTACCTACCTAGCTCTCTGGCGAAGCTACGTGTTATAGAACGTGGATATGTAAGGGAGGAGAGTCGAAGAGCTCTCTGATTTCGTTATCTAAGACCACAACGTGCTGCCGTATGTCACCCTCGATGATTATCTGAGTAGTTTGGTTTGTCGGGATTATGTTGGTTTGCCTCACGTCAAGGCCTCCGTCTGGAAGTCTGTCGCCACTCAATAACTGGTATACTGTCGTTTGGAGAACCACTTGCTAAATACCTATAGTCGATAATGCAGAGATCCGCTTCATCACCTTGAGACGAGTCGAGTGTGGCAAACTTGACTCGCTGCGCCTCTTCCGCTGTGACCTGTCCGCCAGTGACCTGCTGGTCAAACGCCTGCTGGTACGCCTAGAGCTGCGCACGATAGTATGGCATCACCAGGATCGTGTCGGGTCCGTCTTTCTTGGTACTTGTCAGTGTCTCATCCTTAAGGGCGCGGACGACTTGGGCGATGACCCATTTGACGTGAGGATAGTTGGCCGACGATGTTCCAACTGTATAGCACGCTGACCTAGGAAACTCGACGATAAGACGGCACCCGTTGGCTGGCATATCGAACTTGATGCCTTTCAGGAATGTATGGAAGGACTTGAGATCCTCTAGGCGCTTGGCTTTCGAGCTAATCATCTGATTGCGGTGCTCTTGCCGCCCCTCCTATCGCTCTTGTCGTTACTATCTATCGCTTTTGCCGTTGCTGTCTATCGCTCTAGCCGTTACTATCTATCGCTCCTTGCTGTTTCTGTCTATTGCTCTTGCTATCGCTGTCTATTGCTGTTGCTATTGCTGTCTATCGCTCTAGCCGTTACTATCTGTCGCTCTTGCCGTTGCTGTCTATCGCTCTAGCCGTTACTGTCTATCGCTTTTGCTGTTTCTGTCTATTGCTATTGCTTCTGAAGAGGCACAACCTCGGAGCTCTCAGCCGGGAGCAGCCAGAGGCCCCGGATCCGTCCCATCTTCTCCCTTCCCGCCAACCGACTGGCAGCCCTCCGGCTCCAGTTGGGCTGCCCGGTAGAGTACAATACTCCCGAGTCGGTTTTGGCGATGATCTTTGTCACCAAGCACTAATCAGTCTGGTTAGACCGGAACAGCAGCTGAGCAATAGCAAGGCGCACACCGGAAAGGCTATTGCGGAGGCTGTGGAAGCCATGTCCCCTGTTGCTCCCCCAGACAAGTTGCGGCCCCTCCCCAGGGTTGACTTCTTGGACGTCGACGACCGGAGCTCCACCGTGCTTCCTGTTTGGTGACCCAAGGCAGCTACCACCAACCGTCATGACGCCCAACGAGAAAGATTCCCTGCTTTGCCAAGGATGGCAAAATTTCGGCACTGCTATACTTCCAGGTATTGGCATACCAGTCTGCCGCCTCAAGACCCAGCTCCGCATGGCAAAAGGCATGTCCGACACAGTGGCAAAGATCATCTACCCGGACGTCCCGTACGAGTATCCCGACAGCTGTGCCGTTGAACTTGCGGGGTTCCAAGCAGGCAGGGACCTAGAGGACTTCGTCCGGGAGAGGTACCCAGAGATAATCCCAGCTCCCACAGGCACATCCAGCCAGTCTTTGTGCACTGTAATGGCTCGCGAGACTTTACCGATGACCTCACTGGATCAAAGCGGTTCTCTGACCAGGTCAGATTGCGCTAGGCTTCATTGTCGACCTTGTCAAGTCTAAGAAAGTAAACCCGGCCCAGATTATCGTCATCGCCCCTACACCGCCAACGTCGAGCTCATCGCGCGAATGCGCAAGCAGCCCCAGTATGCTGCACTCGCGAACATGCAGGCGCCAACGACAGTCGACTTGTTCCAGGGCCAGGAAAACGACGTAGTGGTAGTCGTCATGGGTACGGCCTCTCCGAAGCCTGGTCCTGGCTTTACTTCAGACAGCCAGCGCCTGAACGTCATGCTCACCCGCCAGTGGTGTGGGCTGGTTATCGTTGGTGACATCAACACCACCGGGCAGCTGGTAGACGACGAGGGCAAAGGAAAGGGCAAGGGGAAGCGCAAGTGGAAGGGTAAGGGCAAAGGTGGGGAGGAGAGGTTTGAGATCGAGGGCCCCAAACGGGGAGAGATACTGGACACAGGCCGCGGCGCTGCGCAAGATGCATAAATCAATGTATAACGCTGGCCGAGTCATCAATATCCCGGTCGAGCCTGAAAACTAGGTCTCCACGCTGGCGCATTAGATGTAATTATCTCGACATGTCTATTAGCTTTTCAAATGACAAGTGGGCTGGAAGTTCGTTTGCAAATGAACTGGAGTGGCAGAAGCACTGCTATGCGATAAACTAGAAAATGTAATTACCACGCAACAGTTCAGAGCCCTTGCAAGGACCACAATTTCGGGCCATCACTGCACGACGGTGGCAACAACTTCTGCTCTTCTTAGAGATATGTTGCCCAGCACCTCATGCGACGCAGTAGAGGCGGCTCAAATCGAATACTACGGTAGTATCTAGCCCATCCGTGAGAGGTGCGTATGGCCCCGCTCGGAGCTTTTCTGGACACAGCTTCGGCAGTCAAATAGCCTGATATTCGACACCATAGAGGATGCGGAGATATTGCATCCAAGACGGCTAAGACAGTAAATCATCGACCTTCCCCACAATTGCAGGGGTGCACCACGGACGACTGGATGTGCTCTACTTAATTGCCTAGATATAGAGATGAAGGTCCCCTCGCCCATGCTGGGGAAGGACTGTTCTCCGCCTTGGGATTACAACACGCCATAACCTCGACGACGATAACCGGAACGGTTCACGATGCGGTCCACGGCCTCAGTCCTCTGCGGTGCCTTGCTCGCCAAGGGAGCAATTTCCGCCCCTTACCGCAGCAGCAATGCCACCTGCGCGCCCGTCCCCTCTCCATTCCCGACATACCAACAGCTCCCCGTGCAGTCCACGATGCCAGACCCCTTCCTGCCACTCGCGTACACCACGATAGACAACGCCGGCTCGGGCAGCGCCAGCGCCTTCGCGAACGCCGTCATGACGGGCAAGGGCAAGAACCGCGTCCAGACGCCCGAGGAGTGGTACCAGTGCCGGCAACCCGAGATCATGAAGCTGCTGCAGGAATACCAGTTCGGCTACTACCCGGACCACGGCCAGGAGACGGTGGAGGCGACGCGCAGCGGCACCACGGTCAACATCGCCGTCACCGCCGGCGGCAAGACGGGCAAGTTCAAGGCCACCATCTCGCTGCCGGCCGCCGCGTCGGCGGACAAGCCGGCGCCCGTCGTCATCAACATCGGCGGCATGCAGAATCAGCCATACCTCAGCGCCGGGATTGCTATCGCCCAGTTCGACTACACGAGCGTGGCGGCGGACAGCAATGCCAAGACTGGTGCTTTCTGGGACGTCTATAAGGGCAGGGATATAGGTTAGTAAAAATCAATACAATCCCTTCCTGTGCATAACCTTGGGGAGAGGGCAGGTCAATGTAAGTAAATAATTACAGGGCTGACGAGGCAAACGAAACAGGAGTCTTGACCGCCTGGGCATGGGGTTTCCACCGCACCCTCGATGGCCTGAACATGACGGTGCCCGAGATCGATTCGACGCGCGTGGGCGTGACCGGCTGCAGCCGGCTCGGCAAGGGCGCGATGGCTGCGGGCCTGTTCGACGAGCGCATCACGGTGACGATGCCCATGTCGTCCGGTGTGCAGGGGCTCGGCCCGTACCGCTACCACGCCATGAGCGGGCAGGACGAGACGCTCGAGAACAGCAAGTCCGGCGCCGGCTGGTGGAGCGACAGCGCGCTGGGCACTTTTGTCAACCACGCCGAGAACCTGCCGTACGACGCCCACACCCTCGCCGCCGCGCTGGCGCCCCGCGCCCTCATCATCGACCAGGGCATCGGCGACCAGTTCACCAACAGCAAGGCCACCGCCGTGATCGTCTACCCGGCCGCCAAGCTCGTCTACGAGTTCCTCGGGGCGGGGGACAAGATCGGCATGAGCGTGCGGAGTGGTGGGCATTGCGATATGAGTGGATTGTGGGTGTCCATTTTCGTTGTCCTCTTTTTTTTTTTTTCTTTCACCTGGAAGCGTTTACTGACGCGCGTAATATTGTCTCACCTCTGCAGCAACTCTGTTCTCCCCTTCGTCCAGAAGATCTTCTTCGGGACAGCAACAACGAAGGATTACAACGACCTCGGCAGCTATGGAGCTCCCATGACCACGGCATACCCGTGGGCGACGGCCGTACCGAAGCCGGCCGCCTCGTGAGGACTGAAAGGGAGAAGACAAATTGCACCTGGAAGACAGCGTATAGATGCCAATATAAATTAGGTAGGCTTGAAATTATCAGCTTTCACTTCCACCAGGGTTAGGGGTGTGACGTAACCCAATGAATTTCCGGCGGCATTATTAGGTAAGCCCTTGGCACCATCACAAGGATCCTAATCTCAACGTCGCAAGATGGAACCAGTGCAACGATGCCAGATTTTTGAACGTCATTGTGCGACGTCATGCTTGGGCTTGATTCGTCCAACTCCCGATAACCCCTAGGATTGCGGATGGAAGCCTTCAGCAATATCCGGCAGAGCGGTTAGTCTTGGTTCGCGGGCCAGCAGCATACTTGACGAAGGCGCGCCATCGGGGCAACCAAACCCATTGCTAACGGACGTGGCATCTCCAGACTTCTCCTGGTCGGCCATATCGACCGAGGCGCTCCTGGCCGAGCTTTCGAAGCGCGACGATGCTGCAACAAAACCGGAGTGTGGCTCGGGGAAGAAGGGCTCGTACGACACGTCTCTCCACGTCTTTGCCCTGTTCCTGATCCTCTTAGTGAGCACCTTGTGTATGCATCGATATCGCCCTCTTTTCCCCCCTTCCCATGAAGATGACCCGTAATGGCTAACCATCTTTTGCCCGAGCAGCATGCGCATTTCCCCTCTTCTCCCGGCGACTGTCGAAAGGCCAGAAGCAAAGTAGGATCGTCTTCCTGTCGCAACACTTCGGCACAGGCGTTCTCCTCGCGACCGCATTCGTCCACCTTCTCCCGACGGCCTTCACCTCGCTGACCGACCCATGCCTCCCCTATATCTTCAACGAGGGATACCGGCCGATGGCCGGGTTCATCGCAATGGCTTTTGCATTGATGGTCGTGGCATTGGAATCGTACCTGACGACGCGCGGCGCTGGCCATTCGCACTCCCACCAGGTGTGGACTGACGAGGATGACGACGGCTCCGAAGACGGCCAGGCTACCGCGCTCCGGCCGCGCGGCGAAAGCTTTTCTGCAAGACGGCAGTCGGGCCATCGGCCAGCGGACATTGCCCTCGAGGACATGGAAACACAGGGCCTGGTCGCCGGCGCATCTCCGTTGCCGGGGTCAACGCCCACGCAACACCGGAATGGGGCCAAGGCGGCATTCAAGGCCGGGGGGAGCACCGGTTCGGATCATGACGGCGACGACAGGGAATCGCTGGATCTCGAATTGAACCTGGATGAGCTGGACCCTAGGCACAGCGACGAGAGCCACGCGGCGCCGCCGCAACCGCTGCCGAAACGCAACGCCGCCTCGCCGACGCCGCACCCGCCCAACAAGGAGGAGCAGAAGCGGCTCCTTCTCCAGTGCCTCCTCCTGGAGGCGGGCATCCTCTTCCACAGCGTCTTCATCGGAATGGCGCTGTCGGTGGCGACGGGGCCGACGTTCGCCGTGTTCCTGGTGGCGATCGCGCTGCACCAGTCGTTCGAGGGCCTCGCGCTCGGCAGCCGGATCGCGGCGATCCAGTTCCCGAGGTCGTCGCCGCAGCCGTGGCTGATGGTGGCGGCGTACGGGACGACGACGCCCATTGGGCAGGCGATCGGGCTCGTGGTGCACAACCTGTATGACCCGCTCAGCCAGACGGGGTTGCTGATGGTCGGGTTCATGAACGCCATCTCGAGCGGGCTGTTGCTCTACGCGGGGCTCGTGCAGCTGCTCGCTGAGGACTTCCTCACCGAGAAGAGCTATCGCGCCCTGAGGGGGAGGAAGAGGATCCACGCCTTCTTTGCTGTCGTCGCGGGGGCGGTGCTTATGGCTGCTGTCGGGGCCTTGGCGTGATGGATCTATTGGCTATATACCTGTTCGGCCATCTAGGTGTCCTTATCCAATGTTTTGGGTACTGTTCTCGACCACTATTTGCGGTGGCTTGTTTGGATAGCCGAGTTGGTGGTGCATAGATGATCTGGCGTTTTGCATAGGGAACTGATGTATCTTAGATTGGATTCTGTCAAGTCGACAGTCCAGGAGGCATCAATCAATGCTCTTGTTTCTTAATCGCCACTGGCCAGCGCCTGTTACTGGGCTTCTCCCGCTTCTCCATCCTTACCTCGCTGCCGACCGTGGGAGCAGCTAGGGAGGATTCGATGTTGAACAGGTCATACCATACCTGTGCCATCTTTATCCTTCTCCCTGTTTCTTTATTTTCTCTTCCATAGACTTTGGGGCACTGCTTCGGTATAAATTGCCTATTCGTCCTGTGCAGCGATTAATCCGGGATTCTGCGAACGGGTAGCACCCAGAACACCCAGAACGCATCATCTTCCCGTGGTACCTAAGGTATGTATTTTACCTCCTGAGGCATCTCATATCCCCGCTTCTATATTCTCGGCCTCGGCATTGGGTCAGAGGGCTTTCGACATTCTGTTGGCGGCTGGCCATCTGATATTAACCGGACTTTAACTTACCACCTTGGCTTCTGGACGACCCATTCAGGTGGCGAGGTGTGGTTTGTGTTCTCTCGCCTGGAAATTTCTGGACTGCGGAAGAACCACCAACGTCCGATGCCGATAAGAGAGAGCAATATACAACCTGCAAGGTTAATTGCCAACCAGGAAATATGTGATCGCCGTCTATCCGTTTGCTCGCTCGATCGCAACGTCACCTGTTGGTCACCTTACTGCAAAGGTCGAAGGGTATTTGGATGCGTTATATATTACATCTCGATGCCGTCGGCGGCAACCACGTTGGCTTCCCCTCAGACACTCATCAATACCCTCTCGTGAACAGCGTAGAACACCTGTCTACTAGAACAAAAACCTATATCTCTTCCCTCAGCAAAACAAGGGTAACCATGTCCTTCTCTTGGTCTTTTCTGGTCATCTTCTTGCAGTTCTTGTCGTTTAGGTGAGTGTCCAAAAACACCATGCCCGCCAGCTACGATCCCGCCGGATCTAAAGTCCCAACAACTAACCCATCTTTCTTAGCACCGCCATACCAACTGAGGTCTGGCCAAGAGTCACGGTCCAGACTCCGACACCGACGCCAACATCGTCCAGTCCACTGCTCCCATCTCATTGCACTACTCGTTTCTGGGATGATGAGCACTCCACTGAAGCGCTTAAGACACCCGATTGCTACACATTCACAAGGCTGGCAGAAGACCGTACGTCCTCGTCCAATCCCCAATGTGCCCGAGAGCCTGCTGACGACGAACTGTAGCTGCATGCCAATGCGCCCCAGCCGCCGATGTCATGTGTCCCATGATAATCAGCGTCACGACCGTTGACGTCCCGTGCAGGTGAGTAGATGGCAGAGGGCTATTTTCATACCTAACTACACTGCGGGGAAGACTGACACGGTCCAGCACGGACTGCTGCCCCACGACTCCAACGGCGACTGTTGCTACGTGCGCGTCGTCGTGCGACACGAGGAGGTGCACCGTCCCGACGCAGACCCTCTATCGGACGGCCGAGTGTGCTTCTGAGACGCCCAAGTCAAGTGGCTGAAGATAGGAGAGATTTCAGGGGTGAGCGTATTTGCCCGGGTTGGTTGAGTGGCTGGCTGGGTGAGATTGTATACCGCCTATAGGAACCTAGTAACCAAGGCACCTAAGGCACTTAATGTATGTAATATGGAACTGCGTAAGGGTTGGGAATGTAATTTGAGGCAGGGTTTCTCTCAGGAGGACAAGGCAGCTACAATTAATGCAAATACCTACAATAGGAAGCCCCTATTGATATCAGACTTTCATCGCCAATGCCCTGAGTCATGGGGTTAGCCACACGACCCATTGAAGAGTCCCTGTAGTTGAGGCCAAGGAAGCTGGAGGATGCCCAGCTGAGGAGCCAGGGGTAGGAGTCAAAGTCCTCTAGAAAGAGCACACTTAAAGACTACCTGCATACCTTTCCATCAATGTAATCTCCCATTATCCCTCCAACTAGATGCACAAACAAGCAAACAAACAACCTGCCTACCTAGGTACCTAGGTAGCAACCTGATGTTCCTTCTGGGACCTGCAATGGACGGGAGCTCCCTAACTACAATCGGTTGACCTCAGACTGGTGCCTCCTGACCGAAGGTACCTCTTGTCTGTATCTAACCGCAGCTGAGGCCAGGTTCTGAGGTACCTATTCTAAAGGTACCTAGGTACTTATGAGCTCTTGCCTACCACTTAGGAAGGAACCTCCCTGGTGGGTACTTGCCTATGCAGGCCAGATACCTTAGATCCTTACCTGATATGGAAAGCACAAGGAGGAGGAGGAAGAGAAGGGCTTGGGCCCTTCAATCCGTTCTGGAGCCTAGAAAGAGGACAACCTACCTCACAGCGAGCCAAACTGGCCGGCTGATATTGTCGTCCACTGCCAGTTATGTCAGCTATGGCGAGATCAATCACCCTGATATTCACCCAACTTCTTCCTCGCCTTCTGGATGCCTTAGATGACAAAGACATGCAGCCTGACGGCCATATTCAAGGCATTAAGGCTAGTGGTGTCCATTTCACCCTGACAACAACCTGGAACTTTCCACCTCGCAGAAACGCGTTCTGCTTTGAATCTCAGACCAACCGTCTCCAAGTTTGTTTTCTTCGCGTAACAAGAACAGAATTCGGAACCAAAATCCGGATTGCTTGCCTCGTTGAGTCCAGTCCAATATTATGATCCCCACCTCTTTCTAGCCGAACTCAGTAATATCGACCGCGGCGAGCCCGTTGCCTCGCGAGGCAATCGGTTACGCCATCAACCACGTCTTTCTCCCCCCATGCCTCCCCAGCAGCGATGACTGCGATCGCAAGCTCGATTCAACCCTCCTGCAAACGGTCAGGGACAGTCTCCTTGCTTTCAAGGAGCAAGTTGGGGATGACCTGCGGGGAAATGTTGACTCGGCCCTTGCCATGATCACCAATCTAGGGCATGTCCATTTGTCGTTTGGATTCCGCAGTTCCGTCAGCGAAGAGGGCCTCCGAGATGCCCTGAATGGTCTCCATGACAATGGTAAGCACATATCCCAAATATTGCAAGCTCGTTCCCACTCATTAACCCCGGCAAGGTGGAACTATTCCCCTTCATATACGTGCACAGAATGCGGGCGTCTTGATCAGCAAGGTTTCGGGGAGAATTCCGAGATACGATAGCGCATACACTTGCCAAGATGAGCCATCAGCTTGCCGTGGACACACAACCTAAGGCGAGGAAGGCCGGCCACGATCACCGCGAGGAACGGGACACAACCCATCCAATGCTGATCACCGAACTCTTCATGGGTTTCCTAGGCGCCGTCGGAAAACCGGCCAAGGTTCTTCAGATCTGGAAGAATACTCGAGAGGAGGTCATGTGGTCGAACGCTCTGCTACCATAGCGCAGATCACCCTTGTAGTTGCTCATCCGTGTCGCCCTGCAGCTCATCTTCACGCGAGCGGGAGTCACGGCAGAATCCCAAGCGAACCTCTATAAGCCGTTCATGGCCTTCGTCATGGCCCGCATCCTGAATTTAGCGGCGCAGCCTCAGAATACCGTTCCTAGTCGTCTTCTATACGTGATGAACGCCAAACTTGCTCGACGGCTGCTGAAGCTTGATTCATCGAATGACATCCCCGGCCTCGAATTCGTCCAAAGGGTCATGTCAGACACGCACGAGGCCATTGACAGAGCATGGTCAAGCACCATGAAGAAGAACACACCTGACTTTGACGAGTTACGCCATCTTGAGCACATGGACTTTGGTCAGAATGTCACTGCCGCACTTCCCCAACTGGACGAGTGCATCGTGTCGATGGCCAAGCGGGAGATGGTAACCACCCCCGTCAACTTCCAGCCAACATCGGCTCTCGTCAAATGGCCACCCGGCGAATTCCCACTCGTGGGTTCGAATTTGGCGGATGGGGAATATGGTGCATTCAACCTCGCGGCATTTGAGGCCTGGGTTGCTTCTAACCTTACCCAATGGCTGCAAGCTCACAAGGGCGATCATCACACATGCGACAAGCTCGGCGAGGCGATTAAGCGGTACCACAGCGCCGCATGCCCCTCCTATTTGGACAACCCCGAGGCTACGTCCGCGATGCTCCTCACCATCCTGGAGCTTTGGATTGCCTGCGACGAGTCGGCCGTCCATATCCACCCGTTGCTACGCAACTACGACCCAGAAGTTCCGCTGCATTTCCTTCAGTCCTTCGTGTTGCCCTTCAAGAGCCAGATGGAGAGACTGCGCCGTGTCGAGGAGTACCTTGACAATCGCTCACATCATGTCAAGTTTCCAGGCCTAGGCGTGTTTCTAGAGTTCGGACACCCAGCGTCGTTTCCCGTGAGGTTCGTCAGCCAGTCCTGGGAGCACGAATCCTTGCTCGAGGAGATCATATCCCGGGCCCATCAGCAGAGAGAAATGAAACGCAACGAGCTGCACACCAAGAAGCAGCTGTATGACACGTGGATGCAGCTTTATGACCAGTCCAAGTGCGGCTGCACCCTTCCACGCACTAGCAGGCAACGGCGGAAGCGTGTCTGCGAGAGGTGCGACCATAAGGACCAAGCCGAATCCCTGAATATTGATGTTCATGAATGGCCGCTTCCGAGTGATTGCATCGAGGCAAAGGCCATTGTATTCGAGCTCAGGGTGCCTCCTGTCTTTGGCCGGTGGCGTGACACGGCCATATACTTGCTGCTCGATGTCCTCAGGTTCGAGTACAAGTCTCCAGCGTCTCCAAAAGTACTCTATCACCTCGGGAAGTGTCCTGGGTTTGGGCCCTTCTTCACGCCATTCGGCCCGGCACAGCGTATTGGCCTACTGTCCGAGATCAAGCCCCACGTCGGCACCCACCGCCGGACCACGTCCGTCGCGACCGCTACTGAAGCCGATGTATGTCTTGAAACTGGTTTGAAATTCCAGTATTATGACGACAGCACGAGAAACTTCAGCAGGAATCTCTGTCTCACCAATAAGATCCCAAGGGCCTGTACCTCCAAGCTACCAAGGAGGTCATCATCGCTCCAGCACTTCCTCTTCCGGCCAGCCGCGATGCCCGGTGGCCTGCCACCCAACACCGTCATAGCGAGTCAGTCCGAGTGTCCTGATCACATGTCACTGGAAAAGTACAAGGCATTGAGCAGCATCCCCCTTGGTCACCGAATTCAGTGGCAGAATATATTGTTGCAGCTCTCCACGTCGACTGTGGACCTTACGAGCCCAGAGACAGGGCCAGTCATCCTCCAGGCCATCCATCAAGCCGGTCCTTGCCGAGACGGCAATGTTCTTAGAGAGGGTCATGTCATAGCCAGCGACGAGACCTTTGCACTGACTCTACTGCACAGCATCGGCGAGGGTGTGCAGAGGATCAAGGAGAACTGGGACTCATCCCAAGCCCTCGGGACATTCATCTCGTTGGCATTGCGGCTGCTATCACTGGCCTCCTCTGACAACAAGGTCAAATCCATATGCTTGGATTGTCTTTCCAGCATGCGAACCATCGCCTTCGACTGGGTAAATCTCATTAGGGGAAAAGCGGACATGGCCACCGAAGGCGAGACGAAGGCCGACATGGAGGCCAAAGTAGTCGAGACTGCCCTGCTCTGCGTGGATTCTTTCAACGTCGATCAGGTACATCTAGATGCCATTCTGGCCTCCCCTTCCGATGCATCGATTCTCCTGCGATGCCGCATCCTCATCCGTGAGGCGAGACGCAGCATTTCGAATGCGTCTGATCATGCGATCGCACTTCGTCACCGGCGCCAGGAGTCACTGTCACATCTAAGTTACTAGATTATTGCTCGAGAGATCCTTGAGGGGAGAAGTCTGGCTCTTGACAATGCCATCGGACAGTCCTGGTTTGCCTATCATGCCGGAGGGCCCTGGAAACAGCTTTCGGAAGAGCATGGGTATTGGCTCGTCAGCACAACGGACACCCAAGGCAGCAGCAAGCCACTCCCGGTCCATTTCAATCTCCTAACCAGCGAAATGCTCGTGAATGGCCTGCCATTGGACTGTGTTCCCTCGAACTACGAAAACCACCCAGCATATCGCACATTGTTCGGCGATGCTGTGCTCGAGGTCACGCCTATTGCTGTCCCGGGCATGCAATTCTCTTGCAAGGAGGAGTATTTCAGGCATAGTCTCTACCTTGGCCCCTCATCGGAAGACGATCTCTTGGTTCAGGCTCTTCTGGGAGGTCGGACATACGAGTTCATTCCAAACCATGTCTTGCGAAATTTCGTTCACTGGTACGACTCAGCTGATGACAGTCTTGAGTTCCGTCCCAAGGGGGATCCTTGGACCTCCTCTCCAGACAACTGGAGATTGACCAGAGCCGGTCCCGAGTGGCAGCTGGCCAAGGGCCGTGTTTCCTTGGTCAGCATCATGAGCAACGCTGCTAAAGCACTATCTTCCGTATTCGCTTGCCTCGAAGACCCCCTTGAGATTCATATTGTGTTGCACCACTCTTCGTCCTCGGTCGAGATCGAACTCCCTAGGATCCAGTTGGGCTTCCACCTACGGCCGGGAACGTCCTCGATCCAATCCAGGCAGTTCCGTGGAATGTCAGTCGACAAAGACCAGTCGCTTGGAACACTTGTCGGGCTTTGCAGCAAACTCATCCTCAGGAACGAGCACAATGACAGTCGTTTGGTCCTTGTGCCAGAAGGATCGGTATCATGTACCAAAGTTGATGATCATGTCCATGTCACCATCGACAAAGGCTCTGCCAAACGCCCTGCCAAACGCTCTGCCACCATGGCCCACGCATACCGGGTTGATGATCAACTTGGAAGGTTGATTGACAACGGGACCTTACAGGGCAAGCTGTTTCTGTCTTACCTCCACGCCCTAACTGCCTTCTGCTTGCCTGATCCGCTCATTGGGAGGACGGGAACAGAGCAGGCACTTTCTATTCTGGGCTCTGCTGCTGTCAGGTTATTCGATCAACTGAGCGCCAATAACTCGAAAGTCCTCGCTAATATAGCGGGACTGACTCCGAGAAGGGTCTGCTACCCGATCCACGAGCGTCTCATGCAGACAGTCAAGTGGTCAGGCAAGCTCGATGCCTTATCCCAGCATGGAGCATTCCTGCAGAGCGTCGAGTGCATAGTCAGTCAAGCTCGCCGAGCACAGATATTTCACCCGGATTCCTCCATCTACTTCCCAAATCTAGATCCTCGCACCGACCAGTACCTGTTGGAGCGCGACAACATCAGGTCCTCTACCTTCCGTGTCTCGGGGTTTGGTGCCGAGGACCACTCAACTGCCGACGACGAGGTTTATTTGGCCAGGGATGGAGGACAATACTCGAAGCGGGGACTCAGGGCGTTTGCCGCGTCTAGAATGATATACGACGGGCATACGGACCTTACCTATCCGGTCCCTGCCAGGGCTGGCCAGCATCTGTGGCACGTACTCTCCGAGGTGTCCCAGGGTTCCCAGGTTTTTGGTCCGGCCAAGCCCGTCCCTTTCGACCTGAAGTATGATGCCGGCCTGCTCCTGGACCCCAATGAGTTGGTGTCAAAATATTGGATTGACATCCACCGGCATCTCAGCCGATCAACTCGGCCGTCGGACAGGTTTGGTCTTATGATCTGGCTCTCGACCATGGCTTTTTCCAAGCAGGCGACCATGCCCATCGTCCAGACAATAGCCTCATTCTTCACGGTTCCCCGGATGGCAGAGATAGACATCCCCGACCTCGGATCCTCCCGCCTCGATTTTGGCGCCGACTTCGACAAGGAGGGACTGCACAATATGCTCCAGCTTACGTTGGAGCCTCTGTCTTCTTGCCCCGAGGCGAGATTGTCCCGTAATTTCGGGGAACCCGCTGCAGTGTTCAACCAGCGCCGCGATCGCCTCTATTTCTCAAACCGGACTCGCTCCCTTGGCAGGTTCCTGGATGGGTTAAAGGCACAGTGGCCCTGTTGGTCTCCTCAGATTCCGGGTGGTTCTTTTGTCACCCCCGAACTGTCTGTGTATATCGATTTGCGCAAGGCCATAGCCATAGCAGATCCGCGGTTCAAGATTTGGCTGACCAATTCCTTCTTCCGCAACTATCTCTACAAGATTGGACAGGTGCTGTCGACCATGTCAATAAGGTTGTTGGAGGATCCGCCATCCCCATTTCCAATGCCCAACTGGGCCCTCGAACGTCGCAGTGGATTCATCCGCATCGACGACGTCCTCGCCTGTCCAGCCCCTGCCATGCCGCCCCGTGGCGAATGGGCCTTGTCCCTGGCTGTCACGTCTGCTCCTGCGTCAACGAATTCGACCTCCCGCCTAGCTGCGCTGGTCACCCGCCTCGAGGCCCAAGCCGGCCCAGGGTATGAGATGGCCTACGTCGAGGACCTGCGAGCAAGCCTCCTCTCTTTGAGCGACAAGGGGGAGGAGGATCATATGGTGTCGAGAGAGGTTAACATCAAGAATGTCCTGCTGGACTATCTGCGCCACTGCAAGGAGCATGTCCGCGATACTTACTCAGCCATCCTGGCGGCGGCATCCACAACCGCCGGTGGACCCGGAGATGCATCGAATGACGGGAGACATGGGCACTCAGCGGCGGCAACTAAAATCCATCAATACCCCAGACTGTCCCCAGTTCTATTCCTCCAACAACTTTCTCGTCACCGGTGGCAGAAGATCGCACACGACTGGAAGGAGTGCATCGTCCAGTACACTCTTGCCCTTACAGAGCTCCAGCGGGCAGAGCGGCTCGCGACCGCATTCGACAACGACGCAGACCTCCCGAAGGAACTACGCAACCCGGGTCATACGAACTGGGACCCATTCGAATATCCAGAGTCTCTGCTCCTCGAAGTCGAAAGCGGGATCATGATCCGGGAGGCCCAGGAGCAAATAGCCAGCCAAATGCGGACCCCGGATTCCGGCCAGAATGCCGTCATGCAGCTCAACATGGGCGAGGGCAAGTCGTCCGTCATCGTCCCCGCCGTGGCCGCAGCCCTCGCCGACGGATCCCGCTTGGTCCGCGTCATCGTGGCCAAGCCGCAGTCGAGGCAGATGTTTCAGATGCTGGTCTCCAAGCTGGGGGGTCTGCTGGACAGGCGCGTCTACCAGCTTCCCTTTCGCGCACCCTAGCCCTTCAAGACGAGGACGCAGATGCGATCGATGACATCTGTCGAGAGTGCATGGTCGACGGTGGGATCATGCTCATCCAGCCTGAGCATATCTTGTCGTTTGAGCTGATGGGACTCGGCTCGATTATATCGGGTGAGATGAGCGTTGGTTGCGCCCTGCTGCGCACACGCGAGTTTTTGAACGCGTCGTCGCGGGATATCGTGGACGAGAGTGATGAGAACTTCAGTGTCAAGTTCGAGCTAATCTACACCATGGGTATGCAGCGACCTGTCGAGTTCGGTCCAGACCGGTGGATCCTTATCCAGCAGGTTTTGGATTTGTTGAGGGAGTATGCGCCGAGCGTACGAGTGGAGCTCCCGCTTTCTATCGTGGTTGATCAACGCCAGAAAGCAGGCTTCCCCAGAACTCGGCTCCTCCGACCCGATGCCAAGGAGCTCCTAATTGGCCGTATTTCGGAGCACATTTGCGAGAAGGGACTCAAAGGCTTCCCTATTGCGAGGCAGCCGCAGCCGGTCAGGCAAGCCGTTCTCAGGTATATCACCGAGCCAAACCTCACCCAGGCTGAGATCGACCAGGCCGAAAGGGTTGGGCCGGATGGCTTTTGGACCGACGCGACGAGCAGCTCCCTCCTCCTTCTCCGGGGTCTCGTTGCTGGAGGCATCTTGACCTTTTCATTGGGTCAGAAGCGATGGGAGTCAACTATGGGCTCGATCCGCATAGGCAGCCTGTCACGAAGCTCGCGGTGCCTTTTCGCGCCAAAGACAGTCCATGCCCCCGGTCAGAGTTCAGCCATCCTGACGTCGCCATCGTCTTAACCTGCCTGACCTATTACTACCGCGGGTTGGATAACGAGGAGCTATACACGTTGTTCAACCACCTTACAAACTCGGACCAGGCCGACGACGAATATCTCACATGGGTCAAGGATGCGCCACATCTGGCATCGGCCTTCCATCAACTGGCTTGCATAAATCTCAGGGATCGCTGGCAGTGCGTCAACCAGGTATTTCCTCCTCTCCGCTACTCCAAGGCGGCAATAGACTACTTCCTGTCGAACATCATATTCTCCAAGGAGATGCGAGAATTCCCACACAAGCTATCCGCCTCGGGCTGGGACATCGGCCGGATCAAGACCAACCCAACGGCCGGCTTCAGTGGCACGAACGACTCCCGCATGCTCCTTCCGCTTAGCGTGAAGCACCTTGACCTGCCCGAGCAGAGCCACACCAACGCCCTGGTCCTGGAATATCTGCTCCAGCCAGAGAACTCGGTTGCTCTCATGCCGGAAGGGGCTTCCGGGTCGGAAGCAGAGGCCCTTTTGACCATGGTCACACGGATGGAGCCGCGCACACGAGTAATCCTCGATGTCGGAGCTCAGATCCTCGAGATGAGCAACATCGAGGTTGCGGAGGAGTGGCTGAAGATGACGCATGACCACGACACGACGCAGGCCGTGGTTTTCTTCAATGAAGCCGACGAGCTATCTGTCATTGATCGCAATGGCCGCGTTGAATGCTTGCGGACGTCATCATTTGCCGGACAGCTCGACCTGTGTCTTGTGTTCCTGGACGAGGCTCACACGAGAGGAACGGATCTGAAGCTTCCGGACAGTTACCGGGCTGCCGTCACTCTGGGCGCAAATTTGACAAAGGACAGGCTGGTTCAGGGTAAGTTTGTGAGAGTTTGGTGTATTGACAGGTCGCTGACAATTCTGCAGCATGTATGAGAATGAGAAAGCTTGGCAAGGGGCAGTCGGTCGTCTTCTGTGTCCCGCAGGAGATGAACACCAAGATTCTGGCACTGAAGGCCGATGCTGGCGATTCGAACATCGACGTGTACGACATCCTCTGCTGGGTCGTTTCCGAGACCTTTAACGACATACGGCGGAGCATGCCGCTGTGGGCGACGCAGAGCCGGAGATTTGAGCACCAGAAGTCGCTCTGGGCCGAGGTTCAGTATGAAAAACCGGAAAACTTATTGATCGATCAGGCCAAGAAGTTCCTCGAAGACGATGCTCAGACCCTGGATGACAAGTATGGACCACGTTCCGGCGCTGGTGCGACTATCGAAACGCAACAGGAGCAGACCGAGAATCTGGCCCTCATCACGCAGCGCTGTCGCGAGTTCAGGGATCCAAATGTCGCCGCCACCAACCTCGACGAGGAGCAGGAGCAGGAGCGCGAAGTTGATCCGGAGGTTGAACAGGAACGCCATGCCGAACGGCCGCCCGCCGCCTCCCCGGCGGAACACGATCTCCACCCCGACGTGGTCCTCTTCGCCTCCGAAGGTATCCTCATCTACCCTTCCACCGCATACATGCCCGCCTTCAGAGCTATGAGTGACACCAGCGCCGCCGAGCACTTTGACGTGTCGCAGTTTGGCGGCGGCCTCCTCGTCACGGCCGACTTGCCCGAACCGTCATCAAGACCGTCTCGTCTTACGTCTCGGACGCGTATCAGCGCCCGGTGCAGTGGATCCTCACCACCAGCCTCAAGGACATGATGGTCATCAGCCCGTATGAGGCTCAGGAACTGCTGCCAATCGTGGCCAGGTCCCAGACGACGGCGCTGCACCTCTACGCGCCAAGGCCGAACCTGTCGTTCCGCCCGCTCGACGGCCTGGACCTGTTCACCGTCCCGCAGCGGACGCGGCCACTGATCCCGCCCCGCCGGCTCGTTGTGCAGCTGAACCTGTTCGCGGGACAGCTGTACCTGGACTCGTTCGCCGCGTACGTCGAGGTGTGCAAGTTTCTCGGCCTTGCGTGGGAGGAGGACGGGACCGCGGCGGAGGGGAGCGTCGTAGCCGCGGACGGGTTTATCGTCCATGGGACTGGGACTGGGACTGGGAACGGACCTGTAAGCAGGTTCGCCGGCAGCCCGGTGAAGTTCCTCAAGATGCTCATGACGAGAATACGGAGGGACTGTAGGGGGATCGATAAGACGCATCTGGGCGCCATTTTGGATGGGAGGCTGCTTCGTCGGTCTTATTTTGAGGATCTGGAGTAACATGGAGAATACGTCCGGTAAGCGCGTATTAATATTTTCGCTGCGTTTGACGCATTTGCCGTTCTACGCTAATATGAGACATCAGGATACTAGATATGTGAGAGTTGACTTGTAGGATGGTTCTGTAGCTGGACTCTCATTGCAGGGAGTTGTGGTGCTGTGATGAGTATTGTATCAGACTGAGTGTATAATGTCTTGGGGGGAGGGATGTCAAAGATGTTTGGTTGGCGTATTTTCCTGTACAGATACTGTTCAAGTTGTTTCAGTCCTTCTACGACAACCGTACCTCCTCCAACAATCCCAGCCTGCCCCCCAACTTCAATACCTACCTGGCCAGGCCCGTCATTTCCTTAAGCATTTTGACCCGGTTCTCTGCTGCCTGCCGCCTGTCTTAACCCCTGCAGTCTCTTTGCTTAAGAATCCGACCTTCTAACGTAGATAGCCAAATGCCTGCTGAAATGCCGGGTGTCCTCGGGAAAGTCCAGCTCGGCGTAATGTCTGTTGATCATCTCTGTCACCCTTGGCGATATATTATCCTCGCTAGATCAGACAAATCGCGTTAGCACATCGGCACCACAGAGGCTGGAACGAGCCCACCCTACCACTCCGTATGGCCGACCCAGTCTGGCTTTCGCCTGACCTTTTCGACGCGGTTCCAGATCATGATGGCCGGCAGGGCAATATCAGCCACGATTTGCCGTACCGGTGTTTCCGGCGACAGGGAGAACACGAGGCTCGTATCGTCCACCTCGAGAAAGGCCAGAGGGTTCTCGAGAACCGAGATTCCCGTCTCGGCGAGCACCGTCTTGTCCGCGTCCTCATACAGGGGGTCTTGTGCGAAGCAGAGAATATCGTCCTCGGCCATGTCTTGGCGCCGGGCGAAAAAGGTTCGCAGAATGGGAATAGGGCATGCAGGCCGGCACTGCGATCTGCCATTTCGCAATCCGACATATTGAAACATGCCAAAGCGATGATCTTTTGACGCTGGGAATATTTGCCGATCCGAGTCTCGATAGAAGTTCTTGGCCGGGATTGCTGGCCTCTAACTCGATCCTTTTCTGCTGGAAAGTTTTCCGGACCGCCTCTAAGGGGAAAATAGGATACTGTGGGACGTATTCCTTTGTGACGTTGTGCAATTGGACGAGATGTCATTCGACTACTATACGGAGAAAGGCGTATTCAAGTTTAAATTCGTCCGCAAATCGTCGAGATTCCGAGGTTAAATGGTCCACCGGTCGAAATCGAACAGCAACTCTGCCGCTACGAGGATCAGGACATCCATCTCCTACCGATTTAAGAAGGACTTACGACACGATGTCCAGATCCGGCTCATCTCTGTAGGATTCGACAGTCCCAAGTTCCACAGGTATATCAACGCAGACGCCATCCAGACCTTGCATAGTGAAAGTCAAGGTGGTCTTGTCACCTAACTTTAAGTCAGTTGTCAGATGGTTGAGTTGCTGTGCGATATCCTTGATTGCGTCTTTGGTAAAGAATGGGACATTGGAGTCGTAGATGGTGTTGATTCTTTCTGACAAATGGGCAATCATTTTCCGATTCGCAGTTCGGCGAGCTATGTGAGCAGGGGAACGCGTAAGGCTGTCGGCTTTGTCAATAGCCTCCATGATGTCGGGTGGTACTGGGTAGCGAGCCATGGTATGTGATGTTATAGCGACTAAAGAGCCACGACAGCGATCAGGGGTGCAAACTCTATCCAATGTTAGCCTGAGTACAGATGTAAGCCAGGTCCACAGCTGGTGACAGACCTGACTAAAGTTAATCCGCACCGCCCCTTTACTTACTAGGTACTACCTATGCCTGTGCAGAATATCCGTATTCTTACCAAACATTAAACCGTGGGCTCAGCCGGCTCGGGAATAGCCTCACTTACATCAGATATTTCAAACAGTCAGTCAATCAACCAAATGTAGGTGCCCGGGACATCAAAAAAAAAAAATCAGATCCAGGGTCTGTGTTTAATTGTTTAATCTATGTACAGCCCTGGTAGTTCTCTGCAACTTCCTCGCAATGTCGTCGATAATTAGATGATAATAATTCTCATGTAGGTATGTACAGTATGAATATCAGCAAAACAAGCTTGGAGAGCGTGATTTTGGTGAGTTAGGAATGGAGCGACAGGGAGGCGGACAATGGGCTCAGATGAATCCGGATGCGTGTGTGGATATCTGATGCGGAACCCACGAAAAGATATGCCGCACCCTATAACAGGCATCGGCAAGGGTTCTTTTTCTGATTCTAGGATTTGTTCTTCGCATTTGCTGTTGTCAAGCGGCGCCCATTCTGTTGTTACTATTTATATGAGGTCCATGTTACGAGTACTATCTAGGTATTAGAACGGCGAGTAAGGCACAATTATATACTCAAGTCCAAGTCCCATCTCCTCCCAGATACGGCAGGACTAAATCAGTCAGGATATGAGTACCGGGTGCCAATATTTCTGAGGCAATCACCGGGCGGGAACTACAACATTTGGAACCGGCAATTAACAACCACGCAGTGAACATCGTATGCACGCACTTATATGAGCAAACTGAAAATTCGCCAGCCAAACTTGGAACCAGTACACCCTGAACATGAATCACCTCCCCCTACTCATCCAACTTGGCCACGTCGCTTTCGTAGCCCGTGATCAACATGTACCCAAACCTAGCCGCCTCGTCGCAGCGGCTCGCGAGCTCGGCCTGCCCCAGAGCCCGGTATGCCTCATCCAGAGTCCTCAGCGCTCTGACGACGTGTATCGTCATGAGGGGCGTCATCTTCTCGTCGGTGTACAAGCCGCGGGGGTCCCACTCCGCGCCATCCTCTTCGTCCGGGACGGGGAAGCCAAAGTTCCGCAGCAGCTTCCTGCCGAACCGCACCACCTTTGCGTGGTTCCTCCTTCCCGCGTGGGCCTCGACGAGGTAGTCGCACGCGAAGATGAGGGTCAGGCGCGGCAGGCGCGCGTACACGGCCGGCTCGTGCAGATCCTCGAGCTGCCTCAGCAGGCGCTCGACGGTGCGGATGGCCGTGTCCGGGATGAAGCCGTTGCCGCCCGGGCCGCCGGGGGCGGGCCGCTTCTTGTGGCGCACCTTCTCGATCCCCGTCAGGACGTCCTTGCGCCTCGCCCACGTCGCCGCCGGGCTGGCGCGGTCGCCCTCGCACAGCGGGCACCGGCACTCGAACCCCCACGCCTCGCGGTACTGCGCCTGCCGCGTCTCGGGGAGCGCCTTGACGGGCACGTAGGACTGGAAGAGCTCCTCGCCTGCGGCGATGGGGCGCGTGGCGCGGCTGACGAGCACGTCGCCGATGAAGGCGCGGTTCGTGTTGGGCACGCAGCTGTGGTTCATGTAGCTGGCGTGGACCCACAGGCCCTTTGCCATGCGGCCCGCCGGGGTGCTGGGTTTGGTGTCGTCGAGGGTCAAAAGCGGCGAGGAGAAGCAGTTCTTGGTCCGGATGCCCTCGAGCACGAACACGTCGACGACGGGCACGCCGTCGACGACGGCGCCCTCGGCGCCCGACCGCTCCTGCCCGCCGTCGTACAGGGGCAGCACCGAGGCCGCGAGGCTGGGGTTGTCGTACAGCTGGTGCACCATCGTGGCGTAGAGGGCCGCCGACGCGCGCGCGGGCTCGTACTGGTTCGGCATGAAGGTGGCCTTCTCGGTGAAGACGAGGTCGCCGGCGCGCAGGTCGCGGGTGGCGAAGAGGCCGTTGCCGTGCAGCGTCGATTCGGCGACGCGCGTGTTGGACAGGAAGGACGCGCAGTCGACGTGCACGTTCGTCGGCGACAGCGACGCGGCCATGGCGGCGAAGTCGTAGTCGCCCGTGGCCTCCTCGTGCACCCGCGCGAGGCACCGCGTCAGCTCCCGCTTGGGGCCCGCGGCCGAGGGGTCGAGCTCCAGCGCGGCCTCGAAGTGCGCCCGCGCGGTGCTGTATTCGCACAGCCCGTAGGCGGCGCGGCCGGCCGTGTACTGGGCCTTCCAGTCCGAGCGGCCTTCGGTCCGCGACTCCAGCGCGTCGGCCTTGGCCGCGTCGTAGCGGCCGAGGACGAGGTTCGTGCCGGCGCGCTTTGCGAACACGCCGGCCTTGAAGGATTGGTCCTCGCTGGCGTCTAGGGCCTCAGTGTAGCTAGAGGTTTTGGGTTAGCGGGCCGAAAATTGTCAGAAAATACGGGGATCTTGCCCCCAGACATGCTCACCAAAATACTGCGGTGGGAAAATCACGCTCGATAAAGGCCTTGTCCCCCATCATCCTCCACTCATCCGCGGACTTCAGAAGAGGGCCCATGCGCAACGGTTCCGGGATGATGGGGTCGTTGAACCTGAGAAGGATCACATCGGACGGGTGGTCGACACAGATCATGTAGTCGTCGTCCTTCCCGTTTTGCCTGTAGTACGGCTCCTTGACGGCGACGACACAGCCCTCGGGAACGCCTGAGAGGATGGACGAGTCGCTGTGGTTGTATGTGGCCAGCTTGTCCGCGTTACCGAACTCATCTTGGACGAGACTGATCGCGCCGGCTCCGAGGAAAGGCGGGCTGATCACCTTTACGATGATGCCTTGCCCACGGTGGTGGGTCTCCACGCTCAGCTTGGTGAGAGGTATCTGGGTGCTGTCAGCAACAGGGTTGGCCGAGGGGGGACTTCTGGGTTGGTTACTATTTCAAGGTCTCTGATCGACCGCGTCGAGGCGGCATACTTTCTTGAAAGCACCGGCTGCTTGACGGGACGGGGAGCATTTAGCGGGGAGAGGTCCTGCTTCTTGAGGTGGGACCTGTGTGTCTTCGCGAGCTCCTCTCTCGTGAGCCTCCTCGGAGGGAGTTTTCCAGTCAACGTCTCGGCCATGGTCGATGCACGCAATCCAATTCCCCGCGCGCCGGGTTATGACATTGGCACGCTGGAGGTTTAAAGGAGGAGGAATCCCAACCATGATGAAGGAAATATTGTTCCCCATTGTTGCGAACTAAGGCCCCGGGTTTTGGAAAGGTGGCATTCTCGGAGGCTGAGGAGCCGCCGGGCCGGGCAAGCCTAGATTTGAAGACAGCGGCTGCATATTAAGCGGGGGTGCTGGGCAATGCGTTTCCCGGGAGTTGCCCATCAGCAATTTGCATTGCCGGTCCATATACTATGTAATCCTTCCTGGGCTGCGGCTGCTTTGGGATGCTGCCACGCGGGTAACTCAATATCAGGTGATCAATAAACGACATGTCTGGATTTTGATGTCCAGAAGCAAATGATCAGAGTGATCTCCAACTTCCCCCATACTAATTTTGCGTGGGGCCCACGCCCCCGCATCCCCGCATCCCCTCATCCGCCCCGGCCCATCATCCCTCCGTACCATTTCGGGCTTCCAGTTGGAGGCTTGCATGGACTTGTCTGTTAATCCGACACACCTGCTGAGACTCCAACTTACTGGCTAAGAGGGTATGGCTAAGAGACTCTGGCTGAGATATTGCTACACGGCCCTTTCCGCTAGGGGGTTCAAATTATGATGCCTGCCTGTACACAGTAGAGCAGTAGGTACCTAAGTAGGTATGTCAATTGGGGAAGCATTTGACGGCCCGCTGGATTTGTGCTCTGCCATGTGATCACTGTACACGGGCCACCCCCTGTTACTACGTCGGCAATCGGGCAGGCTCCCCATTCTGGGAGAACCTCTTGCTTGCTCCCAAATTGTCCGTCGTAATGGATACAGTGAATTCCAAGCCAGACCAGCTCTGAGAATATTACGTATCGCAAGCCAAGAATTGTCGGCTACCCCTTGGACGATGCCAATCTTGAAACCCGATGTCCTCTCAACAATAAACGACACTATACTAATAATACTCAACTGCAGCATTCTGTGGGCAAACTCGATGTGCTCCCGCTCGAAATTATCCCCCACATACTCATTGTACCTGATCTGCCGACACTCACTACCTTTCGGCGCGTAAACCATCGTGCAATGAGCCTCGTCGATTCCCTGCATCAATACGGAATGGTGTTCAAACATTGGCCAAACGTGCTTCGTTCTATCATTAACATCCGCGCAGACTACTTTGACTGCAAGACCCTTTACCAGACACTCTCTTCTAGCAAGTGTAAAACCCGCGATCGCTTTGGTGGCTATCTCTACCTCGTCACCTGCAAACATGTATGCTATCTTTGTTCATATCGGATCTCGAATCCCTCCCTGTGTTAGCTAGGTATATGGTTACCTAGTCATGTTGGTTGCTCAAGAAGGGAACTTAAGCATCCGCCCTATATTGTCAGCCTACCTGGACGGTACACTGTGGGCGGCAAGTGGACGGGGAATAGAATTATGCTCTTTGATCGGCAAGTTGTGCTTGATAGGGCATCGGAGAATTCTATTCAGGCATTCAATGAGAGGATAATTACACCAACCAGACCGCACAACGAGAGAGCCTTGGCAATTCATGTATCATTTCAGCACCCAACCTCGGCGCATCAGGTCAGTCAGTTGATTGGGGCGTCCATTGCGCTGGCTGCGAAGACAACACTCAGCCTACGACGCATCTCAGAAAGTAGTTTACAAAAGATCGCATTGTTATTGAACGGCACGGGGCAATAATGTTGATAAGCCAGAAATTGAGCATTAAAAATGACACGGCGGTTCTACTTTAATCTCCAGCAACTGTAAATAACACAAAGAGACAGATAAATTGACCAGTGAATCTCATCCTTCCCCTCTCTTCACCATGACACTGCTTGAACTCCTCCTTCCTACAACCACAAGTGTACACAAAATAATATTGAGATACGCATAGCACTGTGCTTTGCGAGAGTGGGATTGCTTTGAGAGCGAGCTGAGCTGGGAGTGTTCGAGCTAGAATCTAAATCGGGCAGCAGGCGTTGTGTCTCGAGAGAAATTAAATGACCGTTGTTTCAGCTCTACAGGAAAGGAGGCGAGTCTTGTCATAACATGCTCCCTTGGCCGAACGCCTTCAGCGCCATTTAATCCCCAACTTCACTTAAACTCAAGCATTGGCCATTCCATGTATGTAGTATCTACTGCTTGTGTTCGATCACTCCGCTAATTATCAAAAGGGGCCTTTCTACAACAAGAAGACTTGTCCAGACCACTAGTCTAATGTCGATCACTCCCAAAACAGACAGCAACGTTCAAACATTTGGAAACGCTTGTCGATTCTATTGATGAGGAGCAAAGCGAATACCGTTTCCTAGCCGACAACCATTAACCAGTACCTGCCTAAGTGCCTTATGTAGTAGGTGCCAGCAGTCTGGTTTTTCCTTTCCATGCATGCATAACCTGCTACAACCTTCGTCTCTTAGTTATATCCGATGACCAATTCTCATTCTCATTTTGCCTCAGCACTAAACCTTAAAGCCGAACCTCACGTTCCTCTCCCCGCCTGGTGTACTTCATTCAGCAGTGTTCCTGCTTAAATCCATGTACAGCACCTGCAAGTCGAGCGTGGAATCGATATTGACATGCAAGCCACGTGGGGAGTATCCAGGGATGGTCAGGTAGTCTCATAAAACCCCCCTAGCCGGTCAACCCATATCTGCCTAGTGATGCCATTGCGATGTGCTGTCAAGCCCGCCTGCATGGTAGCTCTCCCCCAGAATATGACAGGTCATTATACTATGTAATGCCAACAGCGGTCAAATACATGTGGCGTCAAGTTCGCCCGGAAACCGCTCGCCGCTACTCGGACTATGCGGCTCTATGCCCAATTCGTAACCCGATAGTTGGTCCAGCCCGCGACTTGTCCCGTCAGGAGACTAGGGTGCTGCGGGTGCGGGGCGGCAACGTGCAGGGGCCGTGAGGGGTATATCTCCAGCGCATGTCGCCCACCACAAAGAAAAGAAAGTTTTCTTTTGGGCAATTATCGCTTCTGCTGCTGCTTCCAACTTACAGCAGCGTGCAAAAAGGAAAAATATCATGGCTGAGAACGGACAGAACCGTCCTATTGTATGTGTGAAAACCGCAATCCGTTGACGGAGTCGTGCCCGGCTAGAAAGGGCCTAGTGCTACGCTAATAATGCATCTCGGTCACTGGAGCTAATCATGACTGCAGGAGGCGGACCTTGAGATTAACGACGATGCGCATTCCACCCTTGATGTAGGTAGAGCCACCGCCATGAGTGCTATTCCTGCCCTTCGCTGGTGCTGACACGCGGAAAATTCGCAGTCAGTGGCAGGGACGTCTGCGACATCTCTGACCGATAGCATCCGGGAATTCCGTCAGGAAAACGGACGCACATACCACTCCCTGAGTGCCGGAAGTGGGTTTCAACACCTCGACACCCTCGGCCTTCTCTTGTTTGACTCTGAACACCGTCGGCTGACAGGTGGTTTGCGGCACAGAATACTGGCTGCCGAATGACGATGTAAGATGGCTCGCTTGCCCCTATGTGACTCCCGGCGTCGGTATGCAGTGCGCTGACAGCCTTCAAGCCCGAGCAAGACAGACTCGGTAAGTTAGCACAAGTGTCTTCCAGCTTTGAGGGGACTCGCCACCTGATTACTCCTCCAAACAATCAGATCTCCAGCATCATGCCCATCGCCTGACATGGGATGGCGACCTGTGTGTCTGCCCCAAGAAGAACGGCGCCAAGCGCGTCTTGGACCTCGGGACCGGCACGGGCGTCTGGGCGATGGAATATGGTGAGTTGTCCGCCCCGAGAATTTGACCTGCCCGCAACTGACCCGTGTGCCAGCCGACGACCACCCCGATGCCGAGGTCATTGGGGTTGATTTGAGCCCTATCCAGCCAGACTTGTACGGAAACTGCCCTGGAGCCTGTTTTGACAAAGCTAACGGGGAGGGCCTAGTGTTCCCTCCAACTGCACCTTCGAGGTAGACGACCTGGAAAAGGATTGGACCTGGTCAAATAAGTTCGACTTCATCTACGGCAGAGCAATGCTCGGCTGCTTCGCCGACCTGCAGTCAATCATCCAGAAGTGCTACGAGTATGCAAGCCCTCTTCCCCCTTCTCCCCCCTGATTCCCCCGCCGATTCCACCAAGTCTGTATCCCCATCTGACCCACCACAAGCAACCTCGAGCCCGGCGGCTACCTCGAGATGCACGACGGCTCCTTCCCGATCCGATGCGACGACGACACCCTGAAGCCCGACAGCGTCCTCCTCAAGGTCACCGAGATGGTGATCGAGGCGTCCGCCAAGCTGGGCCGCCCCATCAACCTGTCGCAGCACTACAAGGTCATGTTCGAGAAGGCCGGCTTCGCCGACGTCCAGCTCCTCCCCTACAAGTGGCCCACCAACCACTGGCCCCGGAACCCAAAGATGAAGACCATCGGCCGCTGGTCGCTGGCCAACACCGACGGCGGCTGGGAGGGCATGTGGCTGGCGCTGTTCTCGCGAGGCTTGGGCATGTCCAGGGAGGAGATCATGGTGCTGTGCGAGCAGAGCAGGAAGGAGTTGCGGGATCCGAAGATTCATGCCTACTGGCCCGTGTAAGTGTGGCAGGAACCCACCGGTTTCTGGGTCGTCGATTTGCTGACTTGATTTCTGATTCTCAGGTACTGTTGCTACGGCAAGAAGCCGGACACGCCAAAGGCTGCTGAGGGGGTGGCGTAGCAAGTTCCTCTTGAACCGGGGTAGTTGATTCGAAGAGCAGTCGTGTGCCCGTTGGGGTACCCTTGCAAAACATACGGGCTCCTTCATCTAGCTTGATATTGAAGCGCTGAATTTTTTTGGGGTATGTTCATATTACGACACCGGCAGCACAAAAGCATGAACAGAGAATTTGTCAATAAACGGCATTGTAGATAGATTCGGAATTCTGAAATACCTTTGCCATGGAATAAGGTTGTGAGGGCGTTAAGCATGCACTTTAAAAACCCGCAGTGCTCAACACTATCATGCGCAATGGGCCCAGATGAAGGAGGGTTAGATCCTCCGTGTTCAGCTTCAGCCCGGCGATAGAGAGAACGAAACTCGATGAAACAGGTCAGAGCCAGCAAGACGTGACCGAGGTAACGGCCATTTGGTCCGTCGACCCAGAACTGCCCTTTGGCAACGGAGAACAGACGGAACCCAGCGATGCTGGTGTGGTTCGTGATCGGCGATGATCTTCAAGGCAACTCACCAGTTCGTGAGGGCGTCTCGAGCAAGCCAGACGGTTGAGAAACCGCCAAACCTGAGCTTATGGACGACTCGGTAGCGATCATCGTATACGTCGCCGAGATATACTAGGTGGAAGCCTCCTGGCTGTGGTTTTGAGATTGTCACGTTTCCCTAGCTCGAACGGTAGGTACTTCCAGGTGCTGGATTTCGAATCCGAGCTCATAGCTGTGGAAAAGCTGGGATCATGCGCACTTGTACCGATGCCGTTGCTTAGATGACTTTCAAAGGTTGCAGACAATGTTTACGCTCTTGCAACGTTGTTGAAGTTAGAAATATTGCTCATCAGATTTACTCAAAGAAACAACTAGGATAATTATAAAATAAAAGATTTAGGGAAAAGAATAGGCAATTGGTAGCTTAGGAGATTGAAAAACACCACAACCAGGCTTTGTTTGTGTAGAAAGAGGCACTTGACGATAGCTTCAGTTTAGCCTCGAAGCTGTCCTGTGAAAGAAGCAGATACAAGTCGTCCGTGCGGCACACACAGCTTTGTATGCAATATCAAAGCTCTGATTTCCGGGGATCACGACAATTTAGTCTTGTCGACGTAGGCCAACATTTTACGTGGCAACGTGGAGTTGTTGATTTGGGTAGCTACCTAACCAAGAACAGTGAAAAGGGAACCTCAGAGGTAATCGCTCAGGTCGAAGAACTGGAGAGCAGTTTTCAGCCTTGCCATCAGAGACAGCGCGAAAGCCTAATTTAATTGGTTTGCCTCTGTGGGTGGCGTTTTTAACCCAGTCAATCCCTGCTCCAGAAATGCGGAGCAAGGTCGAGGCTGAAAAGTTTTGTGACTCCCAACCCGCCTTCTTCAAGTGCGGCTTGTTCGACGGGTTTCCTCTAATTTGAACCCCAGTGTCGCTCACAACCCGAGAGCGCCAAATTTCTGGATCGAACTACATACCTCAAAACTGACCTGGGATTGCCGCGAAACCTGGCCCCTCGTTTTGGGTTGAGTCTACAGTCGGCTCGACGCCAGCCGAACTGAAGATGGCAGGCCTCGCCTCTCCGGCCGTGGACGGCGACGATGCCGCTAAACTCGCCGTATTGAAGGAGACTCTGTACGATGAGATGCAGCAACATGGCAGCAACGAGCGTCTCTACAACCAGAAGGACCTCATCGACCTCAACATCATCCCAAACGACGACATCATCCTTCTGCTCCGAGTGGTCCAACGTCTCTGCGACGACTATCTCCTCGTGAGCACCAACGATGGGCGTTCAGGGCTCGCATGGAGATGGCGTAGCAAGGAAGATGCCAGGAAGTACGTTAACTCCATCCTATCCCTCCATACCTCCCGCACAGCCCCCCCCTCTCGTCTTCCTACTTCGATCGTGTTGTAATGCTAATCGCCTCCGTCCTCTCTCTAGATACCGAGCCCTCCCGAATAACGAAGCCGTCATGGTCTACACGCTGATCGACGAGGCCTCCTCTGACGGCATCTGGAGCCGGACGCTCAAGGCCAAACTCAAGATGCACGAGTCCGTCCTCAAGCAGTGCATCAAGCACCTCGAGAGCAAGGGGTACATCACGGACATGAAGAGCGTCGAGCACCCCAACAAGAAGATGTACATCCGCGCCGACCTGCGGCCGTCCGAGCGCGCCACCGGCGGCGCCTGGTACACGGACAACAACCTGGACGAGGCCTTCATCACCGAGCTCGAGGTCGTCGTCTTCAACTTCGTCAAACTCAAGAGCGCCCACTTCCGGGAGGGCTCCAGGGCGCCCCGGAAGGGCGTCGTCAAGGGCGAGCCCGGCGCCGGCCCCAAGGGCAAGAAGCGCGCCGCGACCGAGATCTCGGACGAGGCCGGCGGCGGCGGGCCCAGCGCCAACGGCACGCACGCGGCGGGGACTTCGGCCTCGGCCCCGACGACGCCAGCGGCGGGCACACCCGCCCCCGCCCCCACCCGCCAGGCCCAGCACCACCCCCGGAAGGACGCCTTCCAGCCCTACCCGGCGGGCTACATGCGGTACCCGACGATCCGCGAGATCGCGCAGTTCATCAGCGACATGCAGATCACCAACAACACGACCCTGTCGGAGAGCGACGTGCAGCAGCTCGTCGACGTCCTCGTCTTCGACGGCCTGCTCGAGCCCATCCTGGTCGGCCGCCGCCAGGGCTACCGCGCCACCCGCATCGCGAGGCAGGACCCCGTCGCCCGCCCTGGTCAGGGCCCCAGGCCCGGCGACGACGGCGCTGCCGACGTCCCGCCCCGCCCGGCCCTCGGCATAGAGCCACTCTCCAACGCCCTCGTCGAGGCGCCGTGCGGAAGGTGCCCCGTCTTCGACCTGTGCGAGGAGGGGGGGCCGGTCAACCCGACTAACTGCGTCTACTTCCAGCGGTGGTTGGGCCTGGATTGAAGATGCTTGCTTGGTGGGTCAACCTGGGAGGAAATGGTCCCGGGGAGGAAATGATGGCGGAGAGGCTCCTGGTACGGATCTAAGCCCCTGTGCGGAGGACTGATACTAGTTTTTGCTGATATTTCATGGCATCGGCGCTCGAGGTTGGGAAGGAAAAGTTGAACATGTTGACGAGGCGTTAATACGGGTGAACGAGTAGTCATTGCTGGCGGCTGACTCCTGAAATGGCATTGCATCTGGTGTATTATACTTTATACATACCCCCCCCCCCTTTGGTGTAGAAGCGGCCAAGCAAGGCTACTGCGAACGAAGACGATTCATCATCCTTTTGGACGGTCCTTGGCGTGATGGTGATTCCCGGAGGTGTCATTTAGGCTGGGCTGGGCCGGGGCAAAAAGAGCTACGCATTCATTCCACATCCAGAATTTAGCATGATAGGAGGCAATGAGTGCAGTGCTTTTCGGTCGACTATCTAATGACTAGTATACTTGAAGGTATGCCACCATGATCAGTCACCCAACCATCCCATATCGTGAAAGCCGTAGTCCAATCGGAAGGCATGGACAGCAGACAGCTTCAAGTCTTGAAACTACCACTTAGAGCTGACCGCAGTCAACAATGGTAGGCTTCTTGGCGTAGCTGATGGTGCCAGACTTCGAGCCGGTAGTCTCGAGAGCCTGGACGACTCTCATCGACTCGTCGTCAGCAACTTCGCCGAAGACGACGTGGCGGCCATCGAGCCAAGAGGTCTTGACGGTGGTGATGAAGAATTGAGAGCCATTGCTTCATGAATCATCCATGTTAGTCAGGTGCAAAGATTCGAGCCCAGGTGGCGGGCAAAACGGGCAAGAGAACATGGATGAGGCATCATCAACTTACGTGTTGGGACCAGCATTGGCCATGGACAGAAGGCCGGGGCGGACGTGGCGCTTCGTGAAGTTCTCATCGGCGAACTTCTCGCCATAGATGGACTTGCCACCGGTGCCCTGCAGATAATGTCAATACCTACTACTGCACGAGTACAACCTATGCCTTCCCATAGAAAGGCAGGAGCTTAATGGACAAGGTCTTACGTTGCCGCGAGTGAAGTCACCACCCTGGAGCATGAAGTCAGGGATGATGCGGTGGAAGGCAGAGCCCTTGTAGCCGAAGCCCTTCTCTCCAGTGCAGAGGGCGCGGAAGTTCTCGGTGGTCTTGGGGACGACGTCGTCGTAGAGGGTGAAGTTAATCCGTCCGCTCTGCTCTAAAATAGATATTAGCTACTACATTGATGGAATTGTTGATGCGGGGTTGCGTTTGCAGAGTTTTCGGACGGTGAATCAAAACAATCGAGTGGGGTCATTGCTGGAAGCTCGATTCCCAAAGAGCTCGGCGAGGTGATGGGATGAGGGGAATCTTTTCAGACACGTTGGAGTGACGGGTGAAGTGGACAAGGACATGTCTTCTTTTGATGGATTGAGGATGATGGCGTGATGATAGAGGTCCAAGAAGCTGCTTACCCTTGATGTCCCTGGTCGGGCGACCGCTGGCATCCAGGACAGGGCCCTCCCAAGTTACGTCGAAGAAGCTGCAAGGTGAGAAATTTAGCAAAGACTGGCGAGAAAGTCGGGGTGAAGGAGAAGATCAATGCTTACACTTTAGACATGTTGAGGATTGGTGATGATGAGATGAATCGTGCAGATAGTCCGAAGGAAGATTGCAAAGGTGCTGAAGATCTCGAGCAAGGTGTTGTTGTTGGAAGAAGCTGAGAGAAGGTGGATCGAGGCACTGCTGATGAAACCAAGCAGTTTTGGCGGGGTAGGAGGGGTCGGAGGATGCTGGGTCTCATTTTTACGCTCTGGAGGGGTAAATAATGTTAGCAATTTCAGCCACTCAGCGTGCTGGATTGATTCCGGGAGTGGGGGCGTGGAGGCGCAGTTCTGTGGGCAAAAGCTCAATCACGTGAGGATGAGGGGAATAGTGAATCCAAGCTGCCAAGAGCTACAAACAGGCTCAGGGCTTAGCTAATGGGCTTAAGCAAAGGGCAGCTGAATAGCCCAAGGAAGAAGCGTCCCCCTTCCATCAACTGGCAGCTGGCTCTGCTCAAAGACAGGTTTGGCTCTTGTTTTTCACCAACCAATGGCAGCGCTCTTGGTGGTTAAACCATGATGCTTGTCTTGTGTTGTGAAGTGTGAATCTCACAGATTTGCTCTGCAGCTGTCGACGGCTGGTCTGCCATCCAGGTGCGCGAAGCACAATGCAGGATGCTGTACGCCAATTGGGCAGGCCAAGTCTGACGACATTCGACGCAGGGCATGTCTACTGCAAGTTTGCAAGTCCAGCAAGATTTTACCGCAACCATAAGCTCCACCTCCACCTGTCACACCCTCGGCCCTTCGGAGCTTCGGGTTGAGGGATGGGGATAATCATATGGTTGTTGCAACTGCCATCAAGCTTGACTGCCCTGCAAGACAAGTTGTCCAAGGTCGGTGGGAAACAACCCAGGAGCTGCATGCAACCTTTACATCCTTGCTGTAATATGCAATGCTTCGCAAAAGGGAGTATCCAAGGCACAGCTGGAAACTGCCAAAGGGCCCAGATGGTGGAGATAGAGTCAGAATGGATAGACCACGTACCTTTAGAACTGAAGCTCTGGAGAGTTCGGATATAGTACAATTGAAAATACAAGTCGAAATGAAGTCAGAGGCAGTAGGAATGTTGAACGTTGGCAGATCTCCTTGACACGGAGATTGAGCTTGTCAAAAGTTTTAGCTTGGGCGTTCTGGCCTGAGGCACCAATAACTACCCCCTATTCGTAACTGCCCGTGTAATCGCCTCCTACATTGACAACAAGACACAGATATACAATACGCACTACACTTTATCAATTGGACTATTTGTATCCGTATCTCTAAGCCAGTGACAATCATTGACCCAAAACTTGACCTCCTCAGAACCTCAATGACGGCAAAGTCAGACAGTATCGTCACGTGATTCAAGAGATGACCTGCCGAATCAGGAGGTGACCTGTGCCACCCTGACAACTTTGAGAGATCGAGCCGAAACCTCTTGGCATTTAGGAAACCCGACCTGTCCAGACGGCAGCAGCTTCATCAGGCCCCTTTGCCTTGAAAACTCGTGGAACTCTAGAAGACATAAACCCTGCGAATCAGCTAATCATTTCCTACCTTGGCCGAAACGCTCGGTTTCCTCAGCAGAACGCAACTTTTTCAAGATGGACTTGAACAACTTGAAAGACGCCGTCTCCAACCTGACGCTCTACGACCTCAAGGCAGGCGTACGGAAGGTCCAAAATGGTACGTCTCCTTCCGCGCTTTCTACCACGCTCCTCGCGCTGACAACCGATCGTCGCAGCTGTCATGAACTACACCGAGATGGAGGCGAAGGTTGGATAGACTACCCCAAAACCCGACGGGAAGACCGGGCCCAGGGCTGACACCGAATCCACAGGTACGGGAAGCAACAAACAACGAACCTTGGGGGGCGTCGTCAACATTGATGCAAGAAATTGCCAATGGCACATTTAGCTAGTATGCCTCTTGCATGTCTCGCCTTGCGAGGGGATGGTAACGCTAACTGCCCAACCACCACAGCCAAACCCTAAACGAGATCATGCCCATGATCTACCGACGGTTCACCGAGAAGGCGGCCGAGGAGTGGAGGCAGATTTACAAGGCGCTTCAGCTGCTCGAGTTCCTGATTAAGCACGGTTCAGAGCGAGTCATCGACGATGCCCGATCCCACCTCACCCTATTGAAGATGCTGCGCCAGTTCCATTTTATCGACCAGAACGGGAAGGATCAGGGTGTCAACGTCAGGAATCGCGCCAAGGAACTCTCCGATCTGCTGAGCGACGTCGACCGCATCCGCGCGGAGCGCAAGAAGGCCCGATCAAACAAGGCGAAGTACACCGGCGTCGAGGGCGGCATAGGCGGGGGCTTCTCCGGGAGCAGCCGCTTCGGCGGATTCGGGAGCGAGTCGGGTGGTGGATATGGCGATAACTCTGGGTATGGGGGCTACTCGGGCGGCGTCTATGGAGACGGGGGCGGTTTCGGTGGACAATCCAGCGATTTCCGAGACGGCCAAGCGCGGGGGGGCGCGGACAGGTTCGAAGAGTACGACGAATTTGACGAGGGCGAGCGCCCCGGAGCTTCCCCAGGCCCGCCTCGAGCCAAGCGGACGGTCGAGAGGGCAGGAGTGAAGAAGACGACGGAGCCTCCAAAGAAGAAGGAGCCCGAAGTAGACCTCTTCTCCTTTGACGAGCCGGCAGCGCCTTCCATCCCTGCGGTGCCCGCAGCGGCCCCGTCGAATGGCTCAGGCCTCGCATCTCTGAGCACGCCCGCAGACGACGACGAGTTTGACGACTTCCAATCCGCAACCCCGTCGACCCAGACCGCGGCTCCTCAGTACTCCATGGCAAGTCCGCTCGCCCCTCCCCCCTTCACGTCCACGGCATCTGGCGCCCAATTTGCCGCCCCTCAGCCAGTGTCGGCCCCGAAGCAGGCAGACCTGGGCAACATGGTCGGGCTGTCGTCCATCTCCCCTCCCGCGAGCTCGGCCGGCCCCAACTACTCCGCCTTCAACGCTCCTCTCATGGCAAGCCCGACATCCTCCTCACAGCCACTCAAGCCGGCCGGATACCAAGCATCGGCACCGAACTACTTCCAGTCCGTGCCAGTCCTGGGATCGCAGCAATCGATCCCGTCGTCCCTCGGCGGAGCCAAGCCTGCTGCTGCCCCGGCCGCCGCCAGACCCGCCCCCAAGGGCGACGCCTTTGGCGCCCTGTGGATGCAGGCCGGCGTGGGAGCTAAGAAGACGGGCACACAGGGGTCCGGACCCGCTATGGGCCAGCTAGCGAGGGAGAAGAGCAGCGCCGGCATCTGGGGGGCGCCGGCGTCGTCCTCGTCGACTCCGAAGCCGGCTGCTGGCGGCAAGCCAATGGGTGGCTCGAGCAACGGGCTTGATGATCTCCTAGGATAAGAGCGCAGCGCGCCCAATCGGGCTTCGGGGGTGGCGTGTGGCCTGCTTCACATGTGGTCGGTGGGGGGCGGGGGGGGAGGGCAGGCCGTGGTTTGTAACAAGACTGGCGTATCACGGCAGCGAAAAATGCCTGTTGGTCTATGAGGCACAGCACCGGGGGAGCGATGGATGTTGAGAGATCTGTTTGTCTGCATGTACAGGATGATACGGCGCGGGAATGCAGGTGGCACGCAGGGGCGGGCAGCATATGGCTCCATCAACCCCGACTTGCGGTAGATGGGGACAAGGAGTAGCAGCGAGAAAAGAAACGCACCCAGACAGGATGGCACGAAAACACGTGAATATGTATAAAACTGCTCTTTGGTTTGCGACAGCATTTTCGCCGTCGTCGCCATTCGTTACTTCCTCGCGACACTCGCTCTCGCCCAGAAACAGAATAGCAGAATAGTTTCCAAGCTGATCCTTGCTATTCTTCGCACGCACAACTCCTCTCGGGCTACGCTCGGGCTACGAAAGTCGCACAATCCATTCTATCCCATCACACAACTCTTTCAACTAGTGGAACCGGACGTAGAGCACAGCCTCGGTCAAGGACAGTCGCAATGACAATAGATAGGTGGTCAAGCAGGTAGGTCACTGGATGTATCCAACCTGCAGCCTGGCCTAAACAGGTCAGATTTCAAGCCTGAAAAAAGCACCCAGACGCTGAAAGAAATCGCGTTAGCACCAGACGACTGGGCCGGCTTGATCCCGCAACAAATCCTCGCCGTCTCCCTGCGGCCCAGTCAGCCGGCCCTCGGTCGTCCATTGTCTGTTTCATCTGATCGACCCGTCGACCAGCCTAGAGCTCTGTACTCTTTCTTTTTTTGGCTTTAGTCTCGCGGTCGTTGTCGTCTCTCTGCCAACCACTCCATTTCTCGAAAGACAATCGCAAGTTCAATCTCGAAGCCTGCTCAGCTTCGAGCAAGGAAGATCATCCTGTTGTGTATCCGTACGATGATCTGGCAACCCCTCGCGCCTATTCTTAGGTACGTACCCGATTTAATTTCCGATGCTCCAATGCACCTCGTCCAATGACAACCCGGTCGACTCTCCTCGCCGCGACGACGCGCTTGGCCGGTTGGGGGGCCCGACGTTTGAAACACCGCAGCCCTACGCCTCTCCCCTCTTCAGACCATTGGGATTGGCATGATGCCAGGTCGCTTGTTTGCATGAAAGCGCCAACTGGTCGACTCTCGAGTGGGGGCTGGCTACCAGGTAGATAGGCGAGGGACCGGCTTCGGGCCATGATTGGTCTCCGACACGCCGGGGGCGTTGCGGACACCCACGCCATGGATCGACCCATGCCTGCCTGCCATCGAATGCGTCCCATCCATTCGCCGTTAATAGGTATGGTTCTGTGCCCTGGATGGTCTAGAGTCAAGATCGCTGGTTGAGCCGCAAGCATCTCTTCCCGACAACCGCGCCTCCGTCAGTCGCTAGGCGCCCTGCAGGTCAACAAAGACGATCCCCTGTGGAACCGCTCCGAGACAGGTCCGACAATGGGTCTGGCAAACACCATCCATCCTCTTGCTCCCTTCCGTTGGACAGCAGAGGCGTTTCCTTAATTGGAAACAGGGCCTGGACTCTTGACGACTCGAAAATGCGAAACAAGACCTTCTCCAACGGGGGCTGAGGTCACCAACCTAGGAAACGAGCCCCGGTAGGTCTGACGGTGAGTAGTAAGTACATAAGGTCGGCCCATCTGCGGTCATGTCTGCTTCATTGTTGCGGTCACATCAGATATCATTCAGTCATATTCCTTTTCGGTCTGTCGGTTTGGGTCCTTCGCGGTCATTAATCGGTTTCTCCTTGCTCCTTTTTGTCTCCTTGTTTTTCTCGTTTCCAGTCCACTACTCGATTTCTTGGCCTCAAACCTTACGCTTTCCTTTATATTCCTCGGATCTAGTCTTATTTCTCCTCCGATCTTCTCCTTTCCTCAGCACTTCCCAACAATCCCAATCGATCTATCAGGGCTGGGCCCTCGTAACTTCGCAAAACACCACGTTCGCTCTGAAAAGCTAGACGCCAGGTTCGAAAATGACGTACAAAGACCACGGATACTATGGCTACGCATACATCGGCGCGAGGCTTGCGAAGGTGGTCACGCTGGTGCCCATCATCGGGCTGGTGGGCAACTTCCTCAGCTTGATCGCCAAGTCCAAGCACAGTCCTCCCTCGGAACTCGTCGCCACCATCGCCGTGGTGAGTCCCCACCTCCCGACACCAAGTCTCCGACGCTCCCGCAAAAGCTAACAAACCTCCCCAGACCTGCGCCGCCCTCCTCTGGACGATCATCTCCATGACAGCCTACGACGACACCCACATCCCCTACCTCGCCACCTTCGCCGTGGACATGCTCTTCCTGGTCCCCTTCCTCGTCGTCGCCATCCTCCTGGGCCAGCCCCTATCCGTCACGACCTGCTCCGACCTGCCCAACGAACAGGGCAGCGTCGTCCTCCCCCTGGCCGCCTCCGCCGGCCAGCCCGTCAGCTACGTCGTCTTCTCGGGCGCCGGCCGCACCGTCTGCTACGAGCTCATGGCCGTCTGGGGTCTCGTGCTCGCCCTGTGCGTCCTCTTCGCCACGAGCTCCATCGCCGCCGGGTTCCTATATCTCGGAAAGCGTCGCGCCGCCGGCCCCCGCATGGGCATCGGCAACGGCGGTCGGGGTTTCATGGTCGGTGGCGCTGCCCCCGGCGGATACCAGATGAACGAGTCGCAGATTGAGATGGCGCCACCCAAGCCCTTCTCGCGGAGCCCGAGCCTAGGCCCGCAGAACAGCGCCCCAGGTAGCCCGACCGGCGGCTTTGGCGGTGAGAGCTTCGACGGGCCGCCGCATCAGCGCTCCGTGGGCGGATATGACAGCCCCGGCGCTCCCGGCAGCCCGACCGGCAGTTTTGGTGGTCCCCTGAGCCCGCCGCCCGCGCACCATCGCAATCTCCATTAGGGGTGCGGGGCACCGCGGGGAGGCGGCCTAGACAGCGGGATAGTGGGGAAGGGGCCGGAGTGGGGATCAAGCTCGCCGTCGCCTGTGCCTGACGTGGCATCGCTGTCACAAAGACAACAGGGCGATGCTTCGCACAGGGCAACACAGTGGCCATCACCGCCGCCATCTGGGCTGGGGAGAAGACTCACAGGACTGTCTCTCTCCAGCAACAGAAACAGGGACACGATGGTGACGGACTCGGTCCACAGCCCCGTGAGCCCCGGTGTTGTCAGCGGCGCGGGCGTGATCCCCATTGCCCTATCTCCAACACCTCCACTGTCCAGTCCGCCCGCCGCGGTGCCCATAGCTGGGTCAGCACAACAGGAGAAAGCAGGATTTCAAAGTCAAGGACCGCAGGGACGGTTCCGTGAGGTCGGCGTCGACGGCCGGGATCTTCCCCCCCTGCCGCCGATGCCCTTCTCGCCCGAGGATTCATCCCCGACAGCAGTGACGGAGGTGAAGTGGTCGCGGGTGCGCGAGCTACGCGCCTCTCTCAAACCCTCGAGGCGTCTACCGCCACCGCTGCCCAGCCCCTCCGTGTACGACGGCTTCGACGGCGATGCTCCTGACGTAGAGCAGGCGCAGTCGTCAAAGCGCAAGACGCTACTGCAGCGGGCGATCGAGGGCTGGTGGGACTTGCCGGGGCTGCTGAGCCGGTCGGATACGGTGAGGGGGAAGTCGAAGCCATTTCCTTCGTCTAGGAAGGAGACTTCCTGATAATAGCATTTCTAATGTAATTCGGCGGTTGAATCTGTCGTAGAGAGGATATGTTGACGAGACTTTCTACTTGAAGTCTCTTTCTTCCTTGCATTGACACCCGGGCGTTAAGGGGGTTTGAATTATACTAGGCTTAGATTGAGAAAGAATAAAAGAAACTGCCACTCACCTTGTCTAAAATTCGATGCGGGCGGTCTGATGTCCATCTTGCCTTCTCGCCCTAGGCAACCGAATAGCAGGTCTGGACTCAGCCATCGACCTCCCACGCCCATATCATATAAGCAGCGCAGGATGCCCCAGACTTCTCAGGCAAGCCGCGACATCCCAGCCACCCGCCCCGTCCCCCATCCCGCCCCCATCCGCCCACAGCGCTTCCATGATCGCCATCGCCTCCGTCATGGTCCCAAACGCCTTCACGGGGCCCATGGCGGCGACCATTTCACGTATGGAGTCGCGCTCCTCCTCGCCCGCGACGCATCCTGTGACGCAGAGCGGCCAGACCACGGTCCGCAGGCTCGCCGGCGAGGGCAGGTCCCTCAGCGTGGACAAGGTGAGGGCGACCGACTCGCGGATCTCGGCCCCGCGCGGCTGCCAGCCGTTGACGACGACGGCGAGGTAGGTCAGGGCGGCGTAGGCCCAGACGCGCGCCGTCGCAGCCCTGGTGCTGGCGGCCGCGGTGGCGGCCAGGCGCCGGCGGCAGGACTCCAAGAGCGGGTCGAGGGCGTCGGGGGGCGGGCGGCTGGGCGACTGATCAAGGGTCGGGATGCGGGAGCGCAGGCCAAGCTCTATGGAGGAGGCGCGGGTGACGAGCTGTGCCATGGACAGGGAGTTGGATCGCATCATGTCCTTCTTCCAGGCGTCTAGGACGGCGATGGAGCTGATGGAGAGGATAATCCAGTTTTCAAGGCCGAAGAACTCGGCCATGTCTAGGTGGGGGTGTGACGGTAGGTGGGTGTCGTCCTCCACACAACTGTGCTCCGGAGTGGTGAGGAGGTGTTGGTGGTATTTCTGCAAGCGGGGAGGTTGTTCCAGCGCCGTGGCGGAGAGGACATCGAAGAAGAGGATGCTAGCGGTGAAATAGCGTAGTGAGGCCTGGTCTGCGTTCCAGGGAATATTCTGAGTCAACAAGGTGCGCGTTGTAGCCCCGTTTCCCAGATGAATGAGGAGTAGATGCCAGCAAGGGAAGCCGTCCTCGGTGCTGCCATGGTGTTCCATTATCTGTTCGAACAAGGCCGAAGAGGCGTCTAGATGGATCTGCCAGTTTCCGGTGTTGCCAACGGCCACTTCAAATAACAGTAGCTGAACAATGCTGCTCATGACCTGGGTGCTTTCCTTCATGTACCCCTTAACGCCCCGCCTGTTGAGCTCTTGTATGTCTGCCTGGAGCTCCCTCATCGACAGCTCTTGCTGTTTTGGAAGCTCTTCGCTGCTGTGGTTCTTGCATTGCTGGGGCGACCCCTCGTCGTGGTAGAGAGCGACCGAGAATACATAAGTCGCCAGACTCAGCGCGGTGTGGAAGAGGGCTTTGTTGCGCATGAGCACCACCAGAAGCCAACCCCTCCCGCCGTCAAGAAGACGCGGGGTATAGAAGGGATTCAGAAAGGGGAAAAGGTAATCCAGGTAGAGCATGATGAGACTGAACTCAGACTCGTTCGGCATGCTTGCGGTTGATGAGGTTGATGTGCCCATCGCCGCGAAAGAATTGGCTCCGAGAGTCAGACCGAAGAGCGAGTCGGGAGTTAGGCCGGTCATCGCCGTGTCTGGCATCCACGAGTCAGTTCCAGAGCCATACGGCGTCCCGTTGGAAGTAGATGCGCCCGACGATGACGCCGGGCCACCGGTGGATGGTGGAGTGGCGACTGCGTCGTCGCTGGCGGCGTGGTCCCCCTGGCTCTCTTGGGTTTGGAGAGTATGTTTCTCCCCGCGGACACGGGCATGGTGCTTGGCCTGGGCCTTGACTTGGGCCTTAACATGGCCGGCCTTTTCCTTCTGTTTCTCAGCGCCGTCCATCCAATCTGGCTTAGTGTCGCTGTACAGGCATTCGATTTCGAGGCCGGCGCAAATGCCGCAGATCGGGTGGCCCTCGTCGCATTTCTTCCTTCGAAGGCGGCATGTCCAGCAGCCCCCGGCACTTCTAGCTTTGGCAGCCATGGGGCATGTGAGCTGGAAATGGAAGGCAGGACTCAAATCATTTGTGGACTCTTGGTAGTTCTTGGCTGTCCCGTTTTCCGAAGTCACCAGGCACCAGAATTACTAGTAGTAGTAGATTTGGTTGGATTTGTCAGCAACGGGCACCTAAACCTCTATAGAAGATTGCCGTTACCCATTTAGGAAAGAAAGAAAGCCTCTTCGCAGCTCTAGGTTCCATGTTTCCCGTCAGACTGATCATTTCTCGCTAACATGGATGTCAGGTTAAACTTTTCCTATACCTGACCCGGCTTGCGGTCCAAAGCAGGCCCTTCCCACGCTCCTTGCGTCGGCCGTCTCGCCGCAGATCCTACCAAGTTCTGCTATGATTTGGCTGGTGAATGCCCCTCCCAGACCTTCCTCGATATCATATTATGTGACAATCTGCCGGGCTCCCAAAAATGCCAACGTCCTCGTTGTGTGTAGCTGTTGCTCAATTCCTCGTCTTAACCCAGTCTGGGGTCGTCCACTGGGCTAACCTCGGCGCTGACAGCGGTCATAGACAAAGGCCCCGTCGACGACCTGAGGTCGGGCCAAGGGGACTCGCTGCCCTATGCAGGAGGTCAATACAACGCCGTTGACGATTTCTATTTCACTTTTGGGAATCGGTGAGAGTGCCTGTTTGTTATCTTTGCCTCTGGTAACCGCTTGTTGGATTTGGTTGAGCTGTCTAGCCTGCCCTGCAACAAGGTATTTCTAGGCAGTACTGGCAAGAACACTCTAATTCAGACATGCCATTGATTGCATCGTGTTACATTGAGCTGCGTGACACCCTCCAATGTAGCCACAGTCCCTGGCAGACAATGCTATTTCTACAAAGGAATGAACCCATCCAGGGCCAGCCCCTTAAACACAGCTCAGAAGACTATTGTGTGACCTACGTGTATAACAATTCCCTTACTTCCTTCTAAGAACGCCAATATTCGCTCCTGCTCAACTCCCTAGATCCTTCCACAATACGTAGATCATCCTTTATGCATTATCTTCCCCTTTCCTCCATGGTGTTTTCCCTCTCGAAACCAGACAACGTTATAAACCACGCTGACATGGGCAAAAAGGGCGGGCTCAACCTCCAGCGATATATATATATATCAGGCTGCTCTAGTAAGTGATAAAAAAGGCCTCCCCACTGAGATCATCGAATACACAAAATGCAAAAAAACTATATGCGTTGTATTTGCAACGACTCTGACGAGGCTCATCATCAAACCTCCAGCTTATCACCACTACACCCACCCGGACTTCTCCGGGTCACGGAAAATCAGGTCGAGCACACACAGCTCAGCCCCGGCCCCCCTTCGGCTGCGGAAACTCATCCAACACAACCTCCTCCCCCGTCAGCTCAAACCACAGCTCGCTCCGCGCCGGCACATCCAGCACGAGCCTATACATCCCCGGGTACAGCACCGCGTTTCCCGCGCCGTCCGCCCGCGCCAGCGCCCCCAGCCCCAGCGGCGGCAGGACCAGCTCTACCTTCTCGCCCGGCCGGACCCCGCGCGCGCGCCCGTACGCCGCCAGCGTCTTGAGCGGCCGCGGCTCGGGCCCGTAGTCGCCGCCCGCCAGGAACGCCAGCGCCACGAAGTCGGACGTCGTCCGGCTGCCGCGGTTGTGCACCTCGACGACGGGCCCGTCGCCGCTGAGGGTGCAGAGGTCGCGGTGCGGCGCGTCGCAGGACGCGAGGAGATCTGCGATGGCGATGGTGCTGCCGTTGGCTGGGGCGGAGCCGGAGCCGGAACCGGGAACGTTGCCGCCAGGCTTGAACGAGGCGTCGAAGTCGGTGTAGTGCAGCCCGTGGCCGAACGGTAGCACGGGGGCGTCGAACCACCTGTACGTGCGCCCCGGACTGCCGCCCGGCGGGCCGGGGCGGAGGGTCATATCGGTCATGGGCACGGCGTCGGCGTACGAGGCAGGGTACTGGGTCACGGGTAGTCGGCCCGCCGGGGCGCTCTTGCCCGTGATGATATCAAGAACGGCGGTGCCGCCAGACTGCCCCGGGAAGCCGGCCCAGAGGATGGCCGACACGTTCTTGTTCTCGAGCAGTGGCGTGTCGTCGTTCTGGTCGCCGAGCTGGACCACCACGAGGGGCTTTCCGAGCAGGGCGAGCTTGCCGAGAAGCGTCAGCTGCGCCTCAGGCCACGCGATGGACTCGCGATCTCGGTCCTCGGCTGCGATTGTCTGGTCGTTCCCGCCAAAGTAAAGCAGCACGTCCGCTTTGTCGGCCGCGTCCAGGGCGGCGGTGGTCCAGGTGTCGTCTACGCTGTCCGTCTGTGCGACGGGTCCGTTGGCTTGGAAATAGGTCAGGTTGAGCTGCTGTGCCGCAAAGACTGGATTGTGAAAGTATGGCGGAATTCCGCTGTATCCGCCCAGCATTTGCCAGGTTGCGTCGGCCCAATGTCCGATCAAGGCTACGCTCCTGTTGCCAAACTTGATGGGCAAGGTCCCGTCGTTCTTGAGCAATACGATGCCGTCCACTGCAGATTGGAGGGCCAGTGCCTGGGCTGCCTCGGTGTTGACGTCGGACCACGAAATGGACCGGTACGGGTCCTCGGCGGCGGGATCAAAATATCCAGCTTTTACGAGGCCCCGGTACAAACGCTTGAGCGCTACGTCAATCGTTTCCTCTGTCAGAAGCGACTGGTTGTATGCCCCGGCGACATCTGTGAAAGGGGGATAACCCGGGACCTCGCAGACGGTGTCTGTGCCGGAGTTGTACGCCGCTGCTGCTCCCTCAGCGGCAGTCTGGCTAAAGTTGTGGTTTGCTGGTAGGAAGTCCTGTTGGTCGTGTCAGCGGACGTGAATATTTTCAACGAGTCTCAAGACTGGAGGGGCTTGCCTGGATGGCATTGCAGTCACTGGTGATGAAGTTATCGCCTTCGGTCCAACCCCAGTGATCCCGCAGGATGTCCTTCATCAGATACGTATCTGCGCATGCCGGAGTGCCGTTTAGAGAATTGTAGGAGCACATGATGGAGCCGACTTTTGAGTCCCTCGCGCATTGCTGGAATGGCGGGAGATAGTACTCAGACAGGTCTTGGGAGCTGACGATTGCGTCAAAGCCGTATCTCACGACGCCCTTCCATCGCTCTAGGTCGTATGCTGCATAATGTTTGCAGGTTGCGATCACCTTCCTGGTTGTCGCATTACCCTCGAGTCCTGCGAGCAGCGACTTCACATATCCCTGGATCCGGAATGGATCCTCACCCGGTGTCTATGTTTGACATGGCAGTCAATCTCCATCCCTGTGACTGGAAGCCAGGTATACTTGGAAAACAAGACGGTAGAACGAACCTCAGATCCCCGTCCCCATCGAGGATCCTTGTACGGGTTGATGTTCGGGGTCCAGAAATCCAGCCCTGCCCTGCCAGCATTGCTGAATGCGCGCGCTTCGGTGCTGATTACAGTCGCGACCTGGTAAATCAGGTCGTCGTCGAATGCTGCCGATAAGACAATCGGGTTTGGGAACGAAGTGGCGTTTCTATACTCATCTCCAGTGTTTGCAAAGGAAACCCCGGGGGAGCGAGCGACCCCATGGAGGGCTTCGCTCCACCACGCATACGGAGGCAAACCAAGTCTTGCGGCACCTTGACTCTGACTATGCACCGCCTGTCAGCTTCAGGGGCCCAGAAAATGAAAAACGATTGGGAATGAGCATACTCGACCAAGTTGACAAGCTTCTCGCTGATGTTCATTGCCGCCACGAGAGCAGCAGCCCGATCGCCGGCCGGCGCTTTCGGGTTGCACACAGTGTTGTTCGCGAGGGGGCCATTGACGCAGTCTGGGTACTCAAAGGCATTGACAGCCAGGTGGCCGAGTGAGGTGGCCGCGAAGACGGTCGACACTGGCAACTTCATCTTAGATGCCACAAATGCGTCGACACAGGTCGATTCGTCACTGCGGGACGCTTCACTTTTAAACCTCCTCCTCCGCAACGTACCGTGCCATATTATATCACCCGCTGCCTGGCCCATTATTCCCGGGAGATATTCTGGCAAAAATACATAGCATGATGAAATGGCCGATATCATGCTCGGTATATCAAAGTACAGATCCTATATCTCCCCGCTCGCCCGCCTCGAGTTTTCACACCCATGCAACTCACTTTCCCGTTTGTTACCTTGCGTGCTACTTACACCTTCCTACAGGTGCGTTCCCCGCTGCCTTTTGCGCCAGACCGAATTCGCTGCCACCCCGCCACGGCAGTGGATGCGCGCGGCAGTGTGCATACATCTCCCTAGGGTCGCCCTGCATTGCCATATGCCTGAAGATTCATCAAAACTAAGACACTACCTGGGAGACGCAAGTCAAAGTCCGTATTCTTACTCAAATCGGCATGCGGCCTGTCTCGGACATAATTAATTACCCATTTATGGAATAGGCTTAAGAACAGTGTAATTATACGTTTTGGAAACGGAGACGAAGCAGGAGGATGAAGAAATCTTGAAAAAGCTGTGGGCTGGGATGTAGATTAATCAAAATTGTAAGAAAAATGACACAAGTTTAGAAATCTTCACTCAGTTCCCAAACACATTTTAATTCAATAACTCAACACTCCTTGAGCAGGTCAGAAAGAGCCAATTCAAGAGTTCGGCATTGCATAATCATTCAAGCCTCCCCTCGCCCATGGAGAAGCCATTCATCTCTGGCCGGTCACATCGAGTGTATCAGGTTATGGATTAAACATCATCAAAGTCTATTGTACTTTTACGTCTATGAACAGCCGGTGGTCCTATGTTCACAGAGCTGAGGGTGCGGCCCATAACCTCTGGATCTCTCTCAAGCACCTAGCCCTGAGAGTCATCTTAAAGATACGCTTACGCATACCGTCCATGCACAGTACATCCACCGGTCCCTGGCGGCTCTCTTGAATGTCTCTAGACCACCATCGAAACCTAGCGAGGGGGTTTGACTCTACGTAGTTACTCTAAAAAGCTGAACTCAATCTCATTTGACTTGCCAATTGGAATACCGATCCACCTCATGTTTCCAAGATCAAACCCCTTACCCCTCCAACTCTGGATGCTCCCAAACCTCCACAAAGGCAACTCTGACCGCTGGAGCGGCATCTTCCCAGGCGGCGCATATGCAAGCCAGTACGCGGTGCCGCGCCTCAAGTTATCCTGCCATCCCCTGTTGCCTTCTAAATCGAGGACGAAATCACGGCTAATGCTGCCTCCGACCTGCATTTCCGACCAGCCGTTCTCCTCCGTAATCTCCTCTGTCCAATCTGGCAGGGGAAGAAACCTCCCGTCTGGGCCCCTCGCTCGCCGAACCGTGACGTAAGTAGTCGAATATGGGACCAGGCTCTCGGGACTACAGTCTGGCTGTGCGAAGATTTGGTACTGCCCGTACTCTACGGCTCTGTCTCCAAGCGGGCCTTCGGAGCTTCCGAGAATCTTGGCGACAATGGGTATCTTGTCCCCAACCGGGACACCCTCGTAGCGCAGGCATGCCGTAAAGGATATGCGACCGTTCTGGGTGACTTGGGCCTCCGGGGCGCTTAGACTCAGGGTGAGAAGCGGGCAGGCGGATTTCTTCTGGTTGAGAGGCTCACGTCTCCGTCGGGCATTTTCTTCGCGGGTGGAGGCCCTTTCCCATTTAGAACGGGCTTGCTCTTCCTCTGTCAGGCTGTCTTCGTTTTCCGGCGGCTGAGGCTCCTCTCGACTCACGGGCCATGGCTTATTTAGGACCGCTTCGGCCGGGTGCATGTTGCTGAAAATTCGAGACGTTGCAAACGCTGGGCGACGGGGAATTAACAGCTCCTAGCCAATTCGTTGAGTTTGGGTCGATTTGGACACAACGGGAAGCAGGCTTGGTAGATGCGCGTCATACCTCGATGGAAGAGCGTCTAATGACAGGCATTGCCTCCGACCGCACCACCCGGTTGACATCGACCCCGCCTTGGTTGTAAAATAATACGAGTCTGAGTAGGACAAGTCCCGTCAAACTCAGAGGCCTGGGAGACCTCTTAGCCCTAGACTCTCCGTCAGCCCCATTAGCAAGTACTACTGAAGCCATCAATATACGCACTCAAACTCTACTTATAGGGGGTTGTGGAAACAACCTATTCCTCCAATGGCTTGTGGATCAGAGATCATCGAAGAGAACTAATTATGAGCGAGCGAACATGAAGGAAACAAGCGGACGGGCGGCTATCACTACTTTGGATGGATGAAAGCGTCTATCGAAGCCTTTTTCAATGGTTAGGAAGTTAGGAATTTATGGTCTCTTGCAATGCAAAGTGTGCTACATATTATCTATCCAACAATGCTATACACAACTCGTACATTAGGTATCAGAGAATGAGGAGACGCTGGTTCAAACACAGAGGAAAGGAAAAAGAGGCCTGCAATCCAAACACGACGCATGCCCATGCTAAACCTCCGCTCCGCGCACGCCAGGCAGGTTTCAACCTCCGCCGTCCTTCCCGGTGCTTCTCGCGCCCCCCTCACCATCCCCAAGTGCCTTCTCCTCGTCTGGACCGCCATCCCTGTCCACCCCGGCGGCCGCCGCCCTACCGGCGGTCCCATCCGCGGGCTTCATACTCCTCAGCCCTGTCTTGTGCTCCTCGTGCTCCTTGCTCAGCTTCCTCGACCCGACGAAGAAGCTGATGAAGAGCCCCAGGCCCGCGACGGCGGCGTACATGATGAGCATGGTCCTCATGCTGTTCCAGTACGCGCCGCGGGCGATCTCGCCCTCGCGGCCCGGCAGCTTGGCGACGAGGCCGACGCTGGCGGCGGCGTTGGCGCCCGTCAGCAGGCGCGCGATGTCTGGGCCCAGGAGGGCCAGCAGCTCGGCCTGCTGGGCCTGCATGCGGTTCTGGAAGACGACGCCGCCGACGACGACCGAGATGGACGTCGACAGCTGGCGGATGAAGCTGAAAGTCGCCGTGGCCGAGGCCATGTCGCGCGGCTCGACCATGGTCTGCAGGCTGATGAGCGGCGACTGGAAGTTGGGCCCCACGCCGATGCCGGCGATCAGCTGGAAGGGGATCAGCTTGGCCCAGTTGGTGCGCGGGCCGAGGTCGATGAAGAGGCCGAAGCCGAGCGTCATCATGGCCATGCCGAAGATGATGGACGTCAGGTAGTTGCCTGTCCGCCGGATGATGACCCCCGTCGCCGCCGACACGATGGACAGCGACAGCGTGTAGGGGAGCACGTAGACGCCCGACATGAGCGGCGAGAGCCCGAGCACCGCCTGGAAGTACAGCGGCAGGTAGTAGCCGCCCGAGATGAAGACGAAGCCGTGGCAGGCAGAGACGGCGAGCGACGCGATGTTGGACGGGACCTTGAAGAGCCGGAGCGGGATGACGGGGTACTCCGCCACCTTCCACTCGATGACGACGAAGATGCCCGTCACCACGAGGCCGAACACGATCAGACAGACGACGGTCGCCGAGTTCCACGGGAAGGTCACGCCGCCGAACTCGAGCCCGAGGAGGACCATCAGCGTGCCCCAGACGATGGTGCTCATGCCCAGCCAATCCACCGCCGCGAGGCCCTCGCGCATGGGCGTCCGCGGGTTGTGCAGCTTGAGCACGAAGGCGAGGATCAACATGCCCACCCCCGAGATGGGCAGGTTGACGTAGAAGCACCACCTCCAGGAGACCTTGTCGGTGAACACGCCTCCCAGGATCGGGCCGATGCCTCCAGCCACGGCCCAGACCATGCCCATGATCCCGAAGTAGACACCTGCAATTGATGTTAGCCGGGACTCCTGTTACTGCCCACCCACCCTTGACAAGCCACTCACCTCTGTCCCGCATGCTAAACAGATCACTGATACAAACATACACCAAAATAACAATCCCCCCTCCGCCCACCCCCTGCACCGCCCTCCCCGCAATCAGCATCGTCATCCCAACACTAACAGCACTGAGCAGCGATCCCACCCAGAACACCCCAACAGCGACCAGCAGCACGGGCTTCCGGCCCCAAATATCCGAGAACTTGCCCCACAGCGGCGCCGACGCCGCCGTCGCGAGCATGTACGCGCTGCCGATCCACGTGTAACCCGCCGTGCTGCCGAACTGCTGCGTGATGGTGGGGATCGCCACCGTCACGATCGTCACGTCCAGCGCCGAAAGGAACAGCGCCGCCGCGAGCGACACGATGATCAGCGTTGTCTGCAGCTGCGTGCGCGTGCCCTGTTGCTGCTGGGCCGGCGGGGAGGACGACGCCGGCTGCTGCTCTCCCGGCGCCTCCTTGCCAGCCGACGACAGCTGGCCCGGCCCCGGCATCGGGACTCCTTCGCCGGGCAGCTGGCCGCCGCCCGCACCGAACAACGCCTCCGCCTCCACCTCCTTCTCGGTCAGGCCCGGCTCCAAGCCGAGGCGCGCCGACCCGGGCGCGGCACCGGCTGTGACTGCCCCGCCGTTCTCGGCATCCACCTCCGTCTCCAGGTCCGTCTCCGAGGTCGTGGTCGTCTCTCCGCGCTCCGCCGCCGTCGCCGCGGAGGACGCTGTGGCGGACGCGGAGCTGCTGTCGTGCTCGGCGACGTCGCCGGCGCGTAGCACCGTCGTCGTCTGTCCCGGCGGCGACGTCATGCCTGCCTGCCTGTGTCGTCGAGACTGGTTGATCCGAGACTCGTGTTTCCCCGGTTCCAAGTTTGGCCAAGAAAAAGTTGCCCAGAATCAGCAACAGAAGGCGGAAAGATGACGAAGGAAACAAAAAGGCTCCCCTCCCCCTAACAAAAAAAAAAAAAGGTATCCAAATATCATCTACCGAGACAGAAAAGAAGGTCAAAGTTACAAGGGTGGAGAGTAGACCCACCAATCGCAAGAGGCAAATAATAGCACAAGTTCTTCATCTCTCGGGTTTGGCTCGGATTTACGGATACAACCCATGAAGGTGCCGATGTGATGATGACTAATAAAACGACACAAATCCACGCTAGCTGCAAAAAGTGGTGCACAGGCTACACCGATTACTAACAGTGCTAAGGCATCCACTAACAATTTTCCAGTGGTTTGACCTTATTGAGGTGTTAAGGGGTGACATATGCCAGTTAGTAAGTGCACCACTTTTTAATACCACTTGCACGGGTAGGTACATAGTAGTTGAATGCTAGTTAATCTAAACGCAGTAAGAGGTGTTCCTGGGGAGAGTTAAGGGGGAGAGTAGGCATGATTTTAAACGTCTCATCAAAAAGCAACAGAATGAAGTTAATGGGAGCTCTTTTCGCGTCCACTCCGTTGTTGGAGGTGGTAAACTCCTTATGCTGTGGCACATGGAGTGCAATTTATATCGTCCTGGCAGATATAGTCGAGCGGCAACCTTCATTCTAGGTATTGAGAATCAAACCATCGTTGAGGCTCCCGATGGCTTGGAAGCGAAGTGAACCTTGGCTCCTGGTTGGCTGTCACGGCTTCCTCTGTTTACCCCTGTAGTGGCGCTGCAGCCAGCAAACAAGTCCTTGTAGCTGAGTCGCGGCGGCTTTTCAGAAAACTTCACCTGGCATCGCCTTGCCAACGGTGGTAGCCTTTGAACCAACTCGGCTTCGCCATCAGCACCAACCATCCACCAAAGATCGGTATGGAAGCCGCCCTCGACCTCGGACGCGATGGCGATGGCTTCTTTAGTAGCGATGAGGATCTGCCCTCTGACTACCCCGATGACGATGCCGGGTTTGGCCACGAGGCTGACGTGACACTCGCCTCCATTCACAAGAGCCACACGATCCCCTTTCCAATCCGTGCAAGCTACACTAAGTGGAAGCCCTGGGAAGCCTTTCGGGAGATCGTCCAAAACTGGTCGGTCCAACCAACCCCCCGTCATCGGAGACTGACTGACGCTGACTATTTCTTTAGGAGAGACGCCATCATCAAATCTTTCAATCTCGACGAGAACAAATTCTACGTCATTCGCTCTGACAAGTCAGCTGGGCGGAACACCGAGATTGTCTTCAAAGTCCTCCACCCAAACTCGGAACCGAAAGAATGGCTTGGATACATTAGATTCAAGGGACGGGACGGGCTGGGAACCGTCGAGATTGCGAACCGCAAGGCTATACTCCAGCCCTATCATCTTGTCCTTGGCGGTACCACGAAGGATGATGATACGAGCCAAGCGGGCGAACATGGCGAAGGTCTGAAGCTCGCCCTCTTGGTCCTCATGCGTGGCAGACAAAACCATCTTGTACGATGTCGCTCGGGCGGATTCATGTGGACCTTCAATTTCACCAACCGGGGCCACCTAGTCGCCCATCTTCGACGAATGTCGCCCGAAAGAATCCGCAAGGTCTGCGACATGGCCGCAAAGCAGGTCAGCAAGACATTGCTTCCAGTCGTGGTGTCGCCAGAGCATGATGTGCAATTCTTCATAGGCGAGAGAGGGAAGGGAAAGGACGGCTTTGGACGTTCCCTCAAGCGCGATCAGGTCAAACTGGAGGAGTTCGAGGACTGGCTCAAAGCAGCCTTATTCTTGCAGAATACCGAGGGCGGCGGCCGTATTCTGAGCAAGCGGGGAGATCTCATCACCGATGATGGACTTCGTGGAAACGTCTACCTCAAAGGCCTGCTTCTGCAAGAGTCACACCCCGACAGATCTGCCAGCGTGACCGGAAAGGTTCTGAAATATGGCTACAACTTCTCGCAAGGAGAGACGAACCGTGAGAGACAGTCTCTTCTTAATGCCAGGAAGGAGTCCCAGGCGATTCAAGCCATCTGGCACGAGGCACTCAGACTGAAGCCGCCTCTGATCGAACAACTGAGTAGCATGCTGAATTCCAGCAAGGACGAGTATGCAGACGTCTCAATGGTGCAACACCACATCAAGGTTGAGACTGCCTGTCGTCTCAAAGAATACCTCTTCGGCGAAGAGTTCGCGGGCAAGTGGTATTACTCGGCCGAGGAGAAAGCTCAGGTAACGTTATCTCGTGCGAAGCACCGCGTCGCCGTTTGCTAATCGGCACAAGAACCCGCGACTCTCGAGAATTATCCAGGGCCTTGGCTGCGAAGGAGTGCAGCTGACCAACACCTACTGGTCTATCTTAGAGAGTTACAATCTCATTCGATCGGCTGGAGAAGAAGAGGAACGCCTCTTCCTAGCAGCCGATGTAGCTCACGTTCCGCACTCTCAATTTGCTAGAGACATTCAACGCTCGCTTCTAGCCTGTGTACGAGCCTGTCCGCAGACCAATCACATGTCTGTGGAGTTTGTGAGAGCAGGCGAACTGGACCTCGACTCATTCTATTTGGAGGAACAGTCTCTTCTGAAGATCCACAGCAGGTGGCTCACAAGCAGCGCAGCCATGGAAGAGCTGGGCCTGCCAGCTGACCTCGATGACTCTTATATCATGTTCCATACGGTCAAGCGACTGTTCGCTGAAGTCCTCCAGCAAGTGCCAGAGGGAGACTTCCAGGCAGACGGTGAACGGACGAGCGACTGGTATTTGAAGAGAGAGTTGAGTCTTGGGGAGCAGAGACTCCTCAATTATATGAATATCAAGCAGAAGATGCAATTTGAGTCTAGCTCAGTATCCTCAGCGCTCACCATTAAGTGGCCAGAGGACCTTGGCCGGGCAAACAATACGAGAGTGTCCATTCAGCTGCATCGCATCAATGGGTGCTCTCATCTCCGAGACTTGCTGCTCTCCAAAGACAGTATGTAATTATCTCATGTCTCCCTTCCGGCTAGACTCACATGCGCTAATCCTCCCCAATCACAGTCGACCGGGAAAAGATCACCTGCATCCAGCCAGGCCAGGAGACGGAAATCCCACAAGCGATCACCGTCAACTTCACCTGTCGGTCCTATACATTCCCTCTGTGTAACGCTTGGCACATGATGCAAGACCCGGACCAGGGAGTGGAATATTTTGCCATCTTTTCTATACCCGCGGATCCCGAGTCCTTCGCTGTTGTGACGGAGAATAGCTGCGTGATGCCTCGAAAAGTCGCTCCATTACCAGAATCACAGCGTGCACCTCGGCAGATTAGAGAGATTCCTCGAAACACGGCAAAGACGCCTCAGTCGCAGGAGTCCCCTGCAAGTAGTTCGGAGAATAGCCAGGGTCGTGCCACAAGCCGATCCCCCACGCGTTCTCAATCTCCCTCGCCGACTCGAGCGCCGTCTCAGGGTCCAAGATCGCCGGCAGTGGAAAATAGAGGTCGGGATAATGATAGCACACGGCCAGAGAAGAAGACCACTTTCAGTAAGGTCCACCCAGCCTGCATGTTTCCTAGAAGTCCACTGCTAACCGCGAGTCTCAGCCTTGGGGAAGCAGCTAGAGAGTCTTGACATTTTCAAGATCGACAAGAGCCACTGGTTTGAGGCTGTGAATGTGGGAAAGGTCGAGGCCGTCATTGGAGTCCTCAACCCCGAGACGGTTCCGGATTTGCCACGAAAGCGAGCTAGAGTTGTTGTAGAGATAGATGACGAGGATTGACTGGAGTGGCTTGGAGAGAGAAAATGCACTTTGCAAACTTACAAGCTAGGTGGCTTGTAAGAAAGGCGATAATAGTTGCTAGTAGCATGGAAAGTAGCAACAGCGAGCCTTAGCCAGTGCATAGCAACGTCGGCTTTTATAAGCATAGCCTGAATGATTTTTATAATGCAAGGCATGTAGGGAACTATTATAAAAGCATTAGCAGCAAGGCAAGCGTCGTTTTCGTCGGTTCCACCAAGAACAATAATCATGCAATTTGCCATGTTTCCAGAAGATCGCAGATCCAGTTGCATTGGTTCGATCTAGCCAACTATGCGTATGTCTCCGAAGCCGGGATTCCCTAAGAGGGGAGCAAATTGATGAAGTAGTTCGTGATCGTGGAGGTTGTTGCATGGAGGTTTCTATCAGAATGCGCCAAACACCATGCGACTGATAAAAATTAGACTGCCTTACCTATGGGTCGTATTCCCCAGAGGCCAGAAGAATGGTTTAAATGCCTTCTCTATTCGAAGCTAGGTAGTCATCGTAGACCCAACTCGGCGCTCTATCAACGTCGCTCCATCTAAACAAACAAAACACCGGCGCTGTCGCCACACTCTACTAGCAATTGGTATCGGTCAAACCCCCGTCACCACTAGATTATTTACCGAGCTACTCCTATTAACACAACCAAAGACGGCTTGCTCTGTCCGCCCAAGGACAGCCGCTATGGATCATCATCAAAATCACCGCCGCGACCTCTCGACTGCAGCAGCACTCAGCCCCTTCTCGAGGGTGCTGGTCATGGCCAACCCGACCGGGGTCACGGCACCGTTGGCGACCTGAGGCGCCGGGGTGCTCGCCCTGGTGGCCGGCGCCGACCGGTTGTGCTGCATGTGCGCCGTGACGAGGTGGCCCGCAGCCAGGGCGCTGCAGAGCGAGAGCTCTCCGGCCAGCGTCGCCGCGGCCACTATCCGAGCCAGCCGGCGGGCGTTGTCGCCGGGGCTGGTCGGGTGGGGGCCGCGCACCCCGAGCATGTCGAGCATGGCGCTCTGGGGCTCGAGGATCGTGCCGCCGCCAAGCGTGCCGACTTCCAGAGAGGGCATGGAGACGGAGATTTGAAGGGATCCGCGGAGGCTGCGAGGTTTGTTAGCACAACTGCTCTTGTTTTTTCTTCCGCCCAGAAATCAACTTACTTCTTCATGATGGTGATACAGTTGGCGCTCTCGACCACCTGTGCTGGGTCCTGGCCGGTGGCAAGGAAGATGGCCGCCACGATATTCGCAGCGTGAGCATTGAATCCGCCAATGGATCCGGCCATGGCCGAACCGATCAAGTTCTTGTTCACGTTGAGCTCGACCATAGAATTGACGTCGGTCTTCAGGACGCTCTTGACGATGTCGGCGGGGATGATAGCCTCGGCGACGACGCTCTTGCCTCTACCATCGATCCAGTTGATGGCCGCGGCCTTCTTGTCTGTGCAGTAATTGCCGCTCACCGACACAATGTTCATGTCTTCAAAGCCCTCGTTGACCATGACGCTCAGGGCGTGTTCGACGCCCTTGGAGATCATGTTCATGCCCATGGCATCGCCCGTCGTGGTCTTGAATCGAATGTAGAGGTTCGTGCCGGCAAGTGCTGTCTTCATTGACTCCAGGCGGGCGAATCGACTAGTCGAGTTGAAAGCCTTCTTCATCGTAGCTTGGCCAGCCTCCGAGTCGAGCCAGAGCTTCGCGGCACCCGCCCGCTCCAATGTCTCAAAGGTGATGCAGGGACCACGGGTCATGCCATCGGCCGTCAGGACAGTAATCGCGCCTCCCCCGGCGTTGATAGCCTTGCAACCTCGGCTTGCGCTGGCGACGAGCACGCCCTCGGTGGTAGCCATGGGGATGAAATAGCTCTGCCCATCGATCACGAGTGGGCCGGCGACACCGACAGGGAGAGGCATGAAACCGATGACGTTCTCGCAGCATGCCCCAAACACCTGTTCCCAGTTGTAGTTTTGGTACGGCAGCTTAGATCCATCCAACAGGTGGGTCAGATCCGCCGTAGCCTTGGTGCGCGAGATGATGGTCCGGCGGATCTTAACAGCGCGGGTGAAGTCCTTCAGAGTCTTCTCCAATGCATATCCGGGTAGCTTCCCTCGCATTGATAGCCAGACTATCTCTTCATCGTTGAGCTCGGGTGCCCGCTTCTCCGCGAACATCTTCTCTACCTCCTCCTGCGTCCTCTGCACGGCCTGGCCCTCTCCGGTCGTCGCATGTGCTCGCTCCAAGGGCAGGTCAACGTTGTCGGCCGCTGGTAAGGCCCTTGGCTGTTCTCGCGGCGGTCGGATGTACTCGCCAAGGGGCAGGGTTGCCGACTCGGTGTCATTGAACTTCTGGGCCTCTGCCAGCTCCTTGGGGTCGATGGGGTGATCCGGCAGATTTGGGTCCTTGATGCCCCATCTCGCGGCATTGAACAGATACCCGTTGAGCGCGACACTCAGGGCCAGGGCGACGACGATCCATTTGGATAGAATCGGATCTTCCAAGCTCTTGAGAATGCTGCCAACCATCCTGCCTCCGACCCCGTATCCTCGCAGCTGGTCCAATGCCTCGTTCACACCCTGGCCCGAGGCGGACTGGGACAGGTCGTAGTGGATCGAGGGGAATTCCAGCTCATACTTGATGGGCGTTAAAATGGTCACCAGGGTCTCCACGCCTTCGGATTTGGCCGAAGCCAAGAGGAGATCCAAGCCGTTGGATGCGACCTTGAAGGGGTCCAATGGCGGCGGGGTGACGAGGCCTCCAAGACCCCGGGCCCAGGTCGAGATGCTAGACAATGAGTTCGAGCTGCGGAACGGGATGGTGCAAAGGTTCAAGACGTTGACCATGATAAAGCCAGAAACCATCAGGCCCTTAAACTTTGGAATGCTGGTGCTCTTGATCTGCCGGCCGAAAATGGTCGTCCCCGGCTGCCCCTTGCCGTCAGGCCTCGGCCAGTCGTTGCTCCGGGCCACATTCTCGGCGACCCTGCGACTGACACCGTCATCCTCCAAAGCCCTGCGCGTTGCGACGTGCCGCTTGATCCGGTTGATCTCCAGCTTGATACAGAGGATCGCAGTGTAGAACGAGAACAACAGGATGCAGTCGAAGACGAGGATCCAGGCAGCCAAAAAGCAAAACTGTTGCAGGCCACCCTGGACTCCCGAAGCAGCGCCTGCGATCAGGATGGCAATCTCGATCGCGTAGTCCTTGACAATCTCAAAACCCTTCTCCTTGATCGCGACCTGGATGGCGGTCTGGATCACGCTCGGCGACCCTTCGCTCAATTTGGTGCCCTTTTCGGAGTCCTTGGTAAGGGCTCGACGATGCTCAACAGCATGGGAGAGGACCGCGCGAGTCAGGACAATGTTCTTCTCAAAGCCGATAGTAACGACCAGGAAGGGGAGACCTTCGGACAGCAGGACGACGGAAATGGGGACCCCAAGCTTAGTAGTGACGATCAGGCCGAACAGGAATGCGAAAACCGAGGAGAAGATTACACTCGCGGCCAGCCAGAAATTGGACCCCATGCGCCGCATCGAGAGGAAGAGCGAAACGAAGGTGAGGTGCATCGAGATGTAGCCGAGGACCATGATGATGATGTCCAGCGTCTCTGCATTCTTGAGAAGATCGATGAACTCGATCCAGCTGTTATGGGCCCACCGCGCAATGCTGCTCCTAGTCTGCACGCGGGCGGCCTTCATGATCCACATCTTCTTCTCCCGGCCATTCTCCGTCTCCCGGATCTCCTGTCCCGGGATGTCATTTGGGATCTCCTGGGCCGCGGAGAGAAACTCGGACGCCTGGTTGTAGGGGATGGAGAATGCCAGGGCACTGTCTTGAGAATATGTAGAGAACGAGTTCGAGGTCGAGGGCAGCGAAGTGATGGACAGGTTCCCGGGGATAGGAACCGTTGTTGCTAGGGGAGCAGTCTTGGGCGCATCCGTCGAGGACTCGGGGAAAACGAGAGTGAGGAGGGCAAGATGGTTGACGTCTGCCGAGACGGGCGAAGTATCGTCGACCGACTGCCACTTCCAGGCCGTGTCCGAGCCAGCCCGCAGCGTCCGACTTCCCTCTACCAGGCACGACCACTCTGCCTTCCTAACGGACCTTGTAACGTCGAACAGGCTCTCCTCAAGCAGCCCGATGTAGGTCGAGCTTGCCAGCAGGGCAACGATGACAATGGTGTGGATCGGATTAGACGAGGTTAGGGTCGAGAGAAACTGCAGTGCAGGCGTGATTTTTTTGTTGATCCAGGACGGGGCGGCTGGCTTGGCAGGGGGCTGCTCCCCCCGAAATCGGGAAGGAAGGAAGGTGGAAGCGATCATGTTGAATACGTCTTTCGGGTTGGAGGCCTGGCTATCGGTGAGGCATTTGGCAGAAAGCTGGGCTTTGCGATTGCTGTCTGTAGAGTCACATAAGCTTGACGAGTCCAAGTCAGGAGAGAAGGGCAAGTCAAAGTGGACATGGCGCCGCCGCCGCGAGCGGGCACTTGCCATGATGCATTTGGGGAAGAACTCTAGGTAGGAATGGAAGCAGTGGTAAAAGATTAGGGGTCTCTTACCAAGAATATGGTTGCAGAGGCAAGCAAGAATCCTTTTCTTTATATCCTGCGTCGCACACACAACAATGTAGATATTCACTCGGCGACGTTGGTATCCGGGACTGTTGGCTGCGCAGCTAGTGAATTTGGGTGCTGAAAGAGAGGCAAAGTAGGGGCTGTGCTTCTTCACTTGCCCAAGAACGGTGCGAACAGAAAAGAATTGACAATGCTGGGTGAAGCAAACAGCCAAGATTCCAAGAGAGTGATGTGTGGTTCCTTCTCCCGGTCACCATCAGGCAAGTGCTTGCAACCCACGAGGTAAAGCAAGGAGGCGGTCACTGAAGAAGAAAAAGGACAAAAAAACGGATGTTGGGACGGGCTGCAGAATTCAAATTCCTACTGGCCAATCTCTGCACAGGGCCTAGGCCAGGAGGTAATTTGGCCGGCCGCCTGCTGCCATCCCAACTAGCGCGGGTCCTTGGCAATGGGTATCTTTGGTTAGCAGAATTTAAGAGGCGGTCAGTTGCGTCCAAGTCTAATGATTGTCCTGCCCTTTCCTTCATATTGTTCTCCATCGTCTTTTGTTCCCATCATCGAGTCAACTGACTCTGGGATCTCGCCAGCCCAGATAGAGGGCGCCCCATTCGGTAGCGACGGCAATGGAACAGCTTCCTCCTTGGAGATGATGATTGCGATTATCGGCTCAAACAAGGAAAACTGCCCCCCCACCGCGTTTAGCCTCGCACTGTGTAGGGATTATCTTATCAGGGTAAAAATGGCGGGACAAGGGACCAGTTTGTGCCCGTGCCTTGCAGGACGTCATAGGCCCTCTATGGCCCTCTCTCCCGGTACCAAGGTACTATACATTCTTGCCTGGATTTTTCGGCTCAAAATCCGGTATCAAGTAGATCATAAAACCTTCGACAAACGACTGGATGATGCCGTCGTTACTTGCCTCGTAAGCCCTCGGCCCCGACCCGCCGCCGTCCGTCCTCAGAGCAGTATTCAGCTGCACAAGCTTCAATCCTGGCTCCGGCTTCGACACCACAATCTGCCTCCAGGCCTCGTACTCGTCGTCCACGACGTTAAGCGGCTCGTAGAGCTCCCGGCAGGACTCGACGTCAGCGATGCACCGCCACACATGGGTGCGGCATAGCATCCGGCCGAGCGAGGACTTCCCGTGGCAGGTGATCTTGGAGCGGTCTTGGCGGCCGGGTCGTGTTCGACTATCATGACGCCACCACCGTCAATCAGTAGGTGTTTGAGGATGGCGAAACTTACCTGGTTCTGAAGTCAGCAAGCCGTCCGATCTTATCTCGATAGAATTAGTAACCCTAGCGTGCGGTTTGCTCCATATTCGGGTTTCGGCGTTGAAGCTTCGGAGGGCTCGAATACCTTCGACTCCAACATGGAGATAGGTATAGTATATGACTATTCTATGTCATAAACGTCATGGAATACCGCAAGTTCAGTCCAGGGGAGTACTGACGATCATCTGCCGTGACTGTGGTCGTGTCATTGTAGCCGAACATGGAGAAAACCTCCTGTGTCAGCAAGAAAGTACGAGACCAGCATCGCCCGGCACTCGTCCAAGTCCCTGGCTGATACCATGTCTCGATGGGCTTGCCCGTCAGAGGATTGGTTAAGAGATTAGCTGTGGAACGGCCTTTCAGTCTAACTTGCCGCCCTTACCTCTCCCTTCAAGCCGAGCACTTTACATTGACGTTTGTGTTGAACGCTGCAGTCAGCTGACTTCTGAGACAGCTTCTGCTTAAACGTGTGCCACAAGAGCAGCTTCATATTACTATTCGTTTCCTCTCTTACCATTTGTGTGGTTAATCTAGACAGCTTACATAGCTTGGTTATAAGCGTGGACATGCGAGCACTAGAACCCAAGTGTAATTACCGCCTACGTGTGCACAAGTTAATAGAGAACATCATCATTGCTAGGTGAGTGGTGGTGTTTCTCACCTTGACCGCCAAAAGGTTCCTGGTATAGCATTCCCTTGACTACGTAAAACAGGGGCAGATGATGCAGATTCAGCATCAGAGATATGCCTATTAGACAGCTACCACCTTGGACAGCATACAAGTTATATGTTAGGGTAAGCCGATAACCCCAGGCGACCTCGAGGACCTCGTGCTCACAGTCGCTATAAAAGTATCCCAGCGGATGCCGACATGGTCGGTATCGCCTTGGCTAGTGCCTCCGGTCAGACATCATCTCCTCGCCCTTGTTGCAGATCCTGAGTTGACCGCCCTGGGGACTGCGAAGTTTCTGTACGAGGATTTCCCCCAAATGGATATTCAAATGTGGTAACGAACTTCGAGTTTCTTCGCACGAGGATTTTGTTTTGGGAATTTCTCTGCGGGCATGCGCCATTTGCTCTGCAGGCAGGTGGTAAGTTGGCAACAGCTGCATCGCTGTCACTATTGCCATTCCTAGCAATGGCAATAGCAATAGACAGAAATAGCAAGAGTGACAGGAGTGACAGCAAGAGCGATAGATAGCAATACCAATAGCGATGGACAGCAACTGCCACCTGCGATGCACTAACCGCCTGCCCGCGGAGCAAATAGCGCATGCCCCTGGAGATATTCCCTTTGTTTTTAAAAACTTAGGATATTCGCTTAGAGCTTTCACGTTTTCGAACGAGTTTCTAAGATGTGATTTACGAACCTCTCTATTCTATTACCCCTTATTAATCCTGGTCTACTAACGACTCAAACCCTGAATTATCCTACACCAGCACTATTCAGCTCCGGTTGCTGCAGGGACTTCACTTAGATCCTTTCCCAAGGTAATAAAATGCAGATCATCCCTCAAAACCCCCCTCCAATCACCATGGCGGTCGTACGGAAACGGCGTCGTCTCCCCAGTGGCCCGGTACCCCCGCCGCGCGTACCACGCGATCAGCTCCGCGCGCGTGCACACGACGTCGAACTCCATCCTCGCGGCGCCCCACTCCCTGCGAGCGTAGTCCTCGGCGTACGCGAGCGCCCGGCCGCCCAGGCCGCGGTTGCGGCGGCCGACGTCGACGGCGAGCAGGCCGAACCAGGCGCGGTCCGCGTCGAGCCTGCGCACGCTGCAGTGGGCCACGAGCGCGCCGTCCGCGTCGGTGCCGGCCAGGACCGTGCAGTCGGGCTGCGCGATCTTGGCCGCTATGCTGGCGGCGTCGGTGACGTCGACGCTGGTGTGGTCGGCGGACAGGAACACCTGGGCGGTTGTGTCGGCGCGGAAGGCCGTGTTGATGAGGCGCTCGAGTTGGACTGCGTCTTCTTTCGTTGCGAGGCGGAAGTTGACGCTGTCGGCGGCCATGTTGGGATGGTAAGAAGGCTGCGCGGTATTGCTGTGTTTTAATTATTTGGATGCTGAAGAGAGGTGGCTTTTGGTTATGTGGTCTAGATTGTTGGAACCTCTAAAGGGATACATAAGCTACGTGTCGCTACCTAGGATGAGTACGCTGTTAGATAAATGTGCAGGGCGTGAGTCTGGACTCATTGAATGTCCATGTAATAGGAAGGGCGTGCGGTTGAAGTCGGCGGTGGTGTGTTTTTTAACCGGTGTGGCGCGTGCATTCGGTAGGCCTGCGTCTGACAACGGTCCAAGATATCGGGCAAAGGTACGGGAAAGGAAGGAGCGTAGGCTTCTTCGGGAAGGTGCACACACACCTGAGGGGCCGGGCTACGGAGAGGGGCGGCTTGAACTACCTACCTACACAGTAGGTAGGAGAGGCAATTCCCTGGCCGTGGTTCAGGAGCATGCCGGTAGTCCATTTTAGTACGCATTGGCGCTGCAGTGATGACAGGGTCCCATGCCATGCTTCAATCTTGTTATCCCAGGAGAGCCGATCGCGGCCACAATCCATCAGACCATGGCTTTCATATTTCCCCCAAAAATGTAGGATACCAACTACATTAGATGACGGGTGGCTAGCCCTAGATAATTGATCAGCCCCTGAGCCTCCCCACCTCAGGCCCATCCACGCTGACAACCCTGACGCCTGCCTTCTCCATCTCAAGCCTACATTCCGGCCACCGCGCCGCATCCACGGCACGGGTCCCCTCCTCGACCACGAAGGAGCCAAACCCCTCCGCCAGGGCATCCACAGCCGTGCTCCGCACGCAGTAGTCGGCAGTCAACCCAACAACATACACGTCCGTGACACCGGCCTCCCTCAGCGCGGCAGCCAGCCCGCTGTCGCTGACGCGCGGCCGCCTCAGCGGGTCGTGGAAGGCGCTATACATCTCGACGGCGGCGTGCGTGCCCTTCTCCACGACGCGGTCGAGCAGCCCGGCGTCCAGCTCGGGGACCAGCTCGGCGCCGGGCGTGCCCTGCACGCAGTGCACCGGCCACAGGCGCGTCTGGTACGTCTCGGCCGGGTTGAGCGGGTTGGCGACCGTGCACGTGTCCGCGAAGGGTCGCTTGCCCGGGTGGTTGGCCGCGAAGGAGATGTGGTCCGACGGGTGCCAGTCCTTGGTGGCGATCCGGGCGACGAAGCCGGGGAGGCGGAGCAGCGAGTTCACCACGGGGATGATGGCCCGGCCCTCGCTGACGGCGAGTGAGCCGTTCTGCGATGCGGCTGGTTAGTCAGGTCTCGTGGATCGTGGAGGCCGGGGCTTAAACCATGGATGCTATTGGTCTTGGGCCTTGATGTGGTTGGTTTGACTTACAGGAGGGCAGAAATCCTCCTGCAGATCGACCACTATCAGAGCTGGTTTGAAGGCCGGGTCGGCCATTCTCTCTCCCTGTGCTAGGGGCTTGCGCCAAGTAGATCGAGCCAAATTTATGCGGCCTGCTCACTCTTGGTCGGGGTATGATCAAGCTACAGCAAATATGGTAGATTGAGGTAATGTACAGAAACTGTTTGTAGCTTGAATGGATGCAGATTGAGATGGATGGTGGGGCACGCACCGAACTAATTGAGGCGGGGATGACCCCATTTATACTGCTCGCGCTACACTGCCTACCTACTTATCTACTCCTACAAACATGGCACCTGTGGAACTTGACTCTTTTTCAGCGCAGCACATGAACCTAGCGAGCAAGCATCATCCCTTTATTACCCCTTTAAAACGCATCGCAAAACCACCAGCCGCCCACCATGCCCCCAACCCCGACCAGCTCGGCCCAACCCCCTCCCCCCCGAGATCCCAATCCTCGGCTCCGACGTCTTCAGGCCCTCTGGCTCGCCCGCTCCGGTTCGGGGCAGGGTAATTTGCATCGACGCCAACGAGAGTCGGAACGGAAGCACTTATGGTCAGGACCTTGTTGGGGGTTGCCTGTACTGAGTGCCCCGCACGTCAGACGACCGCCGGCTCGGTCGCGACGGTCCAGCTCCCCAAGGGACCGGCCCGACCTATAGGGGCGCCTCCGCGCCCGGGAAGTTCCCTGTGATAGCGTGGGATATAATAGCACGGGTCCCGAGGAGACGAGAAAGATATGAGGGAATCATTTTCAACCTATGGCACGTAAAATACACAGAACCCGCCCGCATCCCGCATCATCTCTCGTGTGGTCCATTACGATCGGAAAGAGTGCATTCCTCCAACCACTGTCTCCTCCATGTCATCCTAGCAATACAGGGATCGCAGTAGCGCTGCATGGCAAAGGTCTCCATCGATTCGACTTGCCGAGTTTGCTTGCTTCCGGGAAACCGCTGATGGCTACCATTTTCCTATCTTAGCAATCTCCCCTCTCCCTCACCGGCCGACTCGGATGACGCCCGCAGCGATGAGCTTCTGAATCTTGGACCGGATAGTAGGGTTCTTCATGTGCTCCGCCAGCGCCGCCGGATCGGATTGCGCCTGCTGAAGGATGGCCTGCATGACGGGGTCCTGCATGGTGCTCATGATCTGCGATAGGGGGTCAGTAATCGATGTCCGTCTCGTCTCCCAGGAGCCTTGTTTTTGTTTACTCACCTCTGGATCGCGCATTAGGCGCTCGCGAGTCTGCTCTTCGGTCTCGTTCTCGCGTGCGGAATACATGGCCGTCATGGCCTTCTGCTGCTGCTGCTCGATTTCCCGCGCATTGGAGCCCCCGTGGTGCTCGTTGTCGACGTTCGCCGCCTCGGTGCACGCATCAAGACACTTGCTGTACTCGCGCATGCCGAAGTAGGCTTGCGCCTTGCGGATGTAGGCACGCACGAACTTGGGGTCCTTCTTGATCGCGCTGTCGCAGTCGTCATGCGCGCTGGGGAACTCGAGGAGCTTGATGAACGCCGCGGCGCGGTTGCTGTACCCGCGGGGATCCTCTGGGGCCCGCTTGATCATCTCGCTGTAGGCCTCCACCGCACCGGGCCAGTCAGACTCCTTGAACTTCTTATTGCCCTCCTCGCGAGCCTGCTCTGCCTTCTCCGGGTCGATATAGGCCTTTCGGGCACCCTCGATCTTGTTTCGCTCTGCTGCCCGGACCTTAGTAACGACTTCGGGCGTTCGGTGCTCGCGAAGTGACATGTTGTAATGGTCGATGGCCTCGGCAAGCTTGCCCTGTTTCTCGTAGGCAGTGCCGATGCGGGCGTAAGACTTGGCAATGACCTTGAAGTCGGCATACAGTGCCCGACCCTCCTCGACGGCCTTGGAGCACGTGTCGATACATGCTTGGAAGTCGCCCTTCTCGAAGTACGCGGCCCCTAGGTTATTAAGGTATGTGATATCCTTGTGGAGGTCCCACGCGGCCTGGTAGTGCTTGATTGCCTGGTCGAAGTTGCGCTTCTTGTAGTTCTCGGTTCCGAGAGCCTTCTCCTTGTCCGCGGCTTCCTTTGCCTTCTTCTTCTCAAGCTGCTCCTCGTCGATCTCTTCGGCCGCCGGCTCCGGCTCTGCCGCCTTCTTTGGTTGTCCGTATTTCTTTGGCGGGGGAACGTCAGGCATCTCTTCATCTTCTGGCTCTGCCGCCCTAGATCCAGACGCCGGGGGGGCAGCTCCACCTTCGGGCATGGCCATATCCATATCCACGCCCATCATGACCCCTAGGACCTGAATCAAGCGGGGATCGCTAAAGAGCTCCTGTGTGTTGTTCGGGTTCTGCTGGATCGACTGGAGTTTCGCCATGAAGGAAGGATCGGCAAGGTAAGCGCTGGTCTTTGGGTTTGCCGCGAGCTTCTGGATCAGCTGGGGATCGCTGAACATCTTCCCCATGCCCCCGGTAGCGTCACCGAATGGGCCACCGAATGGGCTACCTGTATGTCTCTTGTCAGCGAAATTGTGACAGTGCGATAGGCTATATTAGGGGACTCCCATACCTCCACCGACTTCTTGCTCCATCGCTCTCTGTACCGAGGCAAGATCATTCTTCATGCCCGCATTGTTTGGGTCAAGCTTCAGTCCCTCCTCGTAGGCATCATTTGCTCCGAGCAAGTCACCCTTGCCGTACAGTGCAGTCCCCTTACGTCCCCATCCCTTGGGCCAATCTGGCTTTAGCTCTGTGGTCTTCTCGGCATCCGTGAAGGCATTGTCCCACTCCTTCTTGGAGGCGTAGGCAGCTGATCGGTTGCTGTAAAGGATGTGGTTCTCGGGCTGGAGGGCGATGGCTTGGGTGAACTTGTCACTAAATAGAATTCGTTAGCTCACATGCTCCAATGAGGCCTAATATTCATCATGCATCCCTGCTCGGCACCAGCTCCAGATCAGATCATGACTTACATAGCCTCGTCGAAATTCTTCGCTGCGATAGCCTTGTTGCCAAGGGCTTTTAGTTCGTCTGCAGTCGCCATATTGAAGGTTCGAAATATCCGTAGGTGCTAAATTCAGGTCTATGGCTCGGGTCTTGGGTCTTGGATCCAGTAACAAAGGTTGTGGGAGAAGTTCTCAGGTGAGGGAAGAATTTCCCATAGAAGCAAATAGCTGAAGTCAGAGCTCCGAAGAATCACTTTCCATGCCTTTCGATGGAAAGATGTGTTTTGATTGGCTGAGGGTTCGTAAAGCTCCCCGCACCTTGTTAGTGGCTTGACTTTGTGGCGTTAGCTTCAGTACAGTACCTATCTTGAAGGGCCCGTCCTCTCAAATCTTTCATCTCTGCTATGCCCAAACATGCCATTTACTAGGCATATATGACCTACCTACTCCTAGTTCATGAATCATGGCTAGCTTTATTTCCTGCTAACATTGTCTTTGCATTGCTGGGACAGATTGTATCGGTTTATTATTCCTCCTAGTATAATTGAAGCCCGACCAGTCGTTGAACATGCAGGTAGCAAAAGATACAACCCCATAGAGCTCCCATCCATATCAACCATACCACCTCCCCCCACCCCCAACCAGAAAGCAGAAGGTATAGCTTCCAGAAGCTAAATCTGGTGGAAGTAGAGGACCTGATCCCGCAGCTTCAGGTGGCGGGGACAGAGGCCGGAAAGAGATGTGTGCTGTCCTTCGGTATCTGTTCGAACAGGACACCGAGTTCGTAAATAACCTGTATAACTATCCGTTGACATCAAGACACTTGTGATCGCACATAATATCTGAACACGTATATGGATCTGTATACTTCCGCTTATCCATAGGGGCTTGCACTTTTTGACCAATTTGTTCGCGTGGGTCGTGAACCATGGACTCGAGCACCGTCGACTTTCAAGAAGCTGACATATTCCGTCCGGGTGGATCTGGCGAAAGCATTGCTGTCGGAAAAGAAACGTGGTGACCACTCTCGGAAGTAGATAGGACGCCGAGTACGGTGGATAGAGACCAAAGGTCGATGGTGCGATATAAAGGTACTGATTGACCCATAACTCTTTGTAAAGCGAAAGAAAAAATACAGCTCATGCCTTGGTACCAGGTAACAGCGACCATTTTGCCCACAAGGACCCGGATTGTAGAATCTAGGCCCCATGTGCTCTGGAGCCGATAAGATCATGAAGTCCAAGAGCAGGTTCGCAAGGATTAGATTGGGCAAAGTAAATCAGTGTGGACGTTTGGTCTATTTAAACTAATCACCTCCCATCTGATCTCAACAACCACAAGCTATCAACAGAAGCCGACAAAAACTTTTGGGGTGACCTCCCGGGCAAGATATAAAATATCTTGCGCCCGGCTAACTCCCTCGCTGCCCAGTGCAAAATGGAAAAGAAGAAACAGAACCCCCGACCTCCTCAGCTCATTATCGCCATGAGTGCCTCCCCAAGGGTCTGGACTGACTGGTCACCGCGATGCACTGGCGGCGGCTCCTTGTCGACGCCCATCAGATGATATACCGCCGTCTGGGCCGCCCGGACCGAGTACTCCATCGTGAAGGTCACGTCCCTCTCCATCTCGACGTACTGGCCCAGCAAGCCCAGGTTGCGGCTCCCGCGGGGGACGACCTGCGGCCGATCGCCCGCTTCCCGGGTGAGGTACGGGCTGCCGATGTACGGCATCAGGCAGGGTATGGTCGTCGACTGCTCCAGCGTGGGGTGTATCGGGAGGTCCAGGTGATGCAGCAGCTCAGTGAGGATCTCCTCGCCCGTGCATTCCATCATGGGCTTCTTCACGAACGTGCCCTCCTGGTCGGGGTACAGGCCGTATCCCCAGAGGACATGGACGTTGTCCGGCTGGTTGAGGAAGTAGGGTTGGTGGGGGATGGTTATCGACATCATCCAGGGGCTGTCCCGGAAGGTGATGAGCGGGCAGCTGCCATCGCTGCTCCTCGACCACTCCCTAAGATTGTCGAGGAAATCGGCGTCGATGAGGGTGACAGTGAAGGATAGCCATGACGACTTGGAGATGCGGCTGTAGAAGGTCTTGGGATGACCAAAAGCCTCTGCGTGGGGGTTCGCTGCAGGGTCCGCGAGTGAGGTCCAGAACTTCCACACGGGGTCAGGATTCTCCATAAGAGCGTCTTGTGCGGGCAACGGTGGTGGTGGTCTCTTGTTATCCCCGACTCGGGAATTCGCTGTCGATGACCCAAGGGTAATTAGAACGATGTCCGAAGGTAGTATATCCACGGTGGTCTCGTTCCCCTTGTGCGTGCTGTGGAGCGCAGACACGCAGATATCGTTCCCTGGACGAAACGCAACTGAAGTAACCGCGGTTTCTACAAAATATCAGCATGAAGGACTGGGAGCCTCCAGTAAAAGAAACCCACATACCGTACTGGAAATCAACGCCGAGCTCCTTGAGATGCGCCTCGAGAGGAACAATCACACACTCGTAGTCGTTCATCGGAGTATGCTCGATGCCTGCCAGAGTACTGATATGGGGGAACTCATGCAGGAAGCGATGAAGATACCTCCTGAACTCAACCGCACTATGCCACGGCTGGAAGCCATACATGCTCGACCACATGTCCCAGAATTTGGACTCGAAGAATTCCGGCTTGAAATGTGCCTGGATCTCATCGCTGGCCACATTTTCTTCGGCCTCAAGCACCAGGCCCAAGATATCGAGGCGGTCCGTAGTGCTCAGCCCGATACTCTTCACATCGACGATCTCAGGTCCAGTGGGTGTCGTGGCCACCAGGCGAGCCCGGCACTCGCCTAGCTCATCGTGTCCCTTGTTGAAAGAAACGATCTCATCCAGCACCGTCTTGGAGGGGTCCCTGATGGACGAGACCCTGGAGAGAGTGTCGTACAGGCAGTTGTATGTGAAGTTCAGTTTCCGTGCTGCGCGAACCGCATAGCCCTTCCTCCAGTCCCCGGCTCCTCCCATTGAGCCTCCCGGGACAGGCGATGCCTCGATGAGGTGGATCTGGTGCGCCGGGACGTGTGCGTCGTGATGGAGGTGCACAGCTGCGGCCAAGGAGGCGATCCCGCCCCCGACCAGATAGACATTCGTCCCTTCTGGTCTTCTGACCGTGTGAATTGTTCCATTCATGTTTGTGGTGAACGAGAGCTTAGCATCTCGTGTACTGGGTGGCGCCATGCAGCGCTAATATAGCTGATGTGGCGGTGGGATGATCTCAAAACGAGACTAGCACAGTCTCAAGACTCCAGTTCTATGGCAAATGTCATGTTTTGGACCAAGGCCAGGATGGTGTAGCCAAAGTATGGCTTTAAAGGAATATTGATGAGGAATATTGATAATAACAGACGTCATGAAAACGTATTACTTCATGATTTTCAGGGTAGCACACCAAATGCAAGCGAGTAGTCAAAGTTACGTATCATAATTCACTAAGATGGACCTAGAAGTAGCAAAGCGCAACGCGACCAAAGAGTGTGTGAAAGTACCCGATGACCTCTGTATCGTACGATTCCTATATACTAGGAGAGAAATGTCGTGAAAACTACCTCGACGGGACGCGACGGTATGCTACCATCACTTATAGGGTAGTCATTATAGGTGGGCCAACGTCTCAACGACGGCTCGTCCCCAGGGGCATCCGCAGTTAGCGGCACGGCAATGCAAGACATGGCTGGTTGAGATGCCGTCTCCCGCTTCCGTGCTCAGTACTTACCTAAAAGAAAGAGAGAAATAGGTGAATTGTGACCAAAAATGGCGAGTAGGAAAATGTGGAGCCGGCAGATGATGGCATCAAGGCCCCACTATAACGGCTCCGGATCTCGGAGCCATGATCTCCTCTCCCAAGGTACGACCTCCTTAACCTCGCCAAGGTGTTCCAAAGGGTAGGAATTAGGCATCGATCTACGAATACGGATTGTCTACTGCCGTGCAAATCCTTTTTCATTCACAATGGCAACCCCCCTGAAAATCGCCGTTCTTGATGACTACCAGGGGCTCTCAGAGACTACCTTCAAGGCGCTGGACTCGTCGTCATACGAGGTCACAACTTTCAAGGACACACTGCTCCCGTACAACCACCCTGGCACCCCACAGGATGTCAAAGACCAGCTAGTCAAGAGGCTCGAGCCCTTCAATGTGATCTGTATGTGATCTGCACGCCCATTGGCTACCCCTGATTCCGCCTCCGACCCCCTGCTAACTCCGCCCAGGCACCATGAGGGAGCGGACGCCCTTCCCAGCCGACCTCATCGCCAGGCTCCCGAACCTCAAGCTGCTGCTGACCACGGGCAACCGCAACGCGGCGCTAGACCTAGGCGCCCTGAAGGCGCGCGGCATCCCCGTCGCCGGCGCCCTCGACACCGCGGCCAGGACGGCCGGCGTCGACAGCACGACGGAGCACTGTGTCGCCTTGATCCTTGCTGCGGCGCGCAACATCGCCCATGACGACCTGTCCGTCAAGTCCGGGGGCTGGCAGACGTCGTACGCGCTCGGACTGGCGGGGAAGGTCTTCGGCACGGCCGGGCTCGGCCGGCTGGGCGTCAAGGTCGCGAAGATCATGAACCAGTCGTTTGGGATGCGGGTCGTGGCGTGGAGTAGAAACCTGACGCAGGAGGCGGCGGATGAGCAGGCCAGGCTGGCTGGGTTGCCCGTGGAGGACTCGGATGGGGAGAAGACCTTCAAGGTGGTGAGCAAGGAGGAGCTCTTTAAGACGGCGGACGTGCTCAGCCTCCACCTTGTGCTGTCGGACCGGTCGAAGGGTATCATCTCCTCGGCGGACTTGGCCCTCATGAAGCCCACGGCCATATTTGTCAACACCTCGAGGGGTCCGCTTGTGGTGGAGCAGGATCTCCTCGACACTCTCAACAAGGGTCGGATACGCGCGGCGGCACTCGATACATTCGACCTCGAGCCCCTACCCCTCGACAGCAAGTGGAGGACGACAAGCTGGGGCCGTGATGGGAGGAGCCAGGTTCTCCTCACTCCCCATATGGGTTATGTAGAGAAGGGGGCGCTAGATGTTTGGTATCAGCAGCAGGTGGAGAATATCAAGCGCTGGCAAAAGGGGGAGGCGCTGACATTGAGCCTTTACTAAGCTTGTCAAAGTGAGATATGTCGTCAATTCGCAATCAGAAACCAGATCTTTTCTGAGGATATCCTTTAGCTAGTTATCTAGGAAGATGTAATGTGTTCTTAGGTATTAGGATAAATATATCAGGCGGACACGTCTCTAGGGGAACATTCTAATTACCCTATTATTTGTCCACGTAGCAGCGGTTTACTCTGACTAACGAACGGAGGTAAAATGAGACAAGCTTGCTTGCTACAAGGGGTGGGTGGATAACTGGGAATTAGCAGAGACGAATAAAGTGCCTCCTTAAATACAACCTCATGGATATTGTGGTTGGGATGGTCGGCTTTTCTTTTTGCACTCTTCGTCTTCTTTCTCATGTCTCCTCGGAAGGGGCCTGGGTGGTGGGTTCCTCATTTTGTCGTATTCCGGAGTTCTCTAGCCGCATCTGCTTTGGGCACCCAAACGGGTTCCTCATGCCTTCCTTTTCTAGGATACTGATGCCAGGGCTCTTTTTGCCTCGTTTGGTGTATATGTGCCCAGGTGATTTGGGAGCACTCACATCTGACTGTACGGCTCCCGTAGTCACCTCCCAGTCTACTCCCAGTCTATACGTTCCATCATCCATGTTACCTACCTAAAGTGTATCTTAGGTAGGCACGCAACCATCTCCGTCAAGGCCAACGCGGTGCCGCAGGTAGATAATATTCACTTGTCTCTCGCCACTGCCAGTCACCACATCCTATCTCTGCGACTTAACTTTCCTCCCGTCAAGGCATACGGGGATTCACCACACAATTACCTTCCACCTGCCACTGTGCAAGACATTCACCTTAGTTTCCAATCTGCGGGTTTACGTCGGTGCCCTGTACTTTCCATCCTTCTATTTTCCTGGCAACAACTAAACCTCACGCGTCTTGAACGCGTTTCTGTTGTGGCACAACCTAACACGATACCTAGGTAGGTCCCTGGTCTACACTCGCCTCGACAGGTTTTATTCTCAGATTACCACCTTGATCTCTTTCACCAACCATCACTTGCGCCGTCTTCCTTCGCGTACTCGAGTTCCACGGTCCTGACGGTCCTGCCTTCCGTCTCCCTGTTTTGGTTGGTACTGTCAGAGCGCCTTTTCTCCCAAGAGTAAATAATCATCAACTGACATTTTCTTCCACCTCTCTAGGCGAGCAGAATTGTTACGCTGTTTCAGGCAGCTCAAGGGCCGATACTTGCAAGCCGATCAGAGTTTACGAGGACGACAACATGGCCAACCAAGGCCAAGGGCTATTGTCCAGCCCCAGAGATACATCGGGGGAAGGGTCAGGCAGCCTGGGTGTCCAGTTTGCAGTGCCCAATCGTGCCACTCAGGTAGATCCTGGCCATGGCAAACCTATGGTCCCTGCCTTCCAGTCAGCTGCTGCTCAGCCAGTTGCTGCTCAGTCAGCTGCTGCTCATGACCACAGCCACCATAAAAATGGTGAGTTAGTATCCTTCTCGGTGGTTATTTCGTGGCTAATATTTTGGACAGATGCTTATCATGGGTTGCCCTTGCCACCCTTCTATCGTCATTACTATGAGGATGGCACGCGCGCCCCTTTCCTTCGCTATCGCGGCGAGGTTCCCCCAAGCGCCAATCCCACGGTTCGTGCCCATGACCCTATCCCACCCCCTCCAAGCCCCCTGAGAGGCACTCCCCAAGACCGATTTAGGACTGCCGTCCTCGGTCTTCCTCCCAAACCATTCAAGGTTGGGGAGGCTCCGCCCCTAAATACCGAGCCTCATATTCGTGGCCAACATATCCCCCCCGTGCCCCCCGGACCCAGTCGTCCTGGTCTACTCCCCAGACCACAACCAGCCTATCCTTCTGGAAGTGGTCGCACACCGCCTCACGGCACGCTATCGTACGATGACATCAAAAGCTCACCAGGCTCCTCGCATCCGGACGCCCCCCTTCTTCGTCAAGGTGGCACCCTTCTGCACCTCCCTGCAGTCCCCTCCCCGGCTATGTTGCTCTCTACCGAGTGCCAGAAACGCGGGTTCAACCCACAGTGGACTGCAGGTGAGATGCGAGGCGGAATGTTCCAGTGCTCGGTGAACCTCAATGGGAGGGAGATCGGCCCTGGCCCGGCCTTTTTTGCGACTTTTGAGGAAGCCAAGCGTGAGATGGCATCCAAGGCTTTGGATATTGTCAAAACCTGGCCGGTGACAAAGGCTCCCAAGCCTGCCACCCAGAACGTCCAGACCGCCACCCAGCCCCCCATGCAGCCCGCCACCCAATCTCGGGCCAGGGGACAGGACCTGGCAGGGCTGCTGAAGTCCGTTCAAAAGAGCAATGCAAGCCTGAGACAAGGAAAGAGAAAGGCAAAGCAGGCCAAGGCGGCCAAGGCAGCCAACTCGGGAAATGGCAGCCGCACTGGACACGTTGCCAGAGCCACTGCTGGCGAGCATGCAAACCTGCAGAAGATCAAGCAAGAGGAAGGGGTGGAACAGCGTCTAAAAGTGCCCAAGATAGTCAAAGACTCGGGCACTACAGGCCACGCGGCTAAAGGCAATGGCAGGGAGAAAACCTCTGGGGAGAAAACCTCCAGGGTCCTTGAAGAGGTGCAGAGCCTCATAGGTACCACTTTCCCCGACAACTTCAATGAAGACCCGAGGATCGCAACCACCTTTCTCGAGGGCCTGGCTCTCGGATCGCGCCTGGCCGAATCTGTTGCCAAGAATTCCCAGCTTCGGGATGGATCGCAGGCCCACGACCAGACTGGTCGCAGTCCCAACAGGGACGCTTTGCGGCTTCGCAGCTACCGTTCCCGGTCTCCCGTCCGCGGCCGAGACCGGGAGAGTGATAGAAGATGGCGTGATCACGGCGAGCAGCGCCGCTCTAGCTATTACAGGCCTTACCAGGATCACCACAGTCCCCGCCGCCACAGCCGGCGGACCCGCAGCCGCAGCCCCGCTGAGAGCCGGACCTATCAGGACCATCATCGCCGGGACTCCTTTGCGAGCAGCGACGTCGCTAGCCGTGGCACCGATCGTGGAGTTGCGCGTCGAGTTGAACGTGGTGTCGAGCCTAGCCGCACCACTGCCAGCGGACCCTCGGTCCCTCCCAAGTCCCAAGGGAAGACGAAGGATCTTCGACAGGGGAGTGGCCTCCAGTATTAAGCCACAGAGCTTTGGAGATGCCCGGCATGCATGGACACATGTCGATATCGGAGGTTATCAAGATGTTTTGAATGCTTGACAAAAGAAACCTGTAGTGGCCATCAACCAGGCCACATCCGACATTAGTGTCATAAGGGCGTTTGGTTGTTGTAATTCTCATGTATCTGGTAGGGTAGATTGGCTGAAGTGTAGAGTACATGATTCGACAATGGCAGATAGCACTGCAGAGTAGGGTACCATTATCCAAGAATGGCGGATCAGCCTCGTCTGGGATTCCTATCCCCTTTACACATTATGCCACCTCCACCAACCTCAAAGTCTGCTAGGCATCCTCGTCGCGCCATCCAGCCGGATGACCACGCCGTTGAGCATGGAGTTCTCAATGGCGTGCCTCGCAAGCGACGCGAACTCGTCCGGCCTGCCCGCCCTAGCGGGGAATTCCATAGCCTTTTCCAACCCCCTACGGACCTTGTCCGACAGCATGGCGGACATACCCGTCTCGAAGATGGAGGGCGCGACGGTGACGACGCGGACGCCTACTCGCGACAGGTCGCGCGCCATGGGCAGCGTCATGGCCGCCACGGCGCCCTTGCTCGCCGCGTACGCCACCTGGCCCATCTGCCCGTCGAACGCCGCCGCGCTGGACACCATGACCACGACGCCGCGCTCGCCGTCCGGGCCCATTGGGGGAGCGGCGGAGAGGTGCGGGAGGACCTGCCGGACCAGGTCGACCGTGCCGCGGAGGTTGATGCCCAGCACGAAGTCGAGGGATTCTAGGGGGAGGGGGTTGCCCCTTTTATCGAGCATCTGGGTTGTGTGGTTAGTTTTTTCATTCGTTTCCAACCCGGGCAGGGAAAGGCCCCAAGGGTCGAGACTCTGAGGCTGCTGACCAGGTTCGGATTCCCCACGCCGGCGGCGGAGATGACGCCCCCAAGCGGCTTGCCGGTCGCGGTGGCCCACTCTGCGACTCCCTTCACGGCGGCGGCGATGCTCTCCGTGTCGGAGACGTCGCATGCCCAGAAGCGGGCGGCCGGCCCGAGATCCTTGGCGAGGGCCGCCCCTTGCTCCTCGTTCATGTCCAGGATGGCGGCGCTGCCGCCGTGACGGCATATGTCCTCGACGCAGGCCCGTCCTAGGCCGGAGGCGCTGGGGTGCAGGGGTTAGTATAACGTGCATATGTGCATATCGGCGGTTGGGGCGATTGACTTACCCACCCGAGATGACGAATGTCCGACCTTCGATCTTCATGTTGCCGAGGGGAAGGGAAAGTTGAGGAGGGGGGACGAGAGGAATAGCAATCTTAGGGAATTAGGTCGGGTGCCAATGGAAAGGCATTCTTGAATATTCTTGAACCAAGTCAAGCAAGCTTCATGTAACATGGGAATCAGTGGTTGACGCCGCCGAGGTATGCCTCGGTTCCCGAATCCAAACCCCCGCTACTGCACTAAACTAGCCCGTGACGTTGCTCGGTCCAGGATCCCTGTCGAAATATGCAAGCAGGGGCAGGGCCCGTGCCTTGCTCTGGAGAGAATCCCTGACCACCGAAAAACAGACAGGCGGTATACACTGATGACATTGGTCTGCGATCCCTACCCTAGATATCTACCCCCTCTTCATCCACCGGAAATCAACCGCCCTCGACAGCATATACGCCGCGTCGCCCGCATATGCCATTCCCGGCACACCCGGATCCGAGCGCCGCCAGACGATAGCCCAGGATGACGAGACCGCGCGGCGCCTCTGCCGCGAGCGAGGAGAGCGCCGGCACCGCCGGAGAGCAGGTATGTAGGCGCCGGCTTTTGCGGGGTTTGCCGCCGCCGGCCCCCCTGCGCCGATTCCGACGTGCTAAGTGCGGAAGTAGGAGCTCGGGAGCATGTACGACTACCTCGCCAAGATCATCCTGCTGGGACCCAGCGGGAGCGGGAAGTGAGTGTGCTTTGCTGTCAGCCCCGGTTTCGCGAGGATGATGCTATGTAGGGGGGAGCGTCGACGATGCCTGTGTTTTGCTAACCGAGACGTTGCGACCAGGTCCTGTCTTCTACATCGGTTCGTCAAGAATGAATGGCGGGTTCTCTCATCACAGACCATCGGCGTCGAGTTCGCCAGCAAGATCATCAAAGTCGGCACCGGCGCACGGCGGAAACGGATAAAGCTACAGGTACCACTCCTGGCCCCCTCGTCTCCCTCCCGCACTCACCCGACTAACTTCCGCCCCTCCCCTCAGCTCTGGGACACAGCAGGGACAGAACGCTTCCGGTCCGTCTCGCGGTCCTACTACCGCGGCGCCGCGGGGGCCATCCTCGTGTACGACATCACCTCGCACGCCTCCTTCGCGGGCCTCCAGCCGTTCCTCAACGATGCCCGCGCCCTCGCATCCCCGAACCTCACCACCCTCCTCGTCGGCAACAAGCTCGACCTTGCCACCGACCCCCTCATCGACACGTCCCTCCCGCCCCCGACCCCGAGCAGCATCTCCTCGTCCGCCTCGACCTCGACCCCCTACGGTAGCAGCGGCGGCGGCGGCGGTTCCTCATACTCGTCGTCGACGACGGCGACGACGACCCCGGGCCTGGGCACGCAGCTGCGGGCGACGGTGGCGCCGGACGGGCGCGAGGTGTCTGCGGCGGAGGCGAGCCGGTGGGCGGGCGGGGCGTCGGCGGCGGTTCCCGTGACGATGGAGGTCAGCGCGCTCAGCGGGGAGGGCGTGGACGAGGTGTTTGGGCGCCTGGCGCGCATGATCCTCACGCGCATCGAGCTCGGTGAGATCGACCCGGACGACCCCATGAGCGGGATCCAGTACGGCGACGCGGGGGGCCCCTGGGCTGCCGCGGGGGACGGCGGCGGCGGCGACGGGGCCAGTGTCAAGAGCGGGGTGACGGTTGATGAGGCGGGCGGGGCGAGGAGGAGGAGGGGGAGGAGGAGGGGTGGGCAGGGGGGTTTGGCGATGGGGTTGAGGGAGTGGGAGGAGGTGTTTACTGTTAGTGGGAGGAGGAGACGCGGGGGTTGCGAGTGTTGATCTTGGGTGTTTGTCTGTCCTCTCTCTCCAACCCTTTTCTGCGTGGCTTGGGGGAGGCAGATAGAGACACCATGATCCCTCTTTCGTTTCTCTTACCTTTCCTTTCCTCCAGCACTCCCCCATGGTTCGCTTTCATACCACAGAGTTGGCAAGGGAGCAGCATGTTCTAGCCTTGGATTGATGTTTCTTTTGTTGCTTCATGTTTTCCGGGTCAGGTTTCTACGACATTGCATGCCACGGGTACGCAGAGGGATATTGTGGCATCTTGTTCATCAGACGAGGGCCCTACTGCTCGTCTCCAGAATGGCGTTACGGAAAGCCGGGACACGCACATCTTGCTTAGATCCAAGCGTCGTGGGAGGTCTCACATACCTACCTACATAAGCACCTAATAATAATGGGAGATAATACTAGCCCCCAAAAGCTTGCCAATGCACGAATACTCGGGAAGCCGTGAAGATAGGTAACCCTACAAACGAAGCGCCATACGCTGCATAAGACTGGTCCCTAATGCGTAGGATGAGGATCTCGGCCAAATAGGCGAATCACCTCTTCCCCACGGAGGACATGTCACATAATAGCGCCGTCGATATACCTTCCGCCCCGGGGAACCCGCATGCCAGCTTGGCGGGCGAGCCCACAAATCAGATTTGGGCGCCCCCCCATACACGGAACAGGTTTTCGGTGACGAGGGATGGGAATTGTCGGTCTGGGAAAGGCGGATATCAGTCGGGGATGGAGGAGGCTGTGATTCTATAAGTCATTTGTAGTCGGCCACCACCGTGATGTGAGCCGCAAGGTGGGATCCAACCATCTTAGCCTAAAGAGACTGTGGATACGACTTAGCCTAAAGGGACCGCGGACAGGGACCCTCCGCCAGCTGGGATCCACTAGGCCCAGAGATGGCCTGCTAGTGTGGGACTAGGTAGGTTTTGTCGACAGGCAGATGTGGACGTTTTAGGTGGGGGCTGTATGCACTGGTCATGAATATTGGCGACAGGGTGGTTTGTTGGATCAGCCATGAAATCCCATTCATCCTTCAGTAGCGGGGTTGAAGGAGGGGGTGGTGGGTGTTTGGGAGATTGTCTGAGGTCGAGTTGGGCATGATGCGATGTAAGTGAGCAGCAGGTCATGTACCTACTCGCCAGGCCTCTGGCGAGTACCTAGTGCAAGTGACAAGAATTCCATGATACCATGGAACCTATGATAACGGGTGGGACCTCCAGACTACTGCTTCTATGCGTACGTATGTACAGTGCAGGTGTACTGCATGTGGTTGAGTTCCAGAACTCCTCCTGCACGTTGCCTCGATCACATCAAATACCCGCTGTGGAGTCCCCAAGGAAGGCTCTTGCATCTCGTAGTCGCTATTCGTCACCTCGGGGGCTGTTCTCCCGCCCAACTAGTTGATAATGAACGGCATGGACTGGAACGTTGGTCGAGGGTCCATGTAGCCTCCAACGATTAAATAGCAGGCGACCCGACTGTCAGGGACGGATTGTCTTCTGCATTCTGGATTCTGGACCCCTCATCGGATCACACAGCCCCTCATTCTCCCATTCTCCCATTCTACCCCCCTTCCTACTACAATCCCCTCGTGCTCGGGGCTCCCCCACCATGGCTCCCCGCACCGTGATCCCCCTTGATAAGAACTGGGAGTTCAGGCAGGCCGACAAGGAAGACAGCAAGTATCTCCCCGTTGGCCAATTCCCCACCAATGTCCATCTCGACCTCCTGCACCATGGCTTGATTCCGGATCCGTTCATCGGCAAGAACGAGCTCGACGTCCAGTGGATCGGCGAGGCGCAATGGGTGTACAAGACCACCTTCTCTTCCGATGCGGTGCCCGAGGGCGCCAAGGCAGTGCTGGCCTTTGACGGGCTCGACACGTTCGCCACCGTCGTCCTCAACGGGGAGACCATCCTGGAGACGGACAACATGTTCACGCCCGAGAGGGTCGATGTCACGTCGGTCATCAAGGAGGACAATGAGCTGGTCATCACCTTCGACAGCGCCTTTCTGAGGGGCTGGAAGCTGGTTGAGAAGTACCCGGACCATAAATGGGGCTGCTGGAACGGCGACAACTCCAGGCTGGCTGTCAGGAAGGCGCAGTACCATTGGGCGAGTAACAATTCCTCATACCCTTTCCCCATTGCCCATTCCCCATTCCCCTGGCTGTCCTCTAACCACGCTATCGTCAGGGCTGGGATTGGGGTCCGACACTCTTGACCTGTGGCCCCTGGAGACCCATCAACCTGGAAATCTACGAGTCCCGGCTAGCGGACTTGTACTGTGACATTTCGGTCGACAAGTCTCTGAAATCCGCCGATGTCGTTGCCCACGCCCGTGTTGAAGGGAAGGCAGACAAGGTCCGGTTCGACGTCTCGCTGGAAGGCACCGCGGTGGCGTCCGAGGTGGTGGACTTCTCCCCCGATGGCACCTCGGCCTCGTTCCATCTCAGCAACCCATCCCTGTGGTATCCGGTCCGATACGGGAAGCAGCCGCTGTACACGGTCAAGGCGACCCTGCTGCTGAGCGGCGGCAGCGATGGGGCCGACGTCGACGTCGACAGGCTCTCCAAGAGGATCGGCCTGAGGAGGGCCGAGCTGGTGCAGCGACCGCTCGAGGAACAGCCGGGCACGTCGTTCTTCTTCGAGGTCAACAACATCCCCCTCTTCTGTGGCGGCAGCGACTGGATCCCCGCCGACAACTTCATCCCGCGGATCAGCCCCGAGCGATACCACGACTGGGTCAAGCTCGTAGCGGACGGCAACCAGTTCATGATCCGCGTCTGGGGCGGAGGCATCTACGAGGAGCAGGCCTTCTACGACGCGTGCGACGAGCAGGGAATCCTCGTGTGGCAGGACTTCATGTTCGGCTGCGGCAACTACCCGGCCTGGCCCGAGCTGCTGCAGTCGATCAAGCGTGAGGCCGAGGAAAACGTCAAGATGCTGCGCCATCACCCGTCCATTGTCATCTGGGCCGGCAACAACGAGGACTACCAGTACCAGGAGAGCGAGAACCTGACGTACGACTACGAGAACCAGGACGCCGAGTCGTGGCTCAAGACAGACTTCCCCGCGCGCTACATCTACGAGAAGGTGCTGGCTGACGCCTGCAAAGAGCTGATCCCGGACACGGTCTATCACTTCGGCTCGCCGTGGGGCGCGGGCCGGGACACTCACGACCCGACGGTGGGCGACATCCACCAGTGGAACGTGTGGCACGGCACGCAGGAGAAGTACCAGAACTTCGACAAGCTGGTGGGCCGGTTCGTGTCCGAGTTCGGCATGGAGGCGTTCCCCAGCGTCAAGACCATCGACGCGTACCTGCCGCTCGGCCGCGACGACCCGGACCGCTACCCGCAGTCGTCGACGGTCGACTTCCACAACAAGGCCGACGGCCACGAGCGCCGCATCGCCCTCTACCTGGTCGAGAACATGCGCTACGCCCCGGACCCGCTCGAGCAGTTCGTCTACTGCACGCAGCTGATGCAGGCCGAGTGCCTGGCCAGTGCCTACCGCCTGTGGAAGCGCCAGTGGAAGGGCCCCCGGCGCGAGTACTGCGGCGGCGCCCTGGTCTGGCAGATCAACGACTGCTGGCCCGTCACGTCGTGGTCCATCGCCGACTACTACCTGCGCCCCAAGATGGCCTACTTCACCGTCAAGCGCGAGATGGCCCCCGTCAGCGTCGGCATCACCCGCGGCGAGCACCGCACCCCGCGCGACAAATACACGCGCGCCCACGTCGACGTCTCCACCCGCGTCGAGATCTGGGGCAGCAACCTGACCCTCGAGGACCTGACCGTCGACTGCGTCGTGCGCGCCTGGGACGTCGAGACGGGCGAGGAGACCTTCTCGAGCACCGTCGCCGAGGGCATCGCCCTCCCGTGCAACCGCTCCACCGAGATCGCCGACCTGGAAGTCCCGGTCCGGAACGCGGGGGCCGGCGAGGAGGGCCGTACCGTCGTGGCCGCATACATCGTCCAGCGCGACGGAGACAAGTCGACGCAGATCGCCCGCTACGTCAACTGGCCCGAGCCGCTCAAGTACCTGCACCTGCAGCAGCCGGCGCAGCTGAAGGCGACGCTGACGGAGGACGCGTCGGTCGTCGAGATCAGCGCCGAGGTCCCCGTCAAGGGCGTCTCGCTGGAGGCCGAGGACGACGCGATCAAGTTCGACGACAACCTCGTCGACATCGTCCCGGGCGAGGTGGTCCGTATCGGTGTCAAGGGGGCGACTAAGGACTCGAAGATCGACACGAGGTATCTGGGGATGCAGACCTAGAGGGTTGCTCTGCGCTCGGAAGGGGGGAAATTGTTCATGTCTTTGTTCTTTCTCTTAGAGGCATTGAAACATGATGGTACTGCCGGTTCGTAGGAATGGATCTCGAATAGACTATCTCGCCGACATATGGCGGGAAAAATGAATTTTCTCAATCATGACTTTCGTCCGAGAAAGTAGCTTCCCCTGTCAACTCCTACGTGGTATCTCGAAGATGGGAGGCTGCGAACCAGCACAGACTTGGGGGGCAAAGGTTTGCGTGGATAATTAATTATTCAGACAGACGGCGGACCCTGAACTCCTAATACACTACAAGCAAATTGCTCCCAGCCTTTGCGCCAAACAACATCTTAACCAAACCACTTTCACGACTTTTTTCCTCAGCAGCAAGCACCGGTACTAACGGCAGTAGCACCACCAATGGCAGTAACGCCGGCGGCACCAGTATTAGTGGCACCAGTATTAGTGGCGCCAGCATCAGCGACAACCGCATCAGCAGCACCGGCGTCAGGGACACCGGCACCAACGACGGGAACATCAGTGGTAACAGGCTCGGCAGCAGCAGGCTCAGCAGCAGCATCAGCAGCACCGGCATCAGCGGCACCGGCAGCGGCACCGGCGGCACCAGCACCAGCACCGGCAGCACCGGCAGCGCCGGCAGCAGCACTGGCAACACCAGCGGCAGCGCCAGCATCAGCGGTACCAGCACTAGCGGCCTGCTCCGCCTGCTCCTCCACCTTGGCCCCATCCACAGCCGCGTCGAGCGCCTCGCCCTCGACCTTCTCGTTCGGCCCCGCGATCAGCACCTTGATGACCTGCCCCTCCTTGACCTTCTTGAACGCCTCCTCAGCCTGCCCGAAGCCGACGACGCTGCTGATCAGCTTCTTGACGTCCACCTTCCCGCTGGCGACCAGCTCGACAGCCAGGCGGTAGTCCCCGCTGCCGTAGCGGAACGATCCGCGGGCGGTGACCTCCTTGAGGCACAGCGCCATGATGGGGAAGGTGATGTCGGGCCTGCCCATGCCGCCCTGGACGTACGTGCCGCCGACGCGCACGGCGTGGAGCGACGCCTGGATGCTGGGCTCGGCGCCCGACGCGTCGATGACGGCGTCGGCGCCGTCGGGGAGCCCAGCCACGGCGAGCAGGTTGCGCGCGTTCTCCTCGGGCGCCACGCGCTGCGACAGGTACGTGTGCGTGGCGGCGAACGAGCGCGCGAACGCGAGCTTGGCCGGCACGATGTCCACCGAGACCACCTTGGTGGCGCCGAACGAGCGCGCCACGGCCGCGCACAGGAGGCCCACGGGGCCCGCGCCCATGACCACGACTGACTGGCCGGGCGTGATGCGGGCCTGCTTGACGATGTGCACGGCGACGGCGAGGGGCTCGATCAGGGCGCCCTCCTGCAGGGTCACGTTGTCGGGCAGCTTGTAGCAGAAGTCGTCGGGGGCGACCCAGAAGCCCGTCAGGGTGCCGTCGTAGGGCGGCGTGGCGGCGAAGGCCATCTTGGGGCACAGGTTGTAGAAGCCGCCCAGGCAGTTTGCGCAGCGGCGGCACGGGTACCCCGGCTCCAGGGCGACGGTGTCGCCTGGGCGGAGCGTCGTCACGGCTGATCCGACCTCGATCACGGTGCCGGCCGACTCGTGGCCCAGCACCATCGGGTCCTTGACCACAAAGTGCCCGATCGCGCCGTGCTCCCAGTAGTGCACATCGGACCCGCAGATACCCGTGTAGTTGACCGCGACGAGGACGTCATGCTCGGACTGCAGCTTGGGCAGCGGCCGCTCCGCGTAGCTGACGTCGTGGGGCTTGTTGAGGATGAAGGAGAGGTTCTGGGAGAGGGTGGGTCAGCGTTACACAGGACGAGGAGAGCTATGGTTGGTTGGTTGGTTGGTTCCCTACCGATTTTCCCTCCATTGTACCTGTGGGTGGGAGATAAGAGGAAATATATGAGAGCTGGAGGGGTAATCGAATCAAGAGTAGAGAGGAGAGAGGGCAGAGAGTTTGTCGACACTGGTGACAACCACAATCAGGATGGGGGAAAAGGAGAGTCCAGGAAGACACCAGGAGGAGATAATATTTAATACAGGCCTTCTTTCTCACCGTTTCTCGGAGACGCGCCAGAAGCGGCGCCAAGTGGGAAATCATCCATATCGAGGGGGAGGAGCTTAGGGAGGGAGCAGTGCGGGGAGCTCTGGCCTCGCTGCCGCCGCCATGACTACCTGACTACCTGATTTTTTCTAGCGTCATGCCTGGTCCCCAGCATGGTTCTTCTCCCCTTCAGGGGTGGGTTACTGCCGGATTTGCCCCCCACTACGCAGCACCACAACCCCAGCTTGGTTGGAAGCCAATTACGCCATGCTTTCGAGTCCCAACAAGTGGCTTGCCTGCGTTTTTAGTGCAAAGCCGTCGGCTTGACAGATCTCGGTTTTATCCAGACCATTTACCCGCTCCAATCAACTGCCCATTGACACTCGGGCAAACAGCCTAGGGTCCAGGCCACTCGTGTTTGCTAGCAGATGGGGCTGATGGGGCTCTATGAAATTGCAGATAACTGCGTATACCGTGGGATACGGGGTCCGGGTACAGCGATTACAACAAGAAACCTCTGCTCTGAAAGTCGGTGAGAGGGAAATCCACAAGGGGAAGCTGGTGCGGGCCTTTTTCGTTCTTTTATGCAGCTCCTGGTCAGCGGGGAGAACAGAAGAAGCAAGGCGGGCATAGAACTGCAGGATGAAATGAATTGCCATTGGGGAACCGAACGCTGACAAGCAACCAAGATCGTCATCACATGGTCTGAGGGAAGTTGTCTGTGCTCGGTAAAAAAAAAAAAAAAAAAAAAAAAAAGGTCATGTGATTGACCAGTCAAAATTGAGGTGAACAAAATAAAAGGTGATGAAAAATGAACAGGAATGAAAAAAATAACGATGACTAGAGTGCGATTCGAACGCACGCCTCTTTCGAGACTACGAAATCCTACCCTGTGTGGGGTGGTACAGGTATTATCCTGAACGTAGCGCCTTAGACCGCTCGGCCATCTAGCCTTGTCGTTATCAGTTCCTGCGCTATTATAGTTCATAGAACAGACAAGGGTGGCTGCGGAGGAGCTACGGAGATACTGCTTGGAGTGTGTATTCCGTACCTGGACTCAAAAATTCCAAACCCACTCGCTAGTCCCATCTGATTGGTGCATATCAAATGGTCACTGGCTGGCACGGAAGAGAGTAGCACTCAATGTCTGGGGATTTGCTTGCATCTCTATAGATAGATGTGCAGGTATTCGGCAGGGCAACAATCTGATGCATCATGCACTGCTGCGAGCCTTAGTGTACATCCCCAGTGTCAAGGCCTGGGCCAACCCAGCACGGCGGACTATAATGACTTTGTCGAGGAACTACAATGTTTGCGCCCCAAGTTGATTGTTTCTGTGGCTGTCGAGTCAATTGCTGACTCTTGTTCTCCAGGACGCCATCGATGCCCTCAACACGCTTCAAACGCCGTTCGCGGTCATTGAGGCTCGCCGAAAGGCCGGCGTCAGGCCAGATGCTCAGTCTATCAAGGAGATGAGGGCCTACCTCGGCCAGATTGGCTATTCGGTATGGACCCGGACCCAGGGGGCGACACTGCGTGGCGGCTGTGCTGGCGGGGGGGGGGGGGGGGCAAACTAACCATTTTGCAGTCCCGAGATCTCGACCGGCTCAACGTCATCCACGTCGCCGGGACTAAGGGCAAGGGGAGTACGTGCGCGTTCGCCGACTCCATCCTCTCGCACTACCGCAAGAGGCACGGGGTGCCCAGCAAGGTTGGGCTCTTCACCTCGCCGCACCTCGTGGCCGTCAGGGAGCGGATCCGCATCAACTCGCGGCCCATCTCTGAGGAGCTCTTTGCGAAGTACTTCTTCGAGGTCTGGGACCTGCTCGAGTCTTCCCCAAAGGATGCTGCCGAGTACGAGACCGCCGCCTTCGCCGGCACCAAGCCCATCTATGCCCGGTATCTCACCCTGATGAGCTACCACGTCTTCCTCCAGGAGGGCGTTGACACGGCCATCTACGAGACCGGCATAGGCGGCGAGTTCGACGCCACCAACATCGTGGAGCGCCCCGTCGCCGCGGGGATCAGCACGCTGGGCATCGACCACGTCTTCGTGCTGGGCGACACGGTAGAGAAGATCGCGTGGCACAAGGCCGGCATCATGAAGCCGGGCAGCCCGGCCTTCACCGTCGAGCAGGTCCCCGGCGCGGCCCGCGTGCTGGAGGAGCGAGCTGTGGAAAAGGGAGTAAACCTGAGGGTGCTGGACATTGACCCGCGCCTAAAGGAGGTTGCGATTCGGCCCGATGCGAACTTCCAGAAGAAGAACGCCTCGCTCGGAATCGCCTTGGCAGAAACAGCGTTGCAAAGGCTTCATCCGACATTCTCACCTTCGCCAACATCCCTACCCCAGGAGTTCGTAGATGGTCTTGAGCAGGTGGTCTGGAGGGGTCGGTGTGAGGTCAAGGTGGACGGCCGGGTCGTCTGGCACGTTGACGGCGCGCATACAGTGGACAGTCTCAAGATGGCTTCCCGCTGGTTTGCAGGGGAGACGGCAAAGCGGTATGCCCGGCCCCGGTTCTATCCGCCGCAGCATCAAACTAACCTTGTCAGGTCCGGGCCAAAAGTCCTTATCTTCAACCAGCAGGGGAGGACCGAAGCAGTGGACTTCCTTGAAGGGGTTTACAATGGCACAAAATCCGCCGACGGCTCTTCGTTTGAACATGTCATCTTCTGCTCGAACGTGACGTACGCAGAGGCCGGCTACAAGAGAGGTATTGTTTCGTAGCCCACCCCCTAGGTGTGGCCGTCGCTGACGAGCTCGAAACCCGCAGACTTTGTGAATCATCAGCATGACCCGAAGGTAATAGCGAAACTGAGCCAGCAACGGGATTTCGCCCAGAAGTGGTCGTCTCTCGACCCTTCGGCGGATGTAACCGTCAGCTCAAGCATCGAGGAAGCCATCACTCGAGTGCGGGAACTGGCCAAGACGATGGAAGGCGAGGGGGACACGGTACAGGCGCTGATAACTGGCAGTCTCCATCTAGTCGGAGGAGCACTGTCCATCTTGGAGGGGAGCGATGCTCTCTAGACTGGCTGACACAGGCGGTGGGGCGAGACCCGAGAAACACATATAGAGGTAGATTCAGCACTCCACAGTGGGAGGTCAGGGATAGATTCTAGCACTCAACATGCTCGATAGATTTGATCACAGCACCGAGAAGATGAAAACTCCCTGTAACCAGCACTTTGCAATGCTTCCCTTCCTCCTTTGCCTCCCTAGCAAAACCCCTAACCAGTTCCATCGAAGGCTCCACCGCCGCCTGCGTGACGCATCGGGTCTCAGGGTCGAAGTTCCTCATCACCTCGCACGCTTTGGTCTGGACCGCAAGGTCTCGAGACGGCTCCCCGGCCGCTGGCATTTTCTCCTCGTTCCTCGTGAAAACGGCGTACTCGAACGCTCTCGCCGAACCGATGCCGGCTTTGGAGGATGCCAGCAACGCTGGCAACAGGGCTGCTGGATCCCTGTCTTGCTGGTTGAAGAGCAAGACTCTCCGGACATCAGGCCCGGCCGCCCGGGAAGCAAACCACTGCCCAATACCGGCAAGGCTGTCCTCGGTGTGAGCCCCGTCCAGGAACCACTCGACACCGTCTCCGTCCACATACACCTCGCAGCGGCCTCTAAGGGTCGCCTCCCTGAGGCCGGCCTCGAATTCCGGCGGCATCGACCGCAGCGGGTAATCGTCCTTTGCGAACTCCCCGTCGAACCGGCCGCCCAGCCTCAGGATGTGCTCCCTCGCGGCGGCGACAGCCAGCGCCATGTTATACTTCTGGAACGGCCCCTGCAGCGCCGCGTCCGCGACGCCTCCCCAAGCCTCGACCTCAGCGTCATCAACCTCCACCAGCACCGCCCCCTTCTCCGCCGCCCTCCCCCTTAGGACCTCCATGACGCCCTCCCTCCCCGGCCCAGCCCCCCTCGTGAAAGCCCTCACCCCCCTCTTGAACACCCCCGCCTTATGCCACGCAATCTCCTCCACCGTCCCCCCCAGCATAGCAACATGATCGACCCCAAGCTGCGTCACCACCGCCGCCGTGACCGCCCCCTCAGGCAACACATTAGTAGCGTCATACTCGGCGCCAATCCCGCACTCCACCACCGCTGACCGACACCCCTCCCGCACAAACACATGCAAAGCAAGAATCGTCAAGAACCGGAAATAAAACGGCTTCGTCGACGGGCCCGCCGCCTCCCCCGCCGCCACCCCGTCCTCCCGCACCGCCGCCTCCGACAGCCGATCCCACACCTCGAAGAAGTACCGCGCGAACGTCTCCCGGTCCACGGGCCGTCCGTCGACGGCGATGCGCTCCCTCACGCTCGCCACGTGCGGCGACGAGTACGTCCCCACCGGCCCGACGACGACGTGCTGCTGCTGCTGCTGCTGCTGGTGCTGCCACCACCGCGTCAGGATCGACGCCGTCAGCGCCGAGACGGACCCTTTGCCCTTGGTGCCGGACACATGCACGCACCGCAGCGCGGATAGGTCGGCTGGGGTGTAGCCTGCGCGGCGGAGCCAGGCGTGCATCTCTGGGATGGCGAGGGCGTTGAGGTCGACTGCGGGCTTGGTGGTGGTAGTGGTGGAAGTGGGTGGCGTGAAGAGGTTGGTGACGGCCTTGTTGGATTGGAGCTGGGAGAGGAGGCGGAGGGCTTCCTCGTAGGTGCGGGTGGTGGGGGAGGAAGCCATTGTGGAATAGCCTAGGGCTGGAAGCTGTGTGTGTTTGTAGGTTCTGAGGGTGTGTTGTCTTGATGGAGGGGGCTGACGGAGAGGTGTTCGCAAGTGAGACAAGATTGAGTAACCAACTCTGCGTGGCATGTCCATACAGGTATCAAATGGGGTTTTCCGTTGAGGTCATCTTAAAAGCGCATTAAGATTTTGCAAGACTGTCATTAGGGGGCTTCAATTGCTGTGGCCTTAGAGGTATCAAAAGTTCAGGTTCAGGAATCAGTCTGAGCTGAGGTTAGAAATTTGCGGGTTTTCTTTCAAGGTGGATGATTACTGTTGCAACCTCCCTTGACTTGCAACACACACATGCCAAATGAACGTCATCTCACACATAACTCGCACAGGAGGCTAGGATTTGCAGTCCAAGTTCTACTGTTTGTCTATTACTCTGGCTTTCTTGGTACACATAGCCGACCGGCTCACTTTTATCCACCCCCAAGTCCTACGGGCAAATATACAGAGACAAAAGAAACCGTCAATTCTTTAATCTAGCTTCAGACTCTGTAATCTAGCTTCGGTTTGGATGACCTGTAAATCAGTTAGCGGTTGGCTGGCTATAACCACCAAGTAAACAAAAGGATAGACGTACCTCCAAGGCCTGCTGCACCTCCAGGACCTTCCTGACCTCACCGAGCCAGTCCCTGCTGAGGGTCTTGGCCCAGCCACCCAGGCCGTTCATCTCCCTCGCGGCATTGTCGAGGTCGCCCTCCTCGAGGTAGGTCTGGGTCCGCGTGAGGATGCTCTCGACGTCGTCGCCGGCGGCCAAGCCCTGCTTCTTGAACATGAGCTTGCTGAGCGCCCAGCTCGAGGCGTGGCTGGCGACGCCAGCGTCCTCGGGCAGCAGCGACGCCTTGCGGACCTCGGTGGCGACGCGCCGGAACCGGTCGATCAGCTCCGCGGGCGTCGAGATGCCGCGCTGATAGGCCGACGGGTTGATGGACGCGATCGCCGCGTCGACCACTGCGTCGTCGGCGGCGATCTCCTTCAGCGCCACGAGCTCCTTGATGAAGGGCCGCGGGTGGTGCGAGTCCTCCAGGCTGGCGCGGACCGCCTCGACGGCCACGTGCAGCTGCTGGGTTCGCAGGTTCGTGTCCACCACCTCGTTCCAGCCAGTCGTCAGCTTCTCCAGCTCGGACACGGCCGAAGACAGATCGTTCAGCTTGCCCAGCCTGCCGTCCCGTTCGTCCTCCACCATCTTCTTGACCTCTTTCGCGAACTGGCGCTGCAGCTCGATACTCTGTTCCAGGAGCTTGTTGTTCACGCGCTCCTCGTTGAGCTGCTGCTCGCGTTCCACGACGAGCTTGAGCTTCTCGTCGTAGCTGTCCTTGAGCCTCTTCATCTCTGATTCGAAGTCGCGGCGCCACTGCGTCTCCTGCGACGCCATGGCAGCCTCGACTCGGGTGACGAGCTCGTTGGCCGCCTTGTCAAAGTCCACGACACGCGCCTTGACCTGGTTCGCGGCGTCTTGCTCCACGGCAGCCTTGATCGCCTTGATCTTATTGGCAACCTTATTGAGCTCGTTCTTGGCCTTGCCGATGGTGGCGCCGTACCGCTCGTTGGCACCGTCGGCGTTCACGACTGTGATGATGTCATTCAGCATGCGCACCAGGTCCTGGACGACCGGTTCCGTGGCGCCATTGACCGCAAGAGGGTCAATGGGAGATGCCGGGGGGAAGCGCGACGGTTCGTCAACCTCAGGGGCCTTGAATGGCGCCTTGTCCGGGGCAGAGGTTGTGGGAGTCGAGTTGGGGTTGGACGAAGATGAGTCAATCACAGGAGCTGGGGCAGCGGCGGGAGACGGGACCTTCTCCGGATCGGCGGTGGGCTTCGGCGGTTCGGCAACCTTCTGAGCGTCGTGCTTCGGCTTCTCCATAGGACTGGGCGAAGCTGCGGCCTCCTTGGCTGCCGCTGCCTTGCGGGAGCCGCTGGACTGCTTATCAACGACGTCACCTCTGTCGGCTACTCGCCACGAAGCACCGCTCTGTGCCGGAACCTTGACATTATCTCCTCCGTCCCGCTGCCGTCCGGTGACCCGCTGGGCAACCTGGGGAAAGCGCTTGCGGAACTCCATCTCTTCAAGGTACAACACCGCCTGTTCGCCGAAGGGAATGTACTCGGTGAAGAAGTCGTGGAAGTTGTCGTTGATGCGCGAGTACCACACACCACCGCCAAAGGCGAGGGCGCCCAGGATCGAGAGGGTCAGGACATAGTTGCGCAGACGACGGAAGAATCCCTTCTTCTTGGGACCAAGCGGTGTCGCTGGGGGTGGTGCTGCCGCAGCCGGTGAGGTAGCGGTCGAGGACTCGGGAGCAGGCGGTTCTAGAGGGACATTCTCTGGTGGTATCGTCGAGGAGGCGACGGAATCCTCTGGAAGGGGAGGAGGTTGGGTTGACGGAGCCGTTGTCGTCTCGGAAGCTGGGATCGCCGCCGGTTTGGATGCTTCTGTATTTGGTTTCTTCTCATCGGCGAGCCATCTCTGCAGCGTAGCGCTCGTTAGTAACAGTTCATATCTGCATGGAGCGCCGTCCCAGGCGGCCTCTGAAGGTCCCGATAAACATGGCATGAGACCTCCATACCTTGGTGACTACTCCGGCCGGTCTCGCGATCGAGGGGCGCCATTGGCGGGCAGCAGCAGTTGCAACAGGCCTGCTGCCGAGTGCCCTCACGGATCGAAGTGAAGTCCGCAACATGAGGGAATGCAATGGCCAGCACGGCACGATTTGATTTCTGGCGGAGGTTGTGTCGGGAGATCCAAACGGAAAATGCTCGAGGAAAAAGTTCGGCAAAAGCAGTCTAGAGGCGCCGCTGCTCGGCACGGCACACACTGGCGCTATTGCGCCGATCCACCCCAGCAAGCAAGGAAGCAAGCACTCAGCAGAGCCGACACCAAAATGCGTCACTTGGAGTAATGAGTAGATAAATAGATCTCACGAGATGATTAAAACCTCCTATTTCTTTTGGTATGCTATTGATTACCTTTGACATTAACCACTAGGCGTCCGTTGTGAAGCAGTTGCTCTATTTGCTTAGGTACTGTACAGCAACGCGAAATGCGATAGATGGATGGATAGATAGATGTAGGCCTCCCGCACTGTCCCTAGCAACCTATTCAGGGAACCGCGACAAGATTATCCCCTTGCTTCCCTTCCGGCCTTCCACCTCGAGAAGATCAGATGCAGCTGTCCCTTTCGACCACACCCCGAAGTCAGGCACCAAGTATGGATAAGTAGACACCAGACAAAAGAAAGAGGGATTAAAATATGTGACCAAGACCAATCCTCCCAAAAGACTCCGCACCGAAATTAGGCGACATTCCTGAACCTCCAAGGTAATGGGTTCTCTCAGAGACCAAAAGTCTATGTCAATGACCGAAAGTCGATTATCATACCAAAAGTCCACTCCCGAATGTTGCGATCCATCTCTAATAAGTCTGGTAACACCATCCCGACCACGACAGCATGCGACGTTTGCACTTCCCACTCCTTTCCTGAAACTCTTAACTCTCCCACTCTCCCCCTGGAGTGACACGAACCTAGCAACTGCAAGGGCCGCTGCTTTGAGTATTCGAGTTCTCCGGCGCTAGGCTGACGCCGGGTCGTTGGCCTGGCCGGGCATGTCGGGGGCCGACCTGGTCAAGCGGCAACTTCTTCGCGATTGCCGTAAATAGTTCCCGGACATTCTCGGCCGTCTTTGCTGAGGTCTCGAAGAAGAGCAAGCCGGCTTCTCTGGCGTACGCTTCGGCATCCGCAGCCGAGATCGCCCGTTTGTCTGGCTGTTCGGTAACCAGATCAAGCTTGTTACCAGCCAGGGCAATGATTATGTTCTCGTTCGCTTGTCGTTGCAGTTCCTTCACCCACGCCTTTGCCTTGTCGAGGGACGACTATGGAAACATCATGTCAGCACGCGGATCTCAAAGCGCCGCAGCAAAGGCTTGAACGTACAGCTTGGGTAATATCGTAGACGACCACGGCGCAGTTCGCGTTTCGGTAATACATGGGTGCCAAAGACTTGTATCTTTCCTGGCCGGCTGTGTCCCAGATCTCGAACTTGACTGTGGTGTTCTCATCGAGCGAAATGGTTTGTGTTAAGAAAGCAGCGCCGATCGTAGATTCTCTGTACGAGTCGAATTGATCCTGGAGTTCAGTCAGTCTCTGTGATATTGGATACCCTGTCGGGAATACCCACCTTGACAAACCGCAGCACTATGGAGCTCTTTCCGACAGCAGATTCACCTGCGGATGGACGGTCAGTATTCCCCTGTCCACATTAAGAGAGCAATATAGGGGGAGAGGGCTTTACCTAGGAGCACCAGCTTGAACTGGGCGAAGCGGTTGCCCATTCCGCGAGCACCAGGGGGGCCTCGAGCTGCCATGATGAGGGAGGTATAAACGTTGACGGAAGGACTGGCGAAGGGGTCGTATGTAGATGTTGTGGGCCTAGAATCCGAGGCTGACGTCGTCCGCGATAGGTATTTCGGACGGACTTTGAAAGAGAAAGGATAGTCCAAGGTCGAGGTCAGGACAATAACACTGATAAGTAGATGCGGATGAAGGATTCCTCAAGCCGGGTGAAAATCGTATGCCAGTCTTGACTGCAGAACTAGGAGGTGAGCTGGAGTTTAGGGTTGTGATGGGAAGCCGGCCGGAAGTTGATGGTGATAATGTTCCACTCGTCGAAGCCTACCTTGTAGGTAGGCGCCTCATCAGATCAAAGAGGCCTGCACTTTCCTGGTCCGTGCTTTGGTCAGGTGAGGCTACTTTCGCTTGCGTCCTACGTAATTGCTGGCTGTGGGTTGGGTACCGGTACCTCGGTCGGTCCGGTCCTTCCATTTTCTGAAGAAACGGGCCTGGCCCAAGCGCCTTGCAGATTCACAAGCCCGCCGCCATTGGCAGTTGGCACGCCTTCGCAGTGTCAGCTACGTGTTGAAATCAAGGTGCGGCTTCTTATCGAGTCCCAAGCTTGCTACAACCCAAGGACTCGACTTTGCACTCTGCTCACCACAACTGCACTGCGCCCCGCCCTGACATCAACTGGTGATGGAATTCGAGATTCGGCAGAAATTGACGCTTTAACCCACCGGCGCACCTGTCAAGATGACTCTCCCTTACCGGGACGCCAACGTCCAGGTCGCCCCCGACTCGTATATCTTCACGTCTCCGTCCTCCCCCAACGCGCCTGTTCTCAGCATTGATCGGCCGACTGGCGACATTCGTCTCCTCGATGGCTCCCTAGTCTCTGGGAAGCGGGTTTCCCGCGTGTCCAGCATCGCTGGTATCCTGGGCATGATCAGGCTGAGACTTGGTAAGGTTCTCCCCAGGCTGCCACCCCATAGATAGCCTGGCGAAATAGCTGACGTTCATAGACAAATACATAATCGTAATAACGAAGGCCCAACCAGTTGGTCGACTCAAGGGGCACATGGTTTACAAGGTCATATCCACCGAATTCCTCCCGTTGCGCGAGCGCCAGATCCACGACCCGGACGAGGACAAGTTCCTCAGCCTGCTTAAGACGTTCATCAAGTCGGGACCCATGTATTTCTCGTACTCGGTCGACCTCACGAATAGTTTCCAAAGACAGGCGCAGCATGACAGTCCCAGCCCCCTATGGATGAGGGCCGACGATCGCTTCTTCTGGAACAGGTTTGTCCAGTCCGACTTTATTGACTTCCGGACAAGAGGTGGAAGAGGCCACCCGGCTCCGCAGCCTGGGATCGATCCCTTCATCCTCCCGGTGATATTTGGCATGCTGGAGATTCGCCCGACACATTTCAAGGGCACGCCGCTCACCGTTGTCCTCATTACGCGACGATCTCGGCATCGTGCTGGGACAAGATACCTGTCCCGTGGTATCGACGAGGAGGGCCATGTATCGAACTACAACGAGACGGAACAAATCGTCATTCTCAATGACAGCGGAAGGGGCCTTGGGGGATTCGCCGGGAGCGGCGATATGCAGAGTGGGAAGCTGGGCTCTGATGGCAAGGAGATGCAGATCCTGTCCTATGTCCAGACCCGTGGAAGCGTGCCGGTCTTCTGGACGGAGATCAATACCCTGAAATATGTGCCGAAACTCCAAATCCGCGGCATCGAGGCTGCATTACCTGCGGCAAAGGCCCACTTCGACGAGCAGATCCGCATATACGGGGCCAACTACCTGGTCAACCTTGTCAACCAGAAAGGCCGTGAACAGCGTGTCAAGCAAGCCTACGAGAAGATGGTGCAGATGCTTGTCACCTCTCCCGAGGAGCGCACACAAGCCGATCAGGTCACCGAGGAGAAGTTCCATACCATTGAGCCCAGCAGCAAGCAGCAATCCTATGACCGGCTGCACTACGTATACTTCGACTTCCACAGCGAGACAAAGGGTCTCCAAATGCACCGAGCACAGCTTCTCGTTGACCAACTGCAGGAGGCCCTCGTGGCACAGCAGTATTTCCGTGCTGTTGATATGCCTACCAGCCACATCGACGGCCGCCTCGAGGTCCGCAACCTCCAGACGAGCGTAGTAAGGACAAACTGCATGGACTGCCTAGATCGGACCAACGTCGTGCAGAGCATGCTTGCTCGCTGGACTCTGGACCGCATGTTCGTCGACTTGGGCATCATGGCCCGTGGCTCTCGCTTTGCCGATGAAGACCCTGCCTTCGAGTTCCTGTTCCGGAACATTTGGGCAGACAATGCCGACGTGGTGTCCAAGAGCTACTCCGGCACCGGTGCCATGAAGACGGACCTCACCCGCCTGGGCAAGCGGACCAAGGCCGGCGCCCTGCAGGACGCCAATGTTGCCATCACCAGATACTGCAGGAACAATTTTCTCGACGGTCCTCGACAGGACGGCTTCGACCTCTTCCTCGGGACCTATCTCCCCGCAACCGCCAACATCGGTGCCAATTTCATCTTTGCCGACCGGAGACCCATCTTCATCCAGAGCATCCCTTATGTCGGTGCTTTCAGCTTCTTCCTCGCCTTCCTCGGCGTCTTCTCCAAACGCATGCCCGACTCTGCCGTCTGGCCCATGCGGCTATTCGTCTTCTTCTGGGCCGTCGTTACGGCTTGGTGCTTTTACTTTATCGTCACTAACGGCATGCTATATGTAAGCTCCCCTTCACCCTACCTTATCCCCCCTTCCTTCCTTCCAGCGAGTAGCAGCTAATGATTGGACCAGGTCAACTGGCCCAAGCTGAACCCTCGCCCGTGGGCCACGGAGGGCTATCGTGAGACCATCGCCAAGGTCAGGAAGGACAAGCTCCTGGGCCCGCTGGTCGCGAAGCACGAGAGGGGGTTGAGTACCTCGAGGTACCTTAATGCGGAGGAGGGCAAGAAGAGAATCGAGTAGAACATACAGCTCCGTCGGAGCCATGTATTCCTTTTGTGTTTCCAAGCCTTCTGTAGTATAGTAGATCGGGTAATGTACAAATAGACGGCGTACAAGTTTCCGATCAAGACGGGCTGGAAATAGCATCTGTTAAACCACGTTGTTCGTCCTTGGCCCTCGAGGGAGGCCGAGTTTCCCAGTCTCCCAAGTTTTCCTTTTTCTGCTGTGCGGCGTCGTGACATGTACCGATATCCCTTCCCAGCGTAGTTCGTTTGGTAAAGGCATGCGATGTGAGAAGGTATTCCGTTCGTGGTCTGCGGGTATTCCAGTCAAGATGAATGTATAATTAAAGCCCAAGGTTAGATTGCTATAGGACACAACAGGGCGAACGGAAACTAGTAGATAATGTATGTCGTGATTATTATATAGCTTGCATCTCTCGCACTCTCTCTAATTAAGACTATCATAACGTGTAGGTGAGTGTATAGCATAGTCGGAAAACAGTTGGTCAGAAAATAAAAGCCCGGGAAAGAAGATGATGAAAAGAACCAAAATCGCGGCGGGTATCAAGGCGCGCATACAAGCAAGCAAGCAGCAGCATCCGCATCCGAAAATGGTATCCAGAGCACACAAACCTGCTTCCCAATGCTGCGTGTTCGCAAGACAGACAGACAAACAAAAGACAAAAGAAGTTCATCAAACTCCAGCGCTCTCATCGGAGCCAGGGCCCACGGTTCAGCCTACTACAGCCACAGCAACCACCTTACGCCGCCGAGGACCCCCTTCCCGATCCCGAAGACCACCCTCGCGATCACAACGACGAACCAAACATACCACATGAACCCGACAAGCGCCCACTCGAGCGCAAGCCACCCGGCCCTGCGCAGCCACCTGAACCTCCTCCTCCTCCGGCGCAGCAGCTTCTCGATGACGTCCACGACGCGCTTGACGCCCAGCCTCTGGCCGGCGACCAGGTCCCTGCCGACCTCGTCCGCCTCGTCCGCCGCGGCGCGCGTCATCTCCGACAGGTCGCGCGCCCGCGCCCGCAGCTCCTCGGCCCGCGACGCCAGCGCCGGCGCCGCCGACCCCGCGAACGCGTCCGCGTCGCGCCGCCACGCCGTCCCCGCCGACCCGACCGACGAGGCCAGCACCCGCGCCGCCAGCGGGTATACCTCGGTCTGCGCCGTCGGCCGGCGGAGCAGCTCGGCGCGCGACCGGGGGTCCGGCGCGAGGTTGGCGACTGTTGCCCACGTGACGGGTTGCGGCTGCTGCTGTTCCTGCTGCTGCTGCGAGCCTGCATCGGACCCCAGCAGCCGGCGGGCATTGGCGCGGCGGTCGATCTCCATGGCCATGATGCCGGAGCTGAGGACGAGGGTACGCAGGCGGGCGATCTCTGATTTGGAAAGCGAGGCGGCGGAGGGCTCGGACTCGCGGCGGTCACAGATGGGCCACCGCCGGGCGCCCGGCGCGGACGCGGAGAACTGGCGCTGTTGCTTCGTGAGGGAGAGCGCGGCGTTCAGGCGGGCGTCGGCGGCGCGGACCCCCTCGGCGAAACTGCTCCTGCGCGACTCGGCGGCTGACGCTTCGACTTCGTTGGGAGCGCGGACGCCGTGGCCCGGCGGGGTTTGTACGTCTATCTTTGGGGGTTTGAGACGGTCGAAACGGGTAGATCGGCGGCTTGGTGGCCGCGACGGCGCCGGTGATCCTGGCTCGCCCAAGCCGGGCTTCCCATGTGACTCCGAAGCTGGCACAAACGATGGCATGACATCAAGATACGTCTTCCCACTATGCTGGCCAGAGACTTCGTTTGGTTTGTGGGGCGGTGTCTGTGATGACGACGCGTGTTCCCTCGATCTACCTCTCCTCGGTTCCAGTTCGGACTCAGAGGACGATGTATCGGAGGACGGCAGCTCGCTAGTCTCGATTTCCTTCTTCCATAGCAGGTCACCGACCCTGGAAACACCGCTGCGTAGAACACTATCGATCCGAGGAGCTCTGAGCAGCCCTCGGAGTCCAGAGCTCGAGTCATCACCACGTAGTTTGATGCTACCAATACTCCGATGTGATTTGTGGCTGCTGTCGGTTTCTCGGGACGCAATCTTGCTAACGGGGCTCCCGGAGCCTCTCCGCTGCGGGGATACCTTCCTTGTCCTCTCCGCAGATGGCGGCTCTTGAGTCGCTTCGCGGGTTGCGATGGCCGGTTCCGAACTGCTTCCTTTATCGCCCAGGTGGAAATCTGCACCTCGCTCGCGGCTGCGATCGCGAAAGATCCTCTTTAGATTAGATATTGGCTTCCGGCTTGGAGAACTGGGCCTGCTTGATGAAGGCGAGAGATCCATGCCTATAGCAGGGACAAAGGGACTGTTTCGAGTCGGTCTCAGATCTGGGGAATTTGGCACCGAGGTGTCGTAGTCAACCGAATGGCGCCTTCCGGACTGTGGGACTTCCAAACTATCCCGGCCGGGACGTTGCGGGGATGCCGGGCGTGGTTTCAACTTCCTGTACTTCCTCTCCGCCTCAGTCGGTTCAGTGATGGAAGTCTCCCTCTTGTGGCTTGGTGTACGGCTTGGTGCAGTCGAAGCCACGAGCCTCTCCGCTTCAGGCGTCCTCGCCCCGTTGGGAGACGACGGTTGCTGTACCGCGGGAGGGTCGTGCCGGGTGTTAAGCTCCTCGTCTCTTTGCTCTTGGGCGATCATATCCCTCATCTGCTTTTCCAGGACATCTAGGTCGCTCCTCCCTAGTGTTCCGCTTCTGTGTCTCCGCCGGATGCCATCGTCCGTGACTGACGCGTCTGATAGAGAACCACGACGGTCACGCAGGGAGTCGGACCTATGTATCGAACTGCCATGCCGGCGATGATGATGATGTAACCCTTTGAGAACTTGCAGTTTTTGGTGGGCACGTTCACGGGCACTGCTGAAAACATGTTCGTGTTCCCGTTCCCCTTTGACCGGTTTGGAGACGGTTGAATCGATCTTGGTGGTGGTAGTTGACAGTTCTGCCACTGGACCAGCTTGAGGGTTTACAGGGGGACTGCTATCATTGGTTTGGCGTGACCATGGCCTGTAGAGTTCAGGGTCTTGAGGAAAGACACGTCTCCAATGGCGGTCTTCGACCAGCATCTTGTGGTCACCCTGCTCGAGCCAGTACAGATCAGCAACCATATCTGCGGGATCGATTACCCAGTCGACCCTTGGTCGCTTCGGTTTCGACGGGTTCGATATCGCTCTCGTAGCGTTGGATGGCGGGTTGGCATCCGTCGCCTCTTCATTAGCAAGAGGAAAGGATGGTAGACCGTCCCACGGCAGACTATTTGATCTGGAGGTGCCCGGTTTAGCCACCTCGTCTACCCATTCCGTCACTCGAAGGACATCGTTGAACCCTTGGGCTTCGCTATCAATGGCCTGCCGTTCTCGCGCCCTGACTTTGCGGTTCCGTACATACTGCAGGGGGTTGTACGGTCTCCCAAGGGTCCCACCGACGTTAGGAGAAGCTGAATTGGACAGCTTAACGAGCCCGTTCGGTGTGGTGGGACGGCTAGCTGTGGATGATCTTCCAGCCTGATCTAGCGTCAGAGGCGGCACGAAGTCTAGCAGCCGCCTGTACTGAGCAAGAAGCTCGAGGTAATCTTTGGCCTTCTGTGCCCGCGACAGAGTCGACTTTGAGAAGTGGTATCGGTAACTCCCATCGTGGACTGGATCGAACGATGATTGTAATGGACTATTAAGCTTCTGGCTGCCCGTCCCGCCTCTTGACAGCGCCCGAGGCTTCGGGGAAACCCTCCCTGACATTCGCCTCTGCTGCTGGAGATGCTGTCTAAGACCACCTCCTGCAATGCTATCCGGTAGTTGTGCAAGCCTCGGGGATATGTGTTGTGAAACGGTTCTCCTCGAAGCCAACCGTCTTGTCTCGCTCAGGTTCAAGGCCATATTCACGATCTGTGTCGAGTCCAGGTCGAGAGGGGCTACGCTCGATCGGGGAGAGTCGCTATTAGGGTACTCGCCGCTCGAGTGCGGCCGTTCTGCAGCCTGGGAGGCCAAACCTTTCCCGTAGCTATCGGAAACATTTCGACTTCGTCTGTCGGGATGTGGGCGTCGAAGGTCTTGGGTGGAATTGTCGTGTAAAGAGTCGGAGAGCAAGAAGGCTCCGCTCGACCTCTGCTTGTGGGACCGATGCCGCCGTCCTTTAGACGGGCTGCCATCGTCATCGTTCGCCTTGCTGGACCGGAGAGCTCTAGGCTGGAATATGCCAACGTCATCGGGAGAGGGCTGCATCGACGATGACTCTGCGGCAGGTCTGCTTGATGAACCACCATCCACGATTGAATCTCCAGGCCCGTTGCCGAGTCTGGCTTGCGTTTCTGGCTCTAGGTAGCCCGCTGCCTGCTTGCCAGCTCGACGAGCATGGACGTCGGTTGGAGAGCTGGCATCGCGGTCGGACATGGCTGTTGTGCCCCAGCCTTAGTGTGACCTCTGATCTCGAGTAAGGGGGGTCGTAGTCAAGAAGGTGCAGGATTGCGCATCTTGTAAGCTCCGAGCTTTGCCCAAAGTTTTGGGGGGAAATGTTGCGGGAGGTGGAAATTCTATCATGTGAAGGACAGGGAAGGTGAATGTGCTGCAAGCAGCTGTACCAACGCCCATTCGTCAAGGGCCGATTTGAAAGCCAGGATTCATTGAGGATTGCGTTGGTTGTTACGGATTCCACGTCTGTCACAGCCAGGTGACATCGGTGCGGCAACTCGATTGGCGACAAAAACCCCTGTTGCTAGGTAGTAAGAGGCTGGGTAAGTAAAACGGCAGGGTATGTATTGTGGCGAAGTTGAGGTAACTTACGTGTAGGCAATCAGAGCCCCAGCTTGGAGCACAGTTTTGGAAGTGGTAGCCCCACAAGTACTTGTAACAGTGTTTTATTTTGACTCAGCTCCGTATCCTTATCTGAATTGCTTAACGTATCTCCAGAGTATCACCAAATCTTGACGTCGCCTTGCAGTAACAGCACCCTTACGCAGCAATCTTCAATCGAATGACGGCATATTTTAGTTTTGGCCAGAACTGCAGCTTTCCTTCCTGCATAACACGAGGGCCTCAATTCGGCTCAACGTCCTCAACGTCTTGTCTATTAATGAAGAAGAAACTTACCTACGTGCATGAGCGTATGATGATAACATCGGTTAGTACTTCCATGCAACGTGAGATGGGCTTCTCGACTTCAGACATGTGCCCCCGATCTGACTCCCGGTTTGACAATAAGTCTTAACGATAGGTCTCCAAAACCGCTAACGGGATGCATACCATAGACATACCATAACACATCAGCAGTGCAAAGTCCAAGTCAACTCGCTTTCTCAGTCCCGTGTGAGAAAATAATAATGCAAACCAAACCACCCAGCAAACCCGAAACCAATGCCAACTCCGCCAGGGGTATTAATACACCGTCACTGCGCTCACAAAGCCATTCCTCAACACCTCAAACACGAGCCCAGGGAAACCGTACAGAGTAGTTGTCGAATCCTCGCTGCCGTCAAACTTCTTGCCACCAACGCCAGCCTTGCGCCCTCCACTCTCTTCCCACCCCCCAAGGAGCTCACAGCTCGACCCCGGACTGTCCCCCCAGCCCCTATTTAGGACCATCCCCCGCTGCTGCTGCCTAGCTTCCTCTTCGGAGGCGTAGATTGACTTCCACTCGTCTCGCAACCTTTCTTCAATTTCCGTAAATGGAGTCTCCGAGTTCGTCACCGGCTCATCCACCGATCCGGGATCCTCCAGGTAGTGAATCTCCCAACGACACCGACGGTGTCTATTGAACGGGTACGACCCGGGCACGTTGCCATGCAGAATCATCTTCGTGGCCACGAGCTGGTCGGGAGATACTTGCCTGATTCCCCGGCCTGGAACGCTGACGTCTGCTCCCTTGGAAGGCGGGGGTCGTGAGGGCGTAACCGGCGTTGATACAAGGATGTCGAATCCCAGATAGAAGTAGTTATAAAAACACTCCCCAGAGATATTCGCCACGTCATCCTCGACAGCGTCCTCGTTTGAGTCATAATCATCCGAGGCTGTGTGAGCCGACGATTGGTCAGTATCAGTTAGGTCGTCCTGCTGCTTCAGGTCGTTCCTATTAGGCCTGGCCATGCTGTCGCTGGCAGCCCGAATCTTATGTATGTACATCTTCTGGTCGTTCTTCCGGTATATGGCATCTGGCGGGCCAAGTTCTGCGACGAGGTGCTGAGGTGTGGTTTCTCCCAACGTAATCCAGGTCGAGTTATCTGTCCATCGGTGGAATAACTGTAGTTTTCCACCCCCATGTATCCGGACTAGAGACACCTCATCTGGGCATACATCTTTGCCCTTGGCAAGGGGAGCAAAAGTTTTGACACTGGGGAGAACCTCTGTGAACAGCTTATTCCGCGCCTCGGCCCAAGAATTCCCAGAAAACACGGCCATAGATGTAGCAACCTGGCTGCCCGATGACGACATCAAGGCTACATTGTCCTTTCCTGAAGAATATTCAGATGCAGACATGGGGAATGTGAAGGCAACACCGGGATATGAGAGGACATAGATCCCCGGCCCAGGCTCTGGACCCGGCTGGGCAGGAATGAACTCTCCAGGGTATGTTGGCCCCAGAAAACGGTGGTAAATGTGACGGAATGTAGGGCCCTTTGGTGATTCCGCAGGCTGAGCTGGGTCCGTGTTCGGGTTTGGTGGCCGGACGAGGTCCCTCTCTTTCTCGTTGCTGGGCTTCAGAGTAATATGGTTCAGGGAGAAGTCGAGAACTTCTATAAGCCGCAGTCGCTGCTCTGGTCCATCAAACTTGAGACGGAGACCGTTTGCCGGCAGGTTTACAGCAACGGTTTTTGATAGAGGGTTGGTTGGCGAGTAAAATAGCTCCAACTTTGGGAATCGTTGCGGCTCGGCCTTGAGTCGGGTAAGGATGTCATGTAACGAAGCACCAAGCACTGGAATGAGGCAGAATGTCAGCTCTCAGCTCTCATAAATAGACGGGATACGGGCAAGTATGAGGGAGGATCTTGGGAAAGTCACCTAAGAACCCAAGGGCTCGTTGGGGATGGAGCTGAGCAGAGAAGAGGACCATGATGAATAGTCGCTAGCTGATGATAGTGACAAGGGCATCTGAAGCCACCACGGCATCTAGCTACCTAGGTTTCTAATGACTTTAACTGTTTGTTGTTCGTGGGAAGTCAGACTTGGGGGAATATAAAGTTGTAACTCGAACCCAGCCTCGTGACAGAGCACCATGACTGAGGCGGGGGGTCGCGGGGCAGGTGGGACGTCATCCTGGCACTAGTACGGATACGCACGTACCAACTCCAGTGGACCAGAGCCCCACCAAAGCTGGTTACCCCGGTGATGGGACGGCCCCAAAACAGCCTTGTTGACAAGCACAGGGAGTGTTCAAGCGGAACACACCTTGTTCCTGCCTGCAGCCGCTCACACTTCCCTATTCCACCCCTCCCATTCAACGACTCCCTACCCTGGATCGTCAACCAGGGCCTGCAAAGAGTCGCCTTCAAGGCTTCTAATTTCTGCTTTGGAGACAAAGTGTCGTATTAATTTCCTTAACCCCCAGGTCTTGGGCTCGACGCGGTTCCATTTACGACCTAATTATCCCGCCAACAACTAGGTATCACCCACTAGAAGCCATTCAAATACAACGCGAAATCTGCTCCTATGGAGCGCAGAACCACCTCATCCATGGCGCCGAGTCTCAGATCCGGCGCTATCCCACGTCCAGGCAGCCGAATCAATAAACGCGCCTCAACAGCGAGGCAGGCATTAAGCCGCCAGACAACTACGGCATCACGAATTGACCGAACTGGGGCGACATCTCCGGCCGAGTCGGTGTCATCCGTCACCACAACAGGAACAAAGCGCAAGGAGCGTGATTTCGAAGGGGACGATGGAGAGTCGACCAACATCAATGTCGTTGTTCGCTGCCGAGGACGGAACGAGCGCGAGGTGCGGGAAAATAGCGCCGTCGTCGTGTCTTCCGAGGGAGTAAAGGGCAAGGTTGTCCAGCTCTCCATGGGCCCCAATGCTCTGAGCAACAAGAGATATAACTTCGACCGTGTCTTCTCCCCGGCGGCGGACCAGAGCATGGTCTTCGATGATGTCGTCAAGCCCATCCTCGACGAGGTATGTAACAAACAAATGACACCATCTTGATGTCTGTTGCATGGGAGCTGACTGTTGTAGATGCTGGCCGGATTCAACTGTACCATCTTTGCCTACGGGCAGACGGGTACCGGTAAGACATACACCATGTCTGGTGACATGAGCGATACCTTGGGCCTTCTGTCTGATTCGGCTGGTATCATTCCCCGAGTACTACACGCTCTCTTTAACAAGCTAGAGATTGACGATACGGAGAACTGTGTCCGCTGCTCATTCATCGAGCTATACAACGAGGAGCTGCGCGACCTCTTGTCTCCAGATGAGAACGCCAAGCTCAAGATCTACGACGACAACTCTCGGAAGGGCCATGCCACAACTGTCGTCCAAGGCATGGAGGAGCGACACATTACCGCCGCGACCGAGGGCCTCAAGTGGCTTCAAGAGGGCAGCGTGAGGCGCCAAGTTGCTGCTACTAAATGCAACGACCTGAGTAGTCGGAGTCACACAGTCTTCACCATCACTGTCAACTCCAAGAGGACCGGGGAGAACGGCGAGGACTACTTCTGCACCGGCAAGCTGAACTTGGTTGATCTTGCCGGAAGCGAAAACATCCAACGATCCGGGGCCGAGAACAAGCGAGCTGCCGAGGCAGGCCTGATCAACAAGAGCCTCCTCACCCTTGGCCGTGTCATCAACGCCCTCGTTGACCGCAGCTCCCACATTCCCTACAGGGAATCGAAGCTTACCCGGTTGCTTCAAGACTCGTTGGGGGGACGCACCAAGACATGCATCATCGCAACCATCTCGCCGGCCAAGAGCAACCTCGAGGAGACCATCTCTACGCTGGATTATGCCTTCCGCGCCAAGAACATCCGCAACAAGCCACAGGTCAATGCAATGATTCACAAAAAGACCCTCTTGCGCGAATTCAGCACCGAGCTTGAGAAGCTCAAGAGCGAGCTCATTGCGACTCGCCAGCGCAATGGTGTCTACCTATCCAACGAGGCATACGAGGAGATGACTGTTCAAAACGAGTCTCGGCGAATCCTGACAGAGGAACAGGCGGCCAAGATGGAAACCATGGAGGCCAACCTTCGGAACAAGGTGCAGGAGCTCTTCTCTCTAACCTCGAGTTTCATGGGACTCAAGAAGGAGCACGAGGGGACCAAGACACAGCTCGACAACACAAAGGAGGTTCTCGACCAGGCAGAGCTCGTCCTGGCAGCTACGCGGAAGACTCTCGCCGAAGAGACGCACGTTCGAAAGGCACACCAGCAGACGGAGAAGAAGCTTGCCGCCGTCGGCGGGGAGCTCATCAACACTCTGAAGAAGACGGTTGGGGATGTCGGTGCCCTCCATTCCAAGAACAAGCGGAAGTCGGACTTGCAGAATCTGAACCGTAGCACGTGGGGCATGTCGCAGAGCCAAGTGTCGAATGTCACGGAGCTCGTTGAGGGGCGGATCCAGGAGTTCCGCAAAGGGCAGGAGGAGCACATTTCCAGCGTGTCCGACAGGATGCAGCAATTTGTCCAAGAAGAGCTGCAAAAGCTGTCGTCGACACAGGCCTTCATGGATGAGAATCTTGGTCAGTTCGGCGAGTCGAAGAAGGACCTGATGGAGCAGAAAGAGAAGTCGAAGGAGGAGATGGACAATGTGCTGGAGGAGATCAAAGTTGTTCGGGATAACATCAAACAGCGCGTCGGAGAGAGCCTCGAGTCAATTGCCGCCGCCGCTGAGAGGATAGCTGCTGATGTCCTCAGTGAACTGACTACCTTCCACAGTCAGGTATTAACCAGTCCTAGCCCCTTCAAGCATACGCATGTTTGCTGACTATTACCCCAGTTGCATTTGTCGTACAGCTCCCTTGGAAAAGACTGCAAGACCATTTTCGAGGACCTGTTCCGGCACATCAACGCCCAGAAGAAAGAATCTGATAGACTCAGGCATCAACTTGAATGCGCGGGCGATGCCATCGTGCAGTCCAACGAGTCCGTCTCCAATCGGATCCAGGACGTCCTGAGCCAAGAGCGGGTGCAGGCAGCCGAAGAACGCCAGCAGCTTTTGGCTCAAATCTCGACTCTGATCAACTCTCAAGCGGAACTCCAGGAGTCTCGTCTGGCTGGAAAGGGTGCCCTCCTCCAGAAGACGGTCAGCGAGTCGAACCAAACCTTCCAGGGAAGCGTGTCTCAATACTCAGAGGGGATGGATGCTTGGAATTCCGAGGGTAGCCAGATTTTGGACAGCATCTCCAAATCCAAGGCTGCCCTTAAGAAGAAGCTGAAGGATGACTGGAGTGTATGTGCCCCCATATTTGACAGCCTAATGATCCTGCTAACGACCACGCCACAGACTGCAAATGAGCACAGCACTTCTATCCAGGGCACAGCGAAATCAGTCCACACGGAGACTATCCGCGTGGTTGACCAGCAGAAGAACGATCTAGATGTTCAGATGAAGGACTTGGACGACTTTGTGACCCGCGCCAGATCCGAGAACAGCGAGCACCACAAGCAGCACGCTGAGTCCTTGCAGAGCCTGTCCGAAACGGTCGAGAAATCCTTCTCCAACATCTCAACCCACTTCACGAACACATTCGACCGGGTTCGAGATCTTGGGGACGAGATGGAGACCGACTCCAGGAAACTCACGGGCGCGCTTGCGCCGCTGGAAGAGAACATCTGCCGCCCACTCAGCAACCTCAGAGACGATATCAACAGCACCATGCTGCGCGAGTACGAACCCACCGGCGACACCCCCGAGAAAAAGGTGTACCACTATCCGACCGAGCTGCCGCGCACAGAAACACCCGGCATCTTGGTTGCGGGACTTGGCGACACGCCGAGCCCAAGCAAAGGCACCCCCGCCGTCTTCAACGACCTCGACCTGCTGGCACCGCCCACAACGGCATCCTCGCATATGTCGCCGCCGATGGCGCCTCCCCAGCCGCGCAACCCCCTCAGCATGAGCCTGCGCGAGGTGAACCCCAACCTGACGACGGGGGCCATCATGTTCGACCCGTCGGCGAGCACCATGTCGCTGCCGGCCATCAAGGAGAACGCCACCCTGCCCATCTTCAGCAAGCGGAGCACGTCGTCGTCGCTCAAGCCTCCGTCGACGCGGTACGCCAAGAAGCAGACGGCTGCTATCATGTCCGCCATCGCCTACGAGGGCAGCGAGAACGTGCCGCCCGGAGGCGCGTTCTCGCAGAGCACAAACACTAGGAGGAAGAGCCCGCGCCTTAACTGAGCGTTGTTGGAGAGATTGTTGGCTTTCTCATCAGTGTCTCGGAGGAACGTATATTGTCTTTTTTCCCCCTTTGGGTTTCGACGGGACCGGACCGGGATGGGGTTTGTCGGAGTTTCAGGGGTATTAGGGCAGGGATGCCGGCTACCAAGCGGCGTTGGGGTGACGTCTTGCTGTTTATTTGTACATTTTATGGAATATCCCGATACCCGTGAGAGTAGTAGTGGTTCGTGGGGTTGTTAATGAAAGTTTTATATCCTTTGATGACGTCTATTGATGCGCTACACCGGTACCGAAGCAGCTGCCTCTATTCTTGTTCTTGGAGTATCTACCTAGTATGTTAAGTCTTCTTCAGTCATCGACTGTCGGTGCTGGCAGACTTCTATTCCAAGCTCGGACGACGAGTGGGCTCCACAGCTCGGTGAAGTGGGGCCGCTTCCCGGAATCTCAAAATTCTCCAATCGCTCTCAGTAAATTTTCTGCGCTCCGCCGCAAAACGAAGACCCAAACACCGGAGCGGACGAGTCCGTTTTCGAAACCGCAGTCTTGATCGAGAAGGTATCAGCCATGGACATCCTCAAGATCCTCACCCGCGGCATCAAGCAGGCCCCGGTCAAGGCGGGCGAAAAGCCTGCATCGACGAACCTCCCCTCCGCTGGCAACCGCACGAATCCGCAATTCTTCCACGACGACGTCGGCCCGAGGAGAGGGACGAAGAGGAAGAGGAACAAGGACGCGCCGGAAGCTGCCGATGCAGTGGACGACAGCGAATTGGACTATTTCGCTCCAAAGAAGGAGCCCCAGGCCGGCGGTGGGGAGAACCTCGCGGCTGGGCAGAAGGAGCAGACGACACCCGAGCCCTCGAAGCGGAAGATCAAACTACTGGACGAAGACGACTGTCGGCAGCTGCTGCGGTCTCACCGGTTGAAACTCACCGTGCTCTCGGGCCGCGCGGAGAAGCCGGCGAAGGTCGGCAAGAAGAGGAAGAAGGACAAGCCCGTCAAGGCCGAGGGCAAGGATGACAAGAAACAACTACAACTGTATCCGCAGCCGTTGAGTTCGTTTTCGGAACTGCAACAGGTGTATGGCATCTCTCCGCAGGTGGTTGAGAATCTCACGAAGCAGGGCTTCAGGGTTCCGACCGAGGTTCAAATGGGGAGCTTGCCTCTACTACTGCGTTCCGAGACAGCGCTGGGGAAGTCTACCGAGGCGGACGGGATTGATGCCAGCGCGGGGGTTGATTTCATGGCCGTGGCTCCCACTGGGAGCGGGAAGACTGTGACTTTCCTGATTCCTGCCATCACGGGCGCCATCCGGAGAAAGGGGCTGCAGGGCTCTGACGTCGAGGACCGTCAGCTCAGTGCTATTGTCGTTGCGCCAACCAGAGAGCTGGCGAGCCAGATCGTCAACGAGGGGAGGAAACTCGCCGCCGGTACTGGTGTCCGGATCTATCCCATGAGAAAGGGTCTGCATATCACTGCAGAGCAACTGAAAGACGAGCAGGAGGGTGAGGCGAGCGACAAGGGTGAATCCGATGGTGAAGCGTCTCAGGCGGGCTCGGAGGACGAATCCGACCACCACCAGGAGGGCAAGGATGGTGCTCGTACGGCGCCGAAGCGGATGGTGATTCCAGACATACTCGTGACGACCCCGAAATCCCTTCTCAACCTCCTCTCTGGCGGGAAATCAGGGGCGAACAAGGCTCTTCCAAGCGTCACATCCCTCATACTCGACGAGGCCGACGTCCTTCTAGACCCGCTTTTCCAGAAACAGACGCTGGCGATCTGGAAAGCCTGCACGAACCCGGACCTCCAACTGACCTTCTGGTCCGCGACCATGGCCTCGAACATCGAGACTCTGATAACAAAGCAGGTCAACAAGAGGGCAGCGCAGCTGAGTCTCCCCGCGCGGCCACTGGTGCGCCTTGTCGTCGGGCTGAAGGACACCGCGGTCCCCAACGTGACCCACAAGCTCATCTACACCGCCACCGAGCCAGGCAAGCTCCTCGCGCTCCGGCAGCTCCTCCACCCGGTCTCGGGCGCGGACTCGGGCCCGCCGCTCCGGCCGCCCTTCCTCGTCTTCACGCAGACCATCGAGCGCGCCCAGGCCCTCCACGACGAGCTCCGCTACGACATCCCGCCCGAGGCCGGCGGCGCCGCCCGCATCGCCGTCCTGCACTCGGGCCTGTCCGAGCGCGCCCGCGCCGCCGTCATGGCCCGCTTCCGCGCCGGCGACGCGTGGGTGCTCATCACCACCGATGTGCTAGCGCGGGGCGTCGACCTCGCCGGCGTCAACGGCGTCGTCAGCTACGACGTGCCCGCCTCGGCTGCGGCGTACGTGCACCGCGCGGGGCGGACGGGCCGCGCCGGCCGCGAGGGGGGCGTCGCCGTCACGTTCTACACCGCCGATGACGTGCCCTTTGTCAGGAGCGTGGCCAACGTCATCGCCGCGAGCGAGAGGCAGGCCGGCGGCGCGGCCGGGTCGGGCGGGGGCGTGCAGAAGTGGCTGCTCGATGCGCTGCCCAAGGTCGCCAAGGGGGACAAGAGGCGCCTCAAGGTCAGGGGCGTGGAGGTCCGGAGGACGGGGGGCGGCAAGGCCGAGATCTCGACCAAGAGCGCGTGGGAGAAGCGGAGGGAGAATAACAAGCGGGGGGCGATCGAGGGTAGCAAGCGGAGGAAGAAGCTGGAGCTCCAGCAGAAGAGTGGTGGCCAGGAGCAGGCAGGGAGCGACAGTGAATGGGGTGGGCTTGATGATTGAGGTTGAGGCTATTCATTCGTGGAGGATGTTGTCTTTACCTAGATACCAAAAGATAATACCCACAACTGAAGCTGATTGATGTAGCTACACTCGTGCAGGGCATACATACTGTTGAACCCTGTGTTTTTGCCTCTTACTCGCACTCTTTTTTTCGATTTTCCTTGTTGCAACTTGTCTGTGCAGTGCCAATGATGAACTAGGTATCCCATCCCATTCATTCTCGAGGATTCATTCCCCTAGGAAGATCAGACGATGAAAACTCGCCCCTTCGTTTTAAGATCACTGGTGTGCCTTTGTAGCCTAGATATCCATGAGCTCCTCTCCTCCTCTGACGAGACTTAAGCTAGGAGCTAGCTGCGCATGGCTTTGACGGTGACGGAGACGGCGGTATTGGACCAACGCACATCAATAACAAGGTGTTAGTTAACCTATTAATCCCCACACTAGATCCAAGGCTCCTCAGGCTCAGCCTTTACAATATCGTCGCTGAACTCAGCCCGATATCCATCATCAGACTCCCCAGACTCCCCCGCCCTCCTACGCGACTTCCCCAACCTAGTCCTCCTGACGGCATCCGCGCCCCTCCAACCCGTCCTAGCCTTGATAGGCTTGAGGAACCCGTCGACGTGGACGGCGCCGACCATCTCGTCCGCCCTATCCTCGTCCCTGGCCGCCGCCGCCGCGGGGTCGCGCTCGCCGTGGACGAGCCAGAGGTGCCGGACGAGGTTATCCCGGCGCCCGAAGCCGTCGACCGCCCTGGGGCACCCGCGGCGGTGGCAGAACGACAGGGCCACGGTCGACACGACCGAGCCGCGGCGGGCCCGGCGCTGCCCGAATTCCTCCTCCGAGGACGACGCTGCTCCCGGCTTGACGCTCGAGTGGCGGCTCGCCGCCCGGACCCGGTCCATCTCTTCCATGGCATCCGTCTCCTCGTCCGATGATGAAACGACGGGGTTTCCAGGGATGTACCGTGCGGTTTCCTCCCTGTCGCCGCTCGCCGGGCCGGCTTGCTCCTCCACCAGGGTGCGGATCTCCATCTGCTGGTGAAAGAGGTTCGCGCATCGCTGAGTCGCACGCGCGACCACCGTAGGGGAGAACCCAGCCAGCGCAGCCGCTCCCACGACATCCCTCCAATCCCTCAGCCCCCAATTAGCCAATTTCTTCTCCCTATGCCAGTCCTCGCCGCGCCCGTCGGCAGACCTCCCGGACCGCGGCACCGATTTCCCCCTACTACTACGTCGTCGTCGTTGTCCGCTCCTCGGCCTGTGGGGCTTCGCCTCCGGCCCCGTCGACTCGCCCTCGTCGTCGTCGTCGTCCGAGAAGACGGGGATCCGCTTCTTCTGCTCCCTGGCCACCCTGACGCGCATCTCCTGCTCCGTCTCCCCGTCCCTGGGCGCGTGAGCGCGGCGCGGCCGCCCGGCTCGCCTCTCGCGCAGCGGCACCGGTCTCCGCCGCCGCGTGGGGCGCGACCGTTCGCGCCCGGGCCGTCTTCGCTTCCCCCGGCGAGGCGCAGCAGCAGCAGCAGCGTCGCCAGAGGCCGACTTCTCCCCGTCGCTGTCCGAGGGATCGGACAGGCGGTTCAGGCCGGCTACCCGGACGTTGTGGAGGATGGTCAGTGCCGCGTCCAGGTTTCCGATGATGTTCCTTGCCGCTGGGCGGAGCAGCTCGTACGAGAGGTCGTCGTCGGCCGAGATCACTGGTAGAAATGTGGGTGAATCCCGACGCTGGCGTTTCCTGCCACGTGAGGAGTCTAGCGGCGCACCCCCGCCGTCGGATTCGTCCTGACTCGAAGACACCTTGATGCGCACCGGTAACTCGTCTCCACTTTCAATCGAGGGCTTGATGGCCTGGGGCGATGACGGCTCCTCCTCCTCCTCCGCCGCCATGGGTGAGGCTCGCAGTTCCCTCCGCCGGAACCTCTCCTTGGCGATCCTCAGCATCGTGGCGGACAGCTCCTCTTCGAGTCCGGTGCTCGGCATCTCCTGCTGCCGGCTGCGGAAAACGAAGGCGTCGTCTCCGTCGCCGTCGTCGGCCCGGCGATTCATGAAGTCCTCTGCCGGCACGACGTCCTCCCGCATAGGCCAGGCGGTCCACGACTTCTGGGGCGCCCATCCCTCGGCACTGACTTGGCCACCCGTTTGCTTGTTTGTGTCCTGCAGCTCTGTCAGCCATGGTACCGGGACGAGGCAAAAGCAAAAAGAGTAGAAATAAAAATGAAACAAAACTGGAAGTTGTCTTCTTCAACCTACCCCAGGACCCGGCACTCTCCCAGCAGCCAGTAGACCAGGCCGCCTCAGCGCAAAGGCGTTGTAGAGGTGTGCGGCGAGGTCCCTGCTCCTGAGGGCCTCGAGGGCGGCGTAGGTCTGCCTGTCATCCTCGGTGAGGGTCCTCCACGTCGACGCCGCGCCGGTCCAACGGTTCGGCCGGCCCTCGTGCAGCTCCTCCGAGGCGAGCGAGTGGATCTCGTCCGTGTCGCTGTCCCAATACTCGTCGTCATCGTCGACGTCGCCGTCGCCGGTGCCGTAGCGGGACATTATCACATGTTTGGGGACGATGCGACGACGGGTTTGTTGGAATATCAAATGGGTTTTATATTGTAGAGGGTCAGGGCCGTCCCGGAAGCAGTTCATTGGTTGGTGGGGATTAGCGGCCGCCGGTAGTCTAAATCTGACCCACACGGCAAGCCGTCAGACTACGTAATTGATACATTCCCTTAGGTGTCTAGATAGGTAGATACCCAGGTATGTGCAGACGAAGCATCCGCCGGAAATAATAAAACATGAGTAGCTGGGAGGCCGATACAGCAAAGCAGGGCTCATATTCGCTGCCGCATATCTAAACATTAACAACTAAAGTCCATAGCAAAAGGCAAGCCAAAAGGGAGGCCCCCTAAGTGGCAGGGCTCTCAAGCCCCGACCCCTTTATAAAGCCACATCGCAGGATCGAAGACGACCTCAAAGCTAATGGCGTCAAACGTGCCCACCGCGCAGCTAAGATCATGGAACCCCTCCAGCCCGGTAACAGGCAGATCCTGCTCCGCATCCGTCTCCTCATGCAGGTTCCACCTCCCCTTCTCCCGGCCCCCCTCGGTGAAGAAAACATCCACGCTCAGCCTCCCCTCCCCGTCCGCCGTGAAGGTCATTCCCAACCCGTACGTGCGGCCCCTGACCAGCGGCTCCGTGAAGCTCTTGCCCCCCCACCGGTCATTGACATACCTATGCCCGTCGTCGCCGTGCACCGCCAGACTACCCCTGTGCCAACCGGGAAGCCGGAACGCCGGGTACGGCAGCGCCGTGTACCCCATGGCGAGGCTCGTGTCGCCGCGCCGCCCATCCGCCAGGATCCGCACCTCGTAGTAGATGGTCCTCTTCCTACCGCCCACCCCCCCGGCGCTGCTGCTAGTCGGCCGCAGCGCAAGCGGGCTGTCCCTGGTGACCGCATACAGCGGCGGGTAGGCGATGAGGCAGCTATCCGGCGCGTTCGGCTCGGTGCGGCCCCTCCAGACGCCCAGGCCGCCACCCACCCTCTCCAGCCTGCCGTGGAACAGGCCGCTCGGCGGCTCGACGAACTGGAAGGCGTGCGCGCGCCTCGCCTCCTCGGCGGCGCCGTCGAGCGCCAGGGGCGCCATCATCGGGTGGCGCGCACACCACGCCTCCCCGGCCTCGGCCTCGGCCTCGGTCGCGTTCGCCGCCGGCGACCGGTCCCACCCGGAGAAGATGTCCGGCGGCGGCGGGAAGAGCGACGTGTCGGGCACCAGCTCCTCCCACTCGTGCTTGGGTTTCTCCGCGTGCGAGGGGGGTGGGCCCGGCGGCGGCGCCGTGTAGTCTGCCTGGGGCGCCGGCGGCGGGCCCGGCGGCGGCGCGAAGTCGTAGTCGTTGAGCTGTTGCTTCGAAGGGGGTGGGCCCGGGGGTGGTGCGAACTCGTCAATGTCGCCGTGTTGCTTGGAGGGAGGTGGGCCTGGAGGCGGTGCGTAGCCGGCAGCATCGTCTCGCCTCTGAGACGGGGGCGGGCCTGACGGAGGGCCGTATTCATCGGCAATTCCCTGTTGCCGGGGAGGCGGGCCCGAGGGAGGAGCATATTCGTCTACAACGCCCTGCTGCCGGGGAGGCGGGCCCGACGGCGGTGCGTAGTCAGCATTGTCAGACCGCTGCTGGTGGGAGGGCGGCGGGCCCGGCGGGGGGGCGATATCGTCGGCAGCAAGCTCGGCGACTGGCTGCTGCTGCTGCTGCTGCTGCTGGTGGTACGGCGGGTCCGGCTTCTGCGACGGCAGAGGCGGCGGTGATGCCGGCATGCTCTCCTTCTTGGAAGGAGCGTACGTCGGCTGAGGGGGCGCGTACTGTGCTGGCCGGGCCGGCAAATCGTCCTCGTCCTGGATGTTATCCTTTTTACTGCCGAAACACATCGCGACCCGTATCTGGAAAGGTGTGGTCGATCAAGGTATGTCGTAAGATGGAGGAGGAGGTTGTCTGTTATTAACGGGATATCGGGCAAGGGAGGGTTTGTTTGCTGTTGTGATTGGTTTGTCAAGGTTGGAGAAGCAAACAGCAGGTTAATTCTTTATCGACACGTCAGCTCCGTATTAATTGCTGATCCCTCGGCCTCGGAGTAGAGGAAGGTGAAGGAAGAGAAGCAGAGGGCTGTGCAAATCCGCCAAGCAACTCTAATCAAATCGTATTGTAGACGGTTGGATGGAGCTCTCTGTATATTCTAGCCCGGCTAAGGTTTGATTGTCACTACGCAGTAGCTCTGATGGGACAGGGGGGGCCTACAGGTACTGTACCTGATGTACCTGATCCCCGCAACGCCAGGCGGCCTCACTCGGCAAACAGGTGCCCACACCACCTGTGAATCTAGTGTAATAAGGCGTGGCCGGGTTCTACGAAGTACTTTGGTTCAGCAGTCCACATCTTTAAGCTCGTCTCATACATACGATCCCGATGGAAATATGGGAGGAGTAACAAGTCGTTGCAGAAAGCGCTTAACGAGAGAAATTGCGCTGCCTCCTAGCTAGAAGAGAAAAGCAGCGAGAGAGAGAGCTATCTTCCGTACTGTTTTAACTAGAGATGCAAATCGCTTTGCCTTCCAATGAGACACGGGAACTGCCCTCTACCTTCATACGACTACAATCTGGTTTTGGCCCCCTCGCCAGTATCCGAATAATTGAGCCTGTCCCATGGTAATCCCACAACGAGCAGGCCAAAAGGAGTGAAAGAAAGTAAAGCCGACCGACCTCAAATGAAGGGTCTTCGGAAATTCCATTTCGCCCATCTGCCAAGTAGGTGACGCAAACCCCCTATAGCTTTACATCATTTGGGTATTCTTTCGGCCTCCCTCTTGATGTCTGAAAATGGATAGGTACCTATTGGTTGGTGTTGTCCTACGAGCCCCAAACGCTAGCATCTCTGACGTCGGGGTAGTAAAAAGCCACGAGGCTGATGATAACGTAGGTAGCGCACAGGAGGGCGCCCTCGAGGTAGTTGCTCCGGCCGTCTAGGACCAGGAAGTTGACGATAAAGGTCGACACGAAGAGGCAGACCGTCTCGAAGAGGGTGAAGTATAGCGTCATCTCGCGCTCCATGATCCACCCCAGGATCACGACAAGCGGCGTGATGAAGAGGGCAATTTGAATAGAACTGCCGACCGCCACGCCGATTGCGAGATCCATCTTGTTCTTCATCGCCACCGTGATGGCTGTGACGTGTTCCGCCGCATTGCCAACGATCGGGAGGACGATGAGACCGATGAAGATCTCGGAAATCGAGCTGCTTGCCACAAGACCACTAATCGATTCAACCATAAAGTCGGCGCACACCGCAACCAACCCAGTGGAGACAACAAGGAGTATGATAGCGCTTGTACGCGACAGGTGGTCATGCTCCTCGATTCTGGCATTCTGTGCGGCCGCCCCGCTGGTCAAAGAAGTGAGAGGGATTTGCGAGGGCATCATGGCGCCAGGAGGGCGGTATAACTGGTTGAGGCGGTCCGGGAGAGAATTTGTCCTTCGAATCCCGTATCTGACACGCGGCACCGGGCCAGGGGAGATGGCTGGGCCAGCAAGTTCCGGGGATTGCACAAAGACAGTTGGGGCCAGGCTCTTGGCAACAGGTCGCAGAGACATGTTTCGAAGGCCGGTAAAAGGGAGCCTGTTCGCCAGGATTTCGGCGGTGGTGCCGTACCCCTGGGATGTGGCGTCAGAGAGAGCAAAGTCGACGCGGCGTGGCTCTCCAGTGGTCGGAGAGTCCTTTTCTAGCACCTCCGGGCCTTCGGCAATCGTCTCCCCACCTGGACCAACATCTTGAGATCCCGAGTGAAGGGCCTTCTTCTTGTTCTTGCGATGTCTTCTCAAGGAACGTCGATGTCGCCGCCCACCGTGCCGATGTGGCTTCTCGTCCTCGACTGCCTCGTCGTTGCCGTCCAAGGTTGCCGATCTTGAGAACGGAATGGGGCGAGAAGACGATTCTTCCGAAGGTAGCTCGTCGTTGGTATGACTCATGGAGGACGTCCGGGTCACGGCGGCTTCGCTGTTGTCCACAGAGATAACACTGGGCTTGCGTTTACGACCGCCACCGCGGATGACTCTCTTCACGCGTTTCGAGACGGTGTCTCTCGAGTGGCCAGAGCCATCCGAGTCCGAACTCGACGAGGAACTGTCATCAGAACTAGACGAGTCGAGCCATCCAGCTACTGGCCCTGGGGTGGCCTCTTCATCGATGATATACTGTGGCGTAGACTCATACATATACGCGTGCGACTTCAGCTGGAAGAGTAGGTATATGATATACACCAGGAGCAGGATCTGTTCGACGATCAGTTAACGGGACTCTCATAAGAACAGCGAAGGCAAAACAGCTTACCACGCTGGTTCCTCGGCTGATCTTCAGAGACTGCTGATCAGCCAGCTTCGTGTCGGAGAACGATGCATGGAAAGCGGTCTGCATGTCTATGTTAGCTTACAGACAGGTCGAAAGTTAGGGGCAGGCTACCACGGACAGGTAAAACTAGACTGATGACGCTCAAGCTCAACAAGCATGCGCTCATTTGAGTGACGGTGCTGTTGTAAATCTGTGTGGCACATCAGCAGCTGGTCAGGGATCGACTACTACCGACTCTATAGCTAACCTGTTCTCGGAAGCGCAGGCCACCAAGTAAGAACGACATGCCCAGAATGAGCAGCAAGTTGGCGAGGATCGACCCGAGCAGCGAGGCTTGGACGATGCGAATCTCATTCTACTCTAGTTAGCGTTGGCCATGAGATGGGGGACCCAAGGTGGTGCCTACCTTGACAAGAGCGATGCTGTAAGATTAGGATAAGACGAGTTAGTGAGCATGAGATCCAGACAAATGCAGGCGAGACACGGGAGACACGGGGAGAGTTAAATAACTAGAAAACGAGAGAGCAAGTCAAATGATATGGGACGCGATTGATCTGATAATGCCTGTTTGGTGTCGGGCTTCTCGCTCTTTCTTGTCTTGATCACTTTACTGAGGTAGACATACATGCTATAAGACGGAATGGTTAGCTCACAGGTCTTGAGGGTTGGGGGCTGAGGCTCCTGAGCCGCGAACGGGAGGGGTAAAGTAACAGCAGCGGTGGGATTTCAAGGGGGGGGCGCTCACAAGATGATCAACTCTACGGCGTTACCAAACGTGACGTTCAGCAGGGCACCGATGGTGTCTCCGAGCCTACGAGCAACAGTTTCGGTTGCATAGCTTAGAAGGCCGGCGAGCGGGATGATAGCAATGGCATTCATAGCAAAGACAAGCCCCGGAGCCATGTCGAGCTCCTTGACTATGATGCCGACGGGCACGAAGACCAAGGCAAGATTCAACTTGCTGTACAGCATGATGGTCTTGGTGGCCATCAGAAATCTCATAACGATGTGTTTTTTGTCTTGTTTCTCGCCCGGCGGCGGGTCTACGACAGCCCCCGGCCCTGTAGCCTGCGGTGATGCCGTTCCGGGCAGACTACTACTGTGGCCTCCATGATCGGCCGCCGTGCCGCCGCTCGGATCGCTAGGGTTTCCGGGTGTGGCGTTGCCGCCCGAAGAGCCCGGCACGGAATGGCCGGCATTGTGAAAGGGGAGTGGGGAAGATGCAGAGGAGTGAGTGTCGGTTACGGATCGTCTCGTCGAGCGATGAGTGCCGCCATGCGCTTTGGTTCTGGCCCAGGAGCGTATGCGATCAGTATACGTTAGGTTACGTGAGGTTTCCTTCATCGAAAGGGTGTTTGGTAGCGAGGCGGATGGTTGGACACGATGGTCGCAGGCCTTTTGGGGGTGGGAGGGTGAATGGAAGAAGGAAAGGAAGAGAGGGATTGGGGAAAATGGGGGCCGCCTTGCGTTGAATTTAAGCCGGCGAGACCCCCAGTCAGTGATAGCTTGCAAGGAACCTAATAAGGTACCTACCTAGCTTTCGTGGGCACATGCCCCAGCTCTGGAGCGGTGGCGGGGCCACAGGAGTCTCGGCTCGGGTCACAACGTCACCATCGGCCACTTGCAAGTACTGTACCTACCTAACACACGTTTAATCCGTTGATGATTGCTCGCCTCCCATACGTACCTGTATGTACGTGTAGTATCCATTGTACAGGTATACGTACCTATAGGTAGGTAGAGTTCAATCATCATGTTCATGTCTCGCCAACCCCAATCACTGGCACTTGGATGATAATCCTCACGCTGGGCCTTTCGAATGGTAGCTGTACCACGTGAGACGGTATATGCCCGGTCCTGATATGGAAGGGCCCCTGCCTTAGCTCTGACCCATGACACCTGTGGGTTGATTGCGCAATCTGATTGGCAATATCGCCCAGCGCCGAGAGCCTGGTTTTTGGTTCAATTACACTAAAGAAGCAGCAACCCAGAAGGGAAGAGGAAATGGCAGGGAGTGTCCCTTGGGAAAGACGGGACAAGAGGATACGGATACTCAGTAGACAGATACCTCTAGATGGAATCCATGAGTCGAGGATGTCTCGGTCCTAGCAGTAGCAAACGTGCCGTATGGAACGGAATTCGTTGTATGTCCCAGCCCCACTCTTCACAGTCTCTCAAGTCCCGTCTCAACCCTGTAAGGCTGGACAGACTGCAAAAGCTCGTCTTCCAAGACGTGCATCCATGTTTTCGCCATCCTAGGTCGTTGACATTGACATCAGGGGGTACAAGATACAGATACATACCTACCCATACATTGCCTCATCCCCTTTCCAAATCGAACCGACTCCATAATGACGCGGCCAGCTAGAGACTCCAGACTCAGCCACTTTCGCCTCATGAATAGTTAGCTTAGCCTTACCATTTTACCTACTGCATAGCAAGGTGTATCCGTATTTACCAAAACACTAGCTCTCGGCGGGGCGGGTTCTAGTCCCGCAACTACCGCAGTAGGTAGGTTCGTACCTTGTAATGCGAAGGGTGATGCAAGCCAAGTTCGCCAAGTTCAACCAATATTAGAAGGTCCAATGGCATCATTCAGTATCCGACGGCCTCCTTCGTATCCAATCTTTGCCTGCCGGAGCAAAAGGGAACAAAAGAGTATCGAGTCACGATGGACAGTGGCTGCCAATAACAACCGATTTGCAAGCAGCTTATTCTCTTCAAGCAACGTGTGGCATCTTCTTCCTCACTAAACAGTCTCAGTACAAGAATCTTTCTCTATCCAGCCCCCCCCTTTCCTTCCAAGCTCTCTCTCTCTCTTCCTTCGATTGCGACCATCCAAATCTTCTAGGACTCGGCCCTTTTCGGCGGTCCTCCGGCTTTGTTCAGAGCTTGTCTCCCAACTGACCACATCCAACCCCATTCTGGTCTTCCTGCCTCGACTTTTTTCCGGTCCACACAAAAGGGTCGGGTCCGTCCATCCAAGGGAAGAATAGGAGAGGAGAGGAGAGCGACATGCCGCAGCGGAGGAGGTGCCTTCTTCCACCATACTAGTCCCAAGATGCCGCGCGCCGATGTTATTGGGGAAAGGAAAAGAAGAAGAAAACCTCGCGCCAACCCCCTACCCCCAACACCCAGTGCCTGTGAATGCGTTGATAAGCAAAAAAGGGGGGTACAGGATAGCGAAACATCTTGGACATCCAGTCCCGGGTTCCATTTTCCATTGCCGAGCCCTGATAATGGATTTCGCGATGAAGCTCCTGTTTCCGTGCCAATATTAAAACACCATTCCGGAGGGTTGCTAAAACAAAGGGAGGGGAAAGGCAGTGATTTTTCTTCGTTTTTCGTCTTATTACAAGGCCATATGCTGAACCGTTCAACTGGTGGAATGGAGAAAGATGAGATTATGTGGAAACGTAGGATAGTGTTTTAGCGATTTGTGAGAGTTGAGTGGTTCACACTCATGCAACTTGGACGGCGGCATTTGCAAGGTATCGTCCGGTGCCAGGGTGCATGCCGACCACTGGTAGAGATTTAGTGGCTTCACCGGTCTTCACCCCCTCTGGCCTTTCCTCTCCTTCTGAAGAAGTCCATGACCTTCCTTGCTGGCCCACTACTGCCCGAGTGATCGTGTGGCCGTGAGGAGGACTCGTCCGTGTCCCAGGCATCGACAAATCGTCTGTTCTTCTGCAACACCCCCTTGTTTAGACGGCTGGTGTTGGCAACCCTCCGCCCATCGTGACCCTCCTCCTGCTGGGGGTACTGTTGCGGCCGAGGCGCAGAGGTAGGGGCCCGCCTAACATTGTCGATTGACGATTCCGATCCCGTGTTCAGAACAGCTTCAGGCATGTAGCCGTGAGATGCAGGTGGTAGCCTCTCGTGTTGCTGGGGACTCCCATGTTGCTGGTAATTCCCATGTTGCTGAGGAGCAAACCGATGCTGCGGAGCCGGCTGGTACTCCGCCGGTACGGGGTCCTGCAGCTGGGCATACATGCCGTCCAATGTGTTGGCCTCCACTTGGTTGTCCGGACTAACCTCCTGGTCCACGTACCGACCATACTGGTCAACGCGCGCGGGGTCATGGATGGGAAGATCCTGATGGAAGTCGTCGACATGGCCAGGACCGTGGTCTTTTCCAATGCCAATGGCCTTGAGAGAGAAGCCTGGAGGGATCAAGGAGAAGCGTCGAGAATGCCTCCTCTCCTGAGAGGTCTGAGATCCGGAGATGCTTCCAGACCGCTTCTTGCCCAACCCTATGGAGAACGAGCGGCGCGACTGCTTCGAGTCCATCGACTGTCGCGACTCATCGGGCCCGACGAAGGAGTTGTTCATGCTGACAGGAGGGTATTTCTTGCCTTTCTCCCCAGCTGTTGGCTGCTGCGACGAACGCTTTCGGTTCTTGCCACCAAATATCGAGCCGCTTCGCCCAAAGATCTTACCGCTAATCTCGCCGAGGGTGTTCGACCTCTTATGGCCCTTGGGCTCGCCTCCTTCGCCGGCGAATCCAGAAACCCTAGCGAATTTAGAAGGGACGCTGATGCTTGGTCTGCCATAGTCCAGGTCTTGCTGGTCCTGCGGGATAGGGCTCGAGATGTTGTAGCTACCAACTGACCCCTTGGACGGTTGTTGTATCCTTCCGTGCACGTTAGTACCGGCAATTTCAGGGGGTAATGGTTGGCCGTACGAGGCGCGCCCGCCAGCTCCGAGCACCTTGGAGCCCGTCGATTTCATCGACCCTCCTGTTGGTGGGCGCCCTCCAGTGGTACCAGCCACCGAAGCCATGTAGGCATTCTCAGACGGCATGCGGCCGCCTTCGCGATTGACAGCGTTATGGTGAGCGCTTGGCGGCCTCCTGGACCCAATGGCGGCCTTCGAATATGCCTCCTTAGACAAGGGCGGGTCGCGAGGCAGCGGCTTGTCCCGAGGCGAAGCTGGGCCGGGCTCCGAAACCTCGACTGGTCCCTGGCTTCCAGACCTAGCTCGCGTCTTTCCGCCACGTGCGTGGCTCCCCGATGGCTCCCCTCGCTGGGTTTGCGTGGTTGGCGCGACGTATTCGACCTGAACAGTGCGGCGCTTAGCGTCTTTCTGCTGGCGGGTATGGGCGGCGGCCTCGGCATCGGGATCGATGGTGCCTTGCTTGCTGGTAAGACCACCGATAGCTGGCGAGGCGGCAGCTTTCTTGGATGATTCCCGGACGGATGCGCTTCGCGCGAGCATCGTGTTTTCGCCCTCATCTTCAGCAGGAACGGTCGTGTTCTGGATCTCGCTAGGAGTGGTGGTGCTGGAGGTGATCAGCTCGACGACGTGAGCATAGTCGCTCAGCCAACTGTGACGTGCCACCTCGAACAGGTCCGCACGTTTCCGAGGGTTGGGAACCAGAATCCTCCGAAGAAGATCCCTGGCGTGAGGCGTGACATATTCGGGGAAGGTGAGGGGCGTGTTGACGATGTATTTATAGAGGAGATTAATGTTGTCGCCTTCGGGATTGGCGGGATCGTCGTCGAAGGGCAAGTAGCCCGCAAGCATAGCATACTGCGTGATCGGTTTAGCATTCGGCAAAAGGAGCCTAGGGAAGGGGAAAGAGTGTGTCTGTGAACGCAGTTATTGGGTTGGGGGGACCCTACCAAGATGACACCGCAGCTCCAAACATCAACCTTGCGGCCCGTGTACAACGAGTCGCTAACCACAAGTTCGGGGGCGGCATAGCAGGGGCTGCCACAGCTTGTCTGCATGAGATCGCCCTTCCTGGTCCCGTTGGCCTTCACCTTATCCAGCCCCATGCGCTTGACGAATTCGCGGTCGGCCAGGCTGACCTCCTCATCCTCCGTCAGCTCCTCGCCAGGGTCGAAGGTGTTGGCGAAGCCAAAGTCGGTAATGATTATGTTCCGATTGCGGTCGAGAAGTAGGTTCTCCAATTTCAGATCTCGGTGGACAATACCCTTCTTGTGCAAATAGCCCACGCCCGACACGAGCTGTGCGAAAAGTCTCCTTGCCGCGTTGTCCTTAAGGTAACGGTGATTGAGGATGTAGTCGAAAAGCTCTCCTCCGGACGCGTACTCGAGAATGATGCCGTAATGCCTCTCAGACTCCTCCATCTTGTGCAATCGGACAATGTTTGGGTGAGTGAGCTGTTTCAGGATAGCAACTTCGCGCATGATCTTAGCCATTCGAGAAGGGTTGCTACCCAGTTGATCTTTCTTGATGAGCTTGATGGCGACCTGAGTTGACGACGTCAGTCAGCTACGGGGGGGGCACGACGAGATAGAAAGATATATGCAGCTCTCTGGGGGGATGAAACGTACCTGGACACCACCTTCTGGCTTCCAGCCGAGCTTGACCTTGCCAAACTCGCCCTCGCCGATCGTGTTTCCGAGGATGTACTCGCCGAACTTGGTATGCTTCTCTCGCTTGGAGGAGTAATCATGTCGGCTCCGACCACCCCGGCGTGTTTCCTCGCCGTTGTCCATGGGCGAGGGAACGGGCGGCGAAGCTACTTGGTCTTCTCCACCTTGTGCATGGTGCGGCTGAGCCAATGCGAGGCGCTCCTTCTCTCTGTCGATGTCTACCTCGGGCTGCGATATCAAAATGCTATTCAGAATCTCGCTAGCTTCCCTGGACGGCCCCTTCGACGAGGTACCGACGGACGCTGCTTGTTGCGATCGGATTGGTATCGAGGTAGTGGAATCCCCGGCTCGGGTGCTGCTTGACCTCTGAGGGGGTTCCTGAGCGATCTGGTGGTGGTGGGCCGCCCGGCGGCTGCGTGAGCTTTGGGCGGTAGCAGCATCGTCCTCCAAGCTTCCATTCGTCTCAGGCTGAGCTCGACGCGGCGAATTAGTCCCACGCTCGTTCGCATGTGTTGCTCGTCGAGAGCTTGACGCGGCACCCGAGCCGTGTTGAGTAGAAGAAGTCCTGGGAGGCACGGCCGTAGGCATGTTTCTCCGCCGATCTGAGGTTGTATGATACTCGGCTGGTGCTCCGGCCACGGCGACGGGCGAGGCAATGGCGGCGCGCGAACTCATGGGCGAGTTGTTGTAATCCGACGACTGGACAGAGCCACGAACGTCGGCACCGTTGCTACCGTGGTTGCGAGAAGGTCGTTGAGATGATGAAAGCGAGGCACCTGCGTGCTGTTGCTGGGCATGGTAAGCTTCGCGAGTCGGCGGCGAATGGGGCGACGAGTAGTGTCGATTCGACGGGGAGGATGGAACAAGAGGAGGGTTGTTTAGGGCGGTCAGCGAGGTCGGTGTGTTCTGCAGAGCAGCAGAAGACATTTTACGACGCCGATGCGGAGGTGATGGCGCGGTCGAATGCAACGCGGACGTGCGGTGGCTCGACGGGATTTGATCTGGGAGGATAACCAAATCGACTTCGAAGACTACCAAGGTAGAAAAAGGTTGCAGGTTTCAAAACGGCCACGGCACAATGCGGATTGGCTCGACGATTCACGTCTCGACGAATCAACGGCCTCAAAGGGAGGAAGCTGGAAAAGTGAGCAATCGGGCCACTCCAGCTACCATTGTGCGATTCGATTTGTTATGCAATCAATCTGCGTTCTTCCCACAATCGGGGGCGGCGTCTCGTTGCTAGCAAAAAGACAACGCGCCGACCCAGCCAACACCCTTGTGGGTGGCGCTTGGGGGACGTGATTTGCTGCTGGCCTCGAGTGTTTACTTGGGGGCGCGGCCACCGAGGCGATCGAGGCAACAAGGGGCGGACGGGAGAAAGGGAAGTCGGAGATTGCGTGGCCAGCACCGACAGTAAACGGGGAGCGATACTAAAATAAAACAAAAAAAGAGGGCTGAGACCAGATGGATTGTTCGGGGGGGGGAGGAGAGGGAGAGAAAAGGAGAATGACGACGTTGCAGGTCTGTTGGACTTGGTGGATGGCCTGGCACCGAGACGTGGTTGCTTGTTACGGATTTGGCGAAATGAGTGGATGAACAGTGGGAATTTGGCGACGGATGGGCGCGGTGGAGGAGCCGGGCAGGTGGGTTCGGGTCGTCGAGAACTGGAAATTAAGGTGACAAGGTACCTCGACTGGCACGAACAGAGACACCAATATTGATGTACACTTTCAATTTTTCCCTCTCATTCAGTACAAAGTACCTTCCAAGGCTATTTTACCATCTTTTGTTGTTCCTCGCATCAGCAGTTTGCATACGGGGATAAATTAACTAGTGTAGCTACCAGCTCGTTTAATTACCTCTTTCAAACATGGAACAGGGGTCTCCAAGTCACCAAGCCACCAAGCCAGGAAGAGCAACAACGCTACGACGGAGACGGAGAGGACTAAAGCCACCTTCTTATTTACCCCTTGTTAGGTGCAAACCTTGGCCAACTACCGTGTAACTACTGCGTTGGCTACCGCCGTGAGCGGTGTTGGCTTTTTATACCTACCGACTCTTTGACGTCGACATCCATTGCCTCTGGCCCTAGCAACGCCTCGTTGGGAGTAGCGTACAATGATGGACGGTCGGAGGCGCACGGTTGCGTAACACATGGACGGCTCGCCCAGATGGGGGATCAACAAGAGGCGCAACGCCCGGCCGAGTGTGGAAAGGTCAGACAGACTTCACGAGGTTCAGCGCCTTGGCGAGGGATCGCGTGTACTGCGTGTATCCGTACGAGGCTATTTCGTCTTCCAATTGACCTGACTTGGCAGAGTCACTCCTGGCCCCCTCGTCCAAATTCCAAATAGAATGGAAGACATGTGTCAGTGCTGCGTAATGAGTAGGTAAATATCGAGGGTCTTCCCCCGCGTCCCACTTCGTTCGAGAAGATTGTGTGGAATTCATTTATGCTCGGCAAGGAGGATTGCTGCGTATGGTTGGTTTGTGGTTTATTATTTTCAGTGCCAGCCACCAGAGCAGCGACTCCTGTTACTCCGCAACCTAGGTACCTATCTTCCGTCTTGCTGGTCTCACCTCTGGGCTGTTAATTAGGTAGGTTTTCTCAACCGTCTGCAGTTCTATGGCGGCCCTTCCCCCAACCCAAGACATTTAAGACTGTGAAGTTCAAGTGTGGGCCGGCGAGAGATGCGGACAAGGTTCAGGGGTCTGCAGCTGTTCATCGACCAGATTTAGTCGAGTGTGTCCCCGATTGCATCAACCTACACATGTTGATGGTTTCTCGCCGCCCTTGGTCCTAGCTCTAAACTGACCCCCTCTTAATTGAGGTGTCCCATGGAACAACATGATCAGACGTTGATGCGTAACCGGTGCTCAGAGACGGTAGCTTATCATGAGCCTCAACTCGGGATTGCTGGCTCTCAACCTCATTCGCTGCGGAGCGCCACCAGGCGGCGCTTCTTGCAGGACGGTGTGGACCGTGTTACGTTCAATGCGAGCCAGGGACTTTGTTTACGGGCGTGCGACGGTTGGGAGGTCGTCTCGCATTGATGTTTGCGCGCCAGCCCGTCAGCCGTCACCCGTCAGCCGTAAGCCATCGATCTGCGAGGAGCGACTTTCTATCGTGTTGTACAACAAGATGTGAACCAACGCCTCAGCCTCGAATAGATGCCACCCATGGGAATGTCCATTCCTATCGGTCAGCCCTCGAATTTAGTGTGTATCAGACATTGCCGGGGAAGGCACTCACTGGATTGAGTCTATCAGTACGAGTACCTATTCGTATCTCTGTCCTCCCAATCTGCATCCAGTCATCTGGCACAATTCCATCTCCTCTCGCCGTGGGTGAGCCAAAAGTCCCCTCTTCTCATTGACCCGCCCACCTCCTTCACGCATCGCGAAAGGCATTGATGTCGGAGATGAGCCGCATATCGGAGCAGGGGTTGGCCTCCTCGCTCTCCTACCCCTCCGGCTATTCAACTCAACAGCGCGCCGCCGAGAAAATTCCCCGCTGCATTTTCTTGGGTCAAACCAGACAGAGAGAGAGAGAGAGAGCCGGCCCGAGGATTCGCAGTCGCGTCATCTGTATCTTCCTCCATCGTTGAGAAGCCAGCAAGATCGGCCCCGACCACTCGACTACAGCGATGAATACAGTACTTCTGTTGCCACTTTTAGGACTGTGGGGAACCTAAGATATTTGCCGAAACAGCCAGTTGCGACTAGCTCAGAGTCAGATGCCTCCTAGTAGTTATTGCGTAGTTGGAAATCACGAATCGGCACCAGTTCGACACCATCCTGGCATCCCTCGATGTCCACCAAATGTAACATCCCCAAGGTTCCCTCGCAAAGGTCAACCCACTGAAGCGCCAGAACTGGTAGGGAAGTTAGGGAAATCAGGGAAGTTGCACAGTCCAACTCGGAGATGTCCGAACTCCCCCTTCGTTGGATCACATGGGGCCAGCTCCTCAACCCCGCCCTTGTTCCAAGGGAGGAGTCGAACCTGCCAGCTTTGATTTGCTCAAAAGGGATGGAATGGGGGCGTTCACACACACTTCCATTAATAAACATTCCCGGGCCAATACCTCTTTCAATCGCGGGTACCTACATGATGCCATGCAACGTTCCCGTCCGTTTTGATTTTCGGTGGCGGAGAATGACCGAGTTATAATACTTCTATGGTATACCTCCCTAGGTATGCTGCAGGTACCGTGCAATAATGGTAAGTCCCTGCGTGGTTGATGCCACATGCAATATTTCTCCGCTGCGTCACGACTTGCTGCCTACCTAAGATATCTTACACTTATAATTTGAGAGAAATGTTGTACACGTCGAGCACCAGAGCGACACCTGTCACGGCCGCCGCATACCCAGCCAGGATCCCCATCGTGACACCTGGTCCCACGTCCAAAGTCGGGACCGTCATGTTGACCAGGCCGGTCAGCACGTTTGCCGCAAGGAAGACGGCCAGGCCGTTGCGGTTAAACGCCCGCAGGATCCGGCTCGTGGCTGAGTCGTGCGCCTCCTTCTCCGCCTTTGCATCTTGCGCCCTGTAGAAGGCCGGGAAGAAGACGGTGTCGATGAGGCAGAAGGCCAGTATCTGCGCCGAGTTAAATGCCACCACCCACAGAATATACGGCAGATTGCCCAGTCTCCGAGAGACCGTCAGGCCCGCGCCATAAGTATAGTCGGTGCTAAAGAAGTAGAGCGCCGTCCAGACCAGAGTCCACACGGCCATGGTAACGGGAAGAGTGGTCCGCTGTGCGCCCCGCGAATTTATGCCTCTCGGCAGCACGAACATGCCCGTATCCTGCCCAGCCAGGAAAATCGCGAGGTAGCCGAAGAAGCTGAATATGCCCTCCCGATTCATCGAGAAGAGGTCCGTCCGTGGCGCGGTCAGGATAAACGCCTTCAGGGAAGTCGTCTCCAGCGCGACCTCGTACAGGACTCCGAGAAGGATCGCCAGACCAGCATAGGAAGGGATGATCTTCAGGGCCGACTGGAAGATGGCCACGAAGGGCGGCAGGAACCCTAGCGTGAAGAAGAAATTCCAATGCACCCCGTACTCCGTCACATGCTCAGCGTAATCCAAGCCTTTGACCGTCAGCAGTCGCACAATGCCTAGGGCCAGCAATGGTAGCGAGTGGCGGAGAGACCGTATGAGTCTTCCTGCCATAGCTGTCTTCTCGCCTCCGGCTTGTTCTCTCAGGACCGGGCGCGCCGCTACGATTCCTGCCGAGAAGACAAACGATCCGACGCCGATATCCATCAGCGACGTACCCCACGTTTCGACCTTGGCAAACCGGCGCGGGAAAAGTCTGAAATCAACTGCCAGGATAGCTAGACAGGTCGCGACCAGCATACATCCTCGGTAGGTCGTCAAAAATGGCTTGGTGGACAGAAGCTCGAGGGGCCCGCCAGCTGACATAGACCGGGCATTTGGCGGCACTCTGGGTTTCTTTTTCGGCGCGGAATGTTTCGGCGGTATGGGGTAGATAAGCATAGCCGGAGCGAGAAGAAGTCCACTCAAGAGAAGAGGCGACCCCGAATACAGGGTGAAGGACAGCAGGATGGCGCTGACATTGAGGAGGAAATCGACGGAGAATGCGAGAAACGCATACGAGGTGAAATATGATTGTCGCGCCTGTAGGACAGACCAAAACAATATAGCAACCTACCGATCCAGCAGTCAGCGATCCATCCCAACCCACTTCAGGGGCGGACCAGACACCATACCGGCGCTACAGCTGTGACATAGCAAATTTCGGCAATGGATCCTCCAGAGTGGTTGGATACGAAGTCCTCTTTCAGCTGCTTGTAGCTCGTGGCGGTATCGGCCATGCTGCAAAACTCGAGGGGCGAAGCGCTGGAGAAGTCTGTTCTCGGAAATCAAGAGGCATTGCGCTCGAATAAGTCGAGCTGATGGGTGATGAGGACAGCTTGCCGTGAAAAGGAGAAATGACGGCCTCGCAGCCTCGCCCGAAAAGAGTAGCCAATCATGATCCTCCGGCGGGCAGTAGGCCAATCATCGCCCGTTCTCCTCGAGGGAGGAGTGGATATCATGTGATCAGACATGTGCTCCATCAACTTGACAACTGATCTGTGTCGTCTGGGGACTACAAGTCAACCGGAGGCAGAACTTCGCACCGGCCTGAATTGCTATATCTATCCGGGTTTGCAGATTCCCAAACATGTGGTTGTCCCTTTCTTTGTCACTAAAATCCAGTCTGTCGGTTCCTTGCATTGGGGCCCCAAAACTGTCTCCTGCAGACTCTCCTTTGTTAGCTGCAGCCCAGGCGTATCATGGAATGCTTTATCGTGAGACTGGCGTTGCAGGCCTACTGATGATGCCGTGCCTTTCAAGCCAGTGACGTCTTTCATATCAAGCTAGAGAGATCTTCTACAAAACCGTGGGTTCATCACCATTTTCCTCATTTCCATTCCCCCTTGACCCTCCCAAAGTCAAGACGGTTTTCCTTCACAGAGTTTGGCCAAGCTGGCCCTTCCTCGCATCAACTGGAAGACGCAACTGCGCAAGTCTGCGCAATGGAAGCCCAACGTCGCGAGCGTCCAAACTTACAACCGATATGGACCGACTACTACAACCTCAAAGGCCACCCAAAATCTGCCTTCCGGGTTGCCCATAGTCCGCTTTTTTCGGCCTCGCGAAGATCCCCCCGGACTCTACCCAGCCCGGTCTATCCCTCGAACTCTGGCTATGACCCAACTATCAGAAGACATGAGAGGACGATGGTGGAGAGCTTTGATCAGAGGGCTCGGCAGACTCTTGGTCTTCCAGACGGTCTACCTCGGTGCCTCCCGCCCATCGCCGAACAGGCTTGGTCACCTGGACCGCCCACTGTGTCGGTGATCAGTGCGACGCATCCGCCCTCTCCGGCGACTCCCCACTCTCCTCACGGCCTGTTTCAGGTGCCGAGAAGACAGACCATCGCGGACGAGACCAGATCCCGTCTTCTCTCCAGGGTTCCACCGTTGCACGTTCGAGGTGTCAGCACACCTGTCGACCGGAGAAGGTCTCTCCCCACAACCCCGACATGCAACAGACGGCGCAACAGCCATCTGATGCGAGAGCATCTGCAGGCCTGGGGTCACATCTACGTTTCCAACGCAACCTCGGCCGATTGTTTCGTCGCGGCGGTCGCCTTGCGACGGCCAAGCGAGGCCTCCTCCGGGGACGAGGAGATCAAACAAGAGAAAGACTCCGCCGCGACCAAGTCCAGCCGCCGTACCATCCGGGCGCGGATTCGACCGCGGGCACCCGAACGGAAACCATTTATCCTCCAGCGCACCTTTGACCTCGACGAGCTCCGAGCCACGATACCGGAGCCGTCGCCCACGTCGTCGGCGACCAGCCGTCGGCCGTCGGCTGATCTGTCACCGTTTGCTCAGGCCCATCCCGGACGGCGCCGGTCGAGTGGTGGTGTCGCGAGCAGCGGCGCGGGATCCCTGGTCGTCCCAGAGGCCAATAAGAGCCTCGTTCTTGACGCAAAGGCCCTTCCGATTCGTGAGTGTCCCCAAACCCGCGGCTGTCCACCGAAATATATCCCGAGGAAGCATCTTTGTTGGGGCTAACAACTCGTACAGATCTCCAATACGCGCGCGTCCATGTTCCGGTTCTGGCTGCTTTGATGCTATCTGGTCATGTTCGGGAGGGAGATATCATCGACCTTCCCATGCCTCACCCGGAGGCTTGGCCCCAGACTATCGCCTACTTCTACACCGGCCTGGGTGAGCTAACTGAGGCCATCAAACGGAATATTCTGTACCTGGCAGGCAAAGTCTGATTTGTTGTGACGAGCCCGCCCCATGGCCTTAGGTGGCGAGGTTACATTCAGATAAAGGACTTGGGGAAATGGCATCATTCATTGATATTATTTGTATTTATTTTTGTAGTCTCTTCAACATGTACCATCCTTTGTGATTTTGGAATCCCGCATTTCGTGCTTGCCCTGCCTGTCTACGAGCTCAGTCACCAGACCACCTACTAGAAAGGGGACGGCATACCAAGACCCCGTCCTTCATCTCCACCCTTTGTTAAGATGTCCGTAGTCCGTCCTCATTCTTCTCTACACTTCCACCTGAATCTAACCACGTCACCAAACCTCGCGCTCGCTTACACTTGGTCTACCAAGCATCAGGTATCGCCATCGCCATTGAAGAAACATGACTCACACAAGGCCAGCCTTCCTTCGGCCCTATAGACAAAGAGGGCAGCGGATACGGGTCTTACCTACCTCTTTACCAGACAGAGAAAGACACAGTCCCCTTTCAGAAGGTGATCCGCGCCCTCCGCCCTCCCCTTTTTCCTGAGCCAGTGTACAATACATCCGATACATCGTATTCCACATCCGACACATACAGAAGGGCTACTCCTTCGTCCCCCAAGAGATAGAAGCCGCCGGATGCGGTCCCCCCTCTTCCCCCCTCCTCGGCAGTGGCCTAGCCTAGCCCAGCTCCTGACTTTCCATAGCCGGCTTCAACGGTAGTCTAAAATAAATAAAAAGCCATGAGTGACCCTATCTCCCTAACCAACATTTCCGACACAAAAAGGGGAAATGAATGCGAAACTGGGTGCCCATACGCCCCTCCCTCCCCCGAGGCCGGCTCCACAGGCCATGACCTACCGGGCCGCCTCCGCCCAGCCTGCAGGTGGCCAGCGGCCGGTAGCTTTCGCGGGTTGTGTCCTGTCCGGGTTAGGGCCGGAGGCGGGTATCGGGATGGCGTGTCTCGTGGACCCGGACCCGGAGACCAGCGAGGTAGGTAGGGCGTGTTCTTAGGCAGCGGGCCGGGGGAACAGCCTCGTGACGAAAAATGGACGGCGCGTATGTCAAGCAGCCGGCCCAATACGGCCGTGATGGAGAGCGGGCCGTTGTCCTAGGGGGCCGAAGGGGGAGTGGGTTGAGGATCGGGGGTGCTGCTGCCCAGGCGGGAAGGATTAGGTAGGTAGTCAAGAAAGGAGGAAAGGGAAGAGACAGCGACGTCACGCTCGGTCATTGAGTTCAGCGCGGCGTTGGGGGTGAAGAGAGGGGGGGGGCGGAAGGGGGGTTTGCAAACGGGACGGATACGACCGCCCTTGATGCTCCCGCGCAGGCGCATCCCTCCCCTCCCCCTTTCGTGCAGCGTAGATCGCCAAGACGCTCGCCGCCCCGTGTTTCCCCAATCTGCAATGGGAGAGGGAGATGGCTTCGGCCGCCTTTCCTTGGGGGCGGGAGGCGGCGGGGGGGAGGGTTCTTCTTTCCTCGGCCCGTCTTTACCTATCACGTCCCAGACGCCCCAAGCCGAACATACCGCGATTTTTTTTTCTCCCCCAAATAGGAATGCGCGGCTCAGGCGGTGGAGCGTCAGGTCGTGCCGCAGCGTCTCGCGGCAAGGGCGCGCACTCGGGAGAGATGAACGTGATGAGAATGTGTGTGCTGCATGACCTAGACCCTGCAGCGGTCCAAACGAGCGCGTGGGGGGGGGGTGGTTTCGCTGCGAGGAAGACCAACTTCCGTGTTCGGGGAGAGGAGGATGGCAGGGTGGAAATGAGATATGACGGATGGATGGACGTCATCCCCACCTTCGAAGCAGCGCTTTGCTCATACGTTTGTCCAACTTATCTGGTCAGGTATCGTCCGAACTACGTAGGTTTGGGCCAAGACTGATCTGACTTGGCCCTGTGGGGGCAGTGGACGAGCCGATCTTGTGCATGGGCCTGTTTGTGTTTGTTGAATACTGTCGAGGCGGCGGGTGAGCGTGACGTTGTTACGTATATTGTATGTTGAAGCAGCGACATACAGCGTCGGTCTCCTATTTCATCATATGTCGTTTCCGATCTGTCAACTCAACAGCGTGAGACACCTAGAGGTATCTCCAAGGTACCTGCTCTTCCCACAGCTTTGTCACTCACGTAGCGGGCTCCTTTCCCCGCCCTTCAGCACAGCGGTGATAGCGCCAATCCCATCTCTCATGTTTGGTTTGGGGCAATATCGCTGCATAATGTATGTCTCACCAACCCCAACCCACCACGATCGACTCCCCACCCCAAGCAGAACACACAGCACACTCGCGCACACACAGAGGGGAGGAAGACGCATTGCGATCCAGGACCAATGGCGAGAACCAGTGGCGCCCTACCACCAACCACACTAGGTAGGGGTCCAAGCTGCAAGCAATTCTGCATAATGTACGCCCAGACGCCAGGACAGCGTGCCTAACCTACGCAGACTAAAATACACGATTACCCTACTATGGCAGTACAGCTACAGCACGTACAGCACGCACGTAAGGAATCCATGACTAGGTTGACACCCAGGTTCTTTTTTCTTTTTTCTCTTTTAGTCCGACCCGACCCCCCACCTAGTCCCGAGACCGGGGACCTCGGCGCGGACGCCGGACCACTTCTCCCCACCCAAGCGAGAATGCGGCATCTCTGCGCACTGTCGCGGAGCACCGATTCGGGGGGGAGTTGGGGATGCCAACTATTGGCTTTGCCGACACCGGCGCTCTCGCGCCTGCCTGCCCCCGGGAGAGTGGGGGAGGGGGAGGGGGGGTGCGGTCGGAGTGCGTTGGCTTGTACCCTTTCGGCCCCCGGTGGGAGGGGTAGGCAGGACTCGCAGGAGGTTCATATCAAGTGGGTTCGGGAAGGTGCCTATGCGTAGATAAGCTGATTAGGGATGGTGGGGATCGAGATTGTGCAAACATCCACATTTGATCCCCGTTCTGATATCCACGTCGGCGACGTTCCTGCTTGCCGAATATATGGAAGATGGAATAGATGCACCAGTTTGTGTGCCGCCCGGTGGGGGCGTGTGCGTGAGCTCGGTACAACGCAGACGGAAAGACAGAGGGACAAAGCGGGAGCGCAAGGAGAAGGCTCTCGCGCGAGCTGGTGATGGTGGTGACGCAGTCAAGAGGCCGCTGGCGCGATAAGCTTTACCTTGATTACTGTGAGAGCCCGTTGCGGCCGGGTGCATGATTACGAACCCTCAAAGATTAAATTGGGGGCGCCGGGTTGCAGATTGTCAATGGGTGTAATCGGGCATGACGGCATCTGGGAATCTGTTCGTCGTCTACTATGAGGAGCGGATCTTCTGCCGTCGACGCAGCCAGGCCGTCTCGACGAGCCTTCCAGGTTCGCGTCTGTCCAATTAAGCCATCATCAGCAGACTAGCCACTTATGCTGCAGCTAGATTGCTAATGTTTCTCTCTCTATGTCATGCATCACGTCAACACCCTGCATGTTTTCTTTTCTTATTTCCGTTTCGTCTCTTTTTCTTTGCTTTTTCCTCGCACGTTCATCTCCTCCCCACTGTCCCTGCATATCTTCATGTCACCATTCTCAACTCGTCTCTCGTCTGCGTCTGGCAACCCGGCAGGGTCGTAGCCTAAAGCCAGTCGATGGTCGTTGGCTATTCTCTTGTGTCATGAAAACCCCCAACTCCCGTGGAGTGACTGCTGCGAGAAAGCTGGCGTGCTGGCAATGTATCGATTTCCGTTGCTAAAAAACGACACTATTGCCGAGGGGCCGCATCGCCAACGGTCTTGGGGTGGGGTCAAGCTCCCTTGTCTCTCCCCTGGTAGCTTCGGCTGCGGGGAGATCCAGATCGGGTGAAGGTTGCAAGTTGCTACATTACGATCGACTGATATTATTCTGTATTGTACTGTACATGCTACCCAAGCAACGCTCAAGGTACGGAGTACATTGTATACACTACGTAGGGGAGTGTCGTTGAAGGTGATCCAGGCTCCCGTGCTGGAGACACACCACCCCTCCTTACCCCGCCTCGGTTTATCTCCCACTCCGTCTAGCTGACCTATGTATAGTAGTCCACCTTGCCTTACCCACCACTGAGGGGAACGATCTCCCCAGCGGCCGCAGCCCCTCATCATCAAGCTCATCAACGCGAAACCCGGAACGCTTACTGGCCGATGGCGCGAGACTGCTGACCTCGAGCTCATGTGGCTACCCGAAGCATTTCCATCAATAGGTGGGTAGTAGGTAGGGCAAACCAGCCAGCCCCTCCTTGTGACATCGGGCCCCCGAGGCGAGATGAAAACCACGCAGCAGCAGCAGCAGCCTCGGCTTGGTGGACATGGGTTACCGGGGGGCGCCGGGGGGCGCCGGGTAGACGTCACCAACATTGCCCGACGAACCTGCTGAGTTTTGAACAACCAACCTCCTCCGTTCGTCGGCACGCATTTGCAGTTACTATGTATGCCAACACCTTGCCTGGACCTAAAGCTTAGCCACCACCGTGGAGTGCATAAATGGGAAATCCCTCAGCAGGAGCACACCAACGTGGATTGATTCGATCGTGGCGAGTTGTTGCGGTTTGGCAGAGCATGAATGGATCACGGCGCCCCCCTCGACATAAGGTAGTAAGCAGTTAGTTATGGGCCCATTCAAGGCGCTTAACCACTTCCTCTCGGACCTGCGTCCCAAGGCATGCAAGGCGTCTCGTAGTGTCTTGAACTACTGGGTGGGGCTCGGCGAAAGAGGGTGGGTTTGCATGCCTTTTCTTGAATTTTGAATGAGCCTAAACGAATAGCTGACCAGCACTAATCTTTCTATTCGTACGCGCAAGCCGGGGGGTGGACGGAGACACGGGACCAGGAGTCGCTAGCCCTGGTCTTGATCGCGATACTAGCGCCGACATGCTTTAGTTGCAGAGTAGCGTCAAGTCACTTTCTGGGTGGATACGACCTGGCGATAGTATTAGTAGTATCCGTACATGAACGCCGGGCTTCCGGACACGTGTAGTCCTCACCATAAGGCCAATTTCCGAGGTCCATTTGATGGTCCGTCAACCGAACTTCCGGCGACGGGAATTAGGAGGAAATTGTTTACCTAGCTTACCTTCCGCCTTGGACAATTAGGATGGAGCATCCAAAGAACATTGTATCCTAAATGCTGTTGACGAATTCTCGCCATTGGATAGCGTGGCCCCTGCACGCGGACTAATTTAGCTAGGGCGAAACCAAGAATCTCAGATCGGAGGTTACCATTTGCTGGATCCATCGCGTCTAACGACAACCTTTACATCTCCCACCTCCCCTCTCAGCAATTATTCCGGTGGCAGACGACAACCTATCCGTAGTTACCAGAGTAATTGGAAGCGAATGCCAATGGGATGGTGGATACCAGCGGTAGGTAATTAGTAGACACCCACTCTCTCTCTCCTGTGTACGTCTCCTCCTGCATGTCTGGACTATGTAAGCGTGTGAACCAAGATTGCTTGAGATACCCATGCCATTGGTGGAGATCTGGCACAAGTTGAAGCATGGCACACCCAACTCAACCCCTCTTGGATGTCGTCAAGGATTATGTAGTTGGAAACCGCCATGGGGTAGGAGATCTAGCACCGAGTTTTAATAAAACCGTTCTCAGTTGCATTCAAGACACATCATATCTCTGTTTCCCACCGAGACAGCACCGGGCTCCATCTGATCGTATTTATTCCCGCTTAATTGGTCGCTGATCTAAGAGGAGGTTTGGTGGAGGCAAGGGCAAGGGCGTGTTAGACGAATCTTGTGACCTGGTCCAAGGCCGGTCTTATCCTTTCCCCTCCCATACCAAGCTTCTTCGTTGGTCACTTGGTGTTTACGTGATGGTAAGTGATCGATACGACGTCTGTTTCTTGGTCACGACCACCACAATCAAGGTAATCAGTCAGAAGGAGGCTTACTGTGCTCCATCCTGCCCTACTCGTCCCATCACTGACTGCATTAGCTTAGGAAGCAGGATACAGAGTGTGAGCAGGAATTGCCACTCCCATAGCTGCCTCCATAGAGTATGTACTTACAAGACAGACGCCGTGTTGAACACGAGAACAAGGGATGACAGAGGAAGCAAGTAAACAAATCCTGTTTCCAAGACACCGCAGCATGCGAGCCTAGGCCCCCGCATGTGCGTTGGGGTGAATCCGGCTAGTGGAAGGTCCCCCCCCCTTCCCCCCTTCCCCCCATCATTATCCGCCCTACGATATAACCTCCCTCGCACATGCAAGTCATCTATCTACTCATCCCGGGGGTGTGGTGGCTCCTAAATTGAGGCCAACCACGTCGGCAGGCCTGAAAGGGCTTGGCGGCCCTATATTTTCGATTGCGTCTGCAGGCGATCCTCTTCCACCCTCCCCGGCCCATTCCCCTTCTTCTTGTCCAACGGGACTGCTACCGGTTAGAGATTAGCGAGCTGCGAGCTGGCACTCCTCGGTCGCCGTATTCCAGGCGAACACCACCCCGTCCTCCTGCAAGTCTTAGGTGGAGAGTGGATGCCATTCCAACTTTCCGCTGATATTGTCTTCTTGACACGAACCTCGCTCATTCTTTACTGTCTTGTCGAGGCTTGTAATATATACAGGTTGCCCGCACAGCAACAAACCTCGAGGGGACCTGATTTATTCATAATGCTCTGCTCCATTATTCATAATGCTCCATACTAGCTCCTGTTGTAGATGCTGCATTGCCTAGGTCAAGGTGTCATTGACAACCTTGAGGTGGCATTTTGTGGCGCCCAACAGCATACGGGAACCTCCGGCCTCTCCTACCGGCATTCTTAGGACGGAAAAGGGGGCATCGGGGTGTGCCTCTCATCAAGTCGCCGAATAGATTGCTGGCTTGCATCCGCCTGTCGTGTGACGCTGATACCGGCCCCGAACCAAGGAAAACGGCTGTGGCGCTGGGGTTGCAAGTGGACATTACTAATTTATGATGAAAATACCTTCCCATTGTTGACTGAACCCACGAGTCTATCCCTCTAAAAATCCGAGTCCAATCTATGACTTTTTCCGTTGCTCGCCAATTTTGGTTTCCATCCGCATCAGATCGAGGTGACTTGTCCCATTACACTTCCAACATAAAGATAGGGGTTCATGCAAGGCGCTGCTTCCGCGTGCCTGCTCCGCTCCCTAGAATCACACTCCACATTAGGCATTTTCCAGTTCATCCCAAGCAATGCCGATGATCCAAACCAGCGAGAGGCCGCCGGCCGGTGAAATCCCTAACTTTTGGTTTCCCCCAACGCCACCCCATTTTGGCCACAAAGCAGATGAGCCGGCCTTCCAACGGAAGACACGGACTCTTGGGAGACATTGAATTAGCCAAGGCCACATGGGTGAGTACTGTTTTACCTCAGACCCAGTGCCAAGCGCATCAGCCCCAGTGAACTCATGAAAACCATCCTGTCCTGTCGTAAGTCTTCGTAATCTTCGTTTTACTCAGTTGCGATGCTGCACGCCCAACACGTTTCGGGGCGGTCGAACTTGCGTAACCCACACGACCTCTTGCTTTGCCCCCCAAACCCAAGCGGTTTACGCGGATGCTGCCTTTTCAGACACCGCAATCCCTCCTGGCCGGATCTCGCTTGCTGGTTGCGACGGCAGGGTCATTCTCCGATGCGTAGCACCCAGTACAAGGTCAAGACGCGGTCCCGGGGGCGTTGTCATGCTCTGACTTCGCTTCGGCCGTTCCTGGAGACGGAAGTGGTTATGCTCGTCACCATCGGCTCGGCTACCCCAAGAGGTCTGCGGGAAAGCTAGTTAGCACTTATCTCATCGCTCCCTAATCCGGACAGAACAACAAGCGTACCATCTTGAGCGTGAAGAGCGCATACAGCTTGATGAAGCCGTGGAGATAGCCGAATACGATGGAAACGGGCAGGAACATGATGTCGCTGGGATTCCGCTTGAAGAGTCCCACAAGCTTCACCACCTTGGTGAAGGCAAACATGAAGATGACCTGCGCCCAGAAGGCATTGCTTCGGGATTTCGGATCCCAGTCCGAGGTTGCCTTCCAGAGCGAGACCAAGAGGAGCGGGTCCACGACAAATGCCAAGGACGTGAAGGTGGCGAAATGTAACGCGTATAAACACCAGGGCTGTTGACTTATATTTCCCAAATCCGTTAGCATTTTTGGTGTGGCCACAAGGGTGCTGAGTCACGAGGCCAGGGATTGGGAGAATATTTACGGGTGAGGGGCAAGTTGGGGTGTCACCGGGTGTCTGATGGAGGGGGGCAGGAAAGACAAAACTCACGTCCACACGTGTCCCTCGTGAACGAGACTCGTCCAGTTGCTTCTCCAGTTGCTCCGAGCCCATCGCGAACACTGATAAAGGAATTTGCTGCTGTTCTCCAGTGTCGTCTCAATCTCGCACTCGCGTTCGTACTGGATCCACGTCTTCCATTGATGGCTGACCAACCAGCGAGTCACGAAGTTGTCGTCGTCGGCATTCAGGTTATATTTGCCCCAACGCTCCGTCTGGAAGGCTTCCAAGAAGTCGTGGCTCTTCAAGATCCCTGCTCTGTAGGCCCCGGTGCGGCCAGACATGCACGAGGTGCCGCCATCCATGTTATGCGTGGCCGTGATCTCAAAATTCCGGCGCTGGATGTATGCTGCTCCAAGCCAGTTGTAGATACGAGTTGACAGGTCCGCATCCCAGACCCGTTTCACACTCTGGCATGTGCCCACACCGCCCACTTCCGGATCCTCTAGAGGGGCGAGGAGCCAGGGCATCAAGGTGGACGGCCATTCGACATCATCGTCGGCCATGACGATAATCGGAGTCTTGACATGGTCCCCTTTAAGGGCCTCGCAGACTTGAAGCCGCTTGTTTGCCTTGTCCACGTGAAGAACCTCGATTTCTGGGTGCTGACTGTCATGAGATCGCAGACTGTCAGCAAGCAGTTTGAGAGCCTCGAACTTGTTCCAGGTGGTGACGAGGATCAGTTTGGCGGGTCTGCAAGCTAGAATGCTCTGCAAGGAGGGACGCAGTTCTTGGAACTGATTATGGATGGTTGGGATTATGACCGTGACGTCGGCCGAAGTATACGTCGGCTTCTCAGGGATAGGCTTTGACTTGTATATCCAGTGGCTGATGCAGTGGACTATTAGACGGATGTATCTATGAAGCCTGTGTTTACCATCAGCTTTTGGTTGGGCGAAGACGAGAAGACGAAGTAGTGAAGGGTCCGGGGACACGGTCACGGACACGGACACGGGCACGGAGACACATACCATAGTATGGAGAACAGATATGCCCAGAATGTGGTGGACAGATAGAAACCTATTTTAGGGAATGGAAACCCAAGCAGGTCGGCCATAGTGGGTGAGTGAGATGAGCAGTGGGATGGGGCCGAAGATATTCCAATATGGCTGCTCAATGGGCTTGCAATCGTCGGGAAAGCGCCACGGACTGTGGTGATGACCAGACTCAGGCTTGACAGGAGAGGCCACGCGTGATGGGGACCGTGGGCCGGCGAGATTTCGGACCTCCAAGTAACGGCAGGCGGGCCAAAGGGTTTTCTTTCAGCGTGTGAGGTCAAGCCTCGAGTGGGACCAAGAACCTCGAAGTCTCTCGGTGAAGTCGCTCAAGAACTCGGAAGCCTATGCAAGTCTTTGTGTATTGAAGTAGCCAACTCTGAGCCAACCCTTCAGTCGACAAAACCAAACAAAAAGGACCCCAACTCTAAAGCAACAAGGAGAGCCTGAGGAGCACGACAGCCAGAAATGCAGACCCGGGGAGAGGGGTGGGGGTGTTGGAGGGTTGGAAGCGTGGTGAGCGATGGGGGGAGAGGGAACGAGGGCTGACGGGGACCCCGAGACGTAATATACAGACGAGATGGAGTCGGATCAAGAAAAGAAAGGCATGGTCAAGACCAATTGGTCTTGAGGGGAGCAGCAATGACAAAAAGAGAAAAGGGTTGTGACGATATTTGGGATGGGGTGAGGACTGGGGACGAGGCCACAAGGATATATAATAAGCACATGGAGTGGATGGATGGTAGCATCCATGGCGGCATGGACTCCATCGAGGCACATGTCCCCACTCCACTGCCCAGAGGACTACGACGAGAGATACATGTTAGATGGGCAATGCATTGAGACGCTTGCGGTTAGCAAGGCGAGCCAGGAGAGGTAGGTACGGATAGATAGGTATTGGGAAGGTGTCTGAGAAGTCGTTGGCTGCAGAACATGTACAAATAGGCATGTATGGAGTAATGGACTAATGAAGTAATGCACGAAGGGACGGGGGGCGGCTAGACAAGCCCAGCCTGCCTTCTGCGTCGTGTGATAAACGAGAGCTATTGGCGCGAGAGGAGGGTGAGAAAGTGAGAGAGGGCGTGAGGGAAAAGGGTTGTGACTGGATGTCCTGCGTAAACGCAATGCAGAATGCAGGGAAGAAGACATGGAGAGGTAGTGGGGTGGGATTAGACAATGTCGCATGGGGGGATTTTCCGCCAAGAACATTGAAGGTATACCCATGTCCGAAGTACATACATGTTTAGGTAGGTACCTCCGTACACTTCGATCCACTTAACCCAAGCCTGGAAGTTCGGGCCATCCTTTAGCAGCCACCTTTTGCTGATGGAATACCTGAAACGCTGCTCCAAGGCCCGCCGAGGGCGAGTCATGGGGGATACTGTAACTGTCAATATTCTGAACCCTGTCTTGTCAAGCAAAGTCGCCGGGTAGTTATGTATCTATCTTGTTCCTTCAAATACCCGTACATTCTGTTATCCAATCCGTTTCGGAGAACGAGGCTTGGAGCAGCCGGGTCCAAGCTCTGTGCTCCACACCGGCCGAAGCCCGGCAAACTACGGGAGGGGGCACCCAGAAACTAGTGTCCAGATGCGGAGGCAGCTCCCCTTACCTCTGTCCATTGACGATACAACTGGGGCGGTACTTGAGTCCATTTCCTGGAAGGTCGCCGGGTGGGATCTCTCGTGTGGGCCATCATTAGCCACGACACGTACATAGATGAGAGATGCAGGTCTAACATGCTCGTACAGATTACCTCCTAATACCCTGTGCAATACATACCTACCTACTACCTACTTACAATCGATGGCCGATGTATCCAAGGTCTAGGCAAGCAGAGCACGGGACAACTCCCCACCAGAGGTAGCATTTAAACAAGGTAAGCGACCTCAGCAACCGGCTCATGTCGGCGGCTGCGGGAAGGAAAGCAGCAAGTTCCCCGCCAGCTTACAGGAGAAATGACAGAAATAACAGAGTTCGAACCATGGTCAAAGCCCCATGGATTGCTAGGCCTTTGGTAGCTGGTGGTGGAACGGGCTGAATAAAAGCCATCCGAGCCGCGAAGCTTGCTGGTCGACACTCAACAAACAGTTCGTCGCTAGCGATTGGCCACGGGCCGGGACAGATTCAAGACATGGGGGCCAGTCTGGCTCTGATGGGTCTTGCAGCTTTGCCGCTGAAGATCTCAGCCACCAATTAACTGAAGCGCAGATGAGTTGCACTGGACCAAGCATCTCTATCGGCGCGGACTGAAGAGCCGAATCGCCCCCGCAGTTCGTCGGCTCGTCGTGCTAATTGGTCTCCAAATCCGAGAGTGAGGTGTTTTGTTTGTTGGGGTTCCACCTCCCGTGTTTGTTGGTCGATCCGTCTGCGATAAGCTGTTGGAGAAGGATATGCGACGTTCAGACAGAGTAGGAATGTCCAAGTGTCGAACCCTTTTTTCGCCCTTTCCTTTCTTCGCAGACCGGGACAAACTGGGGGTGTGATTGGAGGCAAAACGAGGGTGAAATGGCGCAACTCGCGACGGCGTTGTTGGCCATCTTGATCATCATGCAGGTACGCTTCCCAAAGCGCACTCGGTCAACCAGGGTCAGGGAGGATTGTGCTCTGTAAAAATACGTTGACCCAGAGGCCTACAACAAGAAATGGCGTGAGGGACCTGCCGCATTTCGACCAAGCCGCCGACAAGGTCCATATTCCCATCGAGTCCATACCATGCTTGCCATCAATCACCCTTGTGGAGATGATGAGATCCTTGCTCGATAACGGCCACACGCCGGCGTGTTACAGTGGTGTGTAGCTATCTGCCCACAGATGCACGAAAATTCCTACCTAGCCCATGTACGCATGTATGTAGCTATGAGGTGGTAGGTGGTGGGGGTGTGTTAGTATCTCTACTCCGCAACAGCTGCATCAGCATTGTTGATAAGTGACAGCTTTTTCTTGCCTCTCTCTCCCTCTCAAAGCAGATGCCCATACGTAGCAGGTAAGAGCGGCATTGGCCCTTCAATTGACGTCTGCTCGATGTCGTGGCGCACGGAAACCTGCTTCGTTGCAGCTTGCATCAAGCAAATTTTGAGCACCTGTAACGATGACCTATGTCTTGCAGACGCCAATCGACTGAAGGAGTGAGTGTACCTGTCTCCATGGTCACTGTGGGGGAGGCTCTCCCAGGGCGTCTAAGCTTGAGGGGTTCAACTTGGGGACGCATCCACACACAAGCAGCGAGGGGCGGAAATTAGCAAACAAAAACCAGTCGTCTCGGAATACACAACTCTATCTTCTTGATGGTGAGATATGGAGTAGGGTGGAGTGGTTGAGGTTACAACCCGGCTCCCGAGGTACGAATTTCCACTATCTTCAGCCAGCCGGTTGGCCGGTTGGAGAGAGAGGATAGGCGAATATCCTTGCAACCAAGCGATTTCCAACCGGTCCCAAGGTTTAAAATATCGAGCCTCACACTCCTTCGAATTCTCCATCTTGCGGCAGAAAACGGGGGAGGGAAAAAAAAAGAGAAAAAACTGCCCGTTCGAGGCGCAGCAAGGGTCCAATGCGCCTGCAAAGAAGATCCCTGTCGCCTTAACCGATGGGCTCTCTTTCACTGATACCTACGCATAGTACGGAGGTATACGGATATTAGGAATTGTTCCGCGACTTCGAACAGATATTCCTGCAGTATTGCACTTTGATCAATGAACCAGAGAGCAATGGCGTCGTTCTTTGACACTCAGAGACGGCGGCGGCTGAAGATCTGCAACTATCTTTCGATGGTTGACTCCACTCGCGGCCGGGAGAAGCCGCCGATAGAGTCGCTGCTGTTATTGGACGAACAAGGCCGAGAGTCGAGACTCTGCCTTCCTTGCGGAGGTACCTATTTTGCCCCCATTCACCCCGCCTTCAACACCCAGTCTGAAGCTGAAACGAGAGTGAGTGCCAGAGCCCAGAGCCGCAAACACGGCCGACAACGTATAGAAAATAGATAGGTATAATAGAACCCTGAGATCCGTAGTTCCGACCGTACCAGAGGTATGAATGTACTGTACATACCTAGTAGGTAGTTCTCGTAGCACTGCGTCCTTGTAGTGTAGGTTCTCGGTCAGATATATGGAGGTTGCCGAGACGTGCCCATGCTACCTTCGGAATATTAGGTAGGTACCTATTCAGGCCACAGATAAGTGATTGGTACCTACCTAGTCCCATCCTGGTTGCTCGAAAATCAGGATGCTCCGTGGGCCAGGTGAAGAAGGACTTTGGGAAACTGTAACCTCGAGCAAACGGTCATGTCAATTCTACCGGAATTATTCTTTACGTCTACTCCACACCGGACGTCGTTCTAGGCATCAAAGCCGGAAGGTGGCCATGGCATGGTCGGGAAGTATCAAACAAGTACCTACCTGCTCCCTGCTCAGGCTATGCCGTCAAATCTCGAAACGGGGTTCCGTACTATTTATTCCTCTAACATAGCATCGCATATGGTTCTGCAGGCTATGCCGCGCCTGGAGTCTGTGCAGCAGCAAGCCGGCCGCGGGTCGTTCGTGGTGCGAGGAGTGGCATCACTTGTCTTGCATGCGTTTGGCCACCCGACATGGCCGGGCACGTCAGTAGGTACGGGTAGATTAGGTAGGTAAGGTCCATATCCATGGATGTCCAATGTCAATACCGTCATAACCAAATGTATTTGTAGAGCCCCATGGCCCGAGCTTTCAAGAAGGTCTGTGGGCGGGCGTGGGCGTGGGCGGACGCGGGCGGGTGGGCTGTACTGTATAGGACTTCGCGAATAAGAAAGGCAGGTGCGGGTCGACGAAGATGGGGGGATGAGGCAACTGCTTGCTGTAATGGAACCCTACCACGGGCCCAGAAAACATTGTCCAACAATGGAAAGCGGCTGGAGCGGGAAGGCATGCCCCGGGGAAGCAGGAAGGTGCTTCCGGCAGCAGAGGATCTCAGTGATGTGCATCCAGAGCCAATTTTTCCGTCCTTGGGGGAGATTAGATTGCTGCATTTCTGGATAAAATGCGCCCCAGGCCCGACCACGTACGCCCACGTACATCCACATGCGTCCACAGACGTCCACCCACGTCCAGTACCTGCTGCTTGCCCGTCGTAACAGGCCATGGCGGCGGCCACAAGGTCACGGCAGGCACAGAAAATTTTATGACGCGTCTGCAGCTTGACTCATCTTCCCTGCATTCGAAAAATATGCCCTCTCTCGTGCTCCTCTACTCTCCGTCGCCTCGGCCTTCTTGCCTTCAATGGAGGCTGTCGCAGGTTACAGGGTTTGGTGGTGTCCCCCCTCCGCAAACTCGACGGTACCCGTGGACACGGAAACAGAGTCCCTTTCGAAGCGGCCTGTGTGTCTTTGCAATCTTCTTCTTTCCTTGTCACATTTCTTTTCCAGGAGAGACGGCGCGCATCTGTCAGGAGGCTGGCGATCCAACCAGATGTAGCCGTCATAGTGCTAACTCCAGGACTATTCCCTAATGCAAGCCGGCTTTCAACGAATCAACGCCGAAGCCGACCTGGCACGCCCGCGATCTTCCATGCAAGATGATTTGTCTTCGCCGGAAACGAGACGCCGGACTGGGAGGCCGAACGGCACTCGGGACCCAAGCAATTGACGGCCTAGCCTACATTGCTACAACGCCAAAGAGGTGTTAGTAGGCCACTCTCGACAGCAGATCCCGGCTCGGGGGGGTGTGAGCTTACAGCGGTGGCAAGTGTTGACGAGCCAACATCGGCACTCCCCAGGGCGGTTCCGTCTCGTTGGTGCACCCCAAAGATGCCCATCACTTCCTTGGCTTTGCGGAGAACGCAGATGAGGAGCGAATGGCAGCCGCCGCCTCCTCGTCAAGTTGAGTTGGGCGATCTTGTGACCAACCCCGAATGTGGAGAGTTCCCTCAGCTGCAAAAGGACTGGGCAACGTCGAGCCTCGGTGGTTGGTTGGCCTGGCAAATCACAGTGTGATGGTTCGATGATGTTCTCTCTCTTGTCACTTTCATGAGGCCCGAGGTTCCCCCATGCATCCTTCCGAAGCTGGCCTCGTCTTTTATGATCACCTGGATACTCCTCGCTTGCCTCCTCTACTTCATCTTCGAACAAATTGTAACCTGCGAAACTCTCGCCACCTCCACTTCGGCGTTCCACCAGCGGGACTCCCCTCGCCGCGTCTCGGACAAGAGCTGCCGCTTTTCCACCAGAAGTTCTAGACCCGGGGATAGAAGATGTTGAGAGGCTCGGCGTGCCTCTAACCGTGGCCTGGACCCTTGGGAAACCGTCTCGGGTTGGAGGTCCTTGATACAAAGCCTGTACCTGGTGAATACGAGGCCTGGATTTGACTAAGAACCGCCCTGGCACGTCGATACCATGAAAACATCTCTTGGTTGGCTACGGCGGAGGAAGTTCCCTAGTGGCAAAACAGTGTTGGGTGTGTGTGATTCGCCGGGTCCGAGGAGCGGTCCGAAGCGCAACGATCCTCGTGGATATCCTTGGAGAAATAGCCGTCTTCTGCGAGCGCCAACTGGAAAGTGGGCGAAGAATCTAGGTGATGACAGCCATTCTTCCTCTCCGGCGACTTGACACCGTCTCGTGCTTCCAGCCCACCCCTAATTCAAGTAGACGCTGCTAGCGGTTTGCTACAGGGCACTGAAGGGTTGGGGCGCAGTATTTGCAAACCTGCGTCCTTCATCTTCACATTTCTTGTCCCCACGTGCTGTGGAAGTTGTGATAATAAATGTGCCTGAACCCCGCGCGAGATTTCGACCGTTTCGAACTGTCGAAAGAGCAGATAATAAAAGTCTTTTCGCTAATGTCCAACTATGGACTTGGATAGTCGACAGTATCTTTTAGCCTTCGCTCCCAATTTGGAAATGAAGAATGAGAAACCCGCGGCAGGCAATCCCCCGGCCTTGCCCTACCAGATATCTCGAACACCATATAATCTGGGCCGATATCAGTGGAATCAATATCGGGTCTAGCTTCCGAACAGGTTCCGTGCGTGCTTCGTCCCTTGATGAACAGTAGTCGATGCTTGGTATGCTTGTGAGGAAACAGCTGAAATAGGTAGGTAGATCAACAGCATGATTAAATGATTCCCGGCCGAGCAGTTTCAAACCGGCTTTCCGAGTTACTATGTATTATTACCGTCCTCTTTCCGTTGGGGGGGAAGCTTGAGAGTTTCGGTTGCGGTCTTGTGGGGGGTTCATCGACCCCGGACACCGCAATGTCTCATCTTGCGTAAATATCCGGAAGAACCGGGCTAGAACACACGAGGCAAAGAAGCGAAGCCACAATATCGGGCACAAGTTAATAACCGATAGCGCCCAGGTACGCAAAGTAATGAAAAAAAGCATGCGCAATTAGCAGGATGGCACTTCTCGATCCCCCGGCTGCCTCAGCGCAAGATTGGGGGTTTGGGATAGCGACGGCAACATCCGAAGGTACACAGGCACGATAGCCAGCGCTGGCCCGTTAAACGGCCATCAACAAACCTGAGACACAAATAAACAACTGAACAATCGCCTAGGTGTCGAATTAATTTGCCGAAGAGTGGACCGGTGTTGTTGGACTGTTGTTGCAAATTGTTGGATTGTTGTCTGGGCTTTCGGCTCCGAATGCCTAGCTATCACCTTGTCTCACCTTCCGGATTCCATTCTGCAAGACTGTGTTGGGTGCAGAGATGCAGCGGCTTGGAGATGCAGCCCTCTCGGCGCCTTCAACAAGCAACCTGGAACACAAGGCGTGACCTTGAAGGGATCCGCGATCAGATCTGTGCTGCATCACTGCATCACCAACCTCCCCCACCATGCATAAGACGTGCCAAGCTAGGGGGCTGGCGACAAAGTTGGGGTCCAAAAATAAGATCATGATAATGACAAGCAAAGATAAACGGGAAGCACGGAAAAGGAATACTTGTTGATGTTTGCAATCGATGGCCTCAGGGCCCAATGAGCAAATGCTTCGTGTCTTCGTGTTGGATTGATGATGGTCGCGATCATGGGCCATTTACCTAGCTCGCCCGCAATCTATGCAACCATGGCATTGGAAACTGGCGATCATGGTGGACTGATGATTGAGAGGATTTCCCCTCAATCAATGTGGGGATGCTGTTGCCCCGCCTGACCCAGGACCCATGTTTGCCCGTCGATCCCGTCGATGGGGATGGAAATTGGAACGACATCCTGTACAACTCAAGCTTCCATCGTCCCAATTGCTAGCAGAGGACCAGTGAGGATTGCCATTTTGTTGCCATTTTGTCTTCTTTGCTGTGTTCCAGCTTGCCGTCCAAGTTGCATCCTATACACTCGCCGGCAGGAATGAGGCTGAATCTCTGAGTTGTATGTGCTATTTTGCTTGGCGAACAGGGGGGGCCAACGAAAACACCCGGTCTCACCACCGCCGCCGCCATCTCCGCCCCCGCGGCTTATCCGTACAGCATTCCACGACTTCGTTGCTGGGCCAGCCTGACTTCCATCCATTCCTAAACGGCCCAGGAATTCCGTATAAGGGGCCTCGTCCAGAATCCTCATCGTTTCCGCAAGTGATTCGACTCCAGATGACTTGATGCTGGCGCGAGCTGCCCACTCACCGCCTGTGAAACGGCGATAGCGCCGCTGCTGCCCCTCCCCCCGCTCCCGCTCGTCCCGACGAAGACGAAGACGAGGGCGACGACGACGGCGACGGCGACGACGACAGCGACGACGACCACCGTTTTTGTCGCTTGGGGGGGCTCGATTGGCAGACATGGCGTCGGTTCATAATTCGTCGGGGGGAGCTCCCAATAAGCTCACGAAGGCGAGGAGTAAAATGGTAAAGCCTATCCTCAAGAAGCTTTCGCACTCGGAGAAGAACTCTCTAGACCTGGACCGCGGGTGGGAGGACCAACAGACTCACGCATGGCCCGATATCTGGGAGGTTGCTAGCGCTGGCCGCTCTGCTAGGGAAGTCAGTGTTACGTTTGGCGCCGGAGGGGATGGGGGAAGCAGCGGTGGTGTTCGAAAACTCCAGCATGTGCGCTCTGCCAGCGGAACATCTCACATCTCGGTGGCAACCACCGGCAGTGGCCCGAGAGGCGGATCTTTCATTCACCCTTTCCAACAGACTCCTCGAACCTCGACTCCGCCGCTGTCTATGTCGTATGCCAATTCCCTAGCCTCGTTTGATATCCCGCGCGATTACTCGCCGACCATTACGGAGGACGACGACGGGCCTGATTCGGTTTCCTTCTCCCCTCTCACCGGGCCTTCAGTCTCCCATCACCTTCACCACCACAACCACTTCTCTCAGTCGAGTCTGAGGCGCCCCTCTCTTGCGAGCCAGCGCACCTCTTCTCTGACCGACATCACCTCGGCCACAGCTCAGCTTCGAGTGAATACCAGCAGATCGACCACGGGCACATCTCGTCTCGCACATGGGAGCCTTGCTACCTCAAGCTACTCCGACCTGCACCTCAACCACACCCTGAGCAGACTTGATTCCCCCACCAGCAGCCTGAGCGGAGCGGCAACCGGAAACAATACCAAGAGCAACAATAACGATATCACTATCTCCACCACCACCTCGGCTTCGCAAATCGCATCTCCAACTTCATCTTCATCAATCACGCCGATGTCACCTCTACGAAGCTCCCTCGAGGCTGCTGGCTTCCCACGCCTACGCAGCCGGTCTGAGGTTGACACAGTCAGCCGGGCCGAGCACATCCGGGAGGCGCGGCGAAAATTCGAGGAGCGAGAGCGTTCCAAAGAGGAGAAGTACGACCGTGAGCAGGTCAGGAAGCGTGAGCGACGGGATGCCAAGGAGGCCAGTCGGATTGAGCGAGAGGCTGCCCTGCAGCTGAAGAGGATTGGCGGGGTAAGTGGAGTGGGTGGCCAGGCCGGCACTGCTGGTGCTGGTGCTGGTAGAGTTGGTGTTGGGGGTAGTGATGGCGAGATGGACATGCCTCGCCCCCCGGCCTCGCGCAAGAGCACAGGCAAGAGCTTGGCTGCCAGCCTGCACTCAGTCTTAGAACCTACTGGTGGTGGTGGTGGTGGCTCTGCCGGTGCTGGTGGTACCCTCAGTGCAGCGGGATTGTCAAGGCACGACCTCTCGTCTGTCACTGGGTTTGGCCTAGGCCATGCAGGCACCACCACTGCCGGCTCTGCTGGTGGAGGCGGCGGCAAAGCAAGCAGGAAGAATAGCGGTTGTGGGGTTGGGCTGCAGAATTATGCTAATGATGCGGATCCGGAGAAACAGTTAGGGTTTATGAGCTGCAACTATGACAGTGTGCACGTTCAGAATCCCCCCGAGTTCGGGCCGGGCGTTGAGGATGTCCAATTCAACCAGGCGCAGCCTAGGAGGGTGCGCACGGCGAAGAGGAAGACCCAGGGCTATTGGCACGGCTTCATTTTCTGGCTGCGAACGAAGCTGCTCCGGATGGGCGGGAGATGAGGAGCGATACTGGAGGATGGAGGAGAGAGGAGGGCCAGTGGGGGGAACAGCATCGAGGGAACATATCACCTTTCGACGTTGCTTTACAGGCGCAAGCATGCGCACCAAGAGCCCCCTTTCACACCCCTATATTTGGGACAGTGCATCTCATCCTCTTACCGCCATCTTCCTCTCGCACAAGAAACATACCCATCCAGTGGTCTTTGCAAGGCCTGGGACCCACAAGCTGCATAGACACACAAGACACCCGACACCATACAAGATACAAGATACACGATACACGATACGATACGACACGACACACCCCTTCACGACGGAATGATACGGCAGCAGGCCACAAAGCCCCTGGATTGGGCCAGGGGTTGGTTGGCTTTACAAGGCGTTCTTACGGCTTGTGGTTCAGGGCACTATCATGACTACTGCGAGTGTTTTTTCTGGGCATGAGCATTCTTGGCTTCCATGCCTTTCCTTTTTCTTTTCCTTTTCCTCATTTTCCAGCTTCTCTTTCCTTTGACTTTGGAAGGGTACAGGGACAGCTAGGTAACAAGGGCCACTCACTGGGAGGGCAACCATGGAGAAATGGATTTTTCTTTTTTCTTTTTCTTTCCTTTCCTTTTCCCCACTTCATCAGTGGGCATATCCAAGATCTGGACAGATCTGGAGTCTCTGGTTTGCGAGGGTCTGCTTTCAACAGGGACAGGGGTGTTCCTGGTCAGTCGTCCCCTGGAAAGGGCAGGACAGGACAGGGGAGATGCTATTCAGCTACAGGGGAAGTGCAAATGCAAATTCAATGAAGCCAATGACTTTATTTGTGACTTCCCCCCCTTTGAATGAGGGATTGGAGATTCATCCTGATGTTTATGAAAATGTAGGTTGCGTACTCCCCTGCCATGGTGTCCTTTAGCTATCTGTCAAGCAAGTGGGTTTAGCTGGAATATTTCTCAGAGTGAATTAAAACGATCGAGGAAAGACAATTCCTGCCCTCCATCGGTTGGGCAAGGGTTGGCATCTAGATTGCAGTCTCCGTGGTTACAGGCTGTGCCACTGAACGCCACATGGCACGGCCACCATCGGCAATCTCCCAGGCAACTCACAATTGCTCTCATCCCTTTCTGCATATGAGTACGGATTACCTCTCATTTCATGACGGAAGCTTCGGAATTTGCGCCAACGTAAAGCACATCTCTCATTTAAGAATAATCTATCGCTAAAGGGCCTATCTAACCCATTCATTTGCATTACTTTGAGATATAAGTACAGATCCCAAAGCTCGCACGCCCAACGGCTCCATTCTAGACACGTAAAAAACCCCAAACTTATCCGTAGACCCAATCTTGAGTCAAGGCCATCCACACAATCGGCCCGTAATGGCCCCTCCTCGCCGGTTTGCGAATTATCCCGGGCCCAAGGAGGCACCGACCGAAACCTTCGTTTACAAGCCCGACGATGGCCAGAACCCTGTCCTTAGGGGTTGGCCGCTCGTCATCGTATCTGCGCTGTATGTAAACTCAGGACAATATGGCCACTCGTTTACTGACAGAAGGCACCTGGCTACCCCGTTCCCAGGGTCTGCAAGTCAACCTACCTCCAGAAGCTTCTGTGGGAGAACGCGGGATTTGGCAAGCCGAAGGCAATTCCCGGGCTGGACAAGGAACTCCGAAGGTTTGATGTGAGCGCAATCGAGTGCCGGCGTATGTCCCCTATTTCTTGGACTGACATTTGCCCAGCCGGCCGTGATACCACTTGCAGATGGGACGTCACAATCATCTGAGCTTGAGGTTTCGCCAGAACTATTCCAGAGGCAGCCCGAAGATGTAGCTGGCCGCTTCTACTCCGCTGCGGACTACCATGCGCTGTACAAGGCGGGCGAGCTCACTCCCCTCCAGGTGGCCGAGGCTCTGCTGCCCCTGATTCGACGGGATCTGGAAACCCCGTCCAAGTACGCGAATGCCTGGCTGCAGACCAACGTGGACGAGGTCTTGAGCGCGGCTAGAGCCTCCACGGCACGATGGGCGACCGGGAAGCCGCTGGGGCTGCTGGACGGTGTTCCCTTTGGCGTCAAGGACGACATTGACGTCAAGGGCTTCGTCACCACGGCGGGCAGGAAAGTAGATAAGTCTCACCCCGTTTTCAACAGCCCTGCAGATCGGACGGAATGGCCCGTCCAGAAGCTTGAGGAAGCGGGGGCCATCATGATGGGCAAGATGAACATGCATGAGGTTGGAATGGGTAAGAAGATGACTTGCTCCCGGTCATGATTCCTTTGGATATTCTCGCGCTGACCTTGCCATAAGATACCACTGGCTGTAACGTGAGCTGGCTTGCCATCCTCCCCGCCATGATATGATATGAGCTGACAGATGTGTGCAGCCATCGACTGGGACGGCGACAAACTGGTACAACAAATCATATTATCCCGGTGGATCATCCTCTGGAGCGGGATCGGCTCTCGGGGGTGGCATAGTTCCTCTTGCCATCGGCACAGACGCTGGTACGCTCCAGAAGAGAAACCCCCAAAGAGCCTAAGCCGGAGAGGCTGACTGATTCTTGAATAGGTGGCAGCATCCGTATCCCAACATCGTTCAACGGCGTCTACGGACTCAAAGTCACGTTTAACAGGACGGGCACGAGAAATTCTACCATGTGTGTCGTCGGGCCCATGTCGGCGACGGTGGACGACCTTACCGTCGCATACAGGCTCATGGCCCAACCAAACCCAGAAGACCCCGTCCAGTCGCTTTTCGCGCCATCCTTGTTGCCCGACCCATCGGCAAAGAAGTACATAGGAGTCCACAGGGAATGGCTCAACCGATCGAGCCCCGACGTGCTCGAGACGGTCCAGAAAGCCATCGACTACCTCTGCTCACAGCGCGGCTACGAAACGGTCGACATCCAGCTCCCTTACCTAGAAGAGGGGCAGCTCGCCCACGTGGCGACGTGCCTGACCGAGGGCGCCGACGACGCCAAGACGTGGTCCACGGGCGGGGCGTCTTCGACGAAGAACGGCATGTCGCTTCTCAACTCGCCCAACCGGATGGTGCTGGCGATCGGGTCGCACAGCCACGCGACCGACTACCTCAAGTACGCGCAGCTGCGGCAGGTGGTGATGCGGCACATGGCGGCCCTCTTCGAGCGGCACCCGGGCCTCATGATGGTGACGCCGACGGCGCCGCTGGCCGGCTGGCCCGTCCACCCGGGCGACCAGGCGTACGGCGTCAGCGACGGCAACACGTCGGTGCTCAACATGACGTACTGCTGGTTCGCCAACACCACGGGCCTCCCCGCCGTGACGTGCCCGGCCGGCTACGTCGCCGCCGCCCAGGGCGAGGGGAGCCTGCCCGTCGGCATCATGGCCGTCGGCGAGTGGGGCGCCGAGGAGCAGCTGCTGGGCTTTGCGCGGGAGGCGGAGGCGTACCTGGGCCAGGCCTACCCCGGCGGCAGGCTGCGGCCGGCCGAGTGGGCCGACGTCGTCGGGCTCGCTAAGGAGAAGGTGCAGGGAGCCGCGGCTGGGGACTGAAAGCAGGGCGAGATATTGCTATGTAATTGTACTGTTACGATACGAAAAGGTAGTTCTGTTCTAGTATTTGCGTATCCGGGGTACAGTGTGTTTTGTACATTTGAGTAATTGGCACTGTACGCATAGTGCCATTACATTCGCTAGGTTGCAGTTGGCGGATCTGACCATCTACGCAACTTTTAACTTCAGCGTTCTTCGCGGCGCCCTCAACTGAACAATGGGCTACGATTGGAGTGGGCATGAGCAAATTTGCCACCGCCTGTACGTTGAAGAGAAGAAGTCGCTGGATGAAATCGCCGAGTATTTGAGGTTGCATCACAACTTCACGCCCAGGTGAGTTCGCGTGCTGTGGTCGGTTCACCACTCCGTCTCCGATCAGCCGTAACAATGGATACCACTTTTCGACTCCGGCCGACCATTGAGCCCTCTTCCTCCTGACGATTCCCCGTCTCCTTTTGACAACCTCGAGAGCTGACATGGCACTCCCCACACCAGCAAACGCGCCCTGCTGAGCCACTTCCGAAAATGGGAGTTCCCCTCCAAGCAGAACCCGGCGTACAAGAACGCGGCGCTGGTGGACCGGATCCGGGAGCTATGGGAGCAGAACGTGGTGCAGAAGGAGATGCTGCGCATGCTCCAGGATGAGGGCTTCGAGGTCTCCATGCGCGAGCTGTCGCGCGTCCGCACAAAGAACCGCTGGCTCCTGCGCGAGCCTACCGAGGCGCGCAAGAGGAAGATCATGCCGGGCCGCAGGCAATCGACTGTCGACCGGACCGAATCCGACGAAGAGGATGCCGACTCCGACGCCTCCGACGAAGATGATGGCGCGGGCGACGGGGCTGGCGCGGGCATCGTCGGGGCCGCGGAGGACGAGCTCGACCCGGTCCAGCTGGAGAGGAGGGAGCAGCGGAGACGGGAACTGGCGATCGAGTCGGCGGAGAAGTGGGCGGCCAAGAAGAGGCGGCGGAGGACCCGCGACTGGGCCGGACTGCCTGCCGATCCGCCGGGCCCGCCGCGCTTCCCGTCGGAAACGACGCTCGAGGAGAGCAAGGCCATCTTGGAACTCGACGCCGAGCGCTACAGGTACTTCCGGGAGAGGTTCCAAAAGATATGCGAGGACGCCGGGGTGATCAAGAAGACGCTTGCGGGACCCGAGAAGTGGGAGGCAGCCAAGGAGCAGCTGGTGCGGGAGATGGCGCACCTGCGGTCGCTGCTGTGGGACAAGGAGGGCCTGGAGTCCAAGCGGCTCGCGATAGACGTCATCTGCTGCGACGTGACGAAGCGGATGCGCACGGCCGGGAAGCAGATGACGCTCGCGGCGGCCAAGAACATGCTCGGCATGAACCCCGAGGAGGCGCGGGAGACGCGGTTCGCCTTCTACCGGATCCTGGCCGCCGACAAGTTCGCCGGCAAGCTGGAGTCGGGCGAGGAGCGCTGGAACGAGCTGAAGCAGAAGTGGCTCGACGAGTCGGCGCTGCTCCAGAGGATCCTCGCGTCCCAGGATGAGGAGCCGAGCCGCGCGGACAGAACTAGGGCTATCGACATGCTTGCGCGCGACGTCAGGAAAAGGTACAAGGATGACATAACCAAGGGCAGGGAGAAGAAGCTACCACCGGCGACGGACACGGGGACTGGGCAGTCGGTGGGCACCCCGTCGAGCGACCAGAGCCCCGGCGCCCGCAGGAGGGGTCGAGTCCAGGAAGTTTCTTCGCACAGCCAAGCTCGCCTCCTCCCAGCGGGAGTCATGCCCGGCCAACCGGATCTGTCCTCCATCGATCCCAACCTGGGATCGTCAATGCTCATGGCCCCGGATGGACAGGCGGGCTATGCCGTAGGCCAGCAGTTCGTGCCGCAGTACCCGCCAGCGCAGGCGTCGCAGGTGTACCACCCGGCCGGGCCGCCGACGGGGCCCACCACCAGGTTCGCCATCTACTTCCGGCTGCACCCGACGTCGACTGTCGTGGCGGTGCCGCCGATGTGGATATCGATGTTGGGGTCCCGGTCGGTCGAGGAGCTGCGGAGCGCGGCGGTGGCCAAGTTTCCCGGGGCGGTGTGCCTCGCGGTGGAGGGCCTGGTCAAGGACGGCAAGGGCGGCGAGGTGCCGCTGCAGATCCGGGGGGACGCCGAGCTGGAGGCCTACCTCGACCACGTGCAGAGCATGCAGGGGGGTGCGCCGTCCTTCAGCGTGCACCTTGTGCGCGGGTGGAATACTAGCTAGGGGCTTCCCCTGGTGTCTTATTCAGTGCATTGCTGCTCGCAATTCGTGCGTGGTCTGCAGTCATAATACCACGTAATAGTCATATCCACGTTGTGGCTAGAACAGCATTTGTAGAAACTAATGCCATCAAGTTCACCTGCCAATTTCATCGTGGATGGCCTCCATGCCTTTCATTTTAGAGATCTTCGGGATACGTTCCGAGACGGGAGTTATGACGGAGCTCCCGACGGCCGATGGCCAATGCGGGGACACACTCAGCAACTCATCCCAGTCAAAAATTCTTGGACCCCAACCTGCACGCATCACGCAATAAGCTCCGTTCAAGCAGCAGCACTTCGCATCTAGCAGACACGGCTGCGCAGGATGTCATAACCTCGCTTTCTGCCATCAATCATCTTGGTCCTGTTCAATTGGCCCCCTCACACATACCCAATGCAAGATGTCGACGCTCACAAATAGGACCTCGAGACACCTGCTCCGCAGCTTGCGGGCACCAGCTCCCGCGGCTGCGCACCAGGCGAGATGCGTCTTCGCTGCGGGCAGAGCTGCCAGGCACCTGTCGACGGATAAGAGGAGCGGGCCGAGTTTCAAGGGCCAGATGATGGAGAGCATCACCGCCCGCATGGACCGGGAGAAGGCCGAGCGCGAGAAGTCCGCCCTAGAAAGGGCCGAATCAGCCTCGTCGAGGAACTTTGCCTTCACGTTCAGTACGGAAGATCTCCTCTCCTGACCCTTGCCCCCCCTACCCCCTGCATATATCTCCGTTGCTGACTCTTTTCCCCGCTTCCTCCAGTGCTGATCTTCACCGCCGCTAGCTGCTGGTACATGGGCATGAAGTATCCCCGAGACCCGGACCCGGCCTCGACTCTCCCACTCAACGCGACGCGGCCGCCGAAGCACAAGACGGGCAAGGCGGAGCTCGAGGCCGCGTGGGCCGATTTTGTGGAGATTGTGGGCCAGGACAACGTCAGCACCAAGGACACGGACCTCGACCACCACTCGACGTCGACGTGGTCGTCGCACCAGGCGGCCGACCCCTCGGACCCGGCGGCCCGGCCGTTCTGCATCGTCTACCCGGCCTCGACGGAGGAGGTGTCGGCCATCATGAAGGTGTGCCACACGCGGCGCATCCCCGTGGTGGGCTTCAGCGGCGGCACGAGCCTCGAGGGCCACTTCGCGCCGACGCGGGGCGGCATCTGCGTCGACTTTGGGCGCATGAACAAGATCCTGACGCTGCACGCCGAGGACCTCGACGTCGTGGTCCAGCCCGCCGTCGGGTGGGAGGCGCTCAACGACCACCTGGCCCGCGACAACCTCTTCTTCCCGCCGGACCCGGGCCCGGGCGCCATGATCGGCGGCATGATCGGCACGGGCTGCAGCGGCACCAACGCGTACCGCTACGGCACCATGCGCGACTGGGTGCTCAGCCTGACGGTCGTCCTGGCCGACGGCACCGTCATCAAGACGCGGCAGCGCCCGCGCAAGAGCTCCGCAGGATACGACCTGACGCGCCTCTTCGTCGGCAGCGAGGGCACCCTCGGCCTCGTCACCGAGGCGACCCTCAAGGTCGCCGTGCGCCCCCGCGCCACCTCGGTCGCCGTCTGCGCCTTCCCGACCATCCGCGGTGCCGCCGACTGCGTGGCCCGCGTCGTCGCGTCCGGGGTCCCCGTCGCGGCCGTCGAGATCCTCGACGCCGACCAGATGAGCTTCATCAACGCCGCGGGCGCCACGGCCCGCGCGTGGCGCGAGGCTCCCACGCTGTTCTTCAAGTTCAGCGGCACTGAGCGCGGCGTCCGCGAGCAGGTCGCCGACGTGGAGAGGCTGGCGCGCGCGGCCGGCGGCGGCGGGTTCGAGTTCGCAAAGGGCACCGAGGAGCAGGACGAGCTCTGGAGCGCCCGAAAGGAGGCCCTCTGGAGCACCATGGCCGCCGGCCGGCCCGGGGACCGCGTCTGGACCGGGGATGTCGCCGTGCCTATTTCGAGGCTGCCTGATATCATTGAGGAGACTAAGCTTGACCTTGGGAGGTCGGGGCTCGCGAACTCGATCGTCGGGCATGTGGGTGACGGGAATTTCCATAGTGAGGGCATCCCCCCCCGGTTTCCGTAGCTTGCAAAGCGGTTTGTCCACGTGAAATGTTTTTGGAACTGACAAGAGCCTTAGTAATACTCCTCTACAACAACGCGGAGAGGAAGCTGGCCGAGGAGTGCGTCCACCGGATGGTAAAGCGGGCGATCGAGCTGGAGGGCACAGTCACGGTAAGCGGGCTTCCATCCCCCCTAGAACCCCTTTCGTTTTTAGGCGTCCGGCGAGTTAAATACTGATCCTTCCCAAACTAGGGCGAGCACGGCGTCGGCCTCGTCAAGAGGGACTACCTGCCGCACGAGCTCGGGGAAAGCACGGTAGATGCTATGAGAAAGGTGAGCGCGATGCGCAGTTTCTTCGTTCCCCTTCCCTGTTCTCCTTGCTAACGTTGTTCCGGGGACAGCTCAAGCAGGCCTTCGATCCTCTGTGTCTGCTGAACTGCGACAAGGTCGTCCGGGTACAGAAGCCCAAGGCTGGAGAGGTGGCCGAGTGGTAGCGGTAGCCGTAGCGTCTGGCTGGGGAGCCTTGGCCCTTGTTTTGATACCCCCGAGTCCGCTCGCTGCACACGGAGTGCAACTACCGGCCCGTCTTGTCTTTGCCAATTGGGCTAGCTTGCCGTGGGATGGGATGCGCGGCGTCACTGCCGGGAGGTGGAGAGAATTGTAACACTTAAGAACTAGGGCGGCTGGAGGTATATGAAGGGAAAAGGGGGCATCTATTCGTACTCTAGGCTCTATCTACTATTTCTACAACAGGTTGCATTGTTACATTGCAGCCCTTCTATCCAAATCCTACAGTTTGGCAACACCGTCTTCACACCGCTGGTGTTGCAACAACCTCTTCACACCTCCCGCAGAGTTCATCCTCCTTCGGCGCAACATAGCGCCAACACCGGGGACACTTTGCGTGCCTAGGAGGCAGCACCCACGCCAGACACTGCGACCCGCGGGCCTCGAACGCCTCGGAAAACCCCCAGTCGCTCTCGGGCACGGCGCCGTTCAGCTCCACGGACGAGACCACGAACATGGCCTCCAGCTCGTCGGCCAGCGCCGCGAGGCTGAAGAGGGCGGCGCTGCCGTCTGGGACCTCGAGGATGACGGAGCACTGCAGCGACGAGCCGAGGACCTTCTCCGCGCGGGCGCGCTCCGACGCCGCCTTGATGGCGGCGTGCGCGGACATGAGCACGGGCACGGCTTCGCGGAGCTGGGACTCGCTGTGCTGCGTCAGGCGGGTGCTGTCGATGGTGGGGGAGGAGTAGAGCTGCTGGAGTGGGTGGGAGATGGATCTGTTCACACATGGTTAGTCCCTAATCTTGAATGGAGGGGGTGGGTGAGGAGCCTGATCAACTTACGGGTCGTCCTTCAACCACGATGGCGCATGGTCCCACGCCTCCTCAACCAGGAGCGGAGTGATCGGGCCCAGCATCCTCAAGAAACCAAAGAAGATGGGCTCTAGCACTCCCCCGCCGTCGGCACAGTATAGGCGGTCCTTCAGCGCCTCCAGGTAGAAAGCCGATAGGTCATTCGTGACCCAGCGGTTCAGCGCGCTGAATGCCTTGTGGAACTCAAAGTTCTCGTACAGCCTACCCACTTCCTCCATCACGTCCCTCAGCTGGATGATGGCAATGTGGTCGAGTGCAGTCAGGGGAGCAGTTCGTGCTGAATGGTGCATCGATCCGAGCAACATCTTGATGATGGTCCGATACTTGAGGAGAGACTGGTGAGTCGCTTTCAGCACAGATTCACCAATAATTACGTCGCCCGCATAGTCGCTGCTGGCCGCCCAGAGCCGCAGGGCGTCTGGACCGAGGGCATCTCTGACGAGAGGAGGAGTGTTCCCGCCCTTCTTTTTCATTTTCAGGGGGGCCAGTAAGGATCCATCCATGACTTGATCCCCGGAGATGATATTGCCGAGGGACTTTGACATCTTCTTGCCGTGTTGGTCCAGGGTGAAGCCGTGGGTGATGAGCGTTCTGAACGGAGCAAGACCGACTTGAGTTGCATTTGGGCGAGGATTGCCAGCAGCCAATACCGCAACCCTCGTCAGGAGACTAGACTGAAACCAGCCTCGATGCTGATCTGACCCTTCGAGGTAAAGGTCAGCCTGACTCCCAGTCTGGGTCCAGCTGCTGCCACTGTCGAACCAGACGTCCATGGTATCCGTGCCTCGCGTATAGCCCCCTTCTTTGCCAAGAGACGGGGGTATCCAAGCCGGGTCGGCTGCATCATCAGACCACCACGCGTCTGTCCCCCTCGCTTGGATAACAGAAATGATGTGCCCAATGGTCTCGTCGTTCATCACTGCGTCCCCGTTTGCGTCATAGAGCGCCGGTATGGGCACTCCCCAGGCCCGCTGCCTCGAGATGCACCATTCACTCCGGCCCTTGATGAATGCCTCCAGCCTCTTCCTCCCGCTTTCGGGGACGAAACGCACATCGCCAAGCGCTTTGAGAGCGGAATCCTTGATCGTAGCCACATCAGCAAACCACTGCGCCGTTGCCCTCATGATTATAGGCTGCTTTGTCCTCCAGTCGTACGGATACTTGTGTTTGTACTTATTCACCGCGAGGACGTCATCACCCAGCAGACCCAAGACGGCATTGCTACCGCCTTTCAAGACGGAAGCGCCCTTCAGGCGCTCGGGATCATCGGGATAGGCCTCCTCTGTAAACAAGCCATCACTGTCTACGGGCGCAGAAACGGGGATCCCTAGAGGCGTACAGAGTTCGTAATCATCGAACCCGTGCCCTGGCGCGCAGTGGACGAGGCCACTACCCGACTCTGCCGAGACGAAAGACCCGTGAAGAATCGGCTGTGGCGAGGCCTCCTTGCCTTGGAGGGGGTTGATATACCGAAGTGATCTGATCTGGTCGCCTTTGACGACACGGAGGATATCCCAGTCCCTCGCGTCAAAGCAGGCCTGACGGACGGACTCGAGGCAGGTGTTCGCGATGATCATGGCTTCCTTTCCGACACGCACAATGGAATAGTCAAGCTCGTCGTGGACCGCAATAGCCCTGTTTGCGGGAAGCGTCCATGGAGTTGTTGTCCAGATGACGGCGTACAAGTTGCCAGCGAAGTCCCCCAGTGCTAGGTCACTACGCCAGTCTCCCGTGATGCGAAACCTGATGTACGCACTCGTGGAGATGTGGTTCTCGTTGTACTCGAGTTCTGCCTCCGCCAGGGCGGTCCCCGAGGAGGGGGACCAGTAGACCGGCTTATATCTCCGGTAGACCAGGCCTCGACGCACCATCTGCTGGAACAGCTGGAGCTGCTTGATCTCGTAGGACATGTCCATGGTGGTCCACCTGCGGTCCCATTCGCCCATGACGCCGTATGACCGGAAGTCCTTCATCTGCTCCAGCACCGTCTTGGACGCAAGCGCGCGAGCAGTCTCCCGGATTTGCACGGGGGTCAGGTGCTTGCCCCCGGAAGCTCCCAGAGCTTTGAGCTCGATTGGGAGGCCATGACAGTCCCATCCCGGAATGTATGTTACTCGCCGACCTAGATTTTGAAGATTGAAACTCAGCATTGTGCCCCGAATGCCCATGGTCATGTTTGCCCACCTTGCTGGACCTTCACCCTGAGGATAATGTCCTTGAGGATCTTGTTCAGCGCATGCCCGGTATGCAGCGTCCCGTTCGCGTATGGAGGTCCATCGTGGAGTGTGAACGAGCTGACGGCAGGCCTATTCTCGGCCTGCCACTTGTAGAAGTCGTCAGAGCATCTTCGAATGTGCTGCTCCCGCTGTTGAGGAAGTGGTCGCGGCCTGGATCACCCAACCATTAGCGCCCTGTTGTCGCCGGCCTAATTGGCAGTATATACGGCGTGGGCAAAGGCATTTAGCTTACGGGAGTGTAGATTTGGGCAATCTCAATGTCGATGCCCAACTTTTCGACATGATCTCCAACGCAGCATAGTGGACTGGGAGCTTGGATGTTGGACTTCGCCTGGTTTATGTGACGGGATAAAAATGGATCGTCGCCAGGCTGAAAGCCGCTTCTGCAAGGCTGACAGTCGACGACCCCACATCCCTGCAGTTGTGACGGAGCTGTCATCGACCTTTTCTAACCTCCTGGATCTGTTCAAGGTTTAACCATTCGACATTCCAAAGTACTGAATCTTTGGTATGCAATAGTGAACTCTCTGTTATGCTCCGTATTTGACCTTCCGGTTGCCGCATTGCCATGGCGCCAATCCGCCGCTACCTGAGGATAACCAAGTACTCGGTTCTCGAGTGCCGCATCTACCTCGACAACCCGGCGCTGGCGCAGTCTTGGCTTCTGAACCCAAGGGATCCTGTGCTGCCCAGGGTCATCGACACAGTCCGCCCGCTCGTCCTGCCAAAGCTACGGGAGGAGAAGGAGCGCGAACGTAGCAGGAAGAAGGGGGCCAAAAAGAGAAACATCAAAGACGTGGTCACGGCGGGTGCGTAATCTCTCTCCACGCCGGGCTAGCTTTCTACGGCCAGGTCTTACGAATGGCTACTCTATGTCGCCCTACGAATGCCTGTTCGAATGTCGCAGTCTCTTGCTGGGCCGAACTGATTTGAGGGATAAATACCAGATGACTTCGAGGTGTCCATATTCCTGACAGAGACGAATACCCGACACTCGTTGCTGTATAAGCACAAGCATTTCAGGGACAAGACACAGACAAAACTGACTTCCAACTCGACCAAGCTTACCGGCGCATCCAGCGAGGCGCCAATCGATGTCGACGGCGGTTTCCCAGTAGCCAGCGACGAGACGCCGGCGCTGCGCCGCGAGGAGAGCGATGACAACGATGCCATCATCCTGGACGACATCCCTGCGATAAGCGAACCGGAAATAGAAACAGACCTAGGCAGCGCCAATCGGCCATCAAAAAGACGGCGGCGAGGGCAGCCAGCGGACGACGGGGGCGGTGAAGGTTCAGACAATGGTGGTCTCGAAGTAATCGAATCTGACCTATCGGCAGATGGGTCAGACGACGATGGCGCGGGCAGTGCTGGCAGTGACAGCGAGTCCTGGACGGACGACCAGCCGCCATCAAAGCGGCGCAAAGAGGGCGAGGTTGGTCGCGACAGTGCGGCGCGCGACGATAAGAAGAAACTAGCCATGGATATCTCATACGAGGGGTTTGCCATCTACGGCCGCGTGCTGTGTCTGGTGGTGAAGCGCCGGGGTACTGGCGGCGGCGGTAGTGGCAGCGGAGGCAGGGGCGGGACGTCTGTTTCGTCCCTGGCCAATAAATCCCAGACAGGCCCGCCAGCCGGTCAGGCCATGATGGAGAATTGGATCACGTCGACGCAGATGCCTACTGCCGCCGAGGGCGACGAACTAGAGAGGCGTGATATTGGCGGTCTGAGTGCCAAAAGCCGCGGTTAGCTAACGAGGTATCCGTGCTTCTCGGAATAGTGGATATTTGCAAGCCATCATCGTACGACCAACGCAATACGAGCGGTGGCCCTGAGCTGAGAGCGACCAGTGAACCTCCCTTCGTGCGGCACTACGAAGTACGAGCATATGAGGCTGAGGCTGCTTCAACACGCCATGCGTGACTGGTTTGATACGGGCTCACGCGTCACGAGATGAGGCAACGTTAAGCGGGCCGCGCAATGAAACGTTGGGACATACATATCCCCCGAACTAATTATTGAGCTCCCGGGTTGCTCCCGTTCCCGAGCAAGCCGCGGGCTAGTGAGAGAGTGAGTCGAGGACTCGAGGGGCTTGAGAAATGGTGGATATCACCACCGCCGATCTTGAAACCAAACAAGCACTGTTAACCGAATCACTTTTGCCAATGTCCTGGAGGTCTGTGTGCCCACCGTCAAGTGAAACATGGTGCCTGATAGTCGCAGCCACCCTCGTCAGTGTCGCGGTGTGTGCGTCGCCGATCAGTTGATCGCAGCCAGGCTCTACCTGCAGTGCGGGAATCCGATCGTCCGGGCCCTCATTCCAACAATTCCAACTTACATCAGGCCAACAGTGATCACACCCTGGAACCGTCCACCGCCCTGTAAATCGCCGAGAGGTGCGACAGGCGCCTAGCCAATCGCTCTTGAAATATCGTATATCGCAGAGACTATGGCATCATAATGACGAGTGCACACAAGTCGTCTCGAGGTGGTGGGTGCATGATAGCACCCAGTGCCGAGCCCGAGACGGCCGTTGGTGTTCTTGCTTGACCAAGATAGAACTTGGCTCCCCACATATTGTACCGAGACATTGAGACTTTGACAGCCGCTCCATCCGTATTGGCAATCAATTCACCCCGCAGACTCAGCGTGGGGGGGCGTCCACTTGCGATGACCTGCGGCGATCAGGCCAGCAGATGTCCGATATGTTGGACTCCCCTCTTGCAGCGGGTAATACAGCACAAGGATCGCGATGAGAACAAAACAAACACCATCTCAAATCCGGCCCATCACAATAATAGATCTTCGTACGTGCGACGGATCAACACACTAATCGCCCACCACCATCTCCGGTGTTGGAAACCAAATGTCTTCCCCCACACACCCTCGACACCCACCCATGCCACCCAATGCTACGGTGGGTAGAGTTCCTCTTTTTTTGTCCCACCGTTTCCCCTGTTAGTGGCTTGGGATTCAGCAGGACTGGGTTGTTAGCTCCCTTGCGCTCCGCTTGGCTGAATGGTGGATTAATAATCCGAGACTTACACACACGCACACAAAAAGAAGCAAGCAATGGCGAAATTAAACGAGGATCTGCCGCGCTTTGCGATTTATTTTGACCTTCGGATTATAGAGGGACGCCAACGCGGTATGCGACCGCTGCGGGCCATCAGGGCGCAAGGGCGTTCGAAAATAGGCCCGGTTCATGTGGGTTTCCACCTGTAATATTAGTTCTTAGTTGCTGCCGTCTAGCTGACTCGGGAACGCGGCGTTCACATAACTTCGAAGACCGAAGCTTTTTGATCTTTCGCCACCTCCTTTTTGTCCCTGCAGTAGCTCGTTTCCAAAGAATGTAAAACATGCTTGATGCCGAGGCGGAGGCGAACTCTGTCACGTTTGATCTAAAACCATTTGCCCGCGCCCCGCCACTGCCGGTACGGGCGGAGGTCCGTGTGTTCAGGGGGGCTGGTGCCAGCCACTCGATGGCCACGTGGAAACAAGGGGGGGTCTGTGGATCGCTACGGCGTAAGGCTGCATCAGCCGACCTATTGGTCTGTGCAAAATCGGGTCCGCTTATTGGCCAAGACCCGATAATTCAGATGGGATGCGACGGGAGTGGCTAAAACCTTCCACCTGCCCGGATTTCCCGAACTGGGAATTGGCGGTGAGCAGAGTTGGAAAGGGGGTGGGTGTTCATTTCTTTGACAAGTCAATCCGGCTATCTTGAGAAGATTTTTTTTCGGTTTGCTTAAGTCCTAACCTCTTGTCGCAATACATCCGTCGCACTTGGATCCTGCCCTGCCGGTCCTGACATGCATGGGTTGCGGCATGCTCTTAGCGAATGCCTCTAAATAACTCTTGCGGCAGCGATGGTTCGCGGATTGGCTGAGAGGGACGGACTGATTGTCCCGACAGATCCTTAAGACTGTGAAGCTTGCATGATGTGGTGCAGGCTGCAGACTGCAGGTATGTCAATCAATACCATGGAACCCGACGTTATCAAAGGCAAGTATGATGGCGTGCTCCGGGAAAATCCACCGCACAGATAGTCGAAACCCATCAGCAGGTGATACGGTCATCGGCGATTCTTGTCCGGGGGAGGGGTCAAATGTAGGCTATAAGTCATCCTCTTAACTCCCTATCTCCACGTGGATGGCAGGCCAAGCAACTACTCGTGCGCATTACACGCGAGACACGTATGCCTCTGCGGGGAGAGGTATCGGGCGTTGGATATTCGGGGGCTAGGATGCTGCCCCCCAAGTTTAGAGATCAGATGACCGAGCAGATTGGAGTTAGTGGATTGATTCCCGGCCCGATCGGCACGCAAGGATGCTCTTTGAGCTGCCACTTGCTTGCAACTGGGACCTCGGAGATGAGCAAGTGAGGTGCAAGCCAAGGTGAAGATACAAAAACAGAAGAATATACAAAGAGTAATACGCGCGTGGGATAAAGAGAAAAGCGAGGTATGCATACTTTGTGTTGAACCCCTGCAGATAACGAATGTTTCCGTTTCAGGTGTGTTGACATTTTAACGGATGGTGCAATCTAAGCTGGGGGCCTGGGCGGTCGCTGGCCGGGTCAGCGGCAGGAGAGCCGAAAAGGTGAAAGCAAACGGCCAAATACCGGACGTGATGAAAGTCAAAGGTACGAACGTGATTACACCGACCTTGAAACCCACGGCTTGCGCAGCCCTTCCTTCGAAGTAAGCGCTGTGAATGTGCGCTCTCAAAGAGACTCTGCGTCGCCGGCTTGGGAAAATACAAAAAATGCCAAAAACAGATTTGATAGCCGCCGACGCCTGCTATAAGAGTGCTCTTTTTGGCTCCTTTTTGGGAGGGCTCCGTCATTATGTCAGGGGTGATATTGCAGGAGCCTTAGCACAGACAGAAATACACTGCAGTAAGGCGCCAGCAACAGCAGTGACTTGAGCTCGGCAAATGTGTACATGGATATTTCTCTCCTTGACAATCAAAGGTATTGTGATACTTTGATAGCTGACCTTGTCACCGAGGCTGATATGCATCATCATTACGGCGCAGGCTCACCACTTCGCTCCCTCCTTCAGCCTCAGGCGACTAGTGTTGGCCAAGGTAGCACAACGAATGCCAACTCATCGAGCAGCCTGAGGATGAGTCATTGGCTCATTAAACTTGTACATCAAATTCCTGGTGGATCGACACAGGCTTCACCGTAATTCCCCAGAAATCATTGTGATCATGAGTTCCTAATGCAATCTGCCAAGTGTGCCAAGCCCCTGGGCAGTATTTTTTTCGTTTCTTTTTTTCTGAACAAGTGTTGGGGAGATTTTTCCCGGCCGAGGCTGGCCCAGCTGAGATGAGATTACACCGATCACAAAATAGGCAGTGCCTGTATGTACCTACCTAGCCCCTGTCTTCTCACTCAGCCCGGGCGACAAAGGAGATCGTGGAGACCGAGGATCAAAAAACAAATCATCCCAAGTGCGGAGTGTATGTGTTTAGAGACCATACTGTCATACGCACACATGTACGGAGGTACACTACGCAGTACAGTCATTGCAAGGATACAACATATGTGCTCCTAATAATGCCTGCTTACGTTGTATACCTGGGAGCTAGGGGTAATATTTATATGTACCAATCTAGATTCGTGATGCTCAGCAACACGTGTCTGGCGAAGGGTTACAGTGGGGGAGGGCAGCTGACCAAACCTCGCGGGAACAATGGCCTACTCTCGGTAAGGTGGGTACCTATTGTGCGGAGTGACCGGACGAAGAAGCACCATCTCCAGAGGCGCTCCAGGAAGGCTTCCTTGCCGAAGAATCAGGTCTCCATTCTCGGAATCTCTTTTCTGACTCAACTCGAATTTTTGTTGGCGCCTTGATTTGTTGAATGGGCAAATTAGAAGCCCCTAAAATGTGAGAATTTTTACTGGAGATTTGCTGTGGAGCACCATGGAAGCTTTCAACTTCCACGAGGCTTCTATGCAGGTTGCCGACACAGCTAATCCACAATCACACATTACACTGCACCCTGAGTCTGGGGTCACCCCGGCGGCAAGACAGGAGGGCGAATCGCCGTGTAAGAGAAGTCGCCCAGAGCCTCCTTCACACAAAACGGCTGGGCAGACTGCTGTTTCGAGCAGCGAGCAACCTGCTGCTGCTGGGGTGAGCTGAGAACCGGCGATCGCTCTCCCAAAGCACATTCTTTTCCGAGTAGCCGACCACGTTGCAAACGACTTCGGAATTCAGCTTGTTTGTCAAATTGGCGGACAGGGGGAGCGAGTTCTACTTCCGGTTAGTTATGACAGGGTTTATCGCACTTATGCTTGTTTCAATTTACCGCCCAGGCCAAGAGTGCGTCACCGCTTCTCTTCACGGGGTTTCCTTTATTTTAGTAACTGCCTCGCTGGCATTGCCTTGCAAGGGTACATGCCCACTTATTTGAGGTACAAACCAGACGTGCCGAGGAATTGTATCAAGACTTCACAGCAAAACCGGTTGCAGCCCCTGTAAGTGACTCTCCCGTTGGCGCCTCGTAAATACCTTCAGTGCCGGCTTCCTACATATAAGGCTGCCGTCTCCCTTCCCTCCCCCCCGTCTCCTCGCTTCACACCTCGAACCATATCTGGACCAAAAGAAATCCCATCAGGCCACCAAACAAACAAGCACAAGTACCGCCCATATATATCGCCTACATATATCCCTATCTTTCCTCCAGCCTGTGTCTGTCTACTCTCGCACAAGCCTGCACACTTCAGACCCATCAGAGCGCCTCGACCCTCTCATAACTATCCAACAACCCCGACAACTGTCGATTTGCATATCTACACACAATGCCTTCTCAACGACCTTCACAGCTCCCTCCCTGCCCCGGACCTCCACCAAGTCGGCCACTTCCTCCTCTGCCTAGTCGAGGCTAGACGGAGTTTGAGGAGTGAAAACACACCTTGACCACTCGTCCACCTACCGCCCCGTCCTTGGTTTCCAGATACGTCTCCGGACTTACTGCCACTGCACGGCAGACGGCGGCATAAGCATGCCTGCCCACATCCACTCGTGCGCCCCGACACCGCGAACTCCGGCTAGTTCGCGGTCGTACCAGTGTGTTTGTCGCCAGTCTGAGTCGCACCCAGGCGCATGTGCGCGCAATCGCAAGCACTTCGACCATGCAATCCTCGCCGCATCGAGAAGCGACCTATCGACCCCTCGTATCCTGATCACCGCCTTTCGTAGCTGGTTGGCTCAGGGTTCGATAGTCACTCCCACCCAGTTCCACGACAGCCCTCCAGTACGACCCAAGGCGACTTTTGCAGAGCTCCGCCAGTTGATTGCCCGCGTTCTGTTCCTATCTACGCCTGCGCCTTCGGTCCGTCGGAGCGGAAACTGCCTCTGAAGGAACGCCCCCCCTTTTTCTTGCCTACTACATCTTCAATTCGATCAACACGGCGCATCTGGACCGCCTTCGACCTGTACTACCACCCCCTCCAACATACGAGCATTTTAATCGACGGACATTTACCTGCTTTTTGAGCGATGATACAAGAGACGCGAATGGTTACGAGCATTTCAACGGGATATTTGCGGGTTTAACGGGGGGTTTTTTTTTTCAGTCGACAACTAGAACATCACGGGGACGGCGCCGTCACAGACATGGGCTATCACCCTCTCTGATACCCATATGGAAGCAGGATCATGATTTTGGGGCTACTTTGTTTTGAATTTAGGTGGGGGGTTGAGCAGTCGGCAGGGACGAGAAGAAGATAGTAGCTCACAGCTACCTCTCTACAAATCACCTCCTTTATTGAGACAGATAGTCGGTCAATCATAATGTGATATCAGACTCATACTGCAACACCTCGCAATATGCCTTTGTGTCTAGAGTCCATGTGTGTGGCATCTCGTGGGGGTTATCTCCAGCCGATCGTCCGAATCCGAACCGATACTCACGCAATAGCTAGTCGGGCATTTGTCGAAGTTTCAGTGAGGGATCGCCCCATCGAGTTTCTCTCCTTCCCCAAACCAAGCCAGGGGTAAATTGCCTGTTCTGCGTCGATCCCATTATTCTCCGACCAAGGGCCATGCTGAATGGGCAGCCAGAAAGTTGCTTTGACCCAAGGTAGTCCATATCTGAATCCAGTGATCCACATTCCGAGGCACAAGCCCAGCTAGTGGCATCGTTGGAGGTTCGTTTCCAGGGTAGTCACTTGAGAGGCTGATCATGTCTTGTTGAGATGTACTACGTATCATCGCCCTGCCAAGGAAAACGATTCCCGCTTATCAGCACGTGAGATATGTACTTGTACAGTACATAGCCAAGCTCTGAGAACCCTCTATGTCTTACGTAAGCATCAGCACCAGATATGATCGCAACTACTTCATTCTTGTGGCGTGGTTTGACAGAATTGCCAACTAGTTGATGCAAGGTTAGAGAATCTGAACTCGGAGAAGATACCCTCAACCCCTTTATGTATTGGGGGAACCAGCGGTTCGATTAATTCCTTGCCTGCCGCCCCCTGGGTCTGTTCAAGGTGTTCCGGCCTTGACAGCGCCGCGCCGCACCGATGGTGCTGGAGCTTCACGTCTGGGGTCCGGCCTTCGGGCTGGCATCTCTTGACCCTGAATGCCTTGCCACAATTGCATACTTCACGCAGTCACTCGGTAAATCCGAGTGGAGGCTCGTACAGAGCAGTCTCTCGGCAGTACCGACCCGTAGGTTCCCTCCCTTGAGCTCCCCCAACCTACCTACCTACCTACCTCCCAACCCTTCCCCAACAGCTAACCTTTCCGCCCCGCCCCCCAGACACCCTCCCATCCCTCCACAACCCAACCACCAACCCCCCAACCTGGACCGCCGGCTTCACAGCCATCACGACCCACCTCCGCACCACCACACCACCCCCCACTTTCCACGACCCAGACGACGACGCCGCCCGGCCCAACCCGCTCCCGCGCCTCGCCCGCGCCGACTCGGCCGCGCACGCGGCCCACCTCCGCCTCCACGCGGCCCCGCTTCTCGCGCTGTCGCTGTACGTCTCGCCGCCCAACTGGGCCGCGGGCGCGCGGCCCGCCCTCGCCGCCGCCCTGCCCTTCCCGCTGTCGTGGACCGAGGCCGGGCGGGTGCGCGCCGCGTGGGTCGCCGCCGCGGAGCGGGCCGGGGTGGCGGGGCTGGATTCGGAGAGGGAGAGGGAGGAGCGGGAGGCGAGGGAGAGGGAGGAGGAGGGGGCTAGGGAGAGGGCTGGGTGGGTTAGGGTGCCGAGGACGACGGGGGCGGGGAAGGAAGGGGTGGGTGGTGGGAAGGCGGGTGGGGGTGAGAGTCGGCTGGAGGGGGTGGCGGCGGAGGTGTTGGATGTGCTGGAGGGGTTGAGGGCGGGCAAGCGGTGGCTCCTCACTGAGGACTCGGGCCCGACGTCGCTGGATTGCTTGGCCTTTGGGTATCTTGCCCTGATGCTCGTACCGGACCTCCCGCGACCGTGGCTGAGAGACACGATGAGGCGGCGGTATGGACCCCTGTGCTCGTTTGTCGAGGATGTGCGGTCCACGTGCTTCGGGCCGGCGGCAACAGCAGTGGCGGCCTTGCCCTGGTCCCAGGCCCCGGCGCACGACTCGGTCGTCAACGTCGGGCTGCGCTTTGCCCGCGGCGCGGTACAGGGTATTCCCGTCGTCGGCGAGGAGTGGCAGCGGTGGTGGGATGGGCGCGGGCAGAATATGGGGGAGGGCAGTGCCGCCGACCTGTTCGTCGCTGCGGGAGGGGTGCTGGCGGCTGCGGCCCTCGCCGCGGGCTTCATCTTCCGGAAGGATATCCCGGCCCTCGGCTCGCCAATCCAAAGGTGGGAGCGCCCGCAAGCCGGGCTGCGGGGCTTCGGAGCTGCGGGCGCCATGTTTGGATTCATGTCGGATGGCGGCGTTGTCGACGGCCAGGGCCCGGTTGGCGGCTTTGGCGGTGACGGTCTCGAGGTCGCCTCCGGTGGAAGCTTTCCCGCTGGGCCACCGGGGGCGGAAGGAAGGGCCTTGCCCGGAGAAATTGAAGTCGACGTTGGTGTAAGCACCGGCGGTGGAGATTAGCATCGGAGACGATCCTGTAATAACAACCTCGGTGTTAGGACAAAGGCTTGGGAAAAGGAATACCCGGACAGATTCACGGATTCCATTAATACACACTTAGAATCCCCGGGAACAGACTCCATCTTAATAGATTGAACGATACTCTAAAGACAGCTTGCCTTCCTTAACAGCTTTTATTTAATAGCTGCCTCTGCCGTGCCACCTACAGGTGTTATTCCGGCTATTCCGTATGCTATCTTCTCAGCCTCCAGTTCTAGAGAAGCCACGGTTCATGGTGGCACCGTTGGATATAATCCCGATCCGATCGCCGCCTAGCTCCAGGAGATGTTTGTCCCACTTCCGTTATCTATGCTTCCCTTGCTTAAAACTCCGCCGCACGCTGTGCTGGGCGAGCAGCTTCCCAGCCTCCTATATCTGTCGTATGTCCTTGCCCACCATCTCCGGCCTCTCGACTTCCCATTCGTCTCTCAGGACAGCGAAGGTCAGGTCGCAGACCAACAAGCTCTGTCCCAAGCCCCACACCAAGGTGATGGCGTAAAAGAAGTTGGCATTTCCGCTGCCGGCGTAGATCCAGAGATAGTAGAATGCCGGCCCGAGGAAGGTCGCATAGATGACCACGGCCGCAACGACAAAGGTGTAGCGCATGAGCGGAAACACATGGCGGTACAGCGGCACCAGAGCCAGGAAGAGTGATGTGTCGCTGATGCTGGGATACGGCTTGAATATGGCGAAGATGCCGAGGAGGAGAGTGAGGACAACGAGGGGCTGCGTCCGAATCCGAACACAGAGGCCTCCGACGTAGGACGACAGGTGCAGCCAGAACACGGCAAGGAAGAAGGATCGAAACGAGTCGAACATCTCGATAAAAAAATACCACCACAGCCCAACATTCGGCGTCAGGTCTGATAGGGTCAGCTGGACGCCGTATGTCGACGGGACGAACTCCCAGGAACCGGTGACGAGGTAGGACATCTGGAACAATGCGAACAGAACCCCGGTTACGACGAGGACATTCTTCCAGGCGAACTGCACGGCAGACTTTATAGCTGCCCCAGGCAATTGCCTGTCGTAGCAGAGGAGGATCAACGGCGGCAACAGGAGGAGCGGGTACATCGACAGATAGGCGGCGAAGGACAATGCGACCATGGAACTGAATGGGGCGCCCGAGACGGCCTTGGCGATGGCGTGTAGGATTGCGCAGGTCGTAAATACGCTTGTAGACCTCCCGATGCAGGTTGCGATGGTGAAAGGATTGAAAAGATATCTAGCATCGTCAGCACATCTGCGGCTCCACCAGCGCCCAGACGGAGGTTTAAGATCAGAAGCTTACACTGCGGCAACGACAAGGCCGCTCCACCGCTTCTCCCGTCTTGGAGACTTGAAGAGGGCAGAGGACCCAGCTTCGCCAGAATCGGCAATCTGCATGAGCGCATGAGCGCTCAACAGGTCGACGCCGACATAGAGAAGGTACGTGAATATCGGCAAGGTTAAAGAGCTCGGCAGGAGCGAGAATAGCGGGAGAAAGAGCGGCGACTGATGGTAGACCCCGCCGTCGTAAGGAGAGACATTATGGTTATATAGGAACAGGCCCTCTTGTACTGCAGCGCCAAAGTCAGCGGGGGCGTCTTCATCAGGAGGGGTTCGGGGGGGAGGCTTACATCTCTTGAAGCTTGTCACAGGAGTAGAGATCTCGACGCGTCCAGTAAGAAGGTCCGGCAGGCCGGGAAATAGGGTGAAGAGAGCAAGGCGCAAGACGGCAGCGCCGATGTAGAGGCCCGCCGTCCCCCCCACTGTTAACTTTCCGCCATTCATCGCTCAATTGCCATGTTCAAGAAGGAAGCCAAGACGTGAGAACAAGTCCGTGGTCAGAAATCCGGGCGTCCAGGTCACGGTTCAAATCGGCTGGTATCCAACCAGAGGCCAGGCTGGACAAGTCGTGCAGATGGCACTAAGCTCAATCTTATCGCTGGAAAGAGCGGTGGAGAATGGCAATAAATTTGAAAGGTGAGAAGAGAAAAAAAAAGTTCTTGATAACGACCCCACCTGGCAGTTTACCTACAGAAACATCCTGGATCGGTCTTGCAGCTACCACAAGACCAATTGACCAAGATGCCGCAAATCAAGAAGAAAGGCCAGGCCGGCCAGGCCAAGAACTTCATCACACGGACTCAGGCGGTCAGGAAGCTTCAGATCAGCCTTCCCGACTTCCGGAAGCTCTGCATCTGGAAGGGCATCTACCCAAGAGAACCGAAGGACAAGCGGAAGATCATCAAGGCTGCCAACGCTTCAACAACCTTCTACTACACCAAGGACATACAATTTCTGCTGCATGAGCCGCTCTTGCAGAAGTTCCGCGAGCAGAAGGTTCTCGAGAAGAAGATCTCAAAGGCGCTGGGACGAGGCGATATCTCGGATGCCAAGCGGTTCGAGCGCAATGCTGTGCGGCCCGAGAAGACGGGCAAGCCTAGATATACCCTCGACCACGTCATCAGAGAGCGGTATCCCACTTTCATTGACGCCCTGAGAGACCTGGACGACTGCTTGTCCATGCTCTTCCTCTTCGCCAACCTCCCATCCACCTCAACCGTCCCAGCCAAGATGATTGCCCGGTGCGAGCGGCTGTGCCTCGAGTTCCAGCACTATCTCATCGTGTCCCACAGTCTGCAGAAGTCGTTCTTGTCGATCAAGGGCATCTACTACCAAGCCAACATTCAGGGAGAGGACATCCTGTGGGTCGTGCCCTACAGGTTCAACCAACGCGTTCTGGGGGATATCGACTTCCGGATCATGGGCACGTTTATCGAGTTCTACATGACGCTGCTCGGGTTTATCAACTTCAGATTATACACCTCGATCGGCTTGAAGTACCCCCCTAAGTTTGACCAGACCAAGGATGAACAAGCCGGTGAACTCGGAGCCTTCACCTTGGAAGGGGTAAACCTGGTTTCAGAAGAGGACCAGACGAAGCTCTTGACAAACGGCACTGCGGAGCATGGGCCCGATCCCAAGGTGCAAGCAGAAGTCGACAAGCTCGTTCGGCAGTTAAAGGATGGCGAGTCGAATGGTGAAGTGGATGTCGTCGCCAACGACGGAGCAGCGGAAGACGGAGCTGAGGACGAAGAGAAGACAACCGATGCTCTCGACAAGTTTGAGCCTGCTGCTCCCGGCGGCGACGTGCTCCCTCAGCCATCGTACAGCAGCAATGACCCCGGGTCTCTCTTCTCGAAGTGCACCTTCTTCCTTTCCCGGGAGACCCCGCGCCAACCCGTCGAGTTCATACTGAGAGCGTTTGGCTGCAAGAGGATAGGCTGGGATGCTGTTCTGGGCGAGGGTGCCTTTACCAATAACGAGCTCGACCCTACCATCACTCATCAGATCGTGGACCGACCAGTGGTGCAAGCTGCCATGGGCGAAGGTGGCGATGGCGAGGATAACCAGACTTCGCAGAAGCTTGGACCGAATCAACGAGTCCCTGGGAGGATATACGTCCAACCCCAGTGGGTTTGGGACAGCGTCAACGATGAGGAGCTGAAGCGGCCCGACCAATATGCGCCCGGAGCCCAGCTCCCTCCCCATCTCAGTCCGTTTGTTCAGAACCTCCGAGGACAGTACGACCCGACAGTGCCCCTTGAAGAGCAGCAAACGGAGGCGGAGGCTCTCGAAGCCGACGTGTCCGATGCCGAAGAAGACGAGGAGCTCGAGGATGGCGACGACAGCCTCGCCGTCAAGGCTGCTGCCGAAGGAATGGATATCGCCGGTTCCGAGGAGGACGAGAGCGAAGGGGAAGACGACAACGGTTCGTTCGACGGCTTCTCCGAAGGGGAGGAAGTGGAGGAGGACGAAGAGGAAGAGGTCTCGGCGGCTCTGCAACGGCAGCTGGAGCTAGAGGCGGAGCTGACGGGGAACACGGTCAAGTCCAAGCAGGAGGACGCCAAGACGAAGGCGAAGGCGGAGGCCCGGAAGGCTCTGCAGAAGAAGGCCAAGGACGAGGCCGAGGAGCTGGACCGGGCCAAGGGCATGCTGAGCAAGAAGAAGAGGAAGCTCTTCGAGCAGATGATCTACAGCAACAGCAAGAAGAGTGCCGAGGACCTGAAACTTCGCGAGAAACGGAGGAAGATAGAAAAGGAGTTGGCAAAGGGCAAGACACAGTAGATCAACGCGGGCAGGTTTGTTTTTGTTCTTGTTTTTCTTTCTTTTTTTCAACAGAGGTGACGGAGTGCGATACCAAATCAAGCTGGTTTTCAAAAAAGAGGTTCCTCAAGTCATAAATTGTCTTTTGATGTCCCGTGATGATCTATGTCTCCTCCCCAAATGTCCCGCCCTGCAACCTCCCCTTCTAGATCTTGGACCTCTCCTTGATCTCCCTCCAGCCGTACCACGGCCACACACTCGGCGCATCGTCCTCGACGGTCCCCTCGAACCTCGGCGCCCTCTTCTCCCTGAAACTCCTCACCCCCTCGGCAAAGTCCCTCCCGCGGAACATGTCATACAGCACCTTACTCTCCAGCGCATGCGCCCCCTCCGGCGACCCGGGCCCGCGAAACACCATGTCCCGCATAACCCGCACGCTCACGGCACTACACTCCCTCGCCATCCCCTCCGCAATCCCCACCGCCACACCCACCACCTCCCCGGGCTCGACCACCTCGGCGAACAAGCCCCGGACCGCCTCGTGGCCGACGGGCACCACGTCCCCCGTGGCCAGCAGGCGCATGGCCCTCGACCCCCCGACCAGGCGCGGCAGGAAGAAGCTGCTGCAGGCCTCGGCGGCGATGCCCCTGCGGGCGAACACGAAGCCCACGCGCGACCGCGCGCTGGCGACGCGCACGTCCGCCGCCAGCGTCATGGTGACGCCGACGCCGACGGCGCTGCCGTTGAGCGCCGCCACCACCGGCTTGGCGCAGCTGAACACGGCGAGCGAGACGCGCCCGCCGCCGTCGCGGTACGAGTCGCGCGTGTCGCCCGCCGTGCCGGGGAGGTCGGGGAGGGCGTCCGCGGACGGCGTGGAGGTGGAGGTGGAGGCGGTGAGGTCCATGCCCACGCAGAAGGTCTTGTTGAGGGGGTCGGAGCCGGTCAGGACGACGGCGCGGACGCGCGGGTCGGCCGAGAGGAGGGTGAAGGCTGTGACGAGGGAGTCCTCCATGGCGCTTGTGAAGGCATTTTTGGCTTCGGGCCGGTTGAGGATGACGAGGATGACGGGGGTTACGGTTGGCGAGGAGGCTGGGTGGTGGGAGAACTTTATGTCTGGGAGGGAGAAGGTGTTGTAGCTCTCGGGTAGGGACGGCATCTTGGCTTGTTTCCCTGGTTGACTGTTTCGATGGGTCGGGATAGGACCAAGTGACTGAATGCAGCTGCGATGCCTGTTTTATTACAATTATACGAGAAGGTAGGCCGCTGGAGGCTGTTCTCTTCATCTGACTTATACCATTTGACTTACATGGGATGAGGGGCGAGTTGCGCTAGTCTCGGTCTTGGGACGCTTACCGAGGTCAACTACGGGTGAAGCTCGAATCCTCTTCAAGGCCAATAGATAAACAAAGTCGGTCAGATTGTCGGAAGAGGTGTTTTCTAGTCAGATGTATGCAACCGCGAAGCTGTTTGCTAGTGACTGTTGAGGTAAGTATTTGGTCTGGGAAGGAAGAACTTCTGTGTTTCCCTTTGATGTGGGGGGAACAACATATCCGGCATGAATCTGAATTTCTGAAGCGTGCTAAACCCACACAAAACAGCCAGTCCTTAAGTGAGGAGTGGATCAAGGTAGCCTTGTCAGCCCAGTCAGATGCAAACGTCGTCCAGGTTTCACATGAACTTGCTCGCCAGACCCAGCAACCCGCTCGCGCCGCCAGAGGCACTGCTCCCACCACCGCCGGCCTGGCTCTTGAAGTACATCTTCAGCGCCATTTCTCCGGCCTGCGCGATGGCCGACTCCTTGCTCGAGTCGTTGGACACCTTGCCCTGCGACGCCTGCTTGTCGAAGAGCTTGCTCGCCTCTGCCATGGCCACGCCGATGAACTGGCTCTGACTGTGGGAGCCCCCGGTCTGGCCGCTACTGAACATCTTCAGGGCCTGCATGGCTGCCGCGCTCCCCATGGACCTGCTGTTCGTCTCCCCCTGGTCATCATCGTCGCCGAATAACTTGTTGTGGCTACGAACGGCATCTTTGGGGGAAGGTGGTCATCAGCTGGGACTGCTCTGCTTGTCTTAAGATATCCCCCAGGGCGAAAAGGAGGGCCCGCCCTCTCTCCTCCCGAGGTTAAGTAGACAACTTACCGTCCTCATCAATATCTCCCTCAACCACCTGCTGCTTGTTTTGAGCCAGCGACTGCAAGATGCTGGAGAAGAAGCTGCTCTCGCCAGAATCCCCGGCATGGTTGGAGGCAATATCGGCAGCCCCTCGGAAGTCATCATCGTCGTCATGCGGCACACCAGCGCCCGCTGGGTAGCCACCGCCGTGGGTTACTGTGTAGTCGAGCCATGCAAGTCAGCTTTGGGTCGTCGGATTGGTGCCCAAGATGGGGGGTTGGAGGTTGGACATGCGAGAAGTGTAGGACATACCGTTCCCACCAAGATTGAATCGACCGCCTGCTCAGTTGGAGTCGGATTAGCCATCTACCCAGACTGGCGAGTGCGTTCTTGGTTTCCCATACTACCATCACCTATTGGAGAGCAGGTCTTCCAGTCAGCCCACGAAGCATGCAACCCGCAAAGGAACGTGGGGCAGGCAAAACTGCGAGTTGAGATGACGTACCACGCTGCTCCCGCCCGTCATCACGGTTATCGTCTCTGCTGAACATGGTGTTGAGTCTCGAAAGGTTTCTTTCCTCGAGTATCGAAGCGCCACGTGCAGAAGTTTCTTTCACAATGGCAAGATGTCTAGGAGGTAGAAGGATATGCTGCCGTCGAATTGCAAGGTTGCGTGTAAGTCAAGCTTTAAACGCCCTCACTAAGGAGATGGGGGAGGTGCGGGGCAGCTGAAACCGACATGTGCGATCCAGATGCCGTGAATGAGCGACCAATTGGAGCTCTGGGGCCCACCTCCTGGACACCAGTTGAATCTGCAGCGCAAGAGGCTAAGAAGTGGGCCATGTTGCTGCGAAGTGCAAAGCGACAAGCTGGGCTGGACTGGCGGGGAATCCCGTTGCTTGCTCTTCAGAAGGCTGAGGACCAGTGATACCTCCAAATGGCCAGATATGGCCAGCTAGCCATGTAATCTTGAATCGAATCCATTCCATAGATCAGTCGCATCTCTATGGTGGCCGAAACCCTATGATTCCCTAGACAAAAGGTATCTTCCGCGAGACAATCCGAATAACTCGCATGTTTCTCGGCTCCTGCCCCTTTTCCTAGCATGTCCCCGGGCTGCCGAAATGACAACCTGGCATCCCATGTTAAGCTCCTTGGATAACACCGTGCGGCTCAGCAAAGCCTATGAGAATCGAGAATCATCTGTCTCAATGCCCAGGCAAATATCAGCTCGGATGGTCGGTATTGCTGCTGTTCCTCTTCTTCTCTTTTTTTGCCCAGCGAAGGCCACACGCATTGCATAGAGTCTTCGGGCCGCTGGGGCCCTTTCGCCATTCTGGCGAATCGAGAGTTCCTGCCGACTATCAGTGATTCGTGCCCAGGGGCTAGGGCTCGGGGCCTGGGGTTCCCAGTCTTGTGCTTACCGCAGTCCGTGCAGACGTATTCCTCGGCAACCTTGAGCTTCTTCTTCTTCTCCCCTGTTCGCGGATCCCTATCAACGGGGATGGCAATGCCCACGTCTCCCTTGATCAACGCCGGGCTCGTGTTTCCGGTGGTGATACCACGGCTTCTCTCGCCCTCGCTGTACCTCAGACCGGTGAGCATCTCGATAGTATCGGCATGTGTTGCTGCTTCATATCGTGCCATCTTCTCCCTTATTGAATTTGACCGGCTGCCAGCAACGCCTTCGAGGTTTTCCTTCGTTAGGGCGGGATTCAGTGAGGACGGCTTGTCCGGCGGTGGCATGGAACTGTCTGCGGTGGTGGTGGCCGTGGCGCGAAGAAGAGCCGACCCTTGATTCGCATGCACCGTACTCTGAGACGCTGTCGTGTCGGAAACACCATCTCTGCTCTGTCGCCATGTCCTTTGCGACTCTTCAGCGTCCTCTGCCTCTTCTTCGCGGAGCTCCGCGATCCTCCGCTTCAGCCGCTCATTCTCGATCTTGTGTTCAAGAAACGAGTCGAGAAGGCCGGCGTTCTTCGTTGGGTATGGGCGCGCCACCATGAAGATGGCCTGGCAGAAGGGCGACTGATTACTGGGGTTCGGCGCGAATTTGGCGGCAGCAACGTGGGCATGGCCGAGAGCCTCGAAAATTGCCCAGTTCCCATCCTTTTTCTTCAGCCTGTAGAAAAGCCGGAGTTGATTCCCCGTGGCCATGGACTCGTGCAGCTCGGCCATAACGACGCCGATGTCGTCTGGGTGGATGAAGTCCTGAAGAAAACAGTCGAGCACGTCCTCGGGTGCGTAGCCGGCCAGAGCGCGGATGCTCGGGGAGACATATTTTATCCTGCCATTCGCGTCCACTATTTGTAGGATGTCTTTCAACTCCTCGACGACCTTCGCGGCCCAGTTCCTCCTCTTCATGAACTCGGTCAAGGTGCGGCCGCCTCCAGAGACACTCGACGGCTGTGCACTGAGGTTCTTGGCAGGCAGCGGGCCCGCATCGGCACCGGGCGCATTGCTTGGTCTGTCCTCCATGTTGGATCCTTGTTTCCCAGCCGGTCCCGAAGCCGACGGACGGTCTTGGGCCGCAGTAACAGTCGAGAAACGTTGTGACATTTGGGGGTCACCAACGTTGTCGAGGTTCATAGCCGTGCCATCAAAGCCACTGTAGGCGGAGTTGTCGAGCAGAGATAGCATATCATTGGCATCTGCGCCGAGCTGTACGATTGGGTCAGCGACAGGGAATTAGCAGCGAGAGTTCGCGCGCGCATCGGACCTGAGAGGTGGCGAGATCTGTCCCGACATTGAAGCTGCCCGCTGCCGGCCCCACAGTCCCAAAGCCGAAGATGTTCCCTGGGGGCGGTGGAGGTGCCCTATGGGACATGATGAGTTTCTGGCGTTTCAGATAACCGCGGCGCGGGGGCAAGCTATCTCGCCACGACGCTGGCGACGCATGGGCGATAGACAAGGTGGGGGTCTTATAAGCGCGGCTGCTCTTGAACCGCGGGTACACATTACAAACGAGCAAAAAAAAGTCAAAATAGAAAAAAGACAAGGCGGGCGTTCCGCGGTTGGCGATGAGAGGAGGGTAGGCCAGGAAGATTCAAGAAACGGAAGATGGAGGGGGATGGCGTGGCCTGCTGGCATGCAGTGGGCAGCGCTGTCGATCTCTGGATAAGATGGGAATTATCAAAAAGTCGGGCATGGGATTTGCTGGGGAAGAACGGGCAGTCTTTTCGAAGCTAAAACTTGGTTGGCTTAGGCTCTATGAAGCTTGGCCACACTGCCTTGCATGTTATGGATCTTCAAGGAGCTCGCAAGACAAGAAACAAGAAACTGGGCAGTTGGAAGGCAACTATCAGAAGGTTGCCGGATGCCGAGAGGTTAGGTACTGTACTGTACATATCGTATGCGCTTTAGGCATTGGGTCTTCCGCGAAATCCATGGCAGTACCTACATACTAGGTACCTACTGTAGCTATAGCACAGGGAACCTTAACCGCTAACGACCGGGACCTGGTGTACATACCTGGTTGAGGCAGGCAGGCAACAGCTAATTACTGCGGTAAAGCACCCTATGACCCACCGTACAGATCTACCAATTACCTAACCAACCCAAGTCGCGTCGAGCTCATGATAGCGCGAATCGTCTTTTAACTCCATCATCAGCCATCTGTAGGGTCTGCCACCTCCAGGGGAAGATTTGGACGGTGAAGCTCTCGACGAGGGCGTCGAACTGGTAGTGCTGCAGCCAAACATGTCTAAGATCGAGAAGCTGTCCATCCTGGGCGTCCGCTCCTTCGGGCCCGTCAACCGGGAGGCTATAGGATTCAACACGCCGCTCACCCTCATCGTCGGATACAATGGTTCAGGAAAGACGGTATGGGGAGAAATTCCACTTCTCATACCTTCCCCCGCTGACTTGTAATATTTCCAGACTATCATCGAATGTCTCAAATATGCGACCACCGGCGAGCTCCCTCCCAACAGCAAGGGCGGCGCCTTCATCCACGACCCCAAAGTATGCTTAGCTATCTGCGCCGTCTAAAATGCTGTGCTAATTCCCTGCAAGCTTTGCGGGGAGAAGGAAGTCCTCGCCCAGGTCAAACTCTCGTTCCGATCGACGGTTGGCGAATCATATGTCGTAACCCGCAATATCCAGCTTACCGTGAAGAAAACGACACGGTCCCAGAAGACCCTTGAAGGATCCCTGCTCTGTCGGAGTAACGGGGAGCGGAATGTCACGTCCTCCAAGGTGTACGACCTTGACACCATCGTCCCCGAGAAACTTGGCGTCTCCCCCGCCATCTTAGATGCCGTCATCTTCTGTCACCAGGACGAGTCACTGTGGCCTATGAGTGAGCCTTCTGCACTGAAGAAGCGATTCGACGAGATCTTCGAGGCAATGAGGTATACCAAAGCTATCGAGAACCTCAAGGTCTTGCGCAAGAAACAGGGGGAAGAGCTGGCCAAGCTGAAGATCTTCGAGGAGCAGCATAGGATCGACAAGGAGAAGGGCGACAGGGCCGAGAAGCGGTCCATCAACCTGCAGACTGAGATCGAGGACATGCGTGTCAAGTGCGATGGCATCACCGCCGAAATGGGTAAGACCCAGGAAAGGATCAAAGAAAAGCATGAGCAGGCCACCAGTTTCCTTGGCATTGTCAACGAACTCCGGAACAAGACCGAGCAATACCAGTACCGACAGGATACCGTTGAGGAGCTGCGGGGGAGCATAGAAGAGCTGCAAGAGTCTGATCAACAGCTTGCCGAGGCTCTGTCGCAGTACCAGGAACGAATCTCACGGATAGAGGAGGAGCGAGACCAAAAGGCAGACCAATACCAGGATCTTCAATCCGAGCTCAAGCTCGCTCGAGGTGACCACACCAAGAAGGTAGCGGAACTGGGCAAGCACCAGTCGGACAAGGAGAAGTACGAACGGCAGGTGGTAAATCGCGTGAAGATGATCCAGGAAGCCGCCGAACGGCACGAGATCCGGGGCTACGATGGCGATCTCGATGACCGCCAGGTCAATGCTTTCAGTGACCGTATCCAGAAGATCTTGAACGACAAGAAGCGGGAGCTTGAGCGTCTGCAGCGCCAGAATGCTCAAGAAGTTGACAAGACCACCTCCGTAATCACAGGTCTGGAGAGCAAGAAGGCATCTAGGGTGCAAGACCGTGTATTTGCCAAGCAGCGCATGGGTGCAATCGATAAGCGGACGGCTATCCTCAACGGCGAAATCACCTCGCTAGATATCGATGAGGGTTCCGAGGCTCTCCTCCAATCGAACATGAAGGACCTTGAAGGGCGACTGGAGAAGACTCGCAATGACGAACAAGCTATCGGGTTCGACAGGGAGATACAGCAAGAGAACGACCGTCTCTGGCAGCTCGAGGCCGAAGGCGAGAAGTTGAATCGAGAGCTGGTCGAGTGTACGAGGCTCGCCTCGGAACGTGCGCAGCTGGACCTTCGAAAGAAGGAACATACCGAGAAGAAGCGCAAGCTAGACACCCTCGCCAACACCTGGAATGACAAACTGTCCGGCATCATCGGTGGTCCTTGGCAACCGGAAACCATTGACTCTGATTTCCAGGCCGTTCTTAAGCGGCAGGTCGATGTCGTCTCCGACACCCGGAAACAGAAGGATGCCACACAGCAGGAGCTCAAGCAGCTGGAGTTCAAGCTTTCCACTGCGCGCGACAGGCTGAAGAAAGTGTCGGCCGAGAGTGACCGGAGCCAGAAGGCTGTTGCCACAGCCTTAAGCGAGGTGAAGAATGACACCGCATCGGTAGAGGAATATCTGGAGGAACTAGAGTCCCTCGAGACCGATGTGCAAACTTGCGAAAGGGACATCAACCTGTACGACGAGCTGAAGAAGTACTATTCCAGTGCGGAGAAGACGGCCACACGGTTTAACAAGTGTCGGCTTTGCGATCGAGATTTCAAGGATCAGCCGGCAGCCAAATCGAAGCTCCTGGAGAAGATTGCCAGCCACCTTGATGACAGCGAGAAGAAGAAGTTGCTGGAAGAAAAGGCCGACTATGACAAGTGTCTGGCCACCCTCCGGGCTGTTCGCCCCAAATACGATACGTACCAGAGACTCGAGGTTGAGTTGCCACCACTCCAGGAGGAGATCAAGGGCCTAGAGTCTCAGAGGGATGTCGTCATTCGGCGGCTAGAGGACCAGGACGCAATCTACAAGGAGGCAGATGAGAAGCGACAAGATATCGAGTCGATGAACAGGACCGTCGCGAACATCTCCCAAGCCTTCAAGGATATTGGGGACTCGGAGAAGCAAATTGAACGTCTTGCGTCCCAGCAATCGTCAAGCGTCGACATGCGAAGCGCCGAGGAAATCAACGAGCTCCAAGCAACGTGTGCCGAGCAGACCAGGACCGTGAAAGCCAAGATCACGAAGCTCAGTGCAGATAGGCAGCGGATGAGAGACGTCATGAACTCTCTGGAGCTGGAGAAGAGCGAGCTGAATAATAAAATCAACCAGGTCGTGAACCAACTGAGCAGGAAGAGGGGCCTCCAGGACCAGATTCAGAACCTCAAGGATGACCACGGCCAGCAGCGGGACATCATCCAGCAGGCCGACGCGGATCTGGAGGCACTCGAGCCGGAGATAGCCAAGGCGAGATCTATCCGCGAGGACACTCTCCTCCGAGGGCGGGCGAAGGAGCAGAAGGTTGCCGAGGAGCGTGACGGCGTGGCAAGCACAGTCAGCGAGCTGAAGATGATCGAGGGCGACATCCAAGACTACATTGACAGCGGTGGTCCGGCCAATCTTGCTTCAAACCAGCGCGCCATTGCCAATCTCGAGCAAACGGTGGCGAACCTGGAGAAGGACATGCGGGATCTGACGGTGCAGATCAACAAGTTGGGCAAGGAGATTGACAGCAGCGACCAGAAGAAGCGAAACATCGCTGACAACATCAACTACCGCAAGAACCTGCGCCTCCTCAGGGATCTAGAAGGCGACATCGCGGCCCTGAAATCACGCAACGCCGAGGATGACTACGACCGCCTGGCGCGCGAGGCTCGCTCTCTCGAGTCCCAGCACAACAAGCTGCTGGCGGAGCGCGGCTCGCTGATGGGTTCCATGAAGACCAAGGACGAGGAGCTGACGCGGCTGCTTGAGGAGTGGGAGCTGGACTACAAGGACGCGGCGCGCAAGTACCGCGAGATGCACATCAAGGTGGAGACCACCAAGGCGGCCATCGAAGATCTCGGGCGCTACGGGAGCGCACTCGACAAGGCCATCATGCAGTACCACTCGCTCAAGATGGAGGAGGTCAACCGCATCGCCGGCGAGCTGTGGCAGAGCACGTACCAAGGGACGGACATCGACACGATCCTGATCCGGTCGGACGCGGAGACGGCGACGGGCAAGCGCAACTACAACTACCGCGTGTGCATGGTCAAGCAGGACACGGAGATGGACATGCGCGGGCGGTGCAGCGCGGGGCAGAAGGTGCTCGCGTCCATCATCATCCGGCTCGCGCTGGCCGAGTCGTTCGGCATCAACTGCGGGCTCATCGCGCTCGACGAGCCGACGACCAACCTCGACAGCGACAACATCCGCTCCCTGGCCGAGAGCCTGCACGCCATCATCAAGCAGCGCCAGGCCCAGAGCAACTTCCAGCTCATCGTCATCACCCACGACGAGGAGTTCCTCAAGCACATGCAGTGCTCCGAGTTCTGCGACACCTTCTACCGCGTCAAGAGGGACGAGAAGCAGAACAGCGTCATCGTGAGGGAGAGCATCACAAAGGTCATGGAGTAGGTCCCGCGGGGGGGAAGGGAAAGGGGGCGTGTAAGTTGTTCACTATTATCCCATGGCGTGGCGTTTTGGGGGAGCGACTAGAGAAGTCTGTTTTTATCTGTACAATATGGACATGATCAGCTGGCATTTGCTTGTGGTACCTACCCAAGGTAAAAAATAGCATGGCGCTTTTGCTTGATATTTTTGACGGGCTTTGACTGAGGACGGTGCACACATCTCCTCTTGGTTGGTACAGTACCATATCAAAAGTATGAACGCGCCTGGTTTTTAGCTAGGCCGGCAGGAGGAGCAAATGTGTAGTAGGTCTCTTGCGAAAAGGGGCATTTTACAGCACCTCGTCGGCATCGTAATTGATCAACTAAACAATGTAGTAGTGGTGGTCCATCACCGCCCAACGCCTATGGATTTGAATCGTACACAGTCGTTTCGCAAATGGTATCGTATCATTCCCGCCCCGGCCTCTGCTTGGAGTCGGGCGAGGGGCCCAACCATTCCCCCCTGTATCGAAAGGAGTATACGCCTCGAGTCAGACGCCTCCACGTTTTCTTTTCTTTTCTTCTTCTTTTCACCCCGTAACTCCATCCTTCGCACCATCATCATCAGCAGCAGCAGCCGTCTCGGCCTCGCTCCCGGGCTCCTCCCCACCACCTCCAGCAGCCTCGGCCTCAGGTGCGGCCTCGGCACTATCGGCGATGACAACGTCCCCTTCAGCATCCCTCTTCGGCGGCGCGACGTCGCCATTCCCATCACCAGCTACCACGGTGGCGGCGGCGGCCCCATCGTCGTCCTCGCGGATCCTCTTGCTCGCACCGCCCTCGATATCCTCCTCGGCCTCGCGCTTCGGCGACCGCGGCACCACGGCCTCTCCTTCTGGGCTGCTGCCGCCGCTGCTGGTGCTGCCACCACCTCGCTGCTGCTGCTGCTGTTGCTCGCCGCCCCCACTCGCCGTAGGGTGGTCTGAGCGCCGCCCGACGGCGCGCTCGACGTCGATGCCGTGCATATCGACGCCGCCGACGCCGCCGGCCCCGCCCGTCACGTAGCTGCTGGTCGTCTCCTGCTGCGGGCCCGTGTCCGCCGCGCCGATCTCCTCGGGGCCCCGCGCGTGCGGTATCATCTCGTGCTCGTCGGGCATGGCCGCGTCCTCGTCCGCCGCCGCCGCCGCCGCCGCCGTGGGGGTGCTGCCGGGCGCATCGGATGCCCCCATGCCGCCGCCGCCGCCGCCGCCGCCGCCTCCCGCGTGGGGTGGTCCGGCGCCGTGGCCGTGCCGCGAGAGCTGGCTGACGGGAACAACGCCCGCGCGCTGCTCCTGGCGCAGCAGCTCGCCCTGCGTGACGCCGCGCGACACGAGGACGGCGCCCCCGCCGCCGGCGCCGGTGGACGGGATGCCGTTGACTGAGACGGAGACTGTCTCGATGCTGCCGACGCCGTTGGGCCCGTCGATGGTCTCGGTGTGCTCGGTGCGGACCTGCCCCTCCAGTGGCCGCCCGCCAGGGCCGGACTGTTGGCTGTGGCTGGAACGGTGTTGCGGCGACTGTCCCTGGTCCTGTCCCTGGCCATGGCCCTGCGCGGACAGCGGAGAGCTGCTACCCCCGGACTCGCTCCCCGTGCCGTCTTCGTCCCCGTTTGCCCGTCTGGTCAGCCACGGGATCGGCGTCAGGAGCGCGCCGCCTAGTGCTTCGTCGCTGCCGACATTATTGGCCGCGGACGTGGTCATCAGGCCGGCCTGGCCGCTCGCGCCGGCCCCGTTTGCAAGCCGCGTCATGTCGCTTATGTCTGGGATGGCTGGCGGCAACGGGTAGGTGTTGGCGCCGCTCGTGACATGGACTAGGCGGTCGAGCGCATGCAGATAGGCGGTGAGGCTGCGGTAGTGCTGCTTAGGGTGCAAGACTATCTCGGAGAGGCGCTGGACCGTGTGGGGTGGGTATTGGGGGAAGTTGACGGTTAGGATAGAGGTGATGTTGTCCAGCAGGGCATTGATGGGCGGAGGGAGAGTCCCGGGTTCGATGGGCGGTTGGAGAGGTGGTAGCATCGGGGCGGACATGGAAATAGATCGACCGGCCGGGTTTGCCGTTGCCGGCACCGTTGCGGCGGATGGGTTTGCATTCTCCTTGTTCGTCTCCTGCGACGATGACGCTGAGTCTGGCGAATGTGGAGGCTCGATCGGGTCGGAGGAGGGTAGCGGGGCAAGGAATCGTGGCGAAGGGGCGCGGGCCGGTGGCTTCGGAGGAGGAATGCGGGGAATTGGGAATTCATTATGTGCAATCTGTACAGCCGGGCGACGTCAGTAAGGCAACTGTTTCATGGTGCCGGGGTAAGCAACCTTCTCGATGCGCGACACAAGGTCTGGCAAGAGGGTCGGCCAGCCCGAGCTGTAAATAAGATTAGCCACGGTCGCAGACCAGTGGAAGGCAAAATTGGGTTTGTTGGCATACTAGTCTATGGTGCCATCTTTGGCGACCTTCCCCAGAATATCGTCATCGGTGTCAATATCCATGGTGGAGGTTGGATGCGGTGTTGCAGTAGCGAGGACTGCTCTTGAGCTTGACGCGATCGCTCAAAGTTGAGGTGAAAACAGTGACTTCGGACTAAACACGGAGACTTCCCCACTGTGTGCAATACCTTAGGCAGGTACTCGCTTTTACTGGCCAATCACCAAGGAGCTCCCGCTTTCATGTTTCAGTGCCCCTCACCGTTAGAAGCTACGAATAAATTCCTGGCCATGGTGAAGCCAAGATTGATTTGAGTTGCAAACCATCGTTCCCCGTGGCTAGGCTTGCCATTCCAGGAATGACTAGGTATTTTGGGTTTGGAGCGTGTGTTATACCTAATGACTTAATGTATCCGTACCCCTGCTCGTAGGGCAGACTTGCAGACCTGGCACGGTAGAGCCGCTCAGCCTCATGTGGAGTGGTAGTATTCCGCACTGGGAGGCGCAGCCATGCACGATGAGGTGACTGGTCTAGGATCGTGCAGACTTCCTTGTGATAAGTGTCCATGGTACGGATGTATAGGAACCTCAACGACTACCTACATTTGGTATTCACGCCTTCTGATTCCATATGAATTTTCAGAGTCGGGTGACAAGTTTGGAACCGCCATCTCAAGACAGGGTAATCATCGAGGTATTCAAGGCCGGCCCGCCGGACAGTATTTCCGGATGTTTAGGCCGGGATGAGTGAGGTCCCTGGGCCCTCGAGCTCCCGAGAATATCGGAGTCTGCGTGTTAAGGGTGAAGGCTGTTCTGCCTTGCTTGAGTGTCACGAACACTTGGCCTTGCTTCTGAAGAAAGCAAGTCACTTGCATTGGGGGCGATTACACTAGTTAAGTGACTCCCTGGCACTCCAATTGCCAGCATGCCAAACCTAGTCCCTGGGTACTCCGCCTTTTGGCCAGGGCTTTGATACAGGCGGCCTGTTCCAGAACCCGCCGCCGTTTAAGCAACTAGAAGCCGCAAGACATGGTAGATATTACTACTTTATTTTGTAATGTTCAATATTCTCGTAGCTATCAGGGTTATGTTGGACTGGACGCACTATCTGGAGACTAGAGTAGAGCTATTGCTTGGGCAACCAACCTAGAAAATCAACACTGGCTAGGTATCTACGGTACCTACTTACCTACCTAACCTAACCTACCTGGTCGATTATGCTGAAAGGGTCTGAATCTTGGGTATGAAAAGAAGGACTTCATTGAGCACTTCCCAGTCCGATCCTACAGAAGCTTCATCTTGTGAGTTGTGCAGAGAGAATTCCGGGTTGCTGGATCTCAAGCTTATGCATAGGTTCCTTGAACCACCTCGGGGCGTAGTTTAAATACAGAGCCCGATCAACAGGGGTGGTAGGTACGCTACTGGTAGAATCCGGCCCTAGCAGTGGTGCGAACACAGGGATCGCACCCTTCACAATAAGACATTGTGCCGCATTCCTTTACCAAAGAACTTGCCAGAAAGCTTCTGTTCCATATCTAAACTAGGTCCTCGAGAAACACCTTCGACGCCATTCATTGTGTGGGCAAGCAAAAGCAGGTATATTCAGGTGGTCAGCACAAAATCGAGGTCAAGACAGAATCAGCTGGGGAGGTATAGTAAGGTACAGGTGGTCCCCGGTCCCACACTAACGAACCCGCTAGGCTCTAGGCTGTCAGCCTTGGCTGTCACTAGCAAGAGGGGAGGGCTGTGTTGTGTCACCCCGTAGGGACAGGGGGCAGCAACACTGCACTTTCGGGGAGTATACTCTGGTGGGAGCCCTCTTTGCCTTTTTAATTCAATTCCGTTTCCACAATCCGGGCATCGGTTTCCTTGGCGCAACACCCTTATCAACCGTGAAAGCCATCTTCCACCTGACGTTCCGTGGTTGCCCTCGAACATCTCAGCCCCTCCGCTCGTTTCAGTCCAACCCACTGCTCCAGCAACCCCAAGCAAAAAGATCACCCCTTGCAGCCAACGAGTCGCCTCGCAATCCTCAACACCTCCTGATTCCCCTCTTGACAGCAAGGGAGACCGTTTGAGATTCCAGCACATCATATTAACCACCCCGGCACACGTTCTGCAAAAGTTTCTATGCTGGAGGAGACGACCGTGCTCCGCTGGCCGTAGATATTTATCCCAACATCTATAACTCCGTCCCAACCAACCAACGTACTGGCAAACAACCATCACGAATTGACCACATCCCGCCTGTGATTGGAATCTGATCACGGCTCCTGCACGGAGTCGACAACACCGCCCGACCTGGCTTTTCGACAGGACTCACGCGGGTCGCTATTGGCGACAGACCCTGCAATTGCTCGCGCACCTTACCAGCAGACGTACGACCACGCGAGCGAGCTCAACGGGGGATACCACTATCGAGAAGGCATGGCTCCGTCGAACGTACCCGCCTCCCGCCGGAGCAAGTTGGAGTTCCTCTCCTCCAGATGGCCTCGGCTCTTCTTCATCACCGCTTTCATACAGGCCGTCATCTGCTTGACATTTGAGTCGTAAGTCGCCAAACAGGGCATCACCTGGCAATGCTGTCCACCGTACTGACTGTCAACTCGCTAGATACGTCTTCGCCAAGTTCCAGACCAACGTCCGCGGAGAATTCAATTTCAAAAATGACGATCAGCTGAACTCGCAATACAAGACCATTCCTACCTTCCTGACCCTATTCATATTCGGCTTCATCTACCAGCTGATCCTGGTGTGGGATGCCTTACGTATGAAGAATACTATCCAGGTCATAGGAATTTGCCTCTCCAACCTGGCGTTTCTGGTGTACACGTCACTTCAGATCGATCAGATCGGATCGGCCATTGAGTTCTTAGCCGCCAAAGGTGCCATCAAGCCTATGCCTGCCACCGAGGCTGGGGTCTGGGAACAATGCCGACCTTTCCTCCTTGCCATTCCTGGTGTCCTTGCCGTCGCCACCGTCGCCATGGGCTTCCTGGCATGGAAACTGTACAAGGAGTTCGCTTGGGATATCCTGAAGCAGATTGGCGCCGACTATCGCATGAAGAAGCGCTTCCTTCACTATCAGGTAGGCCTAGGATCAAACCACCGTTTCCGGTGTCCGCTGGCTCGCAGGCAGTGGCTAACCCGGCTCTAGATCTACATTGCCCTTCTGAAGTTCGATTTCTTCTTCTTTCTGGGCTTTACCGTGCAGTTCCTTGTCATTGTCACCGGGCAGACCGACAGCGAATTCGCCCTGACCATCGTCGCGATCCCCGTCACGATCGTGATCCTCCTGTTGGCCGCCCTCTTCGTTCGACGAGAGATCAAGTTCGGCATGGCAGGCGTCATCCTGCTCTACTTCTGCGCGCTCGCCTACTTCTTCTTCAAGCTCGTCCGTATCTACCAGCCTTCCCACGCCGCACACTACCAGGCGGTGAAGCGAAGTTTGACGGCATTTGCCGTCTTGACCATCGTCCTCATCATCCTCACCATTGGCAACGCCTTCATCTGCATGCACAACTTCGGCGCCGGCCTCAGGACCCACCTCGTCAACGCGAAGGCCGAGGAGGAGAAGGAGGCCACCAACGCATATCAGCTGCAGGACCAGAAGCCCCAGCTGCCGAGCAGAATGACAATCGACTAGGGCTCTGCAACGACAAGTCCGAGGGATAGCCGAGCAAACCACCCAATTTATCCGTTCCGGGATGGAAAATAACTGTACAAAGATATGACGAACGTGACGAACCATCTCCCCCTGGTAACTCTCCTTTTTTAAAAAAAGTGTGAGACCAACTTGCATGCACACCGGCGAGTGTGCAAGGAACGAAACAGTTTTAGGCGAAAGATTCCCCAAGGGCCGTGGCCCGCATGCTTTTCCTTGTTTTGTCCGTGCTTCACTGCCTTGGGGCGTTTTCCCCCCTTTTCTCGAGAACTTTTCGTCTCAACTGGCGTATAGGGGTGGTGTTTGGGTCTTTGGCTTTTCGACTGCTATCAAAACCCGAGTCATCGAAGTTTGGAAGGAACAGAGAGGACGAGATCCTCGACAGGTCGAAGCGATCGATCTGGGGAGGACATCTGCGGAGCGGCTTCGCCCATGAACCGCGTCTGCCAGAATCTGGGGTGGGGACTTTTTTTTTCCATAGATATCACCTAGCAGCTCCGAGCCATGATGGGTCATTGATATCATATAGAGAATTGAGAAGTGATACCCAGGAACTGAGGTACCATGAGGCACAATGCACGGCGCTCTATTGTTGTCGCTACCGGTGCTACCGCTAGAATACCAGAAAAATGCATGGCGCTTCACGTCGACCCCTTGTCTAACCTAGCAAGGTTTGTATGAACAGACGCGCCGTTATCCCTGGACCCTACCCTATCCTATGTTCCCAATTCCCAGTTTAAATAAAATAACAAGAGAGGATGCAAGCCTAACTGACTCCGAACCCCTTGAACATCCCTCGTACGCCGCCAAGCCCAAAACCTGGTGAAAAGGGAAAGCGAAAGTCGTGGGGGTGGCGCCTGAAGAGGCCGAGGTTTTGAAAACGTATCTACAATGGACAACGGGCTTTGTATGTAAAAATCCCACATGCCGTCACCCCCTTCGCCCTCCCCAGGGTCTCGCGCTGCCGACGTCGGCAATACCCTGATGCCCCCTCATCCCTTCCCCCCCAAGAACTTGCCCGGCCACGGTATAGTTCCGTATAGGTGCATCCCCTTGGGAATCTGAAGGGGCAGGGGTGGGTGGGTTCGCCACGGCCATCTGGTGCCCTACAAGATGATCTGCTGGGCGTCCTTGAGGTGGCCCTCGTTGGGGCAGTATGGGCACTTGAAGCGGCTGCCCTTGCAGAGCTTCTCCAGCGTGTCCCGGGCGAGGACGTGGCCGCACGGTATCATCATGGGCGGGTTATCCTCGGTGGTTTGCTCTTTGGACACGGGGCACACGAAGATGCTATGGTAGAGCATGCGCCTGGGCAGCGGCGTCTCGAAGGCCAGCTCGTTGGCCGTCGTCCACTCGGTGCCCTTAGCGCGGGCCGCAGAGGTGTACTTCATCAGCTGAGGCAGGGCCAGCGCGCCGGCCGTGGCGGCGATATACAATGGCGACTCGGCTGAGAGGCCCAGGAGGCTGCAGAACTCGCGGGTGAAGGAGCAGGCAACGTCGGTGAAGGCAGAGTCCGTCGCGAAGATGTTGTTATACGGCGAACCGCCGAGATTCGGGGCGAAGACCATGGCGTTGACTAGCTTCTGGATCTCCTTGAGGTGCCGGTCTTGAAACCGCCCAAAGTGCTCCCGTGCATAACGCAGGGCGCCCGACCGCCCATTCCACTCGTCGTCGGGCAGGCTGTTTACGGCAGGTCCTTTGAATAGCCAAATGTACTGTAGCTTGCTCAGCTCGAACTCCAGATTGCTCCCCCGGTCTTCTAGCTCAACACTGTTGGACCGAGCCCAGCCGATTGCGGGCACAAGATTCCTCGTCTTGAGATCCTGCAATATCCGATACATCTCGGAAAACTTGGTCTGTAATTCTTGGGACTGGAGGGAGGAGAGGCCTTGGGGGGGCTGCGGCGTCACCTCGTCCAGATCGCCCATATGTTCGTCCACGTCCACAAAGTGAGTAGTATCCGTGGGGTGTAACGACGAGGTCGGGGTAGTAGATGTTTGGCCAGCCGGGTTGTCTTGGGCCTCGGAGATGAAAGTCGAGGCGACGGAAAACTGGCCCTCGCGGAGGAGGTGCATGGCGATCGCGCGGTTGATGAGGGCTTGATGTCCGGCCATGGCATCGCTACTGAATGGACTGGTTGGAATCGGTTTAAGAGGTAACGACTGGCGAGTAAGGGTCAGCTTTTGTTGGATGGCGGTCAGGAGACACACATCGGGTTGTTACCTTGTCTAAAGCTTTCCCCAAGTTTCTGTGTGACTTGGACACGTCCCTTAGGTCCTGGTTCACCGCTTCGAAGCCCTCCTTGATCGGATTCTGAAGCTTCGCCATCGTCAAGCTCGCTGTGTGGGGATCCAATGCTGCGGTGCCACTCTGTGAGCGCAGGAACGACGGTGGAAGGGGGGAAGGCAGGGAAACCCGAAGACTCACCCCTAGCAACTTGATCTCGCGCGGTGCTGAGCAGCCCGATGATGTTGTCGACATCTTCCACGGCGGACGAGAGCCGAGCCACCTTGTTCAGGTTGCTCAGCTCCTTCTGAAGTGCATCCATCCACGCAGTCTTGTGTTCCCAGATCCCGATAGAGACTCGCTCGGTGGGTTTGTCGATCGGTCTAGTTGCAGCCGTGGGCGGAGTCGCATTGTCTGTGACTCGCACCGTTCGCTTCACGGTTCGCAGCCTATTTCGTCGAGAGAGAGAGGTCTTGTTATATGGTGCTATGATGCTTGCATTTAGCTCCCAGCCAAGTTAAGAAAGACTTGGGGTGAGGGGAATAACGGAATAACTAGTTGGGCGCTGAATGGCGCTAATGGCCCCGCCCACCCCTAGTCGGTCATGGGTGTCACATAGTGCTTTCCCAGATGATGGCATCACATGCCAAGCTGGAGCAACTACGAAATTGAGGTGCAGTTTCACTCTCCCAGCCAGCTGTCACCAACACACACCAACACGCATGCATCACTTCGACCAAGGTGATTAGACTCTATGCCACTGAATCATGAATTTTATCTAATCTCCGGAACCCAACGAGACGCTGTTATTTGCTAAGATGCCCCTCTGGCTCTGGTCTCTCCTGCCTCTGTTCCCCGCAATCCGGGCCATGAATAAACGCTTCTTATAGCTCTGGGAGATCGATCACAATGTCTCGGCTTCCGTTTCCCGTGCCATCCACGGATGTGAGGCTATATCGACAAGAAGACCTGAGGCTTGTACCTCACCGCAGTTCCCCCTCAGCTCTGCATACCTCGCCCGCCGGCCAGGCTGAAGGTTTCCCTACGAGTTCTCGTACCTTGCAACAAAGGCGTATAGTGCTACCGGATCCTGTAGCCTTCAGGCATGTCTCCGAGTGGCCAAGATCCCGACCTGTTAATAGCTAACGACGCCTCATGTTGCAGATTCCTAGAAGAAGATCCCTTAGTAACTATCGTCGAGCGAAGGCGAGTCCTACAAGGCTACGAACTGTACTTGGTTGAGCAGTGGGCGTGCTCCCGCCAGTCTCCGACGTTAGTCATCGTTACATATACGGGGGATCCCAAGCACTCTGTCGTCGTCGGCGTCCTGGGCGTCCCTCCGAACGAGAAAGACTGGTCGCCACGCCTGCGGGTGTACTTCAAGGCCATTGAGCAGTACCATGCCCGACCCAAAGAGACGGAAGCTGGAGAGCTCATGGTGACCAACCTGAGCAGCTTCCCTTCGGCCCTAACAGTGATACCAGTTCCCGATGGGGACATACGGAAACATCGCCAAATGTTCATCGTCAACGAAAACCTGAAGCGGCTAGGGTGCTCCGGCCGCTCAGGAATGACGCTATCTGACCCGACTCCAGCAACACAAGCCAAGTTCCTCCAACTTTACAAGACCTGTGATCGCATTCCCATCCTCCAATCCGTCTTGGAGCTCATCAAGCTCTGCCAAGCTGCTCTCTTCATCTTTGGAAAGTTTGAACAAGAATACATTGATGGACTGCTTTGTGATCTCACCGAGACCGCGATTAACGACTGGTGGACTGAAATTGGCTCCGAGTATTACAACATCGAACCCACAGATGGCATATTAGGTCCTACAACCGTGGCTGCCCTCTTGGGGACACTGATGGGGGCGAGGAACCGTCTCAGCTACTACGGAGCCGCTGTTTCGAAAGACCCTTTCGACCTGGACTGCATGAAAAGGGGCATAGGAACATTTCAGAAATCCTACAAACTCGAGAAGACAAGACGGCTCGACCGCCAGACACTCCTCAAGCTCCACACCGTAACCGCCAAGGCAGCTGCCGGCGAAGGCGGTTGGGGCGTCCAAAAGGCTGTCAAGTCCACCGTCGCCGAAATCGGTGGCAAGAGGGGCGAGATCGTGATGGACATGGTCGGTGGCCGCGACAAGGCGGGTATCAGTGATATAGAGACGTTGGCCCTGGACAGATTTATTAGCCTCGCCGTAGGCGAACGGGCAAAGTGGCTATGGCATGGAAAGCCAAGGAGGACGCTACCCGACCGGCACGAAAATTCGATCCCCGACATGGGCAATCTCATATTTGGGAAAGAAACAAGAGACGATATGACCACGCCGATATCGACCAGGAGCTCTCAGCCACGCCCACTTGATGAGGACCTAGAAGCCCCAAGGGTCTACTCTGCACCCGCGCCAGGCTCCGCGGCCAGTGTGGGAGAGTCTCCCGGAGAGAAAGATGCGCTTCGTAGGACCGTCTTCAAGAGCGTTGCGGGGAGGGTGAGCGACGCACGCTCAGGGTTCGGGCGCATTCGCGATGCCATGGGGGCCGGGTTGAGAGGTCATGTCAGTCGACCTTCCAAAGACGAGACCTGCGACACCGCCATGGCAGGCTATTCGAGCCCAAATATAGCAACGCTTGCACAATCATCTGCGGCCTTGTCAAACCCAGCAATGGTTGGGCGGGCTTTCACCTGGAAGAACAAGCCTGAGGAATACGCCAACGGATTTAGAAAGGAGAGAGAGGCTGATTCCCTAGTTCTCGTGAAGTCTGCACTAGGTTACGGAGACGGTGAGCCGCCCGCCCTGGCGGCCAGTTATAGAGCAACGTCGTCCGACGTTCAGCTGTCCAAGGTGGAAAGCAAGCCCGATCCCCAGACGGCCGAGATTCGGAAGGAGCTTGTTATGAGCGACATTTCGGTGGCTGGGTCGGTCGTAGATGAGTGCGATCTGCAAGGCCCCTTCCTCACCGCTGAACGGAACTCTACCATTGGTCTTTCATGTCTACAACGACGCCACAGTATCAATATCTCGTCTCTCACACTCCAGACTCAGCCCAATGAGAATCGGTGGCCCCGCCGACTCTCCTTCAGCGAGGCTGAGGAAGCCGTCCTACGGTGGGAGGAGGTTGCGGATATTGCAGACCAAAGCGAAGCGATCGACGCAGTCACCGTTCTCCAACAACTCGACAGCACTGCCGAGATCGCACGAAGCCTATATGACAGGATCACCGAACTCCAGGTGGGAGTCTCGCCCTGGGTCTCCGCCAAGATCGCCGCCATCGAAGCACTCGACAACACCTACGCCCACCAGCGGGACAGCCTCCACAACGTCTACTATCAGCTGTCAGACGGCCACCAGGAGCTCAAGCAGAGGAGCAACGAGATGGTCGCCGAGGAGCGCGCACATCTCACCGAGGCCGTCAAAGACGTCGAGGCACTTGTTGCTAAGCTCGAGTACGAGATAAATGCGCTAGTAGGCAAGGTCCAGGACGTCGAAGATGGTGTGGTCCAGTTCGAGGCACAGGTCGAGGATGTGGAAAAGAGGGCGGAAGAGCTGAAGGCCACCCTGGAAATAGAGAGCTGGCCCCACTGGTTTGTAAGAACGTTGACGGGCATCGGTACGGGCCCGAATATCACGAGGGAGAGGAGGCCCTGAACATAATGGCTCGGCGCATGCGCAAACGGGGGGAGGGGGATTAGATAAAAGACGAAGCATAATTTGGCTTGACCGCATTTGAGGAGTGTTCGGAGCATCGGCATCACATCTGTCATTGCTTGTATGCAAAGCATTGGGATCGGGATCTTCTATGGTCAAGCAAGGTGTTTTGTTCATCTGGGCACAAGATGTTTATCTGAGAGGCGAAATTCGATTGGTATTTCCCGAGCCCGAACCTTCCGATGCAGTAACCCTGACAAACGTAGTACAGGCCGCGATGAGTATCGGCCGCGATGATATCCCAAAACCTGAACGGAGAGGAAACTGTTGAAACAGACTGCAAAGGAAAAAAAATCGATCCCCTCCAATCCCCATCGTCCCCTCGCTAACTCCCCAGCTGATATGCCAAAACCCTCGCATTTATGAGCCAAGGGTGCCAAATCCACCGCCGCCGCCGCCGCCCTGTTGCTGTTGGACCTTCTCCAGCTGGCTCGAAATGACTTGATGGGCCTCGAAGAACTTGGCGGCGCACCTGTCCAGGCACACGCTCTCTCCCTTGTTCAGCTCGCCCTCGCGGTAGTCGGTCGGGATGCACTTCTGGGAGCAGATCTTGATCATGCTGCCATTGGGAGGAGTCCTGTCAGCAAATTGTTGCTCTCCTGCCCCAATCCGCGCGCGAATGGAAAGAAAAGGCTTACCGGTTGTGCATGTCGGCCATGAGCTTCATTTCTTGCTCCACGGCAGCAATCTTCTCAGAAGAGGTCGGCTGAGGCCGGCCGAGACCGAAGAACGACATGTTGTTGAATTGAGGAGGTTGCCGGTCGTTGGGAGAGGATTGGGTGCCGGTAATTGATCAAGCGAATTGCTGAGAGAGAGTAGGTAGCTAGAGAGGTGGTTGCGTAAGAGCTGGGTAGGTCCTGTCCAAGATCAAGAATATACTGCCGGGCGGTGTAGCGGCACATTCCAATCCTGCCAATCAAGGACTATCAAATTGCTCTCCTGAGTAACTGCACACTTCCAAACAACTTTTTTTTGAGCTGCTCATTTTTTTTTCACCAATGAACCCGGAATAATTTGAGAGTAAGTTGCTCATATGTATTTGATATTGCCTGGCATCATGATGTAAACCGAAAAACATTAGAACCGTTGCGACTGACACATTTAATGTGCATGATCAAAAATGCCAATTTTCTGAATGCCCATCCTACCTCTTTTAACTTGCCTCAACTAAGAAGCCTGGGACAATTTGCTAACGCTTTGACGGTGTTAGTTACAATGAGCTCTCTTGAGCTTCTCCATTTCCTTCGCCCTTACGCCATACAACCGCTCTCAATCAAAAAGACCGCTTACCTCCGTGTATACCATTGCGTTCGCCATGGCGGGCTAGCCAGTCGGTCGGACCGGAAGAGCTTTACAACGTCCTTAAAGAGGAGGCATGACAAGAAGGATGACATAGCCGTGGCGGAAGATTCCCACGCAGCTCGTTCCCATGCAATTTCCTTGCGGATCCAGGAGCTGAGTCTGGCGGGTGCTCTGGCGTATCCCCGGATCCAAAGCTGTGGCGGTCACATGAGGATACCCGCCTTCAGAGCGAAGTACAAGGACGTCTCCCTTGACTCTCCGGGCCAGGAGGAGGTTGTCTTGCGTGGTATGCAGAATCGCAACTTGTATGGCCGTCGCGCTCACGACATGCAGGACGACTCCAATCCATCCGCCGTGCGAGCTCCAAGCTGGTATTTCTGGACTTGATGGGCGAATTCGAGCACGTACAAGGACTCTGTAACTTTCGCAAGCTGGAACCGTCAGGAGCCACCCTGGATCGCTTCAAGGCCCTCTCCAAGTTGTTGAAGCGGGGAGACGTCGTTTGTGCGTCGCTTCTCCCCCCTCCCCGCACCCCGTATTCCCCTCGTTGCTCACAATTTCGTAGCCATCACTGGAAAGGCCCTCCGAACTCCAACCGGTGAGCTGACAATAGAGGCGACGTCTCTCCCAGAGCTCCTCTCGCCGAGCCTGGTCCCTCTGCCAGTCAAACTGGCTGATGAGGACACCAGGATCCAGCATCGCCATATCGACCTCCTGGTAAATCGTCCCACTGCAGATGTGCTGCGATTACGGTCGTATATCATCAAATACATGCGTGACTTCTTTCACGAGAAAGACTTCCTCGAGTTCCAGACGCCGATCCTCGCCGAGAATGCAGGCGGTGCTGTGGCTCGGCCGTTTGTCACGGCCTCGACGGAATTCAACTCGAAGGAGCTTTCCCTCCGCATAGCGCCCGAGTTGTGGCTGAAGAGGCTTGTCGTAGGGGGCGTAGAGAAGGTGTTTGAGATAGGGCCGGCCTTCAGAAACGAAGGCATCGACTCGTCGCATAACCCTGAGTTCACCATGTGCGAGTCCTACAACGCGTTTGCCAACCTCTCCGATTTGATCAGTCAGACCGAGAAGCTGGTCTCGGGTCTCGCGGAGCACTGCCAGGGGCTCATCTCGGCAAAGCTCACCTCCCTCCCACCCGTGGATCTCGGCCGATACGCGCGGCCTTACAGGCAGGTCGAGTTCATCCCAGCCCTCGAATCGGCCCTGGGCTTCCGCCTTCCCGACCTCGCCGCCGCCGACGCCCCCCAGCGGCTCCGCGCGCTCTTGACGGCGCACGGCATCCCCCTGCCGGCGGAGGACTCGCCGGGCCTCGCCAAGCTCCTCGACAAGCTCGCCGGGACGTACCTCGAGCCGGGCTCGGCGGACGCGCCCCTCTTCATCACCCACCACCCGGCCTGCATGTCGCCGCTGTCAAAGGGCTTCACCTGCCCGCGGACGGGCCAGCTCGTGTCTGCGCGCGCCGAGCTCTTCGTCGCCGGCCGCGAGCTGGCCAACATGTACGAGGAGGAGAACGACCCGTTTGCGCAGCGGCGCAAGTTCCTCGACCAGGCCCAGGCCCAGACCAGCCAACAACAGCAACACCGGGACCGGGACTCGGAGCCGTCTGCGTCTCCGGATGGCGACGAAGACGGCGGCGGCGGCGGTTTGGTTGTCGACGAGAGCTACGTCCAGGCCCTCGAGTCCGGCCTGCCGCCCACGGGCGGCTGGGGCTGCGGCGTCGACAGGCTGGTCATGCTCTTCTCCGGGTCGAGGCGCATCGGCGACTGCCTGAGCTTCGGGACCCTGAGGAATGTCGTCGGGCTGTCGGCCGGGGCTAGGAAGACTGGGGGGGAGACCTCCTGAGGTCCGCCTGGTGCGGCGGACCGGCGTGATGGGGGTCCCTAGTCTCTGTCAAGCCTGTATTTTTGATACCTTGTGCGGTTATTGTAGAGTACCTTGGACGCCGTGGCTCTGACTGTGAAATGAGACTACAAGGACCGTCCTGTAGACTTTTATTGCTTACGGGCTATTTCTTCATTTGCGATCGACCCGTCCATAGCATCTCTTAGCAGAAGCAGTCTTTCGGCGAACATTTTCAGGGGTAGGCACGGAGCTGCCTACTTCTCACTGCCGACTGGCATTGCCAACTCGTCCTCATGTTCAACCTCCCTCCACGGAGGGGCCCGGTTTACTCTTACTCATTTCACTCGATGCCGACCAGGTTTTGAAATTCTGGAATTTTTCATCGTTATCCATAGTGACGGTCCAAACTCCAAGAGACGAGGTAGGAAAGGAAAAAAAAGAAAACAAAATTCAAAGAAAGAGAAAAGAAATCCATCCCACTCTCCAAGCAACCCCCCTCCCCCTTCTAAACTCGTCCGACGCGATCTCACCGCGCCCACTGAGGATCAACCTCCCGCCGCGGCCTCCGCAGCCTCCCGCCGTTGAGCCGCCTCTCGGCGTCGTCGAGGGCGCCCTCGCGCATCCCGTCCCACTCCTGGGCGGGGCGGTTCGGCGTCGCGGCCAGGGCCCTCCAGACGCGGTGGCGCGACACTAGCTGCTGCTCGTCGCGCACGCGGTGGGACGCCACCAGCGCCTCCATCTCGGCCTGCGGCCTGGTGCGCAGCCTCCTGGATGCGTTGAACTTCTGCAGCTTGAAGACCTCCTCGAGGAGCTGCTGCTGCTCCTCGTCCTCCTTCTTCTTCTTCTCCCTGTCGCGCTGGCGGAGCTGTTGCTCGGACGCCTCTTCCTCCTCGTCCGCCTCCTTGTCGGCCTGGCGGAGCTGTTGCTTGAGCGCCTCCTCCTCCTCCTTCTTCTTCTTCTCCTCCTCGTAGCGCTGGCGGAGATGTTGCTTGAACGCCTCCTCCTTCTGGTCGGAGAAGAAGTGCGCGACGAAGAGGGCGGGTCCCGCCAGGTCGATGCTCACGTGAACGTTCTCCTTGCCGGCGGGGACGTACTGCCTCTCCTCTCGGCGGCGGTCGATGGCGCCGTGCGGCTCGCGCTCGCGACGGTAGCGACGGTCGAGGCTCGTCGAGTCGACACGCCAGATCAGGTCCTCCACGCCTATTCTGTGGTTATGGGTCCTGTCGAACTCGTACGCGGCATCGGCCCTCGAGGCGAAATGAGCACCGTCCCACCGGCTCGGGCTCTCCACAGCGGCCGCCAGAGTTTTGCACTCGTGCTGGGGGTTGTTGAGCCACCTCTTCATGGCGCCCGCCTGCCACAGTTTCAAGTGGTCGTCTTGCTCGTCTAGCGCGTCGCCCAATCTACAGCCATAGCAGAGGTCGTGCTGGTAGAAGGGGAAGAACGGGAGCAGGATGTTTGCCCCACGACCACATTTGTCGCAGTGGTCGGATTCCCCACGCCACCAGCCACCTGTGCGATCCTGGTCCCTACGAGCGCGGGCGTCCGATACGTCCTGTCCGGGCACCGCGACAGGCTCCGTGTCGTCCTCGATATGCATAGCAGCTGCAAGTTCGTCGGCGAGCCGCTTGAAGGCCGGATCGGCCGAATCCGCCATCCACTGTTCGCCAAAACCTTTGAGCCTCCGTTTGGCTTCATACGTCTTCACCGCTTCATTCGCCCGGACGACTGTCCAGTCCGGGAGCGGGCATTTCTCAAGCCACCGGCGAAAGGCGTTCGCATCGTTGAACAGGTCGAAACCCAGTCCTCTGGCCTTCGGGTAATACTCATAGATAAGCAACTTGAGTATTCCGGCAAGGGTGTTTATGCCCGGGTCCGACCATGTGACGCCGAATGAGCCCTGTCTATTGCTTACGTCTGGTCCTTGGTGGAAGGTTGGGAAGAAGTCCAAATGGACAAATCCGGCCTCCTTCTTGTTCGCTTCGATGATACCCAGAAGCTTTCCAGTGGTGGCAAAATGCAGCAGGGGGCACTGGTATATCCCAAGGTTTTCCAAATTCGGCAGCGAAGAGACGATGCAATCAACAGCTTGGATGTTGAGGAACGGGATCCGATGGAGCTGGAGGTTCATGATTCCGGCGGACCGGTTGTTCAAGGCTTTAACTGCGGGTTGTTAGATCTCAAGATGGGCATGACGATGAGGAGAAAGCCCTTACAAAGGTCTATGATGCCATTGAACTCGGTCGAGTAGTTGGAGTCGCCACGGACGGAGTCAGATCGAGTCATTTCTGGTCGTACTTGCGACACGATCACGATTCGAGATGTCGGTCGAGGCGCTCCAATGGGCTCCTCGGTATCGATATTGTAGGAGAGGAAGTCCCGCTCTGTCATGTTCCAGTGTTCCTACACCTTCATCAGTCTCATGATAACAGGTTACTAAAACAAAAAAGGACAAGCGAACTCACAATACTAGCCCGGATAGTGTTGAATACCGCCCAACAGGTTAGACCAAGGTTGGCGACGTCCTGGAAATGAGGGGCGCAGTACCCCAGGATCCGATCCGCAAGTTCGGTGTGGCCAAGGACCTTGAATAGGGGTAGGTCCCGGTTGTCGGCCTTTTCAACAACGGCATGTTCGGAGCAGGGAATGAATGGTGCCTGATTTTATTAGCATAGGTAAGGTGCGACGACAACTTGTGAAGCAGCTTACTCTAGTCGGGACTCCGAACTTGAACGGCCATCCCTTGACCTTCTCCAGCACCGCCAGTCGATCCAAACGACCTTTGCTCTCGAAATAGAGGCGCCTGCGGCGCCGAAGTTCCCGAGTCTCAGGGTCGTCTGAAGGCTCGGCAGCAAAAACTGGCGGCTCGTACTTGCTCGCCTGAAATTTGGAGTACCTCTCCAGATATTCCACTGGCTTCTCGATAGAGACCCAACGACGGCTGCTGTCAAACTTGAGCAGGGGCCGAGAGGATCCCGGGTTAAGGTCGACACCCTGTCATGTTAGTCTATATAAGGGGTTGTCCTAGAAGGTGATGTCGCTCACCAACTCGTCGTATCTTCGCCGGAGGTCGGAAGGAGATGTGGCCTGGGCTGTTCCGTTGGCCCCTGCGACGTTGCCGGCCTCGGTATTGCCCGGCTTTTTGCCCTTCGTCTTGTTCTTCTTTGGTCCTTTCTGCGGACGATATCCCTCTGGAAGCTCCAGCTGGGGGGTTGTCTTGCTGCTACTGGCCCCTCCCTGGGCCTGAACCTGGTTGCCGTTGCTAGCCTTGGGGGCCTTTGCATTGGCCCGGTTTCCCGCCTTTCTAGTCATCTTGCGCTATTTTGAGAAGTTGGGAGGCTAGATACCAATAGCGGAGGGTTGGTTGGTAGGTATCTGGACTTGGAAATCTCAAGGATGGCAGGAACGAACGGCTCGCAGCTTGCAGCTTGCAGCTTGCAGCTTGCAACTCGCAACTTGTGATATTGATATTGTTGTATTGTTGGATGGGAGAAGGTTCGGAAAGTACTCGAGGTTTTACGCGCATTTATATATTACCAAGATACTCGGCTTGAGGTGAACTATATTTCTTGCCGAGTAGGGCTATTGTGTTCGAACAATAGGGTTCAGACAATAGGGTTCTGGGAAATGCTCGGCAGTCGTCAGGGGATTCACATCGTGTAATCCACCATATTAGATTCATGCCTTCACTGAGTAACAGATATCCACTCGAGCCCAATTTCAGATGGATGTTACTAGTTACCTACTACACAAGGTACAATTAAATTATAGAGCCACGCTGTTACAAAGAGAGAGAAGTGAAGGACAATCACACCAAGTGTTTGTGGTTGACATCCTCACTCTGGAGGGATTGTCAAGCAAGATAATGTGAAATGCTCCCATCTCCTTATACCCACCAGATACCTACAGAATCGTAGTCACCAGCCCTGGTCCACAAAGACCATATTTCCCTTTTTTAACAGAGCTTGTCTCCGCGGGCAGGGGCATTTCAGGCAAGGGGTCTATGCTGGGCAGGGGATGGCGATGGCAACAGCAACAGAGACGGCTAGCCAAATGCCCCTACCCGCATAGCTAAATGCCCCTACCCAAATAGCTGAGTGCCCCTGCCCGAATACCTAACCGCCCCTACCTGCATAGCTAAATGCCCCAACCCGAATAGCTAAATGCCCCTGCCTGCGGAGACAACCTCTTTTAACTTATATGCACTTCCAGGGGCGAGGGCATTATAGTTGCAGACACAGCCATCAGTGTGAATACATTTCTGGAGACGAGGTGAGAGTATGTTATGGAACTCTGAGTCGCCATCAGGGGAATTCTGAATAGTAAAGTAGACTGGACGGCCGTTCTATGGTTGCTAAGACTCTCGGACATATGGTCAGGGAGACATTAATAAAGAATGACGGGGACTCTCAAATTCAATGGGAAGGAAGAATATAATCTATCCCGTATTGATTGTATGCCGGCACACTGCTTCACTTCGGCGTACATTAATGGCGTGGGTTGACTGCGACGAAGCTTGCGATGGTAGGAACGCGACTCTGGATGCCGAATCTCGCCCATCGTGATAACGAAGACACAACTCCTTGACGAGGGGATCTTCGTCCACAATGTCGAGACTAGTCCTGATCAAAGCTGCAGGCCATTCTGGCTGGAACAGCAACGCGTCGGATTCAGGGGCTCTATTGTGTGGGCAACTACTAGAATAGCGTATTTTGACCTACGATGACCGATATTGAGGAACCTGTTGGATCCTACATGGCACTTCATACCTAGCTTAATGTAGGCAATTTAGACCCAGCTCATCATCACTGGGGGATAATCGCGCAAGGAGGCTGCAATGTATGGGCTATTTTGAGTTCTATTCCTGGGCATCAAGACGGTCTATCTATCATACAACACAACTGGTAAATTCCAGAGACCCTGAACTCCTGAATGGGCGGCGCATTGAGCTCCACAAAGGAATGTCGTCGAGGCAGATATTCTCGAGACTTCCTGATCCAGCCTGGTATTTTCCCCATGATATTGGTTGGCTCGTCCATTTCAATAGCGTTGCCAAGAACTGAATTCCAAGGTGACCGAAGAAATAAAAATCCCAGAAATGCTGAGGCCTGTAAACCCAGGCCGTGCTCATTTTGATTAGCAGCCCAAGAGGAAAACTGGCGAAGGGCCGGGTCTCACTTCGCCCTTCGCAACCCTTTTCTTTTTTAAGTGGAATCAACGAACTCCCGAGGATGGTCATACAGTGAACATTCATGATGCGGCCACGTTTTCTACCACTCGTATTCGCCTGTGGCCTTATGGAAGACGTATTCCTTGCCGCTGACGGTGAGGACTCCGTCCTTCAGAGTGCACTTCCTACAAGAATGTTAGCGACCCGGCCCAAGTGGCTTGCTTTCCATGTGTATCACTTACCACTTGTTCTTCACGCGCTGAACCTTGTCATACATGCAGAGCATGATGTTGCCAAGGGAGTCGTCATCATCGTCGTCGTCATCGTGGTCATCCTCCGGATCGTCGAGGTCGGAGTTGATAGCATCCTCATCATATTCCTCCTTGATGCTATCATCAGGGCCGTCAACTTGGGAGGATCTGGCGCCCTGTCTCGTCTGACCTGAAAGGCTCGCGTGTTTGGTGGCCTCCTTTAGTGGAAGCATCAGACCACCACCTTCCATCTGTTTCGCCCGAGAAGCGATCTTGGCATGGAGCAGAGCATCGATATCAACTCGTGCCATCTCAACCATATTGCCGTCGGCATCCCGCTGCACCAAGACACCCTCGAATGAGTCACTTGGGCCGTCCACCTGCGAGCGGCCAACTCCGCCCTGACCGTTGGCATGAGGAGCCTGCTGGTGAGGCTGCTGTTGACCCTGCTGTTGGGCGTGCTGTTGGGCGTGCTGTTGGGCGTGCTGTTGGGCGTGCTGGTGAGCCTGCTGGGGAGCCTGCTGAGCCCGTTGCTGCTGAGCAGCCATGGCAGCAGCCACCTCCTGACGGTATTGTTGAGCATTTAGGAGCTGCTGAGGTTGGCCCGGGCGCTGGGGCTGTTGGGTCTGTTGGACCTGGCCGGGGTGCATCTGTGGACCTTGAGTCATGGCGCCGCCCTGGAGGGCACTGATGGAAGCTGCCGCTCGTTGCCCATACTGATTCTCAAGCGCCTGAGCTGCGCGCCGCTGGGCCACATCCATACCGCCACCCATGGCAGCAGAATAGTTGGCGTGGGATGGGGGAAATCCGTTGCCGGCGAGCCCAGGTTCCTGCTTGACTGGAGCGTCGTTCTTAGCGAGGCCGGGTTCCATTTTCACCTGGGTGCCGTTGGGATTATGATAGGTGGGACCGGCAGGAAGCGACAACGGCTGCACATTTTGCACATTTTGCGGCGGGCTCGTCTGGGACGGGGGGTAGTGGGCGGCGGGAGCCGGCTGAGGGGGAGGAGCCGCGGCAACCGGCGGTGCATTGTTTGCTGGCGGCTCAGGTTCCGGTTTCGGATCCCATGGGAACTGGGCGACTTGTAGCTGCGACAGCTTGCGTTGCCAACCCTAGATTAATGCGGTCAGCTTGATTCTCATCAAGAGACATGGAAGATAGTGTGCATATTTGGTGACCGGCAGGGAGACAATTAGGGGAGGCACGTGATGAAGACGCAGTGGCCAATCGGAACGTTGAGTTAGGTGACCAAGAAAGACTGGAGCTGCAGGGGGCGGGGACTTTAAAAGACCCATATAGCGCTGGGTTGCCCTCCCCGAAGCAGCTGCCTTCTACCCCCTCTCGAGATGCAAGCCAGGCAACGGGGGCCCCGCCCCGAGGCAGCCAGCAGGACAGCCCGATTCCAGCACATCGACAATGAAGACGGCAAAACAGCCACGCGAAACCTGTTCAGGCTTGCTAAAACGATGACAGAGGAGAGGTTGATGATGGAACTAACGGAGGACGGAAAAGTGATTTGGGGGTTGAAGTAGGAGATCAGGATCTGCTTGAGACTTGCTCACCTTCTGCAGTTCGATAAGGATTCTCTCTTCGATACCGCCTTCTTCGAAATCAACGCGCGACGAGTCGATCACGTCTTCGATGATCTGGGCGTACACCGCGCCAACGTGCTGGTTCGACATCTTCGATACCTTTGTGGGAGGATGCCTGGTTGTGCTAGGTTGGGTAGAGAAGGCGTCGGTGGTACTGCCGTTGCCTTGATTTCGGATACGGGGAATCCCGAGTTACGATATTGCACCTGGCTCTCGCACTTTTTCTTATGCCCTCAATCCGAATACCTCTACGTCTTTTCTTTCACCTCGCAGCGATCGCAAGTCGGGTGGTCTGGCGCAGAAAGGAAGGAAGGTGCGTGGTGCTTCGGTACCGGGACCGGCTGAGGCGAGGCGACAAATGTGCGAAGACTCGGTTTCCCCCTTCGCGGCTGCAACGCCGCCGTAAAGTATCTGGAACTTCAATAATCTGCTTTCCTGCGCCCGGATACTCAGGTTTCTTGGCGATTTGGGCGTTGTGCGGTGATACCGTTGCGACCCTCTTTTCGCCTGTAGAGGATGTATTGTCGAAGTTGCTTTATCGGTCAGGCGCAGCTATGAAGGTTAATAGCCCGATTAGTCAGCCAGCTGCAGAAACCGGAAGGTGCCGCCCGCACCTCACCCAGGTGCAGTACCCAACTCCATTGCTCATGGCTATTCCTTATTACCTATCCTCATTCACTACGGGAAACGAAGCGGTGATCTAGGTATTCATTCACAACTCCATTCCTGGCTATCATGGTCTCCAGTTGCTATCATGGTCACTTCCAACGTTAGGAAAGCCAAGTAAAGAGCTCCTGCCTCAGCGAGGCGTCAAATTATTCACCGATTGTGGTTCAATTATGCTACTGTTGCTTTGCCCTTGTGGCATTCGGCGAATCATTCTACCATACAGCATACTCAAAGTGTGTCTTCATAACTCATGACCAAGCAGATCCATATCATTCCCGCATCGCATAGCAGCCCGTTCATACCGCACTTGGGCGGGAAGGAAAGCCTGTCCCAAATCCCCAACACCGCGCTGAAAGGACGACGTGACGGAAATCAACCGATGAATGCCAGAAGGAACCCCGTATACCTACCGTTGTCTGTGTGCTTGATTCTGACACTACCCAGTTTCTGCAATCCGCTGGCCACATCCCAGGTCCTTAGCGGATTGTCATCTGCTTGACCATGTCTGCCTTGCCGGAAGACCCAGCTCCAGCAACACCGGCGGTCGCACCGGCCTTCTTCTCGAAGATCTTCCAGAACTTCAGACTCTCATCTGCCGCTGCGAAAGTTGTTAGCCATGACTTGTGCCAGATGAATGAACCGAGGGGACAACCACGACTTACCTGCTGTAGCGAGCATTTGTCCGTCTGGGCTGAGGCAGCTGTGCAAGACCCGGCTCTCATGAGCGGGAATCTCGACATTGCGGACGAGAGTAGGGTAGCTCCAGATGCTGAGCGAGTTGTCAGGGAAGCCACTTGAGCTGACGATTTCTCGGTAGTGGGGGCTCCAGCGGAGGCTGGTGACCTGGGAACCGGTATCGATGCTGTTGACGCGTGCGCCCGACGTGGTGTTCCAGAAATGGATATGGCGATCGTAGGATCCGCCTCCGGTTGCGAGAAGGTTCATGTTCCACGGGCACCACGCGAGAGCCTTTACAGCGGCCTTATGGTTTGTCTTGGTGAACTTAGGAACCGAGAGCGACCGGGCGTCCCAGATGGACACGAGGTTGTCGTTGCCGCCAGTAGCGAGCTGTGCGCCATCCGATCTCCATTCCAGGCCGCAAACCTCCGAGGTGTGAGAAACGAGCTCGGCAATCTTGTGCTCGGCGATACGAACGTCATGGTTGTAGACCAAGCCGCTTCGTGCACCGGTCGAGAGGAGGTGCTTGTTCCAGCCCATGACACCAACGCGCGTGTCATGCCCGAACATGCTCCGGATCTTGGCGCCCTCGGCCACGTCCCAGATCTGGACTTCACCAGTTCCGAGTCCGACGCCGACGTACGCTCCGTCGCCTGACCACTTGACGCTGCTGACGTAGGTGTCGGCGCTGGTTTCCAACAGGCAGCTGACGCTTCCCTCATCGGCCGACCAGACATAGACGTTCCGCTCCAGGCCAATTGCCACCTGGTTCCCGGAGCTCCAGTCAAGGAGGTTGAGGTAGTAGTCATCGATGAGGCCCGGCGCGTCCAGCACCCGCTCAGGAGCGGTGGCAACGCGGCGCCTGAACTGTGCCGAGCTTGCATTGGCCGTCTTGAGGGGCCGGTTGTACTGCTGACGCAAGTCGATCGGCTTGGAAGACTCTGGGGGCGCAGGCTTGAATTGGAGAATGCGAGTGTTGAGGCTGACTCCACAGGCGTTGGCCAACGAGTCCTGGTATGCCACAGTGTTTGGTGAGGGCCGCGAGTATGTCGCCGGCTCATCATCGTCGATGTTCAACCCTTCGAGGGCGGCAATAGCGTCGTCCGTGGCGTTGGACAGAACTGCCGACGATTCGCTGCCGGCACTGGTCTTGGGCCGCTGCTTCTCGGGGAAGTCCAGCTTCCCAGACCCCACGTTGGCGATGGCCGAGCTGGCACCACGGTTGGGGATGAATCGATCTGCGGCATAGGACAGCGTCGTCCTGTTTGACTTCTGCCTCAGGGGGACCTTCTTGGACTTGGTGCTAGAAGGAGTCTTGCTGTGATGACCAGTTCCGGTCAGTGTAAAGTCCGACACGCCAAGCTCGAGGGCCTTCCGCGGGGTCGCAACACCACGGACGATGTTGGACTTGGGCGAGTCACGGTGGGCCTTCGAGCTAGACTTTGTGAGGTGTGCAGACAGGTTCCCTCCATAGACGGACTTAGAGGACGCCCGGTACCCGTCGTTGCTTGATGACTGTCGTTCCGGTGTGAAGGGTGACGAGTTGAGGTTGACGGGGACACTGGTGGTTGAGGCACGTTGACGGGGCGAGGGGGTCAAGGGCATGCGTCCGCCAGCGGTACGGGAAGAGAAGAGTCCCGTGTGGGACTTGAGAGGTGTTGATACTGATGCAGTTGCCATGATGCTGACTGGATATGCAGTACCGAGGAAATATAATGTCTCCAACGGATGACAAGTGAATGTATCGAGGAGATGAAAAGAGCTCCAATAGATCGAACGAGCTCCAAGAGACTCAAGCTAATGGTTCCTGGATGGGGTTAGTATTTCTGTCGTTGTTGGTTCGATAGATCGAAGTGGCCTTGACTAAGAGCGGCTGAAAGTCGGAGGGCGATCAAGTGGCTGCGAAGAGCGAGATGATCTAGTGGACTTGTAGGCTCTTGTGAAAAGGCTCAGGGTTGAGTGATTGATGCTTTTGAAAGCGAGACGGAGCGGGACGAGAGAGGTTGGAGGGATATCGGAGGAGAAGGAAGAGGGTGAGGTGGTTTGATGAGGAAGAGAAGAGAGAAATAGATGGCAAGCTGCGACTGCAGCATTTAAGGGATTGTTTACAGCGCTAGCCGTAGGAACAGCAACCGTTTGTTCCCCACTCTTTCCATTCTCGGACGTGGTCTGTGCAGATCAAGGATTTCAACTCCATCCAATCATTGTCGTCCTCGTTCCGTCGCTTTTCTTTTGGTACAGGGGGGCTCGGAAATTCAGCAAGTCAACTCTCGAAGTGCCCGCTTTTCAGCTGTCGCGAGGACAAGGGGACGGCTTCGTTCACTGCCGATCAGCAAGAGAGCCGCTCGTCAATTCCCAATTGCCCAGGAACCCCGTGAAACCTGGCAGTGATGCCGAATTGAAACGGGTTTGATTACTCCAGCAAGACATGGCGCAACCGTCAACTCCCGCTGGTCCAGCCCTGGGTCCAGCTGCCGGATCCTCCATCTTCGGTGGCAACGCGCAGGCCACTTTCGCTCAATCGTCCTCCCTGCCACTCTTGAGCCAGGCGGTGACGCCTGCTTCGGGCGCATCTTCTAACAATACCTACATCATGCCCAACTCGCCGCTGAAGCATCGTGCAACCATGGACGGCTACCGGCCCAAAGTCACCCGCACGCTCGGCCAGAAGCCAGCATGCCTGGTGAATGCCTCAGTTACCTATTGCGGAAACAATCAGATCTACGCATTTGGCGGGTTCGACCAGTACACGGATGAAGTGTACAACCATGTGTTGAGGCTCGACCTTGTCAGCCATCAATGGAATCTAGTAGACAACTATGGGGACATCCCGGGAGTGAGGATGGGTGAGAGACAGCCTTGATTGCTAGCCATTGGTGATTTCCGCCGTTAACATGACGTTACAGGCCACACTGCGACACTGTATAAAGGTGACAAACTTCTCGTGTTCGGCGGCGAGAACGAGCACCGGACCTACCTCTCCGACCTGATCATATTCGACCTGAAGACCGCGCACTGGACTCAGCCCCAGGTCACCGGGCCGATTCCCAAGGGCCGGGCCCGGCATGCGGCCGTGCTGCACGAAGACAAGCTATTTATCGTGGGCGGCATCACCGGCCATGACAACTACGTTCTGGAAGACATCTGCTACCTAGACCTGAAGACATACACCTGGTCTAGATCTTGGCGGTTTGTTGGCAGGTTTGACCATTCGGCATATATCTGGGGCGATCGGGTTTGGGTCTTTGGCGGCCTGAGCGAGGACATGGACAAAGTCAGTGACATATGGTGGCTGGACCTTAAAGGGAGCCCGGCATTTGACTCGCCGCCGCAAATCGGCTCCTTCGACCGGCCCGGCTTCAGTCGGTCACCGAGACCGCCCTATACTGCTGCGCAGTCGCCCGTTGTCGGAGCATCCGGCTATGCCGCCAACTCGCGGACAGCCCAGGTCAACCCGCCGTCTTTCCACCTGAAATCCTACGCCCCTCCGGCACCGGGCGTCATCTCGGCGTTGAGGTTTGTAGGCGGCCCCAATATTCCTTCACAGATGCAGGGGATACACTTCCACGTCTACTCGTCCGGGACGCTACTCGATTTTGTCACGCCGGCAGCGACAATCACCTCGAAAGAGTGCTCCCTGTCGGCCTTGGATCTGGGGACCCTGCGATGGCAGAAACTGGCGGAGGGACGCGAGATCTTCAAACCCGCATATCGCTGGCACTATTGCACCATGAATGAGGACGGGACGAAGGCCTGGCTCCTTGGTTGCCCCATCGACCACGGCGCGATCGATCTCGGCGCTAATGGCCTCGAGGAGTATCTGTCAGACATAATGGAGATTGACCTCCGACGGTATGGATTCCTGGGAAACAATCTGGCCCCTGAGCCGCGGACAGATCTAGTCCGGCAGTCCTCGCGCATGAGGCATGTCGAGCAGCCGTCCAAGGGCCTCGGTGCTGACCTGGCGAAGCTTTTCAACCAACCACCGGAGACGGGCAGCGGAACCGACTTTGTCATCACGGCGCTGTCTAGGGATAGCGACGAGGACGAGTTCATCGGCTCGGCACTGGTGCATGCCAGCGAATCTGGGGACGGCGATCACAGCTGGCTGGCGCCCGACGCCCCGACGTCGCCACCGATCTATGTGCATAGGCTCATCCTGCAGGCTCGATGGCCGCATTTCGCTCGTCTCTGGGCCAGCCAGATGGCCGAGTTCCACACCAAGAAGATGCACATCCCGGAGCCGTACAACGTCGTCAAGGCGTTCATCTTCTACCTGTACACCGACCACATCGACCCGCCGACGGCGGAAAACGACGACGGCGCGGCCACCAGCGCGGCAGACCTCTCGGACGTGGCTGGCCTGCTGGTCATGTCCAACATCTACAACATCCCACACCTGCGGCTGCTGTGCGTCAACAGGCTCAGCAAGGAGCTCGACGTTGACCACGCGTGCATCACGTGGCACTGCGCGGGGCTCGCCAACGAGGAGTGGCTGCGCAAGCGCGCGGCGGGCTTCTGCCTGACGCACTGGGGCCGCATCGTCCGCACGAGCGGCTTCCTGCGCCTGCCGCGCAGCGCCCTCGTCGAGCTGTCGCAGGAGATCGACATGGAGGGCCGCGTTGTCGGCGGCGACGAGCTCGACATGTTCGCCGGCATGGACGGGGCGCGGTTCCCCGACGGCGGTTCGGCCGCGGGGCGCAAGGGGAGCAGCAGCAGCAGCGGGAGCCAGACCCAGATGCTGGAGAGCGAGGGGGACGACGACGACGGGATGGAGATGACGTGAGCTGGGATTCTTGTCCTTTCTTCTTTTGTTTTCTCTCTCTTCTTTTTCATTTTTGCTTGTACAACTCATCGAGATCGTTTCCTGGCTTGAATATCAGCGATGGAGGAGCAGACCTTCTTCACAACGGCCAACTTGCGGAGTTCGGGGGTATTCATGTATGATATAGCTACCTAGGCTTGGGGGCTGGAGTCACTGGGTCTGTAGTTGGGGCTGGCTATCTATACGTCCTCGGGTCGACTACGCAGGCGTACACCGGAAACATGTGGGAAACGTGTTACGATATGGTAGGTACTGTATGCGGCGGCGTTGGAACACCTGTTCGTCTGGTTTGGGGGGGCATACCCCCTTTCAGGAATAGGGGAATATGGTAAAGTGTTTTCGGTGCAGATCATTAATCTTGCGACTGTTGGGGGTTCACCCATCATCAGGTTATGTTGGCCAGCAGAGGCAAAAGATAGACCTTTTAAATGCGAGTTGCGAAATACTTTGAAAAGCGGTGATGATTTTTTTTTCTATGACTGCTAAACCATACAAGACCCATTCTAGAGACTGCCGCTCGAATAGCAAAAAAGGCCTCCTTGCAAAAGTATTAACATTAATAGAAAGTAGGCAATGAATGCAAATGTGTTGCCGTATAGGCATCTTTTCCCTCCCCCCCTTTTTTGCTCCTTTTTGCTTGTTTCTTTTTTTCTTTCTTTTTTCCTTTTCGTTTTCAATGTTCAAATTAGAACGGTCGAGGCCCTCGTTTATGCAGCCTGAAAGGACTCCATCCAAACCCTCTATTGTCGTTCGTACATTTCGTCCTCACGTCGTCTCTCCCGAGTCTAGCCTCGCTCTATCATCACTCTGCTGACGACCACTGACAGAAAATTTTGGCCCAGCAAAGGCCGAAAGACGGGCCATTTGCTGTGGATCCAAACAAACGTAAAAAGGTTCCGAAGTAATCGGAAACGAAAAAGAAAACATATCGGCCCTTCCCACTCTTTTTTTTATATTCCTTTTGGGCCAGTCCAGTTGGATTGCTGGCTGGGGAGTGCTCGCAGAGCTGTGGGCAGGGAAAAAAAGACGCCCTGCGCTCTCGAGTCTAGGTCCAGGTTGGGGGTGGGGGTATATGGCGGCAAAAAAGAAAAGAAAATGCCCGAACGACCTGCCGCCCTCCTGCTGTCCATGAGAAACGCCGGCGGTGAATGCTGGTAAAAATGCAAGGTTCTCTGTTCTTTTTTTGTTTCCGAGCCCAAGGAGAGAAGTAGGAAATGGATGTAGTGATGACACGTAGCGATGACACGCAGTGACAACATGTAGCGATAAACGTGTGACGATGATGTTAAGCCGCGTCTCCGGGGATGGGAGGCGCCAATTTCTGTAGATAACCAGAGGAAACCCCAATCAGAATTGTGTGTCCTCGCCAATGTTGGGCAGTGCATGGGACAAGCCAATATCGAAGCCTCCTAGAGCATTCTGCTGGGTCAAGGCTGCAATAGTGGCCATTGCATTCTGCTGCTGTAGCCTTGTCTCGGGATCGCACATCGGAGAATGCTGCTTATGCTGCAAAGAGGGGTTAGCTCTGAGACAGAGGACACAAAACCACAGGGGTAAGGTTCATCTTACGTATTTGAGGCCATTGAGGTTCTTATACCGCTTGCCGCAGACATCGCACTTGAAAGGCTTCTCCTTTTCCATGCCAAGAGTCCCCGGATATGGAGTCGAGGTCTCGGGGTTGACGATGGAGAAAGTGCCATCGCCGTTTTCATGCAGCTGTTGTGACGTATGCCCATGTGTCTTGTGGTACCTATGCCTGTTGTTAGCCGAATGTCCAAGGGGGGGTTGGAGGCAAGGGAGTTTTCCGCAGCACGGTCCAACTTACTTGAGCCCGTTCTGGTTTTTGTAGGCCTTCTCACAGCCGATGACAGGACACTTGAAGGGCTTTGGCTCCTCTGCCGGCGGCATCATCAAAGCGGTCATATGCTGGAGGAGGAGGGCCGGGTCTGTGCCAGGAGGAAGCTGGCTTGGGTCCAGGTTCAGTTGCTGCAGCTGCTGTTGCAGCTGCTGCTCCAACAGGCGGCGCTGGTTCACAGCAGGGGTGGTTCCACCAGGACTATATAGTCGCTTGGCAGGTTCATCTATGCATTCCATCCCGAGCACCCCATTTGGCTTTCCGAAGTTCAGGCCAAACTGCGAGCCATTCAGGTTCAGATTGCCCAGGTTCATCTTCATGGGCATTCCAGGGATCTCATCGTCTAGGTCAGTGTTGTCCTGGTCAAACTGCGACTGGCCGCGCTGCGGCAAGCCTTGCTGTGTGGTGAGGGTCGGGGTATTGACCGATGAGACTGTTGGGTTGTTCTGGAAGCCAAAGCTCGCAGTGGCGGGTGTGGTCGGCTGGGAGTTGCGGAGGGCCTGGTGGGCAAGCCCAGAGCTATTCAGATGCAGCTTGGGTCGCTGCTGCTGGCCAAACAGTTGTCTCGTCTGCTCCATGGTCCGCTGGCTGTCGTCAAGGTCCAGAGGCCCCAACGGGTCATCCATCTCCATGTCCCCGACGGCATCCATGTCATCGTTCATCTGGGAGGACAGCTGGTTCTGCTTTTGGGAAGCCGGCGTCAACGGCTGCTGTTGCCGCATCATCTGCTGGATACCCCCAACGCCCCCTGCAGCGCCACCAGCCTGCCGGCCTTGTTGGTAGCCTGGGAGAGCCTGGGCTCCATGCTGGGCAGAGGCTATTGATGTGTTGGAAGGACCGGGTCTCGGGGTGGTAGGAGTCCGCATGTTGGTTTGGCCACCGTACGCGCCAAAGTTCTTAGCATTTTGCGGGTTCGGCTGGGTATGGTTTTCTTCGTAATGCTGGAGGAGGTCGTGTAGTGTGGGCCACGTCCGATCGCAGCAGATGAAATCTCGCATGAAGTTTGCCTCCAGCTTGGGAATGTATGAGGACGAGTGAAATGACGGCGACTGATGCGTCATATACGGCGAGGTGCCGGCCATCATAATGCTATTGTGTCGCAAAAAAACCAGAGTTAGCCCCTCCATGTGTGGATAGGATGCGAGACAAAGGAGAGACGGAATCGTCGATGGGACGGGGACAAGGAGACGGGGACGAGGGCAACCACAGTGTCTTGCCTTGAACCATGGCCCGAGGCAAGATACACAGCAGCGGGGGAAACGAAAAAGGGAACATTTGCGATGGGGAAAGACTTACTCGTCGCGAATAAAACTGCCCACGGAAATCCCGCCCCAGCTCATGCCTCCCATCATGCTGCCGGCGAGGCTTTCTCTGCGCGCGCGATTGGCATGGTCGCGGTTCGGATTGATCATAGAGATGGGCTTGGGCCCGGCGCTGACAAACGAGTCCTTGCGACTGCGGCTCATGGCCGAGTCGAGGTTCGGGCCTGTGGTCATGTCGACGTCAGAGGGGCTATTGGCGAGATCGCCGCCGAAAAATAAGTCGTCAGGCGGGCTGCGCAAAGCAGGCGAGGAGGGAATAGCGATAGGCTTGGGGCCCGCGAGGTTGGAATAATTTCCGGGACCAAGGACGGGTGAACTTGGGGTTGCCGGTTGGGGAGGCGGCGAGGGCGATAGCGACGATAGTGACGAGTAAATGGGGGAAGAAGACGAATGAGAAGTGGTAGTGGGTGGGCGGTCGTCGGAGGCGGAAGAAGACGCGCGATAACAATTATTATTCGTGTCGCTGTTAGCACTGTCAGGGCCCAAAGTGCTGGGACCGTCGCCTCTGGTGGTTGCGCCCCGGCTGGGCGGCTTATCGGTACTTGGCCGCGGATTAAACCACTTCAGGGCGGTCCTCATGTCGAAGTTACTTGTGGGGATTCCGCCACGGGGCAAGGTCACCTCGGGATGGAAAATGGCCGGAGTAGGAAACGGGGTGCAAAGGATCAAAAGTCAGCCAGCTAGATGACCCGGTAGATGCCAGTGATGACCACTCGTCTCTTCTGGCGTTGTCTCTGCTTTTGAACTCGTCCTGTTTGAGGGCCAGAGCGTGTCTCGGCTCGCGGGCTGGCGGTTGGTGTAAGTGTCTGCTCTCCGATCACCTAAGGTATCAGGTACCTCGGTCGGTACATGCAACCTTGGGAATCTACTGCCTGGAAAGGCACCTACCAGGGAAACCGGGCGGACAGAACTTAGGAGGACGGGTTGAGGGACCACCTGGCTGGTGGGCTGGGTGTTTCTTCTCGACAGTTGAGGTGGGATGCCGAGATCCTTTTCCTTTATAACTACCTACCTACATCTGGTGAAGCCTTGTGGCCGTGTGACGCACTGACGCCGCATGGCGGTGATGGCGGGAGGTTATTCTTCTAGAGACGGACTATGGCTATGCCGCCCAGCCAAGGGGGTTACAAAGGTTGCATTACAACCACCACACCCGACTAGGCAGCCCCAATAGTTTAGAGCTAAATGGCAAATAGGCGCAAGGATACATGATCGTTTCCTGGTTGACGCTCGATTCAGTGGATTCCTTCCTGACTCCCGGCCATGTCGGGTAGGGAACAACAATCGGATACATCCAACCCCAAAGTATCTATTCGTACTAGCTACCAGGACTCCGACCTAAGATTTAACCATCAAAGGTGAGAGTTGGAGTGACTATTCTGTTTCCTATCGCAGTTAGCATAGCAGTTATCTTGAAACGCGTGTACAGAGAGGCAATGGAAGTAGTGTTGATGATAGACATGAACGATGGGCTCATAGGGACGTCATGACTTCTCACACCACCATCTACATCTACCTACCTCCCTTAGTAGGTAGGTACCTAGTGCTCTGCGACGGTGACTGTACTGGGGACATGTAGGTAGACACCCGACTCTCACCTGCATTTGCCCATCGCTGCCAGTACTGCGACAGCCTCACAATCCTCACTCGGCCCAGCATGACCGGCGAGTCAATCATACTAACACAGATGGTACTACGGACGGAATACCGATCCCCCAACGAGTCGACAAACCTGTGTCTCGAGTCGGTGAGAGTCCCCGATGGCCCTGGATCCTTGCTCGTACTGCTCATACCGTTTTGCGCTAGTCTCTAGTGTTGCATTGGCAAGGCTCGGCCACAAGCCGCCGTCGCCGCCGTCGCCGCCGTGGCTTGACTCATGGCATCCACGAAACTTGCCATCCGAGGCGAGTTACACAATAATCTCCACCATTAGCGATCTTCGAGATCCATTCTATGGAGCACGTTGCCCGTTTGGGGTTGACGGAACCACTCCGTGGGTAAGCTATCAAATTAGGGCAAGTTAGGGTGCGCTACCTCGTCATTCTTCATTTTGTACTGCGGTACACCTTTGATGCCCTTGAAGCGCCCTTGGTCTATCAGCATGGCAGATGGGGAGCTGGAACCGAAGCACACGAGGCGACTTTCTGCTTCCGGCCTTCTATTGCAAGCCAAGCTTCCACGTTACTTTCGGCTCCTAGGTTCTCAAACAGAGATTCGCTTCGGGACGAGCAAGACAGATAGATGTATATAAGGTGGGTCGCGAAGCAGAAAGTGTTCCCGTGATTCCACTCGCTACTACCGGCGGTAAGTACCGATATATGGCAAGCGCCGACCACAAACGTCGGTGTGCGGCCAAGCTACTACTGTGCAGCAAAGCTCTTCGGAACAACTCCCTCTCCTCCCCTTCCTTTCCTTCAGTTCATTCAAACAGTTCTAGATGCATGTGGATGTCAGGCCAAGAATAATATCAAGCTGTAACTGTTAGTGTAAAAGAGGTGGCGCTAATAGACACTAACTCTGGTGGAGCAGTGGTGATTGGTGGTTTGAAGGCAGCTGCACGTGTAAATGCATGCAAGATTACCTATGGATACCCTCCACCACCAGGGGTCTAGCATGAGTCTCCCGACCCATGTCATCAACCGTTTTCTGCATACACCTTACTAATGAGCAACCACTTCCATTTCCGGCAGACAGCCTGTCGGTCGGATATGGGATATGCTGCGATATGCACTAAGTAGTAGGTAGCAGCAGAGGGGAAATGGTTATGCACCAGGTACCGTAACTTGGAGGGATGCCACTGTCGTCACTTTTCAGATCTCACAATCGAGATACATGTAGAACGAGAGGTATCGAGGGGTGGGGAATCGCCTCATCTCTCAAACGTCCTAATGCTTCCCAAGACTCTCAGCACCCAGAAGCCGCCAAGTGGCAGATTCGACTAGCCTGACTCTACTGCAGGTTATATCAACCCAAGCCCTAACCATGTAGCCTAGGTAGTCGTCTTCTCTACTACGTATAACATACGACGACTCAACATGCCTCGCTCACCGTCAACATGGAAGCCAGCCGAGTTGTGAGGCTGCAAGTGGGCCAAAAAACGGCTGAGCCGAACTGGTTGTCTTGAGTCACGAGTTCAATCAAGTGAAGACCCAGCGCCAGGACCCCAAGGATAAGTAAGTGCCTACCTAGGTTAGGTATGTCTGGGCTCTACAACGTATGTGGCCTCTGTTCATCTGCCCGCCCTCCGGTCGGGTGCCCTTCCGATGGTGTGGCGCGGTTTGAGGGAAGCATCTCCGCCGCCGGGTTGTCCGACCACCCGCCGACTCCCGTCCATCCCCTCCCAGCCTCTCAGGCGTTCGGCGGGTGTCGGTTTTTCTTTTAAGTGGTTTTTCTTTTAAAAGACAGCATGCCTGGCATTTAAAAGACTTCGGACTTCGCACTTGGTGAAAAGAAAGGCAAGGTAAGGCTGGCGTGGCTGGACAGACGAAGGGCATCCTTCGGAAACCGGAATGGCTAATTGGCGGCCAGGTGGTGTCTCCGCGGGAATCCTGATAATATGGCCCGTGTGCGACCGGCGAAAGCAGGAATGAAGGGTCAATTATCAGTCGATTTCGGGATTTTCAGAACCAGAGGGCTGACCCGGAGTTAGCTCGGGGACCTTTTGCGGCCTTCTGAGTGGCCAGCCTGCAGTTCGAGGTCAAATCCCGCCTGGGTTACATAAGTCGTCTGGTGGTAAGCGATTTTCGCCACGGGCCAGACGGCCTTTGACATCACCAATTTTTTGTCGCATGATATCATCCAGCGTTCCTAGAATTCCCTAAGCTTGGGAACCCGTCAATTGAGTTCCTTTATATGAGAGGTATCACTGCCATTCTTCGGTTTCCAGACATCTGAGCTGTACAGAATCTTGAAGTTACCTAGCCTCACCCACACCAGTGGGCTCGTCATCGAATCATGAAGGTCATCAGCAAGGAGGAAGAGCAGTCCCACTACAACTATGTGATCAAGGGCGGCCTCATCGGCGGCACAGTCGGCCTGACGCTCGCCCTCGGGGGCGCCATTGCCGCATCCCGGCGGTACGCCGGATTCCGCAGTCTCACGCTCCCGTTCCGGTCCTTCCTGGTCTCGTCCGTCACTACCGCCAGCGCCATCATAACCGCCGAGCGGTACTCGATCAACTACGCCAAGATGCGCGACCCCATGAGCAACTACAAGGACGCCTCCCAGCGGGCCCTGGAGGAGGCCAGGAGCAAAAACACCGGCGTCCAGAAGTTCGTCGACTGGGGGCGCGAGAACCGCTATACCATTGTCGGCATCAGCTGGATCGCCGCCATGGGGATCGCCATGGCCATCGTCAGCCGGAACAAGTACCTGTCGACGAGCCAGAAGCTGGTCCAGGCCAGAGTCTACGCACAGGGCTTGACCCTGGCCGTGCTGGTTACCACCGCCGCCTTCGAGACCGCTGATGCCAAGAGCGGGAAGGGCCGCTGGGAGACGATCAAGGTGCTGGATCCGGACGACCCCGAGCATAAGCACATGATCGAGAAGAGAATCCACAAGGAGGAATACGAGGGCCAAGACCTCTGGAAAGGTGAGATCCCCCCCGTGCCCCTTTAAATCCCTCGCTCTTCCCTTCGATGTTCAAGTTATTAACTTTTGTCCTTGCTTAGATATGGTAGCTGCAGAGGAGCGCCGAATGGAGGCTCAGAAGCAGGCCAAGGCCGCGATCGCGAAGCAGAACCATTGAGAAGCCCTCCGTCTCTCCACCTGCCAGGTAGCTTCCCCATCTAGTCCAGAAGATGATTAATTGCCCGCCTGGGAGAGATCCCAGTCCGGTGTGGTGCCTCGGGCACCTGAACTTTGTACTTGTACACACATACCATCATCTCCGGTTCAAGGCCAGACACGAACCCTCAACCCCCCACCCCCCCGGAAGGAAAAGTCGGTTTGGCAGGCGTTTCAAGGCGTTTCCTTGTTCTTTGTATGGGCAAGCATGGGTGCATTGATGGCGAGTTTTGTGGACTGGGCTGGAATGGCAATCTTCCGGTTGCTGAAGACAAGTCATGGGTATTAGACTAGCATAAGCCATATAAAACGAAGATAGACAGGACTGATTCCCACCGTTTTTGTTCATGATTCTGCAGACTGAAACGCCTCTCATTGTATTCCCCCCCATCACAAATAAAACCCCACGCGCAAGTTCGTTCTATGATATTCGCCGCGTCCTTGACCCGCCAGATATATAACCCGCCCGTTCCCAAACCGCCACCCCCCCTTCCCCCGCTTACCGGGCATCATCATACATTTTTTTCAATCACACCTCGATCGTGAAATGGCTGATCTGAGAATAATACGCGTGGACGGCGAGTTCCAGTATCCACACGTCGCCAAACACCTCGCTGCCGTCGAAGCCCCCGATGACCAGCAGCCGGCTGTCATGCAGGGCGGTGCCATGGTAGCCGCGGCCGCTGGGGGGCAGGCCGTAGACCTTCCGGCGGTCCCAGGTCATGGTGACGAGGTTGAGCAGCAGGACGTCGTTGGAGTACTCGTTCCCGTCGTGGCCGCCGACGACGAACAGGTACGAGCCCACGATGGTGGCCGTGTGCGACAGCCGCCGGTGCGTGACGGGGATGTGGACAGCCTTCCAGGCGTGCGTCTCGACGTCGTACACCCACACGTCGTTGAAGCACTCGCCCCCGTCCGACCCGCCGAAGATGATGAGCTTGCTGCCCACCATGTTGGCCGTGTGGTAGCCCCTGGCCTTGGGGCTGCCGCCATCCTTGGCGCCGGGCGACTTGGACGAGGACGCGGACGGCGAGGGCGGCGAGGTCGGGGCCGAGACCAGCTTCCACGACATCTTGTTAGTGTCGCTCACGTCAAGCCTCCAGATGTCGTTGAGCGCCCTGACGCCGTCGCCGCCCCCGAAGACGTAGATGCCGTTCTTGTACAGGCACGCCGTGTGGGCGCGCCTCTTGGACGGCACCTTGTCGCCCAGGATGCGCGGGCGCGACCAGCGGAAGTTGACCGTGTCGAGCACGTAGACGTCGTTGTAGTAGGCCGGGCCGTCGCCGCCGCCAAAGACGACCAGCTTCTTACCCACGGCGGTGCAAGTCATGGCGCGCAGCGGCAGCGGCAGGTCGCCGACCACGTGGGGGGTCGACCAGTGGAACGAGTCGGCGTCCAGCACGTAGAGCTCGTTGAAGCACGTGCGGCTGTCGCACCCGCCGAACACGTACACGTTGCTCCCCACCAGTGTCGTCGTGTGCGCCCGCAGCGCCGTGTGTGGCGACCCCGACACCGGCGCACGGCTCCAGTACATGCCCGACGACGGCGCCGCCGGCACGTCCGGCGCTGTCCGTGCGTCCGCAAGAGGCGGGAACGCCGTGTGCACGCCGCGCGCCGTCGTCAGTCGTGTGCTCCACCCACCACCACCGCCGCCGCCGCTGCCAACCCCTCCCCCACTCCCCCTATGTACGACAGGTGAGGAGCCCGAAATCCCCGGGCGCGCGGCTATTGCCGACGTGGAGCGTAGGTTGGTAGGCCGCTGCGCGCTGGTGACGCTGCTGTCCCTGCCACTGCCGGCAGAGGAGTCGTGGCGGTCGCGGTCGCGATGATGCTGGGTGGCGCTCGCAGAGGTAAGCGCCGCGACATCCTCGCCGCCGTTGCTGGTGGTGGCGGAGAGGGGCTTTGGGGTCGAGGCGGCTGGAGACGGGAGGGAGAAGGTGGCCTGGCTGGCGGATAGCGAGAGGGTTCCCCCCGCTGCGGATTGCGAGCGCTGTCGGAGGGAGAGTTCAGATGGCCTGTGGCGGCGGTCCTGGCTCTTGGATGCGAGGTGGCCCGGTGTGTGGCTGCGGGGTATGGGGGGTGCGCGGTTGTGCGTCTCGTCAGCTGAGCCTTCGAAGGGCTCGTGGCGAGGCTCGATAGGGGATGTGCTTTGAGAGATCTTCTGGGAGCGGACGACCTTGGTCCTGGAGGATGAGTGCGACGGCCTGTCTTTGCCTCTGGCGTCAGCCATCGTGGGGTCGAATGATCATATCCTGAACATGGGCAACGTGTGGGGGAGAGCGAGGAATTGATGGGGGTTGGGATGGCGGAGACGAGGAGACGAGGTTGGATGGCCTTTTGAGATTGGCGAGAGATCCGTAGGTGGGAAATGGTTCCCAAGCTTGGGACCGATCTATGCGTTGCTGAAAGAGGTATGCAGCGATTGCAAGTTGGTTGGTAAGGGGGGAGAGAGACGTCAAAGCTACGGGCTGCTGCAGGTCCATGCATGAAACTATTCATTCACCCCCACCTCCACCTCCCCACTATCTCCCGCCCGCTCCCGCTCCCTCCAAAATTAGGTACCTCATCCAGCATTTATTATGTTCGAGTATTTTTTATCTCTTGTGTCTCCTCTGTGCTCTATATGTAGATGAGACGCCGAGTATTCTCCAGAACGGGACAAGCGTCGGGTTTCGACTTTATGAGTGTACCGAAATAGCACTTTCCCTGGGCCGAGATTTAGAATTACCCCTCGATTTCTGCATAACCCGGAAACTCGAATTTGCGCTGATCTTTGCTCTAGGTACATCCGTACATACATCGATGTTTACCCCTGGCTCCACATTCAAGCTCTGCAAGGCAGACTGGGAACATATACCATCTCCAAGCAGATCAGCAGCCTTGGCCTGTTCTGCAATTCAAAGCAGTGCTTTGGCCTGCTGCAAAAAGGGGTCACTCAACACCTTCCTGTGGTATCTAGATTCTTTTAATCCTCACAGCATTCAGCTGTTTAAATAATGCTATGATCCTTCTACCAGCAAGATCTAGAGATCTAGTGAGAATAGGACGTTCTTTCTATACGTTGTTATCCAATTGTAATGTCAGGCATATGAAGAGCTGGAAAATTCCTGAAGAGTGGTATGTATGTACCTCTATACTGCGTATAGCAGTAGGTGTGGGCTCCGGCCGCCGCGCCCCGCCGCGGGGTTAAAAAACAAATTCTCAGCGCCGGATTGTTCCCGTTAACAATCCTGCGAATTGATCAGAATTTTATAGTGCCGGCACATACCAAACCACCAGCTTTAAGTGACTGCTGATAGAGATGGAGGAGGCGAAGAGAGCTCAAGAAACGGCCAATGGCGCTTCACCACCAAACACAGATGAGCCACCTACTAAACGGATCAGGCTCGACGATGGCTCTCCAGCGGTTGAGGCTGGCGTGCCGAAGAAGCCAAGAGAGAAGATGAGAGGGATGGCCTTTATCAAAGAGGAGTAGGTCGTCAAACTCACAGCTTGATCGGCGCCGTTGCTAACTCCCGTCAGGTATCTCGTCTTCCCGCCTGGAGCGGCCGGTGCTGCCAAGGATAGCACGGCCATCGATGACGACGCAGCCGAGGGTCGCACCGCTCCTGACGCTCGCGGTGCGCGTCAGGATTCCCGTGGCAACGGTTCTCAGGGCCAGAGAAAGAAGCAGAAAGGCCAGAACCAGCAACGTGACTTTGGCCGGTTTTCTGATTCCATCCGTCTTTGCAACTCCCTCGCGCACTCGCCTGAATTCTCCCCTGGACAGTGCAGGATGGGAGATCGCTGCAAGTCTCTTCACGATCTCCGGAAGTATCTAAAGGAAGGTCGCCGCGGTGACCTCGAGTCTTTCGGTGGCAAATGCCCGACCTTTGAGGCCTATGGCAAATGTTCTTCCGGCTGGCGATGCCGCTTCCTCTCGAGTCACATGAAGGAGGTCGAGAGAGAGGACGGCCGGAAGGAATTGATTCTTGTCGAGGACGCTAGCAAGATATATGTGGCAGGCGATAACGTTGATGACCAGTATCCGGGTGTGGTGAACGTCGTGCCCGCAACGAGCAAGTCGGACCTTGAGAAGAAACGGGTCAAATTTGAAGATGCGGACAAGTTTAGCCAGTGGCTCGAGAAGGACGCAGCTCTGTATAACAGCCTTCACAACAAGCGCAAGGACGAAGGAGGCGATCACATCGAAGAGTATCGCGCCCAATATGTCGACCCTCCTCTGAAGCCTTCGGAAAAGAGACGGATCTACTTTGGGCGAGAGACCCCAGTCTTGGCTCCGTTGACAACTCAGGGGAACCTACCATTCCGGAGGTTATGCGTGGAGCTCGGAGCTCAGGTCACTTACTCCGAGATGGCGTTAGGGTTACCGCTCATCCAGGGTCAGAAGGCTGACTGGGCACTCATGAAAGCCCACGAGAGCGAGATCAGCCCCCCTCGCATTGCCCCTGGCAGCCCAATTGTCAAAGGCTACGATAACTCGAAGGACCTCAAGTTCGGAGCGCAGATAGCCACAAACGCCCCCTGGATTGCGGTCAAGGCAGCCGCGGCGCTGTCCCGATATCTTCCCCATCTTCGCCTCATTGATCTCAACTGCGGATGCCCCATCGACATGGTATTCAACTCAGGAGGCGGGTCTGCCTTGCTCGATTCGCAGGCGAAGTTGGAGAGGATGGTTCGGGGGATGAATGCGGTGTCAGGGGAGATTCCCATCACGATTAAAATCAGAATGGGCGTCAAAGACGGAAAGCCGACCGCCCACAAGCTCGTCGAACGCATGGCGTTTGGTAGCCCGGAGTTGCGTGACACGCTCGGCGCCGCGGGATGCGCCGCAGTCACACTGCACGGCCGGACCCGCCAGCAGAGATACACCAAGGTCGCTGACTGGGGCTATATCGCCGAATGTGCGGCACTGATCAAGTCGTACCAGAAGAAACAAGGCGACTTGACGGATACGATCCGTGAAGTCGAGGAAAACACCCTGGCCAATACCCCTGGGGGGAAGATGTATTTCCTGGGCAACGGCGATTGCTACTCACACGTTGAATATTTCAACCATATTGACGAAGCCAAGGTGGACAGTGTGATGATCGGGCGAGGCGCCATCTTCAAGCCGTGGATCTTTGAGGAGATCGAGAAGGGGCAATTCCTGGACAAGTCGGCGACCGAGAGGTTGACCTATATCGAGAAGTTCTGCCGCTACGGACTAGAAGCCTGGGGGTCGGACGAACTCGGCATCGGCTTCACAAGGCGGTTCCTCCTCGAGTTCCTCAGCTTTTTCTACCGGTACATCCCTCTTGGCGTTCTCGAGCACTGTCCGGCGAGCCTAAATGATCGGCCACCTGCGTATCGAGGAAGAAATGATCTGGAGACCATGTTGGCAAGCGATAACTACAAGGACTGGGTCAAGATCAGGTATGTCTTGCTCCTGTATTTCGGTGGCTGTTGAGGCATGCTAATGGCAAATAGTGAGATGTTCCTCGGTCCCACCCACCCCGATTTCAAGTTCCAGCCGAAGCACAAATCGAACAGCTATGAGATAGAAGCTGAAGGTTAATTTGGGGAGCCGAGCCGAGCCGAGTCAGCCCTGCCGGCAGTGCCTCTCTCGTTGCCAGAGCAAACATGATGGCTGAGACAAGCAACCAATTTTCATGAATGTTAGCTCGATCGAGGTGCGAGAGAGCCTATAAGGGCGTAACTGGGATGGGTGATGGAAATGAGGCCGAGCTAGCTACCGAAATGCTGTGCTTGTGCAAGGGGCATTTCTGGCGTGACGTCCGACCACCAGGCAAGAACTCTAGAATATGCAAGCTGCAATGCCAAAGGTTCCATGTAATACCAGGACGCATGTATATACATACATGAATGTACATGCGTGCCGCAGACCCAATAGCCCCCAAATCAAGTGGAACTGTATTAAAAGACAAGCTTCCCATTTTGGAGACCGCAGGTGGCAAGCAGGCTTATCTACATGCCACGAAAAGTAAAGACTGTTTCACGGCCGACTTGGCTGGACTTCACCATCGGGATTGTCCATTAGAGTTCCTGTGCCTGCCGAGACATCTCAGTGGATGTCCCCGTTCTAGAGGAAGCTTATTCGGCCTTGGCACGGGGAGACTCAAGACCAGTGACTTACACACCGAATGTCTCATTCGACATGTGGCATGCCACGATAAACTCCCTCTCCGCATGGGGATCATCTCACCGATCTACCAAGTCTCTCTCTCGCTCCAGGTCCTCGTCGACACCTGTGCCTACGTCGCCATCTTCGTCCCCAGGTACGACCACTTCAAGGCCTCGCTCGAGAACTCCATGCTCGCCATCTACGAGGGCGTCTCTCTCCCTCGGGGTGCACGTCGCCTTCTGCCGCGGCGTGGGTGGACTACTGCCCCGGGCGACTACGAGGACCCCCCTCTCGCCTTCCCTCGGGCTACGCCGCCCGCGCCCCGCCTTCGCGTGTGGTGTCGTTGGCGCCGTCCTCGGCATGCCGCAGGAGTGGTTCACGGGGCCCATAGGGAAGTTTTGCGAGGACCCTCACGGGGGTGACGTCGGTTTCAAGCTTGCGTTTGGGTTTGCTGCCGTCTCCTACCTGGTGCTGCGCACGGTGGAGAAGAGGCACTTCTGGAAGTGAGGGCTGCCAAAGGGACGGGGGAGTAGAACGGAAGACCAAGTAATGGTTGGTCTTCTAGCGACATCAGGTCGTCCGGGCCACTTGTAAATATTCATCGAATTGACTTCTTCACGCGTAAATAATGACTACACACCTACGGCAAAATACAAGTCGCCGGCCCCTGGGGAATAAGGGGGAAGTAGAGAATAAGAAAATCTGCCCACTACTTGATAGCACCACTAAAGTCTCCAATTGGGATAGTATTACATAACAATGCTCGGATATCAATTATTGCCTCTCGCTATAAGGCTATCGCTACAGAACAACGAAAGGTTGCGGTCCCCTGGAGTTTCCCTCACACATGTAGAAACGCCAAAACAACTCCTTTTTGCCATCCAATTTCCAGAAACAGATATAGGAAACACCGCATATCCCGACACCACCCATCACCAGAGCGCAAATCCCTTCAGGCCATCAGGCCTTAACAGATCCCGAGAAACCCAAGCCGAGCCCCTAGCCGGGGCCCATCAGTCTCGGGGTCGATCCTCCGCAACAAGGGCCGGGACCCGTTCGGCAGGTCAACCTCAGCGTCAACCCCAGCCCCGCCGTGCCTCGCCCCATCCCTCTATGAATAGAACTGGCTCTTCTGGAAGCTCTCCGCCGTGACGTCTCCAAGCTTTGTCTGCGGTACGGCCGAGAGCGGCGCCTCGGCCTTGTTGGACGGCACGGCCGCGGGGGCGCTGACCGCGCTCGTCAGCGAGCTGGCCCTGCTGCTCTCGCCAGCAGCGGCGTTCTCGATGGCGGCGAGGGGGGGCCGGCCGGCGACGGGCTTGCGGGCGACCTCGAGGAAGGTGGCGGGCAGGTAGCCGATGCGGCCGTCGCGGGCGCGGCAGCGCCACCACTCGCTCGGGTTGCCGAGCGGGTCGCTCTTGCTGAGCACGGCGACGAGGTCGCCCTTGCGCACCTCCATGTCCACGTCCTGCACCACGGCCTGGCCCTGGGCCGAGGGGGAGTAGTCGTACAGCACGCGGCAGAACTCGAGCTTGGAGGGGTCGATGGGCTGTTGCTGCGCGAACTGCAGCTGGCGGCGCCGCTCTTCCTCCTCGGCGGACGAGGCGAGCGCGCGGATGATCTTGCTCATGATGTAGGGGAGGCCGAAGGCGGCGAGGATGAAGAAGAAGAGGGGCTTGCGGCTGGGTTTTGGCGCCGCGCCCTGTGCGCCGTCGATCGAGGGCTGTTGCCGGCCTTCGAAGCGGGCGAAGGCGGAAGGCGTGAGAGCTGTCGCGTCCGCCGGCGGAGGGCGGCCGGTGAGTTTCGCGATCAGGGTGCGGATCCAACGCATCAGGGTGAAGATGCCCAGCACGGAGCCGAGGGTGTCCCGTAGATTGCCAAATTGCTCGGCGACCGAGACCATGGCTTTGAAGATGTCAGTACGCGATCGCGACGTGATTCGTAATCCGGGATAGACTTACCGAAGAAGCTTGAATGAGTCGCCATATAGGTGCTCTCCAACATCTGGGCAAAGCCCCCAAACGCGCCGACCACGCCCTCCAACATCTGGAAGGTCGCCTGTGTGCTCATGTTGAACCGATTGGTCAAGCTGTCCGGGTTGTTTGGGTCGCCCGGCATCCCTCCCTGCATGCCGCCGTACATGCCGCCCATGCCGCCTCCGTATCCTCCCATGCCGGCCCCGTACCCTCCCATTCCACCATAGGATCCGTACATGCCGCCTCCGTACCCTCCCATGCCACCCATGCCACCCATGCCACCATATCTCGAATAAGGCGATGCGTATGGCGATGAGTAGGCGCCACCGTATGCTCCTCCATAAGGACTCGCTCCTAGCCGGCTATACGCGGCGGCATTCTGATTCACCGCGGCGGTCAACGATTCTGGTCGCGCGGGTATGGCTGGGGTTGTGGAGGAGGTCATCGAGGTTGTAGGCATGGCTGCGGTGGAGGTGGAAGTGGCCGTGGAAGATGATGGAGCGAGCGTTGCTGATGAATTGTTAGCGGGTCCTCCTGATTACACAAGGCATAACAAGGTGGAGGTGGAAGCCAACCTGATGTAGCTGGTGTTGCGCCTGGCCGCTCCCAAGGCTTTGGCGGTGATGCCATGATTGTTGTGAGGGTTCCCGGCCGGCTGCTCTCAGCGTGTGTCCCCTCTGGAATCTGGAAGCCGACCAAGGTTTTCCAAGGTGGCGACGGATCGAAATCCGGGCTTCGGAATTGAAAAGAGGTGTGACCAGGCCAGTATGAGAAGTCGGCGACGTGACGGTTACAATGATGGAATTGATTGTAGCTGAGTGCGTAGGTGATTATCGGCCCAAGCCGCGGGCGGATGGTTTTGTCATCGGAGAATGGGGCCGACCAGGAAATGGTTGCGGTCGGGTGGAGAAGCGGTTTGCCAGAGGGGCAACTTCCCCGGCTTGTGAACCTCGGTATTTTGGTCGGCACGCCGGGCACGTCACTCGGTACCAGGCTATAAGTCCATTGGTACATGTTCACTACAGTGGATGTCCACCAGATTTTGGCCTCGATTCAGGTATCCTACCCCCATATCTTAGGTACCTCTCCTGCATCCACATGTAGGCGGTCCTGATTTGTTCCTCCCTCACAACCACCAACAGTAGAAGCCTCCTTTATGTCATATCATATTACACATATAATTGCAACAACCACACTGCGAATACCCTAGCAGGGGGGTAGGTAGGCATTGATATGACCGTCTCTAACAACTCTCTGCCTCCAGCCAACCAGCACTTTCAGGCTGCAAGCAACTTGGGGCGAGATTGCCTAGAGGCCTAGGCACCGCTGGTTAAGGTTGGAAATATTGGCTGAATTCTTTAGCTATTTTTAGCTCTTTGTCAGTCCATAAAGGATGCTTAATGAAAACCCGGAGCCTCCAGGGCCACTCCAGCGGTCAAATAACCCAAGCGAAGTATTGGAACTTGGAACTTCGGAACCAAAGCTACAGGACAGAAACAGGAAAGAGGATGAACGCCATGACTCAACTCGCGAGTCTTTTCTCCCGCCAATACCTAGGTAAATCCCTAGGCTAGTTCAGCCCTTGAAACGAGGATGCCTTTTTGGCATGGTCCTCCCACGTCGTCAGCTTATCCTCCAGAATCGCATGGCTCTTGTCCAGCTCGGCGCCGCCGAAATACCCAAACTCGGCGAACAGCAGCATGTTCTCCAGCAGCTCCTGGGCGGCGAAGTCCGGTATGCCCATGCCCTGCAGCGCATACAAGTAGTTATCGTGCGGCATCTCGAAGAAGCCGGCCGTGCTGCCCTCCACGGGGAAGGCGCTCTTGAACCCGTCGACGACCTCCCGCGCCGTCATGTAGGTGGTGGCGCCGTAGACGCGCTCGCCCAGCAGCGAGTCGCGGTGCAGCACGATCCCCTTGACGAACTTGCCTGTGTCGACGGTGTCGAACACGGGGATCGACGCCGTCTCCGGCACGGGCATGATGAGCGTCCATGGGTCAGCCGGCGAGATCTGCCGGAACATGGAGCCCGGGAAGTTGGACATGTAGCACCCCGGCAGGAAGAAGGTGGCCGGGATGCCGACTTGGCGGGCGTACTCTTCCACCTCGGCCTTGCTGTCGAAGTGGAAGACATTGGGCAGCTTGCCGTTGCTTACTTGCATAAACTGTCAGTTGTGGGCGCAACACGAGCCAGACTCAGAAGGACTCTCACGTTTGGTGATGTTGAGAAGGGAGCTCCAGACGAAGTGTCCGACGCCTGCCTCCTTCGCGGCATCGACCAGATTCTTGCCCTGCTGGATCTCGAGCTTCATGTCCATTTTCTCCCAGTAGTTGGTCACAGCGAAGACGGCAGAGGCGCCTGCCATGGCCTTAGCCAGGCTCGACTTGTCGTTCATGTCGGCCTGTAGTATCACTTTTAGACGGACCCTCTTGACGTGATGTATACGACGTGCGGGAGGCTACTTACGCTGACGACCTCGGCTCCCTGGCTCTCGAGCTTCTTAGCCGTCTCCTTGGTGGTGTTGCGAGTAACAGCCCGGACGCTCCATTCGGACTTCAACTTGGGGTCATTGAGGAATGTCTGAGCGACGGCGCCGCCCTGAGCTCCCGTAGCGCCGAACACGGTGATCATCTTCTTGCCGGCCATTGTGGTACTGGGTTTTGTCTTGGCTGATCGGTGGTATTGTTGAGAGGAGTGGGAAGGTTGGAGGGCTTAAAGTGAGGGTGGCACGGGTCCAACAACGGGTGCTTTATACTTTATATTGTTGGTCGCCAGCCCATGACGCCTGGCAAAGACATGGATACTATCTTGCCTGTTTCTGTCTGCCAATACTGCCATAGTGTTCTCTCGGTTACAGAAACTTCCCGCACCAGTCGTCCGGACTCCGAAACGCCGGACCGTGATAGTCTGACAACACCATCGCTTTCTCGGCCTTCGTTGCTGAATCCAGACGCCAGGATGCTACCATGTCAGGCATATGAAGCCAGCGGTGGATGATTGGTAAGGGTAATATGTTGCAGTGCTGACTTATTATCCCACATGTTTCTTTAGGATCTAGCTTCCAGGTGCTCTGCTTTGAAATCATCCTTCCAGAGAGTGGCTAAAATCCCATGGGCTCGGCACTCCGAGACTCAATTCTCAATGCCGAGAGGGATGCGAAAGACGATGAAGGATCCAAGTCAGTTGAATCAACCCATTATCGATGTTACTACCTTCAACCCCACCCCAAAATGGTTCCTGCCCTGTATTGAAAGATGGTATCTCGCGATCCAAGGTAACCCCAACCCGTCTCGGACAGCATCTATTTGCTTGCCTCTACCCATGCCCAACCAACCCAACCACGGCCAGCGAACTGGGGAATCAAACCACCACTTCTCAAACCAAAGCTACTCTCAGGACCCGATGGCGAACCTACTACTCGCCAGCCCCCCCGCATCGGCCGCCAGATCCCCAATCTGCGCCGCCGACAGCCCAGCAGGGAAAGGCGCCCCAGCGGCCCAGTCGACGACCTTGACCGAGACGGACCGGCTCGCCGAGCCATAGACGACCGCGACCGTGACCGGCTCCCCCGCGGCGGGCCTGTGGAAGAAGTTCGAGTCCCCGCCGGACGACCTCGCGTCCGAGTGGAGCGTCGACTTGCACTTTGCGCCGCCGGGGGCCAGAACCTCGAAGACGTCGAACTCGCCGCAGCCCGTCTGGAAGCACGAGCAGGCACCGTACTGCGACGTGCGCGGGATCCGCGCGTTGAGCATCCACAGCGCCGGCTGGTCGGCCAGGAAGGCCCCCGCCGCGACGCCCGCCTCGTCGTCGTGGGGCATCTGGAACTCGAATAGGAAGGTCTTGTCCGAGCCGTCGAAACCCTCTGGCGCCGGGGCCGGTCAGGAACTGTTTGCTTATTCGGGGCTCACTCACGGGGGTGGATGGGGGGGACTCACTGTATGCGACTGAGCCGGGCTGCACGTAGCCGCAGCCGGCGTCGCACTTCTGGTCAGTCATGATTATGACCTCCTTGCCGGATTGGATCGTCGTGTTGGCAAGTATCTGCGGCCCGGCCGCTCCGGTCGAGCCGGTGGGATCGACGTATGAGAGGGTGTTGCCGAAGGCGCTGCACATGGTGACTCTTTTCAGATTCTATCATTCTGTGGTCTTCTCATATTTCCACTTACGGTGTCCACTTCCCCGATCCCATCCCCCCATAGTTGGCCAAGAACGTCAAGCCTTCCGCTTGCTGTCATGCTGCATTGTAATAACCTACGCGGACAAACTCACCCTTCGCCGACCCTGAGGACTCGGGAACGGAACTGGGAGGCTGAGTCGGGCTCGGATCGGCTGTCACAGGCGTCGATGTAACTGGCGCAGGACTCTCCGTGCTTGCTGTCGGCTCTCCCCACCAGTCGTTGATCCATGATACAGTCTGGCCGTCGATCACCGCCGTGACCCAAACGGCCGGGTGCTCGCGCCTCTCCTGGGTCGTGTGCGGCGGGTCTGCGTCCTCGCGCTTGGGATGCACTTTACCAAGCCCCGGGAGAGTACTGCTTTCCCGCCTAGAACTCGTCCCGGGCATATAGACGGCCATCTGCTTCAAGTGTATCGGGCCGCGCAAGTGAACCGAAAGCTGTCCGGTCGCGTATTAGCATCGGGGGGAGGCTCATGAGAAGCGAAAGAGGTCAGGGAGTCCTTACCTGCTCGTTGAAGGGGGCCAGGGGGCCCGAGAATGGCCGTTTTGCCTTGATGCAGTTCCCGGTGTTCTGGTCCATGTGGACGACGTCGTCGTATTCGCCGCTCGTGCCGACGTTGGTGTAGGTGATGTGGCTGACTGCCTGGCAATACCAGTTTCCCCCTTCCTGGTATGCCTTCTGGCCGCAGAGTGCCTGGCTGGCCGCGCGATCCGCAATGGCTGCTGCTCTGGTGAGCCCGGCTGAGGCCAGCAGGGCCGCTCCGGTTGTAATTTTCATGATGTCAAAACGGTGGAAGCTGGGATATATCCGTTCACTTGAACCATGTATCAGTCAAATGAAAATGTGCTCTCTTAACTCGCTAGAGCGTCACTGGATGGTAAAAGCGCTCTAAGGACTTCGCTCTCACTTGAAAGGAACGTGAGCTGTGAGGTTGGGTATATATAATCTTAAGGAATAAATCAAGTTGCCAGTTAGCCCCTAAAGGAGTGACAAGGTGAGTCAACACCTTTTGAGGGATGACAGTCTTGGAGTGTCAGAAACTCAGAAACCGTGGTCAGCTGGGGTAAACGAGACACAGAAGTCGAAGTAAGGACTGGATACTACGATGAGAACAAGAGGCGGACATTCCGATAACCGGGTAGCTTGCGAATCTTTTAAGGATGTGCCATATCTCTTAACTTAAGTGAGCTATTTATTGGTCAGGGGCTCAATATCAACAACAAGACAGCCATGACCTTGGCGTCTCTTCCCTGACTTCCAACTCTCACGTTGCAAATTGGTATCTCATGGTAGCTAGGAAGTGTAATACGTTAGTATCTTTCAGCAACAAACCGTCGTTGGCTCTTGTTCTGGGCGGCAAGTCAGAGTGGGTGTCCACTCCAGTTCCATTACAGGGCGAAACACCAGACTGTCAACCAACCACCTTGAGAAATCCCGCCCAAGGGACCATTGGAAGTTCGTCAGCTAGACCTTAGTCCGTTAGTGAAAGGCTATATCGGGGAGTTGGCCCCTCTTGACTGCCAGGACTAGGGGGCCTATGCCGGTGAATATTCAACTTCTAGTACGTTACCCAAAAATCGCAAAGCCGCACCAAACGGTCGCTGATTGAGTGGTAATATGTCAAACTGAATGATTGACTCTCGAGCGGGCGTGTCGGACGTGCAAGACTAACTAACACGCGCATGCCGTTCGAAGATGCACATTGAATCCCAAAATGATGCAACTCGGCCCTTGCATGTTGCCATCGAGGCTATATTCAGCCTGAGTGTGATTCACATTGTCAGTCTGTTGCCAGGGTATCATGATTCTATCTTCTCAATCAAGACGACGTTTTTGATCTCTTGTCCTTGCCCCGGGATTTGCCCTGGGATTGAACCCTTGTTGACGAACTGCGGGCCCCATTTCCTTCCAGTGCGCCATCATCTCGGTCGTCAATATTGTTGTTGTTGTCGTCGTCATCATCATCATCATCCTCCACAACAACCGTCTCTCTCGTTTTCCGCTTCCTCGCCGTCTTCGGTGCCGAGGAGGGCATCGTCATGACGGGGAGATCTATGGATAGCCCACCGCCACCCGTCTGCGCCCGCAGCCTGCTCACCGCGTTCGCCATACGCTTGCTGCCCTTCGCCCGCTGACGGGGCGCGAATGTTTCCTTTGCGCCCACGCCCACGCCACCTTCAAAGTACCGCGTGATGTTGCTCTGCGTCCCCTCCGCGTCGCGGCGGTTCATATCCTTGATGACCGGAACTAGCACCTCGTCTGTCCGTTCTTGGCTCCAGCCGATCGTTGACATCAGGAACTGGCGGAGGCCATCCAGGTTTGGCACGCCCCACTGGAATGGTTCCGCGCTGGCGTCGACCTCCGGCTTCAGGTAAGCCTCCACAACAGCCGGACTGGGGAAGCCAGGTGGGAGGAAGAGTTTAGTGGCATGGGTCTTGCGGAACTTCCTGCGGAAAGGTAGGTCGGCGTCCGCACTCTTGGGGCGGTTATGCAGCTGCACATCTTGCCACCATTCCTTGAATTCGTTGAGGCCGTCCTTTCCAGGGAACTCGGACAAGATCTCCACGGCCGTGACAGGTCCGATCCCCGGTAGGCCTTCCGTGTAATCAGACCCGAGCAACTGGGCAAGGGATATGAGACCTTCCCGCGAAAGGGAGAGCTCCTTCTCCAAGTCGGCACCTAGGTAACATTCGACAAACTTATTGCTGTTGAACATGTTTTTATACACTCGTGTGCCACCAAAGAGGAAGATATCAGAGTCGTCGGTGACAATGCCGTCAACGAGTCCTAAGTGAACCAGCTCGGCGCACTGGGCTTCGGCCTCCATCGGCGCAGTGATGTACGGGATGCCAAAGAGCCGAAGCAGGGCTTGGCATTCCGTGACCATGATCTGCGTTACCTCGTCCGCATCACGTCTGTCCTTCTTTTGCTGGCTCCGTAGTGCGCGCAGCTCGCGCTCGTATGCCTCCTGGTTCTCCTGTTCCGACTTGTTATTCAGCTGGCTTGCAAATCGCGCGTGCTCTTCGGCTTCCTGGGCCATTCGCTCAAGGAGCTCCTCCTCCTCAGGGTCGCTGAAGTCGTCGAACTCCTCGGCATCAGGAGCATCCCCAAACAGCTCTTCATCAGCCGGATCGACCGACGTGAGGCCCTCGATCCGCTGCTGCTGCGCGACTGGGAGCATGATGTCTTCAAAGGCATCTAGTTCCTCTTCGGCTATATGAGCTGCAACTTGATCGGTCTCAGCTGGGTGAGTTTGTGGAGGAAATTCTACGTCTTCGAAGTCCATTTCAGGAGACGGAGATCGAGAGCCAGACACAGCCACAACAGCCTCGTTGCTTGCGGCTACCACCTCGGGTGTATCTGGCTCGATTGTTGGCTCTGCCTGGGTGGGAGTCACCCGCACCATGTATGGTTCGGCGGTGCCGTCGCTAGCTGCTGATTCCAAATCCACGATAGAGGCCCTCTCAGCAGTGGTCTCGTCGAGCTGAGGTATGCTTGTTGGTTGCCTTTCCAAGGACTGTTTCGGAGGCAGAGCGTCAATGACTTCGATATCGCTGTCCTCATCTTCGGAAGAGTCGATCATCACAACCTCGTCCTCCCTTCGGCGCTGGGGGAGAAGATCGTCCTCTCGAGCGGCCTCCTCATCCTCCTCGTTCATTATCATGTCCATCGCTTGTTGGCTCCGCACCGACTCCCGTATGTCAGTATCGTCAACCATCCACGGCGGCAGGGGCCGGGGCTCATTCTTATTCTTCCCTTCTCCCTGCGGCTCCCGTTCAAACCCTCCGGCAAGCCCTCCATCCGACTCCACCTCAAAGCCGTCTGTCTCGGCGTCCTGTATCTTCTCGCCACTAGCCGCAGGCTTACTCGCACTTGAAAAGATAGACGTCTTCCAGTCGAGCTTCTCAAATGGAAGAGGTCCGCTGAAGGGGGTCTTCCCGTTCGGCCGAATAGGGGCTTTCCCTTTTGGTTCTGGGGCAGCTAGTTGTCTTCGCCTTGCCAAAGTTAGGGCTGTCTGCAGATCCATCTCACTGTCGCTGCTCGCGTCACTATCGCGTCTCCTAACAGAAGCATTCGCTCGGTTATTAACTATATGGGCGACCATTTGGCCGCTCGAGGCGGTGATCGGCTTCGGTGCCTCCACAGCCTTTTGAGTCCAGCTGGGCATGGGAACATCTTCCTCGAGGTGTCTCTGTTCTTCGTCTCCTTGTACACCAGCTCCATGTTGGGTCTGAAGCGACAGGGCAATGGCCCGGTTGATATCTTCATCTTCATCAGCTTCCAACACTTCGTCGCCACCAAACATATCATCATCGTTGGTGCCGTTGTCTACGAATAGAGACTCTTCCGCGTCAACGGTCCCGTTCTCGTCTCGCCTGGCATCGTATAGCTGGCGACGAGCGGAGCCCGCACCTTGTGCTTGTTGATAGGCAGCGCCTGCGTCCTGATGGCTGAGTTTCGGCAACCTGTTCAAGCCCTCGATCGGAACATCCTCGAAGTCTTCTTCATCTTCCCATTCTTCGTCGTCGTTCCTGGCCTGATACTGGAAGTCCAATGCATCCACATCGATTGGCTTGTGCATCTTGCCCGCGTCCTTGTCCTTGCTCACAACACCGAGGGCCCATCCGCCTTCCACCCCGTCGTTTTTGACAAGGATGTATTCTCGGTTCTTGTCGCCGGCGATGCGAGCGTTGACGTTAACGGTCAAGTCTGTCCCAGAAAAGCCCAGCTCGAACATTAGCCGCTGCGTGAGATGGTTTCGCTCTCTAACTCGCTCGATCTGGAACCTCGAAAAAGCCATCCTGTCAGGGAACATGTCCTCGAGCTGGTCCTTGCTCAGGCCCATCCTCAGGCGGGACCTGATCCTTGCGGCGTTGAGGATGTTGTAGCGGTCGGCGGGAGGCAAGCTCTTGAAGAAATGGCCGTCGAAGTCGATCTTGCTAAAGTCGTAGAGGTTGATGTCCTCGCCGTTGTGGAACTGGCGGGCGTACTCCTCCAGCTCCTCGATGCTCATGATCCGCGGGTCCTCCGGCTTGCCCATCGCCTCGATCCCGTTCTCCAGTTCAGGGAGGTGGTAGGCATCTCGCTTGTGGAACTTCCGATTCTGTTGTCGCTCCTGCCTCGACATGCCAATCTCGTCGGCGTAGACGATATTTTCCATGCTGGGTATCTCCTCCCCGGGCTCCTGCGCCGCCGCCGCCGCCGCCGACGCTCCGACCCCCGCGTCCTCACCCGCATCCTCCCGCTCGGCCGCCCTCCTCCTTCTCCTCTCCCCGTTCTCCACCTCCGCAGCCCTGTGCATCTGCACAGCGAGCAGCTTCCCGGCGGTCCTGGCAGCGTCCTCCCTGCGGCCCTCGCGCCTGCGCCTGCGGCCCGTCAGGGTGGCACGCTTCAGGGCGGGCGCGCCGCCGTCGAAGACGAAGACGGGCCGCACGCCGAACCAGAGCAGCTTGCAGATGCGGCGGAAGAAGCCGACGACGTGGCTGTTGCGCAGCGCGTGGCCCTCCGCGTCGCGCACCGCCTTGAGGAACTGGTAGATCCAGATGGACGCGTCCACCGCGAGCCGCTTGCGGTTGAGCGTCGCGAGGTTCGTCGGCCGCGCGCACGGCTGCACCACCGTCCAGAGCCCGTTGACGCCCATGGCGGCGCTCCGGTGGGTGGGGGATCAAAAGTCGGCGGCGGCGCGAGTGGACGGGAGTGTCGGGACGGGGTTGTGTAAGACGGCCGAACTGGGTTCCGGGCGGCGGTCGACGGTCGACAGTCTTACTTCGTGGCAAGCATAGAAGTCATAGCGAATTCGAGAGATTCGCTTGGCAGACTAGGTAGGTAGTTTCTCGCTGGATGGAAGGGCCAAACGGACGGAGTGCAAAGGCAAAAAGTCTTATAGAAGTGACGTAGATTAGATCCCTGCCAGCCCGGTGAGCGCAGGCAGCATGAGTCCATAATGTGGGGCGTCAAAGCCCACCTGAAGCTCAGGACCGGGCAGTTTGCTTATCGAGGGCCGCCGTAATTACGCCGTAACCGCTAAGCCCACACGTGACCACTTATCCCCGCACCGGAGACCCCCCCACGTGACGGTGAAATCCGCAGGCGCGAGCCTGATAAGTGCCGAAGATAAGTTTTTGACCGCTTATTCGGCCGCCTCCCTCCCTTACAACTATACTATACTGCTATACAGCCCCCGGAACCGCGATCTACAGCATGTCGACAGGAGACCTTTACCTAGCCGCCGACGAGAGGGCCCGCGCCGCGCGCCGTGCGGGGCTCCAGGCGAAGAAGGACGAGCAGCCGGCGAATACAGCGCGGAGCTACGCGTCAAAACAGCGCGAGTGGAAGGTAAGTGTATATATATATATATATATATACACGTATACGTGCCCTGGCTGACCTTTCCCTTCTAGAAGTGGTGCCTTGCGCCCCGTATAGCTATAGACGGGTCTTCCTACAGCTGGCCTGACGGGGAGCTTGTGACCCCTGACAAGCTGGCGGCGTGGCTCAGCGAGGATATCCTCCTCCGGCGCGTCAAGACCCCTGCAGGCCGGAGGCACCTGCAGCCGCGTAGTGCAGCCGGGCAGCTACGCAGGGAGCAGGACGACGCGGCTGCCCTGACTGAGGCGAAGACCCTGGCTGCAGACCTTTAGTTGCCGCTAGCTGAAGCTGCCGAGCTGCTTGCAGACGACTGCGAAGACTATATAGCCCCTGCCAGCCTTACACCTACAAGAGGCGTACAGCCAGACCTGGACCCAGAAGTGCCGGCAGGACCATTACTTACGCGGGGTACAGTCGACGCCTATATTGCGGCTGTAATTGAGCTCTGGCGGGTCCAGGTAGCCCATGGCAACTGTAATACGGAGAACCCCCGCGGCGCTGCAGTCCGTGGCTTCCTTGAGCAGCGTGGGCGGCAGCGCGGCCGGCTAGACCGGGAGTCCTTCCAGGACCGCGGGAAAGAAGGGATTCAGGCTGGCTATTCGCCTGAGGAGTGGCTCCGTATACAGGACCTCCTACTCGGCGGCACTGCACTACTCCCGCAGAACCTACGTACCCGTGTGGACCTACTCTTTGGCCACTACTACCTCCTGCGCGGCGAGAACCGGCGGAAAATGGAGCTGGCTGACCTGTCCCTTCTTGACTACCCTGCTTCCGAAGGCCCTACACCCTGCAGCTGCCTTGTAAGCCTGCTGCAAGACGGCAAGCTGAATAAGACAGCGCGGAAGGAATTTATGGGCGCCCTCCGCCACAAGGACCCCCTCCTCTGTACGCAGGGAGCTCTCGCACAGCTTTTCTTCTGGCGGTGGCATATTGCAGGCGAGGCGCCGCCGTCCTTCCGGCGCCGGCAGGACTGGTACCGTATTAAAGTCCTTGTTGGCCAGGACCGTGAGCAGGAGATTTCATACGCTACGCAGCTTCAGGAGACGTGGCGTATATTTGGCGCCGCCGGGCTAGTCTCAGCAAAGAAGACGCACCTCCCGCGAAGGGTAGGCGCGCAGGACGCCGAGACCTACGGCACCTCCTTAGCGCAGATCTCGCAGGCAGGCCGCTGGAACCAAAGTGTGCTTGTAAAGGCCTACCTTACACACCTGCCCCGGCAGTTCATGCGGGTTGTGGCAGGCTTCTCAAGCACAGCTGGCGACTACTACCTCCCCCGCGCAGCCCATAAGCCGCCGCAGCAGCTGCAGAAGCAGCTCTGGCCGTGGATTGAGGAGTGGGAGCCACGCTTTGCAGCCCGTGCGTGCCGGGAGGGCTGGGCAGAGGGGGGGCTTGACAAGGACGACTTAGCCGCTGACGGCTTTATCAAGCTTCTCCAGCACCTGCGGGAAGTCCTGCTCCAAGACTTAGCAGTCTTACAGCCGCGCTACCCGTCCCTACCTTTCTTTGCGCACGCGCCGTTCCACGGGCCTGACTGGGATGCCTTTGCCCGCGCAGTACGGGCAGACGCTGTCGCCGGCGAGCCGCAAAGCTTACTCCTGCAGCGTGCACTGCCAGAGCTAAGCTCTGTCCTGGAGAGTATGCGCGAGGCAGTCCTTCATAACAGTACACGCCTTGCAGGCCAGCTTGACGGGCGGCTTGGGGAGCTCCAGGGCAGCTTTGAAAGCCAGCTGCAAGGTCTACGCGGAAGCCTCGACGCGCTGATCCAGGGCCGTATCCCGATCACCCTGACCGGCTACTTCGGGCCGCCGCCGCCGCAGGACCCTACTTTGGCAGTGACGACTGTGCCGGCAGTGCCAGGGCTAGTCAGTGCAGCAGGGTTAGCCAACCTTGCCGCAGCTTCTACGCCTAGCATAAGCACGCCTATATACGTAGCACTGGCTAAGGCGTATACAGTGGCAGATACCTGGCGCGAGTGGAAGGAAGGGCTTGGTGGCCGGCCGGCTATACAGTCGCTAGAGGAGACGTGGGGGAGTAGCTGGCGGCCAGGCAACGCAGTACGGGTCCAATTCTGCCGTCGGAAAGTTATCTGGGATGCTATACAGGGCCGTGTAGCTGGCGGGGCAAGTGAGGAGGAGGCTGTCGCTGAGCTTGAGCTTCTGCGCGCCGGCCGAAGTCTAAACCGGCTTGTTGATAACCTTAAGCAGCGCCGGCAGCACGGGCAGAGGGCCTGTAGTAGTACGCCTGCCGGCCGCGGGCAGGGCCGGGCACGGCGCTTCCAGCTGTTTGGGAGGCGTGGTGGGCTGCAGAGACATGCTGTAGCTACATAGTCTGCCTTAGGAGCCTCCGTTAGGGAGCCCTATACAGGCCAATATAATATATATAACACGATACCATTTTTGTGATTCTAGGAGCTATATATGTGCATGTGCAGGGTAGGCTTTACGCAACGTAATTGTGTAAGTCGGCGGCTGGGCGGGCGGCCGGGCGGGCGGTGTGTGTGGGCACTAATTTGTAAGACTTATCATTTGGCCTATCTGTAATCACGGCCAATTTCGCGTAATTACTCAGCAAAAGCCACCCTCGATAAGTTCTGCTTATCGATTTGCCCCCCACTTCAACTTGTACAGATTCTAGACTCCCGTCCTCGGTTCTTATCAAGACCACTGCAAGTTTCTCTCTTGAATCTATCTACCACCTGGTCATGTGCTCGCCAGATCAGCGTAATTCCAGCAAGGCTTCACTAAGGGTATAGCCTCCTTAGATTTACGACAGCAGGGGACCAGTGCGGCGGAGGGAGAACCTGGCGAGGCTGGGACGGTGACCGGGAGTAGAAGGATCTCCTTAAAAAAGGATGGAGGTGGATAACAATACGGCCAAGGAGGAGGCGGCCGACTACCTGCGTTCGCTACTGAACAGGAACTTGTGCATCACGACGACGGACTCTCGCATGTTCAGGGGCCAGTTTAAATGCACCGATCCGGTACATCTCCCTGGCGATATATCCATATCGAGGCGAGGGTTCTCACCGGGGTTGGCTAACACCCGGGTTTTAGGGCAGCAATATCGTTCTTGTGCATACGTACGAGTACCGGCAGCCGTCGATGCAGAAGAGGGCTTTAGAGGCGGCGAATGCATCCGAGGCGGGCTCGATCAAGCTGGACATGACCGCTCGCTACCTTGGCTTAGTTGTTGTGCCGGGCGAGCACGTCGTCAAGATCGAGGTAGAGGAGTTTGCAAGTCAGATGAAGAAGGGAGGAGGCCAAAACGTCGCTGTCGTATAATCATTATTTCGAAGTGATGGAGTTTGGGATGTGTTCCGTGGGATATCGGGTTTCCTGCCAATATTACAGCCTCGATCCACCTTCTAGGGAGGAGACAAGTGCTGGGATGAGTTGACAAATGCCTGGGGACGTTGAGTCCCAGAATCAATTACCACTAGATACATGCATAGGGCATGGGTATGGGCATGCTAAGCTGTTTTATCATGAGAATAAACCCGTTGAAGGCCCAGTTCGACACTCCTCAACGCCATCCAAAATGCTAATGGCTTCCTAGCTCGTGAAGCCTCCAATCGTTGGAGAATCGCCACCATCCAAGCAAATGGCATGCCATGCTGTCAAAAACTTTAAATAGGTATACCGAGAAAGAGGAAAAGACGTCCTGGAACTCATGCAATGGATCGCCGCCGAGTCTGAGACTCGGCTAGGAAGAAATATAAATCATCATCAATGCATGACAATTGCACAACCACCAAGCTTATACCCGCCATAAGATCGCGAGTCGGGAAGCGTACCGACCATCCTCTCGCAAGTAGGTAGAGCACAGCCCCTTTTTTTTTTTTTCATTGCTTCTTCTTGCCATCGACGCTCCCGTTCGCCACGGCTTTCGCAGCCTTGGCGCTCTCAGCGTTCGCGACCTGCTTCTCGTACGGAATCGTCAAACAGTTGATGCCCAAGAAGTTGCAAATACTTGTCGTGACCAGGTAGGCCCACCGGAAATACACCACTAGGGAGAAGACGAAGTAGGCCCACAGATAACACAATTCGAGCTCCCGGGTGACAGGTTCAAGGCCGAAGCGCGGAAGGTTGCCCAACACGGCGCCGCCTATCAGCGGCCACAGCATGATTGTCCAGTAGGGGAACGGCTGGCGCGTAAGATGTGCGAGGATCATCTTGGTGGTCATGCGCCCAAAGACGAAGGACATGGTCAGGCAGAACAGGACCAGGTGGTTCTCTTCTCTCAGGGTGGAATACGGGCTGTAGAGCCAGGCTGCGATACTGAGCGAGTAAACCACCATGGGCGTCCACTCGAGGAAGACGGGTGCCACGGGCAGGTTCCGTGCTCGCCGTGCTTTGATGACATGGTATATACAGAACGGAATGTGCGTAAAGAGCAGGGACGAGGAGATCAGAACGATCCAGATATCGCGGAACGACAGGTCGTCAAGGAGCTCCGCGTAGCCGAAGGTGTACTTGTCGCCAAGGAGGTTGACCAGTGGCTGGGTCCAAATGCCCGGCCCGTAGTACCCGCTGATGGCCATCATGGCGCAGGCAATCAGGATACCCTCGGTAGGGCCGTTGATGACGCCGAGGTACAGTGTATGGCTATGATAGGTCTCCCAGGTCGAGAAGAACATGGCGAGACACGGGCAGAGCGCGGTGAATACGCCGGACTTGGAGGTACCGAGGCCCATAGCCGCCGTTTCGAGAAGGCTGGCGAGTGTGCAGTTCAACGAGTCGATGCCGTGATCGAAGAGCTCGCCGAGGCCGCTCGAGGTGCCCGTCCGCCGTGCTTGTTTGCCGTCGACATTGTCCATCGTCTGGTACATGAACAGCCCAAAGGCGAAGCTGTAGTATAGCCATGTCGGGCCCTGTGCGCCGGTTCCAAGTTAGCCACGAGCTTCTTCTCTCCAAACGACTGTCTTAGGGGGTGGTTTACGTACCGGTCCCACCAGATCCGGCATGAATATCACCAGCAGACCGACGTTCACCAGTATGAAGAAGAAGCCGATCAGGGTGACCATATTAGGGGCCATCCATAGCGGCAGTATCTCGACGAAGGCATTCCACTGTGTTTCACCCTTAGCTGCCGTACTTGGTCTGACGAAAGAGGGGCGGCGGGGAGGTAAGAGGGGGGAAGGTTTCGCCTACGTATGGCCTCAGGATGTAGTTCGAGATGGGCGACTTATCGACGGCCGAGTACTTGTAGGATTTCAGGTGGATGAGGGCATCGTCGGAAATGCATTCGGCGACAGCTTCTCCTACACCACATTGCGGGTTAGCTGGGGGAGCAAAACAAGGAGCAATATCCAGTCCGCGGCATGGCGGGGTCTACGCACTGCTATTATTAGAGGCCATTGTACTGGTGGTGGCCACAGCTCCTCAGGGCAGAGCCTACAGAAGCAAAGAAACACGAGATAAAGGTTCGGGATCGGTTTAGAGATTCATGTTCGATGGCCAAACAAGGGTTGAGGTCATGCTGGCCGATTTGTTGGTCTTGTGCCGCTCCGAGTCCGACGGCAGTACCTTCTTTGTTTGTCGAATTTTAGCCCCTGCGGTTCCACATGTGGGTTGGCTCGAGTCTGGCGAGCCGTTTGTCGTCTTCTGTTGAGGACCAATCCAAAGGTCTCCCGCCAATCAAGGTAATTTCGCGCTACTACGTAGCCGAATCATATATGAATGCTCAAAAATACCTATTCCATACTCGAAGCGGCACAGCCTTTCTCAGACAAGTGTCTTCCAAACTTCTTGAAGTCCAGTCAATATGATTTGATTCCCCGTTGATTGCTTAGGCGCCGCTCTTCACTTTGAAAGCGAATCACTCTTCATGTGAATAATAATTTTAGTGTGGCCCGTGTAGTCGGACCAAGCCACTGGACTAGCACGTGAAAAGCAGTCGCCATGCCGGTCAGCCCCCTTGGCTGTGGCGGGGGCCATCAGCTCGAGGGCTCAGAGCTCATGATACTTCCATGCTGTGCTATGTGATGCCCGGGACGATCGAGTTTCAGAGCTGCAACTCCTGAATCGCCACAATGAGAGATAGGAACTCGTCATGGCCCCGAGGATCCGTCACATTGTATTACTACCATTATCCAATTGTTCCTCGAGTAGCTGTGACTACCTCGGTGGTTCTTCCCCTGGTTCTTCTCGATTCCCCCACCAATAACTCACACACAAATTACTCATTTCCAAGCTTGACATGCAACGCGAAGGATACGCCATGCCATCCCCAGGAAGTTTAGACATTAAAGCAGGAATCGATCAGTGGCCCAAGGTAGAGACCAAGCTCTCTTGCCCCGCCGTCTCGTGTGCAACCACCATTTCTGCAGTGCGCCCTTGGCCAAAACGCATTAGAATCGCGAGCCCCGCAAGACCCGTCTCGGGTGGCGCCTTGTTCACAACTCGACTGCCTCGAGCTCTTTACAGCATCAAGGCGAAGCCAGCGAATAAGCATCCTCCTACAACCAGCAGACTATATCCACGACCGAAGTCGAGAACCGGGGTTGCGACATTGCCCTTGGGGTGGGAAGTCGATGCCGATCCCTCTCCTCCAAGGCCGGTGTAGATCAGGTTGGTGCTGCTGGCAGTGGCACTGCCCGTGCCAGAGGCAGTCGTGCTCGTAGCATTGTCGCGTTTGGGGTCGAGAGCACCACATGGGTGGTCCTGTCGGCAAGAGGAAGCGCAGGCGCTATCTCTACCGCAGCCCGTCACACACTGGTTGCCCCATTCCTGGCAGACGAAGAACGGGAGGGTGAGGGAGTACTCGGAGATGTTGGGCTGGAGGCCATCGCCACACACGCAGCCGTATGTGAGGGTATCCTGCAAACATTCAGTCCCAACGCGCAAGGAAACAATAAGGGGGAAGGGCCCGTGGCTTACAGCATCGCACGTGTTGTCCTTGGTAGTACCTGGAGGTGTTTGCTGGCAGATGATAGGGCAAGTGCTTAGTTCGTTGGAGCACCACGATTCTACAACCATGTTAACTCGGCAAGGCTTCAAACGGGGCTATTTGGGAAGGGGAAAAGTACTTCTCGTCGACAGGGGGACACTCTCCGGATTAATGTAATAGTCGGCAGAGACCACAGTGGCGGCGGCCAGGGCCAGGAGAGCTGTTTTGATCGAGAGCATGGCTGATTATAACGTTGGGGATCTCCAAATATGAAGGTTGCTACGCCAATTGATTCGCCTGCACCTATAGACGTATTGTCAACAAAGACTGAACGCATTTCAGTATACAAGAGATACGGGACGAAGAGTCAGAAGGCGCGCATTATAAGGGCACCCCTAGGCAGAATGCATAGGAAGCTTCGTGGCCCGAAGTCAATTGCCCCAGACGCTGCCCTCGAAAACAGATCAAAATCACACACAAAACGTACCTACGATCCGTGGATACTCCAGAAACGGTGGGAAAGGGATATTAGTGAAGAAGAGTTAGTAAATAAGCTCGGATCCGAAACGAAAGCAAGAACTGAAGAGTAAGAGGTGCTGCTGAACGAGGGACAGCACGATAAGAGTAACGACGGTAGGTGGTCCGAAAAGGAAGAGACCAGCTCCAGCTTGAAGAGACACCTTAAATAAAGGAGATGGCAGCTCCCACGAGGAACAGAGCAAAAGCACGGACCTGAAGGGCCCGCCCTGTTAGCGTAACAGTTGAACCAGACGATCCAATGACAGCACCAATTGGTGACCAGGATCTGCGGATTTTCACGCCGTTCTGTTCTGGAGCGCATCCATGCCTGTACGAGACGAACGGGGTCGGCATCTTCCTTGGGAAATTTACGAGGCGCTGCAGAAACTTGAATATCCCCGCATACAACTATGAGATGGTTTTTCCGCGGCAAGCAGATAAATATGAGGAGCAACTATCAAACGGGCACCTGACCTACCTACTATATGGACGTGTGTGTTGGGCTACCATCTTACAACCCGATTCTCCTTGTCGGATGGGATGGGTGCGCGGGCGAGGTGGCTGGAAGCCTGGACGGCTGCAGGCCTGCACTTCATCCAGTCAGTCCTGCTTTTGCTTTCTGTCGCCGTCGTCTCCATGCCTCGTATCGCGAGACAGTGGACAGTGGCCGGAATCTGCAATGCATTGGCTCGGGAGAGCTTAGAGTCCACTAAATATATTTTGTCTTAGTTATGCCGGCCAATCTACCACTAGTACATCCGTATGGCTACTCGCAGTCGCGTAGGCATGAGGGAAAGCATCGTCATTCCCCCGAGCTCAGACAATACCACTGGCACATCCATACCATCCATACCATCCATTACGCATAGCTGCATACATGTGGGAATACGACACCACCATCTCCAGGCCTCAGAACTACCAGGATGCGTGTGGGGTGCCCGGTGCCTGCCTAGTGCCGCCATCCCAAATCGCTCAGAAGCTTTATCAGTACCTACCATATCCTCAGACAAAACAATAATTCCCATGGTTGTGATAACCTGGCAGCTGCAAATGCTGGATAAATAAGCAATGTCAAGCAGCTAGCTGTAAGATACGCGCTTTGGTACAGTTTTTTGCAATGGGCAAATTCTTAGGCAAAGGTAGCCTTTTTTTCTTTTTTTAGTATAGCAGCGTCGTTGGACCACTGGATTGCAGGTCATGTGACCCATCCCCAACAACGACATACCACGGCACAATACCCTTCGATGCCCATGTCACTGCATACCTACTGCACATCAATATTTAATATGAGAACTACTGCGTGTTCGGGCAATTAGGTTAGTCTGCATGCGGCCCTTCTTCAAACTTGGCTTCCTCTTCGTCGTCGACAGTCGATCCGCACTTTAGACCGCCTGTCGCGCCGCTGCCTTGCCGGCCTCCTCAAGGGCCTTGATCCGTCCGGTACACGTCTTTATCGATCTCTCGAGTGGTGGACTACGGCCCAGGGCGTTCTTCGCAGTAGTTATTGCTTCAGCGGCGTTGTCATTGGCGGTCTCGATCTCTTGGCTGAGGATGGCAATCAGGAGGTCAGTTCTCTTTGGCGACTGGATGTTCTTGGCGGCGGCCTCGGGAGCCTACTCCTGCGGCCGTGAGGCGAGCCTCGATTACTTTGCTGGCCGAGCCCGTCTGGTTCGTTATAGCCGGCACGCGAAGTTATTGCCCATGCACACGCAGCCACGAGCTTCCTCCAAGTCCTACTCGAAGTTCGAATTGTAGTGACTCAACGCCTCGTCGATGTCGTAGAGGGCTCCATAGAAGGCACCATCATCTACATGGTCTCGCACGTACCGTGTACTGTGTACTAGGAGTCTCGGATCTGCTCATGAACAAAGCGACGAAAGCTAGGTATAGGTATATAATAACACCACAAGAGCCCTCGCATTCCCCCTCGCCACCGTAATCCTACTCCTCACCCTAATTGTCGCCATCGCAGTCCTCCATGTCGGCCTCTGAAAATTCATTGACGTTGGGTCTGAGCCAGCCAACTCGTCGCCTGATCAGGCGGCAAATACTGCCCTCTGAGGTGCGACGTGAAGCTTCCAGGCGTGCTGGTTGGCCGCGAGGACGGCAAGGCGTGCGGTGCGGCCCGGGATGCCATCTGGCCTAGCGGCTAGGTTGGCTGCCAAGAAGGTGGTAACATCATTCATGCATTCCTGCAGGGCTGCGAACATCTGCACGTAGCGTCGAGGCTTTGGCGCTCTGAAGAAAGATGAAGGCTGTGGACAACATCCGGAAGCAGAAGTAGAAGCAGCAAAGGCAGAAGTTGCAGCAGTGGGGCGATGTTATCAATAGACAATAGAGCCAGGTCCAGGTCCAGAGCCTAGGAGGTAGAGCTTCATTCTCGAACTAGCTGCTCCAGACGGCAGCGAACAAACACTTGGTTTGCTGAAGAATTCGTTGACAAGGATGGGAGTCAGGGAGTTTTCATCTGCTCGAGGGGCAACGGCAACAGAGCAGGCCCTCGGAAGATTTGGTTCGCTTCGCCATTGCAGTAGTTAGGAAGGGGTGGATGAGTAACCGTTTCAATCAAGGGCAAGAAGAGCCTTCAAATGCGGCCTGGACCGGGAAGTACCAGCAACCACATCAAAAGGGGTTTGTCCGGGGGGGGGGGTGGGTGTGGGACAGGACTTGCGCACTTCGATCTGAGACAGTTCGCTACATTTTAGGTACCTACCTAATATGATATGTACTTGGAAAGAACTCGAACTCCAAGTATGGGGCATCATCGCCTTCAGCAACTTTCGCGATCGGCACTCCAGTCGCAAACCAATCTCTGGAACATTCCATATGGGCCCAACTTGTTGGCCTTCGTCAATCTTCATCGTCACTTTGGACATAGGTCTCGATGATAGGCTCTAATAACGGCACTAGTAACGCGGAAACAGCTAATCCCTTCACTCTGAAGCTGTGCTTACCAGCTTGGCAGTAGTAACTGCGCTGAGGAAGTCATGGAGACAAGCTAGGCCCCTGTTCTTCTCCGCCTAGGCAATGGAGCGCGTCAAGTCTGTCTTGTCGATAGAGTCAAGTGGGTTGATATTAGCTCGGATAATCATATTTTGTGAGAGAACCCAGAAGAGACTCTCCGACATTCGCGCTTCCCAAAATCAAGAGACTGCCACCGCCAGGTCGGTCACCGGCTCTTTGGAGTATCTACCCGAACTCATACTTGGTAGTTGGTGACCATGCGGGTTCATGCCTAGAGGCGCTGCAACGTGAGGATCTCCTGGCTAGTACACCCTCAACACGGAATTTGGCTCGAATTTGGGAGGGGACGAGGTTCTTCTAGGCTTGATAGACGTCGTCGATGTCCGCGTCGATGTGATAACTTCCGATGCCCTCTGAAAGATTCCTGGCGCTGTGATGGGTTTCGGGCAAGTTCTGCGTGCTCATGCCCATATATATATATGGGGGATAAATTTGATTGCAGAGCTCTTGGGGTGTATTTGGAAGCCTCGCCCATGTACTTGGCGATGCACCTGACATCTTTCTATTAGCCTCCCTGGACAGGCTCGCCTGACGATACGACGAATGTCAGAGATAATTGCCAAGGGGCAAATAAGTCGGTGATAGGTCGTGGAAAGCTCATGCTGGCTGGGCTAGAGGAAAGTCGAGGTATACTGGCAGAGGCAAAGGAATCTATTCCTCCACTCAGGGGAACCAGAAAACCCACTGTGCCAGATCGTTGGAGCTGCTGGAGAACATATCCGTAAAGTCAACATCATTTTGTAATCTGCCTACATCCCAAAGATAACAGCAGACGCATGGTGCGACCTCTTGGAGGCTTCGGGAGATAGCCGAACGATAAGCCCGTACTTCTCCGGATCAAGACGTCATTGAGGACTGCGAATCTTGAGCAATAACGTCTTCATTTACGATGACTATAGCAACTCCGTCGTAGAACAGCCTCTTTAAATCGCAGCCCTGTTCATTAGCTTCCAGATTATCTTGCGGTTGAACTGTTAAGGTTTGTCTCATGTTGGAATAGCCTATTCACTGGGCCTGGAGGAAGCTACGACACTGGTTGTAGTGTTAATGCAGGTATGCACAAATCCTACCCATCATCTCTACTCTAAATTGTATTCAATTGGAACGATTCTTCATACTGTTGACAGGTACGTGCATTGTGAAACGAGGCCAATATGAGGTACTGTTATGTTTCTCCTACTCGATGGATGGGTTGTTGATACATAGGTACAGTCGAGCATGATATCCCCTGGCCGTCTCGTCCGGAGCCAAGGGAGGTACCTGGGTACCTACCTTATCTAAGCTGGGTTAAGCCTGTCGACCCACAATGATTCCAATTACCCAATAACAAGCGCTGTCCACATGTTTGATCGGTCTTGGATGGTTCCAAAATCAGTGTAACTTCGGACTACCAGCCCAGTTCTGGGTCACCGCAATTGCTACCTTTGCTTGACATTCTGAACGGCAGCGATCCGCTGATGTCGACCCTGCCTCACATGGCTGAATGGCGTCGGAGGTGGAACATCGACCGCAAGCAGCTCGCAAGGGCGGCGGCAACCCCGGCGGCGTAAATGATCCCCCAACGACATCCAGATCCTCCTCGCGCCCGTCGCAACCGGTCGCAAAGTCGGCCACGGGGCGGGTCTGGGCCCTCATAAACGGCGAAGGCGCCGCGGAGCCGCTCGAGCCGGCGGCAGCAGCGGCAATAGCCCGGCCGCTCGACGGCCTCCAGCCTCTCTTCGCCGATGCGACCGACTACGCCTCCGACTCGGGCGACGAGTCGTCGTCACCGTCGGACACGCTCTCCCCCGTGTCATCGCCTCCGCCGCCGTACTGGGCGGGCACGCACGCCCGCTCCGTCTCCAACACGTCCGTCGAGAGCGTCCTGCCCGTCGGCGCCATCACGCTGCAGGATAACGAGCACGACGACGGGCCCGGCGGGAGCAACGTGTATGGCCGGGACCGGAACCGGGCGTGCTGGGCCAAGAGCGTCGAGGTGACCGACTTTGTCGTCGTGAACGGCAGCGCTACCAATATCGGGGCATTTGTCGTGTGGAATATCCGCGTGGAGACTTTGAATGTGAGTCTTTCGCAGTCCTGTCCTCTGGGAGGGAGGTCAAGGCACACGAGCCTACAGGCTCCCCTGGACATGGCTGGGTGGTGAAACAAGCACCGGCGCGGTTGTGCGTTTGGATATACACTAGAATGTTAGAAGAACTGACGGGTCTTATGTGTCGCAGGGCTCCTATATGAGTATCTGCAAGCGATACTCAGAGTTCGACGACCTTAGGAGGCGGCTTATGCAGACCTTTCCAAACTTCAAGGCCGCCATGCCAGAACTGCCGCCTAAAAGTGTCATATCAAAGTTCCGGCCCAGGTTTCTGGAGAGGCGCAGGGCCGGCCTACAATACTTCCTCAAGTACGCATATGACACCCAGTCGGTGTTGTCCTCTCCATTTTCTGTCTGCTAACACTGACCAAGCTGTATATTGCTGAACCCTGAGTTCTCTGGCTCTCCGGTTCTCAAAGACTTCTTATTTTCGTGAACATATTTCTCGCTTATACTGGTCGTTCGTGGGTGGGGGACAAACGAAGGCTGGTTAAATTAAGCATATCTAACATCGACTAGCAGAGTAATTATAATTTGGAAATTTGACTACTCTTGGGCGCGAGAGCCTAGATACTCAGGTTCAATTATCTTCAGTGATTCTTGTGAGCTTCTTCTTGTGCGGTTAGAGTACCCTCGATGTGCGATAGGCTGGTATGCCAGCACTGCCCCGAGATCCTGGAGAACGGCGCTGCGCCTGATTGGCATATGGGGATTAATGACCGCCCCAACCGTCCTGCGATTCTCCGCCGACACCCAGCCATATACAGAGGCCTCCGAGCCTAGCCAATAATGCCCTCACATGGAAGGAGTCTCCTAAGGCATTGAATCTCACGCAGCTAAGGCAACCGAGGAGGAACCGGCGAGAGCCGACCAAGTCCTGCTACGCTAAATACCTCGGGGTGTTGGAATGACACTACGCTGGTCTACTGGAGAGGAACTGAGCTGGTCAGTCGGTCAGTCGGTTTCTACTTGCTCATCTGGTGCCCAAGGGTAGCCCAATTCCACACTCTAATTCTAGATCACACAAGCAACCAATTGTCCTTGAACAACAAGAGATTTATGTTGCGTTGGCTGTCTGGTGCGAATAACTACCTTCATACCTATCTGCTTGAGGGGAGTCTCAACAACGAATCGACGACATATACGTCTTAGCCGCGAAGACCGGAGGAGACCTCGCGTGCTTCATAGCCCGGCAAGCCCCCAATGCCTCCCTAGACTCTTTCCGCTCTAGGGAGTCCCTCAAAGTCTGCATGAACTCGATTGCTCCTCCTTCGAAAGACGAGTTAGCACACTTGGAAGACATCCATGCCCACCGCAAGGCCCAGCACAAGGGGGCGATCGCGCGAGTCCCAGCGCGGGACCCCTGCACCCAAACAGGCCGGCCGCGTTTCCGAAAACCCCCGGGGGGGGGGGGGTGGCGCTGCCTTCACGGGAGGAGTGCCAGTACTACCCTCTTGTGGCCGTGGATCGGGGAGGGACGGCTCTACCGGACCAAGAACGGCGCCGGGATCAAACTCGGCCGAGAAGCTGGGGGGAAGGAGAGCATGCACGGCATCGCGCCCGCCTTTGTCCGCAGCCTGCTGCGAGGAGGGGGTTCATAAGCGTCGCGTGATCATCTCCAAGATAGCTATAAGGCCCCCAGGTGTTGATCTCCTCCCCGTGGCCTAGTTATATACCGGAACGACGCTCTCAGGGGCTGTGAGAAGCCGCATGCAAAACACGCAAATTTAGCAAGAGCTACGCCCGCTTGGTCGCTAGTTATTGCGCCTCTCAAGTCACGGCAACTTTGACAGTAGACTCTGTCAAGAGAATTGCTGTCTGTTCTCCGGGCTAAAGCTGACACAGTCGTACAGGCTAGCCTCCTACCAAAGCTGGCGCTATCTAGGAAAGAAATCATCATGTTACACGGTCGGGCGGGAAGAAAGTCGATATAAATGTGGGCCTGGCTGGATGATAGTCGTGGACACCGTGGCGGGGGAAAGGGGTCCCGGCATGCGGAGGCGAATAGAGGTACACCGGCTCTCTCCGTGGAGTACTAAGGTAGGTGGTAGTTCCTAGGCCAACGGCATTAACCTTAATGCAACAGTCAACTTCCTGGTATCACTAGGTTGACTTGCTAAGCCAGCCACATCTCCCAGGAAAACCCAGGAGGTCTCTCATCATCATCTCCTGATGTTGTGACGAGATAACATGTTTGTGGCACCCTCAGGTTTGGGCGAATCTAGTAACAAGCATTCCTGAACGAGAGCTGGGAATAGGGAGCCCGGTTTCTGGTTTGAACATTGATCTAGACGATCTACACCAAACATCGATGGAACCCGTTAGGGTTTGGATTAATACTGTCTTTATCGAACCTACGAGTAGACAATGGCGTCTGGAGCGGGCGAGAGAACATATAGGGCGAAGATCATCAACGAGAGGATACCCTGTGGCCCGGGAACGGTGCAGGAGGGCCGTCAGGTGGGACTCTGCATAGGTTGTTAGGTGTTGCCCAAGGTGCTTCGAGTGGGCTGATAAGCTGATAGACACAGGTAGAATCTTGCTCAAGAGATCAGAAACGGCACGGAACCAAGCGCGAGAATGGTTGTCTGAGCCGCGAGCTACGTTGTCTGATGCCTCATACAACCCACCCAGCACATCCACTCTGCTCATCGTGACCTACTCCGAGCCACACTGCCGTTATCTTCCTCTCTGTCCATATTATCTTCGGCGAAGGGTTTTGGGGTCCACAGTCTCATGCCGGGTTGGTGTTAGAGCAAGGGAACTAGCATGTGCCCAGCCCCGACTGCAGGACACCCGGTTGGCTTTAGCCGGTGTAAGCATCCAGTCCGGCATTGGACTGGAGGTAACCAAGAAACGCCTGGCGGTCACATGGCGAAGAAGCTGAACGATGACCGGAGAGGGGCTGACGAAGGGAACGCAACCCCACCCATTTCATTGCTTCGCTGCCTGCATCGATGGCGATATCTAGCCTGGAGCTTACGCATTGGGTCACAAGAAGCCGTGAGACTGCTCACTCATCCATAGCCATATAGAATATGTCCAGTCGAGATAAGATCGGTGGTGGGATCAATGACATATCCGTGAGACCACCAGGCCCACCAGCAGAGCAGTGGCGGCTCGACTAGCACATTGCATCATCTTTTCTGCGTTGAATGAAGACTAGGTAGCACACGCCACACTAATGCCCGATTACATACCATATATCGGGGCTTGGCAAGCTGCACGTGTTAGATGTGTCGCGTGAGTCCACGGCTTGGGGTCTTGGACGGGACATTTGACCCCTCTCTTGATGGCGAAATCCAGGAAGGGGCAGAGGGGCAAGGCAAAAAAGAGTGGCAGAGATGTGCCGATTTGCATGGGTACATACAAGAGGTGTGGGTGGGCATGCACGATTCCATGTACCTACTTGAAGATTGCGTGCGAAGGTGGGAGGGAAGGAGGGAGTGGCAAAGACGGGCGAAGATGGGCGATCGCGATGTTCTTCCAGTATCGGAGACGCAAGATCATAATAGCCAGCCCGTATCTCACAGTATTCACCCCACAACCAGGCGACACATGGGAAACATCAAACAGGTAACGTTAACGTGCTAGCCACGCTTACTTAAAGCGGTTATGCATGGCCATATATACCTTAGGTAGGTAGGTAGGTAGGTATGCTCAGCCCGCCTTCTCCGTCCACTGCCGTCCATGGCTGTCAACTTCGGCCCTCCGGGCGACGGTTTCCACTCTCGGCATCCGCATCATACAGCCTCGCATCATCATACAGCCTCGCATCAGTCCGCCTTCCAGGATTGTGGACATCGTTGCGCAAGGGTTGAGCTTTTTGTGAAAGGGAAGCTCCAGGCGCTAGTGTCCATACCTTATTACGAACCCCACCAAGTCTCCTGGGCTCCGATTTGCCAGACAATAGTGCAAGGTTGTGACCCGCCCCTGATGAATCACTGTCGATCCCGGTGCAACAAATTTTGATGACAGACGTCTCAAGAAATGAACTTTTTTCTTTTTGTCACTTGTCTGATAATTAACCTGGCATCCTCGTAATTATGTTAAACGGGCGCTGCCCTTCTACCTGTTTGATTAACGACTCGGCACGCTTGCTTGTAGGGTACAGTAGGTACCAGGGAGCTACTTCTGGGCTTACTGCGTGCGGAGATTGTCCAAGCTGCAGAGATTTGCCCATGCAACCCATGCTTGAATGCAAAATTGCCCCTTTCCACCTCAGACAGGGATGGGTGTGGGCCAAGCGGTCCAGGCTCAACATGGTCGGTGAAACAGTTGCACGGCAACCGCCGGGTCTCTGCCTGGCACGCCACCCGAGTGAAGGCTGGGATCGAAGCGACAGGGTTCGACGAGGTTCGCCATTCGCCATCTGCGAAACACGGCTGCCAAATGTGTGTGTGTGGCCTCTGGTCAGGCAAGTTATTCATGTGCTATGCCGCAATCTTTGATGATTGACGTATGATTGCCAGATGGGCCATCGTGGATAAGGCTGAAATCTTTAGGTAAATGCCGAGAATTTGTAGCAGCACAAGAATGCGAGGTCGAACAGTTCCAGGAGCAGATCCAGGAAGACCAAGGGGTTCCCAGACCAATTGAGCCATGCAAGGAGAGACCAAAAGCTTGAGCTCTGTCTGAGTGGCGGCATGCCGACGCCACTTAACGGCGCGACACCACAAAAACCGGCCCAAAGGAGTCGTGAGGATCAATTTGTTGGTACATATCAGGTTTGACACAGTCGAGGGCCTACCGTACCCGGTACTAGATATTAAATAGGAGGGGCTGCGGTCAAATAGAATAATTTTCCGTCAATACTATATTGGATATTAGATTCAAGCTTTCTTTCAGATAGCACTCTGAATTTGTCTTGTCGCCACGGAGCAAACCGATCTTGCTTGCAGGAAAATGAGGTACCTGAAGTGTAAGTACCAACTGAAGCAGGTAACTTCCGGGTTCCGGAGTCCATCCTGTTCTGCAGGGAAAAATACCCAAGTGTCGTCTGTCGTCCGAGCAACCTCCAGGGGAACCTAGATGCCGCAGAAGGATTGAAATATAAAAAATGGAGTCCTCGGCAGGACCCATGTCGGTTGCATCCGCAATATAAAATACTTTTCTGAGGTGTATGCTTACGGATTACGGATCCGTACAGTATACTGCACAGTCAGCGAACCAGGAACACTAGTGCACCCTTATTACACAGTAGAGATCCCATGCATTGTCTACAGATCGCAAGGGATTGTCCCGACCACAATAATTCTACCTACCTAAGAACAGATGATAGCTACATAGACTTGTTTCATGTCCCAAATCCCCTGGTTCCACCTCTTTGTCAGATTCCTCCCTTTCTTTGATCACCAATAATTTATGGGCTGATCGACGCCGAAAGGGCGCTTATTTAGTTTGCATGCGTAGTCTCAAATGGCCCAAGTCACATGGGGCCGGAGATGCTGCGGTTAGCACCCCTACGCTAGAGAGCTGGGAGGCTCCTGTCGACTCGTTCTCGGGAGAGTGGCACTGAGTGGGTACTGCAAGCATAATGGGACATTGCAGTCGGTCGTTAGTATGTATCATGTAGGGATCTGCCGGTACTTCAGGTGGAGGTAGACTATCGTCGCATTCATTGCTCATGTTGAAAAAGCAGGCCCAGTGAGATGAGAGAGTCCGAAGCAACCAAGACTTTTGGACGCTTCCCGTCCGTGGTCAGTAGGGGCCATCGTGACTAAAAAATCCGCTGTGGCGCCAGCAAGTTGTTTTGTTGCTGAGCTTGAAAGGGTGTTCGATCCCTGTCTGAGAACGCCCTTGACCCCTAGTTCCGTTCATTTCGCCCACCCACTTCGCTTGAGAGCACGGACCAGTCATGCCAAGACTGAACCAGCAACGGTTGGAGCAGAAGCAATCTGAGGTCACCGTCACTTTCCGGCTCACTGAATGAACTCATACGGGGATACATTCGTCAATGTACCTTTTTAGCGCGTGTTATTTCCTCTCTGTGACTGAATGAGAAACGCTGGGCAAGCCGAGCCCCAGAGGAACCAATAAGTACCCCCCGGGGCCCATCCATGGGCACCTTCTTTCTTCCCTCCTCTTCCATCTCCCACCATCCTTCCACCAAGAACAAATTTTCTGCCTCGACTTCCAGAGCCATCGCGTGGTCTACCCCCTCGCATTTCTCTTTCTACCTTTTATTGTTGTGATACCCAATACCCCATTTCATTTCTTATCAAATCATCTTGATCATTCACAATGGCCGAAGAACAGAAGCCCGTTGAGGTCCCCACGGAGACCATCTCCACTGAGCCAGCTACCGAGACGAAGGTCGAGGAGACCCCGGCTACTGCTGCCGAGGCCACCGAGGCCGCGGCCCCGGCTGCGGAAACCAGCGCTGGCACCGAGGCTGCGCCCGCCGAGGAGGCCGCCAAGAAGGAGGATGAGGTGACCCCAATCGAGGCAGGCAGCCTCGAGCACAAGGGCTCAAATTTCCCCAAGTGAGTTGGAGCTGATAGCACGGAGTGCATGGGCCGACGAGACTAACGCGACAACAGGAACATTCTCTACTCGAAGAAGAATTTCTGGTTCGGATCCGAACCAGTTGACACCAAGGTCCTGACCTCGTTCAAGGCTGATAAGGCTGTCACTGTCGCTCATCACATCGCCGCTTGGGCCTCCGAGACTGGCAAGGGCCTGTTCTTCTTCGGCGAGCGGTCTGACAAGACTGCCCCCCAGGGCGCAATTCACCTGGTAAGTTCTGATATTGAACTGAAGTCGCCCTCGGACAACACTGACTGAAATAATCGCAGGCCGAAGCATCTGATCCCGTCCCCGAGGGAGCCAACAAGTTTCACTTCAGCGCCAAGGGTCTCAAGCACACTTTCAAGGCTGCTAGCTCTACAGAGAGAGATAACTGGGTTGGCCAGCTGAAGCTCAAGATTGCCGAGGCCAAGGAGCTCGTGCCGATTGTCACCGAGTCCGAGAATTACAAGAAGACCATCGAGAGCTTCAAGCCCGCTGCCAAGGAGAAGGCTCCTGCTGCTCCTGTGGCCGAGGCCGCGAAGGAAGAGACTGCCGCAGAGGCCGCTCCCAAGGACGCTGCTGAGACCCCAGCCGAGGAGGCTAAGGAGGACGACAAGAAGGAGGAACCCAAGAAGGAAGAGCCCAAGCGCCGCTCTGCTAGCCGCAAGAGGACCTCTATCTTCGGCAATCTTCTCGGCAACAAGAAGGAGGAGGAGAAGAAGGCTGCTGAGCCCGCCGAGGAAGCCAAGGCCGCTGAGTCCACCGAAGCACCCGTTGAGGCCAGCACTGCCGCTGCCGCGGAGGCAACTGTTGAGCCCATTGAGGCTGCTCCCGAGGCCGTCGTCGCCGATGCCGCTCCCGCGGCTGAGGCTGTGAAGGCTGAAGAGCCCAGGCCTGAGCTCAAGGCGACCAAGCGTGGCAGGTGAGTCGCGATATCCAAACTATGTTCACCAGCATTGGTACTGACGTCAGTGATAGCATTTTCGGCAGCTTCCTGAAGAAGAAGTCGGCTGAGCCTGAGGCGGCCCCAAGCGCTCCTGCTAAGGATGCTCCCGCCGCTGCTGAGGCCGTTGCGGAGACTGCTCCTGTCATCCCCGCTGTCGAAACCACTGAGCCTCTGTCTACCGAGGTCACCTCGGCCGACAATGCTGCCGCTGAGACGGCTGAGCCTGCTGTCGCTGTTACCAACGGCGAGTCCAAGAAGGAGGTCCGCAGCGACAAGCGCAAGAGCTCGCTCCCATTCGGCTTCGGCGCCAAGAAGGAGAAGTCGGCTACTTCTGATGAAGAGACCGAGAAGCCCAAGTCGCCGTCGCCTTTCTCTAAGCTGCGCGCTACCATCAAGGGCAAGGGCAAGGCCGACAAGCCTGCCGAGAAGGCTGACGAGAAGGCCGAGGACAAGCCAACTGAAGCCGAGGCCTCGAAGGATGCTGAGCCCGCCAAGGAGGAGACTGCCGAGCCAGCTGAGGCCGTGGCGGTCACTGAGGCAGCTGTCCCTGCCGAGAAGCCCATCGCCTCCACCCCCGTCATCCAAGCTGCCGCGTAGGTCGCGAATGCTCGCTCGGGGTTGCGATGGAGCAGCCGACGATATGACACGAATGAAAAACCGGAAAAATAGAGCGAACTCACGTACGATCACCGATGCACGCCAACTTCTGCGAGGTATAATACCCCCTATTACCACAACTCCGCTAGGTTCGGTTGGGAATCGGATCTGCATTTCAAGATACCCTGTCAAGATTGGTTCTTCCTGATACCCCTTTCCTTGAGCTATGGGGACGTCGGACGGATTCCGGGGGAGATTTTGTCGATCAACTTTCTCTCCGTGATTCCTGGGCGACTGAGTCCGTCCAATCCCACTTTATGCATTATACCTGTTTCCTTTTCCTTTCCATGTCTTGATTCCCCCTTTTCCTCGGACTGTTTTCTGATTTTGGTTCATGGTCCCCCTGTCTGCGGTGTTTTTGATACCCAACGTATACCCTTGCAAAGAGAACGGTCGCTTGGAACGAAACAGGAAACGGTCATGACCTTGAAAGGTACCAGATAAAACCGAAAAAACACAAAAAAAGGAGGAGTTGGTCCATTTTTAGTAGGGGTTGGTCTTCTGACAGGAGAAAGATGGATGGGGGATTGAAAGTTGTCGAAGTTGTTGGCTGCTGTCTCGCCATGTAGGGCTTGACTGGGTCGAACACACTCTCACTAATAGCTAATAATATACCTCTTGCGTGTTGAGCTTCGCCATATCTCATATAGCCCTTCGCGTCTCGTGATCCTTCACTGCTCCCTCCTGCATTATGGAACTTGCGTGCCCCATAATTTATGTTCGGCTATGAGTACAACTTGCTTCTTTATTATCTTCCACACAAGTATATACATGGTATTACTGAATATCTTCTGTCAGATACCTACAATGGCGCATTCCCCAGACGCAGTCGCCTGCCATCGCCGTAAATGCTACCAAATGCTACACGGTCATCACTACTTTTCGAATTCTGACTCTGGAGGCAATCATCGTGTGTGTTTTTCCTGTCATCGTCGTCGTTTTTATTTTTTATTTTTATTTTTTTAATATTATCTCTTCAACGGGCCTGTTCGTCGAACGCCGGTCCATCCAAAACCGATCCCGTGAAAGCTGTTGCTCGCGGAGCGAAGACTCGAATGGTTATTGTCCTCCATCTCTGAAAATTGTGAGAGGTCAATTCGGTGCTCCTCGGCGGGAGTGACGGACGGCAGCAGACCTCCAGCTCTTCCCAGTGTGTTGACCATAGTTTGTCATGGATTGTCATGGACAGATAGATGGGCAAAGTTTGACGCCAACATGGAGTCGTAGGTGCGTTATCGGGGTATTCCAACAACTAGTGTTTGTAGCGGAGGGGAGGGTCATGTCTTATATTTGGCGATAACTTCCTCGATTTTCGGAAGCAGCTCGGGGATGCGGAACGGTTTCGAAATCACATCGTCCTAGAGGAGACACAGTGTTAGCAATTAGGCATATGAGTGTGCGCTCCAAGACGGGGCTGCAGAGCAAAAGGTGATGATGATAGTGTACTTACTACCCCTGCCTCTTTGGCATTGGCGATCTGCTCACGCCGGGCATAAGCTGTCACGGCGAGGATAGGGATATGCTGCGAGATGGTTCCCTCCCGTTCCAGCTCACGGATCTTCCTAGCACAGGTCATGCCATCCATAACAGGCATCTCGAGGTCCATGAGAATAACCGAGATGTTGGTGGTCTCGTCAGAGCATGGAGGTGTCCAGAAACGGGACCGCCGCAGAGCCTCGAGGGCCTCACCGCCGTGGTTGGCAACGTAGGTATTGTTTCCAGATCTGGAGAGCTGTCGTTGCAAAACCTGCTGGTTGACGAGGTTGTCTTCCACAATAAGGATGTCGAGGGGAGGTCTGGCATTGGAATCTCGAGTGAAATTTGCCGCCATTTCGATGTTTCTTGAGGCTATTCCGCGCAATCGGGATGTCTCGGTACCAAATCTTGTAGAGTACTGCAACATTGGGGCATTCGACAAAGAGTCAGGGGACCTGGTAGAACGTTGGCCGGCTCTTGCAGCCTCAGAGGTCGGATCGGGATGAGGGTCATGTGCTATCCTGCTCTTGATGTAGAAATCGAATGTGCTGCCCACGCCCTTCTCAGACCTCACCCCGATCTGGCCTCCTTGGAGCTCGGTTAAGATCCGACAGATGAAGAGGCCAAGGCCGGACCCTCCGTATTGAACGTGTGTCCGCGGCGAGGCCTGCGAGAAGCGTTGAAACAGGATATTCATCTCGTCATCGTCCAGTCCCGGACCTGTATCGGTAACTGAGAGGTGGAGGTTGACCTTCTCGCCGTCGCCCCAGTCGGCCTCGTCGGTAAGGTCGGTCGAGCCATCTCGGAGGCCTGGGAAGTACGAGAAGCCAGACTGGGAGACGTCCTTGGATGCTGCCAGGCTGACGACAATCGCGCGGGTCTCCCTCCCTTGCGTGAACTTGATAGCGTTCGTCATGAGGTTGATCATGACCTGGCGCAGCCTGGATGGATCTAACTTGTACCAATCGATATCCAAGTCGAGGTAGGATTTGTCGATCTGAAATTCGCCCGTAATATCGTTGGATTTGAGTTCCGACTCGAACATCCTGAAGACATTTTCCACCACGACAACTGGCTGGGTATCAACAGGGGTTACAAGTAATAGCTGGGAGTCGAGTTTCGAGAGGGTGAGGATGTCGTCCACGATGCGCTTCTGATGGTTCGCGCACAGTGAGATGGTATTTGCGGCCTCGATACAGTTATCCAGCCGAAGCTCGAAGTCGCTTAGCTCGGGGGAAGAGACATCATCCAATCTATACTTCATCAAACTCCCAGATATCTCATCAGCGCACTGGAGAATGGCACTGAGAGGATTTCGCATCTCGTGGCTTGTGATGTCGATGAAGTTTTCTTGTTGGCGCTTCAACTCGACGGCCTCTTCACGCCTCTGTTTCTCGAAGTCCTCGGCCCTTTTCTGTTGTGATATGTCGGTCATGCACCCGAAGATGCTCTTGAGGCTTCCTGCCTCGCCCTTCTCGGGGTACGCGCTCATTAGGACCCAAGTGTCGATAGGTTGCCCGTTAGCTGCCTGGCGAGAGCGCTTGAACCTAAACTCGTGAGTGATGGCGACCTTGTCGTTGACCAACTTCCTCCAAACTTCCTCAACACCCTTCCTGTCCTCATCTCTAATGCTCTGCATCCAGGCATCGACCGTGTTTGCTGACCTTGGATGGCTCGATATCTCCCACCACGTGTCGTTACAGTAGTTGATCACCCCACGCCCATCAGCAATAAACATACCGACTGGCGCAAACTCGGCCATCCTCGTGAACCTATATTCACTTTCCACGGCCTCTTCCGTTCTTAGGCGCAATTGCATAGAAAGCTCTTGGCGATCCAACGCAGCAAGCTGGGCTTCCTTCTGGCCACGCATGATCTCTTCCTCGAATAGAACGACCGAGGCTAGCGATGTGGCTAGCTGTCGGGAAAGAATATTGACGAAGAGCTCGTAGTCGTCATCGTAGGGCCGCCGAGGATTGATGCCAAGCACGATAAAGCCGACGGTCGTTTCTCCTGCTGCCGTGGGATGGACGGGAAAGACGACGACAGTGCGGCACGGATCACCAAAACCCCTCCAAGCAAGTCCTTCGATCAGCTCGCCCGGTAGAGTCCCGTCCTCACGTCTCAAGACAACCGGACCATTTAGGTGGGTTACAGATTCCCTCATATACGGAGCAAATCCCTCTTCGGTTGAGCGGAAGTCGATGGACGGGACCGCGACTGGATGGCCAGGGGGCACCCCAAGAGCTCCTTCGAGAATGGCCCGATGGGGGATTTCCATGCCACTAGAATGCGTGGAGCCTACTTCGCCCTGGACATCTCGGCTGACTGAATAGATGAGAGCGAAGGGGACGTCGAACTCATTTGACTTGAGGCCAGATTTGACTTGGGCCCAGAATGCCCTTACATCCCGGGCTTTGGCCGTCTTTTCGCCAACTTCGTGCAGCAAGAGGGTGCGTCTCTCGTTCACTTTCCGGCGAGTGCTGTCGAAAGTGGGGTTGTAGAGGGCAACCACGGATCCGTCACTCCCGACAAGTGGCACGATGGACCAGTTGACAAAGGTTTCTTCGAGGTACCCATTACGGGATAGAAAGAGCCTGTCCTCATGCTTCGTCGTCGCCTGGCAAGAAGTCCAAGCGTTCTCAAAGACAGGCTTGATCTCATGCCAAATTTCGGGCCAAGCATCCGGATATCTCATGCCCATCAGCCGAGGATGTTTTTGGCCAGCAACGGAGATGTAGGCTTCGTTATAGATCGCGATAAATTCAGGACCCCAATACATGGCTGCAGGACGCGTGCTGCCCATGATCATGTTCGACGTTGATCGCAAGTCAGGCGGCCAGGTGTCCACGGGCCCAAGTGGCGTCGCTGCCCAGTCTACCGATCGCGCAAATCGAATGTGTGAGGGTAGATTCGGTGCATCGAGCGGTATCCTGGTCCAGTCAAACGAGAGTCTCATGCTTTCAACTTGTGAGTCATCAAGAGCAAGATCTCCCGTGTGTTGGATTAGGGGGTCGAGAACAGACTCGGCTTTGGACCTAGGTTCGGAGTGGGATCGGACGTGGGACCTCTGAGTGGCTTTAGGCTGGTTGGCATCTCCAAAATAGCCAACATCGCCCGCGGGGTCTTCTTTCGGCGTGTCGAGGCCTGTTGCCGGCATTGGACCTCGTGCCCGCTGTTCCAGAACGGAATAGGCCTGCGCTATACGGCTGGGGAACGTCGGGGTAATCGAAACGGCACTGATGTTGCCACTGACGAAGCGGAAACGCTTCCTCAACGTCGAGCATGACCAACTGATGCCTGCGTATGAGAGAGACGGAAGACATACGTCCATTGACTCGTTGTCCTTCACGGAACTGACAACCCAAGCCTTAAAACGCGAGAAATCAGCGCCGTGTCCTGGATCCGTCGTGTCTGCTAACAGGAGGTCGGAGACCAAGGGGGCCGCTCTCAGTGAAGCATTGGAAAAGATAATGTGGAGCGGTCCGGGGTCGAAGTTGGCCGAGTTAGCCAAGTCGATGATGAATGTCGGACGTTCATCCTGTTCCAAGAGTTCAATCACTCCCACGCCCTGGAGAAGCTGTAAAACAGGCGGCAAATCGGAACTCTGTTGGCTTGCGGAGGTGCCATCACTTTGAAGTGAGGAGCATCTGTAAGGCTTACTCGAAGACCTAGAGCGTCTTGCGGGGCTCGCAGGGCCTCCCAGCATGCCGAGTAGCGGAACCTCTTGGTGCGGTTCTCCGTCTATCATGGAAACGATAGCTTCTGAGGAGAAGCTCTGTGGTCGACCCGCCATGTATTTGGCTGGGTTTCGGAAGGAAGTATACGCCCAACGGGGTTCGATTCGAGGGTGGGTTGGATTTGGCTTCTGTAGAAAGGATCCAAGGCCGAGTACGTGAGCAGGCTCTCTTCAACAGTAACACACCCACATGCGCGGGCCCGCGCGTGTTCCTCCTCGTATGGCTCCCTTTCCAGTAAAATTCGCCGGTCTGGCGGAAGACCGGGAAGAGTTGACTTTGAGAATGGTGAATGGTGAGTGGTAATATGGTCGAGTTAAGATCTGGGCTAGACACTTGCGCAACGGCCAAACAATCGCCGACTATGGCGGCGGACGCACAACCATATCATCTGGTTTCGGGGCGGATTCTCCAACAGTGATCGGGCGATGCTGGGTGGTACGGCTGGAGGTGGGTTTGAGTCTCGGGTGGGGGTATATTCAACGGCACGAGGAGTGGATTGGGGATATGCTAGGCAGTTGATATGGGTCGCGAGTCCAGCGACATGCAGGTAATGAGACAGGGGGAGGTCTAACTGGACGACAGCACCTTGCCGACGTTCAAGCTCTTGGCTGGGCTAAGATGAGACGTTGAGGTCTTCTAGATCCCTTGCGTACCGAAAGTTACAAGCAGGATCCTCTAACGTAGGTGGGCAAAAATGAAGAAGGAGTGGAAGTCGAGGCACCGGAGCCATTGAAAATGTTTGCTGAAAGTCCACCTGATGAGCCCGAGGGAGGTGGACAATTGCGGCTCCGTGGCCGCCTCAGTCAGTGTCGCTTGGCGCATGCGCTACCCGAGTGTAGGCAGAGGGGCAAGAGCAGCTAAATGATAAGAGGAGGGAAGCCTCCAGGTTTCTGCCTGCTGGCCAAAGGTGTGAGAAGTGTGTCCACGCCAGGGAGAATGGACGGGACCTTCCTGGGGGGGTGGTGGTGCCGGAGAGATGCCGGGAGGGCTCTGGCGGTCCAGACTCGTTGTGGGCGGGCCACTCGTGTACCTACCAGGCGTGCCAGGTTACCCAACCTACTTCTCCCCAGTGCTCCCCTAACCTGTAGGTAGGTGGTCCACTGTACGCGATAAAGTAGACTGCGGGAATAGGTAGTTTACCTTAGGTAGGTAGGTACCTTGGTAGGGTAAGATGGTCCAGGCATGTCAGGTACACTGAACGTTAAAGAAGGTCAGGCGGCGACCATGGACGAAACAGAGCAAACCATGACCAGGGGGATAGGGGCCCCTGTGGTGGGGTGGGGTGGATCACGGTCTGCGGAGGTCTAGAGTCTTGGCAAAATGGTGTCACCCGCCCAGGATCCCCTGTCTACTATGTATAGTTGATACTATCCCGAGGTTGGATTGATTTGTGCTGTGCAAAAAAACGAGGCTAATAAACACCGTAAAGGCTTCACGATAGACAGAATAGGAAGAGCAGGTGAGCTGCTCCGATGGATGAGGTATCAGCATACCTCGAGGCTTGCTTGGGAACCTACCTAGGTCTGCAGTAGCCTTAGATTAAGTAAGTACGGATAGGCAGGCAGGATGAGGTGCAGAGAAGTTGAAAAGTTTTGGACAGGATCGCAGTAGGCTAAGCTTGGCGAAATGGCAGAGGGTCGAGCCCTGTTAACTAAGGTGCTGCATACCTATGCGTAGGTAGGAATCGTGGAATCCGTAATTGCCCATACCATTGAAACATGCAGATTCTAACACTACACGACTTTTGTGAGCACGAGTCTTGACTTACCCATTCTGTCTCTTCGGATAGTCTTGATGGTGCCCGATCAGAGTTCACGGGCATCTCCACCCACGGGTTGTTCCGAGATCTGCCTACACTACCTAGGTAGACACGTTTGCTTCGCTCGTCTTTCCACCAATCCATCGCACACCACCAGCTTAGACTTCAAGTGTCCAAGGGTGGAACTGTGCTCTAGTATGACGCCCCGTAGTTGGGGAGGGTTGAGCAGAATGATCGATGATAGATCATTGAATGGAGCTTTACTATGCGTAGGTTGGTAGGACGTGTTCGGAGGTACTAGACATCCTCTTCTCCTTTTCGGATCTGCCTCATCAAAACAGTCGCCGCAAAGATAGTTACCCAAATCACCTATTACATTTAACTTACTCCTCCGAATGCAAAAAAAATCGGTGTTTTGGTGGCAGGACTTGCAGGTGGTAGGGAGTGAGTACCTATAACCGCTGTACTCCGTCCAAAGGACGCACACACAAGCAAAAATAAAAGAATGGCACATGTGCTGATAAAACAAGACGGGAGCTACCTAGTTTAAAGACACAAGGAGCTTTTCTTCCAGTCGTGTCTCATGGCGGTCCGACCATGCTCCTTCGACCCGTACCGTAGGTAGGTCAGGGAGGTCCACATCAAAGTACCTAGGTAACCCGAGGACCGTGCTTTTTTTCCCCTACCTCGTAAAGGGAAACGGGGGTTGGGTGACCGGCGGCACGCACGGTAATTGGGCGGACCTGAAGTCCCGCGAATCGCTCAACCAGATTGGTCACAACTCGTTCTACAATCAGAGGCTCCTCGGCCAATCAGATTCCAGAATCCCTTTTCGCCCGGCGCTTACACCGCCGTGGCCGCCCCCATCACGGCCGTTCTATTGGGCATGGCTGGCATATCGGCGTGATTGTCTTGATTGACCTGCATCCCCGCCCGGTAGGCTGGAGGTTGGGTGCCACCGGTTGTGTTGCGGGCGGCAGACAAGCCTTATAACATACACCGCAGCCCAGCAACCTGCCATCAACTCCCGCCCCCCTCCGTTCCATGCAGTGAACCTCCTATCCCGTCAGGAAGCTGTCGACACCGTTAATTTCTGAGATGTGAAGAGATCCCGCGACTGCTGGCAGCCAGCGACATTTGACTCTGACGGACACCTTTTTCATCCCACGCTTTTTAGCCGTTCTGCAGGACTGCCGAGAGCGACGGGGGGAGATACCTCAGCCAGCTGCCGCTGCACATCCAAGGAAGTTAGTCGGAGCGGGTGCGACAGAAAACCGCCATAACCAGCGACAATCAGCGGCTTGCTAGCCCAACATGGCATACAAGATCTTCCGCCGCAAGTGGAGGGTGAAGAGGCCGATATGGTTCCTCGTGGTTATGGAGCTGGCCGCCCTTGTCCCGCTCCTCGTACTCTTTGGCATCCAACGCCCCGATCTGTACCGGACACGGTTCTGGAACATTGGCTTCGACATGAAGATGAACTCCAACCCGAACATGATCCTTTACGCATATGCAAATCACCGACCACTGCCCACCATTCCTTTCGTGTGGTCGCAAACGTGAGTGGCGGGCTCTCTCTCTTATACGGGAAGCCGATTCTGACAGGATCCACCGCAGACTTACCGACTTCAACGTCGCCATCTCGATCATCTCTCTCTTTACTCTCCTCACCAAGATGATCATGTTCATCATGAAAGTCTGGTTCCCCATCATCGGTCTCCTACAGAGCTTCGCCATGGTCGGGCTCTACACAGCCAGTGTTTATGGCCAAGCCGGTCCTGACTACGCCGATTCGAGATATCCGAGCCCGTCCCCTTGGTATATCCGCTTGAGCTGTGACGTCGCCAAGCCGTACAATGCTACCAAGCAATGTATGATGGCGAAGGGGACCTTTGCCGTGACGATCTTCATGCTGTACGTTCCCCTCCAACCGAGCCTGGGCGTGACCCCAACTAACTGTTGCCCTTCAGCTCCGTCTACCTTGGCAATCTCGGCCTAGCCATCTGGTCGATGCTTCCAAACAAGCAGCAAGCCGAGGGGGATGATGACGATGAGGCCTCTTCATCAGGCTCGCCAATCACGGACAAGCAGTGGGAGATGCAGCCAGTGACGCCGAGGACGGGATTGCCCTTCACGCCGAGGACGCAGGCCTTCCACACGCTCGACAGGAGACTGCCCTTGCGCCATCAATGAGGCCCTCAACGACACACGCCATATAGGCTACTAGGCCACGGCTACTTATGCTATCTCATCTCTTTGCGCCCTGGGTAACCGTATCGGGCCCTTGTCGAATGGGCATGGCTGTACGTGTTGAAGCAACGGGCTCAGGCCCGCCAATTCGCCTGCCGGCTGTGAGGGATGTGTATCTCCTTATTATTACTATCCGGGACAGGGTCGGACTAATTTCCTTGGTTGGGTGGGGAAACGGACTCGGGGTGTCTTTTTACGATGGATTTGATGTGGTTAGATATCATCTGCTATATTGCCTGGAGTTGGTGGAATATCCTCGGTCACTTGCGCGTGTACGATAACTGCCGGACACCGGTTGTTCTTATCAACGAATAAGCACTCGCTTGCTCACGCCGAATCACAACCAAAGTTCAAGCCAGACACACAGAGAGGTAAGGGTGTGTTGGAGGGTATGGGCCTGCCACAACGCTTTCTCACCTAAGCTTCTTCCTTTCCCCTTTTTTTGGAACTGCGAGATAACAGCGAAAGCAGGAGCTTTCACGTTTCACAACACCCTCTACCACCTCCTTGTCTGCACTCCCCGCCACAGACGTTCCTCTTTCTCTTCTTACGGTGACCTTTTACAGCCACCCGGTTACACATGCGGTGGCTGTGCCGGGATCCGGCGCTCAAGGCGGCTGGCACCTGACGGTTCACAGACATGGGATATAGGGGCGATCGAAACCAGATGGGTGGTGGCGCCCGTCATCATCCCGGGTCACAGCAGCGTTATTGTGGCTGGGAGGTGTAGCTCCGATGATTTGTCTTATCAGACTAGACAGGCTGCTGGGAGACGACGCACCATGCTGACGAAAGGTGCTGGCTCATGCTGTGTCAGGCGGTCCACGAAACCTAGGGTGTTTGCGTGTATCCTCGACTTCTCAACAGTGTTACGTCAGGGACGTTGCTCCACCGGTATAACCACAGTTATGCGGTTAGAAAAGGTCTAGATCCCTTCCGTCCAAAGGTTCTCTGAGGAGGCGGATATAACTACCTTGCTTGTGCGGATAAGTCAGCTTAATATATATTTGTCCTGCATTGAAGCCTTCCATCAAGGATGTCGAGTCTGAACTCTCTTGTTAGGCGCCAAAGAGCCACAATGATCTGATGTTGCCAACCGTTACCATAGCAGACCCTAACCCTGTCGCAGCTAGTGGCCTGATGAGAGCGGGTGTAGACGGGCTACGGGGTGGAGGTAAGTGCCGGGCACGGGGGACAGTGGATCCAAATGCAATAGCCGACGTCATCCACACAGCCCGATTACCGACAATTACTACCGCCTCTCGGGGACGTTCACGAGACACAGCAATCGATAATTTCCACGCACAGGTTGTCCTAGAGAACCAACTGACTTCATTATCAGAAAGGCATCCCTTCTGCGAGTGCCGCCCTCATTTTGTGCGTTTTTCTTTTCCCGCATCCGTGATACAGAGACAGAGCTCTGGTATTTGTGCCATCTTGTGCCATCCGACATCTTCCGTCGGATAGCGGAGATGGCCTTGTTACAGAGGACTCTTATTTACTCGTCTCGCCTGGCAATTAGATCCCGGTTCCAAAGAAGAACCCTACCCGTAGCAGCCAATTCGTGCCTTCGCCTCGCCTCAACAATGGCCCCCAAGGTGGGTTGTAGAAACCCTATGCCGTTGCAATTACCTTGTTGCTGATTTGTAGCGCTATAGCTCAAGGATCCGTCTCTCCTCAAGCAGGACGTCTGTTACGTGAATGGAGAATGGGTCAAGGCCGCGTCTGGCAAGACATTCCAGGTCAATGGTAGCTTGCTCCACCCACAGCCACCTGCCCCCCCGACTGCGCGCATATTGACTCTTCTTTCCAGACCCATCGACAGGGAAGCTCATTGGTACCTGTCCTGAATTCGACGCCAAAGATACCGAGCATGCCATCGAAGCTGCAGAGGTTGCCTTTGACAGCTTTAAGCAGAAAACCGGCCGAGAGAGGTCTAAGCTGCTACGAAAATGGTATGATCTCGTGATGGAGAACTCGGAGGACTTGGCAACCCTCATCACCTGGGAGAACGGGAAGCCCACGGCCGACGCCAAGGGCGAGGTCGTCTACGCGGCCAACTTCCTGGAGTGGTTCAGCGAGGAGGCGCCTCGCATCTACGGCGACACCATCCCTTCCTCCGTGCCTGGGAACCGCGTGTGGACCATCAAGGAACCCGTGGGAGTCTGCGGCCTCATCACGCCCTGGAACTTCCCCGCCGCCATGATCACCCGCAAGATGGGCCCCGCGCTCGCCGTCGGCTGCACCGTCGTCTGCAAGGCCCCCGGCGAGACGCCCTTCACGTCGCTCGCGCTCGCCGAGCTCGCGCACCGGGCCGGCATCCCTGCGGGCGTCGTCAACGTGGTCACGACGCTGAGCAACACGCCCGAGGTCGGTGAGGTCCTCACGACGCACCCGACGGTGCGCAAGGTCTCCTTCACGGGGTCGACCAACGTCGGCAAGCTGCTCATGCGGCAGTGCTCGTCGACGCTCAAGAAGCTGTCCCTCGAGCTCGGCGGCAACGCGCCCTTCATCGTCTTCGACGACGCCGACGTCGACGCCGCCGTCGCCGGCGCGCTGGTCAGCAAGTTCCGCTCGTCGGGCCAGACGTGCGTGTGCGCGAACCGCATCTTCGTCCAGGCCGGCGTCTACGACGAGTTCGCGGCCAAGTTCGCCGACCAGGTCAGGCAGTTCCGCGTGGGCAACGGGTTCGAGGGCGGCGTCACGCATGGCCCGCTCATCCACGACCGCGCTGTCGACAAGGTCGAGTCGCACGTCCGCGACGCCGAGGAGAAGGGTGCGAAGGTCGTCGTCGGGGGCCAGAAGATGCCGGACCTGGGGGAGAACTTCTTCCAGCCGACCGTCCTTACTGGCGTGACGACTGAGATGGACATGGCCATCGAGGAGACATTTGGTCCCGTGGCTGGATTGTTCAAGTTTGCGACCGAGGAGGAGGTGGTCAGGATCGCAAACTCGACACCGGTTGGGCTGGCGGGCTATTTCTTCTCGAAGGACCTGCAGCGCGTCCACCGGGTCGCGGAGCATCTCGAGGTGGGCATGGTCGGCGTCAACACGGGCCTGATTTCAGACCCTGCCTCGCCGTTCGGAGGCGTGAAGGAGTCTGGTTTCGGCAGGGAGGGATCGCAGTATGGTATCTCCGAATACCAGGTTACCAAGATGGTCACGTTTGGTGGAATGGGCCAGCCTCTGAAGAAGTGATCAGGAGAAAGGGCTAATTCGTTGCAATTGCGGAGAGCACAAAGTCCGTCCATAGGTGATGCTTTATCAGGCATCTATGAACATAGGCAAATGTTAATAGCAGCTGTGTGCGATGTCTCTCTACAAACGCTGATAGACCGTGAATGCTATAGATCAGGGGTGAGCAGGAAACTGGCAGCCTTTGCCCATGGCGGCCGTAGGTATCATCTCAAAGTCCAAGGCTCAGCTCTGATACCGTAGTGTGTAAGCTATTCACAGTCCATTGCGGGATAACATCCAGCATGCGAATGTTTGAGAGATGCCTTGGCACAGTTGGCAAGCAATAAGAGTTTCTGATTTGAGTGCTGGGCTGCACGGGAGGTATCACGTGACACACCCTTTTTTTCGAGTCGGTCCGTGGAGCTTTCAACTTTTAGTTCCATATCACGACTGCGAGGTTGTCGGCCGAGCGATTCTCGAAAACCGCCTCAATCGCCATGAATCGGGCAGCAGTGCGATCCGCTCTTGGGCGCGGCCGTGTCGAGATCCGATGGGACAGCCAGCGATCCCTATCAACAACGCAATGGGTACAAGACGACCAGCCATCCCAACCTCGACCCACCACCCGGCAACGATTAGCGGCGGCAGCTTCTGATCTGGGCTCCTTGGGGCAATCCGGCTCGCCCAGCGCACCGCGCGTCGATGCTCGCTCCTTGGGCGCGTCCTCGCCCGGACGAGGAGGGCCAGCCGGCGGGCACACCATGATCAACCTCCGGAGCCTCAGGGGCCGCTTGACCACACCTCGCCCAGCCGGCCGATTTGCCCCGAGTGGCGGGCAAGGCTTTCCACCACGCACTGGGGGTCCCAGGACTCCTTTCCAGCGAGGCGGCGGCGATGCCGGTGCTGGCGGGTTTCGTGGCAGGGGCCGCGGCAGGGGTCGTGGCGGCGGCGGTGCCGGTGGACGGGGGGGCAAACGGAAGAAGAAGGACGAGGAGGCCGCAAAGGACGATAACGCCAACGGCAAGCTCATATGCACCCCCGAAGAACAGGATTGGCTCAATCGCATCGAGCAAGGCGTCGTAACGCCATACACGCCCCCGACCACGCTGGAATCCCTGGTCGGCCACGGCCCGGCCCTGGCAACGGATGTCTCCATAGGCAAGGTCGAGGCCGCGATGAGGGGCATGCGGATTCTCGGAGGAGGCAAGCCGTATAACCCGGACGGCTTCTTCAACGACCCCAAGGACAACGTCAACCGGTACTACCACGAGAAGAAGCCCGTCTTCTTTGACAGCTTGAAGGAGAAGGAGTGGCTGGAGGGCAGCCAGGATGGGGTCAGGATATATCCTCCTCACGAGAACACCAAGGCGGCCATTATTCAGGCTGCTGTCCAGGGGAAATACGTCGCCCCCAAGTTCGCGGCACTCAACGACACTCTGGGTATGCTGGCAAGCTATCACGCCCGCGAAGCGACGTACACACCTACCGATGGGGAGAAGTTTGATGCGAAGGTCCGTTCTCTTCTGCCTGCCCAAGGTGCACGCGCGAAGGGTGCCGCCCGACCTCGGAAAGCAGCGGCGGCATAAGGAGGGCGATCGAGCAGATGTCTGGTAATACCGACACCCGGGGGATGGACACTGTAGCACTATGTGGAGCTTGTTGTATGTAGGAATCGAATCACTGTATGAATATATGGATGGGTATCCCTTCGACACCCTAGCATCCGGCCCACGGGGTATCCCACGGGAATGCCTTCCTTCTCCATCTAGCGGCCTTCCTTGGCCGCAATGTGCTGTAGGATCTCCTTCTCCTTGCTATCCACATGTGCCATCCGCTTGTCCTGCAGCTTCTGCAGTTCCTTCTCCAGCCGCGTCTTGTCATTAGCGGTAAGCAGCCCGTCCTTGTGCCACCTCTTGACGACCACGTCCCTCTTGTGCCTCTCGGCGCGCACCTGCTCCCTCCAGGCGTGGCACAGCTCCTTGGCCCTCTTAACCAGCCCCTCCTTCCTCTCGGGCTCGACCTTCAGTATCAGCTCCAGCTCGTTCTCCTCGCTCCGCTGCGGCTGCTGATTGAAGTCCGGGCTGGCCTGGATGGCGCTCATGACGGGCTTGATGTATGCCGCCTCGTGCACCAGCACGCCAATGTTGCGGCCCCCCTTGGGCACCACCGCCGCCAGCTCGTGCAGCGGGAACGTCTCGGCCGACTTCTTGTCCGGCCGCACCCGCACCGCCCCGATCGCGTCCGGGTTGAACCGGCCCCCCGCCCGCATCTTCTTCAGCTGGTCCTCAAAGTGCTCCGCGCCCCGCGCCCACCCGAACTCGAGGTCCGAGAGGTCGAACGGCTCCTCCGGGTTCGGCTTCGGTCGCCCGTCGCCCCCGGACGTGACCTCCTCGTTGCCGGTGCCGGCGCCGGCGCCGGGCTTGGTGTTCTTGCTCTTGGGGGCGGCGGCGGCCTTGGGGGCGGTGGTCACGTCGGGCCGGCCCTTCGTCCGCTCCTTCGAGGCGTTCTTGGCCTGCCACGTCGTCTGCGAGAAGCAGCGTGCGCAGGAATGTGTGAGGCCAGCATCGCGAGCCAATTGACCCTGTAGCAGGCGTGGGTGAAATCTGAACAGGCCGAGGGCTGCTGCATCTGTTGGACTTTGAAACCCTTAGTGACGGGGGCATTGTAGAAGCAGGCATTGACGTTGGCCTTACCTGGCAACAGCTCTATTGGCAATCCTACTGTTGCGCAGAAGCGCCTTGGAGTACTGGAGGCCCCTCATGACATCGATATCCGGAAAGGTGTTTGGGGGGACTTCCTGGTTGCAGAGGGGGGTTCGCCTCAGCCTTGCAGCGATTTGTGGTTTGCTAATGGGCCATCGACCAATGACGGCGAAACTAAATGATTCTGTCTATTATTGGATAATAAGGACTTGAAAATTCTGGATGACCGTTTAGCTCAGTGGTTAGAGCGTGTGCTTTACATGCTATTCTAGTATCGCACAAGGTCGAAGGTTCGATCCCTCCAACGGCCATTCTAGTTTTATTTTTTTGGCCCGTTGAATTGATCCACTAGGTGGATACATTTTTATTTTTTAAAAATTTAATCTGAGTGAAGCTTCCGAAACTTACGTATTGGATTAACGTCAACTTATTTTCAAGTCGGAACCTTGGCGCAGCTGGTTAGCGCGCAGGTCTCATACTCGCTATGATTCGGTCCCAGATCGGAGTAATCCTGAGGTCGTGAGTTCGATCCTCACAGGTTCCATGCCTGTTTTTTTTTTTTTTCCCTTCTCTCCCCCTCCCCACCCTCTTTCTGTTTCCTTTTCATTCATCCGTCAACTGAATTGGAGATGAGCTATAGGGAGATCGTTGACCTTTGAGACGTCCTCGAGAAAATTCTCCTAGCACTCTTCATCAATTGCAGGTGGTGATGGATGATGATGGTCTTGCAGTCTTTCGCCACCATAGAGCCCTGCAGCGGGCTCAGCTGGTGAGTTTGCGTCACCAAATATTCCCAAGACATGCTGCTGGGATTCTGTGGCCCGTGGCTTTGTGTGAACATTTTCATGTCGATATTTCATGCCGGCGAGGGTTGCCGGAAAGAACTTCGGTAGTCACGGACAGGTAGTAGAGAGGAAGTTGTTTAGAATTACGTAGTATACAGGGCCAGACTAGGTCGATACACTAATAATGGACACCTAACCTGCACTTTGTAGTGGAGAGGTTGGCGGGAAAGGGGTCGAGATCGAGAAAAGGGGGGGAGGGGTTGCGCAGGTGTGTGCGTACATTTTTTGTCCCCCCCAATATCGGATCCGGCTTTGCAATACTACGTCAGATCAGTGAGATCCTCGAGGTGAGCAGGTTTATAAACGAGCACCCTTAGTTGGCGTTGCCTCTGACACAGGTTGATATCAAACTTGTCATATTATCGACCGTGGCGACCAGCTCCAAGCCTCCATCCCGACACCAGCGACCATCAGCTTCCCCGGCGCGAACACCTCCAGGTCTCCAGGGTCCGCAATGGCGCTATATTGGTTCTCGACCAGGGCCACCCGGTTTCCCTTTCTGGGGACCTTTTCTATCCTCCAGACCTTGATGCGTTGGTCATTGCTCACGGTGGCCACCAACGTCGAAGGTCCGGCCCGTTCCATTATGACGGCACTGGTCACAGCCGCAGCGTGGGCATCTTTCACTCGAGCGCGGCTGGTGACGGTGAGGCTGGCGTGTTCCCCGCGCCATGAGATATCGAGGATGCCGAGAGCGTTGTCATCCCCGCTGGTGACGACTTGCCAGCTAATGCCGCCCTCCGTAGCATCGTCTCGGATGTCGAGGCTGATGATGGTATTCTGGTGAAGTTTGGTGGCGAGAACTAAGGTGTAGCGACTTATATCACAAGTCTTGTCTTGTGGTGTGCTCTTCTCACCTTTCCATATCGCCACATGCCCGTCCGTTGAAGCCGTGAGGACTCTCATGGCGCCTCCAGGCAGTCGAAGATGACGAATCTGCGTTAGGCAGGCCCCGGTGTATAGCCCTTCAGCCAAGAGCTTGAAACCCTGGTCTTGCGAGTAGCGGTACGTCTTCAGGGACGAGTTGGAGAAGGTCATTGAGATATGCATTCCGTCATCGTCCTCCTCCCCTTCACCAACGACAAAGTCCATGATTCTCAGGTCCCTCAACGGGGTGAAGTCGGAGAATACGGCCTCGCAGATCACTGCGAGCCCTTTGTACTTGGATCTGAGGCTGGTCACTCTCCAGACGTAGACCTCCTCATTTCCGGAGCAGCTGATGAGATACTCCTCCCCGTACCACTTGAGACACCGGACGCCCGCGGTGTGTTTCTCTAATACGGCAAGGCACCTCAGGTCTTCCGGCGGGGCGCCATCGTGTGCATATTCCCAGATGCGAATACACGTATCCTCGCCCCCTGTGGCTAGGTATTTCCCGTTGGTTGCCACCGCTCGGATCTCCCTGCCGTGGCTGCCTGGCCTGAGTGTCCGTAACGACATCCGGGACTGGGAGTAAATGTCCATGTACGACGCCTTGGTGTAGACGAACCGCATCCTTTCCACTTTGTCGCGGTTCGACATGTAATCGAAAGTCCTGTGGCCGCCGCCACACTCGACGTCAGCAATTTCCTGCTGCTTCGTTTCGTTCCACATGACGAAGCTTCTGCTGCGGAATCCGCATATGATGAGGTCCAAGTCCCCGTTCGGCGTCTGAGCGAACCATGCCCCCTCGAGTATTGGCCCCAGTGGAGGAGATGTTTCGTGCCGAAGGATGAGGGCCACTTCATCCTCGTCGCCCTGTATCTCGTAGATTCGGTAGTTTCCGTCGCGGAAAGTGGCAAGAAACCCAGTAGCAGTATCTCCATCCAGTGGCGGGAGCGTCACGATGGAGGTCACCGCGTCCTTGTTCTTGCAGTCTAGTCGAGAAGCTCGGCGGGCAAAGCCGTCTGGAGTCCTCGTGTACACCGCAACAACCCCCGATCTCGTTCCGATCACCATGAAGTCTCCACAGATGGCGGCAGAGGTAGCAACCCCCTTATCTAGGCAGATAGGCAGACGTTCGACACTGGTGCTCTCTTCTGATATGGCGAAGGTAAGTAACGTGGCTTGGGTGCTTCCAAGGATTGTCACTAATATGGTAAATACCCGTTCCTTTTCCACACCTGATCCCACGGCGATGGCGGTCTCCGCCCTCTCACTTGGCTTGGGTAAGAAAAGGAGATCGGCGATCTTGCCGGAAAAGGTTGCTATCTCCTGCATTCCATGCTCTTCGCGGAATAGGTACAGTCGTCCGCTTGTAGATCCCAGGAATGCGGCACCGAAACCGGGGCTCCTGGAGATGATGTGGGATTTCAGGTCTTCACGGACGGCATCAGAGACATCCACTTCAGCCCAGGATAATTCCTTTCCCATGTTCCCAACCAGAGTCCTTCCAGACTTAGTCGAGACTAGGAGGCGGTCTTCCGATAGGAAGACATATCGCAGGAAGCCGTTCTTGGCCGTCTTCTTGACTATGGGACTGGCGTCCGGTAGATAATTTCCTGTGCCCGATATTGATTCGGACACATCCTGGTAAGATAACGAGACGGTGCCGTCCGTAAGGTTGGACACACTCCGGCTGCTGTTGTCCTTGTTCGTGGAATCGGTGGCAACATCCTTGTCCACCCAGCCAAGAAGAGTGATCTTGCCATCAGCACCGCCTGTGGTGACGAGCGGATCGGATTTCCCTGCCGTCGTCACGGCAGCGGACCATATATGCTTTCCTTTATGGCAGACAAACTTTTCCACGTTATTGAGCGCGCCTGGGAGCCAATTGGATGAGTTGAGGACAGCGCTCTTGCTAGGAATCGTGGGACGGTCTCCGCCTAGGCATAATGCCCACTTCTGTGCGGTTGCGTCTTCTCCAAACGAGTACACGCTGACAGGGCTCATTGATGTTCCAGTATGAGCTGTGGGACAGGCGAACTTGACATGCCAAATTCTCGATCCATGGCCCATTGTTGCTGCGAGGCACCTTGATGCATCGACATCATGCGTTGCATCTATTTCAGAGCTAGCAGTAAAGCCCGTCTCTCGAGCCTCTCCCAGGCTCTTAATGTAGGCTCCATCAATGGTCCTGGCTAGGTCTGCGCCTCTCGTGATGTCCCAAACCCTGATGGTTCTGTCATCGCTACAGCTTGCTAGCAACCTCGTCTTACAGCCAGTTGTGAGCTCGAGCTCGGGCGAGATGTCAACGCCAAAGACAGAGCCCTCGTGGCCGGTGAGGACAAACAAAACTTCGGAACGGGATGAGCTTTCCCCATCAAAGCAGCACTCCCAGACGACTATCTCGCCGAAAACGGTCCCTGCTGCAACCAGGACACACCTTTCTGCAGTCCAGGAAACCGCACCGGAGTAAAGGATCGGTCTCGAGGGGGAGATGACCTCGCCGAACACGATGACGTGTCGGTTTTCTACCGAATCCACCGAAAACGAGACGATCTCGTTATGGGCGGTTATGAGGACACCGACCCGCGGGTCGTACGGCGACAAGCTGCCGTCGTAGATCCAGTCCGGGGCTTGTGCCTCGACAGGTGCCTCAACATGGGTGCCCTCGAGGATGGCCTCCAGCGCAGCTGCCGGCACGGTTGTCACGGACTTGTCCCCCCAGACAAGCAACCCGGCCGAGGAGGCTTGCATACCATGGACCGCCTGCGACGAAAATACCCTCAGCTGTCCACGCAGCCGACAGAGTTTGGGATCATAGATCCTGATCCAGGCGTCTTCTCCCGCGACGACGTATTGACGCCCATTGGCTGACTCAAAGAAGGCGAGGGCTGTAACTGGGCATTGTAAAAAGTCCTGCTTCAGAGCCCGTGGAGCTTCGGACTATGAATAGGAGGCCTGTCAGGGGAATGTTTATCGTTGAGAAGGACCTACCCCGCCAACGCGAAGGAGATACCGGGGAAGTCCACTTACATCTTGAGACATGGTTCGTCGAGGGTTATTTACTGGGCCACTTGGCCCCGCGGAGACGAGAAGAGGTGATTTACATGAATGGCGCAGGTGGCTAGCAGTTCCTTGACCGAATTGCGGTGTAAGTTTTCTAGGGAACCATTTACAGGACCGAATTTCAGCAGCTTGGGTTGTCAATTATCATGGTTGCCAACCTGAGAGAAATTTGCCTTCACGTGATGAGATTCACACTAGGCAGGTCACAGCAGATGCTATAAATGATGTTTGATAAAACACTAACTACTATGACTTATGGTAGGCAGCAAAGTAGCCATACCGGGTAATCGATAGGCGTAAGAATCTAAAGTGTTCAAAGTCTTTTGCACATCGTGAAGGTCCTTTTGCGGGGTATCATCCCAACTCTTAACCCAGGAACCCAGAAACCCAGGCAACCCCAATCTCCCCATGACTGATCTCCCTGTTGTTTATCATCATAAAGCCCAAAAAGGAGCAAAGCCGGAACGCCGATTAAATGCAGTAATAACGAGACCGGCACTCTTAAGCAGCATCCATGGATGTCCTCATCCCAATGCACCATCCCAACCGTAAGCTGGAAGTCACATCATTACACGTTCGCGTGCGAATAGGGCTCGTACGCCAAGTCGCGGCGCGGCGGGTTTGCGTTGCTGGCATAGCCGTACTGAGGAACCGAGTGCCGGTCGTTGTACCCACTAGGGTAGCTGGGGTCCGCGTGGATGGGCTGGTACGAGCCGGTGGGAATGAATTTCTCGGACTCGGCGTAGTTGCTACGCTTGCGGCTCTTGCTGTGGTGGTCAGGCGCGCAGCAGCAGATGGTGAAGAGCCAGAACAGGCCGGCAGCGATGGCGAAGGCAGCACCGATCCAGACAGCCGCAAGGAAGCGAGTGTTGAAATCGGCCTTGACGCCGTAGAACTTGGCGGTACCCTCGACGGCGCCGACGACGACGACAGACATGGCTGTCGCGAGCGAGGCGGCCGCGCAGACGGCCACGGTGGCGATGCCTGCCACGAGGAAAGTGATGCAAGAGAAGACCCGGCTGCAACTGGCGAAGATGCCGAGGAACAGCTCGACGCCCAGTGCCGCAATGGCTATGATGAAGACGATCTCAGTCCAGCGCGTGACGCTGCCGAAGGCCGAAATTGCGGACGTGATCTCCTTGGGCAAGGTCACGTTCTGGCCGGTGGCGGTGACCAGGCTGTCGATATTGTTCTTGGTGATGTTCAGCTGGGTCTCGGCCCAGTTGAAGGCGGGCTTCGTGCACACTTTTGTGCCATTCTGGGGCGTGTAGCAGTAGCCCCACAGGCCCATATCGTACAACTCGTAGAGACCGAGGTCGGCGCCCGTGATGTTTGATGTCTTGGCTCCTTCGGGTGAGCCTTCCTCGAGTAGGGTGGGGTCGTGGAAGCCGACCGATTCCGGACTCCGGGAGTTGATGAGGTTGGTAACAGAAGCTGGAGATATGGAGAGATTCGTTAGGTCGACGCGGAACATGTACAGGCTCTTGTCGGCAACGCCAGCCAGTCCTCCAATTAGCATGGCGACGATGGAGCCCAGCGTCAACGCGAACGGTATCGCCACGCAGACGTAGCGACCAAAGTTACCCATGGCGGCGATAGGTGTTTTGTGTTGCGTAGGTAAGTACTTGTTGTTTGTTTTGCAGCGAGCCGCCGCTTGTCGTTGCCCTGGCAAATAAACAGGATCGGTGTGGTGGCAAAAGCTCAGGTGGTTGAATAAGGTATGACTGAGGGCTGTCGTTTGACTCGGGGATACCTTGATGAGCGAGAGTCGGCTGGATAGCTTGCGAGTCAATGATCGAGTCGCTGAAATGAACGTATTTCAACAATGATGGGATGAAGAGAAGTAAGTTAGCGGGAGGTTTGCGATAAATAGGATATTTAACGACGGGACGAGTCGTCAGCAAGGCGGAGGGCAGTAGGCTCAGCTCCCGACCCTGGGTGCCTATACACCGTATACCTTCCATATTAGCACCACGTAGAATTAGAGTGGCGCAGTGTTGTCTAGCGGATGAGCTGCGGATCATCGATGCTCAGCCCCCGACCCACAATTCCGGGTCGTCAGCAACTCAGGCGGCCGCCACAGGGTGAGATCAGCTCGTAGGATCGGCTTTCCGCGTAATGCACAGAAGCACCCAGTTATTGGTAAGAAACCTGGAATTACCATAGTAAGAACTGCAGTGGTGAGCCACACTCATATCCACACTGATCCACGTGCGTGGGTAGCAATAGGTATGCATCAAGCTGACCCCGAAAATCCACCTACTTGCCTTATTTTCGATGCCTCCCCATGTACCTATTTAAGCAGAATGCCAACATTTACAAAATACCCTCGATCTAGCACCCCATGACGCAGAGGTCTCGTCTGGAGAGCCAGATGAACATGATGCCAATCCCCGTCCTGTCGTCCTGTCACTGATGCGGCTCAGTGGCGGAGCCCAAGGCACATTGTTCGAGTTGAACTTCCCCCATGACAATCACCCACTACCAACCGCCCCAGCCCAGTGGGGGTTTCAGAGGGGTCTGCACTAGTGCGAGTGCCCAAATATAGAAACATCCCACCTATTGCTTCAGCCTTGTTGGGGGACTGTCCTCCAACTTGGCTAAGTGCAAGGTATTCGTCGTCCATACTCCATTGGGTTTCAACTCCACTTGGCTATGTTTCTTCCAATTCAGAGGCTAAGGTAGGTACCGGACCAGCGGTGTCATTGAATACTACGCACATATACCTACCGGGCCCCGAGAGGGTGGGACACCACCTCTGTGCCAATATACTGGTAATATCCTCCCGAGCGGAGTTGCAGACGGGTGTCAACCGGCGCCGAGTTCGGGTTCATAATTTGGGAGCGTCGGCGTGGCAAATGGTGTCGACACGACCGGACACTACCGGAGCTGGGGATAGGGGACGAGCGGGGCAATGGCTCTCGCGAGGATTGGCTAGCGATCCAGATGTCAAGATGGCGATGTCGGCGTTTTGCGATCTTCAATGTTGACGACGAGGAGGGATCTGCCAAGGAAGCAATTCCTAGAATGCATACCCAGGCTTCACCGACTTATGTGGACGGGTAATCTCCAGCCAAACAGCTCTGGATCTAGACGGGGCTCTACCAGGGCTCCGGGTCAGGTGATGCGACCGGTCCTAGGCCACCCTTGCCAGTCGGTACCCAATCCATGGGTGAGAAGATGCGTGCAGTGATAAGTGATGGCCACGGAAGCATCGCGCATAGGCTCACGGACATCGGCCTGGCATGCATACCTATCTGCCTCTCCTCATCCAATTTTTTTGGACTTTTTGAATAGTGACACAGCGTAGGAAGATCCCCCACATTCGCACGAGGAGAGCGCACGTGCTCTCGAGTGGACCAACCAGGCCGCGACCAGGCTGCATGTCCTGCAAGCCCAAGTACCAAAACCCCCCATCCAGAAGAAACGAAGCACTGGGAAGCAACCCGTGTCTCCGCCATTGTCCAATCCCTTGCTCCCAATTTTACAGATCTTGCGGAACAGGCAATCGCAAACGCAGAACAGTCCAGAGAGTCCAGACACCTCGATTCTCGATTGAGCCGACGCCGCAGACAACGTTAGACCACTCCCTGTTTCGGAGTCTTGGGGCGAGACCTTATCGCTGACACTTGCTTGACACTTGACCCCTCCTACCCCAGCCGGCGCCTTTCTCCTCCTCCTAAACAAGACTTTGCGAAGAACGCTCACCCACACAACTCCCGCCCACCTCAACGCTCAACGTCCACGTTCACGTCCGTATTTGCCACGATTCTCCAGGTAGGTTGGCCATTTCATAGAGCTGCGGCACCAGGACCGCCCTTCGTCGAAGCTACAGCTTCGGTGCCCGTCAAGGTCCAGTTGCTGCGCTCCCCGTCGTCTCTCTCCCCTATGTCGTCAGTGTTTCCACTCCCCGCACGCACTTCATCATTCAATCCTCCCAGAGCCGCGCCTTTCAGCCTGTCACCCCCTGCATCTTTGCTCTTTCACTGAGTGCTGACGATATAATCTTTCTTGGTCAGGGGTCCGATCACAGCCGGACATTCCGTCGCGACACCCTAGCAACTATTTGCCCCCCCTGCCGATACTTCCTAACGCCGAGATCTCTATAACAATCAAAAAAAGACATCGCCTTATCACACATCGCCCTACACTCTCTTGACAACCCCCTCTTCTTCTCCGCCGTCCGGCGCCAATCCTCGAAAACGGAGACATCATCGGGCCCCAGTTCAAACACCGCCACTTGCCTGCTCTCTTGCCTCGACCGCATCTTCTATCCTCCCTAGTACCAGGCTTGGCGAGGCGGCATCAGGATTCACATACCTAGACGGGTGCAGCGGTAGGCTGTGTGGGCAACCAAAGGCGACCCTGCCGGACCACAAACCTGACACGCGCACACCGTCCAGCCCCTTACACTTTCCGACAAGAGCCAAACTCGAGACCTGCTGATACGTGAGGAGGATGGGCAACCAGCCTTCCAAGGATGCCAAAGAGGCATCCTCCAAGTCTTCTGGCAATTCCTTGTCGGCCGACCGAAATGGTTCCGATACCTTGCAGTCCTATCCATCGTTCAGCAGATCCGATACGAAGGAGTCATCTCGGTCGTTCCGCTCGCTAAGGTCCAAGATCCCGGGCTCGGGAAAGAGCGATAGCCCCAGGAATTCGACTTTGTTGTCCAATGGCGATGCACCGGACAAGTCCGATGCTGCGTCGGTCACATCGGGGAAGAGCGGCAGGTCGGGTCTCTCACGTCCTAGTCGGCACGAGTCTCTGCCATCCCTAAGTTCCCCCTCATCGGTCGATACCCCCAGCGCCGGCTCCCCTACTGCCGGCTCTCCCGATGGCGAACTCCAACCTCCGCCCTCACCAATACACTCCTATATCAACACTGGCCACCGTGACGTGTCGGCTGCCCAGGCTTCTGGCGAGGTCGATCATGTGTCTGACCAACCACCCTCTGCCGGTGCGAACCCCAACCTACCAGCCCAGCAGCCGGGGCAGTCTATCCTCGTCAAGCGGGAGAACGTCATCAACCCTGTTGCCTCGGCGACTGGATTGATTAAGGAAGAAACTTCGCCGGTGCCTGCCATGAGTGAGCTGAAGGATATCGACCTGGATGATTTCATCAAGCGTCTTCTGGATGCAGCTTACGCCGGCAAGGTTACTAAGAGCGTCTGCCTTAAGAATGCCGAAATAGTGGCCATCTGCCAACGGGCCCGCGAGTGCTTCCTCTCTCAGCCCGCCCTGTTGGAACTGGATGCTCCCGTCAAGGTTGTTGGCGATGTCCACGGCCAGTACACGGATCTCATCCGCATGTTCGAGATGTGCGGATTCCCCCCGAGTTCCAACTTCCTCTTTCTTGGGGACTATGTCGACCGTGGAAAACAGTCGCTCGAGACCATCCTGCTGCTGCTATGCTACAAACTCAAATATCCCGAGAACTTCTTCCTCCTGCGTGGCAACCACGAATGCGCGAATGTCACGCGAGTTTACGGCTTCTATGACGAATGCAAACGCAGATGCAACGTCAAGATCTGGAAGACGTTCATTGACTGCTTCAACACCCTGCCCATCGCTGCCATAGTCGCCGGCAAGATCTTCTGTGTCCACGGGGGCCTGTCTCCCGCTCTCAGTCACATGGATGACATCCGAAACATTGCACGACCGACTGACGTCCCTGACTATGGCCTGTTGAACGACCTCCTCTGGTCCGACCCGGCCGACATGGAACAGGACTGGGAGGCAAATGAGAGGGGAGTGAGCTACTGTTTCGGAAAGAAAGTCATAACAGACTTCCTCGCCGCCCACGATTTCGATCTGGTCTGTCGAGCACACATGGTGGTTGAGGATGGCTACGAGTTTTTCAATGATCGTGTCTTGGTCACCGTTTTTAGCGCGCCAAATGTGAGTTAACCTCGCCCGTAGCTAGCCCCAGGCCGGAAAGCTGACCTTCTCGATAGTATTGCGGAGAGTTTGACAACTGGGGAGCCGTCATGTCTGTTTCGTCGGAACTGCTTTGTAGCTTCGAGCTACTCAAGCCGCTGGATTCCAACGCCTTGAAGAGCCACATCAAGAAAGGAAGGAACAAGAGGAATACCATGCTGAACAGCCCTGTATGCTAGCCACCCCTTCCCCTGCCACCTCTTCCTCGGACCCCTCACTGACACCCCCCGAAGCCAGCTAGTGTGTATCCTCAGAGCGTATGATCCGAGGAGCCAACTGGGCGACGCACCGAAGGGCCGCCTGCCTGCTTGGCCCAACACGGAAAGCTCCGAGCTTCGACATCGCCAAACACGTCTCATACACCGGTAGATATGTCCCCGAGTCCGTTCGATTCGCGACGCCCCGCTACAGAATAGGGTTAGCCCCCGGCCCCCGACCAAGTCATACAACAATTGCTGTGTCGATTGCTAGAGGTCATAGTGGACTTATCAAGGAGATGAGAGCGGGATGGTTGTCTGGGTGGATGGGGTGTGATAGCCCCTCCACAGGTCTGGAAGGGCCGAAAGGATGACCTCTTGCCCACGCTTCTCCTATGAGCGGTTCGCTCAGCTACACTGGCTGCCGTCCATTCATTTCAACCAGGCGAAGGACAGGTTGTACTAGGATCCGGGATGATACCACGGGCTCGCCAACGTTCTATGGCGGCACAGAAAGATTTGGTTAGCGTGTGTGTATACATATGGAATTTGGGGGTGTGATGAACTGATGAACTGTTCATGGGATCCACTCGCTTGCCTTTGAACTTATCGACGACGGCAGAATGGCAGTCATAAGTGATGCTCGCATACCGGTTTTGTTGCTCTTTTGAGGTTTGCGTCGATGGTCATCCAAAGTATTTTAAGGAGTCTTCTATTTTCGTCAATATCTACCTTACACAACCCAACTCCAACAACTCGCAACTTGCTACGTAATGTACATACACTGGGAATTCTGTGCTGTGACTGAGAAACACCCATGTGTGTTGATAAAAGCCATCTAACCATCCGATGGGCCCAATCCTGCTTCGAAGCGGAGACAGAGGCAGTTGCTATTAATTCCCTCGTCCAACTCCATATACCGCTAGCCTTCTTCCATGGCTTGACAAATCCACCAGTCTCGACAGGCATTTACGAAGGCGCCAGGACCACGGTCCCCCTTCAGAGAAACCGCCCTCCTCAGTCGCCCTCGACCCTGTACCGCCACGGCTTTTGCCTCTTGCGCCTCACCCGATCGGCGCCGTCGTCGTCGTCTTCGTCGTCGTCCTCCTCGTAGTCGGCACTGTCGTCCTCGTCGCCGCCTTGCCCATAGTCGTCGAGCTGCATCACGAACGAGTCGTCGTCGTCGCCGTCGCCGTCGACTTCGTCGTTGTCGCTGTCGGACCCCATCTCCCCGGCCTTCCTCTTCCGCCCCTGGGTCCCCTTCGCAGCGACGCCCCCGGCCCCGGCATCCCGGGTCTCCGCCGTTGGCGCGGTCGGCTGCGGCGGCGGCTGCTGCTCCGCTATCGACGCCCAAGACGCCACCGATGCACCCCTCGTAAGCGGCTGCTCGTTCGAATCCTCCTCGTGCGCGGCCCTGTCGGCTGCCTCGGGCATCGGCTTGAGCCGCTTTGGCTTGCGGCCCGCTCCAGGCCGCGCGCCGCCCCTTCGGGAGGTGTGCTTCGTGGGGTGGGTATGGCTCGGCGAGCCCATAGCGTCGGCAACTTGGCCGGTTTCCGTGTCGTATCCCTCAGAAACGTATTTCTTGGAGCCTGGAGGCCGGCCTGGCCGCCGCCGGGATTTGTTGGACGGCCCGCCCGGGACGCCACGATTAAACTGATAGTGGTTGTCGCCACCTGCGGGCCGATATTCATCGTAGTCCTCGTCCTCATCGCCGTCCAGTATGTCTCGTTTACGGCCGCGGCGGCCCCGGCTTTTTGCCCCGTTGGGCTTCCCATTCCAAAGGGCGGCCTCGCCTTCGTCCTCGTCATACGGAGCCTCGACTTGCCAGTCCATCGCGTCCTCGTCGCGGCTCGGCCCGGGCGCCTCCTTGCGGGCCTTCCCGCGACCGCGGTTTCGACCGGTCTTCGACGGCGAGTCGTGATCCGCATCCTTAGCCCTGACCTTGGTGGTCTTACGAGCAACGCCTCGGGCATTCTCGTCGCGTGGCGGACGGCCAGGTTTGCGCTTCGGCGCCGGCCCGGTTTCGGCGCTCTCCTCGGCTTCCTTGTCCTCGAGCAGTTTCTTGGTGAGGTTGGGGAAGTTCTCGCCGTAATTGAAGAACAGCTCCTCCCCTATTTTGATGTCGCGGAGAGCAGTAAAGCGGATACGGAACTCGCCATTCACGTACAGAATCTTGGGCATGACGTTGCAGCCCCTCTTGTCGCCCTCGGACGCGTGGTTGATGTATCGGCTCAGGTTGCCATAGATGGCCGCGTCGACCCAGATGCCCTCCTGCTCGAGCAATGTGAAGAGGTAGGAGCTGCTGGATCCCTCGTCGAACACGTCGCCCCGCCGAGCTTCGCGACGGACACCTTCGTCGTGCGTGATTAGCTCACCCGTGTACTCGATGACAAATTCGTCCTGGGCTATCTCCTCTGCCGCGAAGAGGCCATAGCCACAGCCCTCGAGCTGCGATTTCCCGGTGACGACAGCCTTGGAGACGCCGCGCTGCAGAGGAACGTTCTGGCATCCTGTCGAATGGAGCGCCTCGTCGAGGGCGTTCAGGGGATCAGCTCTCTCGCTTGCGCCGCACCCCTTACAGAGCACCGGATCGCACTCCCGATTGAGTTGCACGCATATGCATGGTTTGCCTTCCTTTTGGCGCTGGCGGCACGTCTTTCCCGAAGAATGGCATGCGCAGCCAGTGAACTTGTAGGCACAAGTCTCGGCGGTGCACTGGCAAAAGCGCTCGCAGAGCAACTTGCCCAGCACGCAGGGGCACTTGTTGGCCGCACTGCAGGGGCCGTCATGGTGACATGGATCGAAGATTTCGCGTCTCGCGTGCTCGTGGGAAATGGTGCAGTCCTGCCAGTCGCCCAGCAAGATTCTGCGAGTACGGTCATACCACGGAACCATCTTGACCCTGACGACCTCGGGCGGTGGATCGACGGGAGGCAGGCTCAGCTTGAGCTCCTTCGTTTTGCGGTAGACATCCCAGCATTTCCGGCCCAGAATGCAGGCAGTGGCGCATTCGTGTTTCATGGAGCTATTTCCCAAAATGGCGAACATGGCCTTGAGGACCTCGGTCTCGTTGTCGGACCAGGGCACCACAGGAGCAGCGGGATTACCGACGTCGTAGCTGCGGAAGCACTGATTCTTGCACAGCTGTTGGCCGGCTTGCTTGCTTGGCGAGCTGTTGGATTGCGTTTGCTCCCGAGCTTGTTGCACCCACTTCTTCTTCAGGAGCGGCCCTAATCTTCCCAGGCTCTCAACCGAGAAGGTCCGTTTCTGATTCTCCACGTCGTATTCGCCGTGCTCGCAGTCATGGCTGTAGCAAATTAGGCATCCGAGGATGGAGTAGGTGCCTAGCCATTTTTCAACGCTCAAGAGCAATTCCTCGTCGCGGGCCCTTTGGGAGCTCGGGGTGTCCTTCACCCTCTTGTTGTCCACGATCGTTTCGACAGACTCGTCCAGCATGAGGATGTCCCGCAATGTGACGCGGTTCCCGAACACTTGATCGAAAGCCATGGTGAATAATTTGGCGGCTCCCCGCGTCTGAGGCGTCCCGACATCCTCACTATACGAGTCGAGGAGGTTGTGCTTCTGTTGGGGGGTGATGGCGTCGTCGTTCTCGGACTGGCTGGCCATGTAGCGGATGAGGTTTGATTTGCTGCAGCCGTCGATACCCAGCATCTTGATCCATCGTTCGAGATACATGTAGAGCGTGGCTGCGTACTCGTCGTGCCTTGATTTCAATATCTTTTGGACGCGGTTCAAGGTTTTGAATCCAGATTTGTTGTCCATGGATTCCAGCTCATTAAGCCAGACAAAATACCTTTTCTCCTCTTTCTCGTCCAGGTCACGCAGATGAGGGACGAACTTCAACATGGTGTTTGGGGTAAGAATGTTCTTCGCTATTTCCATGTGGTGAAACCTGTATTTGGGAACACGCTCCTTGTCCGACTTGATACAGACGACTGGAAAGTGTAGGCGACGGGCCTTTGAGTGGTCTCTTCCCGGGTTATGTTGCTAGTAGGCCAGCTTAGCTCCCCAAATATCCAATGTACGCAGCTTGGGATTGAACTGAGGACCCGGCTCAGCACTTACCTTGAACTTGACCGCCATGGTGCTCCCGTTTGATTTTTCGGATTCCACGGCAGTTGACGGCATGTCAGCAAAGTCATCGATGGAACTAAGATGCCTTGGTCGGGGGGCTCTTTTAAAGGTCTCCTGCAAGGTATAGTGGACAAGTCTGGCGTGGACTTTGTCAACCTGAGAAGCAAAAGTGGCCAATTGACTAGCAATTTTGTCGACGGTCCAATCCATCTTCTTAGGCGTCAGAGTTTTGGGCGTCTGATACCCTTTGGATGGATGAGCCGACGTCTGCAATGCGGCGTTAGGCACAGTGCCGCCTGAGGAATGATCCTCCCTGACAGGCGGCCGCGTAAATCTCGCCGACTTTGAAGGGGTTCTATCATGCTGGGCGGAGGACTTCATCGGAGTCGCACCCTTTGGCGACCTCTTGAGCGAGGATGGACTCCTTTGGTTCCCCGGCCGTGCATCGGGAGGCTGGGTACGATTCGTGTGCATCTTGTCCCGACCCGAGGCTGTTCCATATCCATGTGGCTCCTCATCCTCATCCGCAGACACGGTGAGGTCCACGATATCGTTCAACGGGATTTCTGGGAACGGCATAGTGAATATATAACCGAAGCGACAGCTTTAAAAGAAAAAAAGGCTCTTCACAGTTCACACTGTCCGAAACCAGCGAATCATTCCAACACTCGACGAGAGAGTTAGACTCATGCTTCCTTGGCAATCCGAAGATGTCTCGATGCTTCAATTTGGAGCATCGAATTCATTCGCATATAAAATGTGAGTAAAGTGCTCGAATAGCGAATGCCCGGTGCATGGAAGTGGTTTATGGGTAGGTAGGTAGGTGGTGAGATTGGCTGCGACCGAGACGCGTTGCCCAGAAGAACGCGTACAAGGGTGCAGACGCAAGTTGGGATCGTTGCGGGTGCGGTTGTATGGAGGGGCCCCCAATTTTGCATGCCTATCGCGGTATGCAATTACGAAGCTACGAGCCTAGCTATCCATATTCATACTCTCGCAATATGTGCATATATACCTAGCATTCCTTGTTGATCAAATGTACTGACCACCACTTCATTTAGACGTCATGCCTGCTATATATTTCGGTAGCTTCGGGCCATGCTCTAAACTCGTGGACTGATGATGCATCGGTTGGCCAACACTTTTCCAAGACAGTAGACTGCTTTTCCTACGAAAGCCCGAGTTTCGGCTTCAGTATTTGGGTTGGTGCTGTTCCGGAAACGGACTAGCGTAACACCAGTCCTCCGGATGACGTCGCGACCATCATCTGGGATGTTGTCAGAATGGACTGCTTCCCACTGCCCACCTTCTGACCTTGATTAAGGAGAACCAACATCTCCATAAAGCCATCCTCTCCTCCTCCCTTCACCCTCACCTACGGCGACCTACTCCAGTCTACACCTGAACGTGATCGACTCTTGACGCTCGACGTCTTAACCTTTTTGCCCCACTACCACCGACCCAAGACGTTCAACCACGCTGTCGCTGCCTGACCCTCACCATGCACCGTACATATTCTATGCGCGCCACGAGGGCGCCGACCGCCTCGCAGATCCAGGTGTGTAAATGGTCTGACCGTATCCTCTGGATTATGTTGCTCACTGTATCATGACAGAACCCACCTCCTCCTCAATCCACCACCAAATCCGGCCGGTTCTTCCGCGGCGGCATCGGTGAGTTGCAATTGCGTTACGATTAGCTCCCCGAGTTTCCTTGATTCTTCTACCTGAGCTTTGAATTCACAATTCTTATTTGGGTTTTTGTTAACCATCCATCTAGGACATGCCCTCCGACGCAATGCCGCCGGTGCCTTCGGCCCTGACCTGGCTAAGAAGCTGTCGCAGCTCGTTAAGATGGAGAAGAATGTGATGCGCAGCCTGGAACTAGTTGCCAGGGAGCGCATGGAGGTTGCTGTAAGTTGTGCCCACCTCCGCTGTTGACCAGCCAAGACCATCGTCTCATCGTTCGACAGCAACAACTATCAATCTGGGGCGAAGGCTGCGACGAAGACGTGTCGGATGTCACGGATAAGCTCGGAGTGTTGCTTTACGAGATAGGGGAATTGGAAGATCAGTACGTCGACCGATACGACCAGTACCGCGTCACCATGAAGAGCATTAGGAACATCGAGGCCTCGGTCCAGCCTAGCAGAGACAGTAAGCCAGCCCATGGAGCCACCTCTTTATGTCGCCGCCTAACTGGTTATTCCACAGGGAAGCAGAAGATTACGGATCAGATCGCCCAGCTCAAGTACAAAGAGCCAAACTCGCCCAAGATTGTTGTTCTCGAACAAGAACTCGTCCGGGCCGAAGCTGAATCGCTTGTCGCCGAAGCACAGCTGTCCAACATCACGCGTGAGAAGGTCAAGGCCGCCTACACGTACCAATTCGATGCGCTACGCGAGCATTGCGAGAAGGTAGCCATCATTGCTGGCTATGGCAAGCACCTACTGGAGCTCATCGATGACACCCCTGTCACCCCCGGCGAGACGCGCGCGGCGTACGACGGGTATGAGGCCAGCAAGGCCATCATACAGGATTGCGAGGATTCGCTCACCAACTGGGTTACCCAGAATGCAGCCGTGTCGTCCAAGCTTTCCACCCGCGCCCGCAAGCTATCCCAGCGTCGCCGAAATAATATCAAGCATCGTGGCGAGCAAGGGCACGATCTCTCTGGCCAGGACGCACCTCTGAACGACCAGGACTCGTGGCTTCCGGCCGGCCAGCATAAGGAGGAGGGGTATGACGACGTTGAGCAAGATGAGGAGGAGGATGAGGATGACATTGATGAGCCAAGACACTCGATTCTGCACAACGGCGATGGGCTTAGCGGCGAGGACAGAGGACGTCCCCAAGATTCTATCATTGCCTAGGCAGATGGGCTGATAAATAGCTAAGGTTCGAGAATCATGGCCTAGAGACGATATGATCCAATAAGCTAACAAGGAGGTCCAGCAGATGCGTACATACACAAAGCAATAAAATATCCGAGCTCGGTGCAAGACACTTTCTCTCATAGTCAAGGTGGTAATGGGGACTTGTTTGAATGGCCACCGGCAAATGGGGTCGCTCCGATATTCTTCGTCCTCTTGTTGTATTATTAGCTTGGATTTGCCCTTTCCTTGGCAATAAATGTTCTGCTTTGGCTGAGATCTCCGTCTAATGTAATGAAGCTATTTCTTTCCATGATGACCCCTCTGCTCGACATGGAACTTGCTCCAAGTGCTTGCTGGTTAAAATCCCAAGAGGAACAGGAACACACGCACGAAAGCAAGCACAAGGTCAAACGAAGCATACCATTTCGGCAACTAGAAATTGAGATTGTTTGGGGTTTGATAACACGTATTATACGTTTTGTATTAAACGTTGGCTCTTCACTACGGCAAGATTCCACGCCAACTATTTTCTTTCAAAACACCACCATCAAACACCTTGAGCCAACAATCAACAAGGCGTTGCTCTGGGTTCTCAATTCCGCCATGACAGGGCCCCAGAATAAGACAAAGTAGGACGCCACAGGGTCAGCTTCCGCCTCTACCCCTCGCCTAGTGAAGATGTGTCCCATCGCCTCCGAACCGCCAGAAGGCGCAGAGAACAACCTGGACCAGGAGGTTTTTGGTCCTCTACTCTCTATCCCAGTGGACTCCCTTACTCGGCTCGCATCAAATATCAGGAGTAGAGTCTTCAACGCCCAAATTCAGCAAGCAGCCTCGTTGCTCGGATCGGCGGATCATATAATCTCGTTCACATCATTCAGCTGGATGACTTCAAACTTGTCATTCGTGTGCCTGCGACGGGGTGGGGCGACAGAATGACCAAGACCGCAGCTCGCGCGCTCGAATCGCAGGCGACCGTCATGCGTCTCATCGCGAGAAAGACCAGTGTCCCAGTTCCAGCAGTCTATGCATTTGACACCAGCAGCAACAACGAAATCAGCGCTCCGTACATCTGTACCAGCTTCATTCCCGGGGAGACTGTCTCCAAGGTCTGGTTTGACGAGACTGGTCCGATCCCTCTCGAGGACCGACGCCTCAGGATTTTAGAGTCAACGTCTCGGGCCATAGCTCAACTGTCTCATTTCAGCTTCGAGAAGATCGGCTCCCCGTACGAAGAGGTCGACGGGTCCCTCACTTTGGACCCATGTTATGATTGGCACGAGAACGATGATGGCAACGTCTGCATTGTTGGGACCGGCCCATATGACTCAACAATTGGCTACCTCCAAGAACACAGGGCGCCCGAAAATGCAAAAAGCCCGTGGGGCATTGCAGCTGCCAAGATCATCGATGTTGTGGCTCCAAGCCTTCCCGTTCGGGGTACGGTCGACGACTTTGTTCTTTCCATTCCCGATTTCGACTCTCAGAACATCATGGTAGACCAGATGGGAAATCTTACAGGAATCATCGATTGGGACCTCGCACAGACAGTACCACGCTGTGTGGGATACTGCCGCTATCCTAGTTGGATCACCCGCGACTGGGATCCGCTGATGTATGGCTGGCCAAAGATGAGGAAGTCCGAGAACTCCCCCGACGAGCTGGATGCATATCGTCAATATTACAACGAGAAGCTCGGCGAGGCTCTACAGTGGGCAGGAGATTGGGGGTTCACGAAGAAGTCGCATGTTAGGGAGGCAGTGTGGATTGCTACCTTGAGTGGCCCTAACAGGCTTCGGATATGCTGCAAACTGGTTCAGGCTGTCATGGGAGAAGGAATCGTTGCACAAGACGTGCTCTTCGACCTGGGTACGAATCGTGTAATGGAGGAAGACTGGGATGATCTTAAACAGAAGCTGGCATACTTGGTTTCGCACTGAACATCGCGGCCAGTCCTGTTCTTTGAGGCCGAAGTGCAGCGAGCGTTGGCGCAAGTCGCTTGAATGGCTGGAAACTTAGAGCTGTGCGACCGTATAATCGGAACGAGCAAAGATGGGCAAATTGCTCATCAAGATAAAAAGGGGTAATCCGTACGGGGTCAAGTTAAAAGCTGAAGGGAAGAGCGGCGACCATATTGGGATCATATTACAAGAGAAACATGATGCAATGAATCAAAAAGAGCAATCACCATAGGTTTTCAAAAATAAAACACGCCAGTTGAAATCATCAATCATAAACCAATTGTTATGTTTTGCTCTAGGAACAGTTGTAGTTGTATGCTGCATGGATAACATCTGTGGATAGGTAACTATCAAGGAACGTCAAAAGGATAGGCCATGCTATGGAGGAAAATGCACGCTGCGTTGCCTAGCCTAGAGGTACCTAACCACCACTCCAGTGCCTCCCCATTTCAGTCAGTACTGCAGCCCATTCGGACGGGAGCGCCAGCCAAAAAAGGGAAGGGAACAAAACAAGACCCAGAACCCCGAAAAAAACACCTTCCCAATATTCTCAAAGTTTACGACAGCCCCATTACCTTGCAAAACATAGGGGGAGTGTCTCTGGGCATCATGATTCCCTCCTGCACAAATGGCAATGGCCTCTGTAACGCGCTCGACTCGAAGAGCTGATGGCCTTCATCACCCGCATTCCCACCCTCACATGGTCGCGACAAGCACGCGAAGTCAGCACAGCATCAATCATCACACCAACGCCACCCGCACAAAGCGCTATCTAGGGAGTCAAGACTATGCCTTCGATGCCATCAAGCACAAGAAGCAGAGAATTGCTGTCGAGATTCCCTCGAGATTGTCGGTTCTCCCACGTCATGGCTCTCAGCCTTCCATCCGGCCGCCACCTGTTCTGACGACTACTGTCACGATTCCCGACCCCACGAATTGCTCCAACTCCGCTCCTGCTGCTGCACCCACTTCTGACACTGTGCCACCTCCCACCGCCCGACCATCCTCGACAGCCAGCCCTGCCAATCCACCACCTCTTGCAAAACATAAGGAGAAGGTGGTGAAGGGCTTGAAACATGAGCTGGACCGCTTGAAGCCAGCCCAAATAGATACAAATACGAGGGAACAGGGTCGTAAATTGCGATCTCAAGAGGCTACCAGGTTTAAAAGCGACCTCTCAGCTTACTTCCCCGACTACGACGAAGTAATTGGCAACGATCCAAAAGAGCAACGTGAGTAACTATCTTCTTTATTTCCCTTTTATCATTCAATCACTCTTCGACCACTCCTGGTCTGCTGACACAAACGCGCCCAGATCTGCTCAACCTCGATACCCCGATCCTTGTCACCGATCCCAACCCCATACCAACCCACACACCAACCTCCACAAATACCCCCAGCGCTGCTGCCCCTCTCCACCGCCCACTCGACAGCTATCCCATACGTGGCTATGGCGATGCTTTATTCACAGAACTTTTTGACTCGCAAAAGATCGACTTCGGCTTTCTCGAGACCCGATACAGAAACAAAACACTCCAGGACCCGCTGCCTGACTCGTTCTTCGAGCCCGCCCACAGGAAGGCCGAGCGGTTGGAACGGTCAATTCGCAACTCGGAAAAAGGACGCGCCCAGCATGAGAGGGATCAGATTGTCAGATTGCTCGACGGCCTTCAGGGCCATGACTGGCTGCGGGTGATGGGTGTCAGCGGCATTACCGAGAGCAAGAAAAAGAAGTTTGAACCCGCTCGAGAGCACTTCATCAAGGGGTGCCAAGGCATTCTGAAAAAGTTCCGGACGTGGGCTGCCGAGGAGAAACGTCGAAAGCTAGAAAAAGAACGCGCCCTTGCCGAGGCCGACACCGAGGCCGACGCTGCCGACGCTGCCGACGCTGCCGACGCTGCCGACGCTGAAGACGAGAAGGACGAGGAGGGCGAGGAACCTGAGGAGGACGGAGTGGATGATCAGGAAGATGAAAGGGAGCGGGCGGGCCGATCAGATGAGAGTGAAGAAGGATCAGGGGTGGACCATGGAGGCGACGCGGAGAGTATCGGCGACCCACCTGATTACAGCGACGTGGATTTCTCGGCCGCGAAGCAACTGCGAGAAGAGGCCATGGCGGCGGCCAAGTCGCGCTCCAAGACGGCGAGGAGTAGATTGGCAACGCAAACAGAAATGCAGCCCGCCGAACCGGAACCCTGGAAGGAGTTCACCTCCTTCTTCCGCAAGAAATACCAGAGGGACGCGGCACTTAGCAAGAGCCGCCGCAGGGGCAGAACAGTGATGGCATGGGGCCAACCTGTTCCAGAAGTACCAGAAATGGACTTCGACCTCCCCGCGGATCTCCGCGATGAGGAGACTCTGAGGTCACACGCGAGGCGGAAGCGGAGAGACAAGCGTGGCAAGCATTAGCCATTGGGGCCTCTCTGCAAACACGTAGCAGTGCGGCACAGCATGTAATCAAGGTTCTGGAGTAGTGCGGCGTTTGCTTGGTTGTCATGGGATAGTCATTTCTGTCCAATGGAGTATGGAACATGGTTCCCGGGGAACGCGGTCATGGGCCCATAGCACGCTTGATAGTTGATAGAGTCCAACAACTTCGGTATATTTCGTACACTCTGCACTGGCTGTGCTCACAAGTTGAAACCCTGGGGCGTAGATAAAATCCAGAACAAAGTTACCAATGCAGGCTCTGGGTTGCGGAATGGAAGGAACCTAGCTGGACCCTGATTAGGTATCAAGATAGGCATCAGATGCGGTCTCAAACCTCAAACAGCTGCATCTTGGTGACATCACTTTTTCAATTCGCGAGACGCGGCTGTTGGCGGCAATCTGCGCCTACCCCCTGCAAGACAGGAGACCCACACCGAGCGCAGGGGCAAGGCTCCAGGGGCGCCGGGGATTTTAGAGCTCCAGGCGCACGCGCAACACTCTCAAAGGCGATCGTGATATCAATAGCAGGCCCACCTTCCCTGCTATTGATTCACCCGCACAACCACAAAACGACTACCTATTGTTCTCATTACGGTAGCAGTGCTCTCTGCACCTGCCGCTGCCATTCAACCTTAAACTCACCGCAGGCTGCGGCCCTGAAGCGGGGGCGCACGCCAAAGTGGAATATTACCTTGGCTCTCTCTACTTCTCTTCCTCTCTTTCTAGGCCTTCTCCATCCCTCGCCACTCCCACCCGGAGGCTTCTTTTTCTTATCATAAACTGTTCGCGCAAAATAGTGCACTTCGCCCATATCGATTACCGAAGACAGACGCTCCTCGAGCGAGCACCCGCCTTCCCGAGTTCTATGGCTCTCCTCCGCGCCTCTTACCCTCGATGAAGCACTGACTTGGACCGACCTTGCGCAACAACCTTAATTTCCGCCGATTTAATCGGATCGCACCTTGACGTTTCCAGGCTTGCCTCAATTACTACCCGACACACCATTCTCTAGCCTCCAACATCTCCCCTCGAAACCTAGCGATAATGGTTGGTTTATACGATGACGACCCGGTCGCCGAGCAGGTCGTCACACCCGAATACCGGGGTGCATGTGAGCCTTTCGTGGTTGTGGGTCAGGACGTCGAAGTCGATATCAATTTCCGAGACAAGAGCGTCAGCGGCGTCAGCACACTCCTCATTTTCCCTTTAGTCAACGACCTGGAAGAAATCTCCATCGATGCTCGGCAGTGTGATATCGACACGGAGAATATCTACGTTGACGGCTTCAGGACCAAGGCTTGGTACAAAGACCCGTACGATCTTCTGGAAGTTCCGCATCAGTGGCAACTTGGGGCAGCGCAGCACCAAGTCATGAAGAAACGGGTGGCGCCCCTCTTTCCGGAACGACGACCAGACGTACCGATTTCTCGGAGAGAGAAGCTGATGACACACTCGCTGGGGTGCGTTCCTCATGAGGGCTCATTGAAGATCTCGTTGCGCCCTGGAGACCTTCGTAAGGATGAGCCAAGGCGTCTCCTGAAGATCAAGAACGAGAACAATGACCCAGAAGACGAGAGGAACGGGATTAAGATTTCTGTTCCTTTCCGCTCTGATCGCATCGGCGACGGCCTGCATTTCGTCGGCATCGACGAGGGCGATGCGAGATACCCGCACGTTTACACGCGACACTCGGTCGAACCCGGGACGGCCTCTTGCATTTTCCCGTGCATAGATGACCCGGGACAGAGACACCTGTTCAATGTCTCGATCAAGTGTCCCCGGACACTTGGCGATGTCTTGGAGCAGCCGTTAGCTACGCAGCAGGCGAGCGGCCCGGTTGTCAACGGTAATCGCAAGAGGAAGCACGGGGAGGCATCGCCGCAGCAACCGAAATCCGTCCTTATTGAAGAAGACAAACTGCTGGAGATGACGGTCATCTGCTCCGGAAACCTCACCGGGGAGCAGATCGACCCAGACGACGAGCGGAAGAAGATCATGACCTTTGAGTGCCAGAACGCCGCCGCTCGTCACATCGGCTTCGTCATCGGCCCCTTCGAGCATGTGCCGCTGTGGTCAGAGTTTCGAACAGAGGAATCGGACGAGAAGCTTGGAGCGAATGCCGCCAAGATCCATGGCTACTGTTTGCCAGGTCGGGCCGATGAGGTTCGTAACACCTGCTCTCCTATAGTGGCCGCGGCGGACTACTTCGCTCTGGAGTTTGGGAGGTACCCCTTCGACAGCTACAAAATGTGCTTCCTCGAAGATATGATTCCCGACACGGCAGCGGCAACGTCATTGTCTCTCTGCAGCTCCCGTTTGCTCTATCCCTCCGACATCATCGACACGGATATCGAAGTCACCCGAAAGCTGGTCCACGCGCTAGCAAGCCAGTATCTCGGCGTCCACATCGTCCCCAACAAACGATCGGATAGCTGGCTTGTCGTCGGAATCCAGTGGTACATGACAGATCTCTTCATGAGGACCCTCTGCGGGACCAACTGGTACAAGTTCCATCTCAAGACCTTGTCTGACAGGCTGGTCGAGTCTGACGTTGGTCGGCCTTCGCTTCACGACCTTGGCGAGCACCTGCACGTCGGCGACTTTGAGGGCGAATTCATGGCATTGAAGGCCCCCCTCGTCCTCTCCATCCTTGACCAGAGGATGTCCAAGTTTCCAGGCTCGATCGGGGTTGCGCGAGTAGTATCTCAAATGGTCTCCGCCGCCAATATCTCCAACACCGAGGCGAAGACAACGTCGGTGTCGGCAGACGATTTCCTCAAGCTGTGCGAAAAGAAGAGCCAGTACCGGCCCGACACCTTCTGGGAGCAATGGGTCCACGGCTCGGGATGCCCGAGGATACTGGTCAAGCAGAAGTTTAACAAGAAGAACCTCAACGTCGACATTGTGGTCACCCAAGTACAACGCCACCCTGGATTCAGTCGCCCCCGGCTCCTAGAGAAGGACGACTTCTGGAGGGAGTACCAAGAGGAGATACACCACGTGTTTGCTGGCGAGGTCCAGAAGCTGTTCACAGGGCCCTTCACCGTTCGGATCCACGAAGCCGACGGCACTCCGTATGAGCACTACCTTGACATTCGGGAGGATGACAAGAACGGTACGACGTGGTCGATCCCCTACAACACCAAATACAAGCGTATGAAGCGCAAGGGAGCACGGCAGAAGGATTCGAGCACCGCCGTCGCTAATGTCGACGGGAAGAACGAGGTGCAAGATGACGATGTCGTCTACTTCAACATGTTGGGTGATGTCCTCTCGGGCGAAACAGACATGGTCAATTGGGGACTCAAGGATTGGGAGGCCGACGTGCAAAACGCCATGGACCAGGAATCCTACGAATGGATAAGGTTCGATTGCAATTTCGAGTGGCTCTGCGACATCTCCACGGACATGCCGGGCTACATGTATCTAGCCCAGCTACAGCAGGACCGCGACGTGGTTGCACACCAAGACGCCATGCTCTTTTGGACGAGAGGCCAGAGGCATCCTGTGGCATCGAGCATCGAGACAAGGACCTTGTATGACCGGCGATATTACCATGGCGTCAGGACAATGGCCGTGGAAGACCTTCCAAAGCAAGCCGTCGCGGAGCAGAACTACATCGGGATGGCCCATCTCATCCTCGCTTTCCGTCACTTCTTCTGCTATCGGGTCGTCGGGAACTCGGGTGCCGAAGCCTGGCCGCCCGCCCCAAACGACTTCACGGATAAGGCACAATATGCCGTCCAATCTGCGATGCCCGGAGCCATTGCCAGAATCAGGGGAGACAAGGGAAGGTGTCCTAGGTCGGCCCGAAGCTTCCTCCTCGACCTACTACTCTTCAACGACAACTCCAACAACGAGTTTTCGGATCAGTTCTACATCTCCACCCTCCTGAAGGCACTCACGACCTCCTTAGTCAACGAGAAGCACGACGAAGACCGCGAGTTAATCTTTACCCTCAAGATGGACGAGGACGATGATGTTGAGCTCAAGCAATTCATCGAGAAGACGATCGAGGAGATTGATCGGTATCGTAGAATGGATGAGTGGACCGGCTCCTACCAGAATATCTGGACGACGACGGCGTTGGAGTGCAAAATGAGGCTGATGAAAGCGAGGGTTATTCCATCCGCTCCTCTAGAGTTCCTACAATATCTGCAGGACGACAACATCGACCTTGTCCGCATCAAGGCGTACGAGTGCCTCATCGAACTGGGGATGCTCTCCAAACCGCCAATTCTGAAGCTTCTGCTTTCGGTCATGAGCACCGACAGCTCACCCTTTGTGCGCGACAGACTGTTCAAGCTCTTCTGCCGGGGGATTGCCTCGATCGCCTTCGCCGAGCACAAGGTGGCCGAGAAGCAAGCTGCTCCTGCGGAGATGGACTTGGATGATGGCGGCCTGATCATTGAGCAGGGAGAAGCGATCACTGAGGCCAGGAAGGCGAAGCAGGCTCGGAGGGAGGATATTAACGCTGCCATCGCCGGACTGAAGGGGGAAGCGAAGGGCAATATCGACCTTCAGATCGGCCTCTGGCGGGCATTCCAGTCAACGACCCTGGGACTGCAGGAGAAGCGTCAGATACTGGAGCTCTGCCAAGCCATGTTCGAGCCCGAAGACGCAATTCTCCTGACTTTCAAGTACCCCAAGGTCTGGAAAGCCACACGAGCTCCTCCAAACGGAAATGGAGACAAGCCCAATAAGAAGAGGTGTATTATCCACTTCACCTCCCACTACCGCACAACCCCACGCACCCCGCTTGTGTTGGATGCTCCCGCGATGCCAACGGTAGAAGTCAGACCCCCAGAGCCGAAGAGGATCAAGTTGCAGAGCAAACCCTCCTTCAGCGCTGCCTCGGGCAGTATTGGTGTTCTGCCGCCTCTTGTGCGGCAGCCCTCGATCAGCGTCACTGTGCCCAAGGCTCCTGTCGAATCCATCGCGGTCCAGATAGCCGCCCGCCCGTCGACTCCTGCAATGTCGTCCCCAGCCCCAGCCCCGGCCCCGGCCCCGCTCCCGCTTGCGCTCCAGCCCAGCAGCTTCCAACAGCTGAACGGGCTCAAGTCGGCAGAGAAGCGACCGAAGCCACCTAAGAAGCGGAAGAGCGACGATGCTGAAGACACTGAGCGGCCCAAGAAAATGGCCAAGACAGGCGGGGCTGCCAATGCTCGCACCAGGGTTGTCACACTCAAATTCACGAGGTGGGACAAGCTTCGTGAGGGCACCCGGGACCAGATCGAGGCAGAGAGGAGGGCAAAACAAAGGGCTGCTTCGTCGACCATCATTGCCACGCCGTCGAGGAAACCCTCTGGAGCCCTTCCTGCTTTCGCGCTTCATCCTTCTGATACATCACCCACCCCTGCGGCACCTCGTTCGAGTGGGAGTATTTCGGCTGCTGGAAGCTCAAAGGTCAGAAAACCCCTGCCATCGGCTGCCCCCCACCAGGCGCCCGCGGCACAGCCAGCTCCCGGGCCCGGCCAGGGTACCGCGGAGACACCAGCCCCGGCGCGGGCACCGAGTACGCCTGCAGAAACATCGTCTGCGGCTGCCAAGCCCAGGACCATTATCAGGCTCAAGCTGCCTTCTCTCAAGAAGGGCCCGAGCCCGCAGCCGCCCCATCATCCATGATGGCCCCTGGTGCTTTATTCTGGCCTTGTCCAGGATCACTCTAGCTTATATGTATATCATCGCGCAACCTGTTTCACCCTGCCATCCGCAATATTATCCCTTGCAGATGCGAGGGAAACGAGGTGCAAAGGGGCCTGCCGTCCCTCTTATCGGGTTCCTGTAGGGACCCTATACTGCACTGCCCCATGCATTTTCGGCACGGCGTTCCGAAGGAGAGGAGAAGGAGAAAACGGTACATTATAGCGATTATCTGTATTTACATTAATATTTCACGGTCCCGAGTCGCTGTACCGCGAAGCTCCCTACTGAGCTCGATGGGACCTGATTTCTGTTTCCTGAAGATTGGACGCGAGAGCACGCAGGAAGGAGCTGCTGAGAGCATTGGCGCAGTTCGTGAGCATATTCAGGATGCAGATACCTAAGCAAAAATGATAACCCTATGCTGGGAGGGTCGTTTGATTCCATGCAAACGTACTCTCTCCCCTTTGGCTGAGTCTCGCTCTGCATTCGGTGGTAACTGCGCGCCGAGGAACCCAACGTCTCAAATTGAGGACCAGTCAAGAGAACCTTCCTCTATCCTACCTCCATCCCATTGAGTACTCTCCTAGGAATATTCGAAGGGCAAGCTAAAAGGCAGACAAAGACCATGCACCCCAGACGCCCTTGCTCGGAGGGAAAAAAGGATATCTCCTTCCAGATGTCCCCCATACCCTGTATGCTATGCCATCCATCTTCCCCATCCAACCTTTTCCATCCCACGATAAGGTACCCAAACCAACTCCCCCGGGTCAAAAGGCCTCCACTATTGTTAATGAGCACAAGCGCAAGGACAAGCACAAGCAACAGCCACATAGCCAAAAAGGGAACGGAACCTCCCAAGCCTAGGCGTCCCCAGAACGCGACGGAGGAGCCGGAGAAAAAAAAGGCAAGCTAGCGTCTCAGTATACCCCCCTCCCCAACCCCCCCATCAACGCCGTCGCCGCTCAGGCGCAACGCCAATGCGCTCCTCCCGCGACCGCGTGGCGGCGCGTGTCTCGGGCGTCACCACGGCCTGCTGCTGCTGCTGTGTCTGCTGTGTCTGCGTCTGCGGCGCCGGATTACCCAGCCGTCCGGCGGCGGCCCCTTCCCCGGCGCCGTGGCCGGGTCGGGGGACGTTCTCCTGGACCCGGTTGGTGGTGGCTCTCTGCGCCTGTGCCAGCGCTGCTGCACCAGAGCGTGCGCCCCGGCCGCCGCCGCCGCGGGCCTGGTGGCGGGCGGCGGCGGTGGCGGCGACGTACGCGCCCGTCGGGCTGGGCTGTTCGCGTTCGCGGCGCTGGCGCTGGGCGCGGGGGTGGTCGTCGATGTCCATGTGCGCGCGATCCCTGCCCGGGCCCCTGTCCTCCTCCTCCTCCTCCTCTTCTTCTTCTTCGTCAACGTCGTCGTCGGAGCTGTCGGCGTACGTCCAGGCCCCCTGGATGCCCTGGGCGCGGGCGTCTGCTTCCTCGCGTGCCCGGCTCAGGGCCGCGGCCTCGAAGTCGCGGAGCTCGGCCGTGCGGCGGTCGTCGTAGTCTGCTACGTCCTCTGAGGTGATGGCTAGGACTGTGGGGGTTCTGCGCATCATGGTGGGCTAGTTGGCTGACCGACCTGGGGGAGGGCAGGTGGGTAAGTGGTGGTTTGTGAGGGGGAGTAAGGGGTTCTGCTTGGTATATAGGAGGAGGCCCCTGATGGTGAGGTGCTTTCACTCGTGGTGAGAGTAGCCCGTTTGCCAGATGTGGAGGATGGCTGAGTGATGGGTGTTTTGAAAATGAACTGGATAGACAATTCCAACTCTATTCTTTTTCAAATTTTATCCTGAAAGCCAATATTTTGTGGTCGTAAACCTAGTGAAGTGGGTGTTAGTCTTCGTAAGAGTGAAGGCTAATCACGTGGATTTCACGGCCGTGAGCTTCTTTGTGTCCTTCCAGGACGACATACTTTGAGAGCAAAGTGATTTAATAGCAAAAATATCTCTACCAAGGCGTGACGTGATGGATGAGAATATTTATCGGTGACTGATTCCTTCCCCCCTGAAACCTGGTGGTATCACGATCTTGATGAGGGAGGTCTGATCTAGTGGAGCAAGTAAGCAGATGATATCGGGAAAGGAGAAAGGGGATAGACATACCATATGAGGAAGCGGATGGCAACACTTTTATCTAGAAGATCCGTGATTGGCGACAAGCAATGTGTTTCGCACACAGCTGAGCAGCCTGGTTGTTTTGAAGCCCGGTGAAGACGTGGTGTATCACGTGAGTTGGCGATTTGTCGTGAAATGGAAATGCCAAAAATGCAAGACAAGATGCCGATAAACATAGCAAAATACTGATGTGGGAAGGTTTGCAATTACACAGGAACTTGTGTGGATAGGGTTGTTTTTTATATTTGTCTGTCTATGAAGCTTGAAATTGCTGGCAGTTGGTGAGAGTGTGAATAGAGTCACGTGAATTCCCAAGGTAAACATCCCTTTGGTCTCCCCTTTATTGAAGGCCATTAGGCAGACCCAGATTCCAGTCAAGATTGAGACAAAGTCGACAGAAAAGAATTATGCTTGCATCAAGTCTGGATCACTCATAGCTGAGATTATATGGAATTAGCTAGTTCCCTGGAGCGAAGAGGCCCAGCCACTTCAATGATTCTTAATCCAGCTCATCGCTTCCCAAGTTTCAGATCTTCTCAACGCCACGGTAATGACAGTTGACACCCAAGCGCCTCCTTTCTCCAATCTGCGTGGAGGTTCTCCAAGCCAAAAAAGCCTTTTACCCAACCAAGGGCGCTCACGCCCGCCAAATTATATCAACTATATATAGGTATACGCCCTTCCATGATGCCCAGATTCCCATACCTTTCTAATACCCTTGTCGATAGGGTTTCCAAAAACGCCAGCCAGACATCGACATCATATATCGTTATTAGTTTCCCCGGGCCCATAGAACCCCGGCGCACACACATGTTCGGCCTCCCACCTAAGGAAGTCGCCCAAGTCATGACCGAGGTTGTATCCCATGGGCACGATGAATTCCTTCCCGTCCGAGTCCTTGCCGACGACCAGATCCATCATCGGGCTCTGCGGCAGGCTCAAGACGCTCGCCCTCCGTCCCTGCCCGCCGCCCGCATTGAGATTCAGCGACTTCTCGTAGCGCTTCGGGTGCCCCTCCATAGCCCAGCGCCTGATGCCGAAACCCCGCGCGTTATAGAAGCGGCTGGCGTCGAACTGGCCCTGGTTCCAGAAGCCGTGCGGATGTTCGTGCTCCACGGGGATCGGAAGGCCCTCGCCGGTGTCGGTCCTCTTAGCGCTCGCAGCACTGGCTCGTGAGTTTCTGGATCTCCTCTTCGCACCGCCCGGGGTCGACGATGGTGTGACTCGCTCGCCGATGAGCAGCCCGTGGTTCTCGAAACCGAAGGACTCGAACCAGTCACAGAGATCGTCAACCTCGCCCACGTCGCCGTCGGAACGACGGCTGTAGTCGGTCGCCTCGCCAAAGAAGTCGCCCGCCCCGCCGAGGATGGCCATCTGAAAGGCTGTCCAGTCGAGCGTCTCATCGAGCGCAGCCACAGCAAGATTGGATGAGCTGTAGGCAATGGCGAGGTCTGCCTTGGCTAGCCGGATCGGGCCATGGCGGAAAGTCGGCACGGTAAGGGTGTAGGGGTTGCAAGGGAGGAACATAAAGACCTCGTTTTTCGAGGCTGCCGGATCGGACGAAGGAGACAGAAGAGCGTTTTCGGGGCTTGTGACCATCACTTCGGGGATGGCCGGCAAGGGAGGATGCTGTCCTCGTGCGAGTCGAAGGGGATTCCTCGCTGGTGGCGCGGGAAAGGAGATGTCCCTACATGCAATGGTGTCCTTGTTGGAAATCATCTCGGTCTGTGCTGATGAAGTGGTTCCTTTGTTTTCCTTGTTGTCTCTCGCCTTCGACGGACAATCCGTTCCCGCGCCTTCGAAGTGGATGCCGGACGAGCGAGGCGTCCTGACTTCCTCGATCGGGGACGGAACGGATAGACTGACGCCCGCGGCGCCTATTCGCGACGGTAGATCTTGGAGATGGAAGGGTTCGATCGGTGTCTCGCTCCCGTCGGTCTCGATGGTTCGCAGCGTCTCCGTCGACCTCTTCGGGTGGAGGAGCGACGACCTGCTCAATCTTATCTCCTCCAGTCGGGTTAGGGGCAGCATTTCGTCAGCCTCGATGCGGCCGAATAGGCGGATGTTGAACAGTTCTTTTGCGTTATTTGTCCATTTTGGGATCTGCCTTATGGCTGGCCGTGGCCGCCTTCGTGATTTCTGGGGTCCTTCTCTCTTTGGTTTCGATATCGATCCAGTTCTGGTGGGAGACTTCAGTGTCAGAGCAGCGGCCCTCCGAGGATTCCGGGGGCTACTTTGTTGAAAAACAGGGGATCTTATGGGGTGGTCAAGGCTTGGCTTCCCGATGATCCTGAAGGGCTCGGGGTCCAGCTTTGCCTGGGCGATAGCGTTTCCTACGGACCCGAAGGCTTCGTCCGTCTCTCGGATCAGTCGCTGTACATTATCCGAGCATTGCCCTACTTCCTTCTCTTGAGTTTCGATACCCTTGAGCTTTTGTGCTCGAGGCCCAAGGCCAGACCCTACACCCGGCAGAGGCGAAAGGGCTTCGCTGTGGTCAACCATCGACTCTGCGGTCATTGGCGGTGTAATATTTTCCTCCTCTGTTGTTTGGGACAGTTGATGTGACAGTCGCCCATCGTCACGTAAAATGCTGGCAGGCGAAGTTGATCGCCTCCCAAGGTCAACCTTTGATGTAACTGGACAAAGAGCAGGACTACTCCCGAGTTGTCGAGGCCAGGCCTGGCCGGCGATATGGTACTCGCAGCTACACAAAGAACTCTTCGAGGAAAATGGGGTATCGGGTAACGGAGGCAAATGGTTGATCCTATGGATATCTTTGGTGCTCCTAACAACGATAATGGGCTCGGGAAGCTTTGTTGGCGGCTGCTTCGGTGTCATCCATGACCAGACCTTGTGCTGCTGAGCAGCGGCTTTCGGGGTTCCTCTCTCATCTTGTTCCAATAAGAAAGACGCTTCGTCCTCGCCGGTGTTCCGTGGCCGCCGGTGCGAAATGAGCCTCCGGATGCTGAAGTTGGACCGAGACAGCATAATGGGCATGACTCCCGGGAGACACGAAAGGGATGGGTGGGACAGAAGCAGAATGGAGATCACATAGTACACGCGAGATAAGTATAGCTTCAATGGCTTGGTGGTAATAACGTTCCCGGTTGCATCGTGTCTGAGGCGGAAGCTGGAGGAGAATAGCAGACGGCCAATGCCAAGACCATATAAGAGATCAAGTAGGTAGGAAGCCGGGCAAAAGACATGGAAGGAGTGAATAGGTACTCTGGTACTCTTTAATATTGATGTCGACAGAACGTCACTAGACTCTGTGTGGCGCATGAGTAGGCCGCCCAACGTTGGTGAGTACATAACAGGAGGTAGGAGAAGAGGTAGCAATGGTAGCAATAACAGGCCATGAGAGAGATACGCCCTACCCAGTAAGGTACAGCCAAGGTACGGATAACAGACATCAAAATCAGAAGGTGGCGCTGGGCAAACAGCCGCCCTGCATGGTGTGCATATAGAAACTGCGACAAGGGATGAGGATGTTGGCGAAAGCTGGATAGTGAGTGGGCTGCGGGATGAGGTCGACTGCGGATTGCGGATTCGCCCATTCCTAGGCCTTCCATCGCATGACCCGCTCTTCCGGGAATCTTATTTATATCGCGATCGGTCCTGTCACTGGCTGGCGCCATTTCCCGCCTTTCTGAGCCGATTTCTCTTGCTTGGTGGTGGGTGACATGCAGATCAGAGTGGACACCCCATGCACGGCATTCTACACCTATATTGGGAATATATTTTCGGAAGAGGTTATGTTTGGACCCCAGGTGTTCACACCAAGTTTACTGGCATGGACGCTGGGTCGGATTCATGAGCCTCTCTAGACTGTTGGCACCAACATCTTGAGAGCAGATGCCACGGCAGCAACAGGAGAGGGCGGGGAAGGAAGGGCGAGCAGAGGACAGAGGTACAGAAGGCGGACATCCGCGTTTGCTTACCTCATGGTCCAACAAAGTTGACGGCGACATGCAGAACATATCACCTATGGCAGGCCTCAGGACAGAACCCAATCAACCAAACTAATGCGGTGATACGAGAGCTCGGAAACGGACTGTCCTAGCCAAAGCACCTCTCGAGGTTATCTCATCGCACAGCATCAGGAGTTCACATGGATAAGCCATTGACACAAAGCTGGGGTCATGGCTCAGGGCCCCCACTCGTCCTGTGTCTCGAGGAGCCGCGAGAGTTGGGATCCTTCCTCGGTTCAAATCCAGGGATGGGTTCCATTGCTTTCGCCATTCTCAGCTGCACTGCGGGAGCGGGATTGGATGATCCAAAGGCCAAACGATTGACACATGCGCGGCCAGGCCTCGTGTTGGTCCACCAGCATGCCGTGTTCCAACACGCTCAACAGGAACTGACCGAGAGGTGGTTGGGCAAACTCTCGAGTCTCGAGCTGGGGAGCCAACACGTCTGGCCAAAAGGTCCATGGTGCGATGACATTCGCCAGTAGACAACGCCACCAGGGCCGCGGGCAGGCTACCAACATTCATAGCGGCCTTGCGCGATAACCGTTGTCGCCAGAACATCGGCGTAGAACAAGTAGAGCTGACTCTGCAATCTGGAAGAAATGGGTAAGTGCGCGAAGGTGGTGCGGGGCCTATTCCTGCTGGTCTCCACACTGCCACGGCCAACACCAACCTTCCTTCAGGCCACTCAAATAGGTAGGGTAGGTACGTGAGCAGGGAGCTGACATTCTTAGATCTGGAGAATTCAGGCACATCATCTGGAGATCCCCGGCGCTTATTCGTGGCTGCGATTTACCGATCTACCCGCAAAAAGACATTTAACCAGGAGCAGCCGCAGTCAACCGACTGGGCGGTGAGCCAGCGACCTCACGGCAAAGCTGCCGAGTGACGCTCAGCCCCGCGGGCCGGTGACTGACAGCCATTTTTGTCTGTTCTTCCCTTTCTATCTTGACCCGCCCGTGGCAGAGGATCGTCTCTCAACTCAGCCGGGGAGGATTCTGTGTAGCACCGGCTATGGGATATGGCCAAGGCAGACGCCTCGTTGATGGATACGAGTTGCCGAAATGGCCGGCGTGGTGGATTTCCCAAGGGTGAGACTGAAACAGGGCCGATAACTTTGAATGAAGTCATCATATTCATGTGTCGCTCGAGTGAGCACTCAACTCGAGCTTCTCCTTTGAGCCTATCTCGGCTCATAGTACATGTCCTCCAGTCTGGGAACCAAATATGGAAGTGGTACATTATAGTTTTGCCCCCAAGAGTCCATTATCTCATGGAGACGCCTTGCTTCCGACTCCATACCCATACACCAGATAATTGAGGTGGAAGGATCATCCCTTGAACTCATACACCTGCAAGCCGAAGACAGGTGACAGACCCATCCGGCAATCAAGCCTCTATCCTCCAAAGAACGCCTCCGTGATCCAAAGAACGCCTCCGTGATCCAAAGATTTAGCGGCGGCTGGATGTGCTTGCAGTGCCGGATTCGAATCCGATCCCGTCCTTCCTGTGACGTCCGTCGCTGCCTGTCTCGCCGGGCCAGCGGCCGCAAGGGCTCATGGCGTTGTGGACTTGCCCCCTCCGTCCGTTCCGCCATAGATGTGCTCGAGCCGCCATCTTCGTCATCCCAAGGCACTCTTGTGTCGCCAAACCAGCTGGTGGTTGAGGCGGCGGGAGTTTCATATGATCTCGTTCGCCCGCGCCATGCCCCTCGACGTCGTCGTCTGCATGAACGAGGATGCCGCGTGGGTAGGGACGTGGACGTATCTCTTCTGGGGGGGTTGAGGCGCCAGCTCCTGTTCTTTGTTGGCGACGGGCCGCCACCAACGGGAGACGCCTCTCGCTGCGGCTCGGACGGGCTGGAGGAATAGGAAGACGCATGATCTTCGGCGGCTCTTGGCCGAGCCGGCTTCCATGTTGAGGTAGCCGCTGCGAGGCATCTTTGTCTCGCGTTTCCGGTCGGTTTAGGTGAGCTTCACCTCAGGATTCGGGTGGTGGGATAACAGCTATTCTACTAGGTGCCTAGATGGGTTGTCAAGGACAGGATAGCGAGGTTAGAAGTAGGTATGCCGGCAAGCAATTGTTGAGCAATTCAACGCCATGACTCTCTTTAAGGTTCGGCCTGGCCAGGGGCGAGCCTCTAGGAGTGAGACAAGCGCATTCTTGCGGGTCGGAGGGAGCCATTCGACAGGGCGACATGAGAGAGGCACCTGGAATCCGATGACCGAACTTCTTGCTCTACTGCCAGGCTAGGTGAGGGGACGCTGATGTTTACCATAGAAACCCACAACCATCCACTGTTTAAGTTTTTCGCCGGCTCTGCTCGGCCATTCTGCCAGCGACTCTTCTTGTGGACCAAGGCTTTCCCAGACCGGCTAGTGACAAGAGGACCGGCCATCCCACCGCGATCTGAGGGGCTGCCAAGAGAAGGCGGCAAAACCTTCTTCACCGTCTAGGGATATACGACGTAGAGCCAGATCCCGAGGGGTGGTATGGGAGGGGCGGAGAGGGGCTTACACCTCGGCCAGTCGCGCAAGGAGCCGATGGCGCTGATGAAACTGTTTAGGTCAACTTAGTCTTAGACCATGGGTCCCAGGCCGCGAGGATCGACGGATACTTTACTTTTCGTAGTGTCTATACAACTTGGCAAACATCCTCGGGATCTGTGGTGATGAGCGGGGATCGTTTCCATTGATTCTGTACCATTGCCTGAGTTGCCAGGTTATCTAGAGACGATGTCTTACTATTAGGAAAGGGAAGAAGAAGGATTGGAAGAGCCCAATATTGATCCTTGAGTGATGCAAGGGGTCAAGGCTGTCTCCCGAAGTATAAGCGAGAACTGTAGGACCAATATATTTATCTGAGACCCTCATAAGAGCGGTAGCAAGGCTATTGGTGCAAGAGCATCACTTGTAAAAGATTCGACTGGGTTTCGGAGATCCGAAACTGATTTTTTTTGAGCAAAGGGGTGTAGATATTGAGATAGTCTCCCTGATAGTCTCCCTGAGAGCAGGGACTCATTCTAGTTCGGCCTCGCCGCCCTCATCTTCCTCGTCACCCTCCTCATCCCCGTGGACAGCGTAGGGAACAAATCGGAAGTCCAAGAAGTTGACCCCGCCACCCTCAACTTCGACCATGAATTGCATGCTAAGAACCCCCTGGCCATCCCCCCGTAAACTGACCTTGGTCGCGATCCTCATCGCCTCGCTAGCCGACTTTATCATGTCGAACTTGAAAGTCTGCACCCAACGGTCGCGGATAGAGAAGGTCTCGAGCAGATCACGCCCCTTGGCAAAGTCGACGCTTGAACTCCCAAGTGATCCGGAACTAGACAGGCGGAGATATGGTTGCCTTCGCGAGGCTACAACCGTCAGTTTGTCAGGAGAAGTCGGTGCAATCTCGGCAAGGGCGTCCAACAACCAGCGGGATTGGGTGATGATCTTGAAGGAAAGGTCTTCGATATCGAATGGAATATCCTCGGGCGACTCCGGGAGGTACGTAACGAGATTGCACGTCGTTTTCACTCCGGCTTCTTCTAGGATGATGCTGAAAGGTTCTCCTTCTTGGGCATATGAGAGAGAGCATGTCCCCGCCATCCCTAGGGTCTGGTTGCTGAATGCATCGGGACGGTAATTACGAAGGTTGCTGCGGTATGGGTCTGCCTCTGCCTTGGCCTGGCGAGCCGCAGCATCGGCAGCGCCAAAAATCTGCAGCGCCTCCAATAGCGCAGGGAGAGATATCTGAAAATTTGGGGTGGAGGGTTCTTCATCGTCTTCCGTAGTGGGGAGGTTTGTCGTGTAGGATGTGAAAAGGGTCTTGTTCCAGTGGGCGACACCTACAGACCATGTTTTAGCAACTCGGAGCCCGTTCAACGAATTAGCCTGGGCAGAACCTGCCTTGCATTACGCGTGAGTTATCAGCTGCAAATCTGAGGCCGCCCTCTGTGATCTCGACATGGATCTTGTTGGTGAAACTGATGCACTTCAAGAGTTGATAGAGCGGTCGGGTCGAGCTGGCAACAGCTCTGAACAGTGGCGGAGCTGCAGCGGAGGCTTGCGAATCCATCATGAGAAGCCTTGGCAGCTCACCACCTCTAATAAACGCCTCGGATATGAGAAAAGGCAGATCGTCAGGTGCTTTGAAAATGTCCTTGGTTTTGTAAAGAGACTATGGTACAGATCGACAACGATCGCTTCCCAGGGTATCTTAGACGTAAACTCCAACTGCGCAGAACATGTAGACAACTCCGAAGCTTTATTTGTGTCAGAATCAACCAGGAGGTCGTTGTAAGGTAAGGGAGACGTACGCAAGTGCCAATGACGCGGGGATGCCCAGGACGGGGAGGTTGACGAGAGAACGGTCTGAGGAAACGTTAGCTCCGGATAGTACCTTTCGGTGTAACTCAATTAACTCACTCAGGGTAAAGACACCAGCCAGAGATAGGCCTATGAGGAGCAGGACGAAGCCCACGAGGAATTGGCTGTTCTTGCCGATGGTTGGTACAAACGGACTGCCTGACGCGGCTTGCCAGACCTCGTGCAATGAAGAATCCATGTGCCGAGATATAGCTGGGGAAGTTGGAATTCGTATGATCGGGGTTTTTTGGGGCTTGGTGGAGGCTTGTTCACAAGTGGCAGAGGGTATCTGGAGATGAATTGGGCGAGGTTCTGGAGAACGATAGAGCTTCGCTGGAAGCTTGGGATACGTACCCTCACCTAACAAAAACCGTGTTCGAAGCTGAAAGAAGCTTAGCGCGTTTATACCCCAGTCAGCCCTGCACAATCACGTGCGGAGCCCCTGCCTTGCCAAGAACCCCTGTAGATGCCTGCCGCATGAGGGTCCGTGCGCAGCATCTCGACAGCGCGCCATTCAACGACATCAAGATCCAAACAGCTCCAGGTTATTCGATACCGACAGCCTCCATCCTGTCCATCAAAATGAAGGATGAAAGTGAGTTTTCTGCTTCTGTATTACTAGACTCGCCCCTTTTCTCTCCCTTATATACCCTGCATTTACTGATATGGCAGCAACCACAGATGGAAAGCGAAAGGCATCGGCCGACCCATCTTCCCCGGCGGCCTCGAAGCGTATTAAGCAGAACGAATCAGCGGAGCCGGAGAAGAAACCCCTGAAGATACCGGCAATCCCATTCCCCGAAAAGGTAAGCACTTCGCCTTTGCCCCTGTCGAGTCGATCGCATAGTCCCGCGGCGCGACTGACGCTTTGCCACGCAGCCTGCAGTTATCGAGGAGCGCAACGGCGAAATAGAGTTTCGGGTTGTCAACAATGATAACGAGCGGGAGAGCCTCATAATCCTTACGGGGCTCAAGTGCATATTCCAAAAACAGCTGCCAAAGATGCCCAAAGACTACATCGCGCGACTGGTCTACGACCGGACCCACCTGTCCATCGCCATCGTCAAGAAGCCACTCGAGGTCATTGGCGGTATCACTTACCGGCCGTTTAAGGGGCGGCAGTTCGCCGAGATTGTGTTTTGCGCCATCTCGTCCGATCAGCAGGTCAAGGGGTACGGCGCGCATCTCATGTCGCATCTGAAGGACTACGTGAAGGCGACATCGGACGTCATGCACTTCCTAACGTATGCCGACAACCACGCGATCGGTTACTTCAAAAAGCAAGGATTCACCAAGGAGATTACGCTGGACAAGTCTGTCTGGATGGGATACATCAAGGACTACGAAGGCGGCACTATAATGCAGTGCAGCATGCTCCCGCGAGTCCGGTATCTAGAAATGGGGCGGATGCTGCTAAAGCAGAAGGAATGCGTCCATGCTAAGATCAGGGCGTTCAGCAAGTCGCACGTCATCCACCAGCCGCCGAAGCAGTGGCAAAAGAGCGGGCTGTGTGCCATCGATCCGTTAACAATCGAGGCGATCCGGGCCTCTGGGTGGAGCCCGGACATGGACGAGCTGGCGCGCCAGCCGCGGCACGGGCCCAACTACAACCAGCTCCTCCACCTCCTCAACGACATGCAGAACCACCACAGCAGCTGGCCGTTCCTGATCCCCGTGAGCAAGGACGACGTTGCCGATTACTACGATGTCATCAAGGAGCCGATGGACCTCAGCACGATGGAGAGCAAGCTCGAGGCCGACCAGTATGCCACGCCCGAGGACTTCATCCGAGACGCGAGGTTGATCTTTGGCAACTGCCGCAAGTACAACAACGAGAACACGCCCTATGCCAAGTCGGCCACCAAGCTGGAGAAGTTCATGTGGCAGCAGATCAAGGCCATCCCGGAGTGGTCACACTTGGAGTAGAATGGCGCCCTACTACTAGTCGCGTTATTAATTTTTTAGGGGGCTCATGGATTGAACCCTGCCTTGGCTTGGTCATTGGGAAAGTCATCAGTCTGCGTGGCGCTACGGTCTGCCGGTTGGTTGGTCTGGATGGCATGGCTCGCCGGTTCTTTGTTCAGGGGCTCAGGCGTTCAAGGTCAACAAGGAATATGGGATTATGAAGGCATGAATCAGGAAGGGGCAAATTGGCCAGCTCTACTGCGTACAATAGGGAAGCCAGTGTAGCATAACATGGAACTATTTCGAACGCCCAGTAGCTCGAGTAAACCATTCAAAGGGCTAGCGGAATCTTATTTCTGTGTATGCCGGCTAAGTAGATAGGTCCTGGCCCGAGTTCCTTGCTCTATTTCCCTCGTCCTCCCCACGCCATTCCCCCAAGTCCGTGAACCTCCCTCCGCCTCCCTCCAACCGAGACCAGTACTAAAACCTAAACCGATGCCCAAGGTACCTTAACAACCTTGCCGAACCGACATAAAAAATCTCTTCAAATACTGGGGAGTTCAAAGCGAGATAGACCGCGAATTCCGGAAGTCATGCGCCATGCTCAAAAGCAAAAATTCTGATAGGTTTATCATGTCGCCGAAGTCGACATGGGGGGCAAAACCGGAGAGCACTGGAATATTTGTGTGCTCTCAAAACAAAGGGGCGGCACCTGTCCGACGAAAATAGAGATTGTCTGGGGAAACAGGGGTTGGGGGGTGTCGGTAAACGCCGAGTGGTGTGTGTGCTATTATAGATCGCATATGATCGTGTTCGTAGAGTGCAGGACCTAGTAAAGGCCTAAGCGTTGGGCCGAGCCGTCCGTTGCACGCGGATATCCGACATCATCACCGTCCCACCATCGTCGACGGGGAGGCGAAGAGATGAGTAGGTGGGGCGCTGGTCTTGGGTGTTAAAGTTTGGAGCGATGAGCCTACCACGCACAGAGGTCGAAGGCGCCGGAGGGTCGCTTGCAGTCCGCGAGGATGAGTTGGCTGGGGCTGCTGATTGCTGTGCTTCCTCGCTGCTCTGCCTCTCGCCCTCCAAGCCATGTCGAAATATGTCATGTAAAGAATCCGGGATCTCGTGCCAGTTACCGGTTCTGGCAGCAGTGAACATTCGGGCGGTGAAGACGTTGTCCGGCGTCATCGTGTCCTGCTCGTATAAAGAGCGCGAAATCTGGTCTGCCATAAGGGGGAGCTCGCCAGTCTCTATGGCCTGTTTGAGCCATTGCTCCCACTCCTCGTCCAACGGCATAGACGTGTCTCCCGAAACGTTCCGAAGGGCCACCCTCTCCCTAAGCCGCTCGTTTAAGTCGACGCCGACACTCTCGAGCTCCTCATCGCTCTCGTCACCCTCATTCCCATCGGCAGGTTCGTCTTGTCCCTCGATCCCGCGAGTTCCCGAGCGTTGTACCAGTCGGTCAGACCGATCCTCAGGCTCAACCCAGTCCGAGATTTCGTCGTCGGACATCTCTACAATGACGATATTCTGCTCGCGTTCATATCGCTCCTTGGCCCATTTCGTTCCTTCCCACTTGGTGAGACCGGCGATCTCGTTTGGTGTCAGACGGAGGGCGTCAAACGCCCGAAACAGGCGGCGGTGCCACGGCCAACGGCTCAGACGGATCCGGTGGATGGGACGGCAGTAGTCAAGGCCGGGATATTTTGCCTCAGCCGTATCGAGGTGGCCGTAGAACGACTGCACCTCTAGCCGGACCTCGGGGATTAGGTTACGTTGGAGGAGGGCGTGGAAATTCTGGAGATCGGGCTGTCGTGGCTTTGGAAACATGTACTCGAAGACGAGCTGTTCCACCGGACGTCCCTTCATCTTGGCTGTTGTGCTGCGTGCCACAGACGCTCAGAGAGTCTGGTTCTCGGTCAGGCTTGGGCAGAGAAGGGTAGCAAGTACGGCAGGAAGATAAATGGCCAACAGGGTGTTGTTGGTTTCGACTCGTAGTTGTCGGTTGTGGGAGGAAGCAAGTCTCGGAAAGGTTAAGTCGGGGCTTCTAAATATGGGAGCGATGGTCGCTTTTGAGTTTCCGCACCGGAGTCTCGTGTTCGTTGGCCGTTTGGCTGTTTGGCGAGGGGTTTGTAGTCGAGGATTGGCGGGGGGGCTTAGAGACAGGATTGGGGGGCTTAGAGACAGTCTGTTGAAGAGGAAGGACACAGTGATATGACAGGCAGGATGGTCTCTGGAAAGGCCCCAAAGTGTGGAACAGCGAAGTCTTGGCCTAGAGTGACGAGGTTTCGTGAGGGAAGGTAGGGGATGGAAAGGAAGAGAAGGCGGTAACGGAACTAGGCAATCGAGACAGAAATCCAAAAAGGGAGGGGTGGAATTCGGTCCCCTAAGATATGGAACTTGGTGGATACTGACCTGGATCGACTGCATTGGCACAAAGCCAGTGCCGTCACTAAAGGCCAGAGGAGGAAATGTGATTGGCCCCTCCCCTTTGAGTATAAGCACTTCCACTGATCCCGTCAATTTATCTTCTCTTGATGCCCCACGGCCCCTGCAGCGGGCCATGTTCAATTGCTCGAATTGGCCCTCCTGGATTCCTGGTTTGGGCGTCTCAGAGGGAAGGGGCCCAAAGCCAAACCTGCAGACAATGAACAGCTGACCGCCAAACGTGCCTTTCCAGGCACTTCCTGACTGATTAATGGCTTAATGGCAGCCCCCCTCGGGAGTCATTCACACCCAACCTTCCTTTTGACGGGCCATCGTCTGTTCTCCCCACGGCCTCCATATGTTTTATTCGTTCCAAGGATTCCCGTGCAGGCGCCACCCGCTTGGAGCTGAGCAGCTTTGTTTATCCCTGGCAGGCCAACGAAGTCACTGGATGAGGACTGGCATAGCCATCCTGTCCAAGTCGGGGGCGATGCATCATGTCGGCCGCAGTTGTGGCCCAACACTGTCGCTGTCCGGCTAATCGGATATCGCCCTCCGGAATCCATCTTTGCGGATGATAAAAACGGCCCTTACGGATGGCCGCCGGGCTATTTTCTGCCTCACACCAATCGCTGCTTTTGACATCTATCTCCAAGAGACTGCTCATCAAATGTGGCCCCTGGGTCTGCTCAATGGAGTATATGAAGAGGCCTGCCCAAATACCTATCGTGGGGCCTTCCCCAGTTGTGGCAAGACTGGTGATTCAAGTGAACCCCAGGAACCCCTTTCCGGCTTCAAGTATGGTTCCTAGAATGGGTGGCCATGTCAGAAGGCTGGAGGAGGGCAGACAATATGCTTCATGTCCTTGAGTAGGTACCCATATTCAAGGACTACTAGCAGGTAGGACCTTTGGAGTATTCGGTGAATTGATTGTGCTCGAGGCCGCTTGGTGTACCAATTCAGGCTGCCCTACCTTGTCGCTCTCGGCGAAATGCTGTCTATCATTCAGAGTTCAAGGGCTAGTCCGGCAAATCTAGTAGAAGCCAACACTCGCGACTGATTTGGTTCCTGGAAACCCTGCTCTTCTGTTTATACAGCTAGCCGCAACAATTCGACCTGAGCTTGCCCTCAGCTCGTTTTCACTCCCCCCAGTCAGCTTCTTCTGTATCCGCTCTGAGCTGGGCTACGTCTCGAGATCCTCCTACTTCACCAAGACCCTGCTACTTCACCCAAACAATGCGTCGGTGGGCTACGGCTTCATATTTCACCATACTATGGACCAAGTCCCACCTCTCCTCGTGCTCTGCAAGACTTGATACCGGAAACAACTCCGGCACAGCTGTCTTCGCCATACCTTGAGTGCGGCCGCAGTTTCTTCCTTGGTTGCTCAGGGGACAGACGGCCTCTCCAACCCCTCCGAGTACCTTGTCTGCAGACCATACTTCTCTATCCACTCAGGGACACCGACCTCGCCTGCAGTTTTCCAGCTGCGGGTTTCACCTTTTGAAGAAAGTGCCGCGCCGCGGCTGCTCCATCTCGAAGCCGAGCCTCGAGGAGAGCAAAATACACCCAGCTGCATACAGTGTTCGAGGTAAGGAACCCCATATTTTCACCATATTCTCTCTTTTGGGTCAAAAATCTCAAAAAGTGTCGGTCCGAAGGTGGGCTCAACCATGCATTGTCAACCTCTTTCTAACGTAGACTACCCCTTTCTCTAGATCGGGACACCGCAGCATATTCCACTGAATACGGTGGTATATCCTCCTCCCACGACAGAGTGGGCTAATCCAAGTTGTCCAGGAATACGGCTCTGCAGGTAAAATCATGTGCCGTCAGATTTATCTCCGGTATTCCTACTGTGGCTGTGAGCTCCGGCAGGGTCCCCTTCGCCAATGCCCTTTCGGGCCCCAGGACCCGCGTTGCCACGAAATCATCAACGTCGTTCGCCCTTCCCCATCCTCGTCGTATGATGCTTGCCCCTATCATATCTGGCTTCGCAAGCACCAGCGCGTTTTCACTTACACTACCAGGGGCTTCGAGCTATGGGCAGGTGGCCGTCACTATGGCGTGTACTGGCCGATCGGGAAGAACCCCGACTACAATCCCCGAAGCTGGGATTATTACGGCGAGCCCTACACGAAGAAGGGTAAGCTGTCCTCCGACTACTATCTCTGGAATACGCCCGAAAAGCAACGCACGTTCGGCCTGGCAAGGAAGGCTAACTGGGATGCCTACTTCCTCGAGAAGCTGAGGAAGCGCTCCACTGGCGGGGATGGGTACCAGGCCGACGACGAGGCGACCTTCAAAGGGCCGGACCGCCACGGAAGGGGCGGCTTCTACGTGTCTAGAGAGAAGCAGGAGGAAGCTAGCAAGATCCTGCAGCCGTCCGCCTCCGAAGAGGAGGAGGAGAAGGATAACCGGTCCGACTCTTGGCTCGACATCCAGGAAGCGGAACTAGAAGATGCGGCGCCGTTCTACGAGCCGACCCTGATGTGGGGCTGCTGGGACGACCGCGAGCTTGTCTCCGAGTCCGTCGTGGAGGAATCTCAGGGGACGGAGGAGGATTCGGATATGTCGATGGGCAGCAACTACTAAGCTTGGGATGTCCTTCTTAGTGCCTCCTTCCAGAGTACTCGTAGGGATAGTCACCACTGCTATAGGGCACTGTTGGTGCTGCGAGCCACAGGCCTATCTGCCAAGTCCCTCGCTCGAATTGCTGCTCATGGTCCTCGGCTCATGCTATCACTATTTTTGCAGGTCTCGTGACATACGGATCGGTCCACCATAGAGAGGTAGCGCTGCCGTAGAGAAGATACAACACAAGAATAGCAAAAAAATTTTTAGGGGCGGAGCTGGGTAAGCAACGTACAGATATTGAGAAGCGACGCATCTCACCATCGTCGTCATCATTACCACATGCATGAAGCAGATTCCGTTTTGTAGGTGGTCTAGCGGTTTCACCGTAAGGAGGCCAGGGTGTTATTTTATAGAGTGGCATCCACCCTACTGAGAGTGTCAAGATGGAGAGGTCCTATCATCATCATCATGTAACATCCAAAGCTCGATACCAGCTCGCGTCCCTTGGTATCCGAGCCCTTCATCCAAGAATATCATCATCAGTCATAAAACAGTTCTCCACACCCCAACACTCATAAATCAGGAAACAAAACCAAACCCTCCCCAAAAAACCAAGATTCTAGCCCCACGCCTCGGTGGGATACCTCCTCCCGCCCACACCCGTCACGGCAGGGCTATCCGCACGGTCACGGTCACGGTCGTCCCGCCTGAGCCTCTCCTCCCTAGCCCGATCGCGATCCCACGCAGGAGGGTCGCGCCGGCGGTCGATATCCGCATGGCTGCTCGGGCGGCGGGGCATCTCGGGCCGTTGGAGGTAGCCGCCGCCGCCACCACCACCACCGCCCCTCCGGCTGCGGGGTGAGAGGTCATCGTCGGTGTACTCGCGGTCCCTCCGCCGGTCGCGATCCTTATCGCGCCCCCGGTCCCGCTCCCTATCTCGGTCTCGGTCCCTCCTCTCCCGCTCCCGCTCCCTCTCCCGCTCCCGATCCTTGTCCTTGTCGCGGGTTCGATCGCGATCGCGATCTCGATCCCTGTCTCTGTCTCTAACCTTGTCGCTGTTCCGCTCGCGCTCCCGGTAGCCATCCCGGTCCCTGTCTCGCTCCCTTTCACGATCCCTCCTCCGTCGCCGGCTGCGCTCGACATCATCCTCGCTATCGTTGTAATCCGACTCTCCATCCCCGTTCGACCAGCTCCGGCTGAGCCTCGAACCCGGGACGTTCTCGCGCGGATACCGCGCCCCCCCATCCTTGTCCCTACCCCTATCCCCGCCCCTGCGTCCGCCCGACCCGCTCCGCTGCCTCTCCGTGCTCCCACCGAACCCTGGCAGGATCCCCGCGAGCCTCTCCTTGAGGTCGAACGGCGACGGGAAGCTCTTCCTCCTCAGATCGTCCGCCCGGCTGCCTGTCGCCCTCCCAGCCTCTGCCACCGCGGGCGGGGGCACCGGGGCCGCAGGCGGCGGCGGCGGCGGCACCACGTTGATGCCCACGGGGCGGCTGCCGTTCCCGCCCGCGACCGGGACGAAGACCCTCCTGACCGACCCCGGCCGCGGAGAGTGTGGGTGGTGGCTGCCCCGCCGCTTGGACCTCGGGCTGGGGTGGTCGTCGTCGTCGTCGTCGTGGTCGCCGCCGCCGCTCTCGGACGAGCTGCTGTAGTGCCTGGGCTGGCTGTGTCGCCGCGGCTGCTGCGCCGCCACGTGCTGGGGGTCCAGGTGCGGCGCGGACCCGGAGACGTGCACGCTTATCGGGGGTTTGTGCGCCAGGGAGGGGTACTCGCCGAGGCTGCGGCGGCGGGGGCCGCGCTCGTCGGACGAGCTGCCGTGGCGGCGCGGGTGCCGATCGCGGTCCCGCTCCCGGTCAGGCGACCGCGTCGACAGCCCGGCGGTGGCGGAGCGGCTCGGTGGGTAGCGGCTAGGGACGTGCGTGTATGAGACCCCGACCGGCTTCCTGGAGAAGTAGTCGGCCTCGGGCCGCAGGCGCGCCGATGCTGCTGCGGCGGCGGCGGACACGCCGGCAGTTGCGGCGAAGGCGGCCGCTGTGGGCGCGTGGACGTGGACATAGGCATTCTTGACGCGCGGCTCGGGGAAGGCCGGCTTGGGTGATTCCTCCTTCGGGGTGCTGTCGGCGCGCAGCTTGGTCGCGCACTCGCGGTGCCAGCGGTCGATCTCGGGGTCCGTCTCGGCGGGGAAGGCCTCTCTGGGAAGGTCGGTCGGGAAGGGAGTGCCGTCGTCGGGGTTCTTGAGGGCCCATTTGCGGACGGCGAACTGCAGGAAGGGTACGTGTTCTGCCGGGTCGAGAAGAAGCTCGATGCATTCCCACCGGACGAAGCCGCTGAGGGTCAAGGCGGGTACGGAGGGCGCCGCAAAGTTGTCTTCAGAGGGTTCGAGAGAATGCTGGCAGCCTGTCACTTGCCAGATGTACGAGATAGATTGGTGGGGAACTTCGACGAAGAGCGCTGCAGGGAAACAAGAAAGAACCGGTTAGAGGCTGTCTGTAGTATACATGGTCGGTCGTCGAACCGGTCATTGTTTCTTACCGTCGTAATTGCCTCCAACATTCTTGTAGAAGGCAGCAAGCTTCTTTGGCGTTAAGTACTTGCAGGTCTTATCGCCGATTTCATTGATCTAGCAGCCATTAGCACAAATGAGGTCCTATTCGGTAGCGGTTCTGGGAAGAGCGCACAATGTGCTGGCCAATAGCTCTAAGAAGAGCGTCCAGGACCTTGTTCGGCGACTTGTCATCCTTGAACAAATAGCCGTAGAAGCTCTTGGGATCGTCCGGTTCGGTCGCCATTGGACGGTGAACTCAGTGTTGATACTCGCAACCACATTCGGGATCTCGAGACACCTCTCGATGCTTTGCGGCGAAGAGGTAATGCGATGCGAGGAGATGCAGCGTCCATATAATCAATCGAATCAGAGCAACCCAAGGTGGTCCCAATATTCCTTTCCTGCCTGTCTACCTAGGCTGACACTGCGCGAGGTGCAGATACAAGTAGGTACACGTACATGTGGAATTTCTGTGGATGGGATGGACGGGAACTTTCCAAGGTTGGACCACGGCCCGGTTGGCGCAGGCGGCAACACAAATAGATACCCGGGCTAATAAGTGAGTCAATACACCAGTCCTACCTCCCTGTTTTTTACACCATGTAGGCGCAGTGACGGACGCTGCAGGAAGGCAAGGCAGCATGGGTATAAACATCATGGGCGGGGCTGCCTTGCGCTGGCTCAGGAACCGCTGAGGAGTTGACACGTGCACCCCAGTTGATTTCGGGTTGATTTCACCACCAAACCTGCAAGCCAGCCTCCTTTTGCTGAAACGAAGATCGTCTCTAGTCGGGCAGGGTATATGATATTTTAACAGGGCAATCAGCCGTGCTGCGTGTGGCTCGGGAGGGCAAACGGTGTTGTCAACCAGGCAAATTGAAGTACAAGTACATTGTTGTTTCCGTATTTTACTTTTTACATATCCCCCTGTGATGAGAGAACTAACAAGCCGACGGGACTCTCCCAAAACTGCCTTCCCCTACGGTGCCACCAAGGTACAGAGACCAAGCAGAGCCCCCGCCAATGGCAACATTGATCTACCCATATTGAGGCTCTTCCATGTCAACATGAGTGAGTGGGTGGCATCGTCACTCAGGGTCGTAGCCCCGCTCGCTGCCTGCAACAGAGAGCTGTTCGTTGGGCCCATAAAGATGAGCGTGTAAGGCACGATGGCAATTGTCAGTGCTCCCGCCATCGCGTAGCGCTTCCATCCCAGGCCGCTGCTCTTCTGGCGGTATGCCAGGTACGCGTATCCCAGAAGAGAAGCGATTGCCACGATAGGCATCGTGGACTTTCCCCGATTGAATAGTGTCTCCCATTGCTTGGCTAGGATCTGTGGCGGGGCGGGAGCTGACAAGATGCCGGGCACTGCAAAGGAGGACAGGCTTGCAATGCCACCTAGGTGACCGAGGAGTCAACATGTTTTCTCCCACAGGTGTTCATGTGCTTGTTCGGTTCATACCTGCTGTCCAGGCAGAGCCGAGGATGCCCGTCATAGCCGCCACCGCGGATGCCGACGTAAATGGAGGCATGGTGCCGTAAGTTTGTCCTGACGATTTTAAAAAGGGATAGGTCTGTTGGTTAGACTGAATTCGTCCAGGTGCTGTTAAAGAGAATCCGAGCCGTCCGAGATATCTAGTGATCTAGTAAAGGTCCGCTCCCGTCTTATATCCAACAATCCGGCCCGGCAGGATGCGGACTTTGCCACGCCCGATGTCCGACTTCCCGGGGTTCACAGCCACCACCTAGCGTTTAGCATAGGTCAAGTTCAACCAAGTCAGCCCTCTCACTTGACTTAGCCCTTATCTAACTTGCCTTACTTGGCTATTTCTTAACTAGGTTGGCTTAGTTACTTGCAAGTATAGCTTGTCTCTGCAGGCAGGTGTAGTTGGCTGGGTTTCGGCTGCCAAAAATCTTCAGAGAGTTGGCGATAGCAAGAGTGTTTTAGCAATAGCGACACCAAATACCCTTGCCCTAAAAGTTAAATGCCCCTGCCCAAATAGCTGACTGCCCCTGCCCGAAGAGCTGAATGCCCCTGCCCGCGGAGACAACCTCATGGATATAACCCTGTATTACGGACTACACTCGCCTGACATGTCTCTCTCAGATCTAAGTTATGCTTCCGACGTTCGACTAGGAAAAAAGCGGAATGTGGGCAGCTCTATGACTACGCCTTCGAATTCCTCACCCAATTTCCCGCCCTCAAAAGTCAGGAGAAACTCGAAACCACACTTTTCCAAGACCGCCCGGCTCTTCAGGTTCGATCGGTCGGTGATAGCAATCAACTGCTCCTCGCAGACGCCATCATCACCCGTCACAGTCCTCGGATCCACCCTGAACTCGGTCTCGACCCGCGGCAGGCCCGACCAGACAGCCGAGAATGCCCTCAGGAACTCAGTGGCGAGGCCGATGCCCCAGTACTCCCTGCGGAACATGTACCCGACCTCGGGCCAGCCAAACTCGCAATGGAGGCCGAGGCACCCGCCGGTGCCGATGAGCTCGCCCGTCTCCCGCAGGCAGATGGCAAAGTTGTAGGTCCGGACGTCGTTGGGCGGCAGGTAGGCGTCCAGCTTCGCCTGCGTCTCCGAGGCGTCGAGGTCGACGTGCCCGACGTGCGTCCACTGCATGACCTCCTCCTGCGTCCTCAGGACGCGCAGGGCGTCGAAGTCGTCCTGGCACATCGGCCGGAGGAGCAGGCGCTCCGTCGTCACTACCGGCCGGGTGGCGTTCGGCGGCAGTGGCTCTGCCGGTAACGTTGTCTTGACGGTAACGAAATCTGCCTCGTTGGCTGCGGGTTCCACCTTGACTGAGGGTTCCATCTTGGCTGTAGATTCCATCTTGACTGTGGAAGATGTTCACAATGATTTATTCCGACTGCGGCAGATGTGCGTGAAGACATATCAATCTTATCACGCGCTGTGACTCACAGATGGCCGGTTATCTTAGTCAATAATTGCATGCGTATGTGTTAAAGGACCACAAATCCAATCGAGGGCCGTTTGGAAGATACCTCGACGACTTTGTCATTGGACCTAATCCACGGCGGGCCAGCGATTAACGAAAGCAACACCAGGAGGTCACGGCTTACCACTGCAGCTGGATGGTCAGACCGTGAGCGGCACAGCGTTGTCGTAAGCTCGGAACCGAGTTGTCATGTCCCTGCGTCTGACTCGTCCAGCCGGACTGGTGTGCAGCTCAGATACCATTCCCAACACGGAAGGTGGCTCAAATAATGGCTCGGCCGCCTGGAACCCGGCAGCCCACCGTTGTAGAGTCCATCCAACGGCGCTCACTACGCCTGGGGAACTCAGTGTCGGCACACATTAACGGAGCGGGGACGGGTTCCATATTGCGGTGCCGAGCTGGCCGGATCGTCTGCGAGTCCGGCAACACGAGTTGGTAAGACACGAACGCTGCTACTGACTTACTTGGATCTTGGACCGTAGAAGTGTCTTCAACGGGACTGGACGAATGATAGTAGATAGATGATCACCAACGAGTGTTCAGAGGTTCCTCAGTGGGCCAGCCAGAATCTCCGTACAGTATCACAAGTCACTCCATGCCGTGGTGACGAAAACCCAGATCTCGATGCTCGAAATTCTTTTTGTCTCATTCCTTGCTCTGTCTAGGGAGCAAATGCAGATGATATTTCCCTGATTCCAAATGAACACCAGAACAATCTGCAAACCCTAACCATCATGAAACCCCTTAAGCAAATGTGCCCGGTCGCTTCGCGCTGTACAACTTCCTGGTGTTGATCTTGGGGACACGGTGGGGAAGAGGGAACTTGAGGTTCTTGGTGAGGAGCTGCTTGATGTACGGGCGCTTGATATCATCGCTCTTCTCCAGCTCAGCGACACGGAGGATCTAGAACCACTCTCGTCAGTATCACGCACGACCTAGGGGAGGGGGAGTTGGATGGACGGATAACGTACGTGGATCGACCTGAATCGTGCTCGGTGACGGGAAGACATGTCCTGGTACAGCGCATCTACCGCATCGGTCCTCGACATCTCACGGTACTCCTTGTACATGTTGTGGGTGCCGGAACGCGAGTCATATCGGATCCAGATACCGAAGTTCTTGACCTGGAGGGGGCGCTTCTCGTGGATCTGTAGGCCATCTTGTGAGCCTCATCCTGGTCACTTCATGGCTTCCGGTATAAACATACCTCGTTCAGGGTGACGATCTCGCCGGTGGCCTTCTTGACCTTCTTCAGTCCTCGCAAGAAATACCAGTAACGGGACTTGGCAACGACCGGGTTCGGCGCAAAGATGCGCATGCGGTACAGCCGGGGAGTCGGGGTAGCCTCGGTGGGCAGATGGCGCCCAATGACCTGGTATTCGTGAAGACGACCTGGGAATAGCATATTAGTACCCTGATTGATTCGGAAACGCAGATCTATATGATCAATCTGTGCAACAAGATGTCGGGCGTCGTCTCGGAATTTGGTCGGTCAGAGTTTCGGGCGGTATAAATATGATGCTGCTGCCGCAATCTTAAGGTAAACCCATGTTGTCGAGCAACTATCCGTAGATTTCCCCCCCAAGATCCAGTGGCAGTTTCGGACCCTCCTCTTTCCAGGCCAAACTCGGTGAGTGAGCGTCGAGTCAAGAGCACGAAGGAATCGTCTTAGTCTCGGTCTCTTGAAGGACCAGCAGACGATCCTCGAAATGCACAGAGGACGCCGGGCAAGGCGGTAGAATCGTGGGCTCGGGTTCGGCGCGGCGTTTTGATCCAGTGTTTCCAGAGCAGACAGAGAAGGAAATATTTGGCTTACCCATCTGAGCGAAGAAGTCAGCAACAATGGAAAGGAGGTAGAGGCAGAGGAATTAGAGATGGTGTCTTCTGGGAGAACTTACTTTGATTTTCTGGCCGCTCAGATCGAGGTGGTTTTGCTGTGTTCAAACTCCAAGATCGCGAATTCGGAGGCGGGTCTAAAAAAATTCGGCTGTGCTGAAATTGGACGTGAGGGTTGAGAAACCTAACGCCAAGCGAGGATTGAGAGTGGGGCGGTCAGCCGCATGTGGCTGTGCAGGTCAAGCCCAGAAAAGTACGTACCTGTCAGAAGCTCATGGGCCAATGAGATCGATCTAGACCTACTCTCGAATCATCAACACCTCAGAACCTGAGCCCTGGAAGTATTGATTCCGAGAACTCATTGCTCCAAAGGAAAGGAAGAGGGAGAAACCCTCACCGTATCACAAGTTCATTCTATTCTGCCCAAGAGCCCGGATTCCAGGACCATTCCGGCGCTAAAAGACCAGACATCCCATGAGATAACCATCGGCCTCTCAACCGATCACCAACATGGACACCATATTCCAGGAGTTTGGGGAAGCATTCTCCCGACAGAATGGATACCAAATATCTCAAACATTGACTCCTGAGCTCCCTAATGACATGTTACGAGCGATCTGGAAAAATGCCACTCATCACGATGTCAGGGGTATCCTCAAGCGTGGGATCCAGTCCAGTGCCAGCGCGTCAGGTTTTAGGCTCTCAAATGATGAGGTTCAGGGCTGGGTTGAGGTGTACCTTGCGTATTGGAAGGCCACTGGTGAACTACTTGCAGTTCAAGACCAGTCAGCTGCAAACGGCAAAGTCAGTCTTGGTTTTGTTCATCCTCTTTTTCCTATTCTTAGTCCTTGTTGGCAGTCTCCGTCTCTTTCATGAGGTGAAGAGCAGACATTGTGCTAACATATAGGGACAACTCGCACAGTCTTCCTGGACGACTGTCTATGAAATTTGGAGAGAAATGTGCTCTCTCTTGATCCGTGGGTACAACAACCATGGATTTGAGGCATGGACTGTCCCATGCCTCTATGTTGCAGGGAAGCATCTCAGAGTCTTCGCCATCAAGGCAGATGAGGAGCGCAACAGCAGCAGCAACAACTCTAACGAGAATGCCGGAGCCACATTCCAGGATGATTTCGACCCTGAATCAGAGAAACACCAGCAGCTAGAAGACTGTGCTCGGCAGCTCAACCGCATTTTCAACCTGTGTCTGAGCGACAGGTATGGTGACAAAACTCACTTAGTCCTGTCTTCTTGGCTGACATATGTTTAGGGCACCGCTCGAGGAGTCCCGTAAATGGGGCATTTACTACGTGATCAACCTTCTCTTCAAGACCTACTTCAAGCTGAACTCAGCGCCACTGTCGAAAAACATCTTGAAAGCCCTTTCTGCTGGCCGGGGAGATATGCCTCCCTTCTCAGCTTTCCCGAAATCCCAGCAAGTCACTTTCAAGTACTACGAAGGGGTTTTGTCCTTCTTGGAGGAGGATTATGAGGTGGTACGTCGATGCATTGTCCCATATCGAATTGCTGCCCGGGCTAACATGGAGGCTACAGGCCGAGAAACACCTCACTCAGGCATGGGGCCTCTGCCACAAAGCTGCGAAGCGAAATAAAGAGTAGGGTCTATTTATATAGTCCCAAAATACTGGGGTAATCCACTGACACGGGCCTGATAGACTCATTCTAACGTACCTCATCCCATGCCATCTTATCAGGACCCATACGCTCCCCAGCCAGAAGCTTCTTGAGCCTTACCCGCGCCTCCAGGGGCTATTTCTACCCCTCTCGCGCTGCATCAAGAAGGGAGAACTTCATTCCTACGACCTCGCACTCCAGGAGGGCGAGGCGGAGTTTGTAAAGCGGCGAATCTATCTGACACTCGAACGTGGCCGCGATATTGCGCTGCGTAATCTGCTACGCAAGGTGTTTATGGCTGGTGGGTTTGACGAACCCAAGGCGCCAGGCGACAAACCGCTACGTCGCTCCAGAATCCCCGTGGCGGAGTTTGCAGCTGCCATCAGCCTTGGCAGCCAGGAGAGGTTGGACACGGACGAAGTCGAGTGCCTTTTGGCCAACATGATCTACAAGGTGAGCCCTATCCTGTTGCATTTGCCACACAGGCTGGCCAATCTGGCCGCGTCACCGGCCTCGCACATGATTCGCAATCATCAGTGTGAGGCTCCCAAGAAACCAGGCGGTGGCATATGGAGCATTCGTCACTAGACGGTTGCCTCATTGCCCTTCGGCACCTTGACGGCCTGCGACCACAAGATGATGACTCCTGATCCCAGCAGCCGTGCAACCCCTAATATTTATAGTGAATTATAGTGAATGACTCGCTGACGAGATGTGCCTTTCCAGAACCTCATGAAGGGCTACATAGCTCGCGAGCGAGGCATTGTGGTGCTCAGCAAGGGTGGAGCGTTTCCCGGAACGGGGGTGTGAGTTTTTCGACATGGTTGCCGGCTCACTCCGAGTCTGGCAGACGAGGCACACCTTTGTGGACCCTGCCTTTGGGAAGACAGTGGAGGGAAGAAAAGGTGGTTCAGCTCGCCGTGGCAGACATGCCCTTTTTTCTTTTTTTGCTGCGTCACTGTCGCAGGACATGGTTAGGTAGGCAAGGAACATGATGGTGAGTAGACCTGATTCGTGTACCTATCTATTATTTGCAAGGCAAACGCCCGCACTTCCACGCCGTTTGGCTTGTACGACATGTGAGTGCTTCTCCTCGCACCTCTCGGTGAAATATCACCCAGGTCTCTAATATAATTCTAGGCCGAACGGACAGGCAGCGCGATATTGAGCAATCGGCTGTATGTTAAATTCCCAACTGTACTATATACCTAGACTGCACCGGGTACCTCTCTGATGACACTTGCGATGGAAGAAGCACCCACACTCCACCCCAAGCTCCCGGGCCCCCTTTTGGACACATCGGTCCAGGACTTGCAACAGCCAGGACAAGGGACCGAGAGTGTGGGGCGTATGCAACCTCTTCCACTCCCCGGCACACTCTATGAGTCACAATAACGGCAAGGGAGAAGAGGCAAGGTGGGGTTGCAATGACATCCCGCCTGAGGCCTCAGGCCTCAGCATTCGGCATCCCAAAATGGCCGCGGCAAGGAACAGTGGCGCGCGACCGGGGAGAGGATCGAACGCGGTAAATTTATCTTCTCATTGGGCGGACGGCAGAGACAATCGGAGTGCTCCCGGGTCGTTGCATGGGAGAGAACCAAGGTAACTTAAGCTTCTGAGTTCTAGGATGATAACTTGAAAAATGCGAATTCTCGGAGGTTGACTTGATATCATACATTTCACCAGCAACCGGGACTGCGAAGGGAAATGATGCCCAGGAGTCACAAATTAAACTTGCCCATCCACAGAGCAGCTGTCCAAAGTCTATAAAAACGAGTGTCAAGAACGGTAATAGTACACCCTGGGTCTAGGTATTTTCTGGGTTTTCTCGCGAATAAACCAGTCCCGGCTAGTCAGTCTTGTCCTCCCATCCAGAATACAAAAGGTCCAACCGCCAAACCTCAATGCAGAGGACCTAACAAGCCGCTTCCGACGAAATTAACAAATCGATCAAATAACGGTCAGAGCCAGCTAAAGCAAATCGCACAATACCGAGCATCTATCGATATCTGTAGTGGTACAAATTTTTGGGTTATAGAAGCGAACACACCACCGGAACTCCTGGCCCACTGAATCAAAAACCGTTACTCCGGGACCTTCATGAATACCGATAGTGAGACCCAGCCTTGGAAACCTCCCCAAAAAAATCTTTTAATGAGATGTAAGAATAAACCAGAAAAGACAAGAAGCATAAATCATGAGAAAAGTGCACGTGTAATGAGGAAATGGCGTTGGTATCAGACAAAATGAGGCGAGAAGGCGGAGATGTGATAAGGCAGCGGTAGCAGCCTAGAACGGCCGGCCACTGCGAGGCGTGCGAGGCGTGTTGCTGATCAACGAATCAGATGAAACCCCGAGAGAATGAGGCGAGACAATGGAAAGGCCAAAAAGATTACTCACCCAGCACTAGAGATGTCATCCACATGGTTGCAGAGAGCGACAAATAGGTCGAAGAACAGTTGGCTGCCTCCATTGTACATCTCCAGTTGCATGGTGCCGCTTCTCTTGAAGGTGTTTCGGCAGCGGATAATGAGGGCAAGATAATGTGCTCTCAACTTAGAGTCTGTATCCGGGGTATTGGCGTATGCGTATCGGGCAGACGCCAGGATGGTGCTGGCTTGGACTCCCGACTCTGCGATGAACAGTCAGTGAGATGTCTTTGACGCCGACGGATGTAGACGAGGCTTACGAAGACCCTGCTTCCGAAGGGCGACACGCTTGAGTTCTTCCAAGCCGTACTTGTCACCAGCACAGTAGATGACAGTGTCCTTCAAGACCTCGCCATCGATGCCGTGATGATAGACGGTGGACTCGGCCGAGCTACCGCCGTCGTCGGTCAGGTGCTCCAACTCCCACGAGTTTCGTCTCTTATTGTGGACCAGACGAGGGTAATAGTCGCCCTTGTAGAGATATTCGAGAACAGAGGAGAAGATCTCGGGTTCTTCGTCGGGCAGCGAGATCTTCTTATTCGGCGAGTCCATCATCTCCCTTTGGAGAACATTTTCAAAGAATGGGGAGTGGCAGAGAACATTCTCATGTGCTGCGAAGATGCGCTGCTCCTGGCCAACGACCAGGGTCACAATAGGAGAAGTGAGGTTGCTGAAGCAGAACGATATCAGTAAATGGACATTGATACAACTAGATGCAAAAGTCGCTGATGATTCTTACTTGGAGTGCGACGATTCGGCATTACTCTGCGTTGTTGCAGTTGTTGGACGCCGACGAGATTCATGGCGACGCTTCGAAACTCCGGCTTCTTGTCTGAACGAGGAACTGGACTTGCCCAATTTCTGGCTCTTGGAGAAACTCTTATTCTGGGGAGGATCGAAGCGGCGGGTGAACATGTTGAATCGCTGGGTCTCCGATTTTGGGGTGAAGCAGTCTGAAAACAATTACAGTAGGCTGTAATTCTGGGGAAACGCAAAATTGAGATGTACAGTTCGGAGAGTTGGAAAAAAGGGAGAACTTAAACAAGGTGGAAGTTGTTGGCGACGGCGATTATTTGAATGACTTACCTACCGAGGCCAAGGCGGATGATAGAATGAGAGGGGGAAAGGAGATGGGCAAGGCCGCTATATATACGAATCGCCGGGGGGCCATGACGGTTCGGAAAGGGTCCTTATTTTCCCACTGTTTAATAAGGCAGCGACGGTGCGACGTGCTCTCCACCAGATATAGCGTGTCGAGGCGCCTGGTTACACGAACACCATCACGAATTCACGTGATTAAATTTTTTAAACTAATCCTCTTTGGGGACGACTGACCCGGCCAGGAGGCGGGGCTGACCACTGCCCCGGAACTTTTTTAATCAGAGCTTTGGGTCTAGCAGGGCATGAAGCGGCATGGGGTTGCGACTTGCCAACTTTTGTCACAATTTTCAGCAGGGGATCGATGGAAACTCGGTTACTGTGGGAGTCAGAGGTCAGGGGGTGGGACAATTATTGCCTTGTTGGATCCGTGTATCGGACGGAGGATTGCCGGCGAGAAAAAGAAAGGAAAGGCAAATGAAAAAGAAACTACAGCAAGCATCCTGCAAGGCTGCCCACCCGCCTTCCGGTGGAGTGAATGCACGATAGGACCGAGAAAAGAAGGAAACAAAGGAGAGGTGGCTCGAGGCCAAGATAAAGCAAAAAAAGGGCCTACAGCTCGTTCCTACCTTGTAAAGTGATCAATTGGGTCAATTGGGTGACTCCCCGAGTCCTCACAAACACAATATGCTCCAGTCTTGAGTGCGCCTTTGATAGCAACCTAGCAAACTTTCACCTGGCCTGGAGTGCCACCAGCCCCCAATTCACAACCTGGCACACGCCATCTCATTGCTCCGGAAGCGCAAAGTCCTGTGGAACCAGCTGACCACAGATACTTGGTACGTACCATACCGCATCGCAACGTGAAATGCTGGGCAAAACGAACCGTGCTAGACCAGAGCCTAGGTACTGGTCTTTAGAACTTAGCGCAATTGACGTATGCCCCCATTCCCAACGTTAGTGACGAGTTCTTTCTCCAGGAACAGATTAAGGTAATTAAGCTATCTAGTCGGTAGACATCGTATCATCCATATGCCGCTGAGTCTGTTGAAGGACAAACTCTGTAACCGCCTTCCTGCCCTCGGCTCGTGTTATTGCTTCGTTATGAAAGGCATTATGGACTGTCTTCTTGTAGACTGGTAATCCTACTTCAATGCACCGTTGTTCCAGTTTCTCGCCGTGTTCTTGGGGAACGAGCTCGTCCCTTCCGGCCTCTAGAATGAACATTTGAGGGGGTTTGCTACCCGAGGCCTTCGACATTTCAGCTATTGCGCCGAGATTCTGCCAGCTGTCCAGCTGGTTGCGCAGGAACGGCCACAGGCGTTTGTAAGGAAGCCACTTCTGAGGATAGAGGACTTCCAACATAGCCCTGACAGACAGGAACGGAGTCTCGAGTATCACCCCGTCCACTCTCAGTACCGGCTGGGGAGGACTCGAAGCGGCGAGGTTGGTGGCAACCCCAGAGCCAATGCTCTGTCCCCATAGCAAAACAATCGGTTTTGCCAATCGATCACTGCCCGCATATGTCTCTGCATGGCACTGGGTAATCCATCGCAATCCCGCCTCGGCGTCGCGTCTAATCCCCTTCTCCGACGGCCGCCCCCTAGAAGTCCAGTAGCCACGATAGCTGAGACAAACCAACGTGAATTGGACCGGCGGAAGTCCGGCTCTCTTGCTATCCTTGAGGGTACGAAGAACTGAAGAGAGATAGGGAAGTCGAGGCGGTATGGACGAGGCGTTTCCTGGACTAGGGATAAGCTTTCGGTAGAACCCAGGTGCCATATTGGAACAGACCCTGGAAGTAAAGGATGTAAACGTGGCCAGCTATGCTCTCCTTCCCGGCCCCCGATCCTTTACTCGCCTCTTCCCCCTTGGAGTGCGCATTGGCGACCGCCAGCGCGAGACTCGTGCCGTCGGCTGCTCGCGTTCTGTTCTCGTGCCATTGAATCCCCCGACATTCGGATGCGTAGTCGGCTATCGTCTCGCGGCGTGAGTTCGGCGGCATACCTGGCATGTATATTATCTTATTCTGGAACACAACCAGCATCATGCACTTCCACAACCAAAGCGCGCCGAGCAGGCCAGTGAAGTAGATAGGCGGCATCAGAAAGGGCTCGAGGTGGATCCGCCTCGCCAGCCTCTGCGTGGTGTCAACCAGGCGAGGTCTGGGAGCCGCAGGTCGCGGACGCCAAAGCGAGTGCGGGATGCATGCGAGCCGAGATCTCATAGAAAGCAAGCTGTTGCCACCGGGACTGCTGTGCGACACGGAAAGTCGTGGGAAGATCGCAGCAGAAATCCAAGTCATATGGTCGACCATTACGTAAGCGAAACTTTGTCCATCAGGTCTGCCATTCTTTTGCTTTGCTACCTACGTATAGAGACTTGAAGACTGTACCGCTTCTCTGCTACCATCCACAAGGCTACAATGGTCTGTGGCTTGCGTTAACATAAATGGGAATATACGGATACCAAGTTCCATACTGTAGTGATAACGCAACGTCATTAATTTTCAAGGCTCGAAATCCCTGCACACACTACGTCGTTGGAAGACCCCCCTCACTGGTACTGTACCTAGGTACCTAAATATCGTTCACCTTGGACATTCGCCCTGGGATTCCAAGCCCCATCAACTTTCGCAATTGCCTAGAGAGAGTCTGCTACGGGTAAAGAAACCCTCCTTATCGCAACCTTTCAGTCGTGAAGACTCGCGTCCATCTATTGCCTATCGCGGCAGAGCCGGTCGCGATGGCCGAGTCTGGAGAAGGGAGCCGGTCTCCAGGCCATCACATCGAGTTAGTCGACGACAACCCCTCACCGCGGCACGAAGGCGAGTTGAGTCCAGGTTTACGAGACAGCAAAGGGTGGGATGGAAAGTTGAGAGTTCCAAAGTCCGCACTCTTGCACAACCCCGAGGCCTTGTCGGATCCAGAGTACTCGGATGACGAGAACGTCTTTCGAGGGGAGGAGGTAGCCGCAGACGAAGGTGAGCCCACAGCCGTCGTCCGGCCTTTTAGGAGTAGGCGAATATACTGACCGATCAACCCCTCTTGCAGATCTGCTCGACGATGAGCCATCAGATAGCGACGAGATCTTCTGTACCCACTCGAGAATCCAGTCCATCCCCGCTTTACGGTTGGACCGGTTCAAGGATTTGGCCCGACTTTGTCTACGGCAGAATCTGATACAAGACATCGAAGGACTATCAGGCGTTGCAGAGTCGCTGCAAGACCTAGATCTCTACGACAACCTCATCTCCCACATCCGAGGGCTGGATGAGCTGACACACCTCACGAGCCTCGACCTCAGCTTCAACAAGATCAAACACATCAAGCATATCAACCACCTCAAAGACCTGACCGATCTGTACTTTGTGGCCAACAAGATCAGCAAGATCGAGGGCCTAGATGGGCTCACCCACCTCCGCCAGCTCGAACTCGGCTCGAACCGCATCCGGGAGCTGAGAAACCTCGATTCGTTGGCAGCGCTGGAGGAGCTATGGGTCGCCAAGAACAAGATTACCGAACTCAGCGGCCTGTCCGGGCTCCCGCACCTGCGGCTCCTCAGCATCCAGTCGAACAGGATCCGAGACCTCTCCCCGCTCCGCGAAGTCCCCCAGCTGGAGGAGCTGTACATCTCCCACAACGCACTGGAGTCGCTCACGGGCCTGGAGCACAACACGAAGCTGCGAGTCCTTGATATCTCCAACAATAAAATCAAGAGCCTGGAGGGACTCGGGCCTCTTGTCGAGCTAGAGGAGTTCTGGGCCAGCTACAACCAGATCGCCGACTTCGCCGAGGTGGAGAAGGAGCTCGGCGACAAGAAGCAGCTCACGACAGTCTACTTTGAGGGGAACCCGCTGCAGCTCCGGTCCCCGGCGCTCTACCGCAACAAGGTGCGGCTAGCTCTGCCGCAGGTGCAGCAGATCGACGCGAGTAAGTACAAAGTCCCCGGCATATCCACTGCGGTCTGTGTGTGATGAGCCATGAAGATAGATCTAACAAACCTCCCCCCAATAGCATTCGTTCGAGCATCCTAAGCACCCATTCTGCCGACAAGGCGAGACCTTTTCTTATCCGACTTTATATGATGTAGACACGAAGCACAGCGTCCCGTTTATGTGCGAACAGAAGCATAAGGAGGCCATGGCATGGCACGGCATAGCACGGCATGGAATGCCGTCTGGAGGGGCGGGAGGATGAGTAATGGAGATACCGACATTGTTTCAGCCAAAAGGAGTCCCCTCATTCCCAAGCTTCAGGGGCGGTTGAAGGGTTGTTTTCATATGTTACCTTGGCTGGGACGGGGATTCCTCATCATGCATCGAGAGACCGGTCGGTTGGTTCTGTGGATTTCGGTCATTTATGAAGGGGGAAAAAGATACCTAGAGCTTTCACATCAAAGCAGGGCGGCCACACACACGCACATACACGGGAAGGGGGATTTGCTGTGCTGGGAATTGGTTATAATCTACGGCGGGAAACCACACAGATATGCCATGTGATAAAAGGTTCTAGCCCCCCCCCCCTAGTAGGTCTCTTCCCCCCCTCCCCCGCCAGGCCTACAAGCCGCCGGGGCCACTATCGACATGATAAAGGGTCTGGGGCCGGTGTCGGTATTATTTATACCGTCCATTCACCTCATTCTTCCGCCGCCTCGCGCGACTGGCGGGCCAAACCAGCGCGGTTACGTCTCCCGCTCGAACGAAGCGGGGTTATTTTTTTATTTTTTTGGGGTCAGGCAATTTAGCCAAAGATCCAAAGGGCCTCGGTGGGGAAGTACTGTATGGAGGAGTCAGTATGGGCGCCGCCTTTGCTTCATCTTAAGGGGGATTCGTTGCACAATGCGGCAGATATGTTCGGAGGTGATGGTTTGGTAAGGAGGGGAGGAAAGGAGGGGAGGAAAGGATGGAAAAGGGAAAAGACAAAAGAGAGACGGGAAGCATACGTTAGCGGGCTGGTTGAACCGGAGGCCCTTGTCCAGGTTGCTGATCTGGTCAATCTCGGACTGCTCGAGGTCGAACTCGATCGAGGCCAGGTTCGACTGCATGTACTTCTCGCGCACGCTCTTGGGGATAACGGCCAGGCCGCGCTGGGTGGCCCAGCGGAGCAGGACCTGGGAGGGCTCCTTGCCGTGCTTGGCGGCGATGGCGGTGACGGTGGCCTCCTCCAACAGCGGGGTGATGGCGGCGGCGTGGGCCATGTTGAACTCGGCGAACGAAGCCGGGCCGAAGGAGCTGTAGGCGGTCACGGCGATGCCCTCGGTCTTGGCCAGCCTGAGAAGCTCGGGCTGGACGAGGTAGGGGTGGTGCTCGATCTGCAGGGTGGCGGGCTTGATCTTGGCGTACCGGAGGAGGTCGTAGAGCAGCTGGGCCTGGAAGTTGGAGACGCCAATGTTCTTGGCGAGGCCGCTGCCGACGAGGCTCTCCATGGCGGTCCAGGTCTCCTGGATGGAGGCCTTGCTGGGCCGGATCTCGGAGCTGCCGTCGTAGTGCCAGCCAGGCGGGTAGCGGACCGACGGGTCGACGTACTCGAGGGCGACGGGGAAGTGGATGAGGTAGAGGTCGAAGTAGTCGACGCCCCAGTCGGCCAGCTGCTTCCGGACGATGGGCTCAACCCGGTCACCGTCGTGGAAGGTGTTCCACAGCTTGGACACGATAAACAGCTCCTCACGCTTCACGATCCCCTCCTTGATGGCGCGGGCAACGCCCTGGCCAGCCTCAACCTCATTGCCGTAGTCTGTGCGTCGGACATTGTGTTGTCAGTCTCTAGTTCCTTCCCGGTCAGGCCGCTTCCGATTCCACCAGTGTTGTGGGGTTGGTTGGCGGGATTATTATTATTGGAAAATGAATAAAATAAATATCTCATGGTGGGGTCTGAGAGGGGAGGAGGGGTAAAGGAGGGGAGGGAGGGGGCGGGGTAAATTGGGATGATCGCTTTCCACTTGGGAGCTCCATCTAAACACCCCTCTATCCCTGACCCCCAACCCGATTCGGCCCTGCCTCGTGAAATTGTTTCGTTGGATGACTGCTAGGGAGACCAGATGACTTACCGCATGCGCCGTCGAAGAGGCGGTAGCCAACTTTGATGGCATTGTAGACGGTATCGGCACAGATAGCGTTGTCAACCTTCCACAGACCAAAGCCCACCTGGGGCATGTCCTGACCGGTGCTGAGCTTAATGTTGGGGACCATTTTCGTGGCTGTTTCCTTTCTTTTTTCCTTTCTTTGTATGGGTCGGGTATCTTCTGTGATTTGTTTCTGTTTTCAGCCAGTCAGTGGTTGAGTGTGGACAAAGAGAATCAACTCTAGATGCAGCAGACGCGAGCAAAGGGGTGGGCAAGAAGAGCATCATCGCGGGAGGGAGACCTACTTCTCAATGTGTGTGTGTGTGTGTGTGTATATCAGGGAGGGGCAGATCTGGCCAGGCACCAGGTGGAAGGCAGCTCGTGGTATTTATAAAAGAATAAGGGCCCAGCCGAAACCAAGGGACAGGGAGGGACAACGATCTAGCGCTGGTTCCATTTGCGCTTCATCTCGATAGATGTGACGCTGGGTGGGAAAGAGGGGGGGATGTGCATCCTGTCTGGCGGTATCTACAGTAACCGACGGGCTCTCCCTGCCCATGAGCTGCCTAGCTTCCGTCATTCTGCATGCGTCGGAAGGATGCATGTACGTTGGGGCTACCGAGGTGGACTCGCGAGGTCTTGCCTCTCGTCGAGCTAAGGCTTCCTTCTTGCTTCTCCCGGTGGGCCATGACCCACAGGCGGATGAAGGCGGTGGTCTCCAACAAACACCTGCTGTCTGATTGGCATGGCTAATAGGGCGCGCGGCCCATTTGTGCGTTTAAAGGCAGTCTTGGCTAGGTAAGTGGAGAGCAGGCCAGTGATAAACACTACACAGAGATCAGCTACCTGTCCGTCCTCGCTCGCCTCCAGGTTCGGTCGACACACCCCCACGCTCTGTGACTACGTGGCGAGAACCCTGAAGTTCACTTAACCGATATTTCGGTCCTGAGTCGGTGCGAAACGGACTCCATCTGGGCAGCTCTCTTGCCACCACTGCCCCAAACCGGGCCCAAGTCAGTGGGTGATGCTCCACGTTCCAGAGTTAAGCCGGAGAATCGCCATTTAGCCTGTTTACAGAATGCAAGGCGGCTAAACCGATTCTTCGCCTTAACCCACAAGAGAGTGAAAAAAAGACCAGTCCAGAAAAGCCGAGCGAGAGAAATGGCCACGAAGATGCCTTGAAAAATTACGAAGCAAGAATTGGCGCAAGGGGCCCCTTATCTGTAATTGGGTTTTTGTTTACCTAGCCAAAATATTCCCTCAGCCTCACTGCTCTCCGCCATGTCAGCGATAGCAGAGACTCGTTCTTGTCTCTTTGATCCCCTTGCTATTTCTCACGAGACTTGAGTTGTCTGCAACCTCAAAAATGGTGCGGTTCTTATTACAACAAGACGGGCATTACGTTAACAGTTCTTTGAGTATCAGATTCAGGGGTAGCTTTTGCTACCCCTTAACCCCCTTTTCCTCCCCTTCCTTTGCCTTCTGCCTCCTTTTTTTTGGGAGGGGGGGGGGGGGGGGGGGGGGTGCCGGGGGTTTGTAGATGTTTTTTTTGGAGCTGGCAAAAATGGGCCCGCAGATAGCCCCAAATCCCCGGTTTTACAACCCGGTGGTGGC